CAGAGATGCCGACGAAGTGAGGCAGCAATAGCAGCTACCAGCGACAATCCTCGCTAGCTCCGTTATTGGAGATATACCATGGGAGCCACAGATCTTTTTCTTCTTTTCTTCTTCATGCCACCAACAGTCTTCAATCTGTAGGCCAACACCCATCCAGCTCCACTTGTGGCTACGTTCGACGAACATCGTGCTGATCAATTGAAAGCAGTCACTCATCAACCAAAGACACTTTTCGTCCGAGTTCAGGTATGTTCGAAATTGAGACGGGAACGAGAGAGCCAGTGAATGGTGCTTATGCTAAATGTCTGTCTTGGATAGCAGCACTCTACAATCAAATTCATCATGGGCAGCGGACGGTATGTTTGCCAGCAAGAAGATCACTTTATAAACAAAGACTAACTCATTGTCCAGCCAAGACAAGGGGAAGGGGGGAAAGGAGAGTGACAGGTAAGCGAAACCATATGATGCTACTATTCTTCGATCCCCAGCTAATTTTTTTCTAGGGAGAAGAAGGCGAGGTATGCACGGATCTCACGACAGACAATGAAGAGAAACACAAGCTGATTCAATAAAAGACATAACCTGAATGCGGCGGTCTCTCGCGCAGCTAAGCGGGAGCCTGGATACCAAGGCGCCTCCGCGGCGGAGAAGAAGAGGATCTTGGGTCGTGTTCGTGTAAGTACAATTGCCGTTGTCCCTTTGAACTTTCAATTGCTCTGAAGTGCTCTTGATTTTACCTTAAATCTTCCTCAAATTCCTGTTTTCTCGAACTCCCTTTCAGTTATGGCAACATAAGGATATACTGACCATATATGTTGTGATATCTAGGTTCGTTTGGCTGGGCAGTACGTATATCAACAATCAGAAAATGTTAGACCATAGCTAATTAGTAAAATAGATCCAGCAACAACAAGCACAGCAACAGCAGCAGCAATCGCGGCGCCGGGGCCCCAGCGGCCAATGCTTTCGGTCTTCTCGTCGGTGGTGGTGGGGTCGGTGTCGTTGGTGGGGCGGTGCCACCGCACCAATTGGGTGGGTGGATGGGGAGAGGAGGAGGAGAGGAGATGGCGGGAGAGGAGGAGGGGGTGGAGGCGGAGGAGGAAGAGGAGGAGGAGGAATTGGTGGCTCGGTTGGCGGAGTTTGTTGTTGGTGGTGGGGACCACAATCCCACGCTGGTGGCTCTGGTGGGCACCTACCCACCAGAGCTCGACCATGCCACCATCCTGGCAGACATTGACCGTAGGGTCAGGGAGTTTATGGAGGAGGAGACGTGAGAGTGTTGTTTGTTGTTCTGTTGTCTTCGGACATTGGGGGAGGAGGAATTGATAATTTGCTAGGTCCTACCACTCACAGGTAGGCAGCAACCACAAAAACTCCCTTTGATGTTGTCCCTTGTGATTCTAGTGATTGCCGCTTCGAAGATTTTCATGCCCACGTACCATCGAGCTCTTCCAAATACAGCCAAAAGTCCACTTGAACTTATCCGTCGTGGGACGGAAATCGATCCCTTTTCTAAACGCTTCATACGCTTTAAGACAAGCAAAGGGAATATATTTAGGAGGTTGTCTGACAAGGGTATAGGGACTCGAAAACTCTATTTGTGTAGAAGTATATGATCCTTTTTTGAAACAAGTCAAACTGCCCCACATGGTTCTCATAAGATAGCAAGTACAGCTTTTAGGCGACCATCAAGGCAAACACAATCTCTCATTATTATGTAAAGAATACCGTATATAAATCTAGATTCAAGTCAGTCCGAAACTCAGAGGCTATTTCATTATCTTGGTTTCTCTTCAGTCTAGAACAAGTAAACTATGATGACAATTTGCAGAGTTCAGAGAGCCATGAGCAAGAACTTCCAAATTTAGAACTAACTTACTATCAAGAGATTGTTGGACTTGCAAGAGAAGCATTCAGGCGTGGCATAAAACTTGCACAAGCATCTGTTATCTACTAACAAGAAGTAATTTCACTGAAGTCAAAACATGGAGATCCGAGCAGAAGTCCCAACTTATTGCTATAATAATGTCTAGCATGCGAAGGAAGTTTCGTGATTTCATCAGCAGTGACCACATTCTTTGAAAATCAAAGGGTTCGCATTCATGTAAACTCCAATGGTGGAAGGTTTAGGATCAACATACAGAGTTCATTAGGAGACTAGAACCAAGATATCTCATTGCTTACCATTGTGAGCTTGTACTTGTCTAGCCTCGAGAAGAGTAAACACATATCATGCTCGGTTAATCATAAAGATCAAATCGTAGATTGAACTACCTGCTTTTATCGCAACAGTACAAGCACACCTGACTTTGGAGTGATCGACTGACAGCTTCAAACAGCGCAAACAGCGCAGTCAGCGGGTTTTGCGCAGAACGCGGCAACTGCGCGAGAATGCGAGAAAAGCGTCTATCACGAAAATGCAGGGTATGCAGGATAAGTCAGATATAATTCAGGGCCGTGAGCTCCATGATTCCATCTTGTTAAGACTTGATCTGGTGATATCTCAGCATTTCTAAGGACTTGCTGGAGAGCTCTCTTCTTGATTGTTATCTTTGTTCCAAGAATTCGTTGAGCACACCTCACTACCGCAATACCAATCCAAACCATTGGGAGAAGGGTACTCAAATGAACATTGCGCGATTTGACGGCCATCACGCTTGAGCTTGAGCTAATGAGAAAGGTGAGGCAAGTAACAAATAGTAGGCATTTAATTCCAATAAGACAAGACGATTCTAAATAACAAGTAGACGCTGCTCGCCTGTAAGTGGCCAAGACCCAGCGACAAAGACTTCATGCTTTTTCCACCACCTCCAGCTAATCAACGAAAGCTGCTAGTCAATTGACAGAGATATCCGATCTCCTGGTCTACTGCATAGAACCGCAAGCGCAGAGCCACCAACGGGGTGCTAGGAGCCTAGTACAGTAAAAAGCGTCGGCCTAGGGTAGACAACAATCGAAAAAAAAAAAGATCCGTCGGAGCATGTCCATCTACCGTAAGACTTCTGAACATCTCCGCTTCAAATTCCTATATTCCTCCTCCGGCAAAACGGTGAAATGTGATGTTCCCAAGCAGCAGGGTTTTGTTGGAAGAGCAGCATCGTGTGCCTTCGCAACGCTCGGAGATTCAGTCGTGAGGAGCACCATGATAAGAATGCTCAGAAGTCAGGTTCGGAACCGAGGTATATTTCCTTGAACATCGGGATTCAGTTCATATTCTCAGGACTTCTTTGCGTCCTCGTACGTGTGGGAGATTGGGAAAGTACGAAACAAAGACATCAGAAACTGTCTTTACACCCGAATGACCCGGATCGTAAATTCTCAAACACGCAGCGGCACCGCAATGAGCAGTTTATCGTCATACCCAGGACTTAGGCATCCTCCGTGTTTCTTCGATGCTTCAATTCATCCAAAGCAGTATGCCATGTTTGCTGCTTGGATGAAGATGATATCAAATAGCTTCCTCGGCATTCTGATGCTCGATATAAAACTAGCATTTCTTGATGTGAAGGGATTGGCACTTGTAACCATTGATATAGCCTTGTTTCGATGGCTACACCATCCTTCGTTAAGAGATACTGGGTGTGATTGCCTACACGATCCTGTAGTAAGAGACACTGGGCGAGATGTATCGAGACTAAACGAAGAAGGTCATGACACTCTTTGACTATTGATTGTATCGAGTAGGTTTCCAAGTTAAACATCGGGAAATCTGTGAGATGGGGGTAACACATTCGTTCTCGTCTTCTAAGCATCTTTCATAAATTAGCGACTCCACCAACCACACCTACACTCTCTCCAATCTTCCTTGGCTATCCTCTCTCAGTACTGACAATCCTTGACTGTTGTCATGTGTTGTCTTGAGATGTCTTTTTGCATTGTCCAATCGTCTCGAGAAGCCACCTTGAATGCCATGAACGTCGTATGCACATCCATAAACAGGGCAGAAGTATCGACGTATCTTCCCGTGCGTGTCTTGATGACGGTCGAGATCCCGTTGTGTGGCTTTGCCGACAGCACAGCCTTGATGACCACACCTGTATGGTTGAGTATGAGTTTTGATGTGTTTGCTAGAGAGCGATTTGTTAGCATGGGCTTAGGACAAAGCCAAGAAAATAAAGGGCGCATACTTGAGCAATGCCCGAGAAGCTCTCTTCTCCCGACAATGTGGACAATTAAACTCAAACGTGACAGGTGAGGATTGGACAGGCTCATCATTGCCGTCTTCAGTGTTTTCAGGTGAAGCGTATGCCGCAGTGCTGTGGGTTTGGGATCTTGAAGGCGTGAGACTTGGCATCGAGGGGCTCGTCTCGGGACCGTCATCTGGCAAGACCGAAATGTAGTTGGACGTTGTTGACTGATTTGATGTGACATCTGGATTGTCGAAATTGGAGTCATGTACTGGGAGAGGATATGAAGAGGCATCGGCCATCTCTGGGACGTTGTCGTCGCCAGATACCGAGCAAGGCTCTCCATCGTAGTAAGTGAACAGATTATTGACGTGATGGGAGTACCATAACTGATAATATTCTGGTTCACTTTGACCGAGATTGAGTGTAGACTGGTCAGTGAAATCGCTATTGTGACCTAGTTGCCGATCATATTGCTGCGAAATGTGTTGCTATGCGGAGATAACGCTCCGCTCGTATTGATGTCGGTTGAAGTCACACAGAAACTGTGGACTTCTAGAAGGAGGGTAGGCGTAAGCTCCTTCCTCAATCGTGTGTGATGGCGATATAGAGAGGAAAGGACGAGGAAGGAGGTTCATGGGATAGATAACCGATGGATTTGGCGCTAACTGAGGCCCTCCTCAGCCTCGCTGATCGGGCGGCCAGCCACAAAATATAACAAGGCAGAATTTGCTAGACTGGCTGCAATTCGCAGATAATGAGATGACCAGAGAGTAGGATGTGATAACTGAAAAGTGATGCCACTACTACCGTTCTTGTGCCTTATTGGCATATCACATGATTAGCAGGTCGCTCACACCCCTGGCAGCTTCACCTACTAACTCAGGGTCCAAGTAAGTCTTGAACTCGGGATTGCATTTCATGACTATCTAAATTCCCTTCAAATCATGCCGGGAGCGAATCTTTTCAAGAATAAGGTGAACTGTACCACGTGACAAGCCCTTGTCTCCACTGTACTCATGATTTTTGGAAACGAAGCATCCTCGTTATATAGAAACTGCTTCGACTACCAATATTGTATTAAAGTTGAAAGTTAAGAGAAGGGCACTCACAAACTCTCCTGTTACTTGAGGCCTCCCAAACTCTCCTCGCTAACTAGGCAGGGGGCTCGGCAAGCCACGATTCAGGTTTGAGGACGCCCGCATACCAATTAAGAACTCAACCAATCAACAACAACTCGTTCATGCAAGAGGCCTCACGCCTTCCCTGATATGGCATTGCTGTGCGTCGGGAGGCCTCAACTGCGATGTGCATCAAAGCTTTCAACTCTCATCGTCTTACGACAACTCAACGAGCACACCCCTGAGATTGAGGCCTCCTGTGGTTTCTGAACGAACCGTTCTTCGTGTATCAGCTGAGATGATGGGTGAGGAAATACGATGCCCGATTTCTTGGAACCCGCATTCTGGTCCAGTGACGCCGAGGAGGCCAACACGGGATTTGAGGCCTCCCGGGCACACTGAGGCTCTGCCACCTATATTGTGAGACGACGATGCCGTGATTGGGCAATGGACTCTATGGCAAAGGGTGGCCTCCCAGGTCGAAGCGGGTTATATAAACTGTGATTATTCCAGAAAGAGCTCGCCGTCAAGCCATCGACATCGGCGTGTATCACAGAATTGACTTCAACTTTGACATCAAACATTATGCCTGCAAGAACATATCCCAGATCAATATCTAATGAAAGAAAGGATGAAACTAGAAGGTATGATCCTAGTATTGCTTCTGCTCTACGAGAATGATCTAATCTCTGGCAGACATGGTCCATCCTTTTCTTCTACTCCAACGATCGGGAGAGTCAGAACTTCGGGAGGAGTGATAGCTTCTACTTCGCCCACAACTGTGGACAAGGCGAAGAGCAATTCTCGCCCTTCATCTCACCAGCGTCGACCCCGCCGTCAACAGGCATTGCGTCCTTCTCCTCCTCCATCCCACCAAAAATATCCGGAAGCCGCCGCATACGACCTCACATCTCACACTCTTGCCTCAGCTCAAAGTCACTACCAATCAGCTTCGGTTCCTGGTCTCCCCTCCGCAGCAAAATGGCCACACCACAGCTCAGTCGCAGACAGGAAGAGCATGGATGACGACCTTCTCGGACTTGGCGTTGATCAATTCAAGTATGACCCATACTCGAGGACGGCAAGGATCTCAGAAGAGGACTTCGAGTCTACTCCCAATGAAGGCTATCTCGCTGGAAATCTAAGCTCTCGATCGTTTAAAGTTGTAGGAAGATACGGAATGACGATTGATGGAGGTGTGCAGGGTGCGATATTCGCGTGGGATCAAGCGGAGACTTTGTTGACCAGGAGAGGATATTCGTATGACTCCGTAGACAGGACAGATGAGACTATCTTATGAAATGAAAGAGATTATGTTTACAATAGCGTCGCTCCAGTTCCAACACTTGAAGTACCTCAATCACTATTCTCCTTACTGTTGTCCTCGCTCATCTCGACTTGAGATTTACTTGAGATTCAGGGGTGATACACCGAATTCGCTGCTGCTCTAAAGGAAACAGCACTCAAAAAGACAGCACATATTTCGAATTATAATACAGAAATTGCTCGCTTGAAGATGATAGAGATTCTCATGATAAACAAACCAGATCAGAGAGGCTCTTTGGGAATAGGTCAATCTCGAGAATCAGTGAAGCGCAATTCCAAGGCCAGGACTTGAAGTGTAGCCGATTAACACAAACTCAAAAAGAACGAGGATCAAACAATCAATCCGAGACTCATCTAGCACTCAAAAAAAACCCCCCCTAGCTACATAGCCAAATGCCCATAAAGCCATAAATCCGCCTCACCAACAAATAAACAAGCGAGCGAGCCTAAGCGAGAACTCCCCTCCTCCCCAACCAATCAAAAAAACACATAAAAACAGTCCATAGACCCCAAAAGCAAAAACTCCGGTGCAGCCCCCGCACTTTCCCGCAAAGCGGGAAAGGCTGAGAGGTGCCCTTGAAAACCCACCGCCCCGGGGTCCGGGAGGATGGATTTTTTGCCCGCTGTGCAGGCAGATGGAACGGGTTGCCCCGCGTTGGCGACAGGAAACGTATGCGAGATTGGCGATGGCAGGTTTTGCTTATTTAACTCTATATAGAGATTAAGGGTTGGCGCTAGGAATTATGAATTTGGCGAATATGGTTTGTGGGAGTTGGAGTTCACGTGAACTGGGAATTGGAGCCTTGGATAAGTATGATGGGTATATGTAACCTACGTAGGCAATATGTTTACTGAGGGTACTTTGAATATAAGCAGTCGGTTTGTTGGGATCGTAGTAACTTGACCTACTCTTCCTGGCTCACTAGCAACCTTGTTGAACAACTCTCGTCATTCATAGAAGCTCTTACACATTATTAATACCACACTTCATTTTCAATCTTGAATTGTACAGTACTTCCAGAACATACAAAAGCATTGTTATCAAGTCCACAGCAACGTTCACAGTTTGTATTTTCGCAAGACCAACAGCCATCAACCATTAATTTATAACTTCTACCCCATACCTCATCCCAAGACCAAAGAATCCCCCCTCTTCAGCCTCCTTCGCAAAGCTATCCCTCGCTTCTCCTGTCAATCCTACAAATAATCTCCAACACCATATCCTAACAAAATCCTGTCGAACGCCTTCCTCTCACACGTCCGACACATATCTTCTCTCTCTGGCAGCATGTACTCATCATCTATACACAACTGCTTGCAAACACGACAGCTATTCTTGAGAACTGTGTCCTTGCACTCAAAGCAAAGTTCTGTGTAGAACTCCGGTTTGTATGCGTATTCATCGAAGCCGGCCCATTTACCATCGCCGTCGAGGCAGAAGCGGCATTCCTGGTCTTCGGACTTGGTTGGAGCTGCTTTGGTGGAACTGGTTTGTTGAGTGGCTTTCTTGCCCTTGGTAGTGGCGGTTGACGGTCTAGTTTGCTTGCTTGAAGTAGGTTTCGATGTCGCGCTCAATGCATCGTCTTGCTTTCTCTTCTTTCCGTCTGAGGCGGACGCAGGCGGCTTGTCAGTCGAATCGAGCTTCCTTTTCTATCCTGACGATGCTTGCACTGTCGGCTTTTGTCCTACTAGCTTTTGTCCTGCCGACTTCTGACCTGCCGACTTCTGCTCCATAGATTTCGGTGTTGGTGAGACTTGCATCTCATCACTGGCCCGACTGGCTTTGACCGCCTTGACTTGAGGATTCATGTTGACGATTCATTTGACCAGAAACAATAATTACGATTGAGGTTGACGAAGAGAAGCGTTGATGAACTTGGAGGAAAGGGGGTAGCAACAAAACTTGCTAGAGCATAGAGGAAAAGCGTGTACGCGACGTGTTTGTGTTTTAAAGGGCTGTGTTTCTATGAACTACAAGGATGCACTTACAAGCCCCTAACGATCGCTATCTGGTAGCAACCAAAGAGAGTGCTGTTGTTGCGTAACAGCAGCACCTTCTTTGGTTGGGCGCTAGCTGTTAACATGGGTGTAAGAGGATGACAAACCGAAGCCCAAACCAATCTACATCGCGAGTGAACTCTTGCACATGACATATTTACTCGAACACAACATGAAAGCCAGGCTCATTTTGTAATTCTGTACATCAATTCATCTATAAAACTCGTGGTTGATCAGCTTTGCCGGGCTTCCACGTATTCTTCCTCGTTCTCGCGTCCTTCTGCTTAGTTCGCTCATGACTTCTTCTCGGTCTTAACGAATCGCTTCTTAACAGCTGCGATCATCTTGCCAAACCAGAAGACATTCAAGGCTTGTAAAGTGACATGGCCGCTCATATATAGAACCACAAGCCACATTGGCAGTGATCTGTCCCCTGCAAACCTCATCATCTCATCATTATTAGACCCCATCTTTGCTGCTTCGGTCAAATGCAAAGCATTCCAGACATCACGATAGATGTTGAACGAAGAATATGCCCCCCAAACCAACCTGCAGCAAAAGAATACCACAAGCAAAGCAATGCCATTATAGAGTTGAGCCTTGGTACCAGTCATACCAAGTTTGTCGAAGAACCAATGGATATTGAGAAATGGCGTAGAAAGTTCGTAAAGCATGAAGACACAGCCGTAATAGTTGAAAATCGGCCGCTACAAGAATCAGTAAAACACTTACCTTGACAGGGGCAACGTACGAATCCAAGGGTATATGTGATGAGACAGCTTGAGGCATGCACTAGCATACCTAGCCCGAAGACATCGAGATATCTGATCATGACAACCAGGTCAAACAAGAAATAACCGGTAGCCAAGGCCTGTACTAAGGCTGCTGCTCCCGTGTAGCCCCACAACCGCTCTATGAGATTCATATTTCTGCGTTCATCATCCATGACAATCGTCCACAATGCCAGCGCGCATATTGTGCAGCTTGACACCATTGAAGCGCAGTGCATATTCCATCGTAGCTTACTCTCGTACGAAAGCTTAGAGTATCGGTGTGAGAGGAAGAGGCTGGATAAGGGAGGCGCAATGTACTCGAAGATGAGGTGGTAGACACCGAAGGCGAACAATATCTCATGGATATGGGAAGGAAGGCTGCGTAGAGAGAGGTAATCGCAAAGAGGCTTGATCGTCTCCCCGAACACAAAGCTCGAAGCCGGGACGAAGAAGGGGTCATGCATCCTGTCGTGTGCCAATCTGACCGAGAATAGGGACGGCTGAAATCTGCTATCAGAGGATCTGCGGTTGAAACGTCAATGATAGAGCTGATCAGAGGCTTGAAGGGACCTACCAGAAACAACAATTCAGAACTAAGAAGAAAGAAAGATTAGTGAAAGGACGAAGTTGTCACGAATGTAGTTCACAGATGATGATGCGGCCGGACTAAGAAGTGCCGTCCCCGAGTCATTGACTGGGGTAAACATAGATGGCAGGAGCTAAGCACACCTTTTTGCCCGTGTCCTGAAAGCCAAGGAGAATGATGCAACGCCGCTGACCGTGCCCTCTTACCTTATCCATCCAATAGCTACATGAGCTAGAGGTGAGGGAAAAGCTAGGCTAGCTGACCTCGTTAGCTACACTTGAAGCTGCATGGCACTCTGGTGCGGGTGGGAGATCTGATGGATGTGTGTTGGGCACAGTCTGCATTTTGCAGGAACATGGCATTCCTGAGGTACGAGAATGGGGATTCGAACTCTGTACGAGAGTTCGAAAAGCGGATTTCCAAGAAGTCTGTGATTTTCAGGGTCCTGCATCAGACCCCTGTTCCATACTGGTCTAGGCTTGAAGAGGAATGGCCATATTAAGGACAAGCACGTGATGGTTATCCTCTTCATGTTTTCCAGTTGCAACCTTGAAGGTCACAATCCTACTTCGTTTGGAAGCATTATTTCTACTATGCAATGTTTATTTGACTTTGAAGAATTGTGAAAGAGATCAAAACGAGGAAGCAAGTCCCAAAGCTGTGACATTGTGGGGTTGAATCATCCACGCTATTCGGCCCCTGGCAACGCGATAACGCGTCTTCTAAAGTTAGAACAGAAGCCAATCATCAAAATCATTGTTGTTATTGTCCAAACCCTCTAAAACATCATCAAGACCTGGTATGAGTACAGAAAATCATGGCTGGGCTGTCCTCAAGTCTCGCATCAGCAGTTTTCAACGCAAGCGCCCCTGAACTGAAAGATATCCTTCGACAAATCGCCTCGATATCCCCTTTTAACAAGGAGACTGTCTCCTACTTGTTGGAATATTTGCAGTCCGATAAGTGGGACGATTGTTCTGCTTTGAGAGACGTCGTTTTTGGGCTCTGTGAGCAGCTACCGAGCCTCGCAAGTCTTGTTGAGGAAGCCCTGATAGACAATGAAGAAGAGGTGCTCATTGAAAAGGACCTGCTCGAAGACAGCGAAGAACCCGGTTACGAGTCCGCACGGAGCTCTTCTATGGATATACAAGAAGCATCCAGGAAGAGAAAATGGAAATGGAAGATGCATACTGTTCCCAGGTCAGAGTCCAAGAGGACGAGGTCAGCAGACAAGATCATCACGATACATGATATCAATCGCTCTATCGCGACTCCCAAGAGTCGAAGATAGAGCTGGCGCAGCTCTCTCATGCTAGCAACCAGAAAGGAACCGATGTCTATTCCGGTGTTCCAGAACAGAGGATCATTGACGATATTGTTCCTCCATGCTGGTAAGACATCTGCAATATCTCCTCCCTTTACACTTAACTAATCTTTATGATGGTAGAAGCGAAAAGATACTGTTATGCTAAGTACGGGAGCGTTGAATGCGACAACCGGTTCCATTGTGGCTGAATCTCTGGGAAGAAATTTGCCAATAAGGCATCTGGAATATCATGCAAATTCGCAAATTGATGAGAATCAGTGCATAGAAGAGGTCCAAGTGCCTCTATAGTTGCCGTGATGATTGCTGGGGAAACTCCTAGCTTGGATATGGCGAGAAAGAGGTCCTATGTGATGCTTGTCGAGATGAAAAGAAGTGAATCTTGGTGGTTTGCAGTGACTGAGGGTTAGAAATCTGGTTTGTGGAGTATTAGGAGATCATGATGCAGAGAAGGCTTGGGAAAGGGAGGAGGAGTTTGGAGTCCAGGATAATCAGAATCTTGACCCTGACTGTCAACTGTGTTCGGCTTGTCAATTCGAAGAGGGAGCGTTGAGACTTTAGCTGAACTTACTACAATGCTACTCTAAATATATGTTGAGTGGTGACTCTGCTCTTCCGAAATATACTACCAAATGTGGAGTCAGTATGTGCATCTGAAGCCCATAATTTGTCGTGCTCAATAATTGGCGCCTTCCTATCAACATCTTGCGCAGAATGCGCAAATTGCGCGGACAGCGAGGACAGCGCAATTCGGGCGCGCAGCCACATGACCAAAGTCTTCGCTGTATTCCTGTTTGCCCTTATAACAAAATGAGCACGGCATGTTTGAACTTGAGCTTTTATATCTCGAGCCGTAGGATACAAAGACAGGCATCGGTTCTCTGTGCTAATTCATAGCACTATTCTAGCGTGCATAGACCAGGAATGCAAGTAGGAATTGACATCAGGCATGGGTACTCAGATGTGCTGCAGACAAGACTTGACCAGCTACTGTGGAGTCAGGTTTCTGTTCATCAGATTGCTCTTGTCAATGCTTTGCCTCCAAAAGATTCGTTGAGCAAGGCACCCTGGATGTGATCGAAGACTTATTCTCCTTGCCACCATCATGTCGTTGCCAAGCTCACATCTCGTGATATCACCTCATACACCAATACATTATGGAAGACTTCACAAAGGCACGGCATGAAGAAGTGAGGATCTCAAATAGAATCTTTGTATTGATTGGAATCTGTACTCAGATAATGCAGTCCGGTGAACGCCATATGATGCCCATTCCACACCCAAATGCCCAGGTCAATTAAAAGCCCAGGTCCATGATACAAGTATACGCCGCCCAATGCTCAGTCTTTCTGTCTGTATCAGACCATGATCCATCCATCCATGAATGAAGAAACAAATCAGAAATCAGAAATCAGTAATATATGCATACATCCCATGCAACTCGAGCCCAAATTGAGCGAGATCAATGCTTGAATGCTATCTAGCCAAGTCCACATGATGCAGAAACCAAGGAAACTCGCTTTGTAAACGCCAGCAATTAGTTGGGTGAGCTCAAAGTTTGACTGCTCTCTGAACTGCCTCTAGGGCCGCTGTGCTCCTTCTTTTCTTGGCCGTTAACCTCAGGCTTGACAGTAGCTTTCGAGTCTGGCGGGGTGACAGGACGAGGCTTCTTAGACGCTGGTGCCGGAGTCTTTCCACCTGTCTTCTTGGGCTTCTTCTCAAGCTTGGAGGCGTTGCCATTCTTCATCGTATCCTTGGTAACCTTTGACTTAGTCGGCTTCGCTGCTGTCTTGTCCTTTCTCTTTGCCTTCGCAGCTGTACTGCCAAAGTCGCCGTCTCGCCGATCGTCACCATCATCATATTCATCGTCGCTCGCGTGAGTTTCAACGTGATTGAGATTACTGTTGGAGATTTGAGATGAGGTCTTGCTCGTGGAAGGAACTTTAGGCTTGGTCGCTCCATTCCTAGCCTTCTTTGGCTTTTGAGGAGACTCGTCGGAATCGAAATCATCAAGGTCACGCTTGTTGGGGCTGGTTCGGCCTTTGGAGCCATTTGCTGGGGCGGGTGTGGAGTTGCGGCTGCGAGACGAAGTGTAACCGTTGGTCTTCTGAATCTTCTCCATTGCTGCTTTGCTCGAAGTTCGACTGCCGTTTGCGTGCTCTCTTTGAAGATGCCAACCCATCTTCTTGATAGCAATATGTCTTCCGCAGTTTAGAGGACATTTGCTGTGGTTAAGAGGAACTTGTTGGTTTTGATTGTTGGAAGGAGGAGATGGAGCCGGGGAGTCTTGACTGCCGTTCGGGGTAAGTTCCTGTGCCTTATCCTTCTTTCTTCCGTTGCCTCTGCCGGGACCTTTCTGGTCGATTGTATACCGTTGGTTGTAGATATCAGCGGGATGGTTCTTGACATAGACATGCTTCTTGCAGTAAACTGTCTCAGCATCAGGTTCCCTGCTTCCGACACCTTCAGTTGGGTAAGGGAATCGAGGAAGTCGGCAGTTGAGGCAGTAGACGATGGGCACAGCTTCCAGGACTGGTGGGAAAGGCACGTGCTCATCTTGGAGCAGAGAAGTATTGCCATCCACATCGAAGTATGCAGTTTCGGTCTTGATCTTAGCCTGTCCAGCTTGGATGTTGAGGGAGTCGAGTGTAGAGGATGATTCGGGGTCGAGAGCTTTTTGTGCCTTTTCTTCGAGGAGAATGGCAGCAGTATTGCAACGAGCAATTTTCTCTTCGCGGTAGGTGCTCATGAGCAGGTCATGCAGAACATTGTAGAGGCTGTCATCCACGACATTATATGCCTAAGAAATAATTAGCTGGGAACGTTGCAGAGTGGAAATGCAGATTGAGCAGTACCATAGCGTCCAAGGGGCCAGGCTTTTGCTCGTTACCAGGCAGAACGAGTCCATGCTCTGGATGGTTGGCAGCAGCTTCGTCCATTTGACTTTCGACGGATGCTTCGAATTTTTCTTTCGTAGGAGACATGTTGCCGTGGTCCTCTCTGACCAACCGGCCAGTGCGGTGCACAACGCGGATCTTGGTAATTTGCTCTTGAGAGTTCATTGATGGTATCTTTGCAAATGTTTGCAAGGAGGAAAGAGGAGCAAAGAGCCGGATGGCTCATCTTAAATGCTCCTCGGCCGTCAAGGCATTTTTTTTACTATTGTGCGGTGATGCTGTGTCAAGACAATGGTAAGAATTTCGAATTCACTTGAAACCGAGCTGTTCGTGACAATGTTAAGTAAAGCAAGCTTAAATGGATTCTGCCCACTAGCGCTAGGCGGTGAAAGACCCACGCCTCGTCATTTGCATACCATCGAAGTCCGATTATTGCATTTCTGCACTGTATATGAGGATCTATCCTTTCGAACTCGCCAGGGAGTGCAATTTCTGATTGTTGCCGGCATTGCAACATCGTGCTCGACAACCGCCTCACGATGGATGCCAATGGCACACCTAATGCACCGAACACGCGAGCTCAACCTTCAATCCGTTCGTTCTTTCAACCTCGACCACAACCCAGTTACACGGCACCACCAAGTCTTCCCGTGTCCGAACCTGCAACCACACTATCTGGTTCTGTACCCTCCAACAATTCCTCAGACTCGAACTCAAAATCTGCAAGAGCACCTAAGTCAACTCTCCCAAGACAAGCTTCCATCTCTCTCATCTCTCAGTCCCACGTACAACCTCTCCGTCGCATCAACTCTCTCCTTCTTCCTATCCACTATCCCGATTCTTTTTACCACAAGATACTCTCTCCCGACCCACCTATAAGTTTCTCCCGTGTCATCTCATGGACAGACACCGATACAAAAGTAATTGGCGGCATCGTCTGCCGTCTCGACCCCGCATTGGCTTCTGACTCGACCCCCGAATCACCAAAATACGTTCCTAATAGCTATGACATATACATTCAAAGCCTCGCTCTCCTCTCCCCCTATCGAGGCAAAGGCCTAGTAACCGCGGTTCTGAATGTTATCATAGCAGCAGCAACGGCGCAGAGCGAAATCAGGATAGAGAGTTTATATGCACACGTATGGACTGAAAATGAGGAGGGATTGGAGTGGTATTCAGCACGAGGATTCAAGCCTGAAGGAGCAGTTATAAGTGGCTATTATCGACGACTGAAGCCCGATACGGCATACATTTTCAGACGACGACTAACTCCTACCGATCACTTGCAATCAGCATCTCTGCCGACCTTGCAGCACAGTCAAAGTGCACCTACACCAACAGTCTCGAGTTCGAATAGTCCTGCGCCACCGAGTGATGCCTTGAGACCGGGGCCTCCGTCATCTGCGAGGTCGTTCCAGGAACAGGGGCCAGAGAGGGAGTGGAATGACTTACCAGAGGATGTTCTTAGTGCTGCGCTCCTCAAACCGGCTTCGCAGCTGGCGTCGAAAGAGGGAAGCACCACCAGCTCAAGGAGTTCTTCACAAAGTAGGACTGTCAAGGAGAAGAAGAAAAGGGTGTATCCTGCTGCTGCTTTCCAAGGTTGAGTGGAAAGTATGAGTTGGGAAATTCAGCCAGCAAAGTTACCTTTGAGGGAAGCGTCTGAATACAAGGTTGGGGCGTTGAGGGCATACGCAGGCCAGGGAAAAAGGCATGGGCTACGGATCTGGGCATTTCTTGCGTTAGGGTAGAATAGATATAGACGGAGTACAGCTCCTAGCAAATACAAGGTCAAAAGTTCTCAATTAAGACCAAGGAAAAAAGCCACCTGGAATAATGCTGTCTTGATGATTTTCTAAACCATACTGTACACAGAAAATGCCTATGCGTCCTATTTTCTATTCCGGTATGCACGCCAAGATGTGCCCCTCTCGCAAAATGCAAGCAACCCCACACTAGAAAGCTTTTTGTTTTGGCTCCGAAACAGAAAATAAGGCAACATGATGTGCATGTTGCGTGTCCACCTTCTGTTTAGCTTTTGCCTTGGCTTTTCTGTTTTCCTTTCTCTCTTTTTCTGTGCAGCCCCGGCTCTGATCATCCCAGCCCCATTTCGCGTCCTCGCTGTACTCGCTCATCAACTTCAATTCACCCCTATACCATGCTGTTCCCCACAAGCTCATTAGCACACCTGGTACTAAGTACAACAGAGCAGGTTGGCCGTGCTGGAAGATCTGACACACAATTAAGGTGACGATCATTCCAACAACATAACCAATCAGACTAGCTTTGAAGTATACTTTTGGAAATCGTGCACCATCTGCTGGTGAAAGTTTTCCTCCAGCAGCATTTCGAGTCCAGAAACGGTCGCCCCAGACTCCTGTAGCCTCAAGGTATGGCGCTTTCTTAATGACTGTCACCACTTCCTCAGCTTTAGCTTCAGAGGGCGGCTGTAACACTGTTGTCTGCTTGCGAAGATAATGCAGATACAAGTCGAAACGTAAAGCGAGTCCAATCATCATTCCAGGTATGCAGATATCTCCAAGACCAAGTATGCTTCCCTTATTCGGACCAGGAATTACGAGCTTAATAGGTACTTCGAGGGACTTCGCAACCGTCGTCATCATCGGTGTGTAGAAGACCATGATAATATCATAAACGAAAAGACCGCTGAGAATCACGGATCCTATCGTGAATTTCGTTGGTGACATCATTAGCAAAGAACTGTATGAGAAGCCGAATCCCATCAGGTTCGAGAGCCACCAGGCCTTTCCGTTGGTATTGTAGATGAGGATAGCTGCCAGACCAGTTACAAAACCAATCATATCTTGTAAGCGAAGCTTCTCTTTGACATCAACTACGCCTACTAAGAAGTTAGTGATGAAGAATAAGAGCCTCCAATTACGAGCACCATGAGAAATGGTGTGACATGGTCGAAAGTAGTGGTTGATCGAACTGACTGACTGGGAATCACGTACCATGGACGAAGCAACGCATAATCCAGTGCTTTTTGAATGATGCCCGGATGGCCCAAAGTGCTCTCGTGAATACAGGATAGAATTTAACTGTGGAAAGCTGGCCCGGCAGAGGGTTTGTCTTGTCCTGTCCGACCTCGTCACTTATGTTGATCCTGCCTTCATCGAATTTACCAATGAGTTGCCGAGAAGTGTCAGAATCCACATAGAAGGTCTTTTTCCCATTTGACCAAGCGTTTGGGAAAATGAAGGATACTAAAAGGTTAAGACCATCACTTATGAACTTTGCGACGACGAATACACCCGCGACTGGACAAAGTCAGTTGGGCTGATTGATGAAGTGACACGTGCCACATGGAGCACTTACATGAGAAGTAGACTGTCAAAATCGTGTTCAAAAGCTTTGCATCTCCCATCCATTTGATAATCAAGTAAAATGTTGCTAGAACAATGCCAGCTGTCACAGGAAACATAATAGCATCTGAAAGAGTAAGACCTTCAACCATGGGCTGGACATCGAGTTCGTCGTCATCTTCCGCCTCGACTTTCGGTGGCTTCGCAGCAGAGGGCGGTTGTTGCAGTGAAGCGTGTGCACCAGTGATTATGGGAAATATTGAGGAAAGAATAAGATGTAGATACATCGAGTACATCCCGACTTTGTGTCGCTCTTCGTAGATCTTGTAGGCCCATCTTCCGATAAATTGAAGAGCTGGACTATTACCGTCTTCGAGAAGCCGGAGATAGCTCAGAAGAGTGCCCATCGCTGCTGAATCGTTCATGATACTGCCTTGTACCGTGGTGATTCTCGATTGAGTATGCTGTGTCGATCCGAGAACTGCCAGGTTCTGTATTCGAACCAAAAGTCATCGACAATCCATGAGAATATCGAATCGCGCTCTTCTCTCATTCACGTGAAGCTGTGACTCTAAAGAAGCAGAAAATCAAAGAAGCGGAGTATTCATTGGTAAGGTGGCTCAAAGAAAACAAAGCAAAAAGCTGCTCCATGACCGACAGGGATGTTGACGCGAGGCCAGAGGAACGGTTTCTCAGCCTCGTCAAGACTTTGCCAAACATCAACAAAGCTTGAAATTTTCCTGGACCTTTTGAACATAACGACACAACGAATACAAAAGCGTTTCATCTGATACACTGACTCTATATTTGGACACTGAAGCTTCCTTGATCCACGAATACACTGAAAGCCCCAGTGGATAAGTTCCAGTGCACGGCAAGTTCTCAAGATGGCGACCAACATTGCATTAGAAACGACGATGGTATGCAATGACAGTCATTTATATCGACATTCTTTAACAGTATATTAGGGCACAATAATAGTTGAGCTTTATAATGATCATGCGCCCAAGGTACGACACCATTTGCCCTACTCTTCTCTCCTACCAATCCCACTAATCCCTCCATAGACCTGCAAAAACTTCAGCACACTCACCCAACGAGGTTACTATTCCGATATTCTCTTTCATCGAATAATACCCAACTTCATGCTGCAGACTGGCGACCCTACTGGTACTGGCAGAGGCGGAACTTCAATCTATGGTGACAAATTCGAGGACGAGATTTCAACCTCCTTGAAGCATACGGGAGCAGGCATATTGAGCATGGCGAATAGTGGACCAAATACCAATGGAAGTCAATTTTTTATTACGTTGGCGCCAACGCCTTGGCTGGATGGGAAGCATACAATATTTGGGCGAGTTACGAGAGGAATGGGAGTTGTGAAGAGGATGGGCTTGGTTAGGACTGGGGCAGATGACAGACCTGCGGAGGAGGTGAAGATTGTCAGTGCTAGAATATTAGAAGGGGATGCGGATGCGGTCTGAGGAGCACCCTGGGGTCATCGTTGCAGGAACAAAACGAAGAGAATCCCCCGAAGTTACATTCTGTGGAGAGCGGAGCGGGCCCATGCACGAATATCTGCCAGACGACCGCGAGACTCGCACCAAAGGAGGTAGGAAAAGTAGGACGAGTCGTCCATCAGAAATTGCTTTCCACAATCTACAGCCTATAAAACGCCTGCTCAATCCAATCATACATCATGACCCTCTGAATATATACTGCTACATCAGAGAACCTCGTTTGGTAGCCTCCAAGCCATGAGGTCTTCTCGAACATCGAACTCATCAACCTCGTGAGGTTTCCTAAAACCAGTTCTCCCTCTTTCGGAAGAATTCTCAGAACTACCATGTTCTGGACTATCTGTTTGAGCGGCGCCTAGATCACGGCTCTGTGAATGCTTATGTCCCAATCTCACCGTCTTGCCTGTGATTGTGCTCTGAGATTGTGAGCTCTTGAGGCTTATACCAGAAGCAGTCCTGTGATGGTGGTGCCGATGTCGATGTTCGTCGCTGGCACTATCCTCGTGTGTTATCTTAGGTTTGCCACCAATATGCTCGTTCTTCCAGCCATTTCCTCCATTGAAGATGTCTTCGATGCACTGATCCGCAGATAGCTCGTGGTGATGTGCTGACCACTTTGCAGCTAATGCTCTTCTATACATATCCTGCAGTTCGCCATGATCTCTCGATTTGCTTATCGTAGGCATGTCTAGAATAGTTTAGTAACCTCCAAACGTGCAGTGGTACAGACTTACGTCCAACATCATCTTGCTCTGCCTGTTCGCCTGCCATTATGCCAGCTATTCCACCAAATACAGGCGCTGTTTTGAGTGGGGGGGCAATATAATTTCTTTCCCCGTCCAACTGCCTCATGAGAATGCTTATCTTCAATGTGCTGTTGATTTTGCTGTCCTGCATCAGATACCTCCGCGTAACGCCTTCTTCTCCATCAGCACCCATCTCACTCTCCTCCACATATTCGGAAAGATTGAGGTTGATATAGCCCAATGTAATCTTCTCCCCCCTCACTCCGGAGCTATAATCTTGCACGACTTCGAAATGGATCATGCATTCTTGCAGATTGTTCGATTTATCGATCGTGAGCCGTACAGGAATCGTCTTTTCGTAATCCCATGAGACTTTGTGCTCTATTATAGGTGCGCGCTCTGTTCGTCCTCGATGTTCGGCAGAGGTCGAGTGGGGGAAGTGCCATTTGATGTAAGAAGTGCCCGTCACCAGTGGGACATTATTGAGGTCGAAAATCTGTTTCGATCAGGATCGGCATGCGCGGAGAGACATATGGAGCATACTCTAAGTACCAATTCGAACTTTGGCTGCGCATCTGTCAGTTTCTGCTTGTGTAGTACTGCCGGCGCATTGCAGGAGGATTACGAACCCGTCGAGCTTTCGATACTAACAATTTAGAAAACATCGTCAGTGATTTTCTGGCGAGTATTTAATGGGGGAGAACTTACTTAATGGATTCATGCTGTACTACAGCTAGTCAGGAATGCAGCACAAAGCAAATGCAGTTACGATTGAGTAGATGTCTCATTGTTGTTTCCTTGCAGGAACATTCGGAGGACAAGGCTGAGGATGACGTTTCGGTCTCGGATCGGCTAGCTTCGGAGAAAACCCAGCCTCCTTTTCGGGCTTCAGCCTTCTCCGGACTACATCTTCTACGAAAATGGACAACTTTGGGGATGGCATTGCCAAAGCCGTCTTGGAGAACTTCGAAACATGGGAGCGAAAGAGAAAACCTTTAGATAGAAGCTCACAAAAAGATGAAGGACTCAGCGAAAAGACAAAACCACGGGAGTGGGTTCCGTTGAGTGGCATTGTAGCTCAAAGTTAGGTGTCCGGTCGGTATCATACATCAAATGTCTAATCTTGAGCTCAGGAAATGACAAAATCTCATGTGTAGCTGCAGCGTGAGTATAAGATCATATATCCATATTCATGCTCACGATATCAGTACCGGCATGAAATGTCTGCCAAAAGATAAAGTCTCAAAAGCTCAGGGCATAGTAGTCCATGACTGGCATGCTGAGATTCTTACAATCCGCTCTCTAAATCGATTCTTGCTCGAAGAATGCCTCGACTTGGCTTTATCTCGGAAAGCTTTCTCGGAGTATGTCAGATTTAGAAGTGATGAAGAGAAGACTGAAACACATTTTCAGCCATTCGCTTTGCAAGATGGCACGCAACTGCACATGTATTGCTCTGAAGCTCCTTGTACAAAACTCTACATTCTTATCATATTATATCATGCTTACATTGAGATAGGCGGAGACGCGAGTATGGAGATCACTATGGCAGCACAGGAGGACTCCACTCCATGGGCCCACCCACCTTCACTAATTTCAGGAGACGATGAAAATACTCTTCATGGAAGAGGGTACTTTTCAGCGCTTGGTGCCGTTCGACGCAAACCTTCTCGGCCTGATGCTCCACCAACACTGTCCAAGTCTTGCTCGGACAAGCTTTCTGCCAAGCAGTCTACTTCTCTGCTATCTTCCGTCACCTCACTTCTCATATCCCCTCAGAATTGCTATCTTCAGAGTCTTACCCTTCCCGAATCTCAGTACTCGGAAGTGGCTTGTACCCGAGCTTTCTCTTCAATTGGAAGACTTGCTCCACTTCATGGCAAAGATTGGGGTGACGGGTACTCTTTCAGACCCTTCAAGATTCTCACCACCTCCAGCGAGTTTGGGTATAGTAGACGACAAGCTCTTGGATCAAGAGAAGCTTTGGTTCCGTCCAACATTGCTAGTCTCTGGACTCCAAGAACCAGTGAGACCATCATAGGGGGAACGCAACAAGGACGAAAGCAGTTCTCAATCAAAGGAGCAAGTCAAGTCTCCAAACGTCGAATGTGGGTGTTGGCCGTGGCTATTGCCAATGAATTGTACTTATCATCCCCAGCTATCTTAAGTTCTCTGAAAGTGGAAAAGTACATCGAGGTCAAGAACGGAGAGTTGCTGAAGAAAAGGAAAGAGGTCAAAGAAGATGTTCGGAGCACATTGAAAGGCTGGCAACGGAACAACGACGATGAATCTTGGAAAGACACTGAAGTGAATGTGTGACCTGGTGAAGGACAATTCGATATTAGAAGTGTTGGATCCAAGACGGTTTGCCAGCACTAGTGGGTATGCGCTAGCGCGAAATCAACCTTTTTCACACGTATCTCGGGCTCTTGATCGCGAGCTCTTGATCATGTCGCGAAGTTGATCGATTGCGAAGCAATTTCTTTCTAACAAACGCAACCACCACCTTTGATCACCAACCACAACCCTCCAATCGTACCTCACGCTGCTATTTCAACCAGCAACACATATTTTGGCCAGATAAAGACGTCCATCCACACAATTCGGTTTCACTGCCGCCCGCACCTCCCTCTACAACCTATTTCGACACTCGAAATCGATCGATAGGCAATCCCTCGACGAATTGGGCGTCTATCATACAGAGAGATCATGGCTACGAATGAGACAGCAATCACAGCCACCTCCAAGTCCGAATCATCACAGCCCGCTAACTTGGATGTTGCGACACATGGCTTGGAATTCACCCTTTTCCCAAAGCTTTCCCCAGAACTTCAATTGATAGTGGTAAGCAGTAAACCCTTTGTTTCTCAACCTCGTTCTCGATTTTGGTATACTGTAAGCATTCGAATAAGATAACATGGTTTGAGAGTTTGTAAGATCATATAAGTGGATTGTGTCCCAAGGATCAAAGAATTTGCTTTCCCCACTTGTATTGTCACATAAGCCCTGGAACAACGTTATATTATGCTCTCATCCTTATGGTATTGGATTTTGAGGCCCACATTCTACGGGTCTTATTCTTATGGAAAACTCTCATACAGATTTTTTGTGGTGGGAATCTGCAGTTCCCGGATCTCAAATCATTCAAATTCAAGTCTGCGTTCAGAACACCTCCAAATCCGACCTGGAACCTAAGGACTCGAATCCTGATCCATGGACTTTCCGCATCAATACTCGACCATGCGGTCTACTTCGAGCCTGTCATACTTCACGCAAAGTCTGGATGAGAACGCATCATTCGAGCATTCCCCTTCAGAACGACCAAAAATTGTTTTTCGATGCCGAATGCGATATAATCTATCTCATTAATCTTACCGATATTCCCTTCGGTAAAATAGATAGGTTTCGAATCTGCCCACTGTTCAGTCCTCCGATTGTAGCGCCCAGATCGCGGGAGAGATTCTCTGCAGTCAAGAAGTTAGCCATTCCTCTGCTTCAGTACTTGGACTTATTCAGCAATTGCGACATGTTCGAATTCCTTCATAACTTCAAGTCACTTGATACCCTACATTTCATCCTCCCTTCTCAAGGACAAAGCCAAGATTCCCTATTCAACAACGAAGGATTGCGGTTTGAATCACGCGCAGGTGCAGAAGCAGTATTGGGAACCAAAATCAAAGAGAAGGCTTACCAGAAATGGTCGGATGCACACCTGGCGTATTTGGCCGATTACAAAAAGCGATTTCAAGTCGATTGGAATCTTCCAAAGATAGAGCCGATGTACGGGGTCGCAAGGACGTAGAAGTGGTGAGGTGAAGGACTTTGCATATGGCGGCGGCTGCCAGCGGGCAAGCTAGACCATGGTGAAGTACATCAAGGAGCAAATGCTTTGTTTATGTTCTGTCCAAGTCACTGGAAGCTGTTGGTCCGATACTGGCCAGACGAGGGAATCATCAAAGAAAACCTTGTTACACAACTAAGGTCTTTCACAAAGCCACTTTTGCCACTAAGCAACACTTGTAAGCCGGTCCAGAATCGTGCAAGTTTGGATTGGCCTCAGTACTGACTCCATCTAGAGCTTTCACATACCACTTCACCAAAATCAACTTTGCAGGGCTGGATTCTTTTTCTTCACATCCGCTGTGGGCATGGCCTTTTCACTCTAGCAGAAAGTAATGCATTCCTGAATAAAACTCTGTGCCACTCACAATTTTCGTGAAATACTTGTATACAAGTGATTTGCCGCTTAATCACCTTTATTAACTCAATTCTCGCGAGCCATAACCATTGTGTGAAGACAAATGCCTTTCGGGCTATATTCAGAAGCAGATGCCGATTTCTGACATCACTCTCATAAATCCGCTCTCCTTAACCAACCTCGCTTCGCTAAGCGAGAATCACAAGTCGACCCCTCATGGAATTCAAGCTAAGATTTTGCCGCACATGCTTCAGCGCTAAGTCTTAGGAGCTTCCTATCTCAAAGTATGTGGTAAAAATGAAGGGTGATGTAATTTCATGAAGAATATGTTGGATCATGCGAGCCTGCAATCTGGCTTGAGCGTTCTGCAGGGAGAGCCGACAGAGAAATACTTCAGTGGATTTTGCTTGATTTTACAGAAATCATTAAAAGCTAAATAGAGTTCGAAATGTTTTGATGATAAACAGTGAGGCAGATTCACATTCACTACAGTGTATCCCGTTCATCATATGCTAGTCCGCTAGAAAGGTGGAGACATGCTACATTGATTCAATTTGCACAGACAAAACGTGCATAAAGACCTAAAGCCCCTCAAAATGTGAGTGCTTCAAAGTAGTATGACTTCTCCCCTATTCGAATTAAAGTATATAATCGAGTGGCAAGAGACTTTCATAGGGTCAAGGGGGTACACTGTAGAAAGTCACAATCGAAGAGCGCTACAGTGTAAAGCCTTGCTTGAAGTCACTATCAATACAAAAAGATATCAAAATTGTGCGCACTCCTCACCACCAAGCATCCTCATCGATGTAGATTGCTCCTTCTCCGGTGTTGTACAACATCTTAATTTCGGGAACTATCCACTCAGGATGGTTTGCCTTGATGTTGCTAAAAATTTGTCAACAATCTGCCAAAATGCTGTCATGCAAACTCTTCAGAGGATACCAGCTATCAAGTGTCTCTCCGTGCGCCCCAAAGGCTGCTTCGATACCCTCCCAACGCAAAGGTTCATTGTTGCTAGCCTTTGACTTGAATGTAAAATCGGGCTCATAGTCGGTAAAGCCAATGAGGATAAGAGTTTGGACTGATGGGAATCGGGAAGGAAACAGGTCTAACAATTCGGACTCGGCCTGGAAACATGGGAGTGCCAAAGTTTTGATACCCGCAAATCTTCCATCGCTTCCAAGTCCGTGATTCCCGAAGACCTCGAAGTCACAGACGACGAGAAGAATGATATCGGTATCGGTGTCGAAGTACAGTGTTTGTTTTCCCTCTAAATCCATCTTGATGCTCGACTTGTACGTCTTCAATAGTTCGTCGCGGGAGATCTTGCATGTTTCAAGCAAAGCAGATAATTGAAGGGGGCTGGCATATTGACTCAATATACCGGAGGTGTCGACATGAGTATTATCGCGAGTTGCTTCAGTATTGGTAGTTTCTGGGCCCTCAATAAGACCAGCGTAGACTTTTATGATTCGCGGTGCCGGGATGGCAAACTTCCAGATTCTGAGCTGCAGCTCCATCGGTAGGCTCCCAAATTGCTTGAATGCTCGAGTATCTTCAGCGTGGTCTGCCATCACAATGATTGTGTTGTGCGCAGGAGATACGCTTATAGTTGTCCATGTGTCGTTGTGTATGTATCGTTGGGTAAGATGGTGTCGTTGTATGGTGTCGTCTTAGACGTATCATCGGGTAGGATGGTGTCCAAAGTCGAAACGTGTATTTGTTTGTTGAACGAGCTAAAAAGTCTTTGAATTTAAATACACAAAAATGCTCTGATCCTAATAAGCGGCGCTAGTAAGTGATCCCAGAGCGAGAGACTAGCGCGACAACAGCTTCTTTTATTTGTGTTATGCGCAAGAGATACAGTTACAATTGCCGATGTGTCGTTGTAAATTTATCGTCGGGTAAGATGGTATTGAAAGTTGAAACATGTATTTGTTTGTTGAAAGAGATGTAGAGTTTTTGATAATAAATATTTAAAATACCTTGGTCTTAGGTAGCATGAGTAGGCAATCCCAGAGAAAGAGACTAGCGCGACAATAGCCTCTTTCATATGTGCGACTACATGGCGTTAAAGTATAATCATTGACTTAATATTATTTCTTATTCAATATAGAACGCTATTTCTCATGGACCAATATTGAGCACACTTTGCCTAATATAATCTGTGGAGGAAGTCTTCGAGCACCTCTCTATGATATATAGAGACTTGAGCTGCTGCTTTAGCGCAAAACTCAGACTCAAAAGCAGACTTTTGTTGCGCATCGCATAGACTATCGCTCCTTCCCAAGCAGGGTGAGATGAAAGGCGATAGCTTTAGGTATGTTCTGAAGCATCAACCCTCCACTGAGCCTCAAAGGAGTGTCAGCCATCAGCTAAGGAATTAGGTGATTGAGCATTGCCCCCAGAGCAGATGATAGTCATGGCAAATCTTTGTTGCGCATCGCACCCGCAAAAGCTCCTTCCTCAAGCTTCAATGTCAAAGCAAAACAAACTTTTGTTGCAAATCGCTCTGGCGGAAGCTCCTTCCTGATTGATATCAACAACGCAAACTGAAAAACCAAAATTGAGAACAGCAGATCGCTCAGATGCAAAGCCAGGAAAATAAGTTGCGACAACAACCGACCACTTTAGCCACCCATATGTCGTGACATGATCCTAGCGCTTTACTTATGCTTAAGTTAGGGCTGGTTTCCGTTCGAACAAAAGAGAGCCTGAGATGATAAATTGCGATCATGTTTGGCCACTTGAACCACTCACATTTCGTGACACGACGGTAGCGCTTTACTTTTGCTCAAGTCAAAAACGGTTTCAATTGGAAGACAAAGCCAGCAGTCCCTACCCGGTAACGCCCCTCCCCACACTCCGAAACTCCCAGGACATTCTGCCTCAAATACGAGGCGGAATTGGCAGCAAAACCACCAACACCACTACCCCACACAAGATCCCAAACCACAACGCCTGTCCCACCAAAACCACTTCTCCGTATCGGAGACGAGCATCCTGGATTGGTCCATCCTTGTCGAACCACTTCCGGACCAGGAAGCGGCGATTGTACTGGCTGGGCCAGTTGATGTCACCACTCGCTGGTGGGAAATTGTCCGGATGAATGCGAGACAATCGAGTCTCGTTGTTTGCCTGGATGCTCCAGGGCTTGAGATGGTAATGTCCTAGTGGGTATAGGACAACGGAGAGACGGCAGACGGCAGCAAAGAGGAGGGCGGCACCCAATGCTACCGGAAGAAAGCCAAGGGCACGCCAGGCCCGGTTGTGCTTGCTTAAGGCAAACAATATACCCCAGCAAAGTCCTGCGAGAACAAGGGACACCCCAATGACGTGGGCTCCCACCAATTTAGTCTTGTTGGTAACTGGATTGGATACTTTGACAAACTCGGTATAGTGCTTGCGTAGCACTTCGTTTGCATAGTCGACGGCAAGCCGAAAGGCGGAAGGGTGAATGCTTCGACCCAGAGCGTATAGAAGGACGTCTCTGGTCCGGCTATCGAGATTCAGTTCTTGCTTGCCCCCCTGGACAATGAAGGTCTTCTTGATGTAGTCAACTTCCTCGCGCAGACGTTCAACTGTACAATATCAGTAGCCATTCAGAAGATTATTGAGGAGATAATCTACCAGTCGTTCTTGGAGAATAGGATTCGTCACGCTGAAATGCTTGTATGACCGGTGTTGGAATGCTCGAGTCCTCGAAACCCATGGTGGTGCCACCGGACTTTGCTCTTGCAGCAGCAGCAACATATTTTTTTGCGTTGTTCTCATCCTGGGCACTGAATGGGGTGCTGAAAGCTGATTTGTCATCGACAGCCTCGAACAACTTCTTGTAATACTCGAAGCAGACGGAGAACTCGAGGTGCTCGCTGTCATTCGCCGTTACCAAATGGGCCATAAAGTCAACCTTTGTAAGAGGCTAGAAATCCACAAGTTAGCTGTCAAAGAAGATTAAATACACGATTCAGGAGAAAGAGGTGAGCATACTGGGAGTGTGGAGCCTGCCATCATTTTTTCAAAACAAATGACTTCGGAGATCGTCTTAGAGGTGAGTCTGGAATTGCTCTTGGCGTGGTTCATGATGTCCTGGAGATTCTCGTGGGAAACAAAAGTCTCTGGTCGACGGAAAAGTGCAACACTGACCACAGTTCTGCAGAAAGACGGTTCGGTGGAAGGCATGGAAGTCATGTTGGGGTTTGTGATTGAACGATATGGAGGCTCTTTGAATGTGTGGAAGCTCTTGGGCGTGTGAAGACTCTTGAATGTGTAATTGCTCTTGGACGTGTGAAGACTCTTGGACGTGTGAAGGCCTTTGAATGCGTGAAGGTTCTTGAATGTGTGACGACTCTTGAATTTGTAAAAGCTCTTGGACGTTTGAAGGCTTCTGGATGTATGGAGGCTGCTGAAACCTGTAGCTTATCGTAGTCGGTGTAGATCGATTGAGTACTTTGGAGATCTTAATGAGAGAGTTGTGAAAACGAAGAGTCGATATAGATCGAATGGAGTAGCTCGCTTCGTTACCATTGCGAGCTTGGGAGATAAGCGAGACCATTGTTCACTTAGAAACCGATCTCCCTTATTCTTCACACTTAAAACCCATAATCGACTGAAAGGCTCATGACTCGAGAAGAAAAGATAATGGGAAACATCTTAGGTTTTTGGAAAATGCCATCATGTTGCATGGCTACCATGCCGAGAGAATGCCGAGCTCTAGGTAACAGAAGGGTGGACGACCACATCTTGTCCCTCTGTGGCGTTTCGTGATACAGCGTTCGTCTCAATTGACAACCACGAGTACCCAGGGATTCGGACGCACGCATCGATATCAGGCCACGAGCTTTGGATCGTCCCAAATTCGAGGATGATGCCACACACAAAAGCGTGTGAAGCCCCTCGATCTAAGCATCAGATGACAGTTCTGAACATTTCGAGAATGTTGACTCATGCAAGAGGTTGAGATATCGAGATTTTGAGAAGAGAGGAAGGTTCTGTAATCGTTAGAATGCGTCACAATACTATAATAGGAAAGGTAAATTACCTTCTGTCCAAGTCAGGAAGTCTCCCACGAGATCGAGAGGTCCTAGAATAGCTGTCGCTCGTCTCTTTCGACATCTAAAATGTAGAAAAATATCATGATCGGTGCTGTGCTGAGTAGCGACATGCCACTCTCGATGTCAGTCATGTAGTCTTAAAGAAGCTTCCACAATTCCACCATCAGACTTCAGTCCGAGACATCGTGACCAGGACTCGGCAGCTATACTTCATTAGTCTAAGCACGTCGAGATGGTGAGGCTGGAGTGGTAACACAGGTGTAGAACTTGCATAAAGTATTTGGAAGACAGCCAGAGCCAGCAAGCAAGCGCGGAAAGTCACGAACTGCTGCGGTCAACAATGGAAGGGAAGTGGTCTCGAATCACTGACCATGTTCTGAGCACAAAGCCAACGTGCGAGAATGTTCTGGATGATCTTGCGACTGTCGCCGCAGAAACTAGTTTGACAGGACTACTAGTCAGCGATTAGTCGTCGTTGGAACTTTCCTCCGGATTTGACAAGACGCTAGGACCGAATAGAACTGGAGTGCCAGAGACCCTAGTGCTGGATGGGGGCGAAGTTGCAAAGTGATGATTTTCTTTGCTCAATTATGGTCGCACGAGATGTTGATCGATGCTCCGCCAAGCGATGGTTCGGGTCTTTGCAGACTAGGCGAATGCTCTCAGTCATTGACTCAAAACTTTTGGGCCTCGAGTCATTTCCTCATTGTGCTGATCTTTTTTGCAAAAGGAGACCTCACACAATCTCATATCGTAGTTCTAATTCCAATGTTGTCCTTGACAACATCTTGATGTGTGCTGCCTGGAAAAGTCCTACTAGCCGTAGGAGATGAATGGCAGAGTGATCTCGTGGAAATCGCATGGCGGAACGGTTGTGTGAAAGTATTGTGAAATTGTCCAACGCTTGTATATTACATTCATATCCTCGTTCCCGTTGTGTACTCACCCAGATTGTTCGATGACACCAATCCAAGATATTCCTCACCACGATGATCATGTCCACGCAACGTTCCATTCGGTAGTCGAGGACAATAGAAAATTCTCACCAATGCTTTTCTGAGATGTCGACAGTGTTGACATCAACCCCGTCCTTGTACCATCTCTCCTGTTCGGAGATTTTAACATCGTTGCCACTCATTTGCCTCTTTCTCATGCGTCCATCCTCAGCGAACGTCCAGTCTTCAAGACCGTAGCACCTCCACCATTGACCAGTAGTGTCATAAAACTCGTACCAGAATTGGACGGCAATCTGAAAACGAAGTCAGTGGTTGCACAACTACGTTTGTAAGTGGAGTGACTCACTTTATTTTCTGTGAAAGAAAATAGTTCCTTTCTAAGTCGATAACCGTTCTCTCTTTCCCACTTCTTTGTCAAGAATTCCACAATCTCATCTGTACCCCTGATGAAGGTATCCCTGTTTCGCCAGATGGAATCAGAGGTATAACCATTCTTCACCTTGTGAGGATCTCTGGTATTCCACATATCTTGAGCAGCTTTGACTTTGATCTGAGCTGTCTCAAGTGTGAAGGGTGGAAATGGAGGTTTCCCCGCATCGGTTTGTGCTGAGGCCATAGTTCTTGTCTGTAGGAAACTCCGTTTGTGGTGTGAAAGTGTTGTCCAAGACTTTGTTGCTGATGAGACAGCAGAATAGCTCGGTAATGTTCTTTTATAGAGCATTTTGAATGCTTTGGTATTCACTGACAGCGAGAAATCTCCGGTTCTGACAGTCTACGCCTTTCGATTCACGCTTTCGAGTCAGAAGGGAAGGTACCTCGACGACTCGATGCTTCTCCGCGGATTGAGTGACAGCCCGCTCTTAAGGACTTCCTCAGTTACCACACGAAGACTCCACCTGTCACTATGCTCATGTATCTCATAAGCATCTGCACCTCCGGATCATCGTTTACAGGGACACAAATCCCGAGTCGTGAAGAGTTTAACGAGCCAGCCGAAAATCCCGATCACGTTCTGTTGCTGACTTTGCATCGAAGTTCCAGAGATGTTCTAGAGTGCTGTTGTAGTCAGCCAATGAATTAATGACGCCATAGCGGGGGCATTCGGGGCTTTACATTTCTCATCGGTCGCTCCCGAGACAGTGAGTGAGAGGTGTTTCAAGATTGCAAATAATCTCTCGCATCTTGCAATGTCACACAACCTTTGCTTACTGAAAAGCAAATAATGGCCCGAGTTGGCCAATGGCAGTCTATTGTACAATAGACTGATCGTATCTTGTGTAAAAAAGGATTGCGGCGTGGCGAATGAAGTGGTAGTTTTCGTTTAGTCAGGAACAGTCGGTAGACGTGCCTAGACTTCGACCCTACTATTTAGAAAGCTCAGGGTCTCCCATAGCTCCAACAATTCACTTCTATCGTGAAAATATCTTCGCTATAAATCGACTCCTTTCATCAATCAGTTTTCTACTCAATCACTCTCAGCAACTCGAATCAACATATCTCAAGTAATAATGGCAGGAATCAAAGTCGGCGACAGTTTCCCAAGCGGGGTAGTCTTCAGCTACATCCCATACACTGCCGAAGCTGCTGGAATCACATCCTGTGGTATTCCCATCAATTACGATGCTAGCAAAGGTTCGTAAGCTTGCGTTTCTTTTTTCTCGTCTTCCTATTAGTAGCTACCTTCTTCTCACTCTGGGCTTATTCACCACGCCGCATTGCATGGAAATGCCCGAACCCCACCAACTCCAGCTATCGTTGCTCCGCAGACTCGGTGTTCGCATGCTAACGGCTTCTGAATAGAATGGGCAAATAAGAAAGTCGTCCTCTTTTCCGTCCCAGGTGCCTTCACCCCAGGCTGCTCCGCGAAACATCTCCCTGGCTATATCGAGAACCTGGCTGCATTGAAGAGCAAGGGCGTTGATGTCGTGGCTGTGATTGCATACAACGATGCCTTCGTCATGAGTGCGTGGGGAAAGGCCAACAACATCAAGGGTGATGATATCGTACGTTCCTTCCTTTCGACTACTAGCTCGGGTTTCCCACTTGCCTCCTGCCTCTTTTCCCAATCCCATCACAAGAAGTCAGGAACAGTAGCTAATTTGTGCGTCTACAGCTCTTCCTCTCAGATGTCGGTACAGAATTCTCCAAGAAGCTCGGCTGGACCATGGGCGAGCGTACCGCACGATATGCCCTGATCATCGACAACGGCAAGATCACATATGCGGAGAAGGAGCCTGGACGTGAGGTCAGCGTCAGCAGTGCAGAGGCTGTTCTTGCTAAGCTCTAGAGAAAATTGGGAGAAAGGATATAGAGTAGACTGCGATACTTTTGCTTTGAGCCAGTTCTTGAGATCCCCGCTCCGTTAGCTAGATTAGATCAACGATAGGATGATTTTACGACATTTTGAGTTCTTACCTTGTGGGTTAGAGGCTGTAAATTTCGTCTCGGGTCGAAATTATCTTTCGTACTGAGGCTTAGAGTGACTTGAATGGTGTCTATGGTGTCTGCAAGAACGCTCACGAGAAATAGGTCTTGGTCTGGCGAAAGGCTTTCGTGTGTATAAAGTTATATATAGAGAAAAAGAGACACAGAGACTAGTGTTCTTCTCCGGATATGATAATTCTTGAAACGATGTTCGTCCATTTACCACGGCATTTCATGTACCTGGCCTATACCAATGATCACTTTCCAAGCGCACATCTTTCCCTCTGCTCGATACACAATCTAAAACAAAATGAAATAAGACGGCATTCAGTCTTCTCCAACACAAAAAGCACGTCTGCACCTGTTCACTACCCCTCACTTCTTCAGCGGCAACATCTCCACCTCCGGCCCCAGCGGGACAATCGTCCTTCTACTCGCCTTCGTATACCCCTTCTTAATCGCATCAAAATACGTACTCTTCCTAAAAGCCCCCCTCGTAGCCTCACTCTCATCCCAATACAACCTCTCATACCACTCCTGAATCCTGGGGTAATCATGACGGATCATCTTCAAATTACACATGAAAAGCGTGTGATACCCGACATCGAATCTCGCTATGGTAGGATAGAGTCGAATATCCGCTTCCGTGATATGTTCTCCAAAGAGATACGGGCCGTGGGAAGAAAGATGCGTTTCGATGCGGTCTAGAGCTGAGAAGAGGACGCGGACGTTGGTTTCGTAGGCTTCTTGCGTGACTGCGAAGCCGGTCTTGTAGACGCCGTTGTTGATCTGATCGTAGACCCAGGTGTTCATTTCATCGATTTCCTTCAGTAAATTCTTTGGCAAGAATCCCCCGTTGGGCTTTGAACTCTCTCGTAAGCTTTCAGGAAGCAGAGAATCAAATTCCGAGTAAAACATTCTGATGATTTCAGAGGATTCATTGGAGACAATTGTTTCTTTCTTTTTGTCCCAGAGAATAGGAACTGTGTAGCGAGCGCTGTATGACGGCTCGGCTTTGAAGTAGAGCTGGGAGAGACGTGCGAACCCATAGAGGGGGTCGACAGGATCGGTGCCATCGCGGCCGGTGAAGGACCACCCTTCCGGGAAGAGTTCCCAGTCTAGGACGACCATTTGGATGATATCTTCAAGTCCTTTTAGAGACCTCACGAGATTTGCTCGACTGGCCCAAGGACAGCCATAGTTGATGTACAACACCTATATCTAAGTTAGATTGAGGAAATCTTAATGGTATGCATATGAGTTTACGTAGCGATCTTTCTCAGGAGGAAATTCAGCTCCTGGTTTGGACGAAATTGATGATCTGAATGATGAAACTTGACGATCGAATGTCCCATTTTTAACTGGCAATTTGGAGAGATCGTCCATCTTGTTCGCTGCTGTTGTTGCCATGATGCTGAACAAGCGCAAGTTATTTTGTAAACGTCTCTAAGTAGTTTAATACATAGGAAGAGAAGTGCAAAGTAAGTACTTCGTGAGGCCAGACAGGGCTTGATATATCAACTTGAATGAGCACCAGCTTCGATATTCCCGTCAATGATTCTGATGAAATCAGAAGGAGGTACTGTGATTGGTTGTGAACTGCGTATCGCGATCTCATGGTGGAGCGGGGTTGTGCTAAAAGTAAGCTTTGCTTAGCAATATGCAGATGCTGACTAATAATGGGATTCGGCGCTCATATGAGATCCAAGTAGCAGATTTCCATTCAGGCTTCGATCCTTTTCATGGCCCTTAATTCAAGGTCGGTGAAAGAGTCTATCTGTAAAATTCAGGGCTGTAGTGCCCGGATGATGTGTCCGTGATGAAGGATTGAATACGTCCTGAAAGATGGACATTTGTTGCTGTTAAAATTAAAAGTACAGCAACCAGTAAATAAGATCTGATTGCCCATCTAAAAAAATCACGGGCCGGGTAGTTGTATAAGTTTGAGGAGAATGAAATTGAGCAAGACATGCCCGGCAGATTAAATTCCAGCTAGTGTAGTTGGCATTGATCAACTCGAATCGACCATAGTGTTCATGGTTTTGATGGATTGATAGCATCGGTTTTGATGGATGAAGTATACCGGTGAGCTCGCTTTTGGCTTTAATAATTCCAGCATCAGTCACCGCTCTATATATGCCATTTCAGTTACTAATAGACTCTGTTGCGAAGAACCATGCATCGTCAAAGGAAAGAATTGTGTGAAGAGCTATTCCGGGAGTACAATTTCAGGTGCTTTGATGATGTCCTCAAATGGGCAGAATGATCTAGGCCTAGGTAGACTACCTTGAACGGAGGTAAACTCGGAGCGTTGGGTTGTGCTGCGAAACAGAAACTCAGCCAAACAGAAAGCATACAAAAGAGAAAGCAAGTTGGAAGATAAGTATAAGAGGACATAGCCAAAGGGCAGGAGGTGGGCAGACTTCCTTGAAGAGGTATCCGCATACGTGCTTCATTGCAGTCTAACCGGCTCCAAACATATATGTACACTGCGTCCTCAGTCACCGGTGAGGTATCATATTCCAGACTTCACCAATCCTGTGACTCTCTCTTCTATCTCCTTGTCTGACAATCCTGCGTTTGTTTAGCCTCTGTTCCAAGGTACTCTGATATCCAATTCACCTGATAATGACTCGCTCTTCTCCTTTCCGAACTCTGTAGGGAGTCAGCATTTCATGCTAACATCAGACATGCTAAATGCAGTCCTTGAAAGCTTTCACTGACCATATCTTGCATACACCCTCGGTTGTGTACCAGCTGCTTCTCGGAGCATAATCGGTGTGTGTGGATTGTTCTTCTTCATGGTTGGGTAGGCGCGTGCAAGGAATGATCTGTAAATGTTGTTAGCTGAAGTCGTTTTAAGGCCAACGCCAGCGCGTATCTTGCGAAATACTTCGTTGGACTGGAAGTCTTTGAAGCTCAGCAGGAGTATATAGAGAACCCGTACCTTGTAGCACCACTGTGTTCTCCAGTCTGGCAGAACAGAAACCGCACCTCCTTCAGCGTCTGCGAGAACGCGTATTTGCCCGACATCTTGACTCTTTTCTGCAAGGCGTTGTGGTTCAGTTGAAATTCTTTCTCTGGACACCAACGAGCAATCAGACATGAAGCTGTCGTTAGCTTGCTGCACAAAGTATGCATATGTGGCGCTAAATATTTGTGCACCGCACAATCTTAAGTCCGATGCGAAACCAAGAAGTCGCCGTGACCCTCCGAACTCAACATTTCAAGTTCAAAGCTTATCCAAAAACCACCCATTTGGAAGTTCGACGTCTTCCTCACTCCCCTCTCCCCTCTTCTTCGCACCCTCCGCAGAGTCTCCGGACGCTCAATTGCTAGCAGACGAGCGAATATCTCAGCGACTTGGAACAGTATCACAAGAACAGTCAGAATGCCCTCCACATCAACACTCTTCCGCGCTGCGCGCCCGGCTTTCCGATCGCAGCAGTTTTTCACTTCTCAGCAAGCACAGGCACAATTGTTCCGAACGACGAGAAGCAGATTTCAAAACTATGGGAGCAAGAGATGGCAAAGTACGGCTGCGCCGGCTGCGGAACAGAGCTGGTTTAAGAGGATGTGGGATAGTCCTATTGGAATCAAGACTGTGCATTTCTGGTGAGCTGAAATCGAATACCCAGGAGGGTTATCTTTCAAAGAGAACAATGCTAATTGTGACGGTCAGGGCTCCTGTTATGAAGGTATACAAGAATCTCAACTTCCCCCACCTCCGGTCCGGAGTCATTCTCAAAACATTACTCTACGAGATACACATCCGATATTTGAGTCATTTTGATGAGGGAATTTGTGTCCTAGACTGGCTTCAGTAATGAACGTAATCTGCATGAACACAATGGCTAACAAACCTCGTACAACAGTGGGCACTGGTCATCGCAGGCATCGGTGATTTTTACCGTCCCGCAGAGAAGCTCTCCCTCACACAAAACGTCGCCCTCACATGTACCGGCCTAATCTGGACTCGCTGGTGCTTGATCATCAAACCCAAGAACATCTTGTATGTCTCTAGTCTTCATATCTACCCCTCATATTTGAACCCCCAACTACGAGAACAACAAAAACAAGCAAGGCTAACACAATCCCCAGGCTCGCAGCAGTCAACTTCTTCCTCGGCATCGTCGGCGTCGTACAAGTCTCCCGCATCGTCTCCTACAACTACAGCCAAAAGGGTAAAACCGCTACCGAACAACTCGAAGAAGCCAAGGAGTCCGCCGTTGATGTCGCAAAGGGAATCAAGAAGGACGCTATTGAGGTTGTGAAGTCTTAAGTGACCCACGTTTTGAGAGCAGTAGGAGCAGGGGAGGAGGGCTTTGGAGGACTTTTGCATTGTGCATGCTTGCATCCGGCGCTTTACTTCTTGACACACCAGGGTGGGAGTGGAGGAAGATGAAATGAATGAAGGCTACGAAGGCGAGCATTGTACCATTACACGATACCGTAGCTTTGCAATGGAATTTATCGCTTTAAAACAATTGAAATCTTGCACCACTTTCTGGAACGTTGAAATAGTGAGACTTTACCAAACTAACATTAAAGTATCAAAAAGCCCGGGAAGAAATTGATCAGATCATAACAAGTCTTCCATTCATTTTATACGCCTCTACCTCTGCCGTTTCTTTATAAACGGCAATGAAGTAAATGCTAAGACGCTCAACAAAAAGGACCCATCCTACCCATACATAAATTACAAAATGCCTTCCATTCATCCATTTATCTGAGATGCCTGCTCGGGGGTATCTATCTCTACTTCTTCTGATCCATCATATCCTGGAAAATATGGGACCAGCCCTAAGGTGGTATCGTGCGTGGTTCTTCGTCGCTTTGTACAAGACATCATGTTCATCTAAAGGAGTGTAGATCACATCACAGAGCATTCCCCTTCGTTCTGCTTCCCGACTTTAGATCTCGAGATGCGTTCTCGCTTCGGACCAGCTTTCGCTCCTCCGCGCTTTAGATCCTCGAGACGCTCTCTGGCTTTGGGGAAGTTTTGAGCTGGGTTGAAGTCAGTTAAGATCTCTTTCAAGGACAAAGGATGATGACTTACCAGCAGCCCTCCAATACCACCTCTTCGCATCCTCCAAATTAGCTGGGGCACCAATACCAACTTCAGTAAAGTATCCCATAGCATACTCCGCCTTTGCGAGGCCAGCCATAGCAGCTTTTCGTGCCCAGAGATAGGCTTCTGTATCGCTCTGTTGCAGCACGCCTTCTGAACCGGTCAAGTACCAACCAGAGAGAGCAAGTTCAGACTGATGCTCCTCTTGAGCTGCAGCACGAGAATACCACATGATCGATTGTCTAGGATCAATTGGACAATTGAACAATCCATACTCGAACGCTGCTCCCAGGCGGAATTGAGAAAACTTGTAACCAAGATCGGCGGCCTCAACGAAAAGTTTGAACGAGTAAGCTTCATCTCGAACCAGTGAGTTGTCAGCACTCTGAGGTTGTTCGTACAGCAAAGCCAATTCGTGGACAGCGTGAGGGTTCTCGGCATCAGCGCGTTCAGCCGCTCGTTTGAGCCATCCGACTGCTTCTCTAGGGTTCTTGGCCTGGCCGAGAAGTCCTTTGAGAAGGATCATGCCCATTTTGTACATGGCTGGGGTGTCGCCTAGCATAGCTGCACGCTTATACCATTGAATTGCCTTCAAAGGGTCTTTACGAGTTCCTCCGCCCTCGTCATTACCTAGCTCACAGCAAACAGCTGTCCGATATGCAGCTGCTGCATGACCAGCTTTAGCGGCTGATTGGTATAGAGTGAATGCTTCCTTGTTATCCGTTTCAAGACCGAGAGCACCGCGACCATAGCAGTCTGCTAGGTAGAACATAGCCTCTGTATTCTGCGCAGCAACGAGTTTCTTGAGCATCTTATGAGCGTCCATAACGTACTTCTCTCGGGCTTTGTTCCGTGCTCGTTGGTCTTGAATCAAGGGGGCGAGAACTTCCGAAGCTTCAACCAGCTTTTTGACAAATATCATTTGCGTTGCTTGATCTCCGTTGGGATTGGCTTTGATCATCGTTCTGAGTCTTTCGATTTCTTCAGTTGTTACTGGTGGAGCAGCAGGCTCTGCAGGTGCTGAAGCAGCTAGGACGGACTGCTGAGAGGGCATTTGTTGTTGCTGAGGCGAAGGTGCTTGCTGAGCGGCTTGGGTTTGCGTTTGAGGTGTGGCATTATTGTAATTACGGACTGGAGGAGGTCTGTTCATAGCTTGATTTGCGACGGTATTAGGTATGAGACCAGCACGAACAGGGGGTGGATGAGAAGGTAAACCATCTTGTGGTGATTGCCTAGGCATAGTCATGGCTCTCGGGGTGCCTCCGTTTGGCCATGGACCGTTAGGAAGGCCTCTGAAACCACCTTTTGGACCATTGGGCAATCCAGCTCTACCTTCTGGAGCTGCAGATGCGCTCCGTGGGGGCGGTTGGAAAGTGTTTGGTGCGGGAAGAGGCTCTTCATAAGATCCATATCCTTGTTGAGGGCCACGTCGGTCCATCTGAGGTTGGTTGTACTGATTGTCATAGCCGTCATCAGGATAATTTTGCTGAGGATATGCATTTGGCTTAGGAGGCGCATCACCAGCCATCTCAAAAACAGCAGCTTGAGCTTCCATTCTACCACGACCATCAGGGTGAGCTTGAACAGGTTTGACTTGCTGATATCCAGTTGGTTGTGGCATGGGAGGTCGAATATGCTCATCCATGGAGCCTCCTCTCCTCCCAGTCACAGGCTTATTGGCAAGTGCATCGAAGTCGGGCAATACTGTTTCTGCAGATTGCGGTGTCACTTGCTGCCTTGGATCTGGAACGTCATAGTACGAATCGTAAAAGTCGCTAACACTCTCCCCACGGCCATGCGAATACCCCGGATTAGGTGGTGGTCCACGATTACCATTCGCGTATGGATCCATAGGTGGCTGATTTGGATATTGTCGCTGTGGAGGCTGACGGTTTCCAGAGCTAGTTGAAGGTCGAGGCGGCATTCCACGTCCAACAGGTCCATTGTACGGCGCACTTTGGCCAGGAGCTTCCATTGGAGCAGGCATTGGAGGAGCTCGTCCCATTGGCATTGGCGCTTCATTCGGCATTGTCATACTTCTGCTGGGAGGTCCAAAATTCTCTCTTGCCGGTGAGGCCGGACCTGGATATGCGCCTCTGTCGTTGAAGCCAGGCTCGGCTCCATAGCCATTCTGTCGAGGCGGTCCGTAGCCTGAATTTGGTCCAGGTGCACCTCTGCGTTGCTCCGGGTAGCCTTGCTGGGGTGGTCCTTGAGGTGGGTACTTTCTCGCTGGCATGTTTCTCTGACTATCAATTGAACCTCGTCCATAGTCTTCTGGCGCTCTCCTCTGACTGTCTAATGAAGGTCGACCATAATCGTCTGTGGGAACTCCTCGTCCATTATACCCTTGACTGCCCTTCCCACCTTTCCCTCGAGGCTGTTGGGGCGGACCTCCAACCTCCATAGCTGCCATCTTTTGCAAAATTTGCTGTTCTTCAGATACTGAGGTCTTCTTCTTGGCACCAGGAAATGTGGGGAATGGATTGTCCCAAGCAGCTGTGTCAGGGGACAATGGCGGGGTCTTCAACGGTTTTCGAGGTTGCTGACCTTGTCCTCTTGCTATGAGAGTGTCAGTTGTGTTTGCCATGATACGCGACTAATTTGCTTACCCCCAGGATCAGAAGTAGCCGCTCTCTCCAAAGGCGCGGGTCTACCTCCTCTACCGACGGGACCACCATTTGGATATCCTCTGCCCTGGCCTCCACCTCTCTGATCATATCCACTTCGTGCGCTGTCAGCTGTCGGCGGTCTTTGCATTGGTCCACCTCTTCCGCCTCCTCTGGGCGGTGGCATCGCGCCCCTCCCCACATCATCGTAATAGTCTTGCTGTGGAGCATAACCACGGTCTTGTGGAGGGTAACCATTGCCTCGTCCACCTCCATTCATGTTATTATCGTAATACCCATCGTACTCTTGCGCATAGCCTCCATTATCGTAGCCTTCGTATCCATAGCCGTCCTGAGCATACTGGTCGTATTGCTGTGGGGGATACTGTTGTTGGGGCGGCGGAGCCTGATTATATCCTTGAGGTGGTCCAGGACGCGGAGCACCTCTAGTATCAGCTCTGCCGTTATATGGGCGTTGAGGGGGTTGATAATATCCTTGGTCATAAGCCATGTTTGCTGCTCCAAGTCAAGTATCTGGGACCCGAATAGCCCGAGGAAACCCTTTTGGCGCCCCGATATTATCTTGAGAATGAATCTGTCTTCAGCCGCGGCAGAGAGCCAGCCATGAAAGGAAGAGGCGCGGAAGTCGCTGTAGGGGTTTTCTTATGCTGGGATGGAGAATACCCGTTCGAATAAGACGTAGGATCGACCTCGGCGGCTGATGGTTCTCAAACGTTTCGAAGGAAAGGAAGTAGTGGCGTTACTGTAGTACCAGCTGAAAGGAGTGTGAATGAAGCTCTTATTGAACACAAAAGAGAGAGGCTCTGCGAAGTCGAATGGAAGTATGGAAGTTCGTGTTGGTGTCGGGGACTGAGTGAGATGGGTGTGGATCGTCCGTGTCATATGTGGGGGGCGCGGTGCTATTGATCGAGGCTGTACTGTAAGTTTGGCCTGGCCTGGTCAGGCGAACATGCAGCCGTTGGATATTACTCAGGACCACTAATAAATGTGAATGATGTTCCTTCACACGAGTCTGCGCTCAAAGTCTATTGATTCTCACACGGTCTCAATACGAATTTGCGCTTGGACTGGAGCATGAGGATTTAATTTTGAACTTTGTATCTTTTCGTCGGCATTGAAAAGGGTTTGAAGATCGGGTCCTGTTTACTGTTCGGGGGCTTAACTCACACGTCTCAAAATCAGCATGGGGTTTCGATAATGTCAGGAACAGACGCATTGGGATTGGCTGCCGATGACATTGTGGTTCCATCCATTCCCTGGGTACATGCAAAGGGGGCAAAGCAAACTACTCTGATAATTCAAACAACAGTACATAGCTGCACGCAGCACAGCGAATAGTGGTGCCAGTAAGCTTGGTGGAATGCAAGTCGCAGTCGAACGCTACGATTGAGTTGACTTTCCCTCCTTTTCTGATGGAAACGAACCGGGAACAAGCCGGCGGTTTCTCCTCAGCTCGCAAGGAACCTGCACCAACATGGAGGCTATAGCGGAGATGAAAGACCAGATGGCCCAAAAGTGCATAAACACTCAACAGCGAGATTAGACGCAGCAGTTGAAAGTCTTGAGCTTGTCTCCGCAGGAGGGGACAGTAGACAGCTGCATCAGTGCTGATCCATCTGCTGTTGCCAAGGACGATCTGATTCTCCTCGTCGTCGTCACAACGTGTCAGGAGACAGGTTCGTCGGTATCCTGTTAGAAACCTTTTTATAGAGCAGCGTAGCGATTATCGTGGTACTTTGACAGGACAGGACAGGCTTGAGCCGTTGGGACCATTCGGGTCCGTTGACCTTGTTGCATTAGAGTGGTAAGTACGTTTCGCTCCCTGCCAGCCCTGAAATTGCAGATCCCGAATCTCGGATTGTTAGGTGGTGTTCCGGTTGTCTCTATCCCGGGAAACTTAATATGCCGCCACACAGACACAGCCACACAGACACAGCCACACCAGATGAACCAGCCACACCTGCGAAATATCGACATCATTGAACGTTTCGAAACAATCCAAACCGCCATTATCCTGGGCAAGCTGAAAGTTTGGCCAAAGATCTTGGACACGACCTCTTCTCACGTCACCCGCGTCCACTCCTCAATCGTCATCCCGCAACAATGCCTCCAAAGACGTCGAACTGGAGAACGGTGGGCAAAATGGTAGCCGCGTGAGTTCAATCCTCCCAGAGTTCGTCCTTAATCCTAGTCAATCATGACACTGACCCCTCTCCAGCGGCGCGGTGTGCTGTATTGGAGGCCCGGCATTGGTCATTTGGGTCACTCCCTCAGAAGAAGAGCTGTTCTCGAGGTATAATCCGGATCTGCAGAAAAGGAGTTTGGAGAATAGAATGAAGAACCAGGAAGATTTCGATCATTTTGCTATGAAGCTGCGGGAATATTCCAAGTCAAACAAGCCAAGTTAGTTGGGGATCCAGTGCTGAAGAACAATTACTGATGAGTGTATAGTCTGGGAAGCTGCGGCAGATGACGAGAAGACCACTCGAGATGGCAAGATTGCAGAACAAGTTAGAATATCCGAGGAAATAAGGGCGAGAAAGGAGGAGATACGAAAGGCCGGAATTAGTGGGGTGCCTGGAGGAAGCTTATGATGAGGTTGAGTTATTGGTAAGATACGATACGAAACGAATGGTTGTACAACATGTTTGGCGTTGCGATAAGTGGCGGTCAATTGATAGCCTCATCCTTTCATACAGGAGGTAGGTAAGGATCTCATGGAGAAGCATCAAGCAAAAGTACCTCCAATTGCCCGTGCTGGAGACGCACGTTTGCGAGAGGAGGCAGAATTTTGATGGTCGAATCACCCAGCTCATGAAAGAACAACCTAACCCTATGCCATATTCTCTCACGACGTTAGTTTCTTTGCTGAAATATTCTTCTTGTCTTGGAGGATTTGTACACTAGGCTCTGTGATAGTCTTCAGGTGGCTCCTCTGGTGTTTGGCGCAACTTGCTACCCCTCCCGTTGTGATAGATCAATAGCTCCTGTCCTTGTCTTCCACACTCGCAAAATGATTGCTTCCCTTGTTCCGAACATATTGTTCTTGACAATGCTCGCCTTCAAACGACACCTTCTGATGGCCGTTCGAAATGACCTATGTTCATTCATTCTCCGGATTCTTACGTCTACTTTACTGAACTTCTACCTTGGTATCTGGCTCGACGCTGCGTTGGCAGGAGATCCGACGCCTTTCAAAACTACAATATTGAGACTTTATGGTCTATTCTACGATCCGATACTTAGGCATTTGGAGGCTGGTTCTATCCCAATCGCAACTTGGGAATTCTTATCTACATACTTCAATGTAGACTCCAATTTTGCTACAACCTTCATAGTTCTGTGCTGGATTCCGTTTCTATTCGCCTTGGACGTCGGTTTTAGTGATCACAAGAACAGCCTTCAACTCCAGCTGAATTCATCTCTACGAATAACCTTTCGTGAATCTCTCAAACAAGAAAGTTACGCGATCTCCAAATCAGCTATTTTGCCTACATTATGGGGTAGCTACTCCAGCTCAATCATACAAAGCAAGATGGCGCTGACGAAATCAATAGGCCGCCGATCCAAGTTCAGCTTGTTGAAACTCCCACCTGAGCTTCAACGCATGATCTTGACACAAGCCATACAAATCTGCCTGCTATCACAGCACTATCCCCAGAAACAGACTCCAAACACAATCTCTTCAAAGCTCTTGAAAGATGTCCAGCACTCCACAATGAAGCTCTTAAACTTCATCATATGCGAGCAACTCTCATTCTCGACCTCGATACCCTTTTTACACTCAGAAGAAACCCTGTACTTTGGCATAATCTACATTTGATCAAGGCCGCTTCGATCTCTCTATTGTAAGCTTCTACTCCTGCATTCCACGACTTGAAACAGTAATTAATAGTGAACAGTTCAATCCAATCAGGCGAAGTTGACTGCTTTGCCTGGAATATATGTAGAAACCCGAGATTGGTCAAGAGGGGCATTTACTGCAGAACATTCGCCGGGGCAGAGACAAAAATGCTGGCTTATAGAAACATGCTTCTCAAGCGAAAGCGCGACTTCGAAAACTTTTCTTCGCTCAAGGAATTGACATTCGAAATCCTCGACCAGAATGTCAATGCAGACTTTTGCTTCAATTTGATCCAAGACTGGGTCCAGAACTCCAAGAACCTCAACACCTTGAAGCTCCGGATCAGACTCAAGTATGGACATTATGGAAATCCAGCAACAAATACCAATCCGTTTGTTCCTAACAGACGATCGGATCCTGGAAGGAACGAGTTGGTGCAGAGAGTGAGGCACTTTGTCTCTGCTGATCCAAAGAGGGAGACTTCTAAAGCCCAGAATAGCATCTGGCTCACTGTGATAGATTTACAGTTTGTGGGGGACGAGCTGGGTATGACTTTCCATGTTAATCATGCCAATCTCAGGATGGGCTGAAAGAACAAGGGTAATTTGGCATGTGGGTCGCAATGTTTGGGATATCAGGAAGATAATAATGTAAAGGTCTAGCACAATCATGAAGAACCACATTGATACAAAATGGAGCTTAGTGAAGAGCAACATTAGTTTCTCCTCCCTGTGATTAGCTCAAAGAGATCTCAAACCATGAAGCCTCGGCACAACACCATGCAGCAAGCTCCAATTGCTGTAGACACCTGTCACGTGAATACTCCAGCCTTCTTTCCCACACTCGCGATGTAGCAAGAGGCTCAGGAGAACAAATCTAGTTTATGTACTATAAATCTCAGGGTTGTAGCATGCCTCGGTAAATTGCAAGCCAGTCAATTCTGCAACATTCTTGCAGAGGTCACCCTTTCAATTCGAGCCATCGATGCGAAACTTCAATCCTCTTCAGCGTAGACATGAAGATGCTTTGTGAGCAGTGATTTGAAAGTCCATTATATCTGTAAAGATTTGGTAACAATATGTCAGCTTTAAGTCAATGTTGACAGATTATCCTTTCGAGTAAAGAGCGTTCAAGATTCTTACGGTGAAGTTTCCTGAAATCTGGACTTTCCCAATGAAATTAAAGAAAGACCCAATGACGCGAAGTGTTTGAATGGCTTCATAGTGAAGGCTTTCCCAAGCTGAAGCCGTCCTGCCGATATGGTTCTTGTCAACGATATGTCAGCTTCGGTCAGTGTTGACATATAATCCTCCTTAGCGAGGATCGCTTTGGCATGCTTCGATGAACTCTTCATAAAGGCTTTCCTAAGCTATTTCGTTTGATCCCAATGTTGTTGGGAGTAAGTAATACATATCAGGAATGAATCAAAAATTGATAGAAGCTAACATTCTAGTTTTAGCTGAGTCTACGAGGTTTTGGCACAAATGTCCGGCAGCTCGCTTGCAAAGAAAAGGCCAAAATATCAATAAGTCCGTTAGAAGTCAAAAGCAAAAACTCAACCACCCGAGGGTGGTATCCAACACCATAGCTAGTATGGGGTTTAGAGGGGGAAGTCATGAGTTATTCGTATTTCAAGTACTCACGAGAATATTAGAGGCACGATCACTGTCGCAAGCGTCTATATCCTGGAGGCCGCTATCTCAGAGGACATTACAAAAAGTCTGCTTATTTAACTTTATATGGTGTTGAAGAATGCTAAGGCTATGATTGGTGGAAGGCTTTAATGTGGTTTTGGCGACCGAGGAGGTGAATGTGAGTAGATCCTTTCTGGTGTTTTGCTTCTCGCTTCGACACACATCATGGCAAACACGAGCTTCGCATTTAAGATTCGTGCTAAGTGCATTAGAATTGCAACAATGAATGGACCGAGAGTTCAAAGATATTTTAAGCATCCTTACTACCGGGAAAGCTCTCAGAGTATGAAAGCATGTTTCGGGAAAGTCAAAGTACAGCACCACGAAACGCTGTATCACTCTTTTCCTAGTACGTCAAAATTGACAGTGAAGTCAATTCCCATTTGCACTGCTTATCATCTAAATACATGACCTGAGCTACACAACAGACAGGAAGGAAAATAAAAGCTCTTCCGTGTAGGTATCCCGATGACAATCAATATTCGTAACTTCTATTTAGGTAGCCAATATCTACAAACGTCAAGAAGAGTCTTGGATTGAGATCAGTGAAGAGGTGTACGATAATTGAGGCTTGTAGTGAGGATGATATAGAGATTAGCGAGCGATGGTGGAAGGTTACAGAAGAGGTAGTCGCAGATTGAGGGCATTGAAGAGGAGAGCCGCAAGCGAATTTCGAGAACAAGGATTTGATTGGCCTGACTTCCAATATTTCAACCTCGTCTCGCTGACCTCTGCGAGAATCACCTATTCCTGACCTCCAGCACCCTCATTTCCATGACATTTGGAATGCTACAAACTCTTCCATGCAAGGACAATCCACAATTATTGAGTCACACCACACTAAGTTATATCACTAGCATTAGATTACCACGATGGCCTCCGTTGAAAGCTCAGAAAATATCAGAGCAGAGCTGAACGAGTTCATCAGCGATTCCAAATCTCCAGTTCCAGTTTCACCTCCAAATCAACAATGCCCATTGATCATACTCTATGGTCAAACTCATTTGGGAGCTCCCTTGCACCACATTCAGTTGCGGGAGATAGAGGCAGGTCGAGAAGCTCCAGAGTTCCGAGCATGCGAGGTTTTTCTCCGTGGGACTATACAAGGACACGTCCTCTTCCGGATGACTATTCATAATTCCAGCTTGAGAGACTGCACTCTCATCGATTGTACTATCTACGGGGGGAAGATTGAGACGTCTCAGCTCACAGACTGCCGTACTCGGAAGAAAGCTCTGGGCGAACACGATACTTCGTTGACAATACCACTCGTCTCCTGTTGCAAAATCAAGGGTGGCAGCGCGGACTATACTGAAATGTTCAATTCGACCGTGAATAGGGTTGGTCCAATTCGAAATTGCGTTGTTGAGAGTAGTTTAGTCATCTATTCTCTCCTCTTTGAAAGCACCCTAACCAGCTGTGGTCTTTACGAGTCCAAGCTTCACAATTGCGAATCACAACGAAGTACGAAGGTACAGTATCGTATCCAAGCACAAATCGAGTTAAACTATTCTGATTCAAAGTCCAACTTGCTTGATTGTAATAATACCTATCTATTAGAACGTTGTACAGGAGCGCATCGCTACAGAATCAATCCTTATCCTATGTGCATTGTATACAGGACTTCATCTAGAAAATCTCCTCTACTTGTTTCCAAGCCTCGCCTGTCAATGCCTTCTCTCTCTCTTTCCAATATTTACCGTTGAATTGCCAGAAGCCTTCTCCCGTGATCGGGCACTTCGTTTTGCTGAACCAATGGGGAACAAATTCTTCGCCATTTGCTTCACGCTCTCGTCTCTTGGCTCTTTGCTTCTCCTCAACTCTGTTCTTCTCAGATGCAGCAAAGTCATATCGTCCGTCTTCCATAGCCCGTTGATCTGGTCTCAAGCGAGTGTCTGTTGGAGCAAGCCACGGCTCGAGTTTCTCGTTGATATCATTCAATGTGACGACAAATGGTGTGAGGTTGAACGGTATCCCGCTCGGGCGGGCGTTGGCTTCCCAAACAACAAATGCCTGATGTGGATCGCTCACGCTACCTCGGTGATGTGAAGGTCCTTTGGGTTCTTCGATAGCAGCCTCATATCCGGGTGTCAGTCTAGCATATATCTTATTATTCCACCTTCCACCCATTGAGAAACGGGTCTGGCCTTGAGCGTCATTGACCTTTCCAGCGATTTGATATGCGCTTGAAGCTTTCCAACCACGAGGTTTAAAATCCAGAATGCAATATTCGCCAGTGGTCCAATTCTTGACTTCCATAGGTCCATAATTGTCGACAGTCGGAGATCCAGTAATGATGCCGATGACCGAAGATGTAACTTTCTTCCAAGTGTAAAGTTCTTCCTTGCCACCAGCAAACCGTAACTTCAAGAACCAAGTACCTAGAGGATTGATGTCAAATGACTTTCCATAGAACTTGGACTTGACAGCTGATTCTCCATAGTAAGTCCATTTGGGACTCTCGGCCCACGCTGCGCCAATCGGAGGATGATGGCTGACTTGTTCAATGAAGAATCGATAATTTTTGTCAGGTCGAACATATTCAAATGTTTCGCCCAACAAAGGATTGAAGGGCTTTGCAACTCTCCCGATTGTGGAGGCATATTCGCTGGCAGCGAAAGCCGCCACATAAACCATACGCTCCGTGGGATCAGTTCTGTCGGCTGCAATGTCGAGAAGGTCGGCATACTCCATATCCTCAGCACATCGTTGCAGAAGAGATGTCGGCTCATTGAAAGATACAGGTAAGGTCATTTTAGTCATATCTTTTCCAATCATTGATTTGAGAATGCTCTGTGTATCAAGTAAGTAATTGTTCATTAGGCCACAAACGTGCAACATACCCAGAGAGAGATCTTTGGCCTGTCATCAGCGTCCATTTTCAAGCGCTTGCGAATCCCGTCTTCATAACCTCTGAACGATGGGCTTAGGTCAAATCCATCAATTTCAGCTGGTGCTTTCTTCTTGTCATCGTGGAATGGCGCGCTTAAAGGAGGCATAGCAGGGGCTACCTCAACCTCGCCAGCGTCCACTGCGTCAAAGAATTCGTCCTCATCTTCGGATTCAGAGTCTGATAGAGGACCAACTTCTGCGAGTATTGATTTGCGCCGAAGTGAGCTCTTAGCTGTAGATTTCCTTCGTAACGCTGTACCGTCGGAGCCAACGATCACCTGATCCAGCGCGTCTTTGAATTCTTCGGCCTTCGATGACAGCTCACCCCTGCTTTCTGGCCGGCTACTAACAGCAATACTACCCTCGATAACCTCACGTAGGGCACGCTTCGTCAGCTTGCGCTTCTCTTCGGCCTCTCCCACTTTGGCTTCTAGAACTTCTTGCTCACGTGCGACCTGTGCCATGCTATCTTCCCACATTCTTCTCATATCAGCTTCACGATCCAATCGATACTGCCAATAGGCATCTCTGTCTTTCGATATTTTCAGCAGATCGCCAATCAGACCCTTGAGATTCCGTATTGAGGAATCATATGTCTGGACAGCCTGCAAGGCGATAGGGTCCGAGATATAAAGGGATGGGTTCTTTGTTTGCTCCGCTTGCAAAGCGGCGTTGACTTGCCCCATCATCTCAAGTTGTAACTTCGCTGATTGAGCAGTGATGTCGAAAGCATCCTTGCTTGCAGGGGCTTCACGATCGCTGGAGCCGTCTCCATACTCGTCGTCGTCGTCACCATCGCCATCAGGAAGAGGACCCACATTACTGTTGACTTTCGTAACATCTCCCATGAAGCTTGGCTCATAGGATCCGTATGCTGTGCCTTCATCGTCGTCGGCCGCGCTTCCGCTGGCGAATGCGACTTTCTGGCTAGCGAGCTTTCCGGTGCTTGGAACTGGATGCAATCTGGTAGTTTGGGTACTATTTCGTCGAGTGTCAACCATACTTGCGGTTTCGCTGCCGAGTTCTGCGTTTGATTCTCTCGGAGGAGCAGCACCGTGTTCAGCTTTAGCTTGTCGGAGAAGCTCAGCACTCTTCTGCCTCTGCCTGTCCTCTTCCTTGGCCTGGTCTTTCGTCCACTGTATGGAATTGTTGAGAGCCCAAAACCATCTCTTCGCTTCTACTTCATGGTTTGCTTTTAAATGATACTTGACAGAGGACTTGCCAATAATATCGAACTTAGTCTTTTCCGTCGGGTCCATATTGAGCTTCGCTATTTTCATGTTGATTGCACCTCGACATGCAGACCCAGCGTCGTCTTGGTGCTTGTAATAACTCATGACCCCATCCTCCAACACGAACCATCGTAATTGATATCCTTTCCGATAATTGGTCCACTTTTTGAGATAACCCTTCATCTCACGGCCTTCCTTACCAGCGAGTGCATCCCCAGGGGTGGAATTAAGGGCGCCTTGCTGTTGCGCATTCCCCAACACAGCCTTTTCTTGGATGCCCCGTTGGGCAGCAACAGCTGCTGGTGATCGTTTGAGCATGGCACGCGTATTGTCGTCCTTCGTAACATCTTGAGGAAGCTTGCCTCTTCGATCTCGTCGAAATGGATCCGCACCATGGAGGAGTAACACCTGTATGAGCGCAGTATTCTTCTTCCTTGCAGCCTCGTGTAACAAAGTACCCCCAGCTTGCACGACAGTGGGATCGGACGCAAATTCTCCGCCATTAATATCCAGAACCATCTTCACTCTCGGTTCTTCCAGCACTTCACTCAATGCCTTGTAATCGCCTTGCGCAACCAAAGCTTGAACTTGCCTGATCTTACCATCGACGAAGATGGATCTCGAAAGCTGTAGTTGCTGGAAGATATCTGGAGTCCGCGCCAGATCAAGTGGGAGACGACCTTGATAATTGGCAATGGAATCATTGATGCCTGGTTGTTCCAATAGCAGTCGCACAATCTGCCCTCGTCCTTGTTGTGCTGCAAGATGTAATGCAGTATTCCCTTCCTTATCTCTCGCATTTACATCAATTGTTCCAGCTCCATCTGACAACACATACTCAACAACTGGCAACTCAGAGCACTGTATCGCCAAATGAAGTATGCTTGTATCTTCAAGACCAGTCGACGACCCAGTTGCACTCGAGGTGCTCACTCGACTTCCATCGGACTCACGTATCGCCTTCGAGATGGATGCAGTATCACCGCTTCTCAACGCTTCGAATATGCGGAACTTTTTCACAGATGCCTCGATGGAGACCGTCTTATCTTGTGGAGGGGGAGGAGCTGCCATCGTTCGCGAAGGTGTTTGTAGACTTGAACTTGATCTCATCAATCCAGCAGTGCCAGTGGAAGGTTTGGATGCGTGCCCTCTCGATGCGTGATGCGCAATCGAAGCTTGAGATGCAGTCGCGATTGGAAGGCTTGTAGACGAGCCCTCATTTGATGAGTCCTCTTCCTCCTTCCCTTCTTTGCCTCGCCGTAGCTTGGCAAGAGCTGACGACTTGGAGCGTTTGTGACTAAGTAGGGCCATCGTCAGTCAGACTTTCAGCAACGAACTCCCGACTCAGTAACCGCCCGGACAAAGCAAGTATTATAGGAAAGTACGTTCACCCCCGAAAACAGACATAGCCGGACTCTGCTTACCTGTCACCAATTTCTGCCATCTTGATAAGGATATGCGAATGTGCTCCGTAGGACTGGAGCAAATCGGAGATATTGAACTCGAAACTCGGAGAGTGCTTGATCTCGATTAGGGATACCTCAGATGCAAGCGGGGAACAATGAACACCACTGCGGGCGACAAGACCTCTCACTTCAAATCACCCACCCTGACCAGGACAACGGCGAAATCGGCGCTGTCAAAGGAGAGGACCCGAGGTCTTTGCTGGCAGATGGTGTGAATGCGCGAGGCACCACCTGAGAAGGAGAAATGTTGTACAGTTCATGCAAGCACGTTGGCTCCTTTAGACAAGCCAAGGATCATCGCCCGGTGACGTTAGCGAGCATGAACTAGAGCCGACACACGTGATGGTGGATAAGGCTAAGCGGGCCGATGCTCAGGAATGGAAATGATTTTCACTAATTATTAATTATCCAGATCTGCTGAAATGTTGTCCAGTCGTGTGCCTGCGGTGACAAGATCAGACATGAGATAACCTACATCCTTCCAATTTCTCACTACTATTCGGACTATATATACAGCTAAAGATGGCGAGAATACGAAATCCGACGCGTAACCGTAACGTCCCAAGATCTTACTCTCGACTTGCGCATAGAGAGAAGGTCACCGTCAGCGCCACTAGTGATGGCTGATGCTTCTCTCGATACAACAATTAAGCTTCTCACCTGCCCAGGAACGGGAAAGAGCTCGTTGGCGGAGATAAGCCTCCGATGCCGTTCTCGAATATGTGGGACATTTATCGCTTTGCTATGAAGGGAGGCAATTACTTCGTAAAGTATACACTGATATACACAAAGCTGGTTGGGTTGTCTGAACAAAGCAACTTCCCAAAGAGGTCTAAAGGCATCTATGAACGAGTTTCGTGAAGCGTTGATATGCAAATCCTGCTGTTCCTCCAGTATCTATCCGCCAATGATGCCTTCTCGTCGTTTACCGTTTAAAGCGTACCGTTGTCCAATAGATGCAAGTGAGAATCTGACGCATGTACGAAACCACCTCTAGAGCACCTTGCTGTACGGAAGCCGATTCGTCAAAGACATTTTGTCATCAAGAGCATATACGTTACATGAGGTACAGCCACCATTCAAGCCCTGCAATTTTCTACACTTCGGAATGCTCGGGCGGACTAAGTCAGCCAATCCCGTTCGGCTACCTTCTCTATTCAGGCCAGGCACAATGCGGGGATGCTGTGAAAAGACACAAACAATAGCATTATCAAACATTGATTCTTGTCGTCCGGTTAGCACCATTATGGCTATCCCATCCAGGGCCAGTGTGAATAAGCGAAAAATCACTTGATAATCAAAAACCATTATTCACTTTACAAAAAATCGTATGAAAGCATTTTTCATGTTCTTTTAACATGCTTTTAGAATCCTCATATAATCTGCATATAATTACGATATTCTTGAAATATTTTTGAGCGTTAGGTTAGATTTTTGGTGCGCGATTCACATTGGCCGTGGATGGATAGTGTTTGTTCGAAGGAAGCAAAACATGGATGAAAACTCAAATACTTTCGGTTCACACACCTTCTCTGTTCATTCATTGTCGCTGATCATCAGAGTCAATGTATCTTTCGAGTATAGTTGTTCCTTGTGCAGGACCTCGCTCAGCCCTTGCTGAGGAAGTGAGAAAAGTCTATAAAAGCAAACTATTTCCTCGAGAGTGTATCTTCAGTGAATCTAGAAAACAACTTCCACAACAATCACTCCGAAGACCTCGGGACCTAAACAGCACCCTACAATGCAGTTAATTCATACTCTTCTTGGCTTGTCCATCATGGCTTCTACTGTCTATACTGCACCAACCCCAGATGCAGCCCCTGGCGCCGTTCTACGACTCGAATCGCGAGGATGCCCCAGTTTATACATGTGTATCCTCAACGACATTGTAAGATACTTACCCTGAGACCCGAATGAAATATCTCTAAGACTTCTGATTGAGTAGTACATCTGCTCTAATGGCAACCTTGTCCTCAACAATGCTTGTGGAAGTGAGAATTGCGAAATCATCAATGGAGCCCCGTACTGCGTTTAGGTCCGTACTCCATGTTCGATTTTCTCGGCAAACAGGATATTGATACAAAAGGCAGGAGTACGAAACAATATTCCAAAGCTATGAAATGGCACTCGACTTCGACGTGTGACCCTTGTTTCTTGATTTCGAAGATTAAGGAATGTTTCGGGATAATATGCATGCAAACTGACGATACGCTCGGACTTACTTCAAAAGCTTTGGCTGAGAAGGAGGATAAGGCACTCGAAAAGGCTGGATTCCCTGCAAAGCTAAAGGAGTATCTGTCAGTTGACAAAGCATTAATCTTCAACGGAGGTATCTTGACGCTGTCCAAAGAAGTTGAGATCACCTTCACCTACACGCAAAAGAACCAAGCCGACAAGATCGAGCTCATCGATGTCAAAACCCCGAAGTACAAGGAAGACTACCGAAGACAACAAGCAAAAGGAGCATATATTGCAGCAATGTGCCAACCAGAGGCATTGCGAGCTTTATCCCAAGTAGCCCAGATCTCTAACCCGATAGAAGACGACGCCCAAAAGCTAAACCAGACCTTGAAGTGGCTAGACGACAACAAAGCTCGGGGCTTGAAGATAGTTAGCCTGGACTGAAAGACCGCCAAATTGTACCTCTTCGCAGATGGATCGCATGCTAATAACATGGATTTGTCTTCGCAGATCGGGTATATGATCATAATCGGGAACGAGATTCGTAAAGATGACGAAGAATTCGAAATTCGAGGCAGGAACGGATATGGTATCTGTTATTAAGACTTCGATCGATCAAGTTTTGCGACAATTGGACTTGCCAATATCCCTATTGTAGCATGCATAGATTCTCGCTCATTATACGATTGTATCGTCAAGCTCAGTACAACGACAGAAAAGAGGTTGATGATAGATATCATAGCCCTTCAACAAGCTTATGATGTGCGTGATCTGGACAAAGTTAAATGGATTGTCAACGATGACAACCCTGTAGACGCAATAACGAAGGGTACTCCTAATAAGTCTTTTACGACCTCCCTTGATACTAACAAGTTGACGGTTCGACTGAAAGGTTGGGTGGATAGAAGGAAAAAGGAGAAGCAGATGGAAAAGGACATTCTTGCAGACAAGCGTTCGAGCTCGAGTGCCTGAACTTTTAGGCATTTAAGCAAGATCTCAGGCAACTCGACCAGAGCTGGAAGAAGATGATAGGACGAGGGGACTAGCGTGGATTACGAGATTAAACATCCTCATTCTACCGAGCTCTCCATTATCTTGATTTATCAAAACTTTCGCAGCCTCACCACTTTTTCATCAACTTCTATCAAATCTTCAAACTCTCTATTAAGATAGTCGATAAACCAAACCCCTCTCCTCTTCTTTAACACGAAAACTTTGAAAAATGGCTGGTTTTTAAAACATCCTTCCCCTTAGAAACATCAATATTTCAATGGGTCTACAGACTAATTGGAATACGGTGGCAATAGAACTCTCTTGTGCGTAGAACGCACCGAATTTCTAGTTGGTGTAAGTCCTTCATACTGCTATCCTCGCCCTTAATAATAATTTAATGTAAATGAACAACAATCTGGGGAACGTCTAGAATAACCTCATCCAGCGAATGGTGTGGATGGAAGAAAATTCGGTCGCCTGGATCTAGAACAGTTGGATAACGGACACACTAACCGCCTTGCTCTCCCTCGTCGACCTGGCAACTGGTCAATATTTCCCTGGGGCCCCTCAAAACATTACAACAATTGAGGGATGGACGATGGCCTAGTGCGCTATCTTCTTGACAACACTCTATGTGCCACAAAACATACTACCCCACACGGTTGCAGAGCGTCGGAGGTTGATCAAGCAGAAGCTGGGTTCACACTTGTGAGGTGAAAGGATTGGAGTTTTACGTCGGAGTTTATATACCCATCGGCCTTCGTTTGTTAGTCAGCGTTTTCTTGAAATATTGTTACTTACCCGACGGTTCTTCGGGTATAGAAAAGTTGCGAGCGTTTTTGAATTATTTTCTTTCCTTTGTTGAGACTTCCATACTTAGGTTATGGGAAGTGGATAGGATGGTTGAGCAGGCTTACGTATATGAGTATACGGTAAGTAGGGAGGACCGAATAAGAGTTGGTGGAGTCAGTGGACGCAAACAACAAAGTAAGAATTGCCAGTGTCGGGACAATGGTCACGAGAATATCACGTGCTGTTACGTGGGCACGCGTAGACTAATGGGCCACTTCGATGGATATATACTCGAGGTCGCGGCCGTAGCTAGTTAATTATCTACGAATGCAATCACAACTCTTATGACTTGGTATCAAGACCTAGTAGTAAGACGTGATTCTACAGTATGACCTTCATATATTAGACTTGGTGAAACCAACAGTTTGAATGAACTGTGTTACTTCAATCGAGCACTTACTCGAGACATTATTGTGTCAAAATCGCACTCTCTCGTCTCTGAAAATCCTCGCTAAATAAACTTACCCCTGCCCGGCTTCTCGGATTACCCCAAGAATCAACAGCAGCCTAGCTCTTCCGTCCCTAAGGCATCCAAGTATTTTAGCCCTCACGTATTGAATCTTGTCGAAAATATAATGTGAAATGAGCCAACAGAGATTGTCATCAAGAGGGCAGTGCAAAATCGCAATATCTACGTAAGGCACAGCCACCATGTCTTCCCTGCTGTCCTCCAGACCTCGGAAAGCTCGGACGGGCCCAGCCAATCTGATTCGGCTGTCCAGAGCTACGGAGTAGGCTCTCAAGCGGAGAAAAAAGTGGCCGCTTTTCGTCTAACGAGAACATCAAAAGTCCTTCACCTAACTCAATATATCTCGACCAATGCTTTGATGATTTATATGCGCAGTCTGGGTATGGATCTCAAAAAGCATTTTCATTATTCTATTAAAAAACATTTTGTGGTTTATTGAGTATTGCGCCGAAATCTCGAGAAATACTGGGCTTTGCACCAAGACGAAAAGCGGCCACTTTTTTCTCCGCCTGAGAGGTAGGCCAGGTTAATTTTCTGGACAGGATGGCATCATCAACACTCAACACTGTCTTCCATCCGACTACCGGCACCATTAGGGTTGCAGCGTTTACCTGAAGCGAAGATCCAGATAAGGTTATGCATAAAGTTTTGGTATCTTGGCCTTCGGCATCGGGCCTCAACCGGAATATCTTATGTTTATTTTCTTCATTTGTTGGAAATTTCTCCATCGTCAACCAATGCTGAATCGTTCTGACAAGGCTGGACTGCTGTTTGAGACTCGCTTGTTTTTTCGGGAGATGGCTGGCGAGTGCCATGTACACCTCTGCAGCAGCGCGAAGACAAATGTTGGTGTTTCGGTTGTGGTCTAAAACAGCATCAGCAAGTGAATAATTCACATCTTGGCCAATTGCGAAAGCATTCTTGAAGTTCATCAGATCGGCTAGGACCAATATTGTATCACGTTTGATCAAGCCATTTCTGTTTTGTAAGATGGTTATTCGATTCCGACTTCCATGCTCATAAAGCACGGATGTACCTCTAAATTGCCTCCAGTCCTTTCGCTTACACTGTTTACCAACACACAGGATTTACCATTGGCGCCCGAGGAGGTTGGTCCCGAGAGAATGGTAAGCTTTGAGATTGTTTTGCTGTGCCTCAATTTGTTGGCCTTTGGATGAACCATACTGGCTGGTCATGTTGAAGGATTGTAGCAGCTCGTGTCAGGACTTTGGCCCTGAATGGCCCTCTGATAAATATCAAGATGAGCACCATCATCTTGACATGCGGTGCCTTCTCAATGCCTTCGAGTCGAGTTGCGGATAAACTCGATGTCTCAAACAGCGACAGATATCACCACCCACGCCCCAGTCACAAGTGGCGGTATTGTCACAGAATTCATCCCTCGCTTCACGAGTTTCCCATCAGTCTCTGGCTGCTCGACTGCTCTATATTACGATCCTGTTTTTGAAACTGTTCGTTGCGTTTGACCCGGTCTATGGACAATCCATATCTACATCACTCACATGCCTCCCACAAGAAGTTTCGCTCTGGTGGAGCCAGATGAACACCCAGACGATTACTAGGCTTGGCCCACTGAACTGCCCAGATATGTACACAATTGCCTCGACGAGCATAGTCAATTCTCTCACAACATTTGTCGCATGCTGCCCAAGGTATATCTACTCCCAGATACTTTCGTCTTCGAGCTAACAGCAAGCCTAGCAGTTATACTTTTTACGGGACTCAATATGAGACCCTCGACCCCATCTTTCAATGTGCATCATCAGTCTCCATTGGCCAGACTCTAAAGTTCGACATAGTGACAGATATCGATGTATTCGTCACCAACACCACAGTCAACAAAGATATCTATTTCAGCGTTTATGCTGTCCCTATCAACGGCTACGTCTTTGCAGACGCCACGACCAGCACATCCCAGTCAAAGACCTCTACAGCTGGCGCAATCGTTCCACAAACGCCAACAATACCCCAGACATCTACACCACTCCCAGCAACCACATCAATATCAACACTAAACGTCAACTCAAGCACCAGCGGCTTATCAACAGGCGCCAAAATCGGCATCTGCGTTGGAACCTCCCTTGCAGTCCTAGGCTTCTGCGGTCTCATTGTGGCATTCTTCCTCATCCGCAGAAGCAAGAACTCGATACGACAGCACGAGAGAGGCAGTTTGATGGAGACTCGCGCCTTGACACCCGAGTTACCTGATTCCGAAACAATTCGTCGGAAACCGGTTGCTTCTCAGAGGGCCTCCGCGACGACGACTGCAACGCAGACAACTTCGCCTAGGGCTCCGGACACGATTTGGGAGGATCCTGATGCTTCGAATGAGGGGGAGCAGGTGCAGCAGGAGGGCGTGCATGAGATGGGTGCGACGCTCCAAGTGCCATTCTCTGATTCTAATGCGTAGATGGGTTGGAAGGGGAAGGCGGTGAGATGCAGAGGTCCACTTCTAGGTTATGGAAATGGATACAGTATTGATGTCTCTATCTTTCATGGTTCCACTGGGTCGAAGAGCTCAATATTTATTAACTTCCAACCGATGATGCATTGTTCTCAGGTACTAACGAGTATTATCCGAAGTTTCTTCTCTAATCAGAAGCGAACTTTCTCCTAACCAAGCAACAAGAGTAGAAATCCCGCTCATCTTCCTACTTCACCCAAGAAGAACCATCTTTGAGTGCCAAATACAACCCAAGCATGAAGATTCAAGACGAGGAGAGGTTTCCCGGCCATAGCAAGTGCGCTCAGGGCCGATGTAACATATTTCTCTGAAGGTTCCACAAAGCCACTCCGTCTAATTTACCCTCTCACAATCCAGACTCTCAATTCTTCCATATGAAAAGTATGGCAGTGAAATTCCAATGTGCCGGAAGACGACTGCACGTCTCCAAGTCAAGATCCGTGAGAAAGGGTCCAAAAGGGAGTAGACCAAGTGAGATTTCAGTTTTTGGGGACGTTGAGAATGCCGTGGACGCGGGGTAATTATCTGGTCTTTCGGGGTCTATTAACGTTAGTAACTTAGTAATGGTTAGGAGTTTATTAGCAATCATTTCCACACCTTGACAATGAATGATTCCAAGTCAGAATCCATGCCAGTACAAGAATGATTCAGATGTTGTCCATCAGACTCTCCTATCTCTCCGATAGAAGTAGGACAGTTGAATGGGTTTAACTTGCTGCTTGCCCTTGGACACGAAAAAAACAGGTATACTGGAAATGTTGATAGCGTCCAGATATCTAGCCAAGCCATTCAGAACGCGTTGATTGGTTTCGAGGACCACGAGACCGCGTAGGAAAGAGTGTTGGGTTTCATGCCCTGAAAAGCCCTACGCAGTTACAATCCACGGGATGTTACAATGGGTGATCCGCAGCCGTTCCCCGGGTTATCATGGTTTCTGTCGAGTAGTGTCGTCTTCGGATACGAATAAATCTCGACGCTGCATCTGAACTGGTTCGTAAGCCAGTTCAGCTTGCGCCTTGCTTCGCGCGTGGGCACAACCAGTTCCAAGAGGTTCGACCATGAACCCATGTGCCAGACCTCTTTATAGAATTCGCAGCAGACGTTCGATTTGCGTCTCAATCTCGACGTGGTTGCTTTTCTTTCATATACTCGTGAAGTTGTGTTCAATCTTGCACTCCAATTAAGGAGTATCTCAGTAACGGCGAGTGAAGCAGCTATCTAGCAGCATTGAGTTAGCATCGAGTTCCAGACCCCTGGCCACTATGAACGGCGAGGAGGTAGGCAGTGCGGAAATTGTGAAGGGATGGGGCGCGTGAACCATTTATCACAACCCATGCGGTTAGAGTTGAAGTGCTTTCTTGGGTTGAAATGGTGTTTGCAACATACCTGCCCTATTAGAAAAGCTCGCAGATCGCTTCAACCAGTTCTCTAGGTGTTCAAAGCAAATGATCGGAAGAACTGAGGCCGGGTGCGCGCCATTTAATAGCGATTGTCTCTTCTCTGGTATTCGAGGTTCGAGATCCGGCGATCATGGAGAAGATCTAGACGACAGAAGAAATGTTGCTGCTGGTATGGTAACATCCCCATTGATTATCCACATCATTTCTCCAGACGAGCTAAGTGAATAAATCCAGGCTGTCTCTCCACCGAGTTCGAGGATTTAATAATCGCTCCTGCCCAATATGGGCATAGCTAATTTGGACCGGATGGTCCTGATGTAGCACTTGCGGTAGGAGGATGTCGCATCTCCCAGCCTTGCATGGCCATGGAATTCGACTATCTGCATTGTGTCGATGTTTTTAGTGACGCTTGACTCCGGTGTCTGATCAGGTTCTGAATCCTTTGTTAACTTGCTTGTCTTGCTTGATATCATGAACTGAATCCGACCTCTGAAGCTAGCGACAACGACTGTTGCGATGGTCCAAGCTGCTTCCACCTTTATCAATTGAGGGATCATAACCCCTCCACTGTTCAACCGTTGCCTCTAAATGAGCTCCAGTTTATTCGCGCTCTGATCCAACCCCCTATCGTCTCGCGTAGATCACGTGCAGTAAGAGGCATGAAGATTCCTCTCTGTAACAAGCCTTGATAGAAGCTATTGTTGAAGAATAGTGATCACACATAGTGTCAGTAGCCATTGAGAAAGTACAGAGCTAGTCCGAGCAGAAGCCGCCTAGGAACGATAAAGTGATTGCTTTCGAAAAGATTCTGCACTGTAGCAATCGACACTATCGTTCAACCCGACGGGGTACCCTCGTAATGTCTGCCTCGAGGCCTCGAGATATGTAAGGCCACGACTAAGCTGGTTATTTACAACTTTTTCTTTAGTGGTTTTATTCTTCAACAACTCCCACACACTCGAATCTCGATTCTCAATTTGCTTGTTCGCGCACGAGTCTCCCTGCTATTACCCATCCTACCAACTCGTTCAATCAGCTCTTGACCCCACACTATGTGAGTGTATCCCCAGCATTAGACTTGGACCGCAGCAAGTATCCCACTTCGAGTGGATAATAAGTGCTCTTCCTCCCTGGGACAATCGTCGAATGCTCAATATTGAACTTACTTAGTGACGCATTCAACCCGAACATGCACATCCGGTACGTTAAATCCATGCCAAATTTGCTTGTCCCGTACTAAACTGCCAATTCTAGCCACTTTGACGAGGATCATTGGTACGTACTTTGGATCATGGGCCAGTTGAATATATCCAGTACAGATACTATGGCCTTCATATCTCTGGTATACAGGGCTCAGGATGAGGTCTTCGAATGATAACCATCTTGCAATTTCTTGGGCAGACATTCTAAGAGGATTTCCAAGTTAATACACTACCCTTTTGAGCAAACCATTTCCAAGTGAAAGTCTCCAACTCCGGTCCTAGAACCACTCTAGGCTTATACGGCCGTAAACTCGAATGGGTAGTATTGATCGGTAAGTTCTCTTGTGACTTGCCTTTGACAAATACTGATTTTGTCGCCAGCCACGTATCTGCAACCCGGACAGCAGTCTTCAATGCCTCCGGTGGATCTGGCGGCCAAGAGGACCTTGCTTCCCAAGGCTTTCTTGCTTTCCACACAACTACGAAATCCACAACTGTGCCGAAGTACTTCAACCAACCCTTGGTGATATCGTGAAAATGTTGAACATCCATCAGCCTTCCTTGGAATTCAATTGTGATACTAGTAATTTTCGTGCCGATAGGAAAAAAGACCGATGCATCATTTGTGGGAAGCTTCTTCAGCCCCCCGAAATGTTAGTAGTCAGGAATCTGTTGCTTGACAGGAGTCGGTAAACTTACTTGAGACATATCTTGGTAAGGCGCTGGAGTATTGTTTTGGACATAGACTTGAAAGCCTCCTGGTTCTCACCTGAGAGGATAAAGGTATGTTCTTTGTAGAAAATTTCGAGGACTTCGCTATATAAGAGAGGATCAGGGCGAAGAGCTGCAATTAAGTCCATCGGAAGCCCATCTATCTTAATCGCGCTCGAGAACACCATTTTCCGAAGTTCAGCGGGGAGTTGGGGAAAATCCAAAGTATATTCCTGAACGGAGTCTTTAATTCCTCCAGTGGCCTCGTCAACCGACGGAAGATAGTTCTGCCGAATACCGAAGCCTTACAAAGAAAGATACTCGATATTCTCGAAAAGTTCAAATCAGCAACGAAGCCTCAGCCATGAAGCGTGTATCACAATTGCCCTTCTCTGAGGGCTCCAAAGCTCTCCGCAACTACCCTTACCTTCGCAGACCGTCTGCCTTCTCACAACGATGTTTGCACAGCTCGCCACCAAACCCAGCTACGGTTGCTCCTATCACGGCATCTGGTCCTGTTCCAGCCGCTCCTGTTCCAAGTGCTGAACATGTAGACTCCCGAGTAGCGAGACGGCGGAAACAGGCAGAGCTGTTGAAGAAGGGACAAGATTTGAGGGCTGTGGCTGCGGGTACTGGTGGTGGGACCGCGAAACAGAAAAGATTTTGGAAACATGTACATGTTAAGCCTGTTGATGGTAGTACTCACTCCACTCTTCCTTTTCAATGATTTAGATCTTGTTTCAATACTTCGAATGCTAATATGTTGTGATCTTCAGGCAAGCTTCAAGTCCACCTCGACACCCGCCCCCTCCGCCGCCCAACCAAAGAAATCCTCACGGTACCCTCCCATAAACCACATCTGGCATCCGCCATAGCACTAGAATGGGACCTCCTAGTATCCGCTCAACAAGCCCTCAAACACCACCTCATCCCCCTCACCTCACTCGTGTCCCGCGCCCTCGACATCCACGACGAAGACATGTCCGACTCGGGCGAGATCCGCGCCAACATTACGAAAACGGTCATGCGGTACCTAGACACGGATTCGCTGCTCTGCTGGGCGGAGGAAGCGAGCCCGGATCCGCCGGGCTATGAGGTCCATGAGAGTAGGAAGAAGGAGAGTCTGAGGAGTATGCAGAAGCGGACTGCAGGGGAGATCATTGGGTTCTTGACGGAGAGGGTTTGGCCTGGGGTGGAGATCGTTCCGGTGTTGGATGAAGGAAGTATTATGCCTAGGAGTCAGCCGCAGATGACGAGGGATGTTATTCAGGGGTGGGTTAGTGGGTTGCCGGCTTTTGAGCTGGCGGGGTTGGAGAGGGGGGTGCTGGCTGGGAAGGGATTGTTGCTTTCGGTGAGGTTGTTGGTTGAGTGGAGTCCGGAGTTGAGACATCTTAAGGGGGATATGGGAGGGGATGTTTTTGGGGTTGAGGAGGCGGCGAGGGCGGCGAGTTTGGAGGTCGATTGGCAGACGAGGATGTGGGGTGCTGTGGAAGATACACATGATGTAGAGAGAGAGGATGTGAGGAGGCAATTAGGAAGTGTGGTATTACTAGTGTCTGGAGAAAAGGCTTGAATGTAGCTGTGGATCATGTCGATGAAACAGATGTACAGTACATGACGATGTTGTAGAATTATTCGCTAATGTACAAAATGTGTAGACTTCGACAGTGGATAACACGGCTTGAGGGATTCTATGATGGCATCTATAGCATTGCAGACGTCTGAAATATGATGTAGAAGTGATAATAAAATCATTTTATTTGAATCGAAGTTTGACAAACTTAAAAGTTGGAATGACCTACCGTACCTTTCCCTGGATTGTGCAGGTCCATAAACTAGGACGGCAGCAAATAGGCCTGGGTGTTTTTGACAACATCCTACCGAATATGTCTCAACAATCCAAACTATCTTTCACTACTGCCAATGGCTAGCCACTTCAGCTCCCTCCGTGCTCTAGATAACTTGAGTGGCTTTGAACAGGCACCAAAAGAAGTCGGCAAGAACAGATGCTTATGTTCATAGCGTGTGAAGCATAGGCAGATGTGAAGGAAGAAACACTTGCTCCCTCTTCGCGTGAAGAAAGGGTTGTCATTCAAAGGAACAAAAGAGAAGGCGTTCCTACCCAGGAAGATCATCCTAAGATCCTTCATCTTTTCATGTTGCAATTGGCAACCAGATATCATTTTTGAACCTTTCCCCTCCGATGCTTCTGCAGTAACCAGCCTTGTATGCCTTCGTGTATGCAGAGAGCTGAGAACCGCTCTCAGAGATGCTAGGCCCTTGAATCGAGGGTAGGGACTTGATGAAATATGATTGACATGTCCATGATTCCTACTTCGTTCTTGCGTATTAGAGCTCGAGAAGGAAGATTCTTTGTCGTCAAGAGGAAGAATTTTGCTGCTTTCAACTTTCAAGTTGTGAAGAAAAACTCGCAAGGAAAACGAGTAAGCCGAGTGGGAAGTTCTCTGAACGGAGAACAGGGTTGCTTTGCTCGCAGATGTTTATTGGTCTTGAGAGCTGGGCGAGCAAAGGAGAGCTCTGCTTCGAAGCCAGAGTTGTGTTGAGGAGATAGCGGAGAGTCGTGCTTGGAAAGTTGGGCTGGTTAGAACTGAAGCAAGCCATGATTGCTGGGAGATAATAGCTAGCGTGCTGCTGTTTAGAATTGTCTTCAGCAAGCTTCAGCCTTATTTCGTGAGAAGCAGACAAGCTCGAAGGCAAGATGAGGGCTCTCAGTAAAGGAAAATTGTTCCTCCAGATTTCGGACTCGAAGCGTATTATGGGTGACGCAACATTGACTTACAAAGTGAGGATGGTAGAGTTCAACTCGACTTGCTGGAGTCAAGTGTATGACAGCGACTGTATATCCTGCTTGCCTTCTGTATTCCTGACAGTATTTGAAAGGTTCTGGCCTTGCTTGTCCCTGCTAGTATGCAAGGCTGGTTGGTCGACTAGTATGGTCGAGTACCGTGAGAACTTCCGTAAGGCAGCTCGAGGAGGTTGTGTTCGTGCGAGCAATGGATCTCGCGAATAGTCGTGCTTGGCTTGTGCATGGTTGTTGACAAGGCTTGAATCAGGCTCTTGTAATTTAAGCAGGTATGCTTCAAGATTCAAAAAGCTTTTGGTTATCGTGCAGACCTTCATTGACACTTCTTGCCACCATGTCGAGTTCTGGTTGAGCTCTAGCTCCTCCTCAGAAACTTCATCCAAGAAACATGTAACTTGTAGATTCTTCGTTCGAAGGGAAGAAGTAGAGGTTGTCGATTGCTTATGTGGTTGCAGGTAGTTCAGTGCAGACGTCGGAACTACAGTACTAGCAGTTGAGTATCGTTAGCTGAGAGTCCTTGCTATGGCATGGAAAATATGTTATACAACATCTGTGAATTCTCGCGAAAGAGAAGTTTACAATGGAAAGTCGAAAAAGCCTGCCAAGTGAATTGAAGCTTGAAAGGTGTCAAACCCTCGAGAGAAATCTGATTCGACTTATTTGAATTCTACTGCTTGAAGCTGGAAGGGCACCCACGCTGCGAAGGTGCTTCTTCGACCCGGGCTCTCTAGTTTCGGTCACCAGGAGTTGACGTTGGTGTTTCTTGGATGGTGCAATTTGAGTCAAGCTCTGTGTAAGTCGTTTCGGATGAACAGGGCGGAGTCCGCGACATCCCAGGAAGAAGAAATACACTGAGTCAACTAAGAACCGAGTTCCTCATCGTAGACTTGTTCCGACTGCCAAAATTTTCGCGTCCTTCTTCAAACTGTGTTACCCCAGTGAAACTGGTCTGTTCTTAGACAGCAACGGGAGCTTTTGTGGCGGTTCACTTGGATGGACGGGGCAACCCTCGATGGCAGCGAAGTTGGTGAAAAAAGAAGCTTCATGGAATTGGCCCATTGTGATCATCTCTGTTGAGGTTTTCAGAGACTTAACTGAGGATATGGCGAAGTTGTTGATTGTCATCAGTGGCCTCGAAGGTTCCGGCGGACTCGCTGCTTTCTTCTTTGGTAGGTATGGAGGGAAGGGGCTTGAACTCCAGGGTCAGATTTCATAGGCAGTGTAGCCCAGCTTACCAGCCCTAGAATCTGACATTGTACCTCGAGTAGCCATAGGCCATCTCCAAATGTGTGAGAACCCTTTCAAAGTCCCTCTTCGATACCCTTACTAAAACTATCATACTGAAATACCACGATGACCACGATACTCGAGTTCAGGTATGTATGTGAACGAGGATAGCCACAAAGGTGCTGGTCATCTCGTGTTTCGAGCTGAAGACTGACGGCCGGCCCTCTCAGCTGCATTGCGATGAGGTTGTCCTGATAAAGGGGGAATCAAACGAGGGTAGGCGAGTCGTGGTGGTTAGTAAGAAATTTACATGCCAGAGTTTCCGAGTCCAAACCAGCTTTGCCAAATCACAACAAAGAAAGTTGTTTCCACGTTGCAAGCAAGCCACCAATATGTGAATGATCTATCGGATTCAAACGCACGAGAGGTCCGTGGTACGAGATTCTCCTACTTGCTGCTCAACGACGGCAAACAACGTGCGTGTCATTACGGTGTGAATTCCCGGCGCGGCCAGCCGTCGACCTTGTTTTCATGGATGTTATCGCTCGCAACATGCCGTGAACAGCAAAACTCTTTCCATTTCTTTCGAGGTGCATAGGATTCGAAAGACTCGGAGCGCTCACGCCGTTCAAAAGAACTCTTCCTTGGCTTTTGACTGGGATCGTACCGGCAATCTGATACACATGGACCAGTTCAATGTACGTGGTTTCCTATGATATGCATCTCCAACCTGATGCGTGGCCAGGTGACGATCGAGCGATTATTGAGAGAAAGTGAGGGTGTGCTGGGAGTTGGCACCAACCAATAAAGGATAGCAGCCAAATAATCAGCAGCGGTCTAGGAAGTCTTCGCAATGGCGCATGTCTATGACAAATGGTATTGCTCTCCTTGTCTTCCATATCTTGTCAATGCTGCATAACGTATCGGCAGTTTAGCCTGGTGGGTCGAGGGATGGCAATGCTGGAGTAGGACGCCGCTTTTCGCGCATTGCGAAGCAAGATATAAGAGACAAAAAGTGCCACAACAACGACCAAAATTCCTTCCGAGCGATTGAAACCGAAATAGGATCTGGATAGCAGCTCGATGAGACGCTACGAAGACTGTGCGTACCATCCTGACGTCCGGGACGGCCGCACCTCGGCATCCCTATTGTATCCTCCCGTGAGATCCAATCCTACGCCACTCCTTTTTTTTGCTTTTCCCCAAGCTGGTGTTAATTGAAAGAGGAATACTGACGAAGTTTAAAGCAGATCGAAAAGAAAGATATGTGTTGATGCAACCAAAAGTTTGGCTTGCATTTTGAATCTGCGAAAGTTCAGCGCCTCGTTATCAATTCTCCCGAAGCTCGAAGCTGGGTGAGACTTGGTACGGTGGAACATATGTACCTTCCTATCCCATACAGAGAAACAAGGACCGATGCGAGGCACGGTACTTATGTACCAACAAGATTGCGTATTGTTTTCAGTGGCATTGAATCGCTTACTTCTGGCCCCTCGAAGTTCTCAGACTTGGCCCCACGCGACTGTTTTTGTATGATTGCATGTATCATGGATCGCGCATAAATAGAGTGATAGAAACTCCAAAACGGAAATGATTTAGTGACGGGAACTGGTAGCATTCGCGCACCTGACAAGTGCAGGCACGACTTGCTTGCGCCGGTTTTCGTTCCGCCTTGGAATATATCGATACTCAGACCAAGGTACCTTGAATCAGGAACTAAAGGCAAAAAAAAGGAAAATAAACATCGATGACGGGAACATTGGACTCTTTTCAAAACACTAATTTTGGTGGAGAGCTCATTGGGTCTCGTGTGTTGATGAAGCGATCAACAACATCTGCGTAGCATGGCACATCGCGAAAAATCTGTATCTGAACCTAAAGCAACTTCCAAGTCTGAAAGATTTGCTTGAAAGACAACACTTTATAGATGTGCCAGGTTTAAAGAGCCTCATATGTCCCATGGGTCTCGGTACGCCCTGTTTACATACGGAAGAGTTCGCCTACCGGCATGCTCTGACCCGTGCGCTTTGCAATCCCCATTGCCAGGGGTAGAGGCCGTACTCCGTATTTTTTATTGATATGGAAGCCGATCGATATATTTCAGCATGGACATATGTCAAAATTGCAAGATTGAGTGATTCTTTTCCTTGGTAAGGGGCTTGAGAACACATGTTCGAAGAGCGCGCGACCTGGTGTTACATTTGATATCACATTTGGGTCACGTAACCCTCCTCGGCCCCTGAGTATGCTTCACTCACGATCCCTCACTACTTCCGTATGTCTCGGCACACGACACTAGAAATACTCGTCTTTGGATGTCTCTAGGCAGTTCACGGACATGCGTCGAGAAAGCCTACATCGCAAGATCAATCTTTGCAGATTATGCACGTTCGTCGCTCCACCGGAACGATGCCGACAGCATACGTTTGTTCACTTTCCCCAGCGTACAACGATCATTAATGTCCGCCAATCAGTCCTCGGTAGTCACTATCCGAGCCAGGTCTAGCAATCCTTCGTAATTCTTTGATCCACATAACTTTTTCTCACTTGTCGCCAGGCGAACAGTTCGTTTTACTGAGCCCCAGCCTCCCCTTTCTACCCCTCGTTCTATTCTGGCTCTATACACAGGCACTCGGAGCTCTACCTTCAAGACGTTGGTTTCTGACCTGCAAGAGTTCGTATCAAGACAGAAACATTCGTGTGTTAGTCAAAAGATCTGCCAGTGTCCTACGACTTGCCGGGCTCCAAATAACATATCTGCAGTCCTCCAACGCGTCCAGAGCTTGTCTATAGCAGACTGGACGAGATTCAGACCTCAGATTCCCTATTACGCGTATCACAACCATCATATCACGGATCTGACTGGGGAGAGAAGGCCACGCGTGGTCCAGGAGCCAGATTCGTGATCGAAACCCCACATACCAGATACTATGAGTATCCGGTCTGGGAATGGATCTAAGATGTTCCTTTGCCCTGCAGAATGGGCAGGAGGAGCCCAAGGTACTGTCAGTGAGCATATATACTCGAAGATTCTTACTGACTCTTCCTCAGAGCCCAGTAATAGACGACGACGACGATGAGTGATCTCAAAAGGCTGAATCCGAAGAGAACGAGAGTAGCTGCAGAGACGCCAGCTGCGGCAGGGACATCGTCAGAGTGATGGATATATAGTGTGGTGTTTTGGGAGGTAACAGCGTTCTTCTAGTGTGTTGGTTAGTTCAGGCCATCAGGGTGGGAAGTCTATTTTACCACGGGGTAGGTGTTCGGGAGGATGGGCAAAAGTCATACAAGGTTGCAGGCGAATAAATGTGTTTGGCGGCCTGTTCAATCTGATTTATAGACAAAATGAGGTCACATACAGTAAAGCGGTTTTGCATTGAGTTAACTCAGAAGAGTTTGGATATAGGATAAATTAGTATTTGATGATTTGACAGTAGCGTATTTTGACTCCATTTCTTGAGCCTTGTCCTACGTCGACAAGCAGTCCAATGACATGAATTAGCAGAATTTGTGAGCCAGCTTGGGCTGTTTTCCCTCTATAAAGAGACGGTTCCCCAGCAATAATTCTGAAAAACTCCCTTCCGCAATTTCTCCCAGCCGCCCGTACCAAAAATGTGTCTGTGAATTGCCCTTCTTCCACCACTTACCACGAATCGAAATTTGTCGCAAAAATATAGCCACAACTTTGCAATAGAGTAGTCGTACAAGAGTAGTCAGATTAAATTTGGTAGGCCATGATTCGTCGCGTCATTTGAAGTGGTGTGGCCGCTCTTACTAGGCCTTTTCATATATTCAACCTAAGGCAACTCCAGAGCCTCGAGCAGTTGCAGCAGGGAGTGGCGGTGACGATGAAGAGAGGTATACTGGCTGTCGTGTTGATCGAGCCCGAGATGAAGTTCGTTCTGGGTGCTCATCGTGTCGACCATGGATGCTTTTGCTGCTGGTTTCGCGTGGGCTCTAGTCGCGATGGTCTCCCCTTTGAGACGCTCTGGTGCAGATGCCCAGCAATGCGTAAACAGTACTGATGAGGAGAAAGCAGAACAAGGCTTGCCATCGCCAGCCATGAATGCCAATGTCAAGCGAAGAAATATCGCAAACCGGGTCCGGGAAGACGACCAAGATGGAGACGAAAGTCCTGCCACTGTTACTGCGGGCACAGCAACTCCTACATCCTTGATGGAAGATGCTCCTGAGTCCAAAGGTAAGTAAAGGTCGCCAGTCGCAAGATGTAGAAGAGGTTGGAGGGTGTTTCTGAACTGAGCATGCTTCTTACAGAATCGTTTGTTAATCGGTCGTGGCATCGTATCTCGAGCGGATTCGGATCGAATTCCTCTCTGAAAGAACCCAGAAGCAGCGAAGAGAGCATGGCGCAGATCATGGGTCATGATAGATTCAAGCATGAAAAGTGTGAGTAACTTGCACCCTGGCTGAGGTAGTTGCTCCGCTGACGCATGGTTTCTAGTGGAAGACTTCCCAGACGGGTTTCCGAAACTCGCCGCATTTGTCAGTAGCGATGTTGACTTCGGTATGGTTCGGAACTTCAAGACTCTGCACAATCGTCTCCTCTTGCATGACCAAGTCGAGCTCACTGGCTTGGAGAAGAGGCTGCGAGAGCTTGACAAAGAGGACGAGGCAGACCCGAAGAAATCCAATTATCGATTGAGAAGAGTAAAACACAAGGAAGGCTATGGGAACACAGAGCAGAGGGATTTGCTGCAAGAGGTGCGGCGAAAGCTCAATGAATATGGTTAGAGCCTTGAACTCTCCGAGATAGTCGCTGGACTAGAGAACATGGCTGAGAACATACACAGACACGACGGTATTGAACTACGCGCGCATGCAGAACCTTGGTCAAGTGACTAAACGAAATCATCTCTCGTACTGGAACTTCATCTGGACCACCAAGCCACTTTTTGATGGATATTGGGATTATATCTATTATGCTGACGACTTCGTCAATCTCTCTGGAAACCGACCGAACGAGTTCCACGAGTTCATTCAGAGCCACATGGTCAATAACCGCTGGTCGCCAATCAGAGTATGTTCTCCAGCTCTTCGAGATAATAAGGAATAGTGATAACTGTGTCTCTAGTGGCTTTTGCGAAAAAGCGACGTTGACAAGCCCACCACAAATGAGGCTGGAACTTTCTACAGCGAAGGAAAGCTCGAAGCGGCATCTCGAGGCCTCATGGTATTTGTAGTAGCAGTGATGCTTCTGATTCCATCGTATCTCTTATTCCTAGTGCCTATGTCTCACCCGAAGATGGCTGGTGTCGTCGCCGTTTTCCTCCTTTTGTTCACCTTCCTGATATCGGCTGTGTCCAAGAGTGTGATTGAGGCGCTAATTGGCATCGCGACGTAAGTCTTGATTTTGAGATCGAGATCCTTATGCTGATGTGCTATCCATAGGTATGCCGCGATCTTGATTACGTTTTTGGGAAATCTGAGTGCTTCAAGCACTTGTGGTTGTGCAACCACTGCTGTCTGAGTGGGGTACCTGGAGCTTTTGGCAGAGGGAGATCGTGAAGGCAGAAGTCGAAAAATGAAGTAAGATGATGGAGAGGCCTCGAAAAGTTTTTCGTCATGGTTTTGTTCGTTTGTCTCTTGGTCGAGTTTCGGAGGAGGTTCGTAGACACCAGATTGATATACATTCGTTAGACCGCCGTTTCAGGAGTTGATGTCTCTCTGCGCGTGAGGAATTCCCCACTTGTTCAATATGCAGATCCATTTTGTGCTTCTATGCAACGTCTCGCACATTCTGGATTCTATCGTAGTCGCATATGCCTCGTACCTAGAATGAAGTCTCAGAAGTGGTTGGCAACAAAACACGAAAACCGAAGCGGGTTAGTGTCCTCAAGCCTCAGTGCGCCACAAAACGAGGGGAAATTGATCACGTGAAAGACTCGTAGCCTGACGATGTGGCCTTGTCAGAACGAGAACCAGCAAGCAAAATGGATACATCGAAGCCGTCATTTGTTCTGAATATGCTACATTATCTTGGAGCTGCGTCCCATGCCACGTCTCTTCCCGAATCTGCCCTATCAGAAGCAAATTATCTATTATCACTCCTGGCGAAATCCGGTGTAGATCTGATGAACACTGGTTGAAAGAATCTTGAAATTTCTTCAGACTTGCGCCAATGATTTTGAAGGTATTGGGACTTTGTCCCTTAGCTTAGCGCTACCCCTTTTCCTCGCGAGCGAGGCTAAACAGCCGAGTTCACGTGAAAGGAGGATGCCTCCTCCCGGCTGTTGTCCACCGTTGCATCCTTCATCGGTAGACGAGCGAGGCTGTGATACACAATTCAGTTCCAACCGAACTAAGGCAGACTCCCTAGCTAACTCTACTCTGCATTTCCCTCCATATTCAGGCCCATTGGCGACCTTGTGCTCGCAATCTTTGCTTGATCCATTCATCTAGTGGTGACGGAGCCAAAGCCTCGTCCCCTTGTATTCTCGTTCGTGACTACATCAAAATGCCATATATAATGTTACTTTACGATCTAAATGCCCGAGTGTGCCGTTCTTTTGGAAGAACAATCCTTGTTTTGATGACATGAGTGAAGCTCCGTCTATTGCGCTTTTCGCACAAAATCATATCTGCTTCGCCCATTTCTTGTTTTTGTCTCAGATTATGACGAGGCTGGTGTATCATACTATCCTCCTCGCCAAATTAGGGTAGAATCACAGAGAAATTCCGCAGCAGACGAAGGTCGCTGGGTTGTACAGGCTCCTCGGATTCATCTTGGACTAAACTAATATGGAGAAATATTTTCAGAGGCTTAAAGCATATTTGATCAGTACATGTATTTTTGGAAGTAAGATTGTGTATGTCTGATAGACAGTCACGAATATTCAAGTAAGAATGAAATTTGCAAAAGGAACGAGGGTTTGGATTTGCCGGCAATGATGAACTCCTTCACTTCACCAGAGATGTGAAGCTTGATTCAAGTATGTATCATGAGGTGAGTCAGCCGCAAATGTCTACGTCCAACAGCATGTATGCTCAGCACGTTCGAAAAGCCTCGTCAACAATAATGGCTAGTAGCCTCGATGTATTTAATCGCGCAAGGGTGCCCTCCTTCGAAACCTGTGAATCTTTGCCCAAAATACCATGTCTAGCATGCAGTGATGCACATCCTTTTAATTGACACCCAGAGCTTCTCACGTTGAGGTTGACATTGAGGTTGTCCTCGGACTAGATAGAACTTGACCGTGATGCAAATTTTCAAACCATCCTAAGAACAGTTCTCGACCGACTAATTGAATACGTAGAACTGTCCAGGCTCACCAGAGTTGCTTGAAAATCAATAGTCTTCTTCGAATATTGACTAGCTTGTAGCTGTCGTGGTCGAAGTATTGACGGGAAGATACAGGAAATACTTGACAGATAAAAAAATCCTGAGAGATGTGTGACATAATATACCACCTTGCCCATCCTGTAATGGACTTGGATGCTCAGCATATCATCATTCACTTGTGTATGATCTTTTCTCCTTTCCTTTCTTGCCTTCAATCGTTCTCGAATTCAGAAGAACGACTGGAAGAACAGTAATTTGCAGGTCATCAAGTTGATTCTTAGTCGAATATAAGAGGTCTGTCTGTTGGTGTAGTTCCAATCGAATAGGGGGCCGACGCTCTCGATACAATAAATCCAGCAAACTGGTATCAGGCGACAAACATGGCACACTTGTGAAAACAAAAGGGGCAAGCGGAGTAACACCGCAACTAACCAGCAGCAGAGAGTCGTTATCATACCATACTAATTCAGCAGGAATCAACACCTGAACTTGTAGCCAGTGGTCCTTGTATGATTCTGATATGGAGCTTTGGCCAAAGGTCTAGATCCAACTTCCTTGGCCATTATTCTTGTAGATCTTAGCAAGATACGTTTCGTAGAACGTCTTTCGGGTGCTCTTCAAGGACGCAGTACTTCGGCAGGAAGGTCAAGGGCTTGTTCATAAACCTCGAATGTAGATAGGTGTCGAAATTATGCAGTAGTCTAAAGACAAGGAACAGGAAGATAGAGATCGAGAATAATCGTTGAAGGACGTTGATGATCTCCTCTCCTGGCGCAGAAGGCTTGCAATACTCCCCAAAAAGGCTGCAAAGGTGTCGAAGGAAGGAACTTTCGGGGTGCTCGTAGACAGAATGGGCGTTGGCGAAAGAGTAGCATGCTTGTCGACCTGAGAGGTAAGTCTGCACTCTAGGGAATTAATGCTTGCACTCCAAGGAGTACAGAGCCTTAGCTAAGAAAGAATCGACAAGCTGATGTATGACTGCCGATGTCTAGTCGGATGGGTAGTTTTCGGTTGTTGTCGAGAGGATGAAAGCGAAGTAAGAAGGACGACTCCTATCCCGGTCAGCGAGCCACAGCCTTAAGGCTAGAAGGGCACCGTGGTGGCCTGGTATAGAGCTTCTTTGACAGTCACTAGCTCTGAATCTTCTTTTCGTAGATCTGTCGTTGACGTGAGTAGCAGATGAGATGAAGTTGCTACGCCGAAAACCGTCTTCCATGGTCTCCTGTTGGCGCTTTTGTTGGCATGGACTCCTCTGATTCTCTAACAAGATGTAAAGCTGTTGAAAGCGAGTCTATCTAGGCATAATAGAAGCATTCGTGGTCTTCCATCAACCCGAACGGATTTCCTAGTTCGCAGTCGAGGCCTAGAGCTGAAGAAGTGTGCCACTGTGGCTGGAGCGAATCGTCGGAGTAAAAAGTGACATGATTTGATACAGTTTTCCATTTGAAAGATTCAAGAAGGCTTGAGAATAGATGGAGTGTGGTTCCTTAGTCCGTCTTGCAACAGGTATCGATTGTATGCTGAGGAAATGAGAGGAGGGTGGAAGAGACGGATCTAATAGGAGGAGCGAGACATCTTAGCGGTAACGTTACTGCCAAAACGAACCCTCGTTTCCTCATACAACTTCAGAACAACATCGATCCTTCATCCCAGCACAAGATGATGGGGAAGATCGTCGAATAACCGTACATCCGCAGAACGCGTGCATCATTTGCATCGCCTCAGTGAAGATAGCAAACAGTCTCACTACGATGCGTACCTGCACTCCAATCAGATTCCATGATGAGACCGAGAGCAGGTGTGCTTCGGCAGGCTACACCGGATGTGTCCTCAAAATGACATCTCCTCCTTGGGCACCAATGCGTTCTATTCGTGATAGGCACGCCTATCCATGAGGCAAAATAGGAGAGGACTTAATCGGTCGCAATGGTGGAAGAATAATAGCGGCAACGACATTCAGTCTCGAGCGGTCCATTGAAATGCGGAGGTAACATCAAACCAAGTGTGGTCCGAGAGCACGGCGCTTATATTGCTTGATAACATTGGATGGGTTACCATGCTGCGCTGGCGTATCTCGAGTCTCGTCTGCTGATTCGGAGAGGGGAAAATCAACGTCTCGCGGCGGGCAGGCTGTGATGAGAATTTAAGAACAAGACACGACCCTCAACAACAACAATATCTTTCTTCGGGTAGCTCCCTTTGATGGATGTTTATGTCGTTGTATGAGATGAAACGTTGGATGTTGCCAGAGCAAAAAAGGGAATGGGACTCGAGAGAGCTCGTGTACGTACAGACGTTCGGATTCGGCAAGTGTCCATCCGTCCATCAGAGTGAAAGATACTTGGGGATCCACCCCCACTCCACGGAAATGTTGGACTTCAGTTTTAATTCAAGTAGCATCTGATTCGTGCTCTTTCGTTTTGGGTGTCCTCATATGCGGGTGCGGCCCGCAGCATATGCGCACGATTGGCTTTAATTTATGCAAGACGTACGCGAAGAAACAAGACTGGAATCTACGCACACAAAAGAAATCTCGCTGAAGATTACTCATTCGAGCTGATAGTGGCAGGAAGTACTAGGTACTTCAGGGAACAAATGGAGTGCAACGGTCGAGGTACTTGAAAGGCAGTTGTCCCTCCGGAAACACGGACAATTCGAAACTCCTCGATCTCTATCACTCCGTGCTGATGGTATCTAGCATGATACCACGACAAGACATCAGCCAGTGTATTGAAGAGATAATCGCAGAAACTCGACCGCATGTCCTACGCCTTGCAAACTCAGATCCTGCACTTGCATCTGCCATGCTTCCTTGACTTTGCGAAAATGAGCCTAAAATGGCAATCTCTCTCCAATGTGGCGCAGCTCTCAAAGTAAGCCCTCAACACATTGGGTTTTCGTTATCAAGGGACAGGACAATTGATGAGAAAGGAGGGAAGAGCAATGGTGTCCCCGGAGCGCAAATATTGGTAATGGATTCAACAGAACGTCCTTTGCAAGATGGATTTGAATTTGCGGATGCTACTATATGAGCACTTTCACCCGTGCATGGGAGGTCAACAACACGACGCCCGACTTCTACTGTACCAAACGCGACCAAGATTGATGGGTAGCGTGTATCAGTCAGTCCTTCTGTTAGCGAGATGATCTGACTCTGCAAGCTCAACTACCCTAGGAACCAGTACACTGGGTCTACAGTGTCGGGCCGTACCGAAGAGCACATGGACTGCTGAATGAAATGAACGTCGTTGACAAACATCTGTTCATTCTCTCGTGTCAAGAACGACAGGGTTCTGATGGCATTTTCCCCTCTCAGCTCATACTTTGCTAGTTCTGCGAACTTTGGCGATGTCTCTGGAGAGGCATAGCGGGCCCTGGTGCCCTATGATGATCTCTCTGGACCGAAAAACACCCCTGTCCCCATCTCAACAAATGGCACACAACGGAGATTCATTGAACTGGACTGAGGCTGATTACAGGAGCATTCTTTCTCCGTGTTCACACATCGTGAATGATTCGTCCCTCGTAGAGAACACGTCCCTCTAGTTCGCAGGCACGAGTTCGTCCCATTCCCAGAAATGGGAGAGACGTAGCGATGGCTGGTAGAGCCTCGCCTTGATGCTTTCGAAGCCGAAGGCACTGGACTCCCGTCCTATCATATTTCTTCACGTTTTTGCGCATGAGCATGCAATCCGATCCAATAGAGCCGTCCTCGATGGCTAGGGAGGAGACTCAGCCTCTGACGGCTTCGCACATTCTGGTCAAAAGTTTCTTTGCAATATTCTACTTGTTTCTTCTCCGACGTTCTTCTCCAATTTTCTCTTCTTCATGCCAGATCCAAGACGCGGAGTCTACTTTTGAGATTTTCACTTGGTCCCGAAGACATTCAGGTTAGTAATTTGTTTAATCCTTTCTTTTATCAGAAGGACCATACTGAGAAGCTTGTATTTACACGTGATTGGTGTCTAACGCTTCACACAAGAAGTCAAAATTCCCAAGTCTACTCCAATCCATATTACAGGTCATTTGGATGACAACTTCTCAGAATAAAGTATTCATAGGTACTGCTACAAACGTTATCCTAATCCCAATGATTTCGCCCAAGGCTAAGTTGAGTAGGAAGCAACTACGAGGAATGACCGAAACAGAGAGCAGAAGTTGAGGTCAACGTCAATCGCGGACAATGGGTATCGAAGCTGTGCAAATTGTTCGCCCCTTAGAAGAACCTGACCCGGTGCGTCTACCGATTTTCACTGCGAACAGATGAGAAACTAATGGCTTAATCAGTACCCCTCACCACCACCATCCAGAGCTTCCGGCAACAAAGGAAAGTCAGCAGAGGGCGGATCTCCTTGTGACAAACATAAAGTGGTGGGGTGTGCTGAAAAGTCATGTCAAAACGGCGAAGAGCAAGATCAAGGAGGCAATTCCACTGGCGCGGCAAGTTAGGGTGGTTTCGGTCTGAACATAATGTCAGCGTCGTCAATGGATTCGCATTGGCCTGAAGTCCAGAGAAATAGTGTAGGAGATCGCATCTTAGACACTGCAAGTAGAAAATAAACCCATACTTGCCATTTTGCAAGTTCTGTAATCAGCAGATGCATGAAATTGAATACAGTGGAAAACCCTTTGGCGTATGCGCCATAGATCCTGAAGTGCGATTGTTGTCGTTGTTTTCACCACCAGCTCATCTGGCACCAATGGCAGTCGAGGTACTTCGAGAAGTACCTTCTACGTACCGCAGGCACTTGCGCCTATAAGTACCTCCCTTGGCCCTCGCACTTTTAGCGATCATAAATTTCATCGCGCATGAAACGAGAATCTGTGACTGCGCATGACTCCGATACTCAACTCTTGTAAATCTCGAACACATTCAAGAGTCGCGCCAAACAATCTAGTAGCCTTGCATTAAAGTAGCGTTGCAAAAGCAAGGCAAACAGTACATCCAAACTGATTCGTCGGTACGTCGAGGTGGTCACACCAATTCTCACCCCCCCTTTATTAGCTATCGGGCAGCCGTGGCCTGAGTCTGTAAGGCCACCATTTGCGCAGTCTTGAATTAGCAACCACGAGTACATGTTGGTCTTCTTTGCGAGTGTGAGTGAAGATGGACGCAATGTTTGTTAGCTACAATAATGGCACAAAAACGAAGAGACGTGGGCTGGATCCACCCCAACCAGGATGATACTTACTCCGACAATCACAGTGCCGAGGGGGCCGACAAGTCGCAACAAATGAATACCGTCACACATCGAGGGCCAAGATTGAGACACAGCCCAGCTGATGGTGGTAATCTGCCAACTGAGACGATTAGCTCGGAAGATGGGAAAGGTAAACTCCTCGCTGCATAGTCGACTGGACATGCAAAATGGAACCTTTTTACTGTTCAAACAAGAACTCACTCGATCTCAGTACATGGTACGCCCAGACTGCCAGGTCTTGCAATAACGCAAAGCGGTAGTGGATCATTCCAAAGCTCCTCGCCACAGCGGATTCGGTCAGAGTCTCAACGTGCGAAACCAGATCCTGCCTCCCGCTTGGACTATGAAAAAGGTCAGCGTTCAGGTTCATATCGGTCCTGTCGTGCATACTGACCAGGCTATAGTACACGACTATCCTCTAGGGACACCACGCCTTGCGGCATTCATGAATTCCTCGGACCACAACGCTGTATATCGACGATTTGGACGTCTGTCTGCACGACTTCTGGTCCAACTCGAAGTGGAATTGACCGGTCTCGAGACAAAACTAGACGAGCTTGACAGAAAGGACGCGGCGGACAAAGTGATGAAAAAGAGGCTGCGGGGATATGAGATTGAGGGAGATGATGGTGCTCAGACTGAACTTCTCAAAGAGATACAAGAGAAATTGAGCCAATACTGTAGACCACATCATAAACTCTACTTCGAAATTCTATACTGACTGAAGACAGTTGAAGTACTGCTCTACGAGAGCCAAGTCCGCGCACTTGAGCCAGCACCTCCACGACATCATCTTGGTCTTTTCGACTACATGCGGAATCGAAAACCTTTGGCACCGGATAGAGACGACTTTATCCTCCATGTAGAAGATTTTGTATCTGTTGCCAAAAAATCCGAAAGCGGTACGCGTATTACAGATGTACTCGAGATCTTCATGGCTTCATGTCCACGTATTGCTAAGTTCCTCCACTTGAAGGTAAGCTTCGAACTTGTTATTGAAAGGGACGATGAGAAAACGAGCTAATCCCAATGACAGCGTATCCTGCAGACCAAGCGGGAGAGAGAGAAGATCGAAGATGACACTGTCGATCAGTACTCTGAGTTTCGGTTTGGCGTCCTTAACAAAGTTGTCGCTGTTTCTGCAGCAGTATGCACTCTTCTTATACCCGTGATGCTGTTGTTCCTAGTGGACATGTCGAAACAGGCAATGGCGTGGCTTGTGTTCGTGTTCGTGCTTGCGTTTTGTGTCATGGTGAGTGTGGTTACAGGTGCCAGAGCACAGGACATTTTCATTGCAACTGCTGCGTAGGTGTCCCGAGACAGTCTAGGAAGGGCAATGGACTATATGCTGATGGCTTTTTAGGTACGCTGCTGTCTTGGTGACATTTCTGGGCAATTTGAGCCATGGATAGGCGCAAATTGAGGGAAGGCGAGATGAATGGTAATTCGTAAATGGGAATAGTAGCGTCGGAAATCGACTCGTAGATGTGGTTTCTGGGGTTTCTGGTGTCGGCCGTGTGGAACAGCTATGGCTGCGATGTGGTGTAGAGATCGGAAGGCTAGAAGTCTTCGGTATCGTGTGATGAAGGAAATAAGGAGATGTTGGCATGGCGGTTTCCTAGGCATCAATTCTCGCAATTTCTGTTATTTATGGGCTTCACCTCTCTTTCGTAACACTCTCTAGGTGTGGGTGGGTTTAGGATCATCAAAAGCTCATATTCTTCGTGGAATACATTCGCGTTCATTGTGTCAAGATGTCGCAGCTGCAGGTTGTGATGCTCTCAAGAACAATAGGGGTTGAGGAATTCTATCGCGAGAAATTTGGCGGCTGAGAGTCACGAGAAAGCTAGGCCATATTGATCGATCACATGATGCCAAAAATTATTATTCTTTTTGGAATAATATATTTATCAATTTCTGAAGTAAAATGACTATGACTGTTTGTCGTGCACACTGCACAAGAACGTATAGAGCGAGAGCTCCAGTTGTAGTATCGCATTAAGTCTCAAACAAGCCCCTCATTGGTTAAACCCATGTTCATATTCAGCGTTGTTTGATACAAGTACACTGGTAGGGTTTTCTTGCTGGAATTTGTGTTCCCATCTCTTCCAATATCTTTTGTGCCATGCACGACTTGCTCGAAATACTGTGCAGTTTGCTCTTCAAGTATGCCCATTCATGTCTAAATGGTGACTTCACCTTCCACCCAAGTGTAAGCCTCGTCACTTGAGGTCAGCCTTGCACCGCAAAAAGATGAAAGCAATCAAAGACGTAAGTCTTGAGATTCGAACCATGAGCAAGGAGCAAGGAGCCTCAAGCTTTGGATACTTTCTAGAATAAACTGAATACACCCCAAAATGAAAGTATGCGGCAATGGGCTAAAAAGTCAGATGAACGGGAAAGCGAGGGTATGAGGTTGGAGGCCATACGGCACATGCTTCTTTAAGCATCGTACGTCCTCTATATCAGAGACCAACTCAACGTCCCCGATATTCTGGAGCGGACGGCCTAGTGTATTGTTACCTCCATTGGCCGGCCCAGAGCAAGAATGGTAACAAGCACTTGCTGTCTATATTCCTCATCATTTCAACATCGCTCGAAGATATGTGTACCTCTCTGTTAACCAAACAATCCGCATCAAGGCTCCGTTGTAGCACAGTTTAGCTCTCATAGACGAAGCATCTGCGCGGGAAGTTGATAGCTGGAGGTGCTGTTCGGTATGAATATTGAGGTCGCTCTCGTTTGAGAATTGCACCTTTCGAGGCTGCAGCTTTCGAGGCTTAAATGGAGATTGGTGGGATACGTAGGACTCTGCGCTCACTACAGATAACATTCGCTTGAATGTAAAGGTAGGTAGAGAAGTGACCGTCCTCGGGACTAGCTTACCTAGCTCTCAACTCATGGCATGCCTAGGCCTGTGCATTGAAAGGCACAACACTCCTCCGAGGATCTATGTTCGAGACTACCTTCAGCACAGAGCTTGCCAGCAGATCCACGGCCATTCGACCTAATGGAGGTGCAAAACTTGCTTTCCAGGAGCCTGATATTCTCTAGAAGGACGACATCCTTTCGGTAATGAGCTCGGCTGCATATGTTGGTGCTGACAGAAAAGTTTCGTGTCTCCTCCTACAACACTTGACATTTGTGCCCACAATATTCGAGACAAAGTCGGTGATCTTCGTACGCTGTCGAAGAGGTCCAAGACACGTCTTTCTGGAAAAGTGGCTCTATCGTTCTCGTTCTTGCTGCGTCACAATTGCAAATGTATGTTGACAGGGGCGTCGTGCGTCGTGTTGCTTGCCAAAGGTTCGATAGCGAAGTAAAGCTAGATATGCATTCGTCGATCGAAAGATCCAATTTGGATCCACTTGATTCGTCTTTCGTAGTGGCTTCAGTTCCATGGACCCATCATGTGCCCACATTATCGCCAAGCAGAGCTGTTCTAACCAAACGCTTGCAGTAGATGTTCAAGCGTCGTATCGTTTACTCAATCGCCAGCGTGCTTTTTGCTTGTTTCGAAGGTCTTCAAACTCTCGCCCCTCGCCATGAGAAGCTGCAGTGCGTCCTTTCAATTCTCAATCTCTGGATTGATTGTCAGGATAGTTTGGTTGATGTTTAGAACATCGCAGATTGACAGGCAGAACCAGCAGCTTCAGTTTTGCGGCGCAGTTGTGAAGAATGGCGACCTTTCGAAGATCTCTGGCTTGGTTGCACTGCTATATGAGACGCTTCAAACTTCAGTAATAGGTAGATTCATCACCGTATGGTGATATAGATGTGTTGGAAGACAAAAGTGATTGAGGTAGCAGGGAACATTGTGCTTGTTGAGTCCGATTTTCTGGCACTAAACATTGGACATGACTCCCATCTCCAGACCAAGTATGGCATCAGCCTAACCCCTCAATTTCTAGCTTTGGAGATGACTTTAAGCAAGTGAACCCTCGATAGGGTCGAGTTGAAGGGGCGAGCTGGGAGTGGACAATGCTTCAAGTTGCTGAGAGAGGCAAGGAGGTAGTCGTGCAAGCTCGCAGGTGCTCCGTCGCTGCGTACATCTCCCCCCAGCTATCCAGTCAGGATACTCATCATTCAGCTCTGTTGAACACACGCTTGATGCCTCAAGACGAGAGCAGGTGTTTTGCTGGCAGAAGCATTGACGGCAGAAGGCATTCTTCAAAGTTAGCAGGCACTTCTCGGAGACCTTGCAACATAGCGGCATCAAAATGGCACGGCTAGACAGGAGGATTTTCTCGATTGATGCGTGGTATTTGGAAGACACCCTCCTCGGATGGGAAAACAAGTTGGATGACTGTTGCTTCTGAGAGATGGTGGACAAAGGTGTCGATTAATGCAGTGTTTGGCCTTCTGCGAAACAGAAAAGCCAGCGATTCGACGGGAAAACCAAACGATAGGGCGAATTGGAGTTCAGGACTTGGAGCTGAAGCTACAAGTCTCTTGAAGAAGGCAATCCTGGTTGGCTGAGCTTGTTCCTGAATCTTCATAGCACTCCTTTGAAATGAGGAAGGACATGAGGCACGGTCGGGAAACGTGGTAAGATAATGTGCTTGAGCAGTCGTGGCTACCGATGCGTGGCAGAGCTCCATCCTAGTCCCGCTCAAAATCATATCTAAGCTAAGAAATGGTGGTTTGGGCACCTCCAGCGTTGTGGAGCTCAATGTGCATCAACTCTGCTGTGAAGAATGCACATCATCAGAGCTTCTCCACCAGACTTCTGCATGCGCCGGCAAGGCTCGGGCTTATGTTATTATAAGTATGATATCTTGCTCCTTTGGAATTTCTTTCAAATTGACCTTGCGAAAGTTTTTCATTGGCCAGTCAGATCTTCGGACATTATCTCAAATGAAGTTAGGGTATTCCATTCGCCCAGCACCGATTAATCAGGCTATTTTCCCCTTAGATGAACTTTCTTCCTACTTTTGCTTTCTCCTAACAAGGACATTTCCTAGTCTTTTGTTGCTACCTCTCTTTTCCTGTTTGTTGCTTCTTGAGAACGCAAATCTGTCAGATATCACATCATACAGGTTGCCTGAGAGCACACAGTGAAGCGGCAATTCAAACTCTTGGATTGGTCTGACGCTCGACCTTCCACAAAAAAGAATTATGCCACGCACTGGGATGGCGGCACCGCAAATGGCACACTTTTTCGTACAAAGATGCATTTCGCCGAATGCCGTTGAGGATATCCTTGGTCGGACACCGACTTTCCGTAACAGCGCAATTGGCAGTGGTCTGAGATGAAAAGGATAAGAGATATTTGGGCTCCGGCCACGTTCGAGGGAAATAAAATTAATTCTAGTATCCCTTCGAAATAATATATTTGGGGAAAAGAGCTTTTGAATTGCATTATAATTGTCCAAGATTTTGACAACGTCATCTCGAACAGGATGTGCTCCGACAAGAAAAACTGGATACTCATAGCGAAGGAGTTGCTTGCTTGCGATACTTGGTACGACAAAGGATTCATGGCTGGACACTCGATCCTGGTCCCTGCATCGCCGGCGAGCTGCTTGCGATAGCAGAGGAAATCATGGATGGCTGCCTTTGGTGAGTCTGTGCGATCACTAGATCATTAGATTCACAAGATTCATTCAATCACTCATGCACTTGGAGAGCCGAAGACTAGCTATTTGTATCTTGGAAAGTCCTAGCAATCAAAGTCTTTCCGTCGCAAAGTCCTAGCAGATTTTCAACTGGGGCGACCTATGAGCACGGCCCTCTCAAAGGATTCTCAGTGAGAACTTCTCACTGCAGCCGGGCGTCTTCATGCCAGGGAGTGCAATATTTCTTAGGGATTATGGTCACGCTTGTCTACTTCCAGTCTTGGATATGCGTTTGAGAGAGCTGGTAGTGCCATCTATTGTGAGGTCTCTCGAGACTTTGAACAGCAAAGTCATGCACATGTTAGTTATCGATGTTGTCCTTAGACCGCGTTGAACCTCATAAATTTACGCTTCATCTAAGGCCATCTCCACCAACGTTGAAAAGCATCTATTACATTGCCAAAACTTGTTCGTAAGGTGAGAGAGCCTTGGGTGTGGCACACTGGATTTACTTGCGCGACTGAGTGTTTCAGTCGAGGATGTTAAGTTTTTTCTACCGCTGATATAATTTTCATTATTCACTTCCGGGCTATCTAATATGCATGACTTCTGCCTATGTCTTGGTAGGTCATTGAGGCAGAGCTAGACGCTTGAAGCCAGAACCTTCTTCTTAGTACTGCACTCCCACATACTTCGCAACAGAATCCTTCGAAATTAGATTGAAAGAGATCAAATGACTATTAAGTGTAGCTTTGGATTCAACATACGAGAGGAGACGTTCAAGGTGAGATTTAGTAGAGCACTTTCTGCTTCGTAAGGAAAGAAGAGGAGATCTAGAACTTGATGTTCAAAGACAACATGTCAGTTGTATCCGACTATTTGTAGCACAGATATCTCCACCTCCAAATCGAAGCTGTCTTCCGACTTACTCTGGAGGGGCTCAATTTGATAGACACGGACCAAATTTGTTGTCGTTTTACCCCACTACTGTATCACATACCCTCCAAAATCAAATTTGGAAGTGGAGGAGATCATATTGAAGCAATTATGACGTACCAAAGCTTCTACTGACATTTTGAATTTGGTCCCGCTTCATTTTCTGGCCCCCACTCCGCCCCACAGTCTGTTTCTCAAGGCAGCAAAGTCCTAGTAACTATTATTGGAACAAACATCCAACAACAACTACCAGCATGCAACATTCGATAGCCCAATACCAGAATGGCGGGACGACATCCCAGCTAGGCAGTCATCGTTTCACATGAGGTGTCTCCATTTCCCGCCAACATCTATTCTTACATCCACGACTGCTTCCTACACTTTGATGTATAAACATCTCTGAGCACCACAATTTCTTTGATACTGTGTTTTCGGGGCTCACTTACCCCGCAAGACTTCACGCCATGCTGGTTATCAATTCCGTTGCCGTTCTTGCATGTCTCTGGGCCACTAGACCGGTATTTTCTGAGCAATGGAATGGCGCCAATGCTCAACAACCACTACTTCCAACGTCTTCATCACCAGCCCGCAACTACAGCGTCGGGTTCAGCCTGTCATCCTCATATGGAGCAGCAGCAGTCATAATCGATGATGTCCTCGATGGAAAGAAGACCATGACATGGGTAGTGCATGGTGACACTGCGTATCAGAAAACCATGGCGAGATTATCTCTGGAAGAGTCAAGATATCTTGCGTAAGTGCTTCCCAAGCCATTCTTTCTCGTAAGGGTGCTAAAACTTCTCCTCCAAGACCACCGTATGATGATATGCAAGATTACTTCAACAACGTTCCTCGCGTGCTGGCCCGCCGAGCTCTGAAAGCCAACATGCAAGTCCTATTTGGGTATGCCATCACGAGGAATCAGACCTGGTGTCGGGCTGACCTGGTTAGGGAATGCTGTGGGACGACACAACCCTGAGTTGAATACTTCTCGCATGGATCTTCTGTTTTTCAAACTGGGTCAATGGCTCTTGGAGATGTTTCGATGATACGGATCTCATACGAGAAGTAAGCTACTATATTCTCATTCGGATTCAATCACAACCTCAATATGATTCCTGAATTCCTGCTTGCTTCTATACATTGTTCAGATCTGCAACAAGGCGCTCTGGCGAGCCAATTTCATTGCAAGGGGTTTTTCGGAGCCGTGTCCATCACGCGATAGTCCTCAACAGTTATGCCACCCGAAGCAACCTCCTCGACTTTCACCGTAGGATATGCACCGCTTATTTTCGTCTTCGTGATATAAGCTGCTTATTGTCGGCGTGTCGCGATAAGCCTACTTCCGGCCAGCGTCATACATTAGAAGGAAGGAAGAAGCATAGCTGAGGCTCCAGAATGAACAAGAACCAAGGTCCACACAGCGAGCACTAGCATATTCTGAGGCTCGCATTTCACTTAGCGCCCTAGGCATCCAGAACACAGGAGACTGTTTGGTGCAGTTAGGTGGCTGGAAGTATCATCGAAGCTTCGACGCCTTCGGTAGCGATCTTTTATCCTTGCTGAGAGGCTGATGCGATACTTGCAGGCCCTTGCAACCCACGACATGCGGGAATGGTTGGTGGCTGAGACTGAGGACACGCTTAATAATCATCAACACCCAGCCTTATTGGCCACAGCTTTCTGCTTGCAGCGTCTGAGCACTGAGATAAGGCTCAACGAACAGGCTCCAAATATACCACGGTAGATACAACGCATCCTGGCCATGAAAGAGGATTTTCTATACCCGCGCGCAACGTCTCGACAATTTCATAACATATTCCTTTCCTTTCTGTTCTCAAAAGACTGGAGGACTCGTTTGTTAAGGCCGAATCGCGTGTCATTACCAAGCCTCAGCCAACACTGACTAGGGCTACAAAAAGTTCTTGCCAGCGACAGAACCACTTCGCCAAAGATAGTGTGATTGGGCGCAAGTGGTTAGGCTGAATCGTCGCCATCATCTATCACCATCGCAATCCAGAAATAACGAAAGACACCATCACCCACAACACGCTTGATCCCAAGACCAACGCGAAGAAAGAAGCGGTTTTCTACGTGGTCTTAATACACGTTTCAAAGCTCTTCGGCTAAGAGGTATTTGGCAGCACACACAGAACCGCCTTTAGGACAAAATTAAGGCTGATAGGATCAAGCTTTGCACGCTGTATCCAAAGGTCGAACCACTCCTAGTATTAGAGATGGCAATACGCAAGAAGCGTATAAGTGACGAGAGTAAGGCGGAAGAAACCGCCAAGAGAGTGGTAAGAGAATTCTGTCTCACAGCTTCGCATATCACTGACTTCGTTTTAGACCAAGCGAAAACAAATTCAAATTGATTCAGAGCCAACGGAAGTTCTACGTGGATATCCTCAATACCCTGTTGGAGGGAAGGATCATGATGGTAAAGGAAAAATTTACGCAGTCATTATCTTCGAGAAATATAGTGAGGTAGGCTATGTGACTGCCTATGAAGAATGTTTTGATACTGGGCCTAAACAGAAAGGCATCACGGTAATCTGTTTAGAGGATGGGGAAGATTGTATGATTGATGGAGCCATTGTGAAATTTATTCGATAAGAGCCGAATCTTATTGCTCGTCGCGAGGCACATTTTGACGAAGATGTCTGTATCCTGGCCATGTGAGGCTGAGCATAAACGTATCAAAATGTATTGCTGGTGTCTCCATGTGATTTTCCCTTGATACAACGCATGACACCTGGTATTCCATATAGTCGCGGAACTCTTCCATTTGCAGCGTGAATAATGCCATCACGATCCGCACCTAGTCTAAATTAGCAAAATCAGGCGATGGGAGGTAAAGGGTTTATTACAGTCTTCATCCACATAGTTGCGATTCGAAGTGGAAGCTTTCGCTATCACATACTTTGTTAGACGCCTGTACTGCGGCCAGGTAAATACAAAGGTGCCGATTGATAAGTTTCCAGAAAATATAGACAGTTTTGGGCAGGACTCTCCACCCCCTGGTTCTCCCCTTGTTATATACAACAAGCGACTCTTCTCTCCAAGTCCTTCAAGGGAAGTGTAGAGGCCTTTCATTTTGAGGATTAGGAACTCCACGAGCGGGTGCTTTCCTGTAGCTCTGTTAATAACTGCTTGCTATTCTCAAAGTAGATAATCTTGCTTACCGCTTCGCGCCTTCGGAGTCTGAGGCAGTATTGATGGAGCAGAAATCTGCAGACTTGGAGACCATGACTGACCGCGAGAAGCTTCCGTACAGTGGCGTTGACCTGTCTCTGATCAGCATCGCATTCCTCACCAAAGATGATGATATACTCACTCGAGGTAACTGGATTATGAATAGCCTCAGAAGCTACAGGTCCACCATCCCATAAGATCGGGTCTGGCAGTTGACGTTGGCTTGTGTGTGGACTGCGATCGTGTTGTTGCGGTACACTCTTCTCTTGCCGAGTTCCTTAGAAAGATAGGTGGGGATCCGCCTCATTGAGTATTGACTCTGAGTTCAATGACTTTCAATGTGGGTCTATTATCTCAGTCTTCGTCGATAGATAGGTTTATAGTCAAGCGGAGAACAGTAAATCATTGACTTTCTTCACGGCTTTTCATCTCTACTAAGCCAGACAGAACATATAACTCTGCAAAACCCCGAATTCCCTGCAAGAGAGAAAATAAATACATCAAGGTACATGAAAGTTAATACTTACCCTACAGCATAGAGGACCGTCCGCTTTGATACTTTCACTGTTCACTGAAGACAGCTACACAAAGCTCCTGATATGCCATTATTTCCCTGCAGTACACATGATCTGATCCCACATGTCCTTGGTGACTTGCTCAAGCTGACGGTGGCTCGAAGAAGGAAGATAGGACCACGGTTTATGGATATCGTTTGACCATAAAAGAACTTCACTAACCCCAAATCCGGTCTCGTTTTCCATTCCCACCACAGAGCCTTGTCGGGCAATATACTGTTTGCCGACAGCCCCGCTACTTCCTATCATGACTTGCAGACTGACTCTGTATATTTAAAGCTTCGTGCTCGTCAGATCGCAGCACGGTAGGCTGAGGGAGGGTAGTATCGAAGAGAGGAGAGATTGACGAAGAGATTCTTCTGAAAAAGAAGATCGTGAGACATCTTCAGAGATCGTCGTTCCTGTTGGGCTCTTCATCCTACTAGATGTCAGGTTACGCTGGTGCGTTCCACGATGTTCGACTGCTTGATCGTAGATTCGTGCTATACGTCTGCTTGCCATGTGAAGGGTAGGTTGTATGATATAGCCGGCAAGAAAGCCAAGCTGGTCGTTTGCGTAGTGGTACAGTCTCGGAGTCGAAGACGGTGTTGATGAGACCCAAGGGGTTGGCTCAACGACGATTGTTTCGTCCAAACTGGAAGATGTCGCTCAGACTCTCTGCGAAACGTTTGCATCAGGACAGATGATGGAAGTTGGGTATGATGTTTGGCATAGCTGTTTCGTTCCTTGGTTCTATTCCGAAACCCAAAAGTATTCTCCTAAGTGACTTGATGCAGATTGAGATACTGTCGAAAATGTAAAGTGTTTTCTGAATCCGTGAACATCTCAAGCATGTAAGCTCGACTTTGGCACCGGAGAACGTTGCGAGGTCTGCCGCATATTTCGAAGATGACTTGGAGATCCGTATTGGTGACACGATACTCGACCGCGAGATATTTGGAGGTAGTTGATGTAATTTCGAGATAATCGAGATCAGAGAAGATTATAGTTAGCTGTATTGCCAGTACCACATCGAAGATACATGAGCCGAAAGCCAGAACGCGTTTGGAGAAAGAAAAATTGACAAGTCTGAGACTAGTTCGGATGATGGCGAGTGATATGTGTTTTGGCCCTTGCCTTTTGCCTCCACTTTTGTCTAGAACAAAGCAGAGCAGTATTCCCAGAACTGGAATTTCCATATCTTCCAGCTTACACTTCCTCCTCTTGATCCTGCAGAGCTCTCCAAGAGAGCTGATGCCAGGGGTAATGGAGCCGTTCACCCTAGAACCCGATGAGGCTTGGTAGTACGAAGATCAGGCGCAACATGATAGGTTTGAAAGCCACACCCTCACTGCCAGCCGAAGTCCTAAGGCAAGCAATCGTGGATTCGAATCATCGGCTCGGCAGCGAGCATTCCAGGAGATATAAAGGGGAGACTACTAGTCTTACTCGCAAGAAAGTCGTTGTCTCCGGATCACCGAAAGCTCTCCACGAGAACGTACAGAAACAATAATGCTTCGAATTATCGGACGGTATCCTTTGGCTTGGACGATGGAGCGTTCATTGTTTGAGCTGGCAGTCGCGGAGCGAAAACACCTTTCTCCTTCGGCCCTTCGGCGCATTTGCTGGCAAGAGCCCCCAAAAAGCATAAAAGCTCGCTCATCCATACAGGATCTAAGAGGGGAGTGATGGAGGACAGTGTTCGTTCTTGATTCGAGGGTTTAGAGACCATCACTCATTAGCCACGCGCTCGCTGCCTGTTGGTTTGAGGGAAGAAGCGCCAGCATTCCGACATCATAAATACTTGCCTTCCCCTCTGCCGTCTTACTCCTCCTTCTACAGAAAAAATCTTACTGCAACAACGGAGAAAGGATCCTAAAAGGAACCTTAATGGAACGCTCAGGGGCATCCCGGAGGATTCCCGAGATAGGCAAGCCGAATTACCCCTCTTCTTCCGCTGATGTTCGACTTCTTTTACAGAAATGCTGCCGTACATGGACTTTGGAGCTTTTTTCTTGCCGCTGGATGAGGACGGTTGTCACTTTGCTGGTCAAGTTGTGCTTGCAAGTGTTACGTGTTGGTGCACCGTTTGCAAATCCTCAGTGGGATTGGTTCAAACCCGATGTGCTCATGCAATCTATTCTCGATCGGAAAACGCCTGCAGGTGCTGGCTTCAAATGGCAAGTCTTCAGAGCGTTTGTTTCAACCGTGTGGGATGGTTCCTTGAACCTGCTCGTGGGGGTTTTCTGTTCAGGCTTCTACCACTCGGTCGCGATTTGACAGCCTGAAAACTTATTTTCTTTTTTTCACCCTCGTGCCATGCACATTTTTATGCACAGGTATTTGAACTTGAGGACAAAGAGGTCGATTTCCCCAGCTCCAAGAGTATCTTTAGTCAGATTCACGCTCAAGCTTTTGTAGCAAAGAAGTGATAGCCGTGTCAAAGTTTATGGCAGGTCACTCGACCTTCGAAATGCCTACTATCTCAGGGTATAATCACGGACAGCGACTTCGACGTGCGACACAAAAGAAAATGACTGAGGAATTTCCAAAAACTTCAAACACGGACCAGATATTTGTTTGAGACAGCAGGTCCGACTATAAATCTTCTCTTTCCTGACCACAGTCGTCCCGGTGGACTGGAGTCGTCTGGAGTAGCAGTCCTAGCGGTTCCGAGAGCGGCATGAAGGCTCGACCCGTCGAAGAATTTATGCAGCAAAGCCGGGCGTAGCTCGCCTCGCAGCAGTGCTCTATCAATTGCCATGATCTGAGCGCAATCAGCAGGCAACAAGTCAGCTGCTTGACTTCACGATGGTTGGCCGGCTGCACCAAGCACTGTTCCAATTTCTCTCTCTCGGTACAGTCGTGAGAGGCATTGTAATTTGCTCCTCGGTGAGTGTATCCAAGTGACATACAGCATCGGAGTCTCGCTTTTGTCCAGCAGTCTGCAGTGTTTTCCCTAGCAGATTAGGTCAGCCCAATAATTCAGCACTTCGTCAGGACTTGAATATTCTTAGCGACTCTGGACTCTCCTCGATATCCTTTGCGTTGTCACACAAGCTGGGTTTCCTTTCAGGAGATTTCGAGTCACTTCACGGTCTCTTACTTCAGTTGAAGCTCAATTTGCCCCCCTCACTCTGAGGCCACAGAATACTAGGTCAACTCCATGTCAATATCACGACCTTAGAGTGTGATTCTGTTCGCCTATCGTAGCCTCTTTATCACATCGTCCAGAAACACTCATCAGCTCTATGATCTCGTAGCTTCTTCGCTCGGGCGTCGACACTCTTTCTCCAATTGTATTTTCAACCTAGAAAAACATCCTGAGACTGAAAGAACAACTATAATCGGTGCACTGTCTTGGCTTGGGTGGAAATTGTATGTAAGTAAGAATTTCCAACTTCCACAGTTCGGTTGGCCATATAGCAGCGGTGTGCGGTGTCATTCTCGAGGAGGCTGAACAAGTACATTACGTTTCGCTTCTACGCCAACGACTTGTTAATGAATTCTACACTGAACAATTGACTGACGATGCAGGTAGACAACACTATATTTGCTTCAAGTATTATATAGAAGGGATTTGCTCATCCAAAAATCGCTCTTTACGACCAGAAGCTCGTCACCTTTAGATCGTGGGAAGTGAAAATACAACAAACACAAGCTCCAGCATATGGAGATCTGAAAATGCAGTCAAGTCAGGTACCGCTCGTGTGTGAAGGTAACATCGAACCTGGATCCGGAGATCCACCTCCAGTGCGTCTGACTACTTCCAGTTGTCTCTTCCGTTGCTAACGAGAGAAAGCCCCCCGACGATCCGAAGCCTTCCAAATCAAAGAAACAGCTAAAGGAGTATGGCGCAGAGAAGCAAGATTAACCAAATGAACATAGTGGTTAGCACTTTTGGAGTTTTGTTCTTGGTGTAACAAAGCGGGTCGTTCTTCTCTTTGGTGGAGGTATCATGTTAGTTGAAGTTCTGGAACAGCTTGTAATTAGAGGTAGTTTAAGTAATAGTACGAGCGAATCGAGGCATCAATATGATGTATTGTGGCATACTAAAGAATGTGAGCTTTGATAATAATATGCAAGGGACAGTGAAACGATATCATGCAATACACAGAACAGACTTTCTCGTGATGTCGCATCATTCGGCGAAATTAGCCTTGCGATCCAGGGCATGCCATAGGGAAACTTTGGGTCGCCCGTCTAAGCCTATGTGTCGTACAGCGCTTCCCTGAGTACATAAGGCCTGCCACCTCCCCTCCGAAATGTGGAATTTCTGCTTCGTTTTATCCGCCCAAATCACGCCGTCACATTGAAACTTGAACCCTGCCCTCTGGTAACCAGTCAGAGTAGGGTGAAAGTACCCATAAAATAAATCAACAGCCTCGCAGATAATTTGTGTTACAGTAATAAGCTCTAAAGGTGTCTTGACTTGATTTGTTCGTTTGTGAAAACTTCGACAAAGGTGTGTGTGCTACATATTCCAATCTTCCACGCCTCACGATACGGCCTTGGGCAGAGAATATCACCGTGATTCAGGCGTCAACCCTTTAGATGACCCATTGCATTGAGAAAAATCGCTATAGACGATATTGCGAGTGCAAACATGTCTCTTAAGAGGTCATCACGATGTCTCTTCTTGCCCGTACGACCACGGGAAGCCATGGCCCACAGCCATTGCTAGAAGCTTACGCCCCCAATCATGACAGCGCTGAAAGAGCAATCCCAGTTCCTTTACAAGACATGCAGCCCGATGTGGGGGTACGGCAACGACACCCTCTAGGACAACCCGTACAAGTAGCGGAGGAGCTCGACACTTCTGGACGCTCTGAGACGACTTTGACATCGGAAAGCAATACCTTGGGAGCTTCAGGTGAGTTATTATGCGTCACCTTATGATCAACGATTGCTCATACATAGAAGAACCCGCGTCGAAAAGTTGGTCGATCCTAGGAGCCGGCCGTCAACTTTTGTCGAGACTAACCCATCCATTCCACCACCATGATTCAGAGCCGCCGTCAATGATATGGCAACAAGAGTATGAGAAAGTCAAGCATAGGAAAAGTAAATAATTATAGCACACCCTTGCAGATTTTGAAGACTGCTCACAACCTATAGTCGAGGATTCCCCACCATACATGCCACGATTGGCGGCTTTGCAAGATAGCAACGATAGCTTTTGTATCTTTCGCAGATTCGGTCCCGCAGCAGCCCGTCTCCTATTGAACAAAGAAATAGAATTGGACGATATATCAAAGAAGTTTGACGCCCTCGACCATGCCGACGATAGTGATCCGAACAAAAGATACAGGTTGAAAGGCATCGAGCATCATGAAAGCTGGGACGATGAGCAACAGAAGTTATTGAAGGTACTCGAGGAGAAGCTCAACGTATATTGTAAGATTCATGTTCATTACTCGCTGAATTCTGGCTGACAAGATATTCATTGACAGATGATCTCTTGTTGAAATATAGTGATGTCAGGGATCTCAAGCCTGCTGGTTTTCGCAACCATCGATCTGTTTACAACTATGTCGTCAGAAATAGACCGTTGTACGAAAAAGAAGCCGCTTTCCTTCACGACGTCGACGACTTCGTCTCTATGAAGAGATCTAGCAGCAATGAGACCCATAGCAGAGTTGAACAATGGCTCGAATCATACATTGCTAGACGACCACGAACTTGGCTTCATGTAAGTTCCATACATCTTGGCGCGATGCTCTCAATAGTGTGAATCATCCTGACCTAATCCAGAACTTTCTCAAAAACAGTCCCGAAGGAAGGAAGAGTTCAAATCAACTTGTTCATGGCTTTTCTAAGAATCGCCTTGCGATACTCGCAAAAGTCGTCGTAGCCTGCTTGGCCATGTGCACGCTCTTTATCCCAATACTCCTGATGTTTCTGGCAGACCTGACTAGAACCAAGATGGCCTGTGTTCTGGCAATCTTCGTATTTATCTTCATGATTCTGATGTCGGTTCTCGTTGATTTGACCCCTCACGACTTTTTCATCGTCGTCGCAGCGCAAGTGTTCCCGCAATTCTCTCTGAAGTCTTCATGCTGATGGAACTCAGTTACTCTGCTGTCTTGGTGGCACTGCTTTCCAATCTGACTCAGGGCTCCGCATCTAGCGCCTCCAAATAGGGGAACTTTGCAGAGAGCAGCATTTTCTGCCATGGATTAGGACGGTACGTCTAGGCCTTGCTTCTCCCTGAGTAGGAAAAATGATCGAGGCGGCCCTGTTACGGCTATTGAAAGCTCAGAGATGTTGAGAGTCTGCACAGAATCGAGGTCTTTGAGGGTCTAGCGTTGAAAAATCTGATCGTTGACCGCCTTCGCTGGAAGGCGTCCAGCATCTCGGTCCTGGCTTTGTCATTATGTCACGGTTATGGAGTATAAAAGTCATGATGTTTTCGGACTTTGTCAAAGTCTTTTGATATTAGATTCCTGGATACTTGAGGTGATTGTCGTTGAAAGAAAGAGGAGACTAGTCACGAATCAGTCCCACTTGGTCGATCACGTGTTGACTCCCTTCAAGTTCCAGGTGAACTTCTCAAGTCTTCAGTTTCAAGATTCTATGATTCCTTCTTTGTATATAGTTAAATTTGGATCTAGTTTCACACGTTTCTACGGAGATCAAGAAAATCCATACGCCAAGTTGTATATTATTCGTGGAGTGCAGAAGTGCACAAGATATTCACTCCCTTTAGCGAACATGGGAATAGCAGCAAAAGTGGGGGCGGTGAGTGATTTAGGGGCGGCTAAATATATCGCCTTCCTGTTCCGATTCAGATCCTCGCTTTCCTTCAGTATCTTATCTACAAGTCTCTGCATCCACGATCCTAAGCTTGGTCTTCTTGCCCTCACGTTACATCAAAGATGGAGTTCATAGGCAGCGAACATATTACATTAACTTTCTTCCCCAATTGCTGATATGCGCGCGTATGATATCTCGTGTTGCAGGGGCCTAGTAGACAACCATGTCAAGCTATGATAGAAAGAAGTCCTTATCTCAAGTGAAGATATTTGAACGATTTCTCGAATGGTCGCAAGTTATTTCGGCCATCTTTGTACGGTCACACAATACAAAACCGCGAACATGTTCAAGAGTCGTTTGTCAAGATGCTTTTTACTTTTCGCCAGTGCCCATGCATACATTGATCGACGGAATTTCAACTCAACCTTGTTTTCAAACGGTACGCTTACAGTAGTTGACACTGGGATCGAGTATAAAGGAGAAAGCTGGACAGCGTACGAAGATCTTACCAGAATCGATGGTCAGCTCTACTTCGTATCTGCCAGCGGGCTGACCAGAAATCTCACCCGTCACCTCGAGCAATCTTATGACCCTATCCCTGGCACCGGATCAGTCCAATTCTTTCTGGGTCTCAATCAAAGCGAAGTGAACTTGGCTCTACCCGACCTTCTCGCAGATGAGTTACTCAAGGACGGTGAGCCTGTGGAAGCACATGTTCGTGATGCGGTGCCACAAGTCATTTTCACTTATCAGTCGTTTGTTGGGAACGTTCAAGCCAATGACACCATGTTCATCGATGCTTATGGATCAACGAACAACGTTGCTCCTCTCCACGGGATGACTATCCAGTCGCAATCTTACTGGAACTACTCGTATGATGGCCTTGTTGGTGGCTGGCAACCCATTGTTCGAAAGCTTTGGCGACTATCACCAGATTCTGACAATTGGCTCGAAGTCATCGCGTTCGGAGACGCCGATTCAGTTGAACCTTTTATTGTCAAGACTTGGTTCCGATCTACCCTCGTAATCGATGGGAAAATCCAGCAACAGCAATTCTCACGAGAGTATCCAGCCTCTCTTCCTGCTCGGCCCAGCCCTCAGTCTCATGATTTTTACAGTGCTTTATTGCGCTCAAGCGACTACTGGGACAACTATCTGGAGGATATGTCTGCTCTCACACTTCCTGATCAAAGCTGGGCTGACTTTACGAAACACACATTTGCAGTCGAGCTTCTTGTACGATATGGTGGCAAATATCCCAAGTATGGGTTTTATGATCGTAATTATGCGGGATCTGAGTACGATGGCTTCCAAGATATTTTCACGAGCTCCGTCATGGCCAACTTGCTCTGGGGTCGCTTTGATCAGGCGCAGGCAGTTATCGAGAACTACTTTGATTGGTTTGTGAGTGATACTGGAGACATCAATATGAGAGGACCAGAAATCCCACAATTTGGTCTTTCATTATCATTGCTTGCTGTGTACTCCCGATATACGGGGGACGCAGCATTGCTCTCCAAATACGAGGCTAAGATACTCGCCTGGGTTAGCATCCTTGAAACACTTCACGACGAGAGCTTGACTTTGTCAAAGATGGATCCGAACTACGGTCTCATCGCAGGATGGAGCGAGTCCGACTCTTGTCTCTCCAGCAACTATACCTTTTATATCGCTCCTTACTGGAATAACAATATCAACGCAGCTCGTGGTCTCAAAGACCTGAGCACCCTTTCGTTCTTCAACTCCTACACTGCAGAATGGTCAACCAGAGCATCCACCATGATCAACCAAACTATTTCCACTCTTTTAAGCGTCGTAGACTACAATATGACCCCGCCGTATGTTCCCGTCCTACCCATCACCAATGGAACTGTCAGAGAATGCATGCAAACCCAGTCCGAATGCCAACAAATGTGGTCCCATCGCGTTTACTCCGAGATGCTGCAACCTGGCATTCTTCCCGCAAATCTAGCGAACATGACAATAAACTCCATGCGCGCAAATGGGATCACATCTCTTGGCATAGTCGCCAACGTTGGTCTAATCTCCCCTGACTCCCGAGATATCCTCGGCTTTATATCTTATGGTTACGCACAAGCACTCTTGCTTCTTGACCGCTCAGACGAATTTATCTTTTTCATGTATGCTCATCGGTATCATGTCCACTCGCGCGGACAGTGGATAGCTACCGAGGTTGCAGGTACTGCTGGTGGAGTGGGAGATGAGAATCCATTCTGTGTGCCAGCTGCGATGACAGCCCCGATTTTGATGAGATTGGCACTGGTTATGGAGGATCCGGATGAGGAGATTCTGTATCTTGGGCGAGGAGTTCCAACAGCTTGGTTGGAGACTGGGAAAGAAGTTAGCACACAGCAAGCGCCAACGAGGTGGGGGAGGGTTGATTTCTCTATTCAGATGAGTGAGAAGTTGGAAGCGAAGATCAGATTCCAGGGAGCTCCGCCACTTGAAGTGCGTGTTAAGATGAGGTTGCCGAGGAACCAAACTCTGAGCTTTGTTACTGTCAACGACAACGCGACGCTACCATATGCTGAAGAATTGGTTCTGGACACGAGAGTCTTTGCAGAGCCAATTGACATTCAAGGCATTTTCCAATAGAGCAAGCATTGCAACAGAGTCAATTAATTATCCAGTCTTAGCTCAAAGGCATGGCCATGAAAGTATGACGGAAATGATCTGTCCTAGCCTATAAGGCTTCGGGCCGTGAAGGAGAAATAAGCGACATATCGAGTTACATGCTATTATCACCTTCCATGCTCTAATGATCCGAACTTAGATGTGACTAGGATGTCAAGATCGTGCTGAGTAGGGTAGTGACTGTGTCGCCAGTGTCAAAATTTAAAGCAAATCATTCCAATTATTTATGTGCAATAGGAGTTCGACTTTAGCTATACGTATATTTAGAAGTTAAGAAATTCAACAGACAGGATTCTGATTTATTCAAGAAGTACTGAAACAACGAACCTTGTAACATAAAGCCCAACATAGTATTTGTGCTATCAAGAACTGCCGTGTTTTCCTGGGTTATTTGCTGGCAGGTCTCTTCTGACCTCTTCAAATCCCAATTCCTGAACTCGGTCTGTCTTTTGTTGATACCAACTGGCCTCGCTTGAGGTGGAGCCGTTACTATACCGGCACATGGCAAGTTCCCAGTAAGACATATCTCAGCCACCAGCGCCATCGCCGAGCAACTTGGTTGCGTTTGAGACACAGTCTTAGATATGTGTTACGTACTACGTGCTATTTAAAGAGACATCGGCGCCTCAAGTCCAGGGTCTCTGCGCTTGTTCCTAGAATTCGAGATAACGCATTTCTGTTGTAATGTCTTTGATTACCAAACCTGGGGATTCTAGTGTAATTTTCTTGGTGGAGGCTAGGTCGAATATGTGGATTACTATAATAGTCCTTTCACTTACAAATCCCTCCATAATTATTTTTACTATATAAATCTCAAACAAATTTCATATGAGTTTACTATAAGATGTTTGTTATTAATGTAGACCCTTCATAGATGCTGCTGTTTGGTATGCTTTTCTTTGATACTGTAGCGGGGTAAGTGCGGGGTAATTTTCACACGCGCAACACCTTCAAATTGACAATGCGACAGTGCTTTTAGCTCGACAACAACAGCAAGCAATGTCATACCAGAACTGAAAAGTTGTTCAATGAATTAGTCTGGAGTCTGGAGTAAGATTGTGAAGCTGCTAGAGACACAGAATAGAAGCTTTTTCACCAGATTTCTCTGGACACTTCTGAACGTCTTTGGTTATCGATCTCAGGCTTAGCACATATTCTTGCAACATGTTCTATAATTACTGTGTACAGTACTTTTCGCGAAATAATTGATAACAGAATTGTTACTTATCAAGTCTTAGGTTCAGCGCATATTTTCGCTAAATGTTCTATTATTGCTATATATTTCTTACGAATCAATTACAAGGAGAGTTGTCAATTATAGGTCTTAGGTTTAACACATATGCTTGCGATATTCACGCCATATGCTCTATCATTGCTACTTACTTCCTACGAATCAATTGCAAACAATGTTGTTAAGTATCAGTCTTGAGCTCCGCACATGTTCTCCTTATATTTTCTGTCATTGCTATGGAGTCCTTACGAAACAATTCTCATTAGAATGGTTGAAAATCACAGTCAAGAATTCAAAGCGAGTGTCCCAGTACGTAGTCTCAATTTATAGTCCCTAATTGTCCGAAGCTATTTCAGGAACGGTTTCTCCTCTCTGCATCTTCTCGATGAACAAATGGCATTCAGCGACATGGCTGAGCAGTTGCTGGTAGGTGCCAGTTCCTGGGGCGGCGAGAGCGAGTGTTTACTTGAAGGACGTATAATAATCCAACGGCGGGTCGTTCTCTTGCTCCTCGTCCTCCTCGTCTTCTTCTGCCTCCTCTCCATCCTCTACTTCTTCCTCGTCATCCTCCTCGGTTTCTTCTTCGTCCTCGTCCTCGACTTTAGCAGCCTTAGTAGCACGGAGACGTGCGCGCTTAGCCTGGCTGTTAAAAAGTTAGCTATTGTCTTATCCCTGTAATGATAGAGGTCATTCAGGAACTCTGAATATCTGAACATACGCCTTCTTTTCCGCCATATCCTTGAACTTTACCAACTTTGTGGCTTTCTTCTTGTCGGAGCGGAGTTGGAACTTCGGATCCTTCTTCAGAAGCTTTGCAGCACGGTACCGAGCTGTGAGGTCGGCTTGGTGGTCATTGTATCTACAACAAACATCAGAAACTGCTCAATATCTTCCTTGATATGGATAACGGAAACATACTCCTGTGTCTTCTTGGTCTTGGACTTGCTGGCGGAGACGGAGGCGGCGCGGGTGACCGCGGAGCGGGAAGAGGATGTGCGAGTCATATTGTAAGAGTGTGTCTATCATATTGCAACCGGTCAGCTTCCGTCTCGAACAATCTCTCCTAGGAACGCTCTTTAGAAACGACGTACAATTGTTTGCTTGATGGTTTGACTTTGTGAATGACGGAACGGAAGCTATGCTCTGTCAGTCAAGCTTTTGTTCCTTGTTGAGGCGGAGTCCTACAGTTCGTTGGTGTTGAAGAAAGAAAATCCGGACTTGAGGAATCTGGGAGGTAATATAGACCTAGAACTAGTGTGAGTGCCTCGTATTGTCGGCCACGAAGTATCGCATCGTGGATGTGAGCTATGACGCGAGTAGGAAGTAAGGCTAGGCTCTTGCCCCAGACTTTGTACCTTATATAGTAGAGGGGGAACTATGACGCGAGCAGGAAGTGAGGCTACGATCCGCGGGATTCCGCTGAGTTCCGGTGCTTGAATTTCTTTTGAGACTTATCAAACAGGTATCTGTCTATTGCAGAGGGTCTGAAATACATATCTCACTGTGAGAAAATTGAGTACGACCCAAGTCGAAAGGTGTTTTGCGAGTTTGATTGGTAAATAACTATAGCAGAGTTTCTCCCACTACTGACAATAACTTCTCCTATACTACCAGTATGATGAGATTAGGATCCCGCGGTGGATTCCTGATATCAGATGTCCTTTTGAGAGTTAGAACCCGGGGTTCATGTTTGCACGGGATCCAGAAGCCCTATCTCATGGTGAGGACACTAAGTCTAGTCCAAGTGGCAAAGTATTTTGCGGATTTGAACTATAGACAACCTTTCCCATCCCCGACAGTGACTTATTCTGTTCCACCAATATAATCAGACCGAGATTCCACCCTAGATATCTGCGCTTAGGTTTTTTGAGGTTGAATATACTGGAGCTGGATTAGTACACTTAAGATATAAAATTACGGTTCTACTCCGAGGACATTGCTCCCTCAATCAAATGTGAGCTATTCTGCGAATTAGATCATAGGCAATATTACTAAAGATTTGTATGTACTTTTTTGAAGTAAACTACAAATAACCTAGGGAGTGAGACCGAATTTGAGATTCCACTATGTATCTCTCCCAATACTACAGCGGGATTTGTATTTTATCTGAGTTATAGAGTCACGGTTCTAATATGAGGACATTACCTTACATAGATAGCGGAAGAAGAACACACCAAACTCCACAGTTGTGTAGTACCCATCATCAACGTCGAAAACCCAATCAGATCAACAGCATTACATTGCAAAATCGTGATTGTCACTCCAGACGTCAAGACGCTTAGCAACACGATGGTCAAAGACATGAAGACGCTGTTATATGTTATCCAATACAATATAATGGTCAAATGCAGCGCTCTGAGGCAATTTGAAACTCGATGCAACTTTCGTTTCAGGCTGCTGTCGAGATCAATCACTGGCAGAGACACAGGTTCACGAATAGTGGCTCCAACCAACTCCTCCTTCTCATCACGTCGTACCATAGTCTCCTAGTTCTTTGGCTTCAAGTTGTTGAGGCTAAAAATCGTACTTCAGTTCCAACGATTAGGTTGGAAAGTGTATTCCGCAGAGCTGAAATCCTGTGCAAAATTACTAAGTTTTCCTTCTCCATCAACATGGGCAGAGTCCATGAATCAAGACCTAATAGATCAATGATAGTGTATACTATGTGAGGCTTTAGTAGATCCAAGACATCTGGTCGTATGGTGCCGTAGTCAATGGCTATCTCTTGCTGATCGAAAGTTGTTGAAAACTCACTAATCCCAGATTCAGGGGCTCGCTTCGCCGAAGCGAGATCCATGCTCACTTAGCTACCAACCTACCCGACGATGGAGAAGATGCTGTCCGTCCGATCACAGAGTATCTCGAGAATACCAATCGCGTCATAATTTATCAAACGACACGACATCATCTTTCGGAATCGGGGCCGACGAAACCAGGTATCGACTTTTCCTTGCTAACTCAAAATTTTTTCCTTCCCTTTCTCCTCTTCTTTTCTTCAGCAACAACAAAAGCAGTCGGGATCCTCACCCATCCCACCTCAACAGAACAAGGGCTGATATAGTATAGCTTCGTTTACCGTCTCAACGTACACAATCAGCGTAAGTTATTCCAGAACAAATTGTTCGTCCGCGGACGAAAGCTGACCAGATCCGTCTGATATTAGCAACCAATCAACTACAACATCCTGATCGCGGAGGCAAACCTCGTACTCGCAATACCTTGTAAGTTCGTCTGTTCTTTGGTTCATCGAAAAGCTCCTTGGTGACAGACAATAGCTAATTGAGATCTCCTACCGTAGGCCGGGCTCTGACCCCAACCGCGGCCGTGCTCGCACCCCTTCGCCTTCCCCTCCTCCTCCTCCACCTCCTATTGTGAGAGGTCGCACCGGCCGGTATAATACACCCTTCCTTTCTCAATCTCAGACCAAGATATAAAGCTCTGAACGAAGACGGCGATTGAAGGGAGGATAATGCTGACCATATACAGGGACAAGGAGAGAGAGAATAGAAACCAACGCCGCCACCGGGCACTCGAAAAGCTGCGAGTGACCGACGAGTACAAGGCGGCTGACGACAAGAAGAAGAAAGAGCTGGAGGAATTGGAGAAGTCGTGTGCTGACTTGGATCAGTAAGTAATTTATAACTTTCTACTTGAATATTCTCCAGACCGAGAATAGTTTGAGGTTGTATGCTGGGATCACGATTTGCGAGTCCACAAGCTAATAATTTCTGGTATAGCGCACTGGCAAAGGGAAACAGGACGAGAGAGAGAAACGCTGCCGCCGCTGCTGCCGCTGCTGGGGAGGAGAACGACGACGAGGAAGATGACGGAGAAGATGACGAAGAATGATCTCTCGCGAGACTAGCAGTAGAGCAATTGAATACCGGTTCGTGGGCCACATATTGAATACTTTGTGAATTACGGACGTGATGTGTGACTTTCGGGGACTTGAAGTGAAGTGAGGCGGAAAAAAAAGTCTAAGTTTCTGGATAATGATTCAGGAGTTTTATAACAACTACTTTGTGAATGACGGGACACAAATTGTGACTTTTAATAATAAGAAGTGAGGTAAAGTAGAAGATAGGTTGGGCTCTATGGAGACCGATTCTTGTGCCACACAATACTTCTTTTGTCAAGTACGAGACTAGAGTTGAGACTTCTAGTGAAATATTAGTGAAGTGAGGTAAAAATTATGGTCCGGTACCTCGATACCGGTTGGTGCGTCGCACAATAACTTCTTTCTCGATGACGGGCCATAATTTGTAGCTTTTGATAATATGAAGTGAAGTGAAGTGAAAGAAAGTTTTGGGTTGCTTAGATATAGATTCATGGCCCGAACAACAACTACTTCATTAATCACGGAACTTGATGTGGAATTTATGCTAAAACTATACTGCAGTGAAGCCAAAGACAGATCTAACTTCCCTCAAGACCGCTTCTCAAGCCACACAATGTGTATTTTGCTAATTACGGAAAACAAGTTATAATCTAGAATGGGGCATCCGCAATGACAGCAATATCTCAGCTATCGACTACAAGTTCTACCAAGGATTTCATTGATGCGAAGATTGAGAGAATCTCGGCCGATCTCCCCGTCAATGGCAAGTTCCAAGAAATTTTTGAAAGCGCCAAAAAACGCAAGTAAAGCGAAGCAAGATAGTGAGATCAAGTGTTTGCATACTGTTTTCTGAGCTATACAATGATTGTGTTGTTAATCACGGACCGCGATTTAGAACTTTTCCCAGCTTGAGATAACGTAAAGGAAAAGACAGAATTAGGTGCCTAGATACTAATTCAAACGCTTAACAAGGATTACTTTATCAATGACGGAATGTGATCCATAGATTTTTATATTTCGAAATCAGAGTTAAATTTGAGAATTCCCTGATTGTACTCTCAGACTTCTCACTAAGACGAAATTATCAAAATTAGCTGGGCTTTTTATGATATAGCAGTAGCTTTAGCAATGAAAATGTCGGTAGCTTAAACAAAGTTAACAACCGGGAAAAAGTTGGTAATATAAGAAACAGTTACCGATAAAGAAAGTCTTAGCAAAATACCAAAGTTGGTAACAAAAAATAGTCAAAACCAATCTAAAAAAGTCTTTAACCTGCCCATCAATCTAATAGTCAGTCTGCTTATTAAAGCTAGTGAATACTTAACCTACCTACCTCGTCCTATCCTCAAACATGTCCGACACCAGCTACCAACATTCCCCAACTAAAAAGTTCTGTCCTTGACTAAAGCACTCACAAACTTGAGTTTCTTTCATATCACTTGCGTTATTATGCACGGAATAAGTGGAAACAACGGACTCACCTTGACCATCGCATCAAAGCTTCGAAATACCTAAACAACAAACCCCGAGTAAATTGTCTGCCGTTATTTTGTACACTCACCACACTCAATTCTTCTCCAAACCCTATACTCCTTATAAATTCCAAGTCAACTGAACCAACATTCCACAAATTCCAACCATCCAATATTGTCCACTAAAAAACAACATATCACAACCACATCTTTCAACCTCTAATCACATACTCTCTTTCCAACCACCTCTTCCACCCCACCAGCGCACACCAGCAAGTCGTATACCCACTCTGAACGTCCTCCCAACTCGCACGATGTCGGACCGCAACAGAAACCATGTTACCTTGTTATGTTGGAACTAAGATATAAATACATTTAACCCACCAAACTAAACAATTCCCCACTAGACGCTCCCTCCTTTCACCCAAACCCCGTCCCCCACTTCAACTTCTCCCCTCTTTACAAGAACTATCAACTCACATCTGTCCAAATACCACACACGAACATTAACACCCAAAATCCCACATTGGATTGATGTAGAATGCATATCAAAAAATTTCAAGTCCTCTTCTCGTCTCCTTCGAACTAAGAAAGAAAGAAATTACCCCGCCTCCTTTTTTAGACGAGAGGGTCACGTGGACGGCTGGTTGTGTTTGTTATGTCAAGGAGGGAAGGAGAATTGCTTTTTCTTTGGTGAGATTTTCTGACGTATGGCAAGTTGGGTGGTTTTTGCACTGTGTCTGGAAGTGAGGAAGATGGACGAGTGAAGATATTTTTGAAGTGGAGAGTTTGATTGATGCTATGAAAGAGATTGTTTGTTCCATACGCAGAACAGAATTTGAGATGCTTGGATTGGAAGAGATAGACAATGAGCAAGATCTGACTCTATGTTTATTTGCTAAACTAAAGCCATTTGTGTTTTCATCTAGCTATTTAAGCTGTTTCATTTCCTTGCCAGACGCCCAAAATCGCGATCCCCAGCCCCAACTCCTAGCAATGCGATTATGCGTCGACACATACCTTCATACAGTATCTCCCCCAAGTGATGAGACTACTCAGACTCATTGATACTGAGCCTGCGCGTACTCCATAGTCCGAATCTCTCGATCCATCATCCCCATTCTCCTCTCATCTCTGCCACCTCGACCACCATAGAAGCCTCTAAAGTAGCCTCTCGAGGACCCATATCCACGGCCACCATAACCACCCCGATACTCACCACCTCGACCACCTCTTCCATCTCCAAAGCCACCACCGCCTCTAGGGCCTTCATTCGCACCCCCTCTTCCACCCCTATCATTCCTATCACCCTGACCCCTCTCGCCCCTCTGACGTCCAGGATGTCTTCCCCGCCTATTAACCGTAAAATCAATCCTCAACAACGGCCTCTCCACCCCCACCAACCCCTCCAATCCCAACTCCCCCCTCCTCTCCTCCGCCACCGTCCACGGCTGAAAGATCTCGCTCGGCTCGCTCAGCGCCCTCGTCTCCTCAACCCACATCTTGACGTACTCGCCCTGCGCATCATAGTCAAACGACTGCTTCACCGGATTAAAGATCCGTGCTTCGCCGCGAGGATCATTGCCTACGCCTGCTAAGTACTGCCAGTTACCCCAGTTGGACGACAGGTCGTAGTCAACGAGCATACTCTCGTACCACTCTGCGCCGATGCGCCAATCGAGCTTGAGGTGCTTGGCCAGGAAACTCGCGACGTTCTGACGAGCGCGGTTAGAGGTGTAGCCCGTGTGGTACAGTTCCCTGAGCGAGGCGTCAATGAGACCCATGCCTGTAGTACCATTGAGGAAGCGCTCGATCTGCTCTTTGATCTCTTGGGATGAGGCGCTGCGCGGTTGAGAAGGTGTACGCCAGCGTTGGTCGTCTTCTGCTTTGAAGCCGGACAGGTTGAAGAGCTTGGGGCCGAATTTGCGGGTGCAGAGACGCATGTAGTCGCGCCAGAGGAGCTCGAAGCGGATGCTGTATGTGCCGCCCTTTTCGGGCTCGCCTTGGCCGTAGCCTTCGATGGACGCGTATTCTGGGTTTGTGCCGTCTTCGAATGCGAGGAGGGAGGAGTGGATTTGGCGGGATGTGATGCAGCCTAGGGCTAGGTAGGCGGAGAGCTTTGTGGAGAAGTCTTCGCCGAAGAGGCCGTTGCGGGTAATGTGGTAGGTGGTGATGCTGCCGCTGGTGATGAGGTGGTTGAGGCGGGCTAGTGCATGTGATTCGCCACCTTCGAAGGGATGGGCAGATTTGGCTCCTTCAGGGTATGTTGGCGGATCCTTGATCAAGTCTTGGGCATTGAGAGGTTTGAGGAGGGCATTCTTGATACCGTCGAGGGTGGTTGGGATTGTGAAAGGGGAGTACTGGTTTGGAATCGAAGACTCGGATGGGTATTTCGGCAGCGAGCCCTTTTCAGGAGTAGGCAGAACAGCTCGAGGATGGTTGCGCAGAGGTTCGACAGTCTTGCGGTAGGTGGTGAAGATGTCGGAAAGTTCTTCGATGTTATCCAGGGGCAAGTCTCGGCTATTATTGGTCAATTCTGGTGGCTTGTGTGCCAGCGGCTGGTGAGAAACAAAAACTTACTCATCGATGAGATACTTTTCATCGTTGAAGAGCTTGAACTCAACGTCTGCTTCTCCGCAGGCGCTCCTGACTGCTCTCTCCTCACGATTTTCCTCGACTCCTTCCTCTGCGACCATCCACACTGCTCCAACTTTCAAGTCCGACTCGGTCAAGAACTCGTTGATGACTTTGTCAGCAAGACCAACGCGAACACAGAGGCCACTGTCAACCTTCTCTAGTCCGGTCTTCAAGTCCCAAACACACTCTGCTAAGAACTTGGCTCGATGTGGACCACAGCGCCAGAATCCGCCAACTTGACTGCGTGCTTCACGGTATGGGCTCTTAACTCCTGCACCCTCCTTCATGAAGCCAGAGGTCTCTAGCTGCTGGGCATTGAATACATACAGAGGGAGGAGGTGGGTGAAACCATGGTCCTTGTTGGTTGTGAGAGAGTGGAGGATGGGGTTATCAGACACGCGGAGGTCTCTTCTGACCAAGTAGATTAAGAGCTTCGAGTCAGACATCTTGCGTGCTTGGACGTGTTTTGTTGAGTGCAGAGCGTGGATTGGAGTACTGGTGAAGGCCCTTTGAACGCTGCGAAACATATAGCGGTCAAGTGATGCGTGTAATTGTCCTGGACAAGGAGAAAGAAGAAATAGTGATTTGTCGTATGCCGGTTGTGGGACGAACAAGGAAGACAGAGGCGGTGACTTGTAAGGTACTGGAGTGAAGAGGCAGAATACTGAGTTCTTGACGAGCTTGAAGGATCCAACAGATTGGAAATATTTATGCGTGTTTAGAAGCAGACGTGACACGTACAAGGACTTCTGAAGTACCAGACGGCGGGATGATGACGAATGTGTCAAGAGCGTGCTGGAAGACTCAAATAAGGGTAAACAAAGACGTAACCGGACAAATAGACGGATGTTGCAAATGTCCTAGAAGACACAAGCAGAAGTCGATATGGCTGAGGCTGTCCTAGAAGACACGTTCAAAGCGTGGGAACTATTGCCCTAGAAGACAAGAGTACAACAGCTTTGAATTGGAGGTGGAAGAAGAAACCAACGAAAAAAAAAATTTGGTAGGGAAGATGGACACGGAAAATAGTTATCGAAACACAAGGGACCACGATGGCGGAATGGCGTGCATGTGGGGGGTGGGTCGTGTGTGGTGGGCCAGGAAGGAGGGAACCCCGGCAGAAATTCAGTTGGTTGGTTGAAAAGGGTAATTAATGGAGCGGTGTTGGTAGGATGAGCGTACGACTACTGGTAGCTGGAAGATGGGATGGAATTGCACGACTAGGATTGCTTCGAACATGGGAAAGACGAGAGGAATACAAAGTCATGAACGCATAACTGATTGAATTGGGTTTAACTCGATCTTAGAGTACCCGCAGCTAAAGTGTACCTACATCTTCGAGTCTCCACACTTCCCTTGTATCAAGCGTATACTCTTTAATCGCCGACGACAACAAGCGCATTTAGAGGATGTTAGGTTACCAAGAAACTCGCTCGTTTCGAGGGGCTCAGCTGCACCCATTCGAGCATTCCCAAGATAGATACCTTGATGCAAGTTACTTCAAGAAACTCACTCGTCTTCATGGTATGTCTTACCCACCTTGTCTCTTCTGCATTGCGGCAGGGACGTGCGTAGACAGTTAGACACTCGCACATGCATACATACACATATATACGTACTGTACATGTTTGTTCCAATCGCAACTGAATCTTGGTACGAGTACGCGACGCTCTCCATATATGCGAATGCGACGTGCTTTCTCAATTCAGCAATATGTTCATGTTTTCATTCGAGCAGAGGCGGTCAAGCGCAACTTCTGATGGCTGTGCTAGCCTCTGATCTCCAGCCCATAATCGATGTTCTTGGAATCGCCGGACACTAACCGATCTGGGCATAGACGATCACTATTTTAGCTCGAGATCCTAGCGCCATCGGAATTCCTGATCGAGCGAACCTCTGTCACGATCTGGGCTGGGGTTGATCCAACCACGAAAAGCTTCCCTCTTCTATCCTATCCATTACTCGTGCAAAGATCGCATACCATCATGTTCTATACAAAACGAGTATGGGCAACTTTTTCCCGGCAACTTTCCCGCTTTCCAACTGAGTAATGCCTCTCTTGTGAGACAGTTCAGCCCGGCAAGTTCCTCGCTATCAGAACTTTCCTCCTCTCTGGCGCACATCCACACCACATGCGGCGGGGTTGATGCGGGTACAGTAACCTAAAAAGAGCCCTGCATCGATCGACAGCTCACTTTTACCGTCCTCCAGCATCGCAAGGCTGACAGCCTCTAGGACCCCCAGCAATGGTGACACCAGCGCCCGTTACCACCAAATGGCAGGAGAGGGACAATGGATCTCGAGGTTGTGCTGCGCCGTATGTTGCCAATCTCTACCACGCCAGAACAACTCACAAATAAGCAACAACCATGGCGTTGGGATATGCTTCCTTCCATTGGAGCCGGTCTATTCATATCCGCTGTGCTCCTGCACAAAATGCAACCTCTCTTCGTTACCATAGTTTAAAGGAAACTCCCCCACTCTACCGACGCAGAAGTGACAGATCGACCTCTCATGCAGACAAATCTTTTTCTAATCAAATCCATCAGCTGCATCCGAATTGGTTTCGACAAAGAATGCTTCTGTACAACGTCGCTACGATAACCAACCATTTCGGAACGGACTCACCGAAGGACGTCTTTTCCGCGAGTCGCACTTGGCGGCTCGTCCCATATTATTTGTGGCATATGGTTCTCCCTGCAGGATTTTCCCTTCCAGAACCCCATGACTGCCGATATGTCGCAGCTTTTTGCGCCTCAAAGGCGTATGTTTTGTATATTAGCGCCAAAGTTCGCTATTCGAGGTCGTGTCTTACAATGCCGGCGGTCTGAGAAGCATCGGAGGCCGGCACTGAGGAGTGGCTTTGCCCGGACAACACAGCATAAACTCGCATTTGGTGTATCTATTCTGGAGGTGGCTTTATATGCATATCCGAAAAGGCCGGCATCAGATAACCGTCCTTGAAACCGACACAAGATGTACCGAGCGTCTGGTTACTCCACTTTCCTGTCTCTCACAGCCCCATTGTCACTCGAGAAACTTTTCCAATGGGGGTCACCACTGCAGCCGAAAATTTTCTGGGGACTCTTTAAGCGAAGAAGCCACCGAAAAAAGGGGCGTGCAAAGAAGCGAGAACTACTCAACCTCATGTGCAATATCTCTACTATATTCTGCGCCGTATTCCGCGATACCTGAAGAACAATGCTCCTTTCTTGGTCTTCGACGATTAGGAAAGCATTGACTTGGCAGGTGCACTGCGGAATTCATCCTTGGCCCTCCACGAGGTACCAACATGGACACAGTGCAACGCTCAACGCCATTGTTACTCAAGATGGAAACCGAAACCTCGATACCAAACTTCGAGGCTACCAATATTTCAAAGGATCAAGCCACTTGACTAAGTGGCAAATAAGGTACACCCGAGCAATCAGCATGCCCTGCCTCGAAGACATTTCCATGTCTGATGACAGAGAGGGAAATGAGAGAAGAATTCCAGATTCCATGTCCAAGACTTAACCTCCTGACACGCACGTGGACACCATATCACTTCAAAGATCTATTGATCAACACTCATCACGATGTGCCTGCTGATCTCCCGCAAGGAACCATTCCCTTGGGATTCGGGAGCGTTGTACATGTACACAAGACACGGCACGGCACATGTGCTACATACTGCATCTGCATCTGCATTTACAACCACAAGTACCTTCTGAGTGATTTCGAAAAGCCACTCTTCGTACTTGGTCCTGTCATTGTCTCAATACTTCTTTTGCAGGCCCATGGTAGAGGGCCAAGCCAAATCTAAGCTGCTCCTGCATCTCTTTTCAGCTCCATCTCCGAAGCTGGACCACTTGTCACTCTTGACATAATTCATGTTCGCCATGCTCCGTGCAGCTGCTTCAGAGCCAAGACACTGCAGCATCCAGGGTCCAATGCATTTTCCTACTTTTAAACACCACAGCATAGCCAACTCTCCTCTTCTTCAACCTAGTTCCTACTTGTTTCAAGCTTCTAATATCGGTTTCAAGTGCTTCCTCTACACCCTTGATCCCTGGCTCTCGGGTGATACAACAGCGTCATTGAACCAGACTATCAAGCATTATACTTTGCCAAGTCCTGCACACGTTCTCGTTGAGCCTCGACAATGCCCACAAGTGGTCAATGTCTCGTCCTAGGTTACAAGCGTACCAGACATCAGGTCATTGCGGCGAGTTTTATCAGCCTCCATCCATACTACTTGCTATCTTATCTCTATTTTCGAGCCTCTACATCCCCTCTTTTCAGCTTGCGCATGTACGAAAAGCGCGGACATCCACTCCCGCCCTCATTCCTAGGCTGGTGATGCGATAGTTGCAGCCTGGAATGAGAGCATTGTGATAATCTCTATTATTCTGCACTTTGGTTTTGAGCATAGAGTGTTTTGTTCTGCTTTCCATGTTTCTTCCCGGGTCTCCGAGCATCAACGTATGCAAACCACTACACATGTATGCCATGCAAGCAATCATTGGCGCTATAAGCTCAGTTAATATCAGACCATAATGACGAAGTTAGAAGTCAATCTATGCTCACTGTCTACCATGGCTCCTTTCTTTCTCGCTACTTCTTACCCCTCCGCAATTCTCTCTCTATCACAAGTTTGCTTCTAAGTCAAAAACCTCCATCTCAACAAATCCCTACACCGCCAGACGAGATATGATAACGACAAAGCTGCCATTATCGCTCATTCCAACCGAACCAAACTCCATGTCAACCCAACACCACCAACCCCTCTACCTCAAGCCTCCAAGCCACCGACGCGCCTGCACACCCATCCATCCACAACAGCGTTACAAGCGCAACAGACATCAGACCATTATGACGACTGACGGTTCAGCCACGTGCAATTAATCTATATTGTGTTACCTTTCTCCACAGCAAGCACGTGCTTGTCCTCCTTCACACAGACATTCATCACACGTGCATATCCCTGGCTAAGTTAGTATGGAAACACTGTGGCAAAGTTTCGAGCCGCATGCAAGCTATTTTCGGTATGCTAGTAGTTAGCTCTGAGATCTGCCTTATAATGAGCTGAAAATTTATACTTTTTCACGGGTTTTCAACGTGCAAGTAGAGCACTTTTGGGAAGAACCTGTTCTGATTTCAGGTACAACAATGAATTTTCTTCAAAGTCTACCTAATTCTAGAACAATCAAATCTCTCTCAATCTCCATCTCCAAATTTATCATTCCTCAATAAAAACACAAACTAAGAATCGACAACAGAAAACCAGCTTTACAACAACCCAAACAACCGCACGCTCTCATCACCGCCAGCCTCTAGCCTTGAAACCAGCCTAATCCTCCACCACATAAGCAGTGTTCCCGGCTCCATGTTCCCGGCTCCATATCCTGCCTCGACATCAGCTCTCTCGACATCAGTATTCTGTGTATCTATTCGTAAAAGAGCGCTCTATTTATGGGTACGATTCCCGCTACTCACCATTTCATAACGAACTCCTTCTTATCCATTCACGCCTTTCCAACAGATCCATTCCTATTCATTCACGCTCTTCTACTATTCTTCTTCGTTTTTACACCCCCGCTGATTCACCCTTGTGTTTCGATACCACTCCTACCAAGTCCCCGGCTCCACACCTGCTCTCTGGATAGTAGGATTGTTGGCTTCTATTCGTAGAAGAGAGCAGAAAGAGAGCGTGGTCTATTTATAATTACGTTTCTTGCCACTTACCATTTCCCACTGTCCTCTTTTAAACCAATTCAAAAATTCACGTATATTCAACGTCTACTTTCTTCTTCATTCACCATTTTCCAACGAACTCCTTCTTCTTCATTCGCCAATTCCCACCGTCCTCTTCATATCAGATTCACCTCTTTTCGTCGTTTCAATAATTCACGTGATCGATTGAAAGAAGACGATAAATAGACCTCCCCCCCTCTCTCTCTCGCCAGCTTCTTTGCCAGCTTAGAGGTTTCAATGGCATCAACGTTGGTGGCGATGCGCCGGGGACAGGATGCTGCTGTCGTGACCCCGGGGCCCTGGCAAGAAATGGTGGGTTGCTGTTAAAGGAGCGTCACGGGAGGAGGGGAGGGGTGGTTTGTTGTTAAATATTGATTTATCCTTCTCTCTTTGGGGGAAAGAGCTTTGATTGTCCATCTCAAAACCAAGTCTTAGCAAGAGAGTAGTTCTTTTCAACAATCCAGACTTTATAACCAAAGAAAGTCTCTAGACACGCCAAACAATCTCTTAGTACCATAGTAAGTCTGGTCTGGTACTCATCTTTATATAAATCCCAAACCCACTTTCCAGCGAAAAAGAATATCTGTCAACAACCCAGACTTCCCAACCTGCACAAACTCTTCGTTCGCACCAGACTATCTCCCAATCCCATTGTAAGTCAGGTCCGGTGCTCATCTTTATATCAATTCCAAGATCAAGTCTCAGGGGGAGGGTATTTTCAACAAAACAGACTTCCCAACCCAAACAAAGTCCCTGTTCACGCCAGACATTTTCCTACTCAAAAGTCTAGTCCAGTGCTTATTTTTGTATCAGTCCAAAAACTAATTTCCGAGCAGAGAATATCTGCCAACAACACCGTCTCCCCACCAAACACTCCCCTCCCCCTTCCCCCCTCACCTCTCCTCCCCCGGCCTATCAAACCTCCAACACACAACCTCCCTCTCCACCTCCCCCCACCCCTCATTCTTCCAAGCCGGCTTCAACTTCACCACCCCATCACCCCTCTTCCCGCCACATTTCTGCAACACCCTCTCACTCGCCTTATTCTCCGGATCCGTCTTCGCCACCAGCCATTTTACGTCTTTCCTTTCTGCGTCCATCCATCCATCCGTCAGCCTCAGAGCAAACACCGAGAAGGGGATCGGGGAAGGGAAAGCAGAGAGGAAGAAAGAAAAAGACATACGCGGCAGTGTCCAATAATATCCAAGGAACAAAGAAAACGCTTCGGTTGCGAACCCATGGTTCCAATAAGAAGCGTTGAGACAATACCCCGTCTCCAGCCCCTGCGGCGACGGCCGGTTCGTGCCTGTGATGCCGATGCATTTCGGTTCGCCTTTCTCGTTCTTTACCGCCACTCCTAATTTACGGGTTTCTTCTACGTCTTTTAGGAGGATTGCGAATTTATCTTTTTTTTGAGGTTTAGATTTCTATTCCTTTTTTTTTTTTTTCTTTGGAAAGGGGGGATGAACCAATATCGGGATTCTCCTCATTCGGCAAAATTTTCTTCATAAACTCCTTACTCTCTTCCACGCTTTTCATTACTAACCTGGTCCTAGCAGCCTCAAATTATTAGCTTGACCCCGTTGTTAAGGAGAGAAGGGAGACAGGGAGAGAGGGAAGGGGAGACAAACGACCATTTAACAGCTTCTTCGCTTGTCCAGAGTTCGTGGAAGTCGGAGAGATGGGTTAGGGATAGGGGTTCGAGGTATATCCTTTCTGTTTGGATGGAAGAGAGGTTTGGGTGTTGGGTGTCCATTTTTGGGGGTTTTGGTTTAGTTGGGTAGTTGGGTAGAGGAAGGAGAGGGGAATTTGGGAGAGGTGATGTTAAGTGTGAGTCATGAGGATCTATCCGGGGAAAGGAGAAGGGGATAAGCGGACCCTGCATGAGGAAGTGATTTGTGATTTGAGGGTGTAGTGAAGGATCGAGAGAAGGGCGTATGGGCAGCTCGTATGGGGAAAGTGGGGGAGGGGTGGTCACGTGGGTGGTGGGGTTGAAATGGGAGCCGTTGGATTGTTCGAATGGAGTTTACTTTCCAACTATCCTATCCAATGCTAGATATCCTATCTTTGTTCGTATGAATACTCCCTAGTCAAATTTTCTCATATCCTACAAACCCTCACCCATCCACCTACAACTCCTTATAAAAAACCTCCAACCTCTCCTTAAATTCCTCCAAATCCATCTCCTCCTCCACCATCTCACTAGCTCCCCCAGGTGTCTTGGGCGGAATCAAGATACTAGACAAAATATGAATAACCCCATCCCTCGCAATCCCATCCTGGACCGCGACACCCGAGAATCCATTAATCTTAATAGTAATCCAGCCCCCATACCGCGCGACATCGATCGCGAGACTCTTATCCTCCAACAGCGTCGGGAGATCAACATGAAACCTGCCCTTTGGGATCTCTTCTCCCTCAAAATCCATCCCCTCACCCTCAACGTTCTTCGCTTTGTAAAATGCATCGGAATACAAAGTCTGGTTGGCCACAACGTGGTATTTAAGCAGAGCTTTCAGGTACTTCTCGCCGTATTTGGAGAACAGGAAAGCGTTGATCTTGGGACCGAGTTTCTTGAAGGCAAAGTTTGAGGGGGCGAAGAATGTTCCGCCGGTGTGGGGCGCTTCTTTGAGGGCGTCGAAGAGGCCGGTTTTTACGAGGGCGAGTTGCAGGGTGGAGAATTCGCCGGGGAGGAGGGAGATGATTGTTGTTGCCGGGGGAGGGGGAAGGAGGAGGGAGTCGATGCCGTGGATTACGCCGTTGCTGCCGAACTGGATTGGTTAGTTAGTAGTTGTAGTTTAGAGGACAGGGAAAAGAAGCTTACGATATTGATAGCGATGATTTTGCTGTAGAAGTTGATGTTTAGGCCTTTGGGGATACCGAACCCGACGCGCAGACGTTGGGGCTCGCCACCAAGGGCATCTTCACCGAGGATGGTGGGAATGGTGTGAGTTACCAATACTCGGCCAGCGGGGTAGTATTCGGGAGAGACGTGGTAGGCGAGAACCTTTTTGATCAATTCTTTGGATGGCTTCTTGCCGTGTTTAGGGATCTTTTCGAACGCAGCATCGGTGGGAGCGAAGACGGTGTAGTTGGCAGCGGTACCGTTCAAAGCATCAACGAGATCAGGGTATTCGTTGATGAGCTTAGCAAGCTTAGTAGTGTACTTGCTCTCTGAAATGAGCTGGTACACGGTCTTATTTGCGTGCCCATGCTTGTGGGGAGGATGACCACGGTGTGGTTTGTGAGGACGACCATGGTGTGGGGGTTTATGGTGACCATCGTCTTCGGTCCATGGAATGTCAACATCCTCCACCGTTGAAATGGCAGAGTCGAGCCAGCCTTGAGTATCGAATTTGGTCATGGAGTGATGGCATTCGAAAGTGTTCTTTATTTGCTCACCGGCCTCGGAGGCAGCATTAAGAGCATTGTCGATGGCATTTCCACCGAAAGCAACGGCATCTTTGAAGCTCTCTTCGACGTCGGACCAGACATCTTCGACGCCACCTTGTAGCCTGTCGAGGAATGTTTGAGATTCCTTTTGAGACTCGAGGACAAGTTGGCTAGCAACCTCTTCATCTGGAATGACGAAGGCAGAAGTGAAAGCCGCAAGCGGCAATAGAGTAGTGATTAACTTCATACTGATGATGTATTATCACGATTGATGAAGTTGTTGAAGAGATGGAGGGAAAGAAGGAAGCTTTGAGACGTAAGAGAATAGACTAGCAGTTGGATGACGCTTGTCGCCAGTTTAAGGTGTGATGGCGAATGAGCTGATACAAGCTTGTTTCGTCAGCTCGGGAGCAACATGATTCGCGGAACGGGAGGGACAATGCATAAAATGTGAGTATACCAAGAAAGAGATTGGTTGCAGCAGTTGGCTTCTCCTCTTTTTCGTAGAATAGATGTCTCCGAACAGCATTCCTCATCCATCATAACTTGAGGCTTCCTCAGCTTGCGCGGCTTCAACTTCCAATGGCATCGTATCATACCATCACCGACGGATTCGTGTGGAGAGGCGTTGTAGATCCCTGTTACATTACCCCTCGATCGGTGTAAACTGACGCCGACGGAAGGGATGGTCATCGTAAGACTCTCTCGTTTTCGTGTAAAAAGCATGAATACGATTGACGAATGGGAAGGAAGAGAGATGAAGTTATAAACCTTGGAAGTTGGAGATTTCATGCGACAAGAGAATGGAGACAAACGATGTGTGGAAAGACGTCTTTTAAAGGCGTGGCCTCCGTCCTTTCAATGACTTACTTAGAACAATACATCATCCCAAATATCGAAAGATGCTATTTAGAGAATGGCATGTTGATTGATATCTTTTCCTCATCCCGGAATTGCCGGGGGAGCTTTCTCAGCTCTTATCGCTATCAGCACCAAATGTGGGGGATCACCAGATAAGGGAGGGATGAAGTGGGGACCCATCAGGGGAAGAACAGGAACAGGAACAACTTTCTTCGGATCTCATATTCAGTACCAACCCATCGGATTTCATATTTCATCCAACCCTTTTCTCATCTTTTCAGCCCCTCGAAAAACATCCTCAACTCGACTCGACTCGACTCGACTCCAAAGTCACGTTTCAGACCCAGTCAGCCAACAAGGATCAGAACCAAGCTTTTTCTAGCGGGGGACCTGACATTACGTCTTGGCTCCAGTTCGAGAAAAGTAGCAAACGCCGTTGAGTATTTTGATTCGGTATGGGAGGCATTGAAGCTGCCACAGCTTGAGGGATTAGTTGTCCATAACATGCAGAATGCCACATCAGTTCCACATTGCTATGCTGTTCTGTACTCCAGTAAATGCAGCGCGTGGTAGTGGGGTTGCTTCCAAGCGATTTCCTCTGTCGTCATAAGCTCAACGCTGTTTGGACCTGATTCAAAAGCTGTTCCTACCCCACATCTCCTTTCTTTCACTCTTCGTTTTTCAGAACTTTTCTTCTTTCTCTTTCACACAGAAATAGTTGATCTCAAGAATCATTCTAGATACCATCCAAGATGTCTCTCGCAAAGCACGTAAGTTCCAGCGCTCCAAGCTCATCTATTGTATGAGATTCTAATGATTCTCCCTTCAGGTCGATCCTGATGAGATCATCAGTGGCCTCCAAAAGATGCAGATGAATGAAGGAGGTCATAATCATGCTCACACGAAAGGCGGAACCTCACACATTACACCCTACAGCACTCGCTATGCATCCAAGCAAGAAATCTCCAAATTCATTATCCCACAAGAAGGAGCTCCAGCAGATGCAGTTCACCAAATGCTCAAAGATGAGCTGGATCTTGATGGCAGACCAAACTTGAATCTCGCCAGGTATTCCACTATTCTCTTCACCTATTATATGCTTGAAGCAAGATAGAGGTCTGACACAATGATACAGTTTCGTAGGAACATACATGGAAACCCACGCCGAACAACTCATGTTCGAAAACATCTCCAAGAACATGTCCGACGCAGACGAATACCCCGCCATGATGCAAATGCACGCCCGCTGCGTCTCCATCATCTCCCACCTGTGGGGCGTCCAAAAAGGCGAGAAAGCAATCGGATCCGCCACCACCGGCTCCTCAGAAGCCATCCACCTCGGCGGTCTCGCCATGAAGCGCCGCTGGCAAGAGAAGAGAACGGCAGCAGGAAAAGACACCTCGAAACCCAACATAATCATGGGCTCCAACGCGCAAGTCGCCCTCGAGAAATTCGCCCGCTACTTCGAAGTCGAAGCACGCATCCTGCCCGTGACCCAAAAATCCAACTACCGCCTCGACCCCGAGCTCGTCAAGCAGAACATCGACGAGAACACCATCGGCATCTTCGTCATCCTCGGCTCCACCTACACGGGCCACTACGAGCCCGTCGAAGAAATCTCCCAGATCCTGGACGCCTACGAGGCGGAAACCGGCGTCGATATCCCCATCCACGTTGACGCCGCGTCCGGCGGTTTCGTGGCCCCTTTCACGCACGCGAAGGCCGGGGGCCCGAAATGGAACTTCGAGCTACCCCGCGTGAAATCGATCAACACGTCCGGCCACAAATTCGGGCTGGTCTACGCGGGCGTCGGATGGATCATCTGGCGGGACGAAACGCTTCTGCCCAAGCACCTAGTCTTCGAACTGCATTACTTGGGCGGAACAGAGGAATCATATACCCTCAATTTCTCGCGGCCAGGAGCGCAGGTCATTGCGCAGTACTACAACCTGATCCATCTGGGTTTCAGCGGCTACCGCCAAATAATGGAAAACTGCATGTCGAACGCGCGCCTACTATCCAAATCCCTCGAAGCTACGGGGTGGTACACCTGCATTTCCGACATCCACCGCAAGAAAGGCGTCTTCACATTCCCCGGCGTCTCCGCCGCTGTCTTCAGCAAAGAGAACGAGACGTCCGCTGATTACAACGCCGGGTTGCCCGTCGTCGCATTCCGCTTCTCGGATGAATTTAAGCAAGAATTCCCGCACATCAAGCAAGTGGACGTGAGCAACCTGATGCGAGCCAAGCAGTACATCATCCCGAACTACCCGCTGCCGCCGGATGAGGAGAGCACGGAGATCTTGAGGGTGGTGGTGCGGGAGAGTATGTCGTTTGATTTGTTGGATCGGTTGATTTCGGATCTTTGTGCTACGACGCAGGGGCTTATTGTGAGTTCTCAAGCCCCCCCTTTCTGAAAATATGGAAATAAGGAGAGCGCTAACAACAAACAGGATAACGATAAAGGAGACCTCTCCATCCTCGGCGGGGCAAGGGATAACAGCGCCGAGAAGAAACACTCGAGCACGGGCTCTCAGCCTCATAGTAAGGGCCAAGGACACGGTGGCAAGAGACCGATGACTGAGGGTGTTCATCGTGCTGTTTGCTAGAGCGTTGTGGCGTTGAACCGATGCTATGAGAGGAATTTGGGGGAGGAGAGGAGGGAAGCGAAGTATCCAAGAACAAAAAGCAATGCCAGATATTCCCCAATTACCTACCTATGTTCTGCCATTCTTCTTCTTGCCTCCTTTTCTTCAATGCCTGCCGAACTTATCAGAGTGTGTTTGGCTCGAGCTCGTATGCTAAAGTGCATGCACCATACAATTTGAAAAGGGTGCACTCACACAAGAAAAGCTTCGCACTTTAGGTAGCTTGCATTTTTGAAGGTACTGTACAGAACCTTTTCTCGCATCCTTGAACGCACGATACACATCTATAGTGCGGGAAAATGGCCCATTTTCGAAAGAATGCGCACTTGTTCCACTTCGTATCCTCGGAAAATGGTACTTCAAAATGCGAGCCATTAATTGGTCCTAGTCGTACTCTCAATCAACTATTTCCCTATGCACCAGCACTACTTCCTAGCTCGTTTATCCAGTTTATGCCCCTCGTTGCCGAGCTCTATTCCTATCATTATCCCCATCCGAAACTACTATTAGTAATGCTCTATCCCTTGATACTCCATACAAAGTATCCCATCACCTCTTATCCCATGCCGCGCCAATAGCAGCTTCAGATTGATCCATAAAAAGACCCTTCAGCTCCACAAAGACAGTTCCAGTACTGTGATGCCTCTCACACCAACTCAAACTCCCTCCCCTCCAACCCCATCCCCATTCCCCAAACTTGCCCCTCCATAACTCCATGCACATAACACTCCCCCACAACCTCCCACCCACCCTCTCCCCTCCCCCTGACCACAGTAGGAGTCTGCATCCCCCCAAAAACCACCACCTGGTCGCCGACCCTCGACACCGGCGGCACTACCCCAATAAACCCTTTCCGAGTAACACAAACGCGTCTCCCACCCCAACACCTAATCAACGGATGCGAATACGCCGACATCTGCACAAATTCCTCCTGTTCCCTCCTGTCCATCACCACATTCCCTCTAACCCTCTCCGGCTCCCTCGCAATATCCGCCCAGAACCGCTCGTACATCTCGAATTCCCTCACCAGGGTGGTCGGAGCAGGGTTTTCCTTCAAACTGCGATTCCCTATCATGGTCCGCCAGAAGGCTTCTCGCAAGCTTTGGTTTGGTACGCCGGAGTAAGGTTCTTTGGTCCAAGGGGACCAGATGACTAGGTCGTAGGACTCTTTGAACAGAGCTGGTTTTTCTAGGATGAGGTCTGAGGCGTTCCATTCACCGGCTAGAAATGGCGAGACGTTCCAGATGGGACCGAGCTCCATTATGTCGTCGAAGAGAATACCGTGTACGAAGAGACTCTTCCTTTCGACTCGGGCCTGCACTGGACCGGGTCCTCCTGCTTTATAATTCATCTTTTCGTTACAGAAAGATAGCGGCGATCCTTCTTGTATGATGGCCCAGTTTGGAACCCACGATGGCAGCGATGTAGTGGATTGTAGATCATTTTCGGGGATGGAACCAGAAGCAGCGAGCATCTTGGCCGCATCGCCCGAAGATACTAGGCATTCGGCTGCATTGATATAGACCTCTTCCCACGTTTTGTTGGTGCTTTCGGTTGGCTTAAGTAGTCCTTTTGGGAGACGAGAGCACATACCACGAATTGCGAAGAGCTTATCCTTAGGCTCTTGGGCAATGAAATGTCGACAGGTAACAAGCAGTTCTCCAAGCGATCGATCTTCATTCTTTTGAACAGATTGCCGAATTCGGTCCATCCGTCCGATTGTCGTGCAAGCAGCTGGTGGTGCTACTCGAGCGCCCACAGAATCTCCCTGTTCTAGCAATGGGCCACTTAGCATTGGGTTTTCGCCAATGATAGTAATGGCGTCTACCAGATGAGTCCATTCGATCTCAAGATCTCCATATAAGATTCGCAGTGAAGGCGGTAGTGCTACCTCTTGCACGACCCACATCCGTTCAAACCAAGGGTTCGTCAGAAGCTGTCGAAAAGCCTTGACACGCCAGGAAAATCGTTGCGGGCCATATATTTTAACCCAGGCAAAATGATTCGACTTATTTCTGACATTGGAGATGCGAAGATCGTCCAGAAGATCTGCCGCACCTGACACCATATGATGTTTGATCATCTCGTTCTGGTATTCGATTACACCTGGACTCGTGGCCCTGTTGGTCCATCGATCTCCTACCCAGTCACCCAGAACTTTGCGAACCTCTTCCTTGAAATCCAGCGCATTTGGATCTACTAGAAGAGCAGCAGAAACAATGTATGCTTTGCGATATATGTCTTCCATGAGCTCAATCTGTAGGGCCTTTTCGATTTGATCATCTTGATTGATACACACGGAATCGAGCCAAACTAATTTGGGTTGCCAGAAAGAACTTCGGTTCTTCAGGACCTCAAGAGCGTTTGGAGTCACCATGACGATACGTCCATTGACGGAAATACTCTTGTCTGCTCTTTTGTCACCCCAACGATATGAGATGGCCTCGTAACGGGGAACAGAGGATAGCGGAGTCTGAAATAGACTGCATATTATTGGTCCTTTGGGATGTCGTGGATGAATGAGCAGGAGACGGATAGTGTCTTTTTCTCGAATAGGTGAGCACTCGAAAGGCTCGAGTATGGTGACTTCAGGTTGCCGCCTCGTCCGATAGCGAGAAGAACGCAAACTACCCTTAGCAACTTGAAAGGTTGTGAGCATAGTGTACCAAAGGCTGGGAGTACCCCAATATTGCATCTTGTAGAACACCTTGCCTCGAATAAGGATCCAGATATTATTCAACACGTACATAAGCAGTTGGCCTAGCACGTAACGCTCAAAATTCTTGTAGAGAATTCGTCCAATCAGACGACAGATGTCGAATCGTTTTGGCCAGATCCAATCCAGAAACTCGAAGAACAGTAGTCTAGCCAGGGGCGTGGTTGCACGAGACGCAATGTGGAAATATCGCTGGACAAGGAAAAAGGATTGCAGCACAAAATCGGTACCGAACTCGGTCATGGGCAATAGCTTGAAGATAGCGATATGTCCCCAAAAGAACGTATCATTCTCAAACGTTCTGTCTATGAGCTGGTTCAAAGGCACCATAGCCAATGGAGACGAATGACGATGTAAGATGAGGGTTATGGCGAACCAAAACAGGATTGTCTTGATGAAGTCGATAGCTTCTGAGAAGGCTTTTTGGAATTCTTTTGAGTTCTTGCGATTGGCCTCTGATAGCCATTCGACTTTCAAGAGAGGTCCAAGCTGGTAGGCGATCATATACAAGATGTATACGGGATTGTCAGCCATCAGAGTGAGGGTTGTAAAGTTGGAGATATGGAGTTGGAGACACCAGGCAAGGCGGCCTAGAAGCTTAGCAGTCACTCTATCCAACAGAAGTTTCAAGGATGCGAGATGGATCAGCATTCGTAGAGACGATGGTGGTTGTATTTCCATAGACGCAGGCTGCTCCTTCATAGCTGGTGGAGGCTTCTGCATACTGGGGTATTCCTCATCTGGCGGTTGCTCCTCCATAACGACGATTCAAGGGGTCGAAACGATGCCTGCGAAGAACAATAAGAATTAGATTTTAGTCAAGGACACTCGACAGTCGTGTGATCAAATGTTGGCCATAACGAGGGAAGGTAGAGGAATCGAAAGCCTTGCAGTGGGCATTGCAGCTGAGCCACGCCATGACTGATAGCCTGACAGGTGCAACAACTCCATTTGCGATGTTTTAGACCCTGTATGACTTGAAGATTGAAGCATGACACTAAATCTGGAGGAAAACACGCAAGAAGAAAAGGCTTGATTCACTTGAAAGTATCTATGTAAAGCCTCAAGATGCGGAAAGAGCGTTGGAGCTTATGTGGGTAAGGTAACTGCCGAACACCACGTGATTGGAACTCTCGTCGTGCATGAAGGGCAATTGTTTCGTGCGATGCTTCTAGATTCATCTACAGTATCAAGTTAAAGTTCGAATATTGCGTGAACAGTTTCCCAAAGCTCTAGGGTTTCCACTGTATTAAGAACCTCAGCAACCTCACCATCCCCCGTCACAATCTCCTCATTCAAGGAAACCCCCCGTCCACCAAGAGCCTCAATCTAGATTTCATCTCTCAGCGGCTCCCTCATCTCTAAAACAAAAGCCTTCTACCTATCTCCCACCCTACCAGCCCGTACGTGTGGGCATAAACACCCAGCCATCCCAATGGATTCACTCTCGGCACTTTCCAAAGCAGAACCATCCTCCGGACAAACTCATTACCGCAGCCAGCCTCCGTCAAGAAACAAACAACGGAACGCATAAAAGCGCATCTCGGATCACGGTTCTCCATTGGGCTTCCTGCCCTGGCAGCAGATCATCGAAAATAGTGTCTGAGCGCTACGACGTTGAAGGTTCGGGTAGCGAATTAGAGGTTTCTTGCCCTTGGCCTTGCATCAATCTTCGACCCCTCCATGCAGCATCAACATGCATGGGAAGGAGGAAATTTCGAGCATGCATGGGGAGGGGGGTGTGCACGCGCCGGAGATGCATTTGTAGAGGATCTTTTTTTGTTTGGTTGAGTTGATTATTTTTCTCCTTACCCCGCGCGTTTGGTTTTGAAGTTCGTTGATTTTGAGTTTGGTTGTTCTTCTTGAATTTGTTTCTAAGCTTGATTCCTGGTTTTGGTGAGATATGTATTCCTCGTCGTAAGAGTTCTGCAAGCGAGCGAGGATGGGCGAAGCGCGAGATGGGGACCAGAATTGTTTCCCCGGCGCGTCGTCTTTCTATTCTGCTCGATTACTGTGGAAAGTTCTTTCTCAGACCAAAGCCATTGTCTCGGTGCTGAAAGCTGAGAAAAATGGAGTGAAGAGGAAGATTTCTGTTAGGAAGACGAGGACGAGAGAGTGGGTTGAGAAAGGCGGTTATACGGACCCCGAGAAGAGGAGGAGAAACGTCAAAACGAGTTGTTATCTCTGCAAGTTCGTCTCAATCCCCTCTTTCTTTCACTTGGTCTTTTCTAACGAGAAAAGATTACGCCCCTTAAACGCCTCAAATTCAACCCTCGATTTACCATACTTTTCCCCAGCAAACTATCCTCCTTACCAAGAAAGCATCACCTACCTCCCCATAACTCGTTCTCAACCACCGGCCCTACCTCGAAGATCGACGTCTCTACCCTATTACAAGATCTTGAAGCAACTAAAACGTTTACAAATCGTCACCGGACCACATCCCCCACTTCTGGATTTTCGACTCCGAGACATGGAAGAGGGATTAATCTGGCGGAGCGTTGCTGAAAACAAAGCTAGAGACGAGATCTGGAAATTGGCACTGCAAATTTCCCATGAGGAAAATTGCGTGAGGGAATTACTTCTAGCAATCGGGAGTTCGCGGGGGCGGGAAAGGCATTGTTTGCACGCATTGAGAGAACTTCGAGCACTCCTCGCGCAAGGAAGACGGGTCTGGGAAATTTCTTTCCTTTCAATCTATTTGCTCGCGTATCTCAATACCCTTCTTGGAGACAGGAGAGCGGTACGGTGTTGGATGAGGACGGCGTACCGGGTTTTAAAAGGCGCTTTGAGGGTTTTTGGTGCGGATGAGGAAGGGATGAGGTTACCGGAGATGATGATTGATGTTGTGGGTGCTTTTCGGAGGTTGGAGTTGAGGTGAGGTATTTGGAGTTGGGAAAGTTTTTGGATGACGGGCTATGTGCTCCTGACTTGTGGAACTCGGGGCGTATGAGGAACGTGGATGGGCTTTACGTTAATGTGGCAGAATGACCTTAGAAGCTCTGATCCTTGGAAGCTTGTTCCTGGGAATGCCACCAAAGATCTAACATAATGAACATAAATTTGCGGATACATTGGGAAGGACTTTTCGGTACTTGGAATAGCACAGCTCAAGTATAGACAAAATGAAGTAATGTCAACGTTTGTGGAGAGCGTTGGAGTCCCATCTGAACCCGCGAGATTCCACCATCAACTTCTCAACCTTAATGCTAACATAAGTATGGGCCAAGCTATTGGAAGTAACTTTGGCTTGCGTTTGATTGCTCTTTTCGCAGAACTTCCTCTTTGTCTTGCACTTGCTACTGGCTAGGTACCGTTCGGAAAAAGCACGAGTCTTCAGCTATTCTATCTCAAGTGCATTTGGGGTTAGCAGATTTAATGTTCGATTCATGCCTAGAGAAAGCCCCTGCTCTTGAACTGCTTAAGTCTTCCTTCGTCAATCTCGAATTGATACATTGGATCTCTTTCCTCCTTGTGAATGTCATCCTTGGCGAATTTACAACTGTCTAACTGTCTATGTTAAGCTACTTTCATATGCTGTCTTTCCAGAGGTTAGTCAAAGTGTTGTCTTTCACCTTCTCACCATTAGGGCCCCCTTCCCCTCTCATCCCTCACAAATCCATAAAATCCTGCAAATCCATTAATCTGTTCCTCTACCGAAAATGATAAGTTAATCCTCTATTCAAGCCCTATCTAAACTTCTGATCGCGCGTTTTAGTAATCGCCAAAAGGGTTGTTGCTTCACATTAGAAAAACCCAAGTTTCTGCACCAAAATTTTCAATTAACGTGCAAATAATTAATTAGCTTCACTGCGACGTGCAACAAAACTCTCTTGAGCGTGTTCACGTGAACGTGCTCAATACAGGTGGTGTGTTGGGCTGTATAGATTTCCAATGCGAAGGATGCATATTGTCGATTTGAATCGATATCTCTTGCAAGTTACTACATCCATCAAGTACGGCTTCATGGCTATGTTTGGCACAAGATTATCGACCTTTCTAGACTATGTCCTTCACCATCTGCCATGCTTTGAAATATTTCATTGAGTCCTCGAAGGCCTCCAGCTTCTTTCCCTTCTTCGCCCATTCATCAGATCCGAGACACTGGAGCACAAACACGAATGACAGCTGCAGATTCAAATTTGAAACTCAATCGAATTCAAAATTTTAAGTAAGTCAAAGATCAGCATTAACTCGAAAACAGTACATAGCATAACAGTCCACCACCTCATTCACTCACTCCCTCAACAACCACCGCAACAGCAAACCCATCCCACCCCTTCGGCCCCACCGTCTGAATAGCCGTAGCTTCCAACCTCTTATTCCCCCCCATCCACTCAAAAGCCCTCCTAACCCCCTCACTCGCCGCGTCCCCATCTGCAAGCACCTTCCCCTGCCTCACCACATTATCAACCACCACCAATGTCCCCACCTTCCCAAGCTTCACCGCCCACTCCAGATATCTCACGTTATTCTCCTTATCCGCATCAATAAACACGACATCGAACTCCCCCTCTCCCTCCTTCCCCATCTTCTCTAACGTCTCTACCGCTTTCCCAACCCTGATTTCGACTACCTCTCCAAATCCCGCCTTCTCGAAGTTCTTTCTAGCAACTTCCGCATGCTTAGGACTCAGTTCGAGAGAAACAACCTTGCCGCCCAAAGGTGCAACCGCTTTAGCGAACCAGAGCGCGGAATAGCCGCCTAGGGTGCCGATCTCAAGGACGCGTTTCGCCTTGGCGAGTTTGGTGAGGAGGTACAGGAGCTTTCCTTCGTTGGGGGCGACGTCTATGGCGTCTAAGTGGGAGGCTTCGTTGGTGGCGAGACAGGAGAGCTGGGCGGAGGATTGGTGGACGAGGGAGGTTTCGATCCAGGTGTGTGTTTGGTCGAATTTGGCGTATTCTGAGGGGTGGAATTTGTGGGAGGGCATCGTTGCGGGGGAGTTTTTGTGATGAGAGATTTGTTTGGTCTGTGATGGTTCTTTTGAGAAAGTGTTGCACTTGTGTTGAGGGTGGGTGGTACTGGGGCTTTTTGACTCTTTATATACTTCGTTCACGATGCTTCGGGTCGGAAAATACAAACATATCTCCGTCTGCAACAATTTTCCGAGGAGGCAGACAACATTTTCGTCAGCTGTGAGTCACTTGAGTTTGTCTCCATGTTTGCTTTGCAGAAAGAGGAAATGATGAAGTACGGAGTTCGAGAGAGTTGAACTCCGTACTTGGAATAACCAATTGTAGGCGAGCGAGAAAGCCCCATGACGATCTGAAATGCTATTTGCAGGAGATGGGAGATTGATAAGATAACATGACGTGACATAAATAAGCTTTCTGGAATTGACTGACGTGCAGTAGCTTTACTCTTGGTAATCCAATGGAGAGCAATTGTGATAAATTGGCAAATAAGGCGGTGTCACTTGACTCCGTGTATAAGCATTCGAGTTAAAAAGAAGTGGCATAGAAAACATGCCAAGTTCAAGCTGTAAGCAACTCTACGAGACACTCTCATGAATGTCTGATCATCCATCACGTAGTAAAGACGGCAGCACTTGGCTCTGTATACATACAATCAAGGAAAAACCAGAAGTGGTATAGAACACAAACCAAGTTCAAGCAGCAAGCAACCCAACAAGACCTCTAAAAGTGTTTGATCTCCCATCACTCACAAAGACGGCATCACTTGACCCCACCCCAACCATATCATACAACCTCCCTCCCTCCATCTCCCATCTCAAAACTGCCCCCCAATCTCCCTCGTCCTATACCTCTTAGGAACCACAAACAGCGCCTTAGCCTCCACACAAACCCTCCCCTCCAACGTCTCCAACCGCGCCGTAACCCAACACTTCCTCTCCGCCTCGCCCTCGACCCTCGGGGTAGCCCTCACCACATAAAACGAATTCGTAACCACCGGCTTCAGATAATCCAGCTCCAAATTCGCCGTAACGCCCGTCTTCTCTTTAAACCGTCTAATCGCGCACCTTCCTAGACTCTCATCCATAACCGTCGCTATCACACCCCCATGCGTAACGCCCGGCCACCCCGCCAGCGCACCACCCATCCAAATAACCGTAACCGTCTCCCCGCTCTCCTTATTAAAGAAAATCCGTTGATAGCCGCCGATGCCTCGAGCACCGGCTAGAGGACCCGTTGTCAAGCGTTTCGCGCGCTCGTGTTCCGGGAGGGAGGTGTAGGCGTCGTGGTGCGTCCAGGCGGGGTCGTTGGACAGCGATTGCACGATCGGGAGGCGCGAGGCGCGGTTCTGGATCATGGAGACCATGAGGTTGTCTTCGGCGGTGGAGGGGAGGGGGAGGGGCGGAGGGGCGAGGACGAGAGAGGTGTATTGGCCGAGGAGGGTGCCGAGGAGGAAGAAGGTTGCTGCGTAGATGTAGGGTTTCAGGGAGCGTTTTGGGGAGGGGGGCGGAGGGGGGTGGTTTTCTGGGAGGATGGACTGGAGGTTGGCTGGGTTTTGGGGGGATTCGAGAGGAGGTGAGCCGGGAGGAGGGGTGTAGAATCGGGTATGTTGAGATTTGAGCAAGAGTTGTCGTGGAGCTGTTGGCCGGGACTTAATGTGGTGGGTACATCGTATTGCAGACCTTGATACAGGTCTTGAAGCTAGAGATACTAAGCGTATCCTAGTTGGTAACCGTGTGATCATATTCGCGTTGGATAGAGCAGTGAAAGCTCTCGCGGACGTTGAAGCTTTTGATAAGTTTATCGCTAGAACTTCGGCAAAACTCAGCTCATCTCAAGCCTCACCTCATTCCCACAGACCAAAACACCGCTTCTTGTCCACTCGTCACCATAATCAATCTTGCTCAAGCTCTCAATCTAATACTTCGTTTTTAACATGATCCCCTCAATCTCCTCAACCCTCCCCTTCCCACCCAACCAATCAAACCCAACCAAATCCACCAGCCTCGCCCCAAAACTCCAATCCACTTACGCGAAAGCTACAGCCTCGTGGAAAAGGAGAAACATTTATCTAGCGAGCCATACAGAGACAAGACCGCTAAGGGACGTGGTAGATTGGTTGAAAACAAAACCCAGAGGCGAGATTACTGTTAAGTTCAAGCTTCGAGAAGTTTATGTCAAGCAGTGGATGGAAGAATGGGAACGGGAGGATGATTCTATATATGAGTGTGATATGATGATCTCCTAGACTGGATGCAGGGACTGGATTGGATCGTATATTTGAGAAGGATAGGCTGGGATGCGAGAGCTCTCGCGATATTAAGAAAGGGTGAGACTGGACGGGACCGAAACTGTCTGTGGTGACAAGTCGATACTTTAATATGACATCAGAGAGATAGTGAAGCAAGAACAACATAAAAAGATGTTCAAAAGCATCAAACCAAATGATAAAACACCACCCAAATGCACATGAAACCAAAAGACCAAAGTAGTAGGAGTGTGTGCGTTAGGCAACATCATTAATATTGATAATCGATCAACCAGATCAGCACTATATTACCCTCTCTTTCCTGTCTCTCTCCACTCTAGCCACATTCAGCCTCATATATCCATCCATCCATCCAGCACATAAATAAACCCAGGTATCTAAAAAAGATAATTCAAGGTATCATATGCTACCCCACATTCATCCATCATAAAAGAGTTTCCCAAAGCCCAAGATCCTCGTCCCTCAAGCCCCATCCTCCCTCCCTCGTAGTGCTTCATCCAAAGAACCTGGACGTGTCTATCTTGCTAGAAAGAGCATTCAAAATGTACCCCAATGCCTTGCCAGAACCGCAAGCAAAAGATCCCGAAAACAAACATCCTGCCTGTGTGAAAAAAGCGTAGCCAGAGCATAAAGCTAAGCAAACGATGGTATCAAAAGGTGTCTGTCCGAGAAAAACCCCAACAAGTAGAAACAAGACGTAGTAGGCTTCCTCCCCGTTTATAAACAATAATCGAAAAATAAGAATGCGAGCAGTAGTCGTCACCGATCCGATCCCAGCCTACCAATCAAAGCACCCAATTGCAACCCCTGTATAATCGCGCCTCGCAATAAAGATATATATCAACAACGTAGCCACCCACTCGCGCCGCGGAAAGCAAAGCAGGAAATCTTCAAAAACGCCATGCTTCCTGAGAGATGAAAGCGCGAACGAGAGGGAAGAAAACGCAATGCAACGCAAATCACAGACTCATCGTCAACCACTCCCACTCTTGAGGTCCAGTGCCGGCGCCCCCAACGCCGTTCTGGCCCATCACCATGCCAGGAGGAGGTCCACCCATGCCGCCCATGCCAGGCATCATACCTCCTGGTCCCATCGGTCTCTGTGTCATACCGAAGCCGTTTGCGAGACCCATATTGGTCATACTGCCGCCTGAACCCATCATACCCATTCCCATAGCTTTGGCCGCCTCGTTGGAACCAGTTGAATTTTCTGGAGAGTCAACATCCATACTCTCGATGGCGCTGACGCTTTTGCTGTGGCGTCTCTGCCGTTTTGGTGCAACAGCAACATTCGGTCTCGGAGCACTAGAAGCTGCGCCAGGTCCAGGAGTGGCTTTGGGCGGAGCTGCCGCTATTGGGATAACACCCTTTCCACCACTAATTCCAGTCGTGCCAACAGAAGATCCTGCAGAGCCGTGATATGAGGTTGGCGTGCTCGCTGTACTACCACCACCTCCTCCCGATCCAGAGACTGAAGGAGGACTTTGGCTTTCGTTAACGCTTCTTGCACGGACACTTGTAGGCGTTGTAGCTTGGGTTGGTGGTGCAGTAGTGGTAGTAGGCGTCACAATGGAGTTCTTCCTGGTATTTGGTCCGCTGCTCGGTGGTTGAGCGCCCATCTTTTTTGAAGCACGAGTAGCAGCGCCACCAGATCCTCCAACAGGTAAGGAGGCACCTGAGCCACGATTACGCTTCTTGATAACGTCTGTCTTCAAAGAAAGGGGACGGACAACGCCGTGGAGCTTCAAGAAAAGACCACAGGCATTGCATAACGGGTGACCCTCTGGATTTCGTCGCCATAAAGGTGTGGTTTGAGTGAAGCAGTTCGTACATGTTGTTGGAACTCCATTCTCTCCTTGTGCAGCAGCGCCAGCGAGATTAGTCGCAGAACCATGTTTTGAGCCTCCAGGTGATGATGGGCGACTTGGAGCAACAGAAGAGAAGCCTGACATGTTGCTAGCATCAGGTGGGGAATTCGGATTCGATGGATCCATATGGTCGAACATGCCATTTCTCTGACCCATCAAAGCAGCATTGGGAGTCGATGCTGTTCGAGGAATCTTCTGTCTCCTATCAGTTCTCGAGCGGTTATCCGAAACGGATTGGGTAGAATTGTGCGCTCGACCGAGTGAACCTCCTGACCCGTCCCATTCCAAGGAAGAGCCCATATCAGCAGTACCACCGATAGTGACTTGTTTCCTAGGAGGACCTCCAGGATAACGAGCAGCTTGAGTATTGAACTGTCCCGGTAAGCTGGCATCCCACTGTAATCCGCCAGGACCCATTTCCATGTTAGGATCCTCCATTGGTGATTGCGCGAAGTCGTGTTGCATCATCAGTGTGCGATCAGCAAAAGCTGCCCCTTCTTCATCCTCGTTATCGGAGTCACCACCAAACGTGAAGACATTCTCATGGCCGACATGAACTCCAGGCGACCTCGCTGGGTGATCGGACTGGAAGACTTGCGATGGATCGATGTGCTGGTTCATGAACGAACCGGGAGAGGTGTAGGAATTCGAGGGACCAGCGCTCGTAACTGCGGTGAACATCGAGCCACCGTTGGCATTATACATGTATTGTGGTGCCATTGAGTTGGACAGACTCGAGGGACCATGGCTGAACGTGTGCGGCCTTTGATGGCGCATATCCATCCCATGCTGGAAGTACATCTGCTCGTTCTCTGGAATTGGCTGCGGTGTCGAGACAGCGGATGGATAAGCACTTCCTGGAGGAGAATAATAATCATTTGAGTTCAGGGAGGAAGAGCCCATCGAGGCGCTATTATACAGGTTGGAAAATGGGCCGTGCTGCACGAGGGGGGAGTGTGTGGGCGAGAAAGAGAAGTTCTGCTGGAAAGGTCCCGCAGAAGTGATTATCGGATCGTGTTCCATATTAAAAGTATCGATATGGAAAGGCATCCCGTGATGATTGTGATGATGCATTTCAGGAGGATGTGGTTGATCGAGAGAGTATTCATTCAAATCGGCTTCATGATCGGGTTCATTGGGTATCATGATGCTGTTCACTGCTGGTACTTGGGGAGAGAAATCCGCCGGACGCTTCCGAGGCTGCTATCGTCAGTACCTGCTATCGCCAGTGGCGCTTACAAAAAGCAACTCAACAAAGTGGACAAAAGAAGCATCTACTCACGCGTCTCTCATCAATGCTCGTCTTTCGAACATGTCTTTGCACATAATTAAACTCTTCGTTGCTGCGAGGATTATGGTGCGGGACAGGTACAGATTGGGGCACGGCGAATTGGGACGACTCCTTGCGCATCTTAATAGGTATCGCAGAAGCTACAGCATTAGAAGACTTCTCAGACTCCTTCTTGGCAAGCTCTGGGGAGGGCGATGTTCCAAGCCCCGCAGGCGTTGAGATATTATCGGAGAATATAAAGTCATCGAGGTTCATGGGATCTTGGCTTTCTGTTGTCGCAGATGGTGTCTGATCGGAAGATTTCCTCAACTGTGCAATTCCACTCGGCGCGGGCATACTATTCTGCTTCAACAATCTAGCAGAACGAATTAGAACATGTAGCTTCTTCAATTGTACACCGCATATGGAACATACCGAGCAGCTTCCTCCTGTCTGCGTTTTCGCAGACTCATAGCCATCATGCGCCAAGTCAAGTTCTCCATACGCTCTTGATTAGGGAGTTGCTTCTTGGTCTTGCTATATAGTCGCCATATTTGTGTCGCGAGAGGGTCTTTCTTTTGCATCTCATCAGGACTATCGAGTTCTTCGCCAGCGGCATCGTCTTTCCATGCTGGAAAGATGGTTTCGCGCAGCAATTCCTTGCGCGCACTGTTGGCCACCGAGAAATCCAGCTTGCCCAAAGCACTCGCGCTTATCTCCCTTGTGTTCGTGCTTGTGCTGGTCGTGGTGTTACCGGGTTGTAGAGTGACGGTGGAGGAAGAGGCCTCTCCCGATTTCTGAGCGGCGGTGGGTCTTCGAGGAAAGCGGAAATCGTGCTCTGTTGTAGAAGTAGAAGTCGATGATGTCGGGTTAGACTGAGCGTCTCCACTCGCGCCTGCATTCATTGTGTCTGCGGAAGGGTGTTGTTCTGCACGATGGAGAATCCCCCCCACGATGTCATATTGGGGTGCTGCTGCGCCAGACATATCTGGGAGCGACACCACACTGGACAGTGCGTCCCTCGTCCCGTCGAACTATTCGAAGGTAGCCGGAAGCCGCAGCCAGTTTGGGGTTTTCTTCTTGCCGTCAGGTGTGAGGTCGAGATTTTTTCTTTTTTTCCTGGTGCTGCTTCTCTTCCACAAGCCGACAAGAGGAATCGTGAAGTGACGCTCCGACTCGGCGAACGAGGGGGTTTTGGCGGTTGGTTAAGTGAGATCGCGAATGAATCGAGGCTACCCGAGGTGTCTCGTCGCAATGGATGACCCTTCCCTTCCGCTGTCGAAAAGCGACTCCGGAAATCCTGTGTAACGGTGGTATTCCTGCTGGAATGGATGCGCAGCGCAACGCAAAATCTGCTCATGCAGACACGTCGGTAGTAGTCGTGAGTAAGTACAAAGTACAGTACCGTACCGTACCGTCCAGTACAATACAAAATACCGTAGGATAGGTAGGGTAGCGCAGGTGTGAAGTTTGTCGGATGGCTTGGGACGGCGAGGAGGTAATTGGGGTCTCGACCAGTGCGTCAGGATGGACCTGGCCTCATCTTGACATGGATGGGGATCGGTACGGTATGAAATGGAGATGTCGCCGCTGGAGGTCGACTTGCTTGCTTGCGTGCCCAGTGGAGTGGAGTGGTGGGGGAGGGTAAACGAACGTAGGAGGAGCTACTACAGTAGCCGCTACTTTCTCAACTACTTATTTTCTTCCTGTGGTAAGGTACTAAGGTACGACTACACGAATAGGTCCGGTCCTGTATGTAGCTGCGCTGCAGCGAGCACTTGCAGCAAGCAGTAAGAAGAAAATGCTAGCCTTCTCTTTCCACCTCTTCCACTTCCACTTTCACTTCGATGTCCTCCGTTTGCGCCAGTCATTCGCTCGGATTTTATTGCGGTGGAGTCGCTCTTATGGAGAGGAAAACCGTCTTTGCTGTCGTCTGCTCCAATCGACACGGGCTCCGAGTGTCCCACCGAGGCAAACCATGCCTGTCCGCTGTCGTTTAGTGCATGCTGCCAGTAGGGGGTGGTGTCCAGCGGCGCTTTAGTGGTTGTTGATGCAGATGCAGAAGAACATGCTGGGCTGGCACGACTGCGACTGCGACTGCGGGCATGGACAAGGGCCCAGTAGTGCCGCTGGTACAGGAGGCGACGGAGCCAGGCCCAGAACTTTTGGGCTCTTTTCTTACTACCGCCTTTTACCTTTTACACCCCATCTGGGCTGGCGCCGCGAGGCCAGCAGGTGAGACTGAGACCTGTCCTGGAGGATGGGGATGCGATGGATGGGATGGGACATTGGGATGGGGGATCGAGCGCGCTCAGAAGGGCAGCCGCTCCTGCGATGCATTGGGGGAATGGGAAAATGGGGATGGATCAAGGCTGCGGGAATGGGGAAGGAGGAAATTGCGAGTGGGATGATGAGCGTGTGAGGGAGGGGAGAAAAAGATGGGGGGCAACAGCCCGACACGACTTCACCTGCCCATCTCATGGTGAAGAAGACGAGAGATGCGCAAGCAGTCGTGAGATCTCAAGACTTCAGACAGAACCCGCATAGCCAAGCAGGTCGGATCCAACCTTCAGCGATATTGCACCGCTATGGTAGAATCGAGCCCTGATGTTCTTCGACATATCATCACATACATATGCAACGGAGCTCTTCATCCATCGGCCGAAGACAGCTTCCTGACTCGAACCTCCACGACGGCCTCCAGCATGGGAGTCGTATATCTACCGTCCCGCCTGCATTCAGACGCCGACCTTAACGATGCACCGCACAGCGTAATATATTAAGGAACGCACTTCTGATGACGACTCTAATGACAACACGGTGCATTCTCATATGGTCATGAACATCATCTATTGTTGCCGGAGAGGCCTCCGTTCGCAGAAGAACCTTATTGTTTCGCATGATGTTCCCACCAGAGCGAGAGCTACTTTTAGTGTACGCCTGTATTCCATGTGCGGAACCAGCTCGGGACATGTAATTCGCGCGGCCTCACTGGTGGAGGGGCTTTGTCTCAGAACGGAGGGGTGTGGGTGAAAAGGATCCATGCTCCCATGCTTCTTTGCAGGTGGTGGGGGCAAAAGTGGGTTGATCTGGATCAGAGTCGGAAGAGGCCAACAAGGCTTCAGAAGCACGGCTGCGATTCTCGTCGTTGGTACTCCATACCAGCTGTCACTCTGTCACCCCAGGATCTCCCCTCAATCCTCGTGCCAAGACCGACCCGAAGTATACGAGGGTTGAGGTTCTGACTCGTGCTTCACCGATTCTCTCGAGTTGAGGAATTGTCTTCCATAAATTGTACGTACTTCAGTAGCAAGATTGAAGATTTGAGGTGCCTCGAGACGAAGAGGTTAAAGAAGAGTACTACCGAACGGCATCAGGTTCTGTGCAAGAGCCACGGTCCACCTCTCGCCAGTGGTGGCGCTGTTCTTCAGGGTCTGATACGCTTGATAGGTACCGGGATGAGGGAATGGGTCTTGATTGGGCAATGCCCGCATTCTGACATCTTGGAGAGCTTCTGGAAAGGTCTTACCTCTTGCCTCCCGTCTTTCGCCGTTCGCATTAAAGGCGAATCATACGTTAAGCAGATGATGATATTGGGTGCGCTGTGTGGACGGCCGAGGGAATTTTAAGTTCACCAGTGCTCAAGAAAAAGAAATTTTCTCGATGTCTCGCCACAGACTTGAACGGCAGCTTTCCAGCTCGTGGCTGTACCGTTTTCTGATCAGTGCAGGTTTGGTGGGCCGGTCTTAGCTATCCTGCATCGGCGTTTGGAGGGGGGAAAACTTTTGCAGCCGCAGCCGTTCTCCTCATCACAGCTTGGCTCAACGTACATCAGTCCAGCGTGAGAGATGTCTTGTCACTTGTAACTTTGCGCACCGAGCTCTTGCATGTACCTCAGATGCAGAACTCGGGAAATCTCCGTGCAGCGAGCTCCACAGCGGAAGGCTAACCAAGGTTAGAAGACAAAATAGAAGCGCCGTTGAAAATCCAGAAGCCGCATCAAAGCCTCTTCAGCGAATAAACTTCAAATTTCATTGAATTTTGGCGTAAACCTTCGTGCTAGTGTGTTCCGTACACGAACAATCTGCTCTACGTAATTGTCCCAAACCAAACTTCGTACATTTCTCTGGGAGGACTATGTTTCGACGCATGGCATTATTTCGGACCTGCTCTCGTGAGGCAAACAAATATGACGGATCCCCGAAGCGCTGGATGCGCTCACAAAGTAGAACATTTGAGAGACATTGACGTCAGTATGCGCCGGATCAATTGAAATCGTGTTCGCCAAATCGGATGTCAGTTCAAACCTCGAGTTATGGGCGTGGGGTGGCCCCTGGAGATGACCCTTGAACCTGAACCTTGCGGCGATGCGTGAGGTGGTATGGGAAGCACGAGCAAGCATATTTGTGTTCCAAGACCCCTCACTTCTATTTCAGAATAGCCTGAACGGGGTGAAGCCGTGGCCTCCACGAAGCCTAATAGAACTCCAAAGTTCGGTAATTGGCGGTGTAATGCTCAACCTTGAGTCGCGCAGAAGTCGAGTGTTGCATCGACGTCTTCATCCTATAATTTCTTTCCGTAGGGTAAGAACGGCTATTAGAACGTGTGCGTGGACCTGGTACATTCGTTCCCTCGATGCTCTGCTGGCACGCGATCGGTGCAAGCCTCTTACCGTGTGGGAATGTCAGCTCGAGACGAGCTTTTGGCTCCAGGCGGGATTCATCTTAGAACTGATCGATAATTGATCGGTAATCTGGCTCGTTGCGTAGTAGTTCATGAACTATGGAGCAGTGGGTGGCAGATCTAGCTTAGTGAAGCATTAAGTCCGTGTTTAGGAACAACCAAAGAGTCAGAATCCCGAACAGACCCGAGAGTCAAACGGATCCTTCATTACGAAAGTAAGCAGTCCCGAAGTGCCTGCGAAATGTGCAAACACCAAGCCGCTGCGAGCACGCGAGTGCATCCATTTGTATCCACATTAGACGTCGAGGTTGGGTCCGCAGAGTGGTCGCAACATGAGTTTGGCGAGGCTGATGAACATCATCAACGCTGAAGAGGTGGTTTCCGTGGAAGTGGATCACTCAAGCTGACAGTGGAGTACTAGGACTAGGTAACTCCTGGCCTCGAAGGACCCCTAATTCCGGTGTATGGCAAGCATCTAGTCAGTACTGGTATTCGAGGAGTCTACGTCCTGATCATGCGCTCTGCTCTCAGTGGTACCAAAAGTCGAATCACAAGAAACAAATGCCGTGAACGTACAGTATGCTTGGCTGAGATGTGACCGATTTAGCAGGTGCCAAACGCTGAATGTTTGTAATCTGTCGATGTTACGAGTCATGTACCACACCTGTTAATTTGTATTTCCAGATTGCCCAGAAGATGGAGAAATCCTCTACGCGCAGCATGTTCTAGCCCTGAACCTGGAGAAATTGAAGTCCTGAGACCTAAATCTCCGTTCATCTCCAAGGAGATTTGACGACGAATCCAAGAGAGGATCTGGACTGTTGCGGGCCAACTGTCGGTGCTGTATTTTCGATCTTCATCCCACGCAAACCAATAGTTGAACTTTCTTGCTTTGTCGTTAGAGACAGCCACTCAGAAGACGTTTAGAGAAAGTTGCATGTGATGCTGAGGGATTGAGGCGTTTTCCGCTAAAGCGTGCGCTTCTTGAGACAAAGCTAGGATCGTGCCTTGAATGATGAGAGTTCCACCATCCACAAATTCTTTACGCAACTTCGAAAAGATTTGTTCCGGATCGGAAAATTTACAGTTCGAGATGTATCAGCCGTATGAGAAAGGTTATTCGGAGGTCGGGAAAGTGGAAATGGAGAACGTTACTCGTCGATTTCTGCGTATTGTAGAATAACCTTGCCTGATATTGGAGGTCCATGTGTTTCGCCTGCGCAAGCTGGATCCAAAAAAGCGTGGGGGAAATTCGCAATGTGGAAATAATTGGGAAGGCTCCGAGTCTCGAGCGAGATATCCTGGTAACTGACCTTGTTCGCATGCATATGAGAGCCCTGTAGCTGCGGGTGAGATTCATCATCCACTGGCGAGGTCAACAAGGATATGACTAGTTGATGTGACACGTCTGAAGAGACAACCACTCAGGAGTGTGCAATGGCGTGGGGGGTAGACCGAGCAAAGCAATTTAGAATGTCGAATTCAGATAGCATCCATCCCGCAAAGTTGCATTGTACAAGAAGGGCTAACTCTGCATGCTGCTTTTCCCACCGGAGGCGAACTCCTCTCCTCTTGTGACAGGACACAGCAGGAGACAGTGAGTTGATGTCGGCGATGCCATCCAGAACAGCACTGGCCTGAGGATCGACCTGCAAAGATGAGCCTGTTTTGGAGGACCTCTGTAGAGAAAAGCGGTGACATGAGCAGCAGCGACGGCGACGGTAGTTGACAACGGGAGATGAAGGTGTGGTGTGTGGTGCAAGCTGTTGTATGAAAGAACGTATTTCGTATGCAGTTCGAGGACAGTCGAGTCGAGTGAGTTGTCAAATCGGGAGAAGAAGCAACAGCACCGCTCACCAGCCAGATGGGGTTCACTCCATATTCTCGTCCAGAATCCATCGTCCAATAGGTAGGGTCCAGGATCATGTGATGCCAGCATTGAGATGCGTCGAGATGCTGCGGTGAGGCCAACATCTCGGATTTCGAGAAGTGTAACAGCATGAGGGGCACGCGACAACTTTATACCTGAGAGAGATTGCGTCTTATCAGGCCGGAAGGGTTTGTTTTGACGGACGGTGAACGACGATGCGATGATACCATCCTAAAGCATCATCACGCACAATCTAATCAGGGAGGCTCGCTCAGCCCTTGGCCGGACAAGGTGTTCTGTCACTTCTGTGCCCTCACTTGCTCCTCGTTATCGAATTGTCGTCGAATTGCTGACTCGCGAGTCCCACGATTGCGGTTGACTTGATTGCTCTCCGACCGCTCATTCGACTTCTCCAGGCCAAATCCTGGGTCGCGATGAGGAAGAAAAGATAAGTGAAGTGCACCTGACGCCGTGGGCTGGCCTGTGAGGAGGAAGATGCAAACGACGGCAGTCGCAATGCACGACGGGACCCTGGATCTTGAACTCCCAGATGGCTGAAACAGGAAAGTCGATGCTATCCGGGAAATACGCACCCCGTCACTTGCGCAATTCTCCCACAGATCTGGATGCTTTTGTGTATCGATATCGGTAAGTACAACATTGGACTGTACCTATCTCTTCTCCAGATCTTCGGTATCTTCTCCTAAATGGCTGCTAGTGCGGTGCAGGACGTGACAGTACCGCCGTCCTACCACGTAACAACATCAAGGATTTGGATGATACGGAGGTGTCGCCGACGGCAGACTAAGCTCGCAGATAGCGCTGCTCGACGGACCTGCTCTTTGAGACTTGGGGTGCACATCTGTGCTATCTATATCAGCTCAATTACGGTGAACGAAGTCCGTATCTGACGGGATGATAGCTGGTTCGAATCAATGCACGTGGCAGACTTGATACGGGAAAGCATGTGGTGATCAGAACTTTTCCATCCCTTATCTGTGGCTTGAGCGACCTTGAAAATTTCTTTAAGTACACCGCATTTCCCCAGATCTTTTGTGGCTTTTGTTCTTTTCTTTCATCCGTCTTCCAAATCCCGAGTTCAAATGGTTGTTGTCTGAGTGGATCCAAAACAATGGAGTTATGGAACCTCACCTCTATGGAGATCGGGACTTGACGTCGTCCTTCAGCACGTGATGCAGATATTATTACTTGGGCTGGATTCTTCTTCAACCTCCTGTTCATCTTCGGTATGGGCGAGACGAGTCGAGAATGTTGTTGTTGCTGTTGTGGTCAAGATGCCGGATGCACCGAAGGGATTATCGTCAACACGAAATATCGTCAAACTGCCTCGAGCATCACCAACATCACCAAACTACCAATGGCACTAATACAAGTATCATCATGAGAGACATGATATTTGAATACCCAATGGACTTTCGACAGACATCTCTGTCGTTGATTTAGAGAAGAGGATTGCATTTAGCTTCCGTAGGTAACTACCCCTTTCTACCGAACACCAAGGCAAAGGGACCACCTACGATTATGGACCACCATTCAATTCTATCGACGTCAGAGACAATCTTGACATGGACCGACATGCATGAGAGATTCATCCTATAGTCTTCATAGCTGGAGTATTCCGCTCTTGCGAATCTCTTGGTTGCCAACAGACAATTCAATATATAATGGCTTGCTCTTATCCGCATGGCTATGGAGTCCCTCGGCCAGAATTTCGGAATCTTCATATCGGAAATCTATTTTCTGTCTTGTTTACTACTTTGAAGATGCAAATGCGAGTGCAATAAGGGCAGCACGCTACAAAGCAAAGATGAAGCACATCCTTTGTTCCCAACCGTTGCAGTCAGACACATTTCCTTTGTCATCTCGAATCCTCTTCTGCTTGCGGAAAATATGATATAATCAAAGATGGCTTTTTGAATCATAAATCATGTTATTTGAGATCTCTGGCTTGAGACTTCCTCACTGTCTATCCTCAGCATAGCCATTGATCGTTATCAATATGGTTCGTAAAGACGGCTCCGTGAGCATGTCGATGAACATGTCGACACCTGTACTCATAGAACCTACTACTTCGAGTGAAGCCACGGTCAAAACTTCTACAGTGATTTCAGCCTCAATACCAACATCAACGAGCACCATGGAAATATCGACACAAACCTTCCTATCGACTTCATCAACTACACCAATTGGCACCACGATCCCACCTGTGAGTACCAGCACCATTCACCTCACCACAACCACCTTCCCATCAACCACCAGCCCAAAAAGCACCCTCTTACTTCCCACGCCCAGCATCCTCACCACTCCAGCAACACCATCTCCATCACCACCAGCAAATATAACAATCGTCCACCCCCCACCAACAAACCACTCAGCAGCCATACTCGGAATCAGCATCGGCTCCTCAGTCGCCGTTCTCCTCCTCGCTAGCATCCTCGGAATATGGTACGCTCACATTTGCTCAAGAACCAAAGCTCGACGAGAAGAAGAACACGAAATCGCCACCAATTCCCAAGGAACATTCGTCGGAGGATACAACCTCGCTCAGCTAAAAGCACAGGAACAGGCAGGAGAACCAGAACCGAAGCCCGTAGGCGTGAGAAGGAGTAACACACGAGAAGATGGACGGAGAAACGGTGTTGTGCTCAAAGTCGTGAATCCAGAGCCGGCACCAGCTTCCGTACCAGAAGAAATCGAGCCGTATCATCAGACCGTGGAAGGCGGAGAACGATCAAGAGCTCGGTTCGAAGCTTTCAAGAAGTCTCGAGGTATACCGACACATGCTATAGATGCCGCTACTTTATACCACCACTCCGAATTCCTGCAATCTGCGACCCAACCTCAACCTCAGCCAGAGCCAGGACCGGAAACGAACGTCGAGATCTTAGCTCCAGGGGTGAGGAGAGCGAGAAGTAAAATCGATCAGTGGAAGACTGGTGCTGTGGGTCCGGTTGTTTCGATTCCTGAAGTGAAGATAACGGCTGCTACGCCTGTTTTGGAAAATGCTGAGTTTAGGAGAGGGTTGGGAAGGGTGCGTGGGAGTGGAAGTGGGAGGGGAAGAGGGAGAGGGAGAGAGCCGCCCCCGGTGGTGAAAGGTCCAGCGACGTTTGAAGATATGGGGTTGAAGCAGTATAGGAAGGGGTTGGGGATTGATTTGACGCCGAGGAGTAGTGTTGCTGATATGAGACCTTCGATTGAGGTCAAGAGTGGGGAGGAGCAGAAGTGAGTTGATACGGGGTTGTTTTCGATGTTCTTGTTTTCAACCGTGAGCAGTTTGGGGGTTTATCATGAAATTCCATGGAAGATGCATCGATATTGAGAATGTTTGCAACTTGCTACATTCGCATACATATGTACCTATCTACTGCTCTCATCTTATCCATCGTTTGTACCATCTGAAGATGTATATGTCCTTGTGTTCCAAGGCGGCTTCTCAATCTATTCGCGATGTGTAAGTCGGCATCTTTTTGGGAAGGACCTTCCCTAACTTACAATTTCCAGATACAGAAGGCACGTCTCCAGCTAGACTTCTCTGCCTTCATATTCATAATCGTCTCTGCTCTGTCTTTTCTTGTCAACATATTTTCAACAACCATCATGACTTGAACGAGTCGCCATTGGATCATCTGCACTCGTTTCTTCTCATAGTTGAATTACACGTATACTTACTGCACTGCATCCGCCTTTCAGAATTGCCTGTTTGAGAGGAGTCTGCTGGTTAGCATTAATTCTAGGCAGAAGGCAGTTCTGGATACGCATACTTGCTACTCAGGCTCACAACATGGCACATCCAAAACGACCGCGAGCACCAGAATGGTTGTATGATGGAGAAGAAAAGTGGACCGTTTCTCCAAAGCCAGAGCGCTTGCCATTGGGAAGGTAATCGAGCGTTCGCAGGCTTGCTTAAGAATTTCTCTGATTGATCATCAAGCAGAGCCAATTCAGATGAATTTAAACCCCGCAGTCCAAGTTCGTGAGCGCGGACCTGGATACCAACATGAGGCTAGGTATGACACTTCGCTCCCAAGTTGTTCGTGTGTTTAATGTTTCTCCAGAATCAGACAACGAAACAATCTGGCGCCGGGTGGGAGTACAGTTCATGACTACAAGTCTTCTCGAGATCACTCCAGACACAATCCACGCCGCTTCGAAAGAGATCCCTCCTCACGACCAAGAGATGAAGTCTCACATCCACTTCCTCCTCCTCCCAAAAGACCTCGGGCAGATAAATTTCACCCCGGTGGTCGATCAGGCCTTCCTGCTTCCTTATTTTCTGCTCCGACTGGGCATTTCCATGGCCAACGCGATCCCAGAGGAGGACAAAAGAATCGGGAGCCAACCCCACCGCGTCGTCAACCTTCATCCAATGGTCCAAGCGAGTGTGAAGAGATAGAGCAAGCTCGAAAACCAGCACAACCGCCGAATAAACGACCCTCCCCGGACCAGCAAAATGATGTTGACCAGGAGCAGAAGCATACCGACGTGCGGGTTCAAGCAGAAGCCAGCCATCATAATGTGAGAAGCACTGGTGTATCACCTTCAAAAGATGCAATTAGGCAATTAGTCCAGCTCAAGCCTGCTTTGGAAGTATGCATAAAGATTATAGAGCATGCCCTTGAAGGGATCAAAAGTTTGCAGCAATCATCCGAATGGGTAAGCCAATGCTTCAATCTATTTCCACGTGCTGAAATTGTGCCTCACAGGGGTTAAGTGAGCAGCCTAACACATCGCATCAGACAGCTAATGAAGTTCTTGGCCCTGTGCATAAAACTTTAGAACCAGACGATCCCGGGTTTCGTAGTACTGGTGTAAGCAGTGATGATGGACTGTTATCACCACAAGTATCAATCAAGACACCCGCCCCGACACCAGGTTTGTACGAGGTGTTCTATGATTCAATCATCAATGAATTGAGCAGGAACGATAACAAGCAATAGGCAATACTTCTGCTGTCTTGCATACGTAGATGCGGTGGCTGTGAGGAGTGTTGCTGTGTAGAAAATGGACTACTTTAGCATCCTTGAATGAAAGGCATCCCTCCTGAGACCTCGGTGAGCAATAAAGAGAAAGCATACCATAGACTATAAAGAGGATTCCACATTGTGACAACCAAACAGCTTGCCATACCATGTGTCTGTTCCTGAGCACTGCTCCATCCTTTCGCTATGCACACTCTATGGCAAAGATCCCGAGCAGGGAGTCAAGTTTGAAGGTAGTATGGAGTTCGGCATTCCAGCATAGCTCACTGCATCAGCATGCATAGTCTCAAGACGAAAGAACATCTTCCGGACTCCTTGACCCGCGAACACCCAGCCGTCCTCGCGTACGAGAAGCAGCCCCATCATATCTTCAACCCAAGGTCTCCCTTAACTTCCAGAACCTAGGTCTGCTGCTGGCACGCTCTAATCCTCCTCGGCGTAATAAATTTCATCCACCTCGAATGTAACCTTGGTATTCAAGGAACCCTCACGTCTCACTCCCACCACTCCCTCTCTGCTGCCCCTGACTACCGGCAATCGTCTCCTCTCCAAGCACTTTACTCGCAGCCATAAACCTAATAAATCCTCCATTAGCCTCTCGCATGCCCCCCAGTTGCAGAAAGAACCTACAGTCCGCCGTGAAAAGCGCCCAGGCCGCGGATACTCTCTGCTTGTACGCTAGTCATTCGGAGTAAGTTCTCGAGATCGGCCAGGTTGGCGGATAGTTGGGCGAGTTGCGCATGGAGGTGTGACTGTGGGGGAGTTAGCTAGAGGAAGATGCAAGGAGGGAAGGAGAGGAGTACCAGTTGACGGGGTTTGATGCTGCTGGGGGCTGTGGAGAGGCGGGGCGCGTTGGTGGTTGGGATTCGGGTCGTCATTGTGATTGATGATTGATTGTTAGAGGAGTTGGTGGATGGGTGGGTTTGGTGCGAAAGGTGGTGTTGTTGAGTGTTGTCTTGGTGTGGAAATCGGAGAGCGCGTTGTGAAAGTAAACAGGGCACAGTGCACGGGCCACTTAATGAAGGGTCTTATTGCATTTTTGACCCCTCTTCTTTTTGCAATGTTCACATGTTGAAGACTTTAGCGAGCTGAATACCTGAATCCTATGAAGTTTCCCTTTAAAATGTTCTCTAAGGCCATGTCTTGGAGAATGTATAGTTATTCTCATCCCTTTCTGTAGCCCTCAATCAGACATTCTCCTCAGATTAAAAACTTTGCTCGGCGGGAACATTCTCCTTTCATCTCGTCTTTCCATTTCGTTTTCATTTCCATAGCTGTTAGTTGACAGCAGCAAGACTCTTGATAGCAACAGCGAACGTCTATTCCCGCTGTATAAATCCGTATAAAATCTTCGACGAATTGTGCTTCCCTAAAATTGGGAGTCCAGGTTCGTCCACATTTAGCCAAAGGAAAACGACACTCATCATCAAAGACCAAGTCTTTTGGTTGATTTCTCTCGAGCTTTCAAAATTGTGAAAGGGAGACAGGGTTCGTTTATATCGACGACGATTATTGTGGGCGCCTGGGTTATAGGGCATTACGTTAGACTGCTCTTAACATAGGATTCACGGCGTCTATTACGATTCACCGTCTCTGATAGTACAAAACAAGAATTCACGCACGCGGGATTGTACAAGGCAGACGGGTGAACCTTTATGAAGAGAAGAAGGCTATTATGAGATTTTCGTAGAGAAGCACCAGGACCAAAGTATCATCCTCCTTGATCAAACCTCTACATAGAAACCTCCCAGGACTCGTTCTCGGGCCTCTTGAGTCGTAGTCGTTTCCAGAGACAACTCATGAATTTCTTCGTCTAGAGATCTCGCTTTGACTCAAATCTCGACTTTTCTCGCGGACTTCAACCGCCATCGTGGCGCATGTCAAAATCCACCATCAATTCTCTGTCCTCCGAGCTCGTTGAAATGCCTCGACCACCCCGCCCTCAAAACAGTTGCAGTTGCCTCAGAATGCCGGCTCCAATTCCCGATTGAGTACAGAGCGTTTCGTTTCTCCTCGCCTCGAGACTCTCTCCAAGGTGCCCAAGAGCTTCTCTCAGATATCCTGGACATTGCAAGAACGCCTTCCAAACTTTGCTCTCCTCGCCTCAGGAGACATGAAGGTCCACCCAAGAGAAGAAATTGGCGAACCACCATTCTCTTCAAGTCAACGACATCCTCCTCTTCTCGGTAGCATTTGGATCCTCCTGAAGCATCCTCATCAATATACCCCTCCTCAAATGCCTCGCCCTGGGATTCCAAATGAGACGCACGATCCGTTTCTGCAGTGAGCGCTTCCGCTCCAACTCTGGCCTATTGGAGGCTTTGCCAATGGTAGCAAAATCAATGACATGGACATCGGGATGTGTTCCCGTGTGACTTTCGGTCGAAACTCTTGGTTTTTCTTCTGCCATCGCCGCGGTTGCTAGCGATTGATGTATAGGTTGTGACGAATGAAGAAGATATCGTGGGAGAAAAAGCTGGGATTTTGTGAGGACATTGACGGAAGGACTTTCAGAGATACCTTTCAAGAAGAGACAGTTTGGGGAAAGGGCAAGTATATATCCTCGCACTCGGACTCGGAAATGAAGTCCACCCTAAGGGATCTTGGGCAGGCCCACTTCGTATCCCACTTTTTGGACGGCGTAAACTTCGGGTAAGTGGCGATGACGCTGGTGTGCAGTTTTTGTATGGATTGTGGATTTTAATGCATGAAAATGTATGAAGGGTCTTTGGGCGGTAAGGAGGCTGATGCTTTTCGTGATCCACTGTATGGATTGTAAGAATGGGTTGGAGGTAGAGATGGTTCGATGGGGCACGGACGTGGGAAACCCGAGAGATGGGGAGATTGAGAAAATTCAGAATCATTGTTGGTCTGTAGGAAGAGTCTGAGGAATAGTCTTCCTTCTGGCCCGAGAATGTTGAGTACGTAAGATATGGGAAATCAATAGGAGAGGGAAGGCAATGCTGATACTCTACGATCCATCCTTGAAGATGGACCACATGCCTTGATCCTCAGATTATAAACTTAGTCCCTTGGACGCAGTAATTGTATGCCACTTCGTTCTCTCCAGAATAGAAATAATCACTCTCAACTTCTGCTCACTCAAATATACGTCCCAATGCACAACATCTAGGAGGAGATCAATATTCCATTGACCATACGCACAAAGGCAAGAAGCATTCGTAACTCAAATGTCAGATGTACAGACGCCAATGATGCATCCCTTCCTCCCAAATCGACGGTCCCATCCTGAAGCTTCCGGAGTCTTAGTTTTAGTTCCCTTCTGCTCTCGAGACATCGCTCGCCTCTGATCAGGGTCCATCTCCAATCGTGAAAAGCAACGCCCCGAAACCTCCCATCATATCGCGTGCATGGGTAACCTATGTGGTTGGGTTGGGGTTCATCTGGAGAAGGCGTTAGCATGGAGTTTAAATTGGTATAAGTGTAGATCTGCATACCTTTCGCTTGCCTCCAGTAAGAGTAACGTTCACAAATCGGCGGGTGTATGTGATTCTCTTCTTGGCACGACCCTTGGGCGTCTTCTTCTTCTCTTGTGGCTCAACCTGTATTATTTCATCAGCACTCATTCCGTGCGCGAGAATCCCAAACATATGCTTCCATCTTCCATCTCCACGTCTTAACGGTGTCTTTGCGCCTCGAAGGAGCTGCAAAGCCATCATTTGCCTCCCAACATCCATTCCACATCCTTGCCCCGCACCCCATCCTACAAGAACTATCAAAATCATCGTACCTTTGGTGTTTGAGATTTGACCTTTCCGGCACGAGCGAGGGATCCGTGGACCTTTCCCATGATTGCGGTTTATCGGTTTGTGATTCGAGATGACTTCCGATACTGCAGGTGGCAAAAGCTCGCGTTAGCTGGTGATTCTCCCTTCTCGTGAAAGCGGTTTGAAGGCCGATGACAGATTCGACGCAAGTTTGATGATGATGGCGTTGAAATAGACTCACAGGTTGGCTTTGGGTGAATTGTCGATAGAGTCGAGTCTCGTCGTCGATTAGAGGATTGAGATTTACTGAAAGTGCGGCTTCGCTTAAGCGCGCTAACGTCTTTAGGGCTCAAGTTCTGTCTCACGTGATAATCTTTGGCCAACAAATTAGAGACATCTTTCAGCTGAGATTGGCAGAGACACAAACACAGGGAGTCATCGAATTGCTATCACTTGGCTCGAAAGGAGCCATGGCTGTTCTGTGTGGAAAGTAGTCATGTGCGATAAGAAATACGCCATCCTCTTATCTAATGCCGAGCTCTCACGAGGCATTGTTTGATCTACGGACTCCGTAAGTCCTCGTTCCACTTTCAAGCCTGTCTTCAAGAAGCATCAACAAATTCTAGCTCTTGTCCATATTATTTCCTTTACTCAAGCCATAAAGCTTTGGTTATCGCAAGATGCGTTTCTCATTCTTAACCACTCTCCTCCCACTTGCCACAGCTTCAAGTCTCCCCACCACCAAAGCAGACCAACAACCACAACACATCTTTTCGAACCCCTCTTCCTTGCACGAGTCCACCTACCGCATACCAACCTCCTACGAATCCGCCGTCCTCGCCCGCAGAATCCTAGCTCTTACTCCTCTGGGCACACTCTCAACCGTCTTCCCATCCTCCTCTTCCTCGAACCCCCACGAATCCGAGAACCGCCCCTCAGGTCTCGGCGGCCTGCCCATAGGTCTCACAGACTACATCTCCGACTGCGAAGGGACGGGAGATCCCACCATCCTCGCCATAAACATAGCAACATCTTTCAAGAACGCTGCTGCGGGCTCAAACATCTCGGTCTCGCTACAATGGGTTCCTCCTTACCCGCCCAAGTCGAGAATAGGCTCGTTTACTCTTCCTTCGTTATTTTCGTGGTTTGAGAAAGCAGATGAGGATAAGAAAGGAGCTCTGCCGTTTTCTGCAGCGAATTTACCTAGGTTTAGCTTGCTGGGATATTTGGAGAAGATTGATGAAGGGGTTATTCATAATTTGGAACTTGCGAAGTGTTTTGTGTCTACGCATAAGGATGCCAAGTTCTGGTTGCCCGGGAATCCGATTCATACTAGTGAGTGGGTGAGGCTTGTTGTGCAAGATGTTTATTGGATTGGTGGGTTTGGAGATAGGGCGTATATTGGGTGGATTCCAGTGGAGGAATGGAGAAACGTTACTACGAAGGAGTGGGAGAGTGTTAGGCTGCCAGGAGAAAAGAAGGGGTGGAAGGAATGGTCTGCCGACGCCCAGTGGGAGCTGTAAATTTCAGATAGTTGGGGAAAGTGTGCAAATGCCTGGGAAGTGAAAATACCTATATACGATCACACTTTGCATACATAGTTGATTCGATGAATTATGCTATTTATTTCTCTGGTCAGAGTGGTATTTTACAAGACAGCAATTCCCTTTTCGGGAATCGGAGGAAGCAAGTAAGGCTAAAGAGGTATTTGGTCCATAAAATAGGCAATGCAAGCTCCTTCACCTCAGCATCTCCAATCCCTCCCCGCCAATTGCGGGGAAGATGAAGCTTATGCAACACCCAATTTTGTACAAAAGCCTGAATGCTAAGAATGCCATGCAAAATCAACGCCTGTCTAATGCTCCCAACGCCATGGATGATTCATAAAGCTCCAACTAAGACCGTCTTACTCTCTTCGAAGACGATGTAGGTGCTGGCCTGCTTCTAGATGACTTGCCTTGCTTCAGGCTGGCCTTAGTCTTGCCCTTGGAAGATTTCTTGGTAATTCCTTTGGGCTTTGAGCCTTTCGATTGGACCTTAGTTTTGCCTTTCGCCTTGGACACTACCTTCTTTGCCGGAGGCTTTGGACGACGCGGCATCAGACCCTCAAAACGAATACCATCTGACTCCGAAGACGAGTCATCAGAGCTCGAGATAGAGGTAAGATCTGAGGAATCTCCATCCAACAAATCTCGAGCAGACGAAGAAGATGAGATGACCGCTCCAGAGCGCTTCAGGCGTAAAGGTGCATTTTCAATAGAAGGCCGTACATCATCAGTGTCAAAGTCTATCGAAGAGTCGTTGTCACCGTGTTGCCGAGGGTCCCTTACGATGCCTCGTCGCTTGTCCATTTCTGTTGTAATGAAGTTCCATGAGCTTGCCCAACACTGGGCATTGACTCGAAGGTCCTTGTGGTGAGTACGAAGATATTTTCGCATCGTCTTCACATCCTCGAGCAATTCCTCGTCACTTCGGTGATCCATGTGCATATGTACCAGGATAGCAGTAACAATAAGCTCCAATGGACTGAAAGTGCGAACCCAGTTGACATTGGCAGTTCGTAAATACTCCGGTGCAGGGTCAAACACTGAGTTTGATTTCACTTTCCAACGGGTGGTGGTAACTCGGGTTGATGACATTTTGACAAGACCTTCGTACCTGTCAAATATTGCCTTCAGCTTTTGCTTCAAGTCCGGGTCAATGGGAATCTTGTCTTCTAGTAATCGACCAAGAGCTTGTGGACTGGCTTGTAAGGTAGGAGCTGCTGTGTTTGTATTCGGGATTCTCTTCTTCCTACCTGCCAGGACCTCTATGGTCATGGTGAAAATGGTAAGAACCAGACGGAATCCGGACGCGCGATTCTGCTTCGACACTTGCTCTCATGTCAGCTAGTACAAGATATAGAAGGACAAGAGTACTGACAGTTGACGACCAAAGCATAGTCCTCCTCAAATTGCTTTGTGAGCATTGCCCATTCGGTGGACAGAGCTCGCATCTTTTCTGCTGGCGTAAGTGCAATGCCACGCTGAACAAGTTGGAACATAGTCTCTTCTGTATCAAGATCCAATTCCTCATACTCATAACAGCAGAAGAATTGTTTCTTGAAGAATTCCTTCACGGCATTCGGCAAGATGTTTCGATTGCTGACTTGTATACGGCCATCGATTATTTGGTGACAATAATACCTATGGGACTTGTTTAGATTCTTGCAAGTTAGACCAAAAGGTCTATGCTCTAACGTACCATTTTCTTTGTGGCTGACTATTGTCGAAGAATCCGATTTGACCCTTGATAAACTTCCATATGGAAGTCAAACGCTGCTTTCCATCAACACAAATACGGGTGTATCTGGCTTCGTCCCTGCCTTCAACCTTCACCATTGTTTTCTTGACATTGAAAATAATAGGCGGAATGAAGTAGCCCACTACAAGATGTCAGAAAGTAGGATACATAACAATTAATGTAGCTTACTTAAAATCGAGGTTATCAGTAAAGCGGCTCTGACTTCATCCCAGACAACATCTCTTTGGTATTCAGGGTCAAGAATGATGGACTTCGCTTCGATACATTCTAGGTCAAGAGATTTAGCATAAACCAAATTTGTCGGGTGAGACACTTACGATACAGGTCATACAAGGATCGCTTCACAATGAAAGGCTCTGGAATTTGCCGGATCTTGAAGCCTGTAGACTGTAAATGCTGAAAGCAAACAGAGAATCGGCCTGCGACTAACCTTCGCAAACGAAATGACGGACTCCGTTGACATGAGCGATGCCCTCGTATGTCAAGTCAACATACTCTTCCCCGTCGACATCCTCAAACATGTCATCGCTAGCTTCTGGTAAACTAAGATCAATCGTGACTGTCTGTGGCTCTTGTGGTTCGGGCTTCACTCGTGGTCGACGACCTAACGAGTGTGCCGAAACGAATTGTGGTGCATCCGGGTCCTCTTTGATATAAGGTTCATCTTTTGGTTCTGGCTCTTCGGTCTTTCCATCCTCTGATTTAGGTTCTTCTGACTTTCGTGCTTCAGATTTCTGTTCTTCGGCATTTCGCTCTTCAGAACCTGCCTCTTTGGGGATGGGATCATCCGGCTTGGTTGCCGGTTCGGCGCTGGCTGTGTCCATGGTTGACTTCGAGATGAGTTTCCGGAATTTTATTCGCCTGCAAAGTTGATTAGTACTGTTTGGATTCTTAGCCGGTATAGAAATGAGAGAGGATAAGTTGGAAAAAATCGGCCAGGGGGCAGCGTGAATATAATGTGATCCGATACCAATCTCACAGTCGGAAGTGGGAGATTGGGAAGTAAAAGAAAGAATATGCAGGCAATCTCTCGGTACAGCCCACAAAGTGTATGAACAAAGCTTTAGGAATGTGTGACTCAACCAAGCCCCAAGCAGAACCGACACAAACAGTGCACAAGTCGGTGATGGGCTTCCTCTTCAGTGAACCAATAGCAGAAACAAGGGCCCATGAGATAGGGGCAATCGCCAAACAAGTTGTGCGGTGGGCAACAAGACGATTTGCAGGCCCTGAATGCTCATTTATGGAAGGGACATTGTGAAACCTAGAGACAACCATGTTCGGCTCACCAAGAGACAAGAGGTAACATGCAGGTGCAAGACCAGGAGGCTGAAGATCACGTTGTCCTCTTGTGCCCAAAGTACACTTGCAAAAGTCCCATATAGCCAGGTCTTGAGGCTAGAATACCTCAAATGTCTGCCTTGACCACCGAGCAGGTGCTAAATCTCTCTCCTTCCATTTTCCAAAAGCAAGCACAAACTGCACACAAAGAATTGCGACGCGTTGACAAATCAAGAAAACGTGTGACTGACCTCTTTTGAATGCGGTTTTTCTCAGGCTCGCCGTGGCTTGCGCAACAATATTCGCGGTATTCTATGATCCAGAGAAAACATGTGGTGTGCTTTTTGACAGTGTCTTGATATTGTAGAAGTTGTGGTGTTTAAGGGAGGGGTGCGAGATTTCGACCTGTGGCGCTAGTATTCGGCCGCTAGTGGTGGGGTTATTTCGGGTAGCTGCATTTTCTTTGTGAATTGCTTGCTGAGACGTTCAGTTCGAGGTCATGTTTTTAGAGGTTGATAAGTGATACATCTAAAGAAGTCCTGCGTCTGTTGTCTTTCTTAAGTTATGTAGGTATTTAGGTACGTAGCAGAATCTTTTTAGATCACGTGATCAAACCATAGTTCATCAACCGCTGGAGTATAGGGAGGTACTTGTGAATGCTTCACCACATGCTTGGAAGATGCTCGGTACTTAAATTACGGTTTTGATGAAAGTATCTTATCTATGAAAGGTCCTCTACTATTTTATTGGCCTGTTTGATGCTGAGAAGTACCGAGTTTAGTGTGGTCATAGAGAGGGTCTTCACTTTAAGACCTGAATTATTTGGCACTTGGAGAGGTGATGGATGCCCGAGTAGCATGCATTGTACTAACCTTCAGTGAGATCCTTGAATGTCGAAACTCCTGAACGCCATACCAGTCCTTTCTATTGGGTATCATCAACAGCACTGTAATCCGCCATTCCTTCCTTCAACACCTTAGCCAGAACAGTGGCAGCTCTTCCAGCTTCGCCACCTTCTTTCTTAGCAATCTCGACGCCAGTATTTACTGCAGCCAGAAAATTCTTCTCGAAAACTCTCTGCCTATCTTCCCTGTCAATATACATCTCTCCCTCCTCGTCCCTCGAGCTACCGAACAAGTTGAGATGTGCGAAAGCATTCGAGCTGGTAGGAATCATGAAGTTCTGAGAGTTTGCCATTGGCCAGCTCGTTCTGACTGCCTTCACAGAGAAATCATCCTGAACCTCCACCAGTCCTGCTTTCAGGAATTGGGCCAGAACAAGGAGTTGCTTCGGAAAAGACTTTCCAGACTTTCCAAATGATGCTTTGCTTGCTGCTGTCCATTTCGAGGTTGTGTTGCTGACAGCCCACCCCATCATGCTCATGAAGCTCTTTAAGGTCTTTACCCAACCACCAGGACAAGCAACAACATCGTCATCGGCTACCTCGAGGAGCCATTCAAGAACAGCTAGCGCATCTGACCGAATCTCTGCTGCTAAATGCGTCATGCCAGCTCGGATGTAGAGGAGTGCTGACTCTGCTCGATCGGCAACATCTGCATCGGGTAGAAGGCGAAGGAATTTGAGGAGCTGTGTGCGTACTGAGGCCGAGCCGTCGAGAATCAATGGGAGGAGTTTCGGCAGAATAATGGCTGTTGGTAGTGGCATGGGTGTGTTGACTGGCTTGGAAGCCAGTTGCGTGGTGAGGTAGGAGAGTGCATCTCGTCGTTGGGTGTCTGATTTGGACGAAGAAGCCAAGGAGAGGTAGTGACTGAACTGGGAAGAGGACGAAGGTGCGTTAGTCGTGAGTGATTGTTGGTTCACAGTGATTGCTGCGAGATGTTAGCTGTGCTCCAAAAGTAGTGGCGATCAATTCTCGGATAACACAAAGATAAATCGTATACTGAGAGTAGAGAACTTGACAAGCTTGTTATTGTTAAAAGGAAAGGGCTAGATGGAAAAACTACTGTGAAAACTATTCGAAAGAAACTTTCAACCACATTTGACCTTATTATTCAGGAACGATACATTGAACATAAATGGACAGTGTACGACGCTGTTAGCAACCCTCTGATTAGAAAACAAGTCAGTGAGACCTGGGCTGTGTTTAAAGGGTCGTGTGTGATACATCCAGACCTACTTATCAGATGCGGCAGAGTCTCAAAAGGTCAGGTTTGCAGCAGTGAGGACTATTGTCCGTCATATGTAACAAGAAGAAATAACCGGAATTATAGAATAGCAAGAGACAATGTTATAGTACATCGGAATACACAAGACTTCAAGATTCATGAAGACAGTGTCCAAATCGATTCAGGTACATCTCAGACCCAAATCATGGGTGCAGAAATTTAAAATGCCAGCGCAAATAGATATATTTATCGTTGACCGAAATTGAGCGCAATTGAAAGTTTGAAAACATGACAAAATGAAAGAAATTCTTACATTTGGATTTGAAGCTGGTGTCAGTAAAGTTGTCCGGCTTGGCCTTGGTCTTCCCAACCTTCAACTTCGTTTTCTGACGATATATTAGCGTCAATCGCATTAGTGCGATTTGGATCAACAAACTCACCTGGAAGTCCTTCTTCTTCTCTTTTTTCTTACGTGCGCTGGAACCCATCTTGGCAACCAACACTTATCACTCCGCAAACACCAAGAAGAAAGCAAAATGGACCGGGTAGTCGTTGTAAGTAAAATTTCTGAGCTACGGCGGCGGAAAAATATGTGGCCGATTGGTTCGTTACCAGTCTAGGCTAACCAGATTACGTTAGATCCCTCTACCGCCTATGCTCTTGCCCGATCTCCGTCGCGCTGTGCTCCAGCTTGAACAAATTGTTGTCTATCTCGCTCTGAACGGCATGAACAATGGTAAGCAGATCGTGCCTTTGATCTATATGGACATTCTCTTACTCGAACAGGGGAGCTCACCATCAGACATCGTGTCGGACACTCTTCAGCGACTATCAGCCAAAGCTGGCGTACTTGCGACTTTGGCGATAGATCGGAAATCATCGTCTCTACTCTCATACAAGGGGACCCTGAATCTTCTCTTTTCATCAACGTCAACATTGAATGTGTCCGCTGCGGCGGCCCGCACAACTGGAACATCTGCCTCAGTCACCGCGACCTCCCCCCCACCGACCGCCGCCGCGGCAGATTCTGGAACTGGTTCCGTCACGGACGAAGAGAAAATCAATGATTTCGTGCAGATGATTTGGAGATACGTCAATGGCACAGAACAAATGATTCAGGGTATGGATGAAGAGGTACGGATTCAGTGACCGACAATTTTCGAAGAACAAGTACTGATACAAAGAACAGGACGATCTCAAGCTCCTACGACTTCGAACGAAGAAACACGAACTCGTCATTGTCCCAGATTCCAAATTCATCTTTGTTGTGGTTCATGATGTCAAGTCTTCATAGCTATTCGATCTGATTTTACATGGCTGGCGTTGACGGACTCTCGAGGATACGATACCCATGCATGGCTCTGGCGATGATACCCATGAGATATGATACGATACAAAATGGGCGTTTGCACTTTCTACTTCTTTCATTGCACCAAAATGGGGTTCTTTTCTACAACTGGTTGTTTCTACGTGACATAGAGAGGTTTCTACACGCGTTGTACACATTGGCGCATATTTCCCGGCACCTTGCACTTCTCTTCCGTCTTCTGATCAGTAAAAGGAGTCTAGCATTCTGCATGGAAAACTTTCTTCTGACTCTGTTCATTTCGGCACACTCGTCTTCTGCACGTCATTCAATACTCTACTGCACGAGAAAGGGACACGGGTTGAATGGTGGAACGAGTAATGCAGCATCCTCTAGTTTTCACATGCACAAAAGAGAGCTTCGTTCTGGTGGCTGAACTAATTTCTGCGTGTTGAGATTTGGAATGAAAGCTTTCCCCACACACACTTCGAATTCTCTATTTTGTGACTTGCTGATAGTCGGTCTGTTTCAAGCTTACCTCTGCAACTAATCATAGAGCAGATGCGCAATTGAATTTCGGCTGGTAAGGCATTAAATCTATGGATGTTGAATCTTACGAACAGCCAATAGTAGACCATGCGAACAGTCTTCCAGCGGCGAGGCTGAGAAAGACGGACATACTTTCAAACATTGCTGCAGAAGCTGGGCCAAATCAGAGTCTCACGCCCAGGTACAGCGAGAAAGGAAGATCCAGGTTGCAGGGATCGAGCTCCTGGTCGTTCAGCAATTAGAAGACCGTTATCCGGGCCGACGGACTATCCTCTAATTATCTAGCTGCGCTTCTAATTGCGTCCTCTAACCTTCCTCCTGCCATTGACTGATCCACTCTCTTCATGAAACAAGGTCGTGGGAAGCAAAATCGCAGCATATTGCGGCTTGATGAGGATAAGAGAGATCTATAGATCAACCAGGATCAAGTTATCCCAGCCGATAAGCTCCCCGCCAAGCCCTGTTGTCCAACGTCGTCACGTCGCATCAGTAATCCATGTGTGCATCAGCTGGATTTCCCTTCCCCATTCTCAATACCTGCTTTCTGCCTCCATGGATCCAGGGTTATCGACTGGCTACAGCTCCCAGCAGCTTACACTGACAGCCAGGCCAGGACACGCAGGACACGCAGGACATGCATCGGATCCAGCCCGCCCACCACTGCACGGCTTTATTCCTGAGTCGTTAAAAAGTCAAGTCCAGTCCAGTCCATACATCCACAGAGCTTGCCGCATGTAGACCCCCAAGCTTGGTTCAGGTTCATCTCTTAGTATTCATCATTGCTTCTTCTGCTTTCCTTTTTGTCCATGTCCAATTACATCCATCCTAATGATCTTGAGGACTTTTCCTCCTCGTCGTTTGGCCTTTTCTCTGCAAGATGCCGCCTTTCTCCTTCCTCAAGAGCTCCAGAAGAGAGAGCCAGCAGATAGACCGAAATGACAGCGACGTCAATCTCACTCGCGATGCTCCGGAGAAGGTGCAACGGAGGCAATCCAAGCGCGAGTACTTTCGCAGCCTCCTCAGGATATCGTCGGAATCTAGAACGAATCGTCGAAGGAGCGGTCAATTGCCGGTATGAGGCTGAACATTTGCAACCATCCTTCGGGACGAGATCAATCTTTCCAAGATTTCGACCCGATCTTCGTCCTCCATTGCTTGCTATAACTGACGGTTCTCAAGAATTCCAATAGTCTCCAATCCCCTTCGAAGACACCCGAGCAACCTACCTCCCCAATGAACAAGCCATTGCCACCCCCACCTCCCCCAGGGAGCGAGACAGAACCACCGCCCGTCAAAGCTCCCGTGAAGATGGAAAGAATTATGTCTCCCATCGCCTTGAACGATTTGCACAAGCTATTCTCAGGAGCTCCGCAATTCTTTGCACGATCGGAGGGGCATCATACCGGCGCACCACACCCGTCAGTGGTTTTTCCATGGAACACAGACCTAGAGATAAGGGATTTGTCGGACCATATCCAAATATCGGATGAAGCTTGGGGTTGCGTTACGGCATGGCCACACATCACCGTCCAAGTGAGCAGGAACGCGGAAGCTACCAAGGAGCACCATGAAAAATGCAGAGCACATTTCCTTCCAAGGTGTCGAGAACGGCCAAACATGCTTAGCATGCAAGGAATCGAACGAGGGACAATGGGATACGCGGCTGCTTTGGAGTTGGGAGTTGCTGATGCACTAGAGATACCAAACGAACATCCAGACGGCGGCCCCGAGGTTATTTCCGAGCATCGAAGAAAGTTCCTTAATGGCAAAGATGGACTCAGGCCTATTACCGACTCGACACTAATCGATCGACTATTGGCTGTCAGTGAAGTCAATCATGAGGATCCTTTGAAGCATCAACGATCGACTGTCCAGCTTTATACAGAACTCTTCACCCAAATTCTGTTCCCTCCTTCTCGAGTGACAGATTCTGATGACCCTTACAGTCTTCAAGTACAAATCGAGGCCTTAATTGAAGTCCTTGCTGCTCCTTTAGTCTGGGTAGACTTCACGTTGGTCGAATGGAGAATTCGTCTTGGTCAGATACTGTGGGGTACATCAGCGGATCCAGGAGGAGACGATGAAATAGCTATCAACAACGAAGTCATACACGAACCGGGAACTCAGAAGTACTGGTTGTTACTACAGATATTACTATCTTGTGAATTATTAGTTCGACTCGACGCAATATCTGTGAACATTGATCATGGCTTAGAACTTGCGAAACTCAGTGAGATGCAGAGATTCGACAAGAGTGCCACGACCAGTGTAAGATGGTCATTACTACTTGCAAGAGCCTGGCTTGAGAATATCCGTCTCGAAAAGCCAGATTCAGAAGCTGTTCCAGAGGCCAAACCGGCTGGTTGGTTAGCAACTTTGACAGGTACAGCGCATTCTGAAGTTACTACTAGGGATGGACTAGCAGGTCTTCGCTTTCATGGCAGACATCAGGCTCGTCAATTGTCCGGTCTTCTCCACTTTGCGAACAAAATGGCATGGCCAGGTCTTGACGATCTTACCGCGAAAGTATCTTCAAATGGAATCAAGATCGCCGATAGCGTACATGGCACCCCAATCGGAACACCTTTGTCCATGTCAACAAATCGATCCTCGTCTTACTTTTCAAGCAGGAGACTAGGGGTCCGACGAGGGTTATCCATGCACAAGAACATCTCTGCCATCATTCATCCTGCTGGTTGGCTTTCAAATTCGTACATCAGTGGCCTGATATTACCAGGAGAAGGACTGAGCCATTTTCTGATTTCAACTTTATTAGAGCATGATACCAGTGCTGTCTCCCGACTTGGTGAGGAAGCGAATCTGTATGGAGGCTTCATCTATTCAGAGAAAAGCTTCTGGAGTACAGCTTGCATTGTTGGGAGAGTTTTGGCTGCCAGAAAAGGTGCTACAGAGAGCATGGGTTGGGTGTCTACAGATGTCGTTCCTCGAAACGTCAGTGAAGGTTGGGTGGACATCGATATTGATACAGAGCTTCATGATGGTATGTACTGTACGACTCTGGGACTTCGATAGGTATTGACACCAGCAGATCCGGACAAGAAAGGAACCAAACCTCGACTCTGGCAGAAGACAGCCATTGAGCGAGACGGCAACGTAATAGGAGGAGCAGATATATCTTCTGTTCTACCAGGCGATTTTGTCTTACCCTCAGATGAATCGATACAACAGCCTCTTATCGTCACACTCGAGTCTCTAGACCTTTTCGCCATGGTAGACTCGGTCCACGACACACCAACCGAAGAACAACTGCCAACGCCATTCTCAGAGGCAAGTGACATGCCAGCCATCCGCACCTACTCAGCAGCAATGCGCTTCATGGTCTCCACCACCGACGAAGAAAAGAAAGAAGTCAACATCTCCCTAACCCACGATGTCCACTTCGTCACAGCCTACCCCTGCGTCTCATCCCCGCACACGTCGATCCTCAAATCCCCCACCAGTCCATCCTTCCAAGCCGCCGAACAACCCACCCCGGACGCACTACCAAAAGGTAGATCCTTCTCCTTAATATATAACCACCGTCACAAAACTAACACTTCCTCCCCACCAGGCCACCCCCTCCACAAAGCCTTCACATACACCAAAATCCCGCTCTCCGCCCTTCTCTCCACCTCCCCCACAACCCCCTTCTCATCCCTCCTTTCCTCCCCACCAACAACCCCCTCCTCCACCTCCGTCTTCCACTCCTCAACCCACACAACCTCGTCCTCCATCCCGAAAGTCCTGGTAATAGATTGCACCGACTCGACCATGGACTTATCCTCCTTCCCGCAACGACCAATGCCGAGCCCGCACGCGAAACGAAAGGCATTCGGAAGCGATTTAGAGATGTTGGCGAGAGCGGTTTGTGCGGAGAGGGGGTGGAATGCGTTGGTGTTGAGGAGGGGGAGGGGGTGTTTGGCTTGTGCGGTTAGGGAGGCGGGGGCGTTGGGGTGGAGGGTTGTTGTTTGTGTTGCTTGATGATGGGCTCGATTGGGATGGGAGAAGGGGATGGGTGGAGAGGGAGAGTAATGGGGGTTTGATGATGAGAGGGGTTGGTTTGGTTAGAGGGAAGGAGCGAGGCAAATGAGAAGGAGTTTTCGTCGAAATTCTGTTTATGTACTTGATACCCTTACGCTAGTTATGATTTCGTTCTTCCTTTCTGTCCTTCACTTCTTTTTAGGAATAGAATGACTCTAGTGCTCACTTTAAACCAAACCAAATTAATCTTTGAAACATAGATAATACATCCATCCATTCTCCCTATTTTATACACTATACTACACTACAACCCCAACCATCCCATAACGCCTTTCCTCCCCTTCTACCCCTTCTAATCACCACCGACCCCCCAAATCCTCAACCCACCCCAACACCTCCCGTTCCGGATCCATGACCCTCGCATACTCAAGCAACAACCTATACGTATAAACCCTCATATCCTCGACCCTTAACACCCTCGCGGCCCAATCGCGGCCCTCGAGCGCGATTTTCTTGGCTAGCTGGTCGTGGTTGTGCGCGTATGTTGCGTTGAGGTGTTCGGCGTGCGGGGCACGGGTGTTTAGGAGGTGACGGCGGGATTCGGCTGTGTTGGGTGGGAGGGTTGGTTCTTGTGGAGGAGGAGGGGGAGGGGCATGAGGATTTGCGAAAGTTTCGTATTTTTCATCTTCTTTTTGGGGGGTTGAAACAGGATCTTCGTAGCCGAGAAAGAATTCCATGATACCGTAAATATCCAGGAATCGATTATCCATCGGCACGAAATGTTTCCAGGCGACTAAACGACTATCGTGCCACTCTCTAAACAAAGTAGCTTTGATCGGTAGACTGCCGCTGCGGAGGAAGTCGCGGTAGCGGCCGGAGAAGGAGTTGCCGTCTACGTCGACGAGATATTTGTGTTGGTGCTGCTCTTCGAGGTTTACGTGCGAGGAGGGGGTAAAGAGGTAGTCGTTGTAGAAACAAGTTAGTCCGTCTGGAGGTTGTGCTTCGCGCGGGAAGCAGGCGAGGTCGTTGAATCCTACGTCGACGAAGGAGTTGAGCCATTTGCCCATTGCTTCGTTCTTTGGTAGGGAGCTCTTCTCCCAGGATTCGAGGTGGAAGTCTTCTAGGGGTAGGGACTCGATGTCGATGAAGTTCGAGGAGTTGGGCATGAGGATTGCTTGGGTTCCGTTTAACATTGAGACTAAGCGGTGTCGATGGAATCCTTTCCAGTTGTCTTCTTTGTTCCTTCCTCCTGATGCTAGGCCGCGCCATACGAGAGAGGAGGTTTTCTGTGCCCATGGAATGGTAGGGGCTTCGATTGTGAAGCGAGAATCTCCTTTGTAGTACATGGCGGCTGGTAATAAGATCTCGCTATTCTGGAGAATCTTCGAAGAGCCAAATAACGGGAAGAGTTTTGGGCCGGTGGAAGCAGATATTCCTTCTATGAAGAAGCCATGTAGACCTTGAATGTCTGGTTGATGGCAGATAGAGGTACTGAGGGTATAATTCGAGACATAACCAGCGGTCGTATGAGGGAGGGTGTAATTCGTGCTTAGAATTGGAGGTTGAGAGAAATCTGTTTGTAAAGGAGCCTTCCGAGCCTCAGAATCCGGAGGACAAACAGAAGCAGCACGCGGCCATATAGGTTGCGAACCATTCCACGGATACTCCTCCGGCACAAAACCGGGCTCAGCTTCCGTGAAACCTGGAGAATGTTAGGAATGCCATCTAAGACCCAGAGAAATCCGGGGTAAACCAACCAGAAACCCCATTCTTCACCTCCTTAACATCAACCAACCTCCTCCCCCGCCCCTCCACCTCCACATACCCCTTCATATCCTCCCACGGCACCAGCAACCGCGGCTCATCCATCGTATTCATCGCGAGATCCATATCCGGCAACCACTCCGCCACCTCATTAATCAAATCCGCCCAAATCGGCATCCAAAAATGATCCCCCTCAATACTATCCACCTTCCCATTCCTCACCCTAAAAACGCGATTGTGTCCCCGCACGTCATTCAGCATCTCCCGCTGGTCCAACGCCCATAACGGCGTCAGATCATGGTATATCTGATCCCAAAACTCCTCCACGATCGTCGCATTATTCGCCCTCGCGTACTCCCACCACCGATCGAAGCCCGGCGGCGGATGGCGGCCTCGTTTCTCTCTATACCGTTCCGCCGCTGCTCTCAGATCAAACGTTTCCTTGCTGAGGAAATCCTCGAACTGCCGATCTGCGTTTCGTAACAACGCGATGATGGGGTGCGGATCAGATGCCGGCAAGGGATCGAGGGGCGCGGGTTCGTTTTCTCCTGGGGAGGGGATGAGCCAGGAGGGCACGAAGAAGAGGGATGCGAGGTGGATGGTGTGCACGTCCGGGCCGTAGAGCGTGATGCCGAGGAGGAGGAGGGTGATGAGGCAGGCGGAGAAAGGCAGGAGCCTGAGGATGCGGTGGTCTAGCAGCATGGGCGGAGAGGTCGTGGGGTGTTGTCACCGTGGATGAACGACATCTGGCGGCGCCATGAGGATGTTTCGCGGTGGATGTTGAGATAGGAGAGAGAAGGTGAAGGTGAGGCTGTTGGATTTTTGGGGACCCTGGTTGTACGGGCTGATGGTGGTTGGTTGGAGGTGCCTTGTCCTTGTAAGTACGAGTACGCTGGTTTTGCTTGCATGGGATGGGCATTGTGCCGCTTGTACACCGTGCCTGCCTTGGACAGATAGAAACTCAAAGTACGAATATAAAATCGTCATTCAACAAATTAACTTACTTACCCTCTGAAACATCTCCCCACAACATCTCAGCCCTACCTTCCTTACCCGTCTCATACCCAAAACCAATACAGAACAAAAAATATATCACCCTCATCTATTCTCGGATCCCGGAACCCATCTCATCTATTTTTTGACAAGGTGTCCAACCCCTGTTTTTTCATCCAATATATTCATCATGCTTCACGAGACGAGAAGGCATGAAATATAAATTCGATGCTTCGACATCATAGGTCCGTGTCGTTGAAAAAGGTTTCGGGATCTAATTTAGTAGCCCTAACGTGAGACCCCCTTTTGAGGTTTCGATATCGGATGGATGTTCCCTGATTCATTGTTCTTTTTGGCCCCAACAACGAGGAGATCATCGGTTGGAATTTGGTCAAATGGGTTTCAAAGTATATCTTCACGATGCTGGAATGAGATGGATCTTGAGAATCGCATCAACTTGCGAACGGAGCGATGAGAGTCACGTGAGTGGTGATTATTGGGTTTGCAAGGTCTTCCGTACTTAGGTAAGGATGAATGGAGTGATCAATATCATTTGTACCATTTATCAGTAGAGCTGTACTTGGGCGAGTTGTTAATGAATATATTCTCAAGATAGTTAAGGTCCGATCACACAGTCACAAGCACAAGACAAAACATCAGAGCTCGTGTGTATATGTTTAGAATTAGGGGCATGCTTCTAAATCGACGATCCCAGAGAAAAAATCCTAAGGAGCGTGTAGAACGGCACATCGGAAGACCAAACGAGTGTAAGACCAGGACGAAAGACCCAGTAAAAGACCAGAAAACGCGCGGACATCAAACAATCAATAACGAGACTCACTCCAAATTCCAAATTGGTTCTCTTCCTTCCTCTCAATCACTTACCCCGTGTAGCAAGACAGACTCAGATGACAGATCAAGGAGAAGCTGAACGAAGCGTAGTGTCCAGTCCATCCCAAGTCATGCCAAAGACACCAAGCAGATTCCTAGCAGCAATCTCGCCGGTCTCAAATGCACCATGAACACATCCATTACCGGTCTCGATGCAGTGCTCGCCGGCGAACTGGAGTCTGAGATTCCGATGTTCGTCCAGAGCTTGCACGAGGAGGCCAGGCTCGTCGCCTTTCTTCTCGACGGAGTATGAGCCAAAGCCAGCAAGTGGGTCGGATGTCCATGAGGTGGTTTCGAGAGAGCTGTACGATGGAAGGTCCTTGTAGGGTTCCGTTCGCATCAGCTTGAAGAGTGGCTCGAAGAATGCGTACACCTCTTCCTTGCCGGTGGGTGTTTGTGCCATTGCTTCGATGCGTTGCGTCAGGGGCTCGGCGATCTGAATACAGAGTTCTTTGCTGCCGGACATGATCCAGAGATTGCTAGTGACGGTAGCATAGGACAAGATGCTCGACTCATCGATGGGCGTTCCTGCAGGAATTGGAGTCGGGTAGTAGATGAACTGATCGTTGTCCTTAGGCCAGAATACCTCAGAGAACTCGATGAAGACCTTGCCGAGCGCGCCATAGGAGAATGCAGATATGCCAGATTGAATTGACGTCGGTAGGGATGGCGAGAAGGAGATCATGTCTCGACGAAGGCATCCAAGAGGAACAGTCACGATGACGGCATCTCCACTATATTGGTGACCGGATTGAGTGGTGACGACGGTCGAGTTGTCATAATGACCCCATTGGATATCGGTAACGACTTCGCCCTTTCGGATCATGTTGGGATCTTTGAGAAGAGGTTTAGCAGTCCATTCCACGATCTTGTCGTAGCCTCCTTTCATGTAAAGATTGCGCTCGGTCATGAAATAGCTGAGATGCTTAGCTGAAGCTTCCTCAATGGAAGTACCAATCCAAAGCTCGACTTCGCGGGTCGCTTGAGGAGCCCATTTGCGTTCCGAGGCGGAGATCAGTGGATGCTTTTCCACGAACTCGTCGACGAAGTCTTTCACAGTACGGTCTGGTGCATCCGGATTCTCGTCGTAAAACCACTATAGCCAGATTAGCACTGTATTGTCGGGCAATGCAGAAGACACAAATGAAGCCGGAAGCTGCAAAGAATGTTCATTCGTGCTTGTGAGTTTGCCCCTGAACCAACTTCCAGCTTCGAATCATCATCATGGCAGACATCAAACTTATAAAAATAGGACCAACCTCAACATAGTCGGCAAACTCGTCAGCAACCTTCTTCGCTTTGAACTGAGATCCGGCTCGACCGTCACAAGTATAATACAACGGTGTGCCATCGTCATAGTAGTACTCGATACCAAGCTTAGGAATCAATTGCACCAACTTATTCTGCGAAGTCTCGTGCATCCATGCAGCGCCTAGATATCAAATGTGAGCATAATCTTGCCTAGGAGAGGGTAAACAACCCACATTGTGTGGTCAAGCACATGGCATGTGCCCAACCACCCACAATTGAAGATATTGTCTAGTCTAGGTAAATTTACCAATGTCTCTCGCGGCCTTCCCATCCTTGCGGCTGGTGCAGATGCGCCCGCCAATCCGGTCTGCGCGTCCTTCGAGGATGGTCACGGCGATGCCGTGCCTCTGCAGGACCGAAGCCGCTCGCAGGCCCGAGATGCCCGCGCCGACGACGACGACGTGCGGCGGCTTCTTGCGCTGGGTGGGGGAGTTGGTCTTTTCAAGTGAGCCGTTCAGTGCGGAGATCATGGCAGCATGGGCGTTGGACAACTGAGTGTCCGAAATAATTCCGTTTTGATTTTGATGACGGTTTATTTCGTTTTGATTTAAAGCGCCAGGAGCTGATATGAATAGAGTTGACATACTGACTCAACATCTGCGTACGTGTGAAAGGGTTGAAATCTAGATGGAGGGGTATGAAATTTGGGGGGTCTGAGGAAGGTGCGAGAGGATGATCTCGACTTTGTCTATGACGTGGAAGACTTGATGGGAGAGTGTAGTAGCAATTGATTGTATTCTGGCAGCAGGTGAATCCAAAACTTGATGTGTTGGTGAAAAAAGAAGAAGAAGAAGAGAAGAGAGGAAAGGAAGAGATGAGGTTGAGGTTCAACGATCAAATACCCATTAGCGGCCTTGGCCGGCACCGAAATGGCCTTGAACCATGGGCTGCGTGTCAGGAACGGAGTGGAGCGAACTCTTCTTGCGAAGACATCCGCATCCAATCTGCGGACGAGTTGTCGATAGAGCAAAAGCAGGGTCTTCCCAGTCGACGTCGAGATGCGTCTCGCCGGCTGCGGGGAAAACATATCGATGACAGATGACGGTGTGGTTGGTGGGAACTTGGTTTGGTGTGTTCTTGGTCACAGCTCTCTGGACCATCTGGACGAGTATCTCTCCCTCGTCTCTTATCGCTGGCCAGTCCTCTTCGAGAAAGTGCACGCGTGGGATGATTGAGCCTCCTCGCGGGCGGTCTAGTGTTGCAGAATCACTGCACGGACCCGGAACCGGTGCGCTCCAAGTAGGAAGGTGAGAGGACAACTGCGAACAAGTGTATCTTGAAAGCCGTCACCTGAGCAGCGCCCGCAGCAGAAGCAGTCAGCTTGTGAAGAGCTGCATACATCGAGGGTTTCATGACGTAGCACGGGCGTAAGCAGATTGATGTGCTGTATGTCTGCTATCGATGTCCGACAAGTGGAGGGATATTCTGGAGAGGACAATTAATTGAATAGTGAGTGAAGGTTGTGAATGTTCATGAGATGGAGGGACATTTGGTGGGGCAGAAAGGGGCAAGCAAATGTTGGAACAGTACAGTAATAATAATCGGGGTTTGCCGACGCTAGAGATCAGATCTTCCTTCACTTCAGTCGCCGACCGATCGCTTGCATTCTTCTCTTCTGCACCTTTCAAGCTTTGCCAACCCAACCCAACCCTCCATCAGTGATGCAACTGCAACCTCAAACGTCCCCCGCCTGCTAAGGTTACAGCGTGTACATACCTCATTAGTCCTTCTTCCCGTCCCTTTACGCGTCCATCTCCCTGTACAGTCCGTCGTTTTAGGGCTTCCTCAAGGGCTTCCTACCCTTCAAGGATGCCTCGGGACTCCGGCATCATGATAGGATAGCCCTGAAGGAATCCCCAGAAGCTCAATTGCCACTCCACAGCTGCCCAATGATGGCAGTTCTCCACTGTAAAAATATGATGTCCCCGAATCTGTGGGCCTTATCAGAATTTACCAGTCTAGGATCACTTCCTAATACTGTACGGTATGTCGACGCATGTGTCTCTTATCTTCCTACCGCGCTCCAGGAATACGGTTGCTTAACATATAACTTTACAATCTTTCTTCAAGGTCTCTGAACAGTATTTACAGCAGCCATGTTGCGGTGAGATTCTGTTCCAGCTTCCAGCGATTGCTCTCTGCAAGTACTCGGGCAGGTGCAGCCGGCCCTACCTTCCTGAAGTCGCACCAAAAATTCTGCGCAAAATCCCCTTCCACTCCTTTTCGCAGACTTGCACAGAAAACACAATTGTGATTCTCGAGCAAAGATGAGTTCTACGGAACAGAGAATGGAGGATGAAGAGTGGTTGCCAGGAACCTCTCGTCTTATCGAGGAAGAAGCACAAGCTGCATCTTCCCACCTGCAACGACAAGGCGATATCGTCCTCTACCCGCAACCGACGACCTCCCCCAACGATCCGCTCAATTGGTCTTTACCGCGAAAATACTGGCATGCATTCTTGCTCTGCTTCATCACGGGCTTGACGGCTGCGACTTCGAACGATGCGGGGTCGGCTCAGGATGGCATGAATGCTGATTATGGGATTACCTACAATGCGATGAATACCGGAGCTGGAGTGCTGTTCATTGGGATCGGATACTTTACTCTGTTGATTTCGCCCGCGGCGTGGCTGTATGGAAGGAGAATCACATACCTTGTTTGTTTGACTTTGGGAGTCATTGGGGCGATCTGGATGGCTCGTGTCACAACGACGGAAGATTCCATCTGGAACCAACTTTTCGTGGGGGCATCTGAAGCTTGTGCTGAAGCCAACGTCCAGTTGTCATTGTCCGAAATCTTCTTCCAACATCAGAGAGGATCAGTGATCGGAATCTACGTCTTATCGACCAGTATTGGAACCTTCCTCGGACCACTAGTCGCTGGATACATCGCAGATAGGCTATCCTGGCGATGGATTGGATGGATGTCCGTCATCATCTCGTGTATCACCATTGCCGTACTATACTTCACTCTCGAGGAAACATTATTCGACCGTTCAGCCTACGATGGACCACTCATTGATGGTGTACAAGAAACGAAAGGAGACAATGCCTCGGATAACGAGAAGAAGGTATCCAACAAACTTAACCACTCCTCTTCGGACCCGAACCCAGAGGCTCAAAACGAGAAGAAAAAAACGTATTGGCAGCGCATCCAACTCATCACTCTCGCTCCAAATGTCGTAGGGACGGGTTTCAAGCAATATATGGCCCGTCTCCTTCATACATGCCGTGTGTTCACTTTTCCGGCCGTGATCTATTCAGGGATACAGTGGGGAGCTCAAGATGCTTGGTTGACGTTCTATCTTACTCTCGAAGAGGACAATTGGTATGGTAAGTTGAATTCCACACTATATTACTATGTTTTCTTTCCGAGCCCGGCTGTCTGTCATGTACTCCAAGACGGTGGCATCTTGCATGTGGAACTCCCCAGATTCTCTTAGCCCCCAGATCTTTCAACAAGTCACTGTACTAATTCCTTTCAGACGCCCCATGGTACTACGGCGACGTAGGCGTCGGCCTAATGAACATCCCCACCCTAATCGGCGCCATAATCGGTTGTTTCTGGGGCGGCTACCTCTCCGACCGCTTCGTCTACTGGATGGCCGAACGCCGCAACGGCATCCGCGAAGCAGAAGACCGCCTCTGGATGATGTACCCCTGCGCCATCATCTCGCCCGCCGGCATGCTCCTCTTCGGCATCGGCACCGCCTACGGCTGGTCCTGGCCGCCCTGCTACGTCGGCCTGGGCCTCATCGGCTTCGGCTGGGGCTGCGCCGGCGATCTTTCCATGGCCTACCTCATGGACGCGTACCCGGAGATGGTGCTCGAGGGTATGGTGGGCGTGAGCGTTATTAATAATTCCCTGGCGATGATCTTCACGTTTACGGCGAGCGATTGGTTGGCCGCGAGCGGGACGAGAAACACGTTTATCGCGATCGCGGTGCTGGATTTTGTGTTTGTCATGTTGACGGTGCCGATGATGGTTTGGGGGAAGTGGTGTCGACGGTGGACGTTGGGACGATATAGGGAGTTTGTTAGGATTAGGGATACCCTTTGATAGTCTGTCGATATTTTTTGCGGGTTTGGTTTTGTGTGGCTGGTTGGCGGTGTGGTGTGGTGCTGTGAAGATAGATGATGCTCAATGTTACGCATATTTCATGTCCTTGGAGTTCTGAGCTCGAATTGTGATTTTTTTTCTAATAGGATGTGATGTTGCGGCAAAGTCGCCCATTTTGTCCCTTTCCACACTTGCCTCAAACCTTCCAGTATCAGCCTATACATATTTTAAGGCTGGAATCCCATCCAGCAGCCACGAGCCTGCACCCATGTAGTGCTAAACAACGAACTTTTCCTAGCTTTGTAGACTAACTCCGTCCGGTACTGTGATTGCTGAACCTGATCAACACTTTTCGAGGTTACTTTTACTCTTAGATCAGAAATGAAGTTAAGATCGTCAGGATTTTTAGATCCCGCTCCCGAAGTCCTACTTTCTTCACGGGTGCCTGAGTTCACAAGACGTGCACGGGTTGTTGAAGATAGAGAGGATGATGTTATGTTATGTATTGAATTTCTTTTGTTTGAATTTTGAATTTTTGATATTTAATTATAACTACGTATTTAGGTAAGATATGTATCTCATCGAGACATCACGGGTATCAATCGTTTCTTTCCTTCCTTTCCATCACAATTCCCGACCGAAAACTCCAGCAATGCAAGTCCGCCCTCCATCCCAAAATAATACAAAGACACAAAGTCCAGCTTTCGTCTTACCCCCTCCTCTTCCCCCTCCCACCATCCCCCTCACCACCTCCAACATCCTCCTCCTCACCAGCCCTCCTCCGCCCACAATCAACACCATGTTTCTCCCTCGCATGACTCCTCAGATTATCGCTCCGCGTAAACGTACTCTTACAACCCTTCACCTTACACTTATACACTTTTCGCTTCTCTTCGCTTGGGTGTTGCGTCCGTTTGTGACGCCGCAGGTTGGAGGCTTTCCATTTTTCTTCGCCTGTGGGGATGTAGCCGCAGTGGCAGCGGAGAGCCGAGGGCGAAGGTGCGGGGTTTGGTGTTGGGGGTGGAGCGAAGGGCGATGTTGTGGTAGAGAAGGGTGTTGGGTGCGGTGTTGGTGGTGGACAATTCGTCCGTGATGCCGAAGAGGAGGAGCGATGGTGCGAGGTCGGTATTGCGAAGGGAGATAAATGTTGTTGGTTCATGGCAGGGAGTGATGCCGGTCGAGGAGGGACGTTGAAACTGCCATGATGATGACTAGTTGAAGCTTGGCTTAAGATTTCATCCAAATCTCTTGTTAGAGCCGTGGTTGAGACGTCGAGAGCTCCTTGACCTCGTTCCCAGTCGAGGGAAAGAAGTAGATCTTCGTCGCAGAGATCTTGCTCTTGGAGATCATGGGTTTGAGCTCCGTAATCATCATTGTAGTTTTCCTCCGGTAGCAGCCGTTTAATCTCTGCTATATCTCGGATATGGTATGCCGTTCGAGGATGCAGTGATCCTTCCGCGTAGAGGACGTCGCAGAGACTCGTCACGTGGGCCACGAACCTGCTGTAGGTTGCATCTGATTGTGAAGCAAGCTATTTGGTTAGCATTCTCCGAGGCAACATCATGTATGTTGAACTTACCTTGCCAGCAAATATCAAGTCCAGCTCCAAACCTCGAACACTCGTGATTTGTCCCTGGGTAAGTCGTCTTTCGACAGTCACCACATCTTCAATGAATGCTTCGATCCCAACTATCTGAATCAACTCATCGATGACCTGAGTCTTGGCTTTCGTTTCAAAGCTCGCTTGCTCAAAGTCGAAATCGCTCGAGGGTTCTGAGTCGTCACAGCTTCCCAAACTTTCGAACACTATTCAATGTTAGCTTTGATTTATGCTTACAGAGTGTCTCGACTTGCCATCCAGAAAGTGCTTGCAGCTTTCAAATAATAGTCTCTGCTTTTCTTGCGCTGTGTCTCGAGCCGATAGACTACTCATGCTTGAAGCATCGAGTGGCTGCCATACAGCTCGAGCAATTTGCAGATAAACCTGCTGCTGCCTTTCTGATGGCAATTCCTGAACCCAAGTCAAAGAGTCCTGGAACCAAGCTTGGGTTTCGACCTTGGCCTCATCTTGGTCCACGGCAATTGCTAGTGCGAAAGCAATGTGCATGAATGCGAAGACTTGAATGATTGCCGTAGGATTTCGGCCTTCGAGGATGCCTTGTAGCACATCCAATCCAAGAGAAACCATGGATGTTCTTGACATTGCCAAGAGTTCTTGGGTGATCGAAGTGCTAGGCAACTCCTTTAAGGCAGCCTTCGTATGCTCGATATGAGCATCCAGGACTTCAGAGAAAGATTGCACCAAGTCGGAAGCATTTCGCCAGTGTGGCGAGACTGGCTTGGGTCTTTCTGAGATGGGGCATCGACTTGCCGAATGTGTTGTGCTGGAGCTGTTGGATCGGCTTACAGTCACATCTTGACTCATCGAGATGCTGGGAATTGATGGGAAAATCGGTGGTCCTGACAAAGCGGCACCATTGGCCCAGTCTCCTGAAATCTGTCCAATCTCACGCTTCTTTCCCTTCCTGTCTTTCATGCTTCCAAAACTCTCAAGACCAGTCATTGAGAAGTCCCAGGCAGATGGAGCCGTGTATGACGTGGCACTCGAGTACCCAGAGTCTAGAGTGGAGAATGTATTCCCACTCGTATCACTCTCAGTGGGAGATATCTCCAATGCACTATAGTCGTATGCGCCTGTAGCACTCATTGGTGATATAATGGTAGCCGATAGAGGTGTGTCATCCCAAGTCGAGTTGTGAGCCAGCTTGGCATGTGTAGACAGTAAGCTGACAGGAGAGCAAGATGTATCGACCGATAATCGTGGCTTGGGAGAGTCGTCTTGGACCTTTGGTGCAGATGATTCCCACTCATCAATATACAAGTTGTCGGCCCAGTTCTCAGACCCGACGCCTAATTCAATCGGACACTCAGTACCCACCATCTCTGAGATGTACGTATCAGCAAGCTCATAAGATGCAGCAGATAGGTCTCCTGGCATCTCCCGAACAACTGAGTCGCTTGGTAGTTCTTGCGCCTGTCGAGGATCCCACGGTCCATCGAAGTTCGATTGGCTTATGTGGAGAGAGGACTCTCTGAACTCTGTATGTTCAGAGAATTTAGAGAGGTCTTTTCCGTGCTTGAAGATGTCAGAATGGTCCGATCGATGAGGTTTTGCTCCAAGCTTTGAGAATATCTTCTTGGCGACGGAAGAAATACGATCGGTCCTTGATGGAGCTCCTTGACATCGTCTACATTTGAAATTACCTACTCGCTCGGGTTTCTGGCAATGGAAGCACCAGTAGAGTCCTTTGGATAGGTACGGGCAGTTGTAGACATGCTGCAGCATGGTCTCTTGGTCCTTGAATTGTGACCTGCACCAAAGTAGAGGACATGTCCTTCGTTCGTCGTCGGTGATCGATTCATCGGTGTATTTGCGAGTGTATGCTACCCATGCTAGGAAGCGCAAATGTGATGACTTATGCTTTGGAAAGTTGCGAATACTAATCGAAAATTAATTATTGTTTGAACGACGATTTCGACATGTCTTACACGCAAGATTCATGAACCTCATAATCCGACGGATCAACATCTGAACAAGACGACCTGGCCGATGAGATTGTATCCGCTCGAGCCGGTCGAGTAAATTCAGGTTGTTGAACTTTGACTACGCTGATCTCGTCGTCCCCGTTGACGTACGAGCGCTGGGTGCGACTCCGCTTGAACATGGTGAAGTCCTTCACGATGGAGGAATTGTTTGCGTGGGTCAATGTCTGATGCCTTGCAATGAACACTGGAATTCAACCGTATGATGGCGAGAGAAACTTCCCATGTTGCCACGACTATGTATAAGTCCTCGCGCCCGTCAGGAAACACTGAGTTGTAGGACTCTCGAAGGACTTCAGATGTTGAGGTGCAGCCTCGCACGTGAATGGCGAATGGTGGGGGGGCAGCGTAAGGCTCACCGAATCCAGCCAAGTCGAATGGATGGGACTTCGGATTCCGAGCTGTGCTCACCTCACCTCACCTCACCTAACCTTAACGGATCGAGTACCAACGTGCGAATCGTAGCCTGGCCTATGATCCTGCGCCGATGTTGTTGAAGTTGCTGTGAAGTGTTTCTTCGCTGGCCAGTCCTGATGGATGCCTTGGTGGTGCACTCGCCTCACCGACAACCCCAGCAGAGCTTGCAAGGCAGACTGCTGGGGCAGATTTCCATGCCAGCGAATCTGTCCACACTCTGACTTACTGCACTCCGTCGTTGCCGTCGGAACTTGATTGCTGACACTTAGCCTAGGGGCCATGACTGCACTGAGGACTCAGATGCATAGTGACTGAAGCATCATCCGAACAGAGAGGACAGTCTCTGTCTTCACCAGCTTGTGCGTCACCAGGACTCCGAAGCAGTCGGAATCGAGAATGTGAGAATGAAAGCTGCCTCTGTGATAGACACGATCCTAGGACGGTAGTCATGGAGAAGACATTTCAGCTGATGCCTGCTGAGGTCGTGAGGTTCTTCCTCTCTGCCGGTCCATCAATGCGAGGGATGAATCCTATTTCTCTCCAAGAAGGAGATGGGCATGGCATAATATACACAGAACCCATTACTGTGTAATCCCAATCCTCTATAATTAGATACCGCATTCCAAAGCCCAACATGATCTATTTCTGTATCAAACCGCGTGCCATCTCTGTCTCAAGAGGCAAACTCGAGATGAGAGCAATCGCACCTCTCAGAATTGGAGGTCTGTGATCGGCATCGCGAAGTCCAGGACTTTGGAAGGACTCGGTGTGTGAAGGCTGCAGGACTCGACGGGAGGTTGCGTGTGACTGGCTGTGAGTGTTCAGCTGGCGCAGTCGGTGAGAAATCAATGCTCGCTTCAGTTTGCAGTAGCGGGGGAAGGTTTTCGTAAGGCTGACTTCAGATCCACACTTCAATGCGGATGAAGAATTCTCATTGATGGATCAAAGAGACCACAGTTGTTCTGTAAGGGAATGTGTTTTATTGGAGAGTAGTACAATAGAGAGAAGGAAAGAACGATCTGGACAATCTTCATCCGGCCAGTCTCAGTCCACGTGACTCATCACATGATCCTTCACTTGTGCCTATCATTTGGGAATGTAGCTTTGGAAAGCGAAAAGAAGATGTTATCAGAGTAGGATATATATATATAGTAGAGAAAAAAAAAATTAGCAATCCTTATCCCATGTTGAGATCTCTAAGTGCATCTCACGGGTAGCCCCCTGTTTCAACGAAGCGAGAGGATCAGTAACTTCACTTTACTTCCTTTGAACTGACTTTCCACAACTTCCCCCAAGCTCCACACTCGAACAATGTCTTCCGCACAACCACAACCACAACCACAACCTGAAGCCTCATCCCAACCTTCCGACTCCACAACCACAACCACAACCTGAAGCCTCATCCCAACCTTCCGACTCACAAACCCTCATCCTCCCAGATGGCCGCACACTCGGCTACGCCATCTACGGTTCTCCTCGTAACTAGCCCCTTTCTCTAATTCGCTCCCCTCGCTTCTTTTTACAAATACCACATCTGGGCTCGAATTAAATTTCATCCCTCTTCTGAAGACTCGGTTCTCAGTTCTCATATAAGAGCACATACTAACTTCCTGAAGTCTCCCCCGCAATTCCCGTAATCCTCTACTTCCATGGCTTTCCCACTTCGCGCTTGGAAGCCGAGTACTTGACCAACATTTCAAGTACCTTCCCACTCCCCGTATCCACGCACCTAAATGACACTCGCAGTCAACCACCAGTTCACCCTCATCGCGCCTGACCGTCCGGGGACCGGCCTCTCAACCTTCCAACCCAACCGCAAAATCCCAGACTGGCCCACCGACGTCCTCTCCCTCGTAAGCCACCTCTCAATCCCCACCTTCCACGTCATCGCTGGCTCAGGCGGCTCCCCCTACGCCCTAGCCTGCACCAAAACCCTTCCCGCATCCCGCCTCCTCAGCACAACCATCATCTCCGGCATCTACCCCTTATCCCTCGGTACCACCGGCATGCTCCTCCGCATCAAAGCCGTCCTCTACGCCATGACCTACCTGCCCACCTTCCTCCTCCAGCGACTTCTCGAGTGGGAATTCCCCACCACCGAAACCCCAGAGGAATTCGAGGCGAAGTTCATGAGCGTGATGGAGAAGCGGAGTGTGAGGGATAGGCAGTGTTTGGATGATGAGGCGTTTCGGAGGTGTATGGTTGGTTCGATGAGAGAGGCGTTTCGAGGGGGCAGTCTGGGGCCGGCGTATGAGGCGGGGTTGTTTGGGGAGTGGGGGTTTGGGGTTGAGGAGGTGGTGGGAAAGAAGGTGGTGCTTTGGCATGGGAGGTGAGTTTTGTTGTTTTTGAATTTTGGGGGAAGATGGGCTGATAATTCGGTGGGTAGAGGTGATGTTAATGTGCCGGTGGGGATGGCGGAGCGGGCTGCGGAGAAGATGGTAAGTCTACATATGAAATTGCCGCTCTTTTGTACGAAAGCTTCAACAGGGGGTGGAATGTCGTCTCGTTTACGGAATCTTAAAAGCTTCCAATTAGTTTTATCCCTAAGGTTTTTAATGCTGACTTGTTAACCTGAAGGAGTGTAGATTGAGGATTGTGGAGGGGGAGACACATTTGAGTTTGCCGTATTATCATATCGAGGAGATTATTAGGGAGGTATTGGGGAAGGAGAATGGAGATGGAAGAAGTTTTGGTGTTTAACGAGAATAAAAGTGCATAAGTTCGTGGCAATCGGACAGGCGTGGAACGTTGCTGCGGGAATCCGTAGTAGAGGAACACACGATCTGTACAACATAACGTGGCGAATTGCTGGTCTGCGGTTCTGTTGACATGCGGTGACAGCGGCACAGCGGGTGCAGTCGACAGTTGTTGAGCGGGGACATTGTGATGCTCAGTTGACGGATGAGCGTACGATAGCCTGTTCTTGTGCGACAAAGTATCAGAAAGTGAGATCATGAATCGGCATCTCTTTGACTCGATGTGAATCGTGTATGACAGAACATAAGTCTACGATTGTGTATCGTCAGACTTCCCGAATGTGGTTGAAGATCCTCAAAGTAGGGGTCTGCATGTTGAGTCGTGCCATCTGTAACATAAGGAGGCTGTCTATGCTTGACTAACGTGGTGGGAGGTTGGTGTAAGGCCGCAAGCAAGCCAGCTGAGCGTCAAAAGCCTGAGTGTTGGGCAACGCGCTTACCTAGTCGATCCCGGGGAGGACGTTTTCGATCGACTCGAAACCGTGAGATAGGGTAGTATTGATCGTGCTGTACCAGGGCGGGACCCATGCGTTACTGAACACAGCGTCGGGCCAGCGGAAGCGACCGCCTCGGGTCTTGTGTGGAACGTCGTGGATGGGAAGGGAATGCTGATTTCCTAATATATTGTTTCTCGCATCTTTATGTCATAATTTACTCATTAGATACCAGCGCGAGTACCGCTGGACTGGTTGCACCTGGGTCAGCAAGTGAGAAGTGACAGCTCGATATTTGATCCCGAGGTATGACAGCGGTAGAACACACCATATTCTTTGGCACAGAAGTAATCGGGCTGACAATTAGTATAGCCTCGGTCTTCTCGGATCTTGTAACGCTTACGTCTGAGCTTCCCTCCCCTGGACCAGAGTTGATATTTGGATCTTCATGAAGTCTTGGGCTCAGGGGCTTAAGCGAGCAGAAGCGATGACGGTTCATCTCAACGACTTTCTGCGCAATGGGAAGAACGGATAGTACACACGAGGAACATCGTCCCTCCAGCATTAAGAGCAGGAGTGCGAGAGATTTCAGCCTAATCTTCTTGAATTGTCTAGCAAACTCAATGCAAAGACGTACGCATTGTCCAATCAAAGCTCAGAAGTGGGAGTACAAACCTGACATTGTGGAAACGGGTAAGGTGAGATGCATCATGGCGGCAACTCTATCTCCATGTTGTCGCACACCGCCACAGTTGTACTGGTACAAGAACTTCGGGATCAGCAGGGAACTTTGTCATTTCTGTGCAAAGCATGCGGGAAGGTAGAAGTTTCTGAAGAGTCGCTCGCTTGCTAGATGTGACAGGTTTCATTCAGAGGAAAGACTAGGCTCAGCCTCATTATATTCGTGAATCCTCCGTCAAAATATGACTGGATGTGGCTGAAGTTGCATGGTTTCTGGACCTATAGTTGAAGCTGCAATGCCCCGCGACTAGCGGTTTCGGGCTGAAGAATGCAGGCCACTTCCAGCATGGGCGGTGAAACTATCACCTCGGTATTGGAGATGGCCTTCTGAAATATGGATTGCAAGCGACAATCTTTCGAATAGTTCCGAAAGCTACAGAAACACATTGCGTTGCGATGGACAAACATTGATACTATAGGCTTGGTTCATTCTTCACATATTCCTCGAATTGCCGATAACAACATCCCTTCAGCACCTCGATTGGAAAGGTGCCTTTGTGGAATGCTTATCACTCCGTATGGCCAATCGATGTTGGAGGGCTGCGGTAGCGTCTTAAACTTCAAAGCATCTCGAACCATTACTCAGGATAGTATCCAGTAGTTCGACCGATTTCATGTCGATTCTTGTGTGAAGTCATAAGCGGCCGTGTACAATACCCGTCTTATCCCTGTATGTACAGTTATAATTCGTCTGAACAGTAACACAAAGCGGGTGACTGCACGCAACACGAAGTTCGTAAGTATGCGGGATTGATCTTTCTCGCCATTCTTATACCGGTCAAGGAGAACGGTCCAGTCAGCCCTCAACAACAATGCCAATACCACTGTGACTTGTCATTGTCAGAATGGTGTTTGATATGAATGTTCTCATTGTGTTTTACCCATGGCCTGGTTCGTAGTTGAAGCTGCTGACTAGCTACGCATCTATAAAGACCCCGATCTCATGGTGGTGAGAAACGAACAGCAGACGGACCACTCCTCATAACTTTGGAAGTTTATAGATCTGCCATCTTCGTAAGTTGTCCTCATTATTCACTTTGGCATTGGACTTATTCTTTTGTGAACAAAGGACTATTCCCGTCGTGCAACATGTCCATAGACACAAATCCAGAGTAGGGCGAAGACTCGAACCTCGCCAAGCGCCTCATCGCCACTCGACCAAGAGCAAGTAACTGATAATTAAAAGTCGTTCCGAAAAACGTGCATCCAAAGAACAGCCTGCACCACTGAACAAGCCGAACCTCGCACGCATCCCTGGCGCAATTTCGAATTTAGACAAATATCTGCAGAACAACCAGAATATCGAGCGAGCTGCTCTTGGGCAACAAACACAACGATTTATTGACACGAAGACGAATTTGGACGCGTGGCAAGAGGAGTGGGATGCAATGCAAAAATAGGAGTTGAAAGTGTTGGCTTAGAGGCCGGCGCAATAAAATCAGCACACTTCTAGCTTTGTCCTACTTGTATGTGATTATTATTTATGCCAAGGCAATTCTTCTCTAGATGACCACTGGTCTCCCTCCAAATGATGCTCCACAGTGACATAACAAATAAACGATAAATTGCGCTTTGGAGACGGCAATACATGCACGGAGCCTCCAACTCGACGTAGCTAGAATAACACTGACATTTCAAAAGTTGGCAAACATGAGTGAAAGCTTAAATCAAATAGAAAACGTAAAGACTTCCTTGCAGGATACTAATCTTTCCGCACCGAAGAAGAAGACAATCTTTCATGATCATTAATTCATGGAGAGTAGATTTTAGCAGGATCAAAACAACTCGGCAGAGTGTTTCATGGAAAGTGTCCATGGAAGGGAAGTAGCGTTCGAGATGGGAGGATCTGAGAAGTGTTGACTGCCGAGCTAATATAGTGCTTCAAGGCAACAAAAACATTAAAAGGAGCAAGGACGCATAGTCATTTCACTCTGACCTTTCTCAACTCTCGATTTTTCTCGTTATGAAATGCATGGAAGGTCTGCTGCTGCTGAAGTTAGAAAGGTGGAGAAATTTTGCACGTCATTTGTTGTTGGCAGAGCAACAAAACAAACACTGCAAGTCACGACTTTTGCGACGCGTCTCCTCGTCATGCAAAGTTCAATTCGACAATTGAGACATTCAACATGGAGTCGATATCATCACAAACCTTGACCACCGATACGCATCAATTCCATCATTTTCAAAAGCTTCCTGAGCACATCCGCGAAAAGATCTGGACACATGTTGCGTACTTCCCTCGCGTGGTCAGTGTTTTGGAAAGACATTACCTGAAGAGTACCTTGGACAATGGATCAGATGAGACTGAAATGTTCCGGCTTTCACGGAATCCGCTTATGATGACTGCATGTTCCGAGTCTCGTCGCGTGGCTCTCAGTATCTATTCTCGAATCGACAAAGAAGTGTTACGATGGCCCTCAAGTCCAACGAAGCCAACCTACGTGAATCCCGACGTCGACATCATATATCGCGGAAGGACAAGCTGTCGAAAAGGAGATGCTTTTCGCATGCGGTGTCAGGAATGGGCAGTCGATCAGCTACCTATAGCGTTTACACGCACGTTGGCTGTTGATCTCACAGCATTAACTCGGCCCCGAGAGCTCTCTCACATGCCGTCTCGAGCTATTCGAAAACTTTCCAAAGCCGCGAGATCCGAGGAGGAGGGTGCACTGATGATTTCTACAATCACAGAAGCGCTCCGTAAGCAGACATATATTGACATTGGCCTCTGTTGCAAGAAGGGATTGCAGGAGATCGTCGTCGTCGTTGGGAACGACGAGGACAAGCCAGATTTCAATTTGATACCGCTCGAGCATAGTAATCTCCATGGCTCAATGCGAGGGCAGATGGCGCTGGCTGCGATTGATACTTTTTCTCGGGGTCTGGCAGAACATTGGACTGCTAAAGAGATAAAGCAACGGATACCGGATTTTCGAGCCCGGGAATGTTGAAATGTTATTCAGAGATGCAGTACAGAGAAAAATCGACGACTAGCAAGATGAAAATTTAATGTTAACTTTTTGTAGTGGAAACTTGCTTCTCAGGTTCCGCGAGTGGTTACATTCTTGAATGACCCTGAAGCGTACGATGACATAGAATTTCCTGCGAACCGACCTTCTGCTCTTGTTCATGCCTGCCATGCCTCTAGACGTTATAGCGATGTGCTCACCCTTTTCCAAAGGGTTGAAAAACCTGTCTTCTTCAATTCAGACATCGATATCGCTCTACTCGTCAGCGCAGGTGGAGATCTTCGAGAACTCAGCAAGCTCGGCCTCAAATCAATAGGCATGCGTTATCATCCATGGCACATTGACGACGACATGCTTGAAGCTGCAGACATAAAGACCTTTACTAGTCTAGAGCGAGTCTATGTTTTCTACGGTAACATATTTCTGGATGATCGAGTCGAGACAACGATAGAAGTCCTTCCGGAGAGTGATGAAGGAGAATTGTCAGATGTCACCGATGTCATCCACACTCTACGTGAAGATCTGCTGAAGGTCTCGAAAAAGTGGAAATCTTATCAGAGGCGGCGAGAGAGAGCGGGGAAGTCAAGTCCAGATTGGGTTGTTCCGGAAGTGGTGTTGGCAAGATTGCGGCCAATCTCAGAAACTGTGAAGCCGTATTCCCGGTAGAGTCTCTTGTTTGGAGTTTACCTCTTGTATGATAAGTGTATAAGAAGAACGTGAAGGACATGTGTATCATTAAGCATCAACCTTGTCATATTTTGAGCGCACATGTGATAATTTTGGAAGTAGCAGAAAGTGTAGAGCTTAAGATGGAGTACTGTTTTATGAATTGGAAGCTCTTCGCGACCCGCTCTTACAGTGAAATCCTTTTCATTTGTGCATGTTCAGCGGGTTCATGAGTCACGTGCTAAAACAGCATCTTACCTTCCATTACCTACTCACCTTACAACAAATATTTTGCATCAATACAATTCTTTATTACGTCCCTTGAAGATTTGAAGGCTTAGCAGGTGCCTTCGGAGACTTTAAAACTAAGTAGACATTTCTAAAGCAATTATGAACTGAGTACATTAGCTTTGATAATTATCCATATGGAAGCTCGAGAGAATCTTGAAACCTGGCAAAAAGTGTAGAATACTATCTAAATATAACGCTGGAAGTATTGGCTCATTAGCAACAAAGATTTCATAAGAAAGGCGTATTATTCAATGATCTTGTATTGTTTGCTCTCTCTTACTTCGAAAGATGATCATCTCCTCAGGCATTGTAACCATGGTCATTTCTAGACTCTCATTGTTGTCAAACTAGTGATCAACATAGCGGACAATCGGCAAAGCTCGTAGTACTCAAGTTGCAATACAAAAATGCAAGGCTGTGAAGCGCGGACCAAATTCACTTGTACCGAAGTATCTTGAGCAGCATGTGATACTGTCCGCAGCCTTCTTTGAGTTCATGATAGCGAATCAAAGCACGCCACGTACTGAATTGCAGGGGAGTAGTATCCATCATGATAAATCAACGAAGCTACTTCCAAGCCGTCATTGACTCTGAAACAGGTCACAATTCCCACCTCATCGCGTTTCCTTCCGCGCACATATCAACACGTACCTGACAGGGTCACTTACTTGAGTCATGACTTCGAAAGCGTCCGTACTTGGTTTCGACTTGTTGCGCTTAGACGCGGTCCAAGGGCTGCGTGCCAATACAAGAGCAAAGCAAAGCCGTTGCGAGCATCTCGCGACACAAGAAATTCAACCTCAAAGTCATATATCGGACAGCGGGTCATATCATAGTCATACAACTTCAGAAGGTTGGCGACTGCATTCTCACTGTACGAATGGCGGACTAATGAATAAAGATCCCAACTTTAAGCAAATGCCAGGACGCCCAGACAAGAGCGAATGGTGGAATTGTGTAAGTACTTCGAGTTTGATCGTTTATACCTTGTAACGGAAATGGTTATAGTGTCAATGTTGTGCAATGGTTAACCCAAGAATTAATGGTGACCTTTGTCCAGTCTGCGCACATTGTAAATGTGACTGGTATTGCACAAATTTGTAATTCAATAGGTGTCAATACAATAACCAGATCTTGCACAGAACGTCTGCGCCATGAATACCATGACTATGGTGACAATCCACTGGTTGGTAGTTGCAAATATGCTGCAGGTTGTTACCGACTCAGGATGTCCTCATATAAGAGTCGAAACAGTTACAATGGATTATACCCATGAAGTCTGCTGTACATGCATGTAGTATGACAAATATCTGATAAATGACCCATAGACTACGGTGCTCCAGCTTGGTTGAGCCAGCCCATACGGGGTTCAACCAAGAGTCCCTACATCAATTACAAGAGATCATTCGGCCCTTGTTTTGCGTCCACATTATATCTTAAAACGAAAACAAAAACATGCTATCTTCCTCCCCATGCGCTTCTGTTGTCTGGCAGCACTGAATTTTAGTGATGTCACTGTAGTCGACGATTTTTCTCTCTCTTTCTAGGGAAACTTCCTGGGCGTTGTATATGGCTTCTGGCATAGATTTAAGCCTCTCAAGCAGTGATAGCCAGGTTGATTCCGTAGCAATGTCGCTCAATTCACAGGTCCGACAAGTGATTGCCGGCATGACGAGAGGTGTATACTCGAGGTTGAAAAGTCGCAGTAACGTCGTCCGTGTCCATCCGCTACGCACTAATGGATAACATCTTAATTCGTCCTCGACAAAGTCCTCGAATGAGATATTCATGTCTTGAAGGAGCTCTCTAAAAAGGAAGAAGGACTCAGAATTTCTCATAGCGCGTGAGAGAGGGGTGTCATCATAGCGATGCTCGCGTTTTTGGTTGACCTCGAAAGTCTCATCCATTACCAGATGGAGATCCAAGCCCTGACTTATGAGAAAGCGATTGGACTTAGGAGTTCTGCGTATACCATACCCAGTTCTGCTTGTGACAAGATTATGTGCGGGAGAGAACCATGCAAGGATCTGCCTTGAATTGACATCACCTACAGCTCTGACGATTTGTGACAACACCTCGACATTATCCAGCCACATGGCCTGGGTCAGAAGCTGGGCAATTCCTCGTCCCATTGCGGGTATTTTAAAGGAAATATCGTCCCTAAGCAGTGGAAATGCCCACAAAAATGCTAAAGGACTATCCAGAGAATGAGAACATGATATGTGACTGCACCTGGCGATCATTAGAAGGCGTCGCAATCCCCAGATTCCAGAGCAATTGACATGATCCGAGAAATCCAGGTGGTCGACGAATAGTCTCAGTATATCAACGTGCTCTCGACAAGATGTTTGACCAGCGCTGGATGATTTTAAGCAGGCGTAGGTTGACACCGATCTTGAAGCTTCATCAGAATGTGTATATTTTGAGACAATTGGACTAGTGTAACTTACTCGCCCATCAGGTTGCGCGCACGAACATCAGCCCCTTGATTGATCAGAATATGACATATCTCCAACTGCCTCGCACGTGCAGCAAACTGTCATGACTTGGTTAGCTAGGTTTTGATAAGCTGGTGTGTGATGTAAATCTCTGAATTCGAAGCAAGAATGCTAGGTTCTCTTTGGTGAGACTTACAAACAGAGGAGTATAGCCTCGCGAGTCAGTGTCCCACGGCGAAGCCTTTCTGCTCTTAAAGAGTTCCTGCAGAGCAGCAACGTCACCGCTTTGACAAACTTGAAAGACTAATGAGTCATCAGGGACAGCAAAATACGTTCTCAGACTGCAATCGAGTCCCCGAAATGACTTCGACAACACTATTTGAATGCCCCAAATTATACCCATCGTAGAGAGCCACCAAGATGGATGAACCACAACAGTTGTCTGGGTCGCACATCCGATTCTCGTCTCATCATCCCCTTCCTCGACTTTCGAATTCTCTGCTGAGAGATTCGTGCTAGCGCGCTTATAGATCGAGTTATAGATCAGTAGACTGCCCAGAAAGTTGGTAATTGCGAAAGGTACTTCGAATCTGATGTTCCGGGATTCAATTCGAAAGTTGATTTTGGATGTTGAGACAATCAGCATGTTTTCCGCTAAGGTCTTGAGTCGGGTGTCGGGTCTAGGATTGACGGCTGAGTTCGCTGGTGCATACGACGTACTCGTCGAACCCCTCACACCATTTTGGGCGGAACTCCGAACACGAGTTGACATGATATGGCACTCTTGTTTTAGTTGGTCGATGTGTTCTTGACACTCAATGGTGCTTCTCGAAACCATTGCGGTCATGGCGGGATCATTCTGCGTCAAGAGAAGTCTCATGCCATGAGCAAGGACCTCTAGATCATGGCGATGCTGATGTTCTCGAATACCAAGTGTACGTCTGCAAGAGGTGATGTTAGCTAGATATACCAGACGAGTAGAAGGGTTATATGAGTAGACTAGACCTCACGCAATCGAGTTCTGCCGAGCTAAAAGCAGTGTTGTTTTCACGTCCTTCAGAGTTTCCTGAAACTTTCTAAGCCTATCCCCTTTCCAAGAAGCTTTTAAAGCTGCCCACTTCTTGAAATTCCTCTTGTGGGTGGAGAATCCTGGTTGAAACCCGTCGATTAGTGCATCTAGAGCAGCCACTCTACCCTGGCAGCTCTCAAGTGCACCGTGGGTTGCGGCCACCGATCTTGAGTACGGCATCTCATTTTGGCTCAGCATCTCTTGCCGTATGTCATCCAAGACATTTGAAACCACCTCCAGGTCTTTGACAATGCATGACACGTTTCTAGGCCCGTCTTGAACTGTTTCCCAGAAGTTGCACAGTTTCTGAACGCCACCGGCCACCTGAGCGGCCAAAGACACGACAGCAAACGCACTTGCGGCGCCTGAAAGCCCATCCATGAACGCTTCCTTACTGGACAGAAGATGAGGGTTCGACTTGGATCAGGCTCCGTTCAGGAATTCCTTGTCGTACAGCTGAACGTCTTGGATGACTGGGTTCAACAAGATTGATATCAATCAAACTTCCTGAGGGCAAAGTAAAAGCACAACAATGACACTGGTGCACGATGGAATGAGATAAATGATGAATTAGAGGAGATAGATCGGGTGGCTCTTCAACAGTCGTTATCTGGAGGTAAGGCTTTTCTGTAGGCACAGCAGGAAGGCTTTGCCCTCACGTGTTCCATGAGCTCTACCCTATCATATCGCTGAAGTCCATGGGAGTCACGATTGCATGCATCATGCTCTTAGTCTTGATATCGCAACACTTAAAATCCAAGGGCCTGGCCAAGATCAATGTGGGCTTAACTTGACGCTAGACTATAGGTCTAAAGGTGGTTCTAGATGTGGCATTGGCAAGGCTGTCGTATTTTGAGGTCCCCAGAGCTCACACATTTCGGATTCCAAATTCAAATTGCACATACCTACTGTGCACAATAAGCAAACTAAGTGTGTCTGCTCTGAGCGCACAAGTGATGGTCTCGAAGGCAGTTGACATTGGGTATCTTCTCGTAACAATACATTCTTTGTACCACTTCCTCACACAGCCTCCCACCTTCCCAATCTTCCAATCTTCTCTCCAGCATTCCTTACTATACACAGAGTTCCCTCCTTGGCAGGACCCCTTCTAATACCCTCAAGTGCCTTACTCACAACGATGCTTCCAACAGCAACTCCTTTCCCCTCGGCCAGATTGAACTCCCCAGTGGTGACAAAACCAATGAGATCTTCCTCATTCGGCACAAGCAGGTGATCATCACCATTCTTGTCCGCCGGATATTGCAGCGGTGGGTTCTGGAGGAGGGACTGCGCAAGGAGTCTTACACGTTGTGGAAGAGGTGCGTCGAGAGGAATGCGGCCCAATTTTTGGCCTTTAGTCTTTGGCAGAGGTTTGGAGTTTGTGGTTTGGGGTAGCAGAGAAAGCCAAGCTTCGCGAGTCGTAGCTGGCTGGGTGTCTGGTGGGGATAAGTCCAGATCAGATGATGAAGGCGACGATGAAGGGAGTCTGTAGATGCGAGCGCAAGGAGTGGCGACGCCGCGAGAGAGGAAGGTAATTCGGATTGTTGCTACGGAGTTTGTAGATTGTGGCTCGGCATCTCGCGAAGAAATTAAGGATGTGAAGTCCTTTCTCGACATATGTTTAATAGGGACCTCAATAGCTTTCGATTGTGTTTTGACTTCAGAGACTTTGCTCGTGTCTTGCGTAGTCGTGGTAATGTTCGACAAATCGTTGTCTGGCAGCGGCTCGATACCGATGATCTTTTCAAAGTCGCAAGCCCAGCCTCGACCAATTTCTCCTTTTCTTCCAGCACCCAAGTCAAGGGACGTCCACTCAATCCGTTTGCCTTTAGGACGTTTGGCCCAGTCTTTGTGTCTCTTCAGTCGCTGCTCGGCTTCCCAAGCAAAACCGGCTTGCGTGGCAGGATAATCTGATGGAAACCATGGCACACCTTGCTCGAAGCACACTTGCTGAGCCTCTTCTAGACCCCCGAATCGAGGATTCCCCCCGGTGGAGAGCGGATAGTGCATTAGGCCGTACCAGATGGGAAGAACACACTTCCACGGAACTAGTAAAGTCCATGAGCCTTGAGCTGCAAGTGACGACGCTCGAGATGTGAGGAGCATGGTTGGTATTGGAGAGTCATTGACAACCTTTGAAGGATAAGTACCAGGCGGTGCTAGAGCTTTCCGCCGGTTGATGGATTTCTGAGATGGCAATCGAGTCGCCTTGAATCGAGCATCTCGGTCAAATAATGCCGAAGATCCAGTCGATGCATCAATAGGCCAGGTTGATAGTTGCTCAAGCAAACTAAAACTTGCATGTTCATCATTCACGCTGGGTAACTTGATAGGCCTTGGCGGATACCTTAATCGTGGATCCATGATTGGAAACGATAATATAGAATTCAGGGGTAATGAGCCCGGATTTGTGACTCCGGCAAGTGTTCGGAATGTCTGTCCATGGATATCCTGATTATCGTCTGAGTCGTGATATGGATGCAATATACCAAGGAGTGCTTCGGTCGACCCAGGTCCTGTGATCTCAATACTGCCAATCTCAAACCGAAGATCTTCAACGTGTACTACAGGGCGTTGTAGCTTCGAGAGACGCAGTACTTCGGTCCATGTCTCGAGAAATATCGATGGATGGATTCTGATGAATACTCGTCTCATGGCAGGCTTCTTGGGCTCCTTTTCGATATCTTCACATGGATCGCGTGACTCTTGGGGACACCACAAAATTGTAGAGGGGCCAATGAGAATGGATTGATCTTTGACTTCTCTAGACAACCACCCGCTCCAACTTCTTTTGCCAAGTCTCCATTTTGTGGCCTTTTCGTCCCAAAGTCCGGGCTCAACGACGCCCACCGACCTCAGCAGCTTTTCAAGACTCAGACTTGGACCTTCCAAACCTATTGTGCTCATATAGCTCATATCCCAACCCACTGCTCCTCTGGCTACACTAGCTCTATGTGTGGGTCGATATGACTTTTGTGTAGGCGTGAGAGGTATGGCAAACCTCCACAGCGGATCTTTTGGTCCTGTCATAGTCGCTCTCTTAGCATGCCACATATGTGTAGGCAACCAAGTTTTGTGAATTTGCCTTTTCCTGAACTTCGACTTTGGTTTTGGAGGATCGTTCAACATGTCCTTCCTTAGTTTCGGCCGTGCAGCTCTTGTCTGGACACCAGCAGCTTTCGTAGGATCCCTCGCTTTCAGAGCCCTCTTCTTTTCTGCCAGTATGCCCAACTTTTTCGCTGTTTCTGCACGAAGCCTGCCTCGAGAATTTTTGGGTTCTCTTTTGCTTGCTCTAACAGTCGGTGTATTGTCCTCTCTCATCTCTCTCGCAGCTTTGTTCTGCAACCTCTTGGGCACCCGCTTGACATTGTGGCTTGCAGTTCTCCGTCGCATGTCGCGAGGGACTGATTGGAAGGCTCTCGTCGTAAGAGAACTTTTTGCCTTTTGCATGCCATTTTGAAGGGCTTTGATCTCGAATTCTCGGGCTTTGAGGAAGGATTGGAGGTCTAATTCGCCATTCTTGAGTGCTGAGTCTGCCGTTTGTGTCATGATTGATCGCGCGTCGCTGAGCTTGACGCGTTTGACACCACGTTTGGTCGCAGGTCTATACCCATCCGAGGACGACTGCGGCGGACTTTTGCGTTTCTTGGCTACATTGGAAGCTGCAGACACTGCCAAGTGCTTTTTGGGAGGCATCGCATAGTTTCAATTGTGAAGTTCCCTCAAGAGTTTAGGATATTTTTCGTATATTGAAAGCGGGAATCTGCGGCAGAATCCCGATTGGGAATTTTTTTTATGAGCCACACGCTCAGCTAAAAATGGAACAGTCTCAAAAGGTTCATTGGGAAGGGACATTCATTTTATATTATGGGCAATATTCATCTGCCTCCAAAATCCGCCCTCCCACCGTCTAGTTCTGTGGGTGGTGGTGCACCATCCATTTCTCGATGCACTCCATAATTATAATTTGTCGTTTCTGTCCCAGGTGAAAATGCAGGCGGCGGGCCAGCTGGGCTGCCATAGTTGCTCATCTCCGTCTTGGGTTGAAATTCTGTTGGGCCATTCTGGCCTTGATGCAGTACAGATGCATTGAGCAGCTCAAATTGTTCTTTTTGCTTGCGGTGTGATCGATATGCCCAGAATCCCACTCCGACACAAGCAAGAGCAAGTACTCCCAGCCCAACACCCAAGCCTATAGCTGTACCGTTGTTTGAGGAGCTTGATGCTGTTGCAGAATTGCTTGCTTGTAAGGCGCCACTGGTCGTTGCTGCTGTTGCCGAAGTTGTCACTGCTCCCGAAGTCGTCGCGGGTCCGGTGGAACTTGCGACGGATGCTGCTGATGTCGATATCAAGATCTTTGTCGCTATTGAGGGAACGATAGTGATGAAGTGAGCTTCGCTCGATGACTCGCAAGTTGTTGTGTTCAACGCTCCACACCAAAAGCTCTGTGGTCCGTAGGCTGAACCGCTATTCGAAAATGGGCAGGGATATACTAAGTCACTGGAATCAGAATTCTTTTGTTCATCTCCAGGCCGATTGGAATGCAACGGCGTCTGAAAGGGGTTTGAGAGCGAACAAGACTTACGATTTATCCACTCGTCACCAACTACGCAATTTCAAAGTCAGTGCTATGATACCGACGAGGGAAGCGGGTTACTCTTACTATCATCGCAATATGTCGGACAGTCACCACCCCAAGTATTTATACAAGCTCCTCGATAGACCAGGCCAAGACTACCATAGCATAGTCCGGATCCAAGACAACTCTCTCCTGAAAGACAGCAAGACCCTGACGTTGCAGTCGAGTTGGTGCATGGAAGATAATTGTCTGCTACTGAACCATCCTTCCAAACACAAGTCTGAGCCACTGTCGCCGTGGTCGCCATCGACACTTTCCATAGCATCAGCTGCGTGAGGAGGTATCTATAAAACATTTCGAAATATACACAACCTCGTCAGATGGCTGCACTTGGGATGAGGAAAAATGTTGGTGCCAGAGGAGAGAAGGACCACCGCCTCTAAAGACTCCCTCCGAGCCCTTGCGGTGTCCATATTTCGCTTTCGCAAGAAATTGCCAGAATCCTTTTAGAAAACCCACAACAATCTATTCCATATTTCGTGCACTTATAGGCTTTCATTGGATGTTGCTTCAAGGTTAATGCGAAGCAGGGCTCCTGATTGGAAGAGGAATGCAATTTCGCAAAACCACGCCGATCCGAGACAGGCCTCATCTGCAGGAGAAAGGCGAAGCTTCAAGCATGATTCGAATCCGTCAGCCCTAGATCGAGGATGGCATTGTGATCTGCAAATTTGAAAGCGCTGAATTCTGTGAGATGTGCTTCATGATACAGTACGTTGTTCGGATTCGGCGAATGAAGTTCAAGCATCCACCAGCTCTAGCGGCTACTGGGAACTTATTCCTCGCTTGTAGGGAGTTCTACTGCAGTCCCAAAACCTTAACCGTCGACTTCGCTTAGCTGGCCGACTTTATCACATTCGCTCTAAGTCGGCGGAAGCGGAATGCGGACGGTCGCGAAGTGCGGATACCTAAAATCGCGTGCTAACACCACTAAAAAGCGCGTTCCTTTCCTTCTCCATCGTCCGCATCCAGCGTCCAGCGACACTTCATTCCATTATGCCTCCCGATAACTGCGCCCACTACTATCTCGAAGATAGCTACAGTATCGCTAGCGATTACGCGTCCGATTCCAGCTCTTGCCCAGAGGTTGTTTCTCCTCAAAAGCGTACGAAGACTCAAAAGCGGATTGCACTGCATAAAGCCAAAAGATGGTGTTTACGGCATCCTAATGAGCCTCAAGCAATAACTGCTGTTATTTTCAAAGTCTCATCTACCTCGCTATTTTCTAGTATAATGCGGCCTGCTAAACCTCGTCTTAGTAGGCAGAATAAAATCTTGAATTCAATTACCCGAGCTCTTGTTATTCGATTTATTTAAGCATATCTCGACTGTAATATAAACTTTACTACCGAGATTGTGTTCCAATTTATTTGCAAACTTCGAATTCGAGCATTAAAAAGCGTCCCAATAATAGATTAGTTCACGCAATAGTGGAAAAGTAATAGATTTCATCGAATAAAAACTAAGCCTTTAGACATAAAGAGGGTTATTGTACAAGATAAAGAGGAGGTGAATTATTTTTTTGATGGGCCAATGGGACTACGTGCTATTATTAAGAAGTACGATGTCAAGAGATTAGATTTCGAGTAGGGTGCCCGAAAGGGGAGTATGTGATTGTACTAGTGGATATAAAGGAATTATACTCTTTTTCCCCTAAAAATCGAAAATTTATCACGATTATCGAGGATATTGTAGCTTCTAGTAAGAAGCCTATTCCACCAGCAATCGTTGTAGAAGGCAAACATTATATGAAATTATGGTACAAAAATAGGCTAAAGGGTAGGGAGTTAGTTTTATTATTTGAAAATAGCTTCACTACCGATCATATTAGACTTAAATATTTAGACCACTTTATCTAATACACCGAGTTTGGGCCAGATAAACCGTGGAAGATCTTGATTATGGACAATTATAGTAGCCATCGTACAGTTAAATTCGTTATGAAGGCTAATGCCAATCATATTGCATGCCTTTATTTCCCTTCTCACTTTACTCATGTCATGCAACTTTGCGATATTGGGTGTTTTTAATGCTATAAGCATTGGCATTCGAAGGCAGTGAATTATGCTGTTAGCACTTTGGAATTCGAGTACTTACTCTCTTTATTTTTCCGCGATCTAGATAATGTACGAGCTACAACTTTTACTAAAAAAACTATCAAGAGTGCTTTCAGAAAGGCCGGAATTTGGCTTATCAACAAGCACCAAGTTTTCAAAAATATGGAGAAATTCATTAGAGAACTAAAGCCAAAAAACTCTGATTTGCCCACGCATGTACACTAATTAGTAGTCATTTTGGAGTAACAATTGATAGAGTTTAAAGAGAAGGCTAATGTTTTCTCTAGCCCAAACAAACATCGATTTTATGACATAGCGGACCGAGCTACTGAGATGCTTTGGGAGGGCCAGAGCTACGTAGTACGCAATGAAATCTTGCACACTCAGATCGAAGAAACCCATAAGCGCAAGTCGATCTCACGGCGCCGCGTGCAAAAAGGAGGGAAAGCTACTGGGGAGATGATGCAAAAAGTGCTCGCAATTAAAGATGCGGCTGCAGCGAAAAAAGAGGCTAGCAAAGAGCAGAGGATGCTGACCGCCATCATTAATAAGGATAAAAAAGAGCTCAAAGCTCGAGGGGTGCTTGCTCGCAAAGGAGAGAAAGCGAAAGTTAACTACTTGAAGGTGCAGGGAGTAAATGAGGCTAATCTAGGTGCAGCATACTTGTTTATATCCATCCCTAATCTCGAAGCTAATGCTACTCAACCTCTGACATTGGAAGCTTAATTGCAAAAAGAGGCCGAAACTCAAAAAGCTCAAGCTCGAAAAGAGGATTGGATAGAGGAAGACGTCGTCTTTTTCATTAATATAGAAGGCCACTTGCCCCCCGCTTTAGATATTGAAAAATATTTAGATAATAGTAGTAGTGAGGAGGATTTAGAGGATTCGGACGATTCGGATGCTGAAGAGAGATTTTAGAAGTATTAGTGTAATATTTTGTGTGTGCGATAGGCGTAAATAAATGCATTGGTACTTTTTTTTGCTTATCCGCACTTCGCGACCGTCCGCATGCCGCTTCCGCCGACTTAGAGCGAATGCGATAAAGTCGGCCAGCTAAGCGAAGTCGACGATTACTTCGTCCCATCTGCTCAAACACTCCTACTCTGTCATCCTTCACTATCATACACTTATGGTTTCAAAACTCCATTATTGAATCCTGGATTGCCAATTAGATGTTAGTCACCGCTGCGAAGCCTCCCGACGTTTTTCAGCCCTGGAAATCGGAAACCAGCAGCCAACTTTATTTTCAGCCTTATCCGCCGCCAGCAAGCCACTTTGATCGGAGCTGGCGGCTATCTCACGACGTGCCTCCTTTTCGTCGCTTATTTGTCTTATCAGGTATCGATTGCATATGCTATTTGAGTATTGCACCTAGATCTCGTCTGATCTAATTCATGTCCTGCCCAGAGTAAGGAGCTCAGCTGCACGTCATTCAAGTGATGCAGCGAACCTAGCTTCATTTTGCGCCACCAAAGAGATGCATGTCACCATCGAGTTGAAACGGATTGCAAAATTTAGCAATCGTTTATATTTTGTACAGATCCTGGTGCATTTTTAGATGGAATAAGGTCCGAAAAGTTCTTGCTTCGAGCCCGAAACAAAAGGTCACAGGGAAGATGTGATGATTTTCAGAAATCTTTGACCCTTTTCTATGCGAGCAGGTCTAGAGGGAAGATGTTACAATGAGCGAGCGCTCACCCAATTTTCACAATTCTACTTCAAACAGGAATCATTTCGCTGAGCAACCTAAAAAATTCGGAAGTCATCCAGTATCTTTCTGTTTGGTGATTAAGCAAGAATGCAGTGAACCACCAGCTCGAAGATTGGGCCACGTGCTCCAGATCATATCAGAGCTCACCTGCGTTTAGGCCATACAAAAGTAAATGATATTCTCCTTACAGCTTGTTTCATATGCTGTTATCCAACCTTTCTATTCCTGCTATTACGTGTACCAATCCTCGTTTGGTCACCTCCAGCAACCCGCTCCCCTCCCTGTTTATTTCAACGAAACAGAGCTGGGACGATGTACACCCACCATGTGGGCGCAGAAGACGTCCCAACTACTTTCGCAGACATCATACCCGGACCTGGAATGCCATCCCTCGCTTCGATTATTCTAAATTCAGCAGTCCTATATCACCAAGCGTGTGGGCTGCTAAGTAGGTTCAACTCGAGATGCACACTTACTGGAATTAAGGCTAACAACTCTGCCCGGACAAACCTTACGTCTACCAATGTTCGCTCACTCGTACTTATGGTATGGAATGATGGTCTACCAGAAATCATAGGGAAAAGGAGAAGCTGTTTTTGGGGATAGCTATGGTCTTCACCATAACAAATAGACCTGGCATTCTTCGAGTCTTCGCAATCATGAGATCGTCTTTGACATATATCCTTGTATCCTCCTTTGAGTTTCAATAGCCCTCTAGCTTCATCGACACAGGAGACCGACTCAAGTTACTCAAGCGTGATGTTTTCGCGCTTAGTTCAGTAGCTCGGCGCCCATTGTGCTAAGGATATTGATACCAGATTCATCCACAAACTTGCTCTACAGTATTCCCAGGCTCATTCGTCCGGTGCTGTAAATGTTCCAGGCTTTGAAGGCGAACGAGGTTTTCAAAACACATCGAGGGTGAAGTAAAATCTTGACATTTGAGCAGTGGGGACGCCGTAGTGCCGAGATGCCAGTTGTGTTTACAGCATTGTCCAATACTTATGAACCATCTGAATAAAATGTGTACCAGGTGAGCGATCGACGCACTGAAGTTTCAGTGACCTAGGCCCTGTAACTGCCAAAAATTGGAATGTCTTCCCAAGCGGCACGGGGCGTTGCTTAGGGCGGCGATACAATAACTTTAACACAGCGTCAAAAACGCTTTCGCATTTTGTCAAGTCAAGCACCGACATCCTCATGACGCGAGAGCGTGATCAAATCGGCTCAAAGGATAAATTCCGTGCGTCGTCATATCTGTTAAGTCTTCGAAGAAGGTCATTTTCTCGTAATGAAGTGGCTCAATTGATTCGCCCTCGAGAAGAATTCGGAACGTGTCCATTCAAAACGACGACCTTGGAGATTCTCAATTCCTACCTCTTCCTCTAAAGCTAACACCACTTGTTACCTGTCTCTTGAACACTTACATGAGACATTGATTTAAGATGGAGCATAAAGAAAATCGCGTCTGGACCAGTCCTTGCTTGCACGTGGCGCTTCTGAAGCTCTCAAGACCAGGACAGCATAACTGGTCCGCAATATCAAACTTTTACGTTTAAAGAGCAAAGATGAACAAACACGCTGTTGCAAAGTCAAAATACGAGCAGCATAGCAACTGCATGCTCTCTTTGACTCCATTCCGTACATCCGCTGTCAAGAAAGAATGGAGTGTTTGCACTTTGTAACACCCATATACCTCTTCCCGGACCTGACTATGGTTCTTGGCTTTCTCTGGGGCACAGTATATAATGACTCTCTTCTCTGTATGGGCAACCTGGGTCGTCTTGCTAAGCCTTGCTCTTGTCATGGCTGCTCCAAGTAGCGTGTTCGCATCTGGTCATGCTCTATTTGGTAACTTTCAACTTGGCGCCTCGAGGGGCACTTGCACCAACGGACCAGCTCAAGCCCCAGCACTCTTCTACACGCCCAAGACCGAGAACAATGTTGCCCAACCACTCGATGTAGTCTCACTATCGTCTCCCATCGCCGAGATCGCGGCGACTGCGCTCAATCCACAGTCGTGTATGTATTGCAGAGGCAAGAGGTACGACTACACGGCCTATTTCCATAATACCAACATCTTCTCTGAGCCACCACATGAGTTGCTGAAGCTGGTCGAAGAGTCGTACCTCCAGAAAAATCGTCTGCAGAGCCTGTTGATCAACTATGCGCTACGAGAAATCCCTCAGGACAGTATGGAGCAAGCTCGGAAAGGCATGGAGGCATGGGAGACTGAGGTCAACAATCTTACCATGACGATTGGAAGTAACGAAGCTCTGGAGCAGTTGCGGTCGTGGTCAAGCGATATGATGCGACAGCTTTGGCAGCATGTGCTCGGAGTACAGAAAATGAAGATGCCTCCTGGAAGGACGAAGGAACTCACTTCTCAGTTCAGAAAGTTGTGGGAAGTTGTTTGGATCAGATGTGTCTCGATGAAATGCTCTATTCTGCAGGAGGAGACGGCGACCAATTAGTCCTCGATGGTACGGGGGACGTGCTCTTCGGGGCTGCTGTCGCCTGGTTGACTACCTCAAGCCGGAAGTGTCATGTCATGTTGACGCTGGGATCATGCCGCTCTATTTCCCGGATAAAGTCAACTGGGGTGTGTTGAGTTGAGTTGCAGATGGATCGGACGAGAACCGGTTTCCTCTGATTTGTTATGGCAGTGAGCAGAATACAACCTTGAAGTGAAACTTCATTGGGATTCTGGTGACTTGCCATTCTTTCATAGCAAACGCGCAGACTCTCTTCGTCAGTCAAGTTCGGATGGGAGAGTCCCATTTCTTGATCTCGTATCGTTGCTCCGAGGGAAGTTCTCCCTGCGATCCTACTGTGTCAAGTCAGGCGGCACGGTTTAGATTTGCAAGTTCGACCGACAGCTCGATTGTATCATCACTACTCAAAAGGGCTAATACACATACGGCAAGTGCGCATCATTGACTGCATAATGTGCTTCTCTTATCTTTCATTGATCAAAAGATGCGGAGTGATTGTTCTCCGTGCGGTTTTTACTCGTCGGAAAGCTATGGTTTCTTCGCGTAATTTATCACAGGTTCCGCCAAACTTTAGATATTGTCAAGTTTTATGGCTCTACTTTGAATTACACGATAGTATGCTCTCACTCTCTTTGCTGCTTGCAAGTGTTGATATCGTAAGACTTGTTTTTCCTCTATAAAAATGCACTCGCACTCGCACTCGGGATCCCACTTACGCAATGCAAAAGTTGCAGACCGTGTTTTGAGAAAAGGCTTGGCACTTCAGACGGACCCCCGCCTTGAACCTGCATAATATACACGCCCTATGAGAATGTGTGAAAGGATCAGTTAAGCTTGTTCTAATCTCGTGTTCGCTGTGTGTAGTCCGCGCGTCGTGAGCTCGCTACTTTAAGCATATGTAAGCGAGTCCCGCCAATCATTCAGGAGTACCACACTAATCTTGGTGACGATGGTACGGTTCATATCTACGATTTACTGTAATGCATGGGTTGAATCCTTTCGCTGCGCGATGGTCGAGCCCAAGGCTGGTCAGCTCGCGACTGTATGTTACACGCAAGCAGCTTGGCAGTCTTCTCGTATAAGCGATATTCGGGTTACTCGACCAAATTTGACTCTTTGCTCCAAGTGGATGGCCGCCAGAGTGTCTGATAATCTGGTTCAAAAATTTCTGAGCCACGGTTCCACTAGAAACTCGGTCCTAAAACAACTGTTCAACGCTCTCTACCTCGCAGAGTCATCTCAGCTCAGGTAAGTCGTGAAATGTGCTCTGAACGGTTGGGCACTGATAATGAAGCAGCTAAACCAAGACATGTTGGATCTTTCATCACCATTGTTACGGCGGAAAATCACGGCTTGCCTCTTCGTCCTTTTCTCTGCCATCTGCTTCCTTCTCACCAAGACAACCTTCAACTCTTACCCAACATTGTTGCAGAGTCTTCAACCTAATCGACCCTCACATCGACAATCGCTCTACAAAACATGGACTACCATTCCGATTACTTTTGATACCCATCCAAAGGACATTGCGGTTATCATCGAAGACCGGCCTTTATCTAGACTTGTGCCATTGTTATTACACTTCTCCAATGTCCTTGGACCAAGGTTCCCCATCGTCACCTTTACCTCCTAAGATCTCATTCCAGAACCTGCACCGTTCCGACGCGCAATAGACGAATCACGAATCATAATCAAGTTCCTGCCCCCAGGCGTCCATGCCTCTACTCATCGCGAATACAACAGGATCCTTACCACCTCTTGGATCTGGGAGGAGCTTTCTCCTGCAGATCATGTCTTTTTGTTTCAAGGGGACAGCGTCGTTTGTGCCAACTCACCGTATACGTTGGATGACTTCCTCGATTACGACTTCATCGCAGCGCCTTATGATAGATGGATTGGAGAGGATACGAGTGATGGACTGTCACTGAGGAATAGGACTATGACTCTAGATATTGTCAAGGCTGTCGACTTCGGAGATCTGACTCAACCCACGAACCCACATTTTGACGTTGTGAAGTCGGAAGAACAGTGGCTAACCCAGAAGATGAAAGATATTTCCGCATCAACATCCAGTGGACTTGGACCTCGCCTGCCAAGCAAGGACGCTGCGACGAAATTTTCGGTTGGGAGAATGTGGCATGCGAGAGCTTTTGGTTATCAGCAACTTGCTGATTTGAGCCCAATTCAAAGACAAGAACTGGATGTTTGGTGTCCTGAACATCGACTTGCGATCGAGAGCTTGCCTTTCGATCCGAGGGTTGTGTAGAGGGAGGGCTGGGCAGCTAGTCGAAAGCTCGAAGTCGGTCGACGCGATCGAGAGGTGCTGAGAGCTGGCTGTGTAGAAGGCTGGAATCGAGAGGCTAAGAGCTAGGTATTGACCTTAGTATAATGTGACGGGACACGGAACGGCATGTAGGGCAGAAGCGGTCTTCACTTAGAATACTAAGGTGAAGAGCCTAAAAAGGGGCTCTCAGAGCTATATATACAGGAATAAGGTCACGTGACGTGGAAGCAGCCGCAGAGCCTCAGGACAGAGATCAGCGCTGTCACATAATCTGGAAATAAATATATTATGATATTTGTATCCGTGTTTTTAGCGTCCACGATGTTCTTCAGCAGAAGTTCTTCTCTACGTCGGGTTGGTTGAGAACCTTTGAATTCGAAAATGACTATCCGAGAAGTATATTTTGACTCAGCATGTCACGGGTAGTTCCCTTGTTTACCCAGGTGGTTCTCAAGTCAATCCGTTTTTCGAAGCTGAGACAAACTTTTCCTTTCGAATTGAGTGATTCTAAGTGTTTTCTTGTTCTTCCTTAAGCTGTAAACATGAGCTTTATTGACTAGGCACGATCCAAGCACCAAGCATCTACCGCATTCGTCAGATATCTTGAACTGCAGCAAGGCTACTCAAGGCTTGACTACGCCACTTCCCTATTATCAAGAGTGAGATTCTCCCAGAAGATACTCAGTCTAGTCAATTTCGTGTTAGTTGGCCAACATCGCCGCTGTTGCACATATGGTTGAGAAAGCTGCATTCGGATAATATACCTGTCAATAAAAGCCGCAGAAAGACGCAGCTTACTACCTAGGTAGCTTGTGGGCCTGAGGCTGGTGCTACAAGCTGTCGAAAACGTTGACATTGGATTTCGAAAAGCCACTGTAAAACATGTTCTGGACCCGATCCTCAAGTACAAGTAAAAGCACAGATATTGCTCCTTGCTTGGCAGAAGAGCCTTCTCAGGGCTGCAAGCATATTATCTCTTGACTTTACTTCTTGTATTGTTTCGTTTGCTATGTTGTTTTCTCATTTTCATGTGGAGCTACTTGCACAGTGGCTGAAAATTTTTCCATCGCATTCGCGTTCTGTTCTGAATAGGTTGACCATAAACCAGGATTGATTCGGTTCCATGTGGATGGTACGATTGAGCAAATGGAACTGTGATTGTTTCCGAATATTGATTTTCTCGTTCCCTTTGTGGTGTTACTTAGGTACTAAGCGATCCGTCAGCTTTTGAAAAATTTCATCCAATGCACCAAGCGAAAAGTATTACGAAATATCGCGAAGCCAGATTTCTTTTGGCCAAGACACGCGTACTCACCTGTGCATGATGGTATTGAGGATTGCTGTGCCCGCTGTGCCTTCCGATTTTGGTGTGTTGCTTTCTCTATCAGCTCGTCGTAGTCTTCTTCGTATGGTAGCCCCGTGGGAAAAGGGAACAACTAGACTCACCGCTCAATTGCAGCACCTATCCTCAGCCTAGACTAAGTCAATGGGTGAAGTCTATAAAAGCAGACTGTTTCCTGGCAATGTTCTATCACTTCCACAGTGAACACAATAAAGACATCTCATAACAATCACTTCAAAGACCTTGCAACCAAAACGAGACTATACAATGCAACTCATCCATACTCTTCTTTCCATAGCCGTTATGGCTTCTACTCTTCTCACCACCGTTCATGCTGCCCCAGCACCAGACCGCGTTTCACCACTCCGAGCGCGTCAGACTATTGGTGCTGGATGCAGTGGTGGTAGCTACCTGTGTGCCAACAATAACATTGTAAGATATATCATCCGAACACTGAGTCAGTGAAGTACAATCCCTGACAATACGACCGAATAGCTCGAATGTGATAACGGCAGTTATATACTTATCGATCAATGCGGAAGTGAGGCTTGCGAATTCATCAACGGATCTCCATACTGCGTTTAGGTACGTTGATGCTTCATACTCTCACCTCCAAATTCAAACTCTAGACAAACAAAAAGAACTGATACAAGGGCAGGAGATTTCAAAGCTGGGAAATGGGCATCTAAGACATATCGACTTGGGCCTCACGTGATGGATTGGAGAGTAATGTCTGTTTTGGGAAATTCTTGCCGTGTATAGTAATCAGAATATGCACAGTAAGCATGAACTTGTGAGAAGCAACAGAAAGCAAAACTTTTCCATTCCTCATGATTTCGGGTATCCAGCAAGGTCTAAATAGCTGTATATCCGGTCACCAAAGATATATGAAGAGTGCTTTCAGCACATTCTGCACTTCTCACATGCTCTTCACACCATTCTTTAAGCATATTGAAAGTTACTACAATTGAGCACCTGCCCAAATACTGTCATGCCTTCAATTGTGCCCACGAAACTCCTAGCTGGCGTGACCGTCCCAGATACACCACTCATTGACAAAGCACTCGCCTTCGCCCGCGCTCACTGCGACGAGTTTACCTATAACCACGTCGTCCGCTCTTGGCTCTTTGGCCAATACATAGGCGATCACATTCCCGAATTCAAAGAACGTGACATCGAAGTCCAAGCAATCGCTGCCATTCTACATGATCTGGGCTGGGCTACCAGCGGCGATCTCGTCTCCAAAGACAGGCGATTCGAAGTTGACAGCGCTGAAGGAACTCGTGCCTTTTTGATTCGCGAAGGACAAAAGGAAGATTGGGATGCTCATCGAATACAACTCGCATGGGATGCTGTAGCCCTCCACACCACTCATTCAATCGCTTTGTACAAGCAACTGGAGGTCAAATTATGTTCGATGGGTATATTTGCCGATTTCCTAGGACCTGAGAGGAGTCCTGGAGGAGTCTTGACTAGAGAGGTCTGGAATGGGATCATTGCAGAATTCCCCAGACTGGGTTTCCGCGGAGAGATAAAGAGGATCTTGTGTGGTCTCTGCAGTACAAAACCTGCCACCACATATGACAACTTTGTGGCAGAGTTTGGGGTTGCTTATGTGGAGGGGTACAGCCTCGAGGGCAAAAGATTTGTAGATGTCACGGCCGTTGCTGAGGATTAACTTGGTCTCTGTGAAGGAGAAAGTGTTGAGTTCCGATTTCAGTGTCAATATCCTGGTGATCTCAAAAGAATTCTCGGTTTTCAGGTGTTGTTTTGCCTGAGTACCAAAGCATGTGAGAATAGGGGACGAAAAGCCGGGGTTATGGTACGGCGCCAACGGCAGAATCCAGATGTTGGTCCGAACCTCGGCTGCTTCCAATCTCGATACTTTTTATCAGGCCTTGAGAATCAAATAAATGAAACGCGTCAGATTCTTCACTAGCTTGCTATTGCATCGACCACCTCTCCTTCGTAAAATCCCAATTCTGAGACCACAGAGGCGGAGCTTTGTGATAGAAGCAATGGCAGATCGTCCAGACCGTCGAACGCTTGTCAGACAACCACCCCTCGATCCTTCGAAGTCAGCAATTGAGAATGTTTTAGAACTGACAGAATTGAGTGCGATTGCTCCTGTATGCCACAGACATTCATTGCACCATGATGTGCCCTCAAGCTGACGGACAATGACAGGATATCTTCACAAATACACGCCCACTATGGCACCCTCCAGGAGCAAGAGGCATCTACGGCGGCGCAGTCATTGCACAGTGTCTCGCAGCAGCTCAACGAACGGTTCCTGAGAACTTCACGGTTCATAGCATGCACTGCTACTTCGTTCTTGCAGGCGATAGCGAAATACCAGTCGTATACTATGTCGAGCATGTCCGAGAAGGGAAATCATATGCGACAAGAACAGTGCAAGCTAGGCAGAGGGGGAAATGCATATTCACGACCACATTATCGTTCGTACGAGAGAATAGCGGAGGCAAGAAATTGGTTCAACATGCTGTGTCTCTGCCAGACGAGATAAGGAGCCAGTACGAGAGCCTACCCAAAGTGGTTGAGCAAACGGGAGAAGGAAACAGTCCATTCATCAGCCATAGGATCGAGATCACGAATCGAGCCAGCCAGTCTCCCCATGAGAAGAGGACAAGACAGTGGATTAGAGCGAGAGGAAGGATAAGTGAGAAAGGGGGCCATCAAGCACACTTGAGCGCACTGGCATACATGTCCGATTCTTACTTCATCGGCACGATATCGAGAATCCATGACTTATGGAGATTCGGTGCTCCAGCAAATCAGAAGACGGACGCCGACGAGATGAGTGCACGGGAAAGATATGTGAAGAAAGTGCAAGAGTCCGAAGGGCTTGAGCAAGATCCTAATAACAGCCGAGGTAGACCAGAGGTGGGCATGATGGTTAGTTTAGATCACACGATATACTTTCACGAGCCAAGACGCTTTCGGGCAGACGAGTGGATGTTCACTGAAATGGCAAGTCCTTGGTCTGGAGATGGAAGAGGATTGGTTCAGCAGCATATATTTGCTGCCGATGGGACTTTGATTGCAACCTGTTTTCAAGAGGTAAAGTTTCCTATACCCAAGATGATAGCGACCGCTAACCAGCTCACAGGGGGTTGTGAGATTAAAAGAAGAACGGAAACCTTCTGCTTCGAAGCTATGATATTAATGATACCTTTTATGTCCTGAGGGCTGTCTTATTTACCATAGATCTAGATACTCATATATGTATGGATTTTGATGTACCCTTTGCAAGTGACATGTTTCACCTCATCAATTTCTTTGAAAAGAAAGCAATGATAGGTCTCCTGGCGGAAGAAAACTGCTTTGATTGATTTCTTCTTGTGATATACATGTTCTGCTTTGGTCAAGGGGATAACGGCTCTGGATCCCGAGCTAGCACCACTAGCGTGCCCTGTGAATGGCCTGCCACATGAGACTTCAACCACATTAGTTGCTTCACGCTCAGAAATGTCCCCAAATATGCTCTGAAGAGGAGAGCGACATCTGCAGAGATCGTTCCTACAGTCAAGCATTGTAGAGAAAGTGAAAGATCTCTGTATTTAGCCACAGATGACAGCCAATCATATCATCTGCTGCCTAAGCTCATGCCTAGGGCTGAGCCGCCAATATTCCTCAACATGAACATCTAAATTTTCAAACTCCACAGATCTCAATCATGTCTTCCATTGCAGCAAATTCCGAGCCAAGTATATTCGCGGCCATAAGCATGGCCGCCGAAATACCAAGCAGTAAAGATCCCATCCCAACATATCGAATCGATCTCTCTCTGCCTCCATCAGAGCGATATGTCCAGCTGGGCAAAGAATTTGCTCCGAAAATGCAAAAAATCACACCTCTCTTCGATGAAGTTCTTCGGCCTGCTTTTCCAAGGAGATGGATGCGCCGGTGGATTGCGTGGTTGGCATGGTTGTTTCTACGGCGCGTGTACTCGGCTGAGGAGACTGCTGAAATCAAGGGTCTCTCGAAGGCAGCTGGTGTGGATATGTATTTTCTTGTTGCTTTGAATGTCTTGCTGGATAGTATGTTAGGGTGCACAAGTGGTGCGGTGATGACAAGTCCGAAGGGAAGCAAGAGGGGGAAAGTGGGAGAGGAAGACAAGAGGATGATGCATTTTCGGACCTTGGATTGGGGGATGGATCCTTTGCGAAGTGTGTTGGTCGTGTTGGAGTTTGTTAGGTCGAAAAGTGAGGAGCCTGAGAAGGTGATTGGGAGATCAATCACTTATGCTGGATTTGTGGGTATTTTAACAGGAGTCAAGTATGCTACATTTTCGCAAAGGAAGTCTCACGTGCTGACGGATTCATAGGCAGGAATTGTCAATATCGCTCAACTTTCGACCGAATCATGAGTGTTCGACTTTCAAACTGAGGCTATATCAACTTCTCGTCCTGTTCGGCTTCCGTCCATCCATTTCTCACATTATACGATCTACAATCTTTCCGCCTGTCAAAACAGCAGCCGTACCCTTGGAAGAACTTGCTGTAACAATGAGCAAGAAGCAAACAGCACCCTGCTACCTCATTCTTTGTGATGGAACTTCGTCGACCGTTCTAGAAAAGGATCTTTTAAATGCCAAGATTCGCACTTCAGACGAGTTCATTGTTCACACGAACAATGACACCACACCGGCTTTAGAACCCGCAAAGCCGCTCCATGATGCAGACGGACATCCTGCGGTTTTGAACATTCTAGATGAGATGGGCTTGGATGCTTTCATAAAAGACAGCAAAGAGAGAAGTGCATGTGTGCAGAAGAAATGGAATGCGCTCAAGGGAAGACAGAGGAGGAAACAGCAGGCACAGTTGGTGGAGGAGAAAGATATGGTATCACTGTATGTGAGGGAAGAGACACTCGTTGGGTGGGTACGGAAGTATCCGACGATGAATGGTCAGAGCCACTTTGGATGTGTGATGGACCCGAAGAAAGGCGATATCAGGTGGTTGGAAAGGGGTGCATGCTGGCTCAGTGAAGAGTCCTTGACAATGGCCGAGGATGACCAGGATGTAGTGATTGTATCTGATTGAATGATTCATACATGATTGTATCCCGGAAGAAAGGGTTTGAATGTTGTCACTAAAAGCCTCGAGCCAATCTGTATCAACGTGGAGTGGGCAGCACGAACGAGCGAAGAGATAGAATAAACTTATAGATTTCGTTCTATTCCTGGGCATTCTGCTAACATATGTGCTTATAGACTGAGTTAATTGGTACGAATGAGTGACTAATATTATTGGTCTAGAACCTGTACACAGCATCGGACTTGCTCCACAGTTGCTATTACGAAATCTGAAGAGGCTGTAAAGATTCTACGGGAGAGTCCACTCCGCCCCACCGTGCCGTCCCCACGTCTCCACAGCCCTTCAATTGGAACCTCCTTCAATTAAACATGGGCTGACAGAGCGTGGTTCGTGCTTTTTTAGAGCATCTCACTTGCGCCATTTGTTTTGGGCCTCAGCCAACCCCTCGGGTGTCTCCCCACAGTGGGGGCGGATCGCTGCAACAGCAATTAAGCGACGAAAGGGGGGCTATCTCGCACTTTGACGCGTCACTACCGAAAATATCAGATGGCAGTTCATAAGCTTATTTGACCCCACTCTTCGGATCTTCCCTGATATTACCTCAAAAATAACATTTTCACCTTAGCAACCTTACAATTAAAGTCGTCCTCTGAGGCTAGGTGCATGGCGATTGAAGATTTCACGGAGCTTTCCTGGATCTAATTTTCTCTTGGCAAAGTCGATGTTAATATACACGTACTGCAGGTCCGAACAGACTGCGCAGCTTGGTGACGCAGTTCGTGGCAGGGTTCCGTTGTTCAAGAAGTCTCTGTATCTTTTGTGAGTTTATATAATGTGATGATGATGCTTTAAAGTTGAAGATCTCACTCATTCCGTTTCAACTTTTCAACTTCACACACTCTTTGTTTGCACTTCTCTATACCCACTCTTTTCTGCTGCCCTCTTTCCAATGGGTCGAACTTCACGCGTAGCTCTTGCTGCTCTAGCAGCTACAGCAAATGCCGCATCAAACGCCACATCCCTCGCCGATGTATGCACAGTGGCCAATGTGCAAGCTGCCCTACCCGCCAACGGGATTATTCTCGGCATCGAATTGATCCCATCGGCTGTCACGGCCAGCGCCCTGTATAACGCAACGAGCGGCATGGGCAGTACCACAACCACTACATACTGTAATGTGACGATCACCTACACTCATACAGGCAAAGGAGACAGTGTGCTTGTCAAGTATGCCTTCCCAAGCCCTGACGACTTTGAAAAGCGTTTCTACGTAGCTGGTGGAGGAGGGTTCTCACTCTCAACTGATGCTACTGGAGGCCTCGTATGGTGCCGTAGGAGGTGCAACCTCTACAGGCTACGATGCTTTTGACTACAGCTACGATGAGGTTGTTCTGTATGGAAACGGAACCATCAACTGGGACGCCACCTATATGTTCGGTTACCAGGCCCTTGGGGAAATGACCATCGTTGGAAAAGCACTTACAACTGGCTTCTACGGCTTGTATACTGATACCAAGATTTACACCTACTATGAGGGATGCTCCGATGGTGGACGAGAGGGCATGAGTACGTCAAATTCTGCCCTTGTCTTGTATTCAATCTGGGAGCCGAGATCTTCGGGATCATCCTCGCGAGCTGTTCATCAAAGAAAATGTGTCACAGCTCCTCGGATGTGCTTCTCGGCTCTTGGAACTCTATCAAAATTACGTACTGATTTGTCTATAGGCCAAGTTCAGCGCTTCGGAGCTGAGTACGACGGCGCTATTACTGGTGCACCAGCATTTCGATTTGCTCAACAACAAGTCCACCATGTATTTTCTTCCATGGTCGAGCAGACTCTCGATTACTACCCTCCGCCTTGCGAGTTGGCAAAGATCGTTAACGCAACGATCACTGCTTGCGATCCTCTTGACGGAAGAACAGACGGCGTCGTCTCCCGAAGCGATCTTTGCATGCTGAACTTCAACTTGAGCTCGATCATTGGCGAGTCATACTACTGCGCGGCTAAAAACAGCACTTCTCTTGGATTCGGCTTCAGCAAGCGGGCCGAAGGCAGCACGACGAGCTATCAACCAGCGCAGAATGGAACTGTCTCTGCTGAGGGAGTAGCCGTTGCTCAAACCATTTACGACGGTCTTCATGACTCTAACGGCAACCGAGTATATCTCTCTTGGCAAATCGCTGCTGAGCTTTCAGATGCGGACACGGTGTACGACTCGACGACGGGGACGTGGGAACTCAGTATCCCATCCACTGGCGGCGAGTACGTCACCAAGTTCATCCAGCTACTGGAACTCGACAACTTGTCCAATCTTGACAATGTCACCTATGATACTCTGGTTGACTGGATGCAAATCGGTATGGTCAGATATCTAGACAGCTTGCAGACCACCCTCCCAGATCTTACAACCTTCCAATCTACTGGCGGGAAACTGTTGCATTACCATGGAGAATCTGACCCCAGTATTCCCGCCGCCTCGTCGGTACACTACTGGCAATCCGTTCGCTCCATCATGTACGCCAACCAGTCGTCAGACGAGAGTCTCGCAGCTCTCCAGGAATGGTACCAATTCTACCTCATTCCTGGTGCGGCTCACTGCGGAACGAACAGTCTGCAGCCTGGTCCATATCCAGAGGATAACATGGCGACCATGATTGACTGGGTGGAGAACGGTGTGCAGCCCTCTCGTCTCAATGCCACCGTTTCGTCGGGCACTTATGAGGGAGAGGTTCAACAGCTTTGCCAATGGCCTACTCGTCCTCTGTGGTCTGGTAACAGCAGCACGTTTGATTGCGTCAATGATACTGCCTCAATCGACAGCTGGACTTACACTTTCTCAGCGTTCAAGCTCCCGGTGTACTAGGTGCTATTTGTGCAAAGGGGCTGCGTCAGTTAGGCAACAGTTGAAGATTGCAGCTGAGATTATCGACCATTCCTGAGGTCTCTTGATTGAGAGGCATATTCTTGTACATACATGTTCTCAAAATTTCTTCCTCTCTGTGCTCGATTTATAGTTGCACTGAGCATCCCATCCCTCTGTGAAAGTATTGTTGCTGATGCTGCAGTTTGAAAGTGGGTCAATTCCAGTTTTCTGTCTGGCACTTTCATCTGCCTTTTCGCCTCGCTTAAGCGTTCCCACACCGCTTGCTCACACACCACAGAATGTATTTGTTAACGATTTGGACTGTGCAGTTGTCCTAGACTGGTTTCCGTCTCAGCAAGGTCATGTTCTTCAATTCATATCTTGAATGTCCGTGTGATGGTTGGTGTGTCTTCGACTGCTCGTGTGATCGAAGGCGCAACATACGGCGTGATACCTTCCTTCTCGAAAAGCCACTTAATGATCTTGACACGGCCGGAACTTTCTGCACTCTGTCCCTGAATGACCAAAACCATTTTTCCTTGCATGTTGATACAATTATCCGAAGCTCATGGCCCACCATCTCGTGTCATGGAGGTATGACGATTCGGTGTCGATTTCTCTTCCTCCATCGCTGGGTGATCTTGAGTGCTCTGCCTTACTTTGTCCTCGTCTACAAGACGCGCGATGTCTTCAAAAAAAATGTTGGCAGAGTGTTGATCAGGTTCAGCGCCTGAAGCTACCAGATGACTCTGCTTCTCAGTACCATTCGAATATTCCTCCTCGCAGTGGTTATTGCTCAACTAGTCGTCCCTACGTCGCCTGCAAGTTGGCTATTCACGTCTGCTGAAGGTCGTACGCTGACACCGGGCTCTAATGCTCATCTCAATTTCTTTTCAATACCACTTCCGAAAGATTGCTCCTCCAGTGCTGCATGTTTCCTCTCTCGCTTCCTTTCTCGAATTTTGTTTTCAATCATTGTTGTCAGGTCGAGTCTCTCGGATGGTACTTCATTCTACTCGCCGACCATAGCGACAGGCCCTATTGGCACGTTCTGTTTTGCATCTTTCGTCCTTGTGTCTGTTAGCACCATGGGCTGGTAGAAATATAGGAAAAGCCGCATTAGCAGTGACTTACATGTTCCCTCTACTCTGCGACTTTGCACAGTTAGTAGTAGAATTCTTTCGAGGTACACAATACGTTAGGTCAAATTGACACTGTGTCTTATCATGATCAACTTGTCATGGGAAAACGGATACAAGACAAGAAAAGAGAAAAAGGACAGATTTAATCTGAAATACCAGGCCTCAATTCCTGAAGCTTAATTTGCAGAGTTATTCGTGCGGACTACGGACTCGTTTTACAGGAAGTCTTTCGCAGAAATAGACAAGAGAGAAGAAAGAAAGGGTCCTTTTCGCCCTTTTCCAATGTCGATGGCCTCTTAGTACATTGTTCCCGGTTCACAGCGAGGACTGTGACGCGACGAAACGCGACGTCCACCAGGTCTACTGTTGACCGCTTTTGTCTAACCTAGTTTGGAATTCTGCCCTCGCAAAATACCTCCACGAATTCCTCCAAATAAACACCTATATGCTTGGCTCTTGTTCCATAACATCACCAAATAAGCTTTCCTTCGCCTTTCTGCCACTTTTTGGGTTTCAATCCTACCACGACACCGACATTCATAAGCGCGATGGCGGTAAATACAATCCCACTCGCGTAGAACCACGCACCGCCGAATGTTTCCGGCATGGCCATAACCCACATGCTCCATGGTGCAAAGGTGTTTATTGTGCCCCCAACGATAACCCACGCCAGTCCCACCGAGCAGCCTCGGCGGTCCTCTCTCGTACACCATAAAATCCCGGGTCCCCAGGCCATCACAACGAAGGTGAATAGGCACCATTCGAAGAGACAATCAGCTCCAACGAAAGAGATGAAGAGATTCACTACGCAAAAGAATCCGGTGATTTGCACCACCACATCCAATAACGGCCTCCCAATTCCATTCCGAGACTTCATTCCCATCTTGTCATTTCGTTTGTCCTTTCTAGCACCGGCACCCCAGATCTCCTCTCTCTCAACTGTGACTGCCATATACAAGTTGAGTAATTCGAAGAAGATCCAAACTAGCAGCGCGGCGCTCATTCCGGTAAGGAACCAGTTCCAGTCATGTGTGGATGCGGCGATGAAAAGTCGAATGCAGTAGGTAGAGTCGTGGGCCAGGTAAAAAGTGTGCATCCATACCGGAAAGGGAGATTTACCTTCGCGAACCACGAGAGCAAAGGAGTAGATATATTCGATATACCCGAATGCGAAGGTGATGAGAGAGACGAAAAGGAGCGGGTAATTCGGAGGGGAGAGGCTGTAGGCCGATATAAGGTTTTCGTATGCCATTCGGTGAGTGAATTAGGACGTGAAGAGTCTTGAATAGGCTTGAATGCAAGAAAGATTTATTCCGAGGAAAGGGCCGCCGTTGACCACCTGGATAAAGAACGGAGAAGAACGATCTGAGAGCTGGAAGCTCTTGACAGCTGGAACGATGGGATATCAATCTCGAATCTGACCAAACCGGAAGTGAATGGGAAATTGTTTTCTGGAAAACTCGGGCTGAAGTGTATAGATCGTTTCTCGAAGTTAAGCACAAAAGCTTCCTCGCACAGGTCGGTAATAGGAGTGAATCACATTCACGTGCTTCTGACTTCAAAGAGTAAGATCTGTGCGCAATCTATACTAGCGTGGTTGTACAACCAACATGTTGGTTGTAGGTTCGAGATATATCAGCCTGTCGTCGTGGCTGCAGACTTCGGCTTCGACGGAATACCAAACAATCACACCATCAGGACTTACCTGAGAGGCAGTTTTCACAACGGTGGAATAACACTCTACATTGTTTGTCCAGCTCCTCGATACCTAGGTAGGTATGTGCAACATAGGTAACTTAAGAGCTGGACAAACAATGAAGAAGTCTCCATGTGTCGTACAAATTAAAGTGGAGTAGCACTCGCCTCCCCTTTTGCCGTCGTCGCGTAACGTCCCCTGTTATATCGGTACTAGGAGTCGAAGGCCGATCAGATATCTGATATGTTCTGTCCGACAATTTGACCTACATACATTCAAATGTTGGTAGACTGGCAGCCCTCTGCAAAGTCGCCGAGGTTGCGCTACAAGTCCATGATGATACACCTATTTAGAGAAGAAGGCACTGGTACGAACTCGATCTTTACAATGCTGTACACTTTTGATAGTTGTTTTTGTCTGCCTCTTGGCACCTTTTAGCTTGAAGTGTTTGCTTTCTAATACCGGACTGTCGGCAGTGGACCCGAGCGGGAACGGCAACGGAAACGGGATCATCACGTAATCTTTTGATCGGAATTTGGAGCAGTGTTCCTTTCATATAAATAGCGGAACAGACAAGGTTATTCCTGCCATTACAACAATCCGGGTTCCACAATTTGGTATCTGGTCGCACCACACTCGCCTAAATTTCCACCATGTCCTACCCATCCACAACATCTCAATGGATCTTGGAATCTTTCACGGGTCCTCCAGGCCTAAGGCTCCAGCACGATATTCCACTACCGGCACTTGGTCCGAATGATGTTGTTTTGAAAGTCCGCGCAGCATCTCTCAACTCGAGAGACAACCAAATTACCCTTGTAAGAACCTAGTATGCAATCTTGTTGGTCAAGTCCAGATAGCTTACAAAGTTGCAGAACAAATACGTCTCAGAGCCAGTTTTACCAGTCGTACCATTAAGCGATTGTGCTGGGACGATCATAGCCACAGGCAAATCCGTCAAGCGTTTCCAAGTAGGCTCTCGATGTGCGGCCACCTTCCACAGGAAATGGCTATTCGGTCGTCTCACCTCACCCTCTCAAACTTCCAAATTGGGCTCGGATGAAGATGGCGTCCTCCGCCGATATATTATCCTCAACGAAGAAGACCTCGTCGAGATTCCGTCAAGTCTGAGTTTTGCTGAAGCTAGTACGTTGCCTTGTGCAGCATTAACGGCATGGAATGCACTATTTTGCGGGAGCAGGCCTTGCAAGCCGGGTGATGCGGTACTTGTGCAAGGAAGTGGAGGCGTCAGTCTTTTTGCGTGCCAGTTTGCGCGAGCTGTGGGCGCAACGATTATTGCCACGACTGGAGAGCTAGGTGGTGAGCGGGAAGAGAAATTGAAAGCACTGGGTGCTTCGAAAGTTTTGAGTTACCGTGATAAAGATTGGGGATCCCAAGTGAGGGCTGCGACTGGCGGTCGAGGTGTCGATTTCATTATTGAGGTTTCAGGATCAGGCGATCAAGATGCTAAAGCCATTGCGTTGAACGGTCAAATCGCAGTCATTGGAGGTCTCGGGGGAGGCGGTTCTGCCATCTTTGATAGTACGTTAATTCTCCCCTTGTTTACTGAGAATCGTGAGCCGAGTCCTCGGGATTTCGGCTGTTTGACATTCTTGTAAACCATATGCTGACTTTATCATAGTGAGAGTTACTATGGCTGAGCTGAGACGCATTTTCACGGGTAGCCGGGAACAGTTTGAAGATATGAATAGGGCCATTGAAGTGAATAAGATTGGCCCCATTGTGGATTCCAAAGTCTGGCGATTCGAAGACGCGCGAGAGGCATTCGATCACGCAGCATCTGGAAAGATGTGGGGAGAGGTTGTCATCAACATGGCTGATGACTGAGTATGATTAATGGATGAAGTTTTCTTTATCTCGCAGAAGTGAGTCACATGTCTCGGTCAAGTCGTGTGAACTTACAGCTCTGAAATCACTTGCGAAGAACGAGGAGCTTCTATCCCACTCTTTTCCGGGAGACTCGACCTTTTAAAACTCAATAAATTATTACTATCTTCACAAACAATACAGCAAAACATACAGGCAGCAATCCTTGAAGGGATATCTTCAACTTAACGATCCGTTTGTACTGGGTATCCGAGAAACAAATATACTAATTCCGGCACAGGCTACATGGCAATCCCAAGGCCAATGTCCTGAGACTCCTCGACCTCTATAGGGCTACCGTAGCTCTCGTTTCTGTCGACCTGCCTCTTGATAATCTTTTGCTCAATATCGCTGCTAGCATCGATCAAGCGGTACGAATGAGACATTGGGTTTCTCTGCCCGATTCGATCGACACGACCATAAGCTTGAGATTCCGTTGTGAAATTGTCCGGCTCCATCAGCACGATATTCCGTGCTCGTGTCAGTCCCAGGCCCTTCCCCAACGCGATCGTTGTACCAATCAAGAATTTGACTTCTCTTTTGTATTTTGGCAAGTTTCTGTCGTCTTTGGCATCGCAGAAGCAGTCAATGATGAGTTGTCTTTCACTTGCCTTCATGCGCTGGGTGATGACTCCAACACGGTTCTTGTCCTCGGGGAAGTATCTTTGAATGAACTTTCAAGAATTAGCATGATTCAATTAGGGTTGAGATGGTAGATTGCGCTTACAAGTTTCAAGATAAATGCAGCTTGTGGGAAAGCCGTCAATATGACCAACTTCTCCACTTGATTATCCCAGTCTTGCTGCGTATTTAGCTGCGTGATAAACTCATACAGCCAAAGACATTTCGGGCTCGTTTCGACAATATTCTTGAGGTGCCTTCCATATGGCGTGGCTCTCTCCTTTTGATCGGGAGATCTGAAGAAGCCAATGACTTCATCTTCAGTAAGTGTCAATCGGTCGGCTTCATTCTGGCTGTGGGCAAGCTTGCAAAGCCCTGGAAATGTGGCAAGAAGTCTTGATCTCCAGGTTTCTCTGACCATGGTGTTAAACCACAGCAAAGTTGGTCTGATATCTGACAATCTCTTCTCGGGAAAATTGTCCCAATTAGCTTGCAATCTTTCAAGCATGACTTTTCTGTTCGAATCAAACAACGCTTCGAAAGCCGCAGTATCGTTAGTAGCTTTCTCGTTTCCCTTCAACCAGACATCTTGATGAACATGAGGCTTTAGTTTCATTAGTGTATGACCAAACCAGTCCGTGCTCGAAGTACGTCTGATGATGAAGTTGACCATAAAGGGCTCGAAGTCAGCGATGATTTGCGCAACAGCTGCGTCATCTCTCGTGCTGCTCTTAATTTGGGCGTCGAAACGTTTACATATGGCATCAAGCTGTTTCCACTCGAAACGCTGGAATTTGGGATCGGTTGCCCAATCAACCCATGAGTGTTTCTCGATTGCCCAAAGTACACCTTCCAGCCCTCTCGGCGTCTGTGCTATTGGTGTTCCTGAATACCCCCATATAAACGGAGTGACTGAACAATTGCGTGTTGGGAGATTTGCGAGAATCTGTGCTCGTCCTTTGTTCTTGAAAAACTCTTCATGTGATTCGTCGATCATAGCGATGCCAAAAACAAGTGCCACTCTGATTCCACTCTTCCACTCACCAGGGTTTTCTGGATCAAGGACTTGTCCTTTGCTTTCGAATCTCTTTGCGAACTTCCCATAATTCTCCTTGGTGGTTAGGAGAAGCCAGCCAGCTTGATGATCTCTCGGGTGATCGTAACCTTTTCCGCCGTTCCTGTCCTTCCTGAACACATCGGCTTTCATCCGGTCTTGATTTACGACTTTCGTACTCTGTGTATTTAAATCCTCGATTGTTGACTTGTCATTGAAAGCTGCTGGGTGATCAACTACAATCCTCATCCCAAGAAGAGGATGGGTCGTGTCAACATGAGTCTTCCATTGACCCCACCATGATGATACAAGAGCTGGCGGTACGCAAGCCATTCGTAGTCCAGGCTGCGGATTCATGCTCGTTGTTGGACTGGAAGGCGCACATGGACAGACAATCCATCCAGGCTGTCCCGCTTGCGGACATGTTGCATGAGCATTAGTCTGCCCTTCCACTAAATGCTTTCCATCTTTCAAGTCTCGGGACTTTCTCACTTCGCGCCAAAGTATAGAAAGTTGTCGCTCTACAATGATATAAGCAAGGAATGAAAGAGTTTTTCCCAGACCCATATCATCGGCTACGAAGCCACCTCCAAGAGAACGAGAGTTGAGCATCTGCCAGTATACGCCGAACGCTTGATATTGATAAATTTCGGTCTTCAAGCCAGCGATGCGTACATTTTGATCGATCTCGGTATGAGTGGGGTCACGGCCAAACATGCGGCAGCACTCCTCCCATCTATTCGCTGTACCTTCGTTGTCTTTTGGTCCATTCAATTGTGACAATGCTTCAAGATTCAAAAGTTGTTGAAGTCTTGCAGTAATTAGTATGACACATTCTCTACACATCTAGATACGTCAGAGACTTACTGGCCAGCAATACGATCTTCCTGTGTCACGCTGTCGTCAACATGCTCTTCTTCAGGTTCTACTTCGTCAATTCCCTGACTAGGGTCCAAATTGATCTTGTTGACAGTCTGTGTACCTTCGCTTCCTCCTTTTCTGAATCTCTTTCGTCCCTCTTCCTCGAACAAACTCTTGAGACGATGGCGTTGCTCTTCCCTAGTCTCGGCACGCTGCTTGGCTCCCACGGCATCGCCCACTTTCTTGAAAGCATTTTGAATAGCGAGAACTGGAGACGTCCTCTCAGTCTGACTCTGTCGTCCGTCACTAGTGTTTGGTCTTGAAGTCTTGGCAGACAGCTGGGAGGACCTTTTAGCCAACTCTGCTACTCGTTTCTCTTCCGTGGCTTTCTCAGCTGCAGCGGTTTCCTCAGCGAGCTTATCAGCTACCAATTGTTCGGCAGCACATCGGGCGACCATCTTATCGTGATGTTCTGGTTGAAATATAAATTTCATGATGTTGGATGTACCCCGATGGGTGAACAAGGAGTCAATTGCCTTCTCGAAGCTTTTCTGATTTCCAACTTCTTTATAGTCTCCTTTTTCTGTGAAATATCCGAGTCTCCCATATTTCATCCGTGTGCCTTCCGACGCCGGGTTCTCGTCCAACCGATTATCAAACACCCGGAGAAACTCGCCGTAGTCGTAAGACTTTGGAAAATCGGGTGCTGCTTTTGATTCGGGATCCGTTCGACCAATGGTAGTTATATGAACTTGCGGAATTTCGTCCCTGAGAGACTGAGCGTCTCCTTGCCTATAGACTTCAACTGCTATAGTCATCAAATTGAGGGACCGAACCGGTAACCCGCTAGGACCGCTACGATTTGTTACATCTACGGGGATATATCCATCAGGAAAGTCGGTTACTCCAGAGTCTGGCGACCCGATTGCAAACACTGCGCTGTTAGGTGAAAGCAATCCATTATCTCTGCTTCCACCCTTCAGAGTGCTAGTCAACTTTTTCCACATGTCGAATTCGGCTGTAATCGTTCTCTTAAGAAGGACAGCTCGAAGAATTTACATTAATGAAAATTAATCTCGAAGCTACGTTGGATTTGACAGAGGCGAGAATTGTTAAGAAGTGAAATGTGTTCAGGGGCTCAATTACGTGGCAATGCTTTATCAATAGTCTTTGAAGCTCGAGTTCTTTGTGGCAGCTAAGCACCTGCAGAGAACAATAAGTAGCCACGATCGAGATGCGAACGGTTGACCAAATACCACCATGAAAGACCACAAAGAAATTCCAAAGAAAATAGACTGTACTCAGAAAATGCAGCCATCAGAAGAATGAGCGAACATATACAGCTTCGGTGGATGAGCGATATGGTAAATAAAGTGGGCTGATCAGATGAGACTGTGGTTAGGACTTCGCTGTGCTCCCTGGGCGGCAATGACGGAAATCGCTTGGAAAAGGGGAATCACGTGCACGCACAATGACTTTCAGGTTGCAGAGCATGTTCTTACTAGCCACTGTCTAACAAAAGTTGAGAACTGATCACATCAAGATGATCATAAGTCGGTACAATGGAACAATTTTTGCATGGGCATTCTTTGGTAAAAATAATATGAAAAGTTGAGGTGGAAACTCGTAAGTCGTAACTGGAGCCCGACGATGCCTGAGCGTTCGGAGTCTCCAAGTCTTTAGACCGAAGTCTCATGTGTTAAAGATACTCGCTGGTACCGGAGATCTACGAACGAACTTAAGATCGTCACGCTAGGCCAAAATTAAAGAAAGGGTAGATCTACAAACGGGGCTTCTTGTGTTTCTGGCCAGGAACACAGTTGTCGATTTCAATTGATTAGGTTGCGGAGTAGTACGTGCTTTCCCAGGTTCCTGGAGATGTCTCAAGGGACATCTGCGACGAATCGATTTGAAAATACAAACAATCCTGCTAGACTTAGGGACCCTTTCACGCCAAGAGGGCTTCACTGAAGACTGCCTACTTTCACGATCATGGCTGCAAATCAGAGAAGGTATCGTATTCGCACGAGAGCGTCTGCGCACCAGAACTTGATGCCGAAACAACCTCGATTTACGGAAATTCAAAGCTTCCCCATAGAGATCCGTCTTCTGATATGGGAATTGGCCATGCCGGGTCCCAGAATGGCTTCAACCGAGCAGAGAGCTGTAATAATGACGACTGGAGAACGAGAGGAAGAACAAATCAGGCTGCCAACGATGGCAATGACACACATACGATAGCGAAGAAGGGTTACCTGGCGCTGGGAATCAGGTCTTTTTGGATAAAATGAAGAATTCGAATACCGAGATGCACATTTGATGGATGTAGCATGCAATACACCCGCGCCTGCATGTTTTCTAGCTTGTCGAAAAGCATGTGAAGTGGCTTCCAAGCATTACAAACGTACTTTTGCATGCTTCAATTTGTGGCCAGAAACGTACTTTCGATTTAAGACAGATACTCTGATTTTGGCCTTTGACAATTTCATTATTCATCATTGAAACTCATTGGAACCCTTCCTCGCCTCCTGTATAATTCCTCCTCGATGATTGGAATGGCTTCAAGGACGAGGACGCTGAGGATCTAGCGAAAGTCGAAAGATTGGCGCTTCGTATGCATTCCCGAACGGATCATCCAGAGCATAATTCTACTTGGGGATTTGTCATCCAAGATGGTTCGCAATTACTCAGAGTTTTTCGGGGTCTTACGAAGATTTCTATCATTACTTGGCTCGACAGTGGTAAGGAGTTCTCTGCAGAGGAAGAAGCAGATTTCGATATGGTTGATTCCCAGTTCGAGGAAGCTATGTCGCTCTATCAAGATTTCATACTTCGATCGGAGGATTTGTACGATCGGATATGTAGCGATTGTAGCTTTACTAATGCAATGTCGAAAGTATCATAGGCCCAAGATTTCAGCAACCAAGCCACTAAGCTAAAGGCCTTGCAAGAAGCTAACGGACACTAGAAGGTGTCCCAGACTGAGATGGTGGCGTTGGTACCTCGCGAAATCAATACAAAAGCCTGGTGAAAGAGCTGCAGATCGGATGAACAGCAAGAACGATAAGGATCAGTTCGAAGAAGGAGAAGCAGAAGCTCATGAAACGATTCAGATGGTAGAAGGAATGAAAGGAGGGATGTTTCGCACTAGCCGAGGCAGATTATCCTTCCAAAGGACCTCTTTCTCGGAACCTCGATCGGAGTGCCTTGAAATCATTGGATGAGCGGATGCTCAACTCGTGAGATGCAGAAACCGAAAGATGTTTCATTGTATCAGAGTGTTCACGGCTTCACGTGCTATTTTATCTGTGGCGGGGCGGGGTCGTACACCCCTGACTGCGCCACACTGTAGTGGCATTCAGATCTCCCGCTTTGATAGAAAAACCTGATTTCAGATTAAACTCACTCAAGCTAAAGCCGAAGCCGATTTTCTCGACATTAGTCTCATTTATGTTACGAGATACTTTCAATAGACGAGGCAGTGATCTGCAGTCATGAGGAGAAACTGTCCTTCCTTAGTTAGCGAAGGCGTAGATGTAAAACGGGAGGTCACAAAGTTGGACAGGCTTTAGCTGTGCCAACTCTCCCCTACCCTAATTCATGACGGTCATTCGTGACGCAACGGAATTTATAGTAATACTAATGTAGATGTGAATATTTGTGCCGTCATTACGTCGTCGGTCTTGATGGAATATAAGATGTTCAAATTATATCCCTTTCGCTGTTCCAAATTCTCCAGCGCAGCAGCCTACGTAACGACTGATTAACTCAAGAACACCTTTTGATCATACATATCATACAAATCGACATTATGGAAAACGCCGCAAGTGCTGTCACCAAACTGTTCGCCAAAGACCCGGCTCCTAGCCAGTCTGAGGTCGAGGGACAGGAGGTCACCGACACCACATCCGCGCCTACCTCCACGAGCAACGATGTAGACAAGACAGTCGATAAAGAAGTAGCACCCGCCGTCGAACATACGCACGTCAAGAAAGAACACGAAACCCGCGAACAGACTGTTGTAGAGAAAGAGAGACACCAAGACCACTACCAAACCACAATTCAACCTCTCAAAGATTCCGAGGTCCTACCCGAGAAGCACGATCACGTTCAAGAGACCAAGGAACGAAGCATTAACAATGATGATGGCACGGCAAAGGCCAAAGCGGAGGCTGATCGAACTGGTTTCGAGAGCACGAGTGAGCAGCAGGAGTCTGAATCTAAAACAACGGAACCGACGCAAGAGAAGGAGCATGTGCATCATCACTTGCATGAGACTGTGCAACCCGTAATCGAAAAGGGTAAGCCAAGTCCGAGGAGCAGCAAGGATTGAGCGCTTTTGCTAATACGATTCATAGAGGTCATTGACCCATCGGTCACTCACAAGCGAGTCGACGTGAAGGAGAAAATCCAGGAACCTTCCGTGAATCATGGTGTGACGACCAACTCCACGATCTCTGTGGACGAATTCGAGAAGAAGCTGGATGGCGAGAAGTAATTGTCGAGATTTATTGTCAGAATTTATTGTCAATTAATAATTCCCCACTCAACCCAATCATCGTTGTGTGTCGTCTTGGTACTGTGTTCCAGTTATGAAAATCTGCAGTCAGACGTTGCGCTCGTACCAGTACTCTACGGCTCTTTCAAATCATCTTAGGTGAAGACGTAATCACAGCAGATCGTCGCCCGACCAGCTCAGCTATTGTAAACATCTTTATCTTACCATATTAGCACGATTTGGAAACTGAATGACAATAGATGGCTTTCCAGAGTATAAAATGGTTGGCTTCTATCATAATGGGTAAACATTTCTCGCGAGTCGGTAGATGCAAAATGGGAAGGGACATTCCCACGTAAGTTTCTCTTGATGCCACTTAACCCTTTCCTAATTTACTTGGAGAAAACTTGACTGAGAGTGTGCCTCTTAGCGGATGGCGGTGTAGTTTCCATTTCTCGTGAGATGAGAGTGAAGTACAGCATTCCTCCAGCAGTAGAGTCTGCAACATTGGGAGGACACATGATATATATCATCGCAGGCTTCCATGATATTCATTGCATGGTAAGTACGTACACTTCAAATTGCTTACAACTCAATGCTAAAATCCGCTCTTTCATAGGATATGATCCGAATGCAACTCTATCAACCATATGGTCTCATGTCGGAACCAGACGAGGTACAGAAAACCCACATACTTCATTGCATAGAAGCTGTGCGCCAAGCACTGCACTGTTCCATGGACCCGACACTCATCAACTTAGGTGCGGACTGGCCCTATGTTCCTGATGGTCAGATGCATGTCTGTCGTAATACAGATGCTTTGTTGAAATTTGCAGGAGAGCATCATCATCCTTTACCAGGCTCAGAAGTACACCAGCGTTAGTGTTGGTAGGCAATTCTTGTCCTCTTCCTTGATAGTAACAATAGGCCGTAGGTGTGACGCTGGAAATGAAATTTGAAACATGCACGCACACATTCATACCCAACATTCTAGATAAGTGCTTAAGCTCTTCATCGAGGTCATTGAATTTTGTATGACAGATCATTTCAAATTGTTTTTCAAGAGTCAGGAGATGATCTGAGGGTGGAAAAGTGGCGCAGATTATTCCTGAATATGGTAGCCAAGCATGCCATATTAGAACTCAGATTTTCACTATGAAGTAATATGTTCTCCAAGCACATCTCAAGCGGTCAGGTTTCAATGTAGAGCTTTGCCTTGGATTTCATTTCTGTGTATATGCATCACCCCTCACTCTTCTGAATCTCACAAACTTGTGTACAGTAATGCGAAGGTACTAAAACTTAAACTGTTTGCTAATTGTCTCTCTCTAGTGTCTCCCGTCAAGACTCGGAAGAAAGACCTTCCAAGACTCCATTGGTTTGAAAACTTCTTTCTGCCTACATAAAAATATCGAGACCATTGGCCACTGGAAGCGGCTAATGATTCTGTAGAATATGTAGTTGTCATTCTACTTTTCAAATAGCGCCCCTTCGCTCCAAGACCATATATTGACAATTGTTTTGACACCAGAAAGCACGGGAAGGCCAGCGTGCCATGTATCATGATGTAGCCTCCGCTCTTTGTTCAAGTTCATCCAGAAAATACCATTGCCAATCGATGGCCAAAATACAGTGCCATTCCCAGTATGATGACATTCAATGATATCGCATTTGTCCTGCGGGTCAATATTAACTGCTATGCGTGGAAAAGAAGTCCCACCGCCGACTTCTGGTGCTTCCAGGTATAGCATGAAAGTAGATATCCGGTTTCCATTGATGTCAGCGGCGATGTCGTCGAAAAAGGCATCGAAGTGGTAGGTAAAGTGCCCGTTCTTGGCGTATGTCTGTATCGTGGTCTTCTCAATCCTCGTGTCGAGGCAGTTCCCTTGGAAGCGTGCCGCTCGCTGACGAATACAGTTCATCACAGAGTCTTCGTCCCCGATGTCCACAAGGCTTGCATCACGAATGTCGTTATCGAAGTTCTCCTTCTCATAGCCACGGCTGAAGTCAGCGCGCTGGAAGCGTCCTCTGCTGTGATGTCCATCAGCTTTACTGTATGCGACGTTACGTCTCACCGGGTCTCCCATACTCACCTCGCATTGAGAAGGTGTTGTCTTTCTGATGTAGTGATGAAGTCCCGTAGGTAGATCATGAGAGGATCTATTGATACAACCACCGTTTCGTAAGTATGCGCAGGACAAGCATCGCCGTCTATCCACATGTTGAGCTCATGTTCGAGACGATAGCGATACACAAGACAAGATACAAAAGCTACCAGAACGGCGATGTTGATCCAAGACCAAGTTTTGCTCCTTGATTTCATCATTGAAATCGAGCAAATCTTAGAGAGTCGAGTGAATGATTACGCAGAACTTCATTTGCAACGTGGGCACTTCTTCAAAGAACCATTACATATCTATAACAAACTGAATACTGTACTCGTAAGGAGTTGATGCAATTGGCTTGAAGCCGAGCGTTTAGGACAACATCAGCACGTATCGCGCGGGTGAGGTAGCGCACGGGGACGCGCTTGGTTAAATCCCTTACCCAGTACAGCCTTTCCTCTCAAGCAAGGACAGGAGTTCGGATATCACGTTACTTAATACAGATGCAGTCAGTACGAAGTTTTGTTCTGGAAGAATACATAGGTGGATGGTCAATTTCGTTAGAAAATTCTGTCACTGGCAGCACCACCACATTCCGAATACAATTCCCCTTGAAGTACCCTATACGAACAGAAGAATTGCACTACTTCCGAGTGACAAAGCCTCTTTCCAACTATACTCTTCCTTCTCTGTAACCTCCAAATCTTGGGACTTCCAGAACTCAAAAGCTGCGTTTAGTGCAAGAAACAGTTCACATCTACCGAATTGCTCCAAGACCCCTCGTCCAAAATCTTGGAAGAATATTCTGTGCTCGCCTTCAGACGCGAGCGCAGTGACAGCAACAGACAACGATAGACCTTTCATAACAGTTGCATTTGGCACTAGCTTGATTGCAGCAATTGCCTCTGCCACAGCGTTTTTGAGCTCGGGAACCCTAGGTCGCAAACCGCATAGCGTGCCGTAGAGATACACCTCAGCAGCACACGCCATAGCCTTGGTGATAGCCGACACCTGTCTGGCAAGCGGTGTAGCTTGAGTCGGGCATGAGTCATCGTCAGAGTGCAGACGACGAAGTTGGCGGAGTTCATTTTCTATTGGGATTGCTCTCTTCACCAACTCAACGACACTTGTAGTAGCCTCAGTTGTACCAGACTCTTTCCAATGCTGCAGCTCGGTAATGTCTAGAACATGTCTCAGTACTCTGTTGTCGCAGCCAAGAACTTTTTCGATGCACAACTGATTCTTCTCTTTCAAGAGATCGTCTTGGAATTTGCGTGCGAACGTAGGTTCAGCCGATGTTGATATACAAGATAGTAGACTCAGACAAACGAGTAAACTCTGGTAGAAGGAAACTAATAGTGCACTACCGAAATTCAAAGAATCGAGTCGAATGGGAGACAGGTGTCTTTGTAGTTCACAGACATCGGGCCAAGGTATGTGCGATCGGGCTTGCTTGGAGAATTTAGCAAACAACACAAACAGGGTTCACTTCGTAGCAAAAGATTACCTTGGATAGTATAGTCAATACTAGACAAACTTGGGCTTCGACCTGCGAAGCAGCGTCTTGTACACTACCATTTTCACGACTGATGTCTAACGAACATGGGGACAAAAGTCCGTGCGTTCAGGGCATCAGAATCATGAATTTTATTAATTAATTAGCTGTAGACCAGCCACATCGCTTAATTAAGTCGTGTACCCAGAAGTCCTGCTGCTCAATAAGCCCATTGATCCATTCCTGAGGAAATTTGTCCCATTCTTCTAATACTGCTACAACCATTTGAACCTCAGTTGTTGGCTGCCTTAGGCGCCTATGGAGAGCTTGTTTTATTCTCCTCCAGCACTTCTCAATAGGATTCATATCAGGGCTAACTGCAGGATGGGGGAATAGAGTAATACCCATAGAAGTACGCCAAGTAGCACAAATATTGCTAGTAGTCTTGTGGCCGTGAGCAGAGTTGCCGTCTTCCATGAACTGAGGGGTCTTCCCAGGCCCCAAAACAGCCGCAAAAGCAGCTAAAAAATCCTGAATATAAGGCTTGAGTACTTGAGCAAGGTAATCAGTTTGTGTAAATGCCCCACTCTTCCCAGTTCCATGAATGTTGATCAATGGACTTTTGTATCCGTAGCCTACAGCACCAAAGAAGTGTACAGGAATAGTGCCACCTCTATGCATTTGGAATTGAATGCAGTCAGGATGACAGCGTTCCTTCTTATTCCTAATACACCTCTGCTTGCATTTCTTCCCTCCAACTTGAAATGTGACCTCATCTGAGTACAGTATCTGACTCCATTCCCAAATAGTCCAAAACATGTGTGCTATCCCCCACAGCCACCGCGCATTGGCTTGGGTCTTAGTGAGGTAGGGCTTTTGGCAGCAGATACAAGAGTAGTATCCAGCTTCTTTGCAGCGGCGTTTGAGGGTCTTGACAGAGCAAGAGAGTTGCAATTCATCGTGTATTTGGATCCAATTCAGCACTCTAGTTGCATGGTCGGTGCAAATATACTCAATAATATCTCTAACCTCCTGTTCATTGAGGGATTCTCTGGGTCTCCCTGTGCGTGTAGGGCGCGCTCTTTCAGGCACATCGTATAGTAGGATCTTCCTAACTGTGCTGTCTCCTAGGTGGTAGTAGCCCTGGAGCTGTTGCAGGCCTATTTTAGCGAATTTGAAGAGCCGGCGTATGCCCTCTTTGTGCTTGGTTCTGATCTCTGCACCTGGGAGACATGGAGACATAGGTGGAGTGGTAAAAGGATCCATAATGGTGGAGTTGTTGATAGTTTAGTCCTAATGTGAAGAGTTTTAATTTCGAGGTTCTACAGCCTGAACGCACGGACTTTTGTCCCCATGTTCGTAAGTGTTGAAAGAGAAGGCGCAACTCCTCCACGGCTACTTTGACCCGGCTCTCAGCTGACTGCACAATGTGATGTTGTGGCGTTATTCCAAGCTGCTGGAGCTGTGACTGCTGTATAATAAGACTCTGTCCCAAGATGGACGCCAAGCAGCAGCGAGATATGCTGGCAAGTTGCACGAGCTCATTGCAAATGATTTTAGCCTCCGAAGGATCTAAGAATGGAAATTGTCCGTGGAAAACATTTTCCACGTAATACCAAAATGCATCAAGTTCCCAAACTTTCAGAGTGCTGAGTTGGCCAATTGATGGACGTGAATCTGTGATGAGTGTCGCACTTGGCTTGGAGACGACATCTAAGACGCTTAATCCCTGGCTGTCTGAGATGAAAAATTAGATTAAGTCAGCAAAATGTCCAGCCATCAAGGTAATCTGCAGTCGGCACACTCATTGCTATATTCGTACCAAGTGGCTTGGAGTTCGACCAGATGTCGTTTTCAGCCTCGCGAGAAGGGGTTGCTAGTGAAGGCGCTCTGTGACTGTACAAATCTAACATAGACGTTGTATCATCCGGAGCTACGTTATCAAGGCCTTCGAGGTAAGGTGAGCTGTCGAAGATGCTTGCCAAGAGAGAATCAGTCAATCTCACGCTGGATCTTTGGGGGCACGCATGAGACAAGTCGAAAGTGTCCAACGGTGTTAGGGAATCTAGGCCGGCCTCAAATACATTTGGGAAATCTATCGCAGGGACAGCATTTGAAAATGTAGAGGTCCCCGATGACGGAAACACGATACTTTTTTCTGGTGTAGAAAGGTTTGGTAAAATATCTTGTCGGGCGTTGTTTGTTCTCTGATTTGGTCTGGTACTTTGATTTACTGCTGATGATGAATCCGAAGAGAGCCTATCGTCGATGGGACTTTGGATGGCCTCGGACGTACAGAAGGATAGCCACCTTTGGCGGGGTCTTCGCTTGACAATTTCTCTAAACTCGACTGCTCGCGCTCTCTGTATAGGACCACCATCCATCCAAGCCGGCCGAGGACCATAGCCGTGACAAGGTAGTCCCAGAGAATTACAAGTTGCACAAGTTTGTCTGCTTTCATCACATCGCTTCCTGCGAGCCCTATGTCATAAATTCTTAGTCCACCAAGCCCACAGTCAATGTCATCATTTCAGAACCATACCTACAGGTCCAACACCCTGTGTGACTTCTTCCATCCATCTCAAGTGGGCTCGCGAGTCTCAAGGCAAACTCAAGTGTACTGATTCGTTTCTGTCATGTATTCTCACGAGGACTTCCGTCTTCGCTTAGTACATGAAGTCTAATACATCTTCTCTCTGCTCCATTGCGAGAAGCTTAGAAAACCCGAAGGGGAATGGGGCGATTGGTGTGACACCTGCACAGTCCCGGGGGTATGGCGAGTGCGTATCTCTTGCTTTCCGCGTGATGTTGGATTTTCTCTGCATGTTGCACAGCATTTTTCGTTGAAGATAAGAGACCCGAGGAGATGGTTTTTGGTTCGCCGGAACTTGATAATACTCGTTTGTAGTTAATGCAAGTCAACCAGGAAGAGTCCGAAAGTGACTGCGATATACTTAATTCGGCACGATAAAAGACCGAGGGGCCACCTTCTAAAAGTATGGTTGAATCGAAGAGACACTGCTTAAAAGTAAAAATAATTCGACACACGTTATCTTCACTAGGTATGTGGTTGCACACCAACCTGGGCAGAGTTTGAGATAGTCTTTCAATTCGGCTAACGTCGGCCTTAACCTTCATGAGCATTGTTCGAACATGTGCAGAAACTTGATTACTTGCATGAGTTCGTGCTACATCGTGTCAGAATCCCCTCAATTGCTGGCTGATATCGGGAAAATGTACAGCGTTCTCGTGCAGCGCGGGTCGCGCCGGTTGGACTCTACCTGCCTCATCAGTAAAACTAGGTCAGCAACAACATTCGCCACCGATGCCGCGCGAATCAGGTACCCTTCTCGTCTACCTCTGTGGCCCATGGGTATTTTCGTGGCGGGATAGGTGGGCTTGAGATGCAGATTTGTATGATTGCACCCGCAATACAAGCATCTTTGACATATCAAATATAACGTAATTCCTCCTTCGGCGCGCCGCGCGCGTCTCGCGCGCCTTCTCTCTTGGCAGGCGATGAAGTTGAGGCCCACAACGGGACAAGCTGCGTGTTACGGAGAGATCAATATGGTAACCTCCAGTGTACTAAACCGTTTGTATTCCTCAATTTTGTGCTCCCCTGGATGGACGCGGCGAGAGTGCAAGGCATTGTTACATTTCGACTCCAGTACTCACAACGACGAACCAAGCCCTGTTGCACAAGATCAATTTAGCACATAACTAGATCTTATAGCATGGAAGTTCAGTGGAACAATTGTTCTTTGGAGGTTTGAGACGCCACTATGGTTCTGTTCAGGGATGGAGTATTATCACTTCGTTTCTGGACGCCAAGTTCCGTCTTACAGGAGCCCATGGTAGACTACAAAGCCCTATCCTTCCCGAGCGAGACCGAGATGGACGACGAAGTCGAACGATTCCGCACATGGGACAATCAACAAGTACTGGTATTTGTTGTGGGGCACGTCTGTCTACTTATAGTATACTTGGCTGTCTTCGCTCTCTACGTTTGGCGACCTGAGAGCACAGCCTCTACGGCAATGCATAAAACAACTCTATATTGTTTGTCATTGAATACCGAGTTGAAATAGTACTAACGTACAGCAGCACCCGCTCAAGTGGCTATCGGCTCATACTCCGCCATGACAATTGACGGCACTGTGACCAGATACGACTCAAGGTGGAACATGTCATCGAGCTGGGTAGGACAGCCTTCACCAAGGCTAGATGCGTTATGGGATGAGTTGACACCACCAAGTAAGCATATCAATCTACTTCCGACTTTTCAATATGATGCATACTGATTGCTAACACGTTCCGTAGTACCGCGGATCCGACTTACACACAACGAAATGCTATGGGCTGGCTACGACATCCACGACGCCTTACTTCTCGATGATGGGGACCACACAGCCATCTTGAACGTTCACCACCAGTTGCATTGTCTAGTATGTGACTACGTTCCCCTCCTTTTCTCTCGTTCCGAGTATTACACGAGAGGGGCTCACCTCATTTGCTCGCAGAATGCAATCCGGAAAATGACATACATAGATTATTATACAGCATTGGGTCAACATGAAAGCCACGCTTTGGCGAAAAACCACGTTGGTAAGAAATATAATAATCCCTGCCTTCTCATTGCCATACTGATCACGAGCGATGCCATCTCCTAGACCATTGCATTGAAATGCTGAGACAGTCTTTGATTTGCTATGCCGACATTTCAGTGATGCCATATATCAAAGATGGGGAAGGTCATGTCAGACCGGACTTTGATGTAGCTATGCAGTGTCGAGACTACGACAGGATTGTTAAATGGAACTGGGAAAACATCGATCGCCGACCTCTGCCGGCACCTGTCAGCGATGAGTGACAGTAAGCGTTGCGATTATAAGATGACCAAACTAGATAGCAACCAAATTTTACAACATAATATCAAAGATTCTATCCAACTTTGATTGACCTGTTTCACCAGGATATTGTTGGATTCCGGTAGCGCCGATTGTGCTACAGACCAACGCCCCGTTAGTACTACCTCGGTACCTGCATGATGACAATATACGAGGAGGAAATTTATCCCGCGCCGCACTGTTGGAGTATGGCTCCAACATGAACTGCTCATTTCGTCCCCTCTTCTTCAGTCTCCCATCTTTTGGGAAAAGGAAAGGTTGACATACAGAATCATGATGCCTTTCTCAACTTGCAATAATGATCATAGTTTTGGACCAGCTGTCCTAGGCTGCCGAGATGACTTCGATTTTACTATCGAGTTCGAACAGCTATTCTTCTCTATCATACCTTCCGTCATTTTTATCGTACTATCGATATGGCGTATTGCTGTGCTCAGCCGCAGACCAGTCATTGCAAATGCTACTCCGGCATTGCTCTTAGCCAAGTTGGTGAGTTAGATTATGCAATCCCCAAACAAAGTTGACGATGTCTCGCTAGGGTACTATAATCACGTATACTGGAACAAACTTAGCCCTCCTGATCTGGGCGGCAAAGCGGTCTCTAATCGTAACTGACCTGGCCATCGCAGCTTCTACTCTGCGCTTGGCCACCGGAGTTTGTATGATCGGCCTGTCCTTCCTCGACCACAGGAGGTCCCTCAAACCATCGATGCTTCTAAACACCTATCTATTCATTACAACGCTGCTTGATATAGCCCAAGTTCGTACTTCGTGGCTAGCATCTGCCTTTCGACAAGATCGAGTCTTTTCGGCCATCTTCACTTCATCGGTTGTCACCAAAGCTATCATCCTGATTCTCGAAGCGCAGCGTAAGATGAAGTCAGTGAAATAGGACTCTAAAGACCATAGTCCCGAGGAAATTAGTGGGCTCTACAATTTGGGTGTTTACTTCTGGTTGAATTCTCTATTCCTCAACGGATATCGCAACGTCCTTCGGATTGGAGATCTGTTTCCCCTCGACCAAGCGTTATGTGGCTCTACCCTCCAGGAGCGTCTATCCATACATCTAAGCTACTCCAAACTCCAGGGTGATAAGTATGGTCTTCTGAAAGTACTAGCCCGTACCTTTGCAGTACCATTACTTTTACCCATTCCAGCCAGGCTTGCGCTTCTAGGCTTCACGTTCTGCCAGCCATTTTTCATCAGCAGCCTTCTAAGCTATTTATCTGCACCCGAAGGCTCGAGACCTGTCAATATAGGGTATGGCTTCATAGGAGCAAGTATCTTAATTTATGGTGGCATTGCCATATCAACATCGTTCTACTGGTACTTCCACCTTCGAATGTTGTATATGGTGCGCAGCGCTCTCGTGAGCGCCATATACCAGAAGACCACTGAACGTCGTCTTGCAGCTGGGGACGACATGGCTTCTGTGACTCTTATGAGCACTGATGTTGAACGCATCAATCTAGCCTTCAGGAATCTTCACGAATTCTGGGCCAACACCATCGAAGTCGGCCTCGCAAGTTGGCTCCTATATCTTCAATTGGGTCCTGCTTTTGCAGTACCGATTGTCACTGTCCTTTGTTGCGCGGCTGTATTGACATTCCTTGTAAGATACGTTGGACGTGCCCAACGAGCTTGGATGGGCATGGTCCAAAAACGGGTGGGCTTGACTGCAACAGTCATCGCCACCATGAAAGATGTTAAAATCTCGGGCTTGGCAACAACTGTCTCTGATCTCGTGCGAAAGCTACGGATGGACGAGCTGAAAGCAGGAGCCATGTCTCGACGACTCTCTCTGACTTCTGCAATCATTGCGTGGGTGCCTCTTATGGTCTCGCCGTTCGTGACCTTTGCCATCGCTCACCGGCAAATGGATGCACAGAAGCTCTTCACTTCGCTTTCGTATCTCTTGTTACTCTCAAATCCACTTACTCAGGTGTTCCAGAGCATTCCTCAAGTCGTGGCAGGGCTTGCTTGTCTCGGTCGTATACAAGATTTCCTCGAATCCTCGAATCATGAAGACTTTCGTGTCATTCCGGGGAAAGTCTTGAATGACAATACAGGAGCCGCTTTACTCCAGGGTGAAAAGGATGTCTCAGCGGAAGCCGGAGACGTGAGTGCCATCACAGTAAAGGATGGTCAATTCGGATGGGAACAAGGAAATATGGTGTTGCACAATATCAACATCAAGATCCCTCAATCCAAACTGACTCTTGTTGTTGGTCATATTGCATCAGGAAAATCTACCTTATGCAAAGCACTCTTAGGAGAAATACCTTATCAGCACGGTCAAGTCACATTGGTTAACCGATTCGCGCGCATCGGTTATTGTGACCAAACTCCAAGGCTCTCAAATGTGAGCATCAAGGACAATATTGTTGGCTTCTCACCATTTGACCCGGAAAGGTATGCTGAGGTTGTGGACGCCACGATGCTGAAAGCCGACTTCGAGACGCTTTCCCACGGCGAGAACTCCAACATTGGTAGCAACGGGATCACGTTGTCTGGCGGACAGAGACAGCGCGTATCGCTAGCCCGGGCTCTCTACCTCCAAATGGACCTTCTCGTGCTCGACGACATCCTCTCTGGGCTTGATGCAGATACGGAAGATCAAGTCTTCCGTCGTGTGTTCGGTATCGATGGCCTCGTCCGCCGGCGCGGCGCAACTGCTGTATTTTGCACTCATTCTGTTCGAAGCCTTCCCCATGCCGATCACATCATCGCCCTCGGGGCCAATGGAACGGTTATAGAACAAGGCGGCTTCGAAGAACTTCTTGCGAATAAAGACTACATACACAGCCTTGGCATCAACGGCTCGGACGATGCGAAAGAACGAAGAGGAGAAGATCTTGCGCAGACCATCATGACCACAAACCCCTCGCCGTTCACTCCGGCAGGAAAAAATGACGACAAATCACGCCAGACTGGAGATTTTATGGTATACAAGCACTACTTGAGGAGTATGGGCTTGGTCGCTGGGAGTTCATTGTTCCTGTTGGGTACCCTTTTAGGCTTCTTCTACAACTTCGCAACCATCTGGTTGAAATACTGGTCCGACAATGCCTTTTCCTCGAGCTCGGCTCACTCTTATGACTTTTACGTCGGCATCTACGCCCTGCTCCAGATTAGTTTCCTGCTTACATTCGGCGCTCTGGGCTGGGTTCTTCTCGTCGTCACGATGAAGAGATCAGGAGCTTACCTACATCGTGACGCCTTGCGCACATTGATGCATGCTCCGCTTCAATTCTTCACCAGGACTGACCAAGGAGTAATTACCAATCTCTTTTCGCAGCATCTTAATCTCGTGGACACCGAATTACTTACGGCTCTTCTGACTCTATTGTATACTGTGTTCCTGACCATTGGTCAAGCGGCAGTGCTCTTAACTTCTTCTCCCTATATTGCGATAAGTTATCCGTTTCTTGCAGTGTTGCTTTACATTGTACAGAAATTTTACCTTCGTACTTCGAGACAGTTGAGACTTCTGGATCTTGAGGCGAAGAGCCCTCTTTAGTAAGTGATTTAACTCCTAGGCAGTACCACAATCTACAAGCTCTCCATCCCTGTCCGTGACTTGCTCACCTTTCAGTGATTATATACAAACCTCGTGTAGAAGAAACTTTCTAACGCTTGTTTCTGATTAGCACACACTTCCTAGATACGGTCAAGGGACTACTGACCATGCGAGCTTTTGGTTTCGTCGCCGAAGAGCGAGCAAAAAACATTCAGCTCTTAGACACCTCACAACGCCCAGCTTACCTCCTGATCATGATTCAGCAGTGGTTGACACTCGTGCTGAATATGGTCGTCATGATTATGGCAGTCATCCTCACCACCCAGGCCGTGCGGCTGCGTTCCAATTCCGGCTTCGCAGGTGCCTCGTTCGTCACCCTCATGCAATTCGGTGAAAATCTCTCCGGTATCGTCATGTTCTACACCATGCTCGAAACCTCACTTGGTGCCGTCAGTAGATTACGGAACTTCAGTCTGAACATCATCCCAGAAGACAAACCAGAGATAGAGGACATTGAACCACCCGAAGATTGGCCGCAGAAGGGGAAGATTGAGATAAAAAGCATCTCAGCCAGTTACGGTGACAACTATCCTGATTCTACAATGCCAGTCTTAGCGCTACGCAACATCAACTTGACGTTCCACCCAGGTGAGAAAATAGCGATTTGCGGCCGTACTGGCAGCGGCAAGTCATCACTCATCGCGCTCTTGCTCAAGCTCCTCGACCCTCTCTCATCCGAAGACAATAACGCCTTTGTCAACATAGATGACACGCCATTGCACCGAATCAACCGAGCTACGCTCCGGCAGAGAATCATCGCTGTACCACAAGATGCTGTCTTCCTTCCCGACGGCTCTTCCTTCAAAGCTAACTTGGACCCCATGACAACGGATGCTACTAGCAGTGCCGCTGACTACGAGTCTGTGTTACGGATTGTTGATTTGTGGGAACTCGTTGAGGAACGCGGTGGCCTTGACGCTGGTATGACGCCCACTACACTCTCACAAGGCCAGCGGCAGCTTTTCAGTCTTGCCCGCGCGGTGTTGCGTAAGCGGTTGCGAGCCAGGGGTAAAGGTGGCGGTGTGCTATTGCTGGATGAATTTAGCTCGAGCGTAGATCGAGAGACTGAACGTGCGATGCGGGAGGTAATCCGCGTGGAGTTTCGGGAGTATACAGTTGTCGCTGTGAGTCACCGTTTGGATATGATTATGGACTTTGATACAGTAGTTGTTATGGACAAGGGTGAGGTGATCGAGGTTGGTAATCCTCGGCAGATGGCGGCGAATGAAGGGACTAAATTTCAGGAGCTGTGGAGTCTGGGTAGTGGGTAGAGATTCTAGTCCATTCTATGCAATATATGATATACCAAGAGCCATCAGGTCCCAGTTGAATCGCTCCTGCTCACCCTTCTTGAATACTGCTTAGCAGGTCTACCGGCAGTCGTTTCTATTCTTGAGATGTATCCTCTTCACCTTTATCCGGGACTCGCACGAAGAGAAGGAGGGTAGCAGTAATGACAAGGAGAAGAGCCAGACCATAGTACGGAAGTCCAATCCACCCACTCCCATACTTCATCCCCAACGAGAACAATCCAGCAAGCATAGAATGAGCATACATGGCCCCAATCACCTCAACCATGCCGACCATTCCGAAAAGGCGGGAGCGATGTGCTGGGTCGACGTAGAGACTCATCAAGCTTCGGGTGAGACTACTGCTGCAAGAACCTAGAGCGAGGAGGACGAGTCCGAAAACAAAAAAGAGCAGGGTTGGCGCGAAGCCCAGGATAAGAGCAGCAACCATAATTATACCGTATGACCAGCGGGCAAAGGCCAGATCCCGATGATGATCATCGATAGGCCGGATTATGGGGGAAGTTGACCTTTTCATTACGAACTTGGAGAGCCAAGGTAAAATGATGAGTGACTGGATCATTTGTGCAATGCCGTAGGCGGATTGGATGTAGCCGCTTTGGTATAGTTTGATATTATATCGCTTGGACAGGAATTGTGCCATGAACGAAGAAGTCGAATAGAAAATGGGCAACGAGCACAGACATGTGATCAAAAGGATGATCAACGAAGACGATTGCAGGATTGATAAAGACTCCTTTAAGCGATCCACCAGGTGCCGTACTTTTGAGGTCTTGTTCGCCGTTTCATGTGGTTCGGGAGTTCGTGACTGTTCTGCTTTCAGTGTCTCCGGAATGAAGATTGTGGAAATGGTAGCTGTGGCGAATAGAGCAACACCAACAGCTGATGGCGGCCAGGGGCCTGTCCGTGCCATCATGAGGGAAGACAGTGAAGGAGCTAAGAGGTTGCCACACAAGCTGGCTACGTGTATACGCATGAAAAACACGGCTCTGTCATAAGTCAACAGCCATCTCATTGCCTAGTCAGGTAAGGGGTGAGCATCAGCTGGAGAACTTACCTCTCCTCCTCAGTCGTTACATCGGTTACCATACTTAATAGCAACGCAACGAGAATCGGAATGCCACCCCCAACAAGCTGACCTGCCGACTCGAGCCAGATCAGTTGGAGTGGGAACACATCACTGAACCACAGGACCAATACTGTCCATATGACACCAAGAGTCATGCCTTTCAACGAAGTTTGTTAGTAATAAACAAAAGGTAGTCTGAAGACCAGAGCAGATAAGGCACAAAGCACAGGAGGCGAGTACTCACCCATAAGATTTATACCAAGCACAGGTTTGCGACCAATTCTACACTGCTTGTTAGTTTATCGAATGATATGTAGTGACAGGATCGAAAATAGATCAGACAAATCAAGCCTTCCCGTACCTATCAGCGACAAGACTCCAGGGAAATGCGGCGATAAAACCGATGATAGCGCTCAAAGCGCTTTGAATAGCTAGAATAAATGCGAGTTCGCTCTGGATTGATTCCAACTTGCACATATCCTCGTCAATTGAATCTTTACCATCGAGAGCTTTCATTTGTGCTTTGCCGACGTCGTAATACTTGTGACAGAGCACATCCTCGATAATTCGGGCCTGTGGGATGCCCAAGAAGCCGCCCGACGAAGCTGCCATGAACATGATCAGACAAGCTAAGTTCACGATGGCATTCTTGTGGCGGGCTTCTGGGATGTGGACGAGAACGTTCGTGTTGGATGTCACAGATGGCTGTCGCACTCGACGAGGTTGATCAGACAAAAGAGGAGAGGATTCGCCGCCGTCAAGCTCACCGGATGAACTCGAGTTGCGATGCTGATCAGCCATGTTGTTGACACTATTAAAGAATCAGTATTCAACCCAGCTCAAGTTGCAACCAATTCAGATCTCTACTCGTTTCTGTGGTCGGAAAGAGTGCCGAGGCTGATGAGGCTCAAAATATGCGTGCCTAAGGTATTAAGAAGGCCGGGAAAATGGTCTGGCAGCCTTGTAAGCTCTCACTCTCACCACACCCTCTGCACTCTTTTTAATAAGTGATGCATTTACTATAAAAAGGGCCTTCTACAAAGTTGCTAATTTAGATTTTTAATTTAGAGCGCTGTGGTTGCGCAATAAGGGGGTAGCATTCTTAAATTTTGGTGATTCTCTAAAAAAAAAAGTACTGTACAGAGATAGGCATGGGAATAAAGTTGTTCCGGGGTTTCCTTGGACTGGCGACAACATAAGAAAATTTTCTTTGAATTATATCAATTATTAAACTCTGATTTCTTTTCAGGATCTAGGCCTTCAGGCTACCATGTACTATTTTAGAGCATGGGAGCAATCTACGTGATCTATAAATGTACCTGAGGTACTTCGCGCCCTCGCTCGCACTCACTGCTGCACTAAGGTGGCCATTAAGTGGGGACTTTGAGTATTGACTTTGAGAGTAAAGCTCGACGTAAACTCCAAGTGAGAACTTTCTATTGAGATGAGAGCCCGGATCAAAGACGGCCGCTTGTTTAGTCAGCTGATAAAGTTTTTCGTTCTCACTTGCCTTCGTCTTGTCAGCTGACATTGGACCTTCAGATCCCACCCGCAAAAAATCCTCCACGCTTAATCCCCTTACCAAAGGTTTCGGGAATGGATTTGAGGAACGAAGTTTCAGGTACGTCAACACTAACGTGGGAAGGATTGCTCATGAGTATGGCGTTGTACGTAGTGTGTTGAGTGCAGTGAAGTTGGAGTGGAGATGTGCGAATGCGATTGGATGATTGAAATGAAGTATCAACTACCGAGACATCCTTATTTAGTACAAGTTGTAGTACTCCTTACATGAACTTTATCAGTAAAGTGATCGATAATCTGACACTACTGGCAAATTGATACAGTACGCTAATAAGTTACCCCACTTGCCTCATTAGGCAAGTGGGGGACATAATCTTTTTCTTTTGAGCAGAGAGACACTCAAGGAATTGATTTTAGGCCTGGAAGGATGCCTTTGCCTTCATTCGTGCGCTGTGTACCGAGTCCCAGCCCTTAATACAGTTGTGTCCCAGAAGATGCTGTTCTTTCTTGCCCTGCTTTGCGAACCCCGTCCCAAACCTCGAGCATTCCTGTTTTCAACCTCCTCTTAAATACCTGCAAGATCATTCCCCACATATTCTAAGACTCCCATGTGTATTGAAGATATGTAACTCAAGATATTGATATCGCCGATGCGTTCAGTGAAGATGATGACGAACATGTTCTTTACTCATGCTCTCTATGTAAGTGCAGAGGCTCATGAGGAGTGAGGAAATTCGCAGGTAGCTTGTTGTTTGTGCTTGTGGTGTGTGGCCACAGACACTGGTAATATATGAAAGAGACTACAGGTGCTGTATTACTTAGTTGTTTTGACGTAGAAAAAGATGTTTTGTTGAATAGTTGTCAATTCGAAGTCTCGAAGACAACAATCCGTAGTGACATGCACAAAGCGGATCGATATCTCTAATCGCACTCCGCATGAACCTGCTTCCTCTCGTACAGCAACACACCCGACAGCCTGAGGATTTTGTTGCTCTTTGGGCGACTCCAGGGACATCACCCCTGTAATGCTACCATCTTCTTTTGTTTTATGACTTATTATCGTCGCTGAAGCTCTCACGATGGTCCGGACATTCACCAGGTAGGTTATGAAAATTTGAGACTAGCCAACTGGCCCTTCGGTCCCCATTTTTCTGCTTCCCACCTAGTTAAGTCCCAAGCAATTGGTGCGATCCGGGATGTGCAGCCCGCTGAGCTGCGTGGTGGGCACAAATTCCAGAACTCGATCTCAATAAAATCCCAACTCTTTCGAACTTAGTTTCTAAACAATCTTGTTTCCTACTTACTCAACCTTGGTTTTTCCAACCTGTCTCCTCGTATTATTACCTTCGAGTATTTCTCGCCGAGTCTCAATCTCTTTGTTAATAGCTGCGATATTGGTTCTCATTTCATCGATTTTCTTTTTCTCTACTCACGACAGTCAGACCCGGTCATACAATAGATCCAAACTGGAGAGGGCATAATTGCGACATACAAAGACATGTTATAGACTTTTGTCCCCATACAAACGGTCGTCATTGTTGAAATTGCAAGTGTGTATCCTAGACCTAGAAGAGGAGACATTTTGCGTCAATTTCTCGATCTCGGTGGAGAAAGACGAGATGGGCCTTTTTTGTCTTGGATTGTATCAAGGTCAGCTTTCCTCCTAGCTAATGTTTCGTTCAAGTTTTTCTGCTCTCTTAACCTGATCTTATTAGCCAAAAGCCATTGAGTGAGTAGGAGAATTAGATTTACAGGTCTATGGTAATGGCACCGTGGATCAGGGCTGTGAGGCTAGCTATGCCAAAGCACAATCTATTGAATATGAGGTTTGGCTGGAGGCATGAGATCTTTGACAATTGCAGGAGACGAATTCGAATTTTGCTAGACGTGATAAGAGATTTCTTGAGAAACAAATAAGTTCTGAGTACGACATTTTGAGTGGGGACGTGTGGGTGTGGTCGAAATTGAAATGGGTCTGAGATATAGCTCCCGTACCGTATACCGCTCTCTCTAAGAAGGGGAAGGCTAGCAAGTTGGTAAGTCCCGTCTCACTCCAGCTCTCCAAAATTAATAACTTGAGATCGTTGAAGCAACGATCTCCCCAGTAATGCTGTGTGACAACCGCACTTCTCAGGGCATTCGATATGCTTCACTGTCAATCATCGTAACGTCGTCGAGTTTTGCGAAGAAGGGGATTTTTGAATTAATAATGGCACAGATGAGATACGTCGTGCTCCTACCGGACTGCTTGCTGGACCTCCTCGTCAAGATGCCTAACTTCAAAAACCGATGTAACATATCCCAGAAAGATTTCGTGAATCCGGCATGGTACTTGTGCGCATCAGGCAAAGATCTTTCATAAGGATGATCCATTTGCCGGGCACCGTGGACTCTGAACGTCGCTCGAAGCTCCTCCACTCTCTTCGAGAACTTGGGCATGAGTGTCCTGGATTATCATATTCGAGTCAGTATACTCTTCAGAAATAAAGGAATAAAATCTAAAGTTGCCTGCCCATGTTAAAGCTCTGCAGGCAGCAAAACTCACGAGACAAATTTGAAAGGGGATCTCAACTGAACATAAGTCGCTAACTCACCATGTGGGCCATATCTCTGTTTCTTCCACGAGCAGAATATCCAACTCGTATTTGTGCTTGAACTTCAGACGTTCAATGGCGCCAAGGGTTGCTGAATGAAATTGTCGGTTCACAAGCAGAGTAGGATAGATGGAGATCCGAGAGCCATGGGAGATGTGTTGAACATGGCGGCATTCCGAGGCACCGGGAAAGTCACGAAGACGCTGGCGGAGATTCTGGAAGTCGCGACCGGGGAGAGGGGTTGAGACGATGTAGTCAAGGATTTGGTCGCAAATTTCGTGGGGAAGGGTGAGGATGGTTGGTGCCATCTTTTGAGGCAGATGCTTGCTGGAGGTGTGTAACTGCTGGATTGTGTCAAGAACTTTCGAAAACTCCCTTCGGAAGCTTTTTAAGCATATTGGACTGCCAATAAGTGAATTAACAATGGAATAAGCTAGTTTTAGCGAGGCACCAAAAGGAAAAGTGCGAGTGATACTTTGGTACCGGCAAGCCTAGCTCCCGACACTACTCATAGACGTGACTAGAGGTGCGTGTATACTGAAAGCCCCATCAAAATAAACCTTGTACCATTTCTTTCTTGCCTCTACTCATTTCAAATTGCCGAGTCTGACTGCTGCCCCAAGACCATGGTATTCCAGCTGTCTTGAGATGTATCGTCATATGATTTGACATCTGCTTCTCGACATGGTGATTCGAGGGTATGTAAATAGGTAAGGGGAAGAATGATATCAAAGATGGGTGCCCGATTATGGACATTCAATAGCAAGCTACTTGATTCTTCTGGTGACCAGCTGAAGTTGCTCGCTTCAGTGTTCTGATTGAGTGCCACCATAGTTAGGAGTAAGTAGATTCAGGTTTGTTATGTCGCACGCCGCTCATGCTCCAGCACAAAACCGTTGACAAATTTATCATCCACCCACTTCGTGAACTTGACACAAGGCTCATCAACCAGAATTGTGCTCCAGTTCGCCAACGCCAAGGCAAGTGGGAGCATACATGCCCACGCCAATAGATACGCGACAATATTCCAGAAAAACCCATTGATCTCTACCAGCTCGATCTCCGGCTGGTCAGGAGCTCGATAATGCGTGCCGAGAACATTGAGGATCTGCTTGCGGATCGGACCGCCTAGGATAGTTCCGATCATACGATGGGTAAGATACAACATAAAACTGATCTTTCCCAGATATCGACAGAATGGCCGCTCGAAGAATCGACGCAAGGTGGTGAAGTGGGCAAGCCCCCAGATGATCATGATTCCGGACCAGCACCAGAAGTAGCGTTGTCCGCCTTCAATATCCTGCCAGTTTGTGGGAATCCAGTTGTCGGTCCACTCGTAACCCGGACGTTCGTACCACTCACGTTTCCCTGGGATGCCGCCTAGCCAACCACCAACAAGGAGGACAAAGATCCAGAAGAGACGAGAGCGACGACTCATGTGATCGGAGAGCTGTTTGAAACCACCAGCTTGCTTAACATAATCTGCGAGAAGGATTCCAGTGGTGAATAGCCAGTAGTTCCATTTTGCAGATAGACAACTGTAGATGGGCACCATAGCTAGAATAATGGTTCGTCTCGTGTAGCTTTGTATCCGGCTGACCATCAGCAGAACCATGAACACGACCAATGACCCGGCCCATTCCACTGGCATGGTCCACATCGTATGATTATACTTGTGCAGAACTTCCCAATTGGTTCGCTCCAAGTGAAAGGGATTTGAGAAGCGTTCGCACTCCCAGAGGTAGTCCAAAAGCTGGGCAGAAAAAGAACTCCTCCTCGTTATGGGTAGCTCTACCAGGGCAAAATAGAACTGTAGCAAGGAGAGAAGTCCGATCAAAAAGCAAGGCAAAAATAACCGCATCCACCGTCGGAAAGACGCAGAGCCCAGAGATTGTACGAATTTCTCCGGTCGTCCTTCGCGGATCGAGGATAGGCTTGACCAACTTAGGACGAATCCAGAGAGCACAAAGAAAATGCCGACTTGCGTGTGTCCCGAGCACCAGATGATCCGTAGATACGGTAACCTCCAAAGTTCCCATGGCTGTGTATTTGGAGCACCGTAAGGCGCTTCAGTGTTAAACTTGAACATGTCGAGATGGTAATGGTACACCATGACTAGAAAGGCTGCCACACCTCGCAGCCCGTCTAACCACGCTGTTTCCCGTAGTTCATCGTCCTTGGAAGCCGTAAATCCAAATACGGTCCCCATCACACCTCCAGTACCGTCAACTGTCGTCTCTCCGGGCTTCAGCGAACGGTTGACAGTACGCACGACATTGCGCAGAGCGAAGAGTAGACATCGATTTGTCGCCGAGAGGAAGGCACCCAGTCCAGTACTGGAACCCATAAACGTCCGCAGTTTTGTACCTCTAGGTCCTCTCTCTTCATCCTCAATATGAATCAGCTGTTCCAATTCTACCTCCCCGCTGCGGGTGGCATCGTGCTGCATCTTTTCTTCCACTTCTATCATATAAATCAGATCCGGTCAGCGAAGAGCAAGGAACATATCGGTTGGAGACCAAGGAATTGCGACCTGGAAGCTTTTCTAGGGCTTCTCACCGCACGTGCGCCTCAGGAGTGTTTCAAGTCGAGTATATCTTCGTTCTCGACGTTTCAAATGTTTCCATGTCTACTGGCTCGCTTAAATTAGTTTATGATCGGACGTTTCGACATCGCAGACCCATTTCTGCTGCGACTGAGGTTGTTGAGCTTTCTTGACGTGTTTAAATCAAGACAACTTCCATGGTCTCTTTGGTCAACGATGCCTAGGACATTGTAATATTGCAGCTTGGATGTGTTCTCGCCAACGCGCAATTAGATCCCTCTCCTCATTGATAGAGGGATCATCTGGCCTTGTAATCAGTGCCTCTTGGATCGCAGCTTCCGCTTGAGTAAGCATACAGTAAGTAGATCCTCACCAAATCGGCAATTGACTGCTTTTCAAAGTGAGCTCTGCCATTTGTTGGGGTGTTGGCCGCCAAGTACTTCCAGGGAATTTGTTCATTGTACTCGCTGCTTCGAAAACAGAGTCGGAGACTTTCAACCCAAACTTATCCATAGCCCTTTTTGTATAAGCATGCCCCATGCACAAAAGATAGTCTTGGGCCTTGTCGGAATTGAGGTCGAAAGACAACGCTGACAATCGGTTCAAGAACTGTAACCCACCACGTTCCCTTATCCCTTGACAATTATCGTCCTGCATGACTCGTTGTATTTTTGTCAAAGCCTCATTCCAGTATTCGCTAGCTCCTCCCGTAGGATCGTGAAAGAAAAGACGGCTGCTGTGGAAGTACAGGTGCCCTTCGGCTTTCAAATGCTCCACTTCTCGGATGACGCTTTCTGGATCAAGAGGGAAAGGACGTTTGATTTCTTGCTCCGCGGCAAACTTTAGATCCTGCGGAATGGCGCCCTTGATTGTAAAGTGTGGAACATCTCGGAGCGCAGCTCTATAGGGCGCCATGAGCTTCTCTTGTAGTCCCCTTGAGAAGAATGGTTCATGGTCCGGCACCAGGCTCCCTGCTGATGGATCGCAAATAGTGACAATGTGCGACATCAAATCGCGGTGTCGCATGTGTTCTGGACATCCTTTTGCTATTGCAGAACAGAAGCGCTCTAGATCGCGATACAGAATGATGTAAGTACACCAGGTACTCAGGTCTTCTTGCAGCGGCTTCGATAGGTTGATCACATGAGATACCACAAACGACTTGAAATGTCTGTAGTACTTCGGTTCCAATTTCACAGCTAGTGTGAAGTTTCTATTCATGATATGCCCACACTCCATAATCAGAACTCGAGACCTTATCTTGATATAGAGATTTGACTTTAGCAGGATGGATTCAGCTTCTGCCTTGATTGAATGACAAGTCTGTAGGATTTGTGTCTCAATGTTGAATCTCCGGCGATTGGTCTTGGGACGGTTATTGGCTTCTTCTTCAACACTGTTTGTTGGTTTTTGTGTTGGGTGCAAAGGCTCTGCGACAGTAAGAAGCTCCCCATAAATTTTGTCCCTAATCTCCCTCGGGAGATCGAGGAAGGGAAATGGCTTAGCAGATGGTCTGTAAGGTAGAGAAACGGAGGCCATGGCTAGCAAGAACGTGGTGCGGGTCGAACAAGAGGTGTAAAGGTTGATGTTGGAACGAAGAAAACTGAACGCGACCCGCGGGAAAATGGTGGCGCATGCATCCCACGTGATAGCTCGAACGCATTTCAGATCATCTTGCGGGAAGCGCATAGGCTGAAGTGTATTCGCTTTCAAGAATGTGATACAGGGCAATAATATAATTTCGATAACTTTCTTATAAATCTATTTTATCATAATTCACGGTGTTCAGAGGCGCATCTTCTCACTTGTTACCTCGCTTAATCGTTGTCCGACCTTCAAGCTTCCAGGTTGACTTGGACGCCTAATCTCGACCTCGACTCAGCTGCAAGTCCATCAATCCAACTCAATCTAATCTCAACACCAGGTCATCAAAATGGAGAGCACATACCAGAATTTCACTCTCTTCCCTCACCTCCCTCCTGAACTTCGAGACAGAATATGTCTCCTCGCTCTCCCCATCCAGCCTCGCCTGATCCCCTATGCCGCAACAGAAACACCATCCCTCGCATACGTCAACCACGAGTCACGTCTAGTCTTCCTCTCCGTATACACAAAATGTTTCCTCACAGCGGACTGTGCCTCTATGCAAGTCCTCCCATACCCCATCTCACCCTACGCAAACTTATCCATCGACACGCTGTTTCTATTCTGGGACATCCGGCCTAAGGATCGATATCCTTTTCCGTCATCGAAATGGATGACTCCAGAGGGCCGACGGAAACTAAGACACATAGCTGTCGGGCTAGGGTTGTGGATATCGCTGCGTGGGCACATGCATGAATTTGCGGGCCTAGAGAGCTTGACGTTCGCGATGGGGATGACGCTTCCGCATGAGAAGTTGCGGAATCTGAGGAATAGGGGGTATTTGCTTGAGATTGATGAGAAACACTATCGTTGGGAGGAGCATAAGGATTTTTGGGAAGAGTTGAAGGGTGGTCTAGAGGATTTCTCTGAGGAGCTGAAGCACATGTCGTTGGCGGAGGTTGTGGATCCAGAGGAATTTTATCCCTCGCTCGATGCCCGATTTCTTCTTAGCTTTTGATTGGGGTTTTCTGTTGATGCTAGAATGATGTTACTTTCAAACCTCTGAGGTTTGTAGCGTCACGTGCTCAGTTATGGAATCTGCACCATCTGCTGTCTTGCTTCGTTTCAGGCTTGAACATTCCTCTTCTCGTTACTCTCGTGTTCCATTTCTGCAGCTTTTGCTTGTGTTTGAGTTATGTATGTGCATCGTGCCCAATCGGATGTATCTTCCTGAGACAGGTTTCGGGAGTATGGGGGAGAGGTACCGTCAAAGGACAACTTTTGAGCTGTGTAGCCTTATAAGGTAGCATCTCAAACTTGGAAAAAAATTCAGCAGTTGAAAGTCAAGTGTATATTACAGGCTCGGTCTCTTCGAGACACGTCTTAGAATCTTTCACTGCACAGGAAGAAGACTCATGTGGACAAAGCTACCAATGTCTAGTGAGACATGCTTTTCAGCTAGTGCACTCAGAAGATCCCTCAAACATGCACGTTCAAAGCTGTGTCAACGCATGAGATCCCTTGCATTCTATAACACATTTAGCACTAAAAGTGACAAACTGAGCAGCTGTACTATGGTGTCTCTCGAAATGTCTAGACAGCCAGCGTGGATTCTTGTCGAGATAGCAAAACGAGACAAAGAACGAGTTCCTCCATAAGGTAAGTATCTGATACTTCAAGGACATCCCCATCTTCTCAATGTCCCCAATCTGTTTTGCTTTTCAGAGCAGCTTGCCCTCCCTCAAGTCTTGAACTGGCTTGATCCAACTTCCGACCTCTACCATTGTCAGATCTATCCCCGACATTCTCGCACCTCTCAACCCAGCAACAATGTCCGTCCTCCAAGAGCTCGCAAAAACCCTCAACTACCCTCTCGACCTCGCCCGCGTCCCCTGCTCCGGCCTCAACAATACAGGCAAAAAATGCGGAAATTTCCTTTCAGGAGTCAGCACCATCAAAGCGCGGGGAAAGCTCGAGACGCTCTCCAAGATCGAACACACAACTTTCAATGGACAAACTGCTGAACTCCGAGATTCCGCTACATGTACGTTCTGTCCTACGCACCAAGGCGATGCGAGGGTAGAGGTTAGGATCAAGCAACTGTTGGAACTTATGGGGAAGAGTAGTGGCGGTGAACAAAGACGTCAAGTTCCTAAACTCGTTTCTGTGCAATACGCTACACCGATACGAGCCCCGGCAGAATCACGAACTCCTGCTCCTGCTCCTCCCTCGCCAGCAATAGCGATCCCCAAAGCACCCGCGAATCTCGACACCATGATCCGGCAAATCCGTATCTGGACACAATACCCGAACCAAAAAGTCGTCGCCTACGTGACTTCCACTCTCGAAAAACTTGTACTTGACGTCCAAACCGGAATCCGAGAGCTTGAGGCTGAGGAGCGTGCGGCTACGAAGAAGAAACGATATGCTGTACCACCAGGTTGGCTGCAAGCTGCAGACGGAAAGTTCGAGAGGGAGGAGGGCTGCGGTATGACGACCAGATCCCAGAGGGTGGATTTCCCGCCAGGTTGGTTGAAGGGCTCGGATGGGACGTGGGTTGAGGGTGATGATTATTATGAGATATTGTAGTGCGAATTTTGGTATTTGGACCGATTGTATTGCTTGGGAGGTTGGTTTGAAGGATTATTGCATTACATTAAGAGGTTTTCTGGTCTATATGCTTAACAAGAGTATCGTACAAACGTTCATCGTAATCATACAAGCTCTCCGTGCTCAATTAACAACTAGTCAATTCCTACTTGATAACACCGGATTCTCATCCACCTTGAAATTCTTCTCCATGCCCGGCATCGCTACATACGGTGCCTTTTCATCTGGCTCCGTCTCTTTGCCCGGACGATACACCTGAACAGTACCGCCATAATGCTCTCTGTGCACGACTAACCGCTTGCATGCAGAGCAATGGTGGTCTACGTCCGCGCCCCAGTGGAAGACATATGGCATCCAGACGCCTAGGACGCCGAGCGCGCAGCAGCACCCTAGTGCTATTCGACTGGCAATACGTTAGCAAGGAAGCATATAAATGGGAGGGAAGGAAGGTACCAGGTGGCATCTGTGTCGGTGTATGTTACTGTGCTGCGTCCTCGAGCTAGACAGAATGGACATTCGATGTACGCCGGGTCTTTTTCGAGTCGTTCTAGTGGGATTGGGTTGTTTTGAGGGACACCATTTTGAAGAAGGGTTGGGCTCGGAGCTCTGGATTGAGCTGCGTCTGTTTGCGCGGGATGGAGACCTGGCATGGCATGCTTGACTTGGCCAAATTCTGCCATAATGGCGGTAGTAGTTGTGCTAGATGTAATTGGCAATGAGGTAGATTTTTGAAGTGAAGCTATATTTGGGGATTCGCGAAAATGAGATGATAGACACGGAGACAATGCTTCAAGGTGTTGTAGCTGTCTATATATCACTTCTTGGAGCTGCCTGGAATTCTTGGCCCTCGTGTTTATCCATGCTTGGCCTCTGATTCCCAGGGTTTATTTGTGAGGGGATCGATTGGGGCGCAGTGTCTGCAAGATATTCGCTTGTTCCCCAATAGTGCATTCGCCATCGTGTGATGCTTCAGGGGTTATACTTTCCTTACGAGGCTGAGAATGGAAACGATGCATCTGTAAGAGGAGATTGCTCTGTGTAGCGAAGATAATAAACAGGTGAGTGACTCAAAGTAGATGGACATCTCTCAGATGCGTCACAACGAAACACCGCAACCTCGGTTCATGGACCTCATGGTGAATGTGCCCCTAGGCATCTTTGCGAACTTGGAACAATTGAAAGTTCACAACGCGCAGAAGAATAGAAAAAATGCAATGGTAGTACGACATGTAATGCGCTGCATACAAAATATACGAAAAGCATTCATCATCGAAAAGTCTCTGAAATGAATTTGAACGCCACTTGAGTGAGATCTCACAACCAACATCGATCATGCGCCAAGACATGTTATATTGCGGCACCCCACGAACTTCAAGGCTGAGGTTCCATTTGACTACTTGCAGGTGCCAGATTCAACGTTGCTTTGAGTGGAATCTAGCGTTAAGTTGCATTGTACGTTGCGATTCTCAGATGGATAAATTCGATGCTGACAATGGTGGTCTGTAATATGTTCGTCTTGCGGTGCTGCCATGTCTTCAACCATGAGACTTCCGTGAGAAAATAGAGCTCAAAGCCTCAGTATCCAGAGTATGCAGTAGACGCAACGTTCAATTATTGGTTCTTTTTGTACAGAATGGACCGTACTCGGACAGACGATGTGCTGACCAAGACAAATGGAGGTGAAGTTAGAAATAGAATTTGGGGTTAAGGTTTTAGTGGGCCAACTCCGGTCCGACCCCTGAATTTTTAGTGCATCGACCCTGAACCTCGCTTGTAGAGCTGCTGAAGCTATTCTTAACATTACATCGAAAAGCATCCCATCGACTCGGATGAGAACGAGCTATTCTACAATGGAAAAGCACACTCCGTATCATGGCTCTATTCCTGCCACGATATTTACCTGCTTCTTGCAACTGCCTCTAGAAATGCGCCGCGAGATATGGCGTCAGACCATTCCAACACTGCCCCGCTTTATTCCACACTCACCTCACCAACAACTCGCTCGCGCGGATCCAGATCGTGGCATATACTTCTGCATCAACAGAGAATCTCGAAGCGTCTACCTCGAGATATACACTTCAATCACGTCCCAGCTTAGGATCAGTAGCATTCGAGGCGGCTTGGAGTCCACTTCCCCTCACGCGAACCTCGAGCACGATATACTATACCTCCGCCATGATGCATATATCGGAAAGCTCTTGCAGTGTAAATTTAAGCCTGAGATGATGGACGGGATAAGACATGTAGCTATTGAGGAAGAACTCTTTAGGGAATGTATACCGGACTTTTGGGGAGACATTCTACTCGCTTTCGATTTCGTCAAATACATACATAGTTTTGAGAGGCTGGACACTTTGACCATTGTGGAGATCGATCATGTGGTCAAAATGTCATTGAATGGCGATTTAATTGCGTACTACGTGGAGCTTGAGAAACAGAGGAACTTGGCTGGTCGAGAGATGGCCTTTATGGGCTGTGAAGGCAAAACGGAGATCATGAGCTGGTGGACGAAGATGCTGGAAAAGAGTCCCGATTGGAAGGCTCCAGACCTAAGATTCATGAGAATCGGACCAACATTGAAAGCACCGTCTTGACGTTTTCTTAAAGAGATATCTATCAATCAATACCACAACGTCTAAATACGACATAATTTATTGTCAACTTCCGCCCAATTCTCATTTCCAACGCAAGGCGTACACCACAGGACATCATCCGGATCAATTGCACGTTTGATCGTCAATAGTCTGGCATAATTGTCACCCCAGAATGACTGTTGCCAATTCGGTTCATAACGCCCAGCACCCTACTTCAGTCAGCTACTTGTCAGATTCATCAAGCGTTTACTCACTTCGTTCATATACGCTCCCATGTCCGGACTCAACTCTCTCAAGGCATTGGCAAAGCCGTTCGTTGCAGCAATAGCATCCGTCTCTGCCGTCTTGTTCACAGGTGCAAAAGCTTGATTCGCCGCTGCAAAGATTATTAGTTCCCATAATCTCCGTTCCAATTATCTTTGCTCCTCGCGGACGTTTAATCAAGCCCAGAGAGATTATTTATCTGCATCTGGAACATGTCGCAAGGAAAATTGTCCCGCCACCTCAAGAACATTTCCATCACAATCTGAGAAGGGAATTGTCCGTCCATCCAAGGAACATTGAAACCAAAGATTTGCAAAGGACAACTTACTAGCATGAACAAGAGTCTTCCTCCAAGCCGGACAAACTGCATTACTCCCACCCCTAGGAACCGCCTCCTTAACCCCTTTCCCAGCAACCAAATACGCTGTCGAGATACCCCCCTCCGTGAATTTCTCGAACGCCACCTTCGTCGCCGTCGTATTTCCACTCAACGCCTTCTCGTCTAAAAGTCTTGATCCCATCACATTTTCATACCCTACTGGCGAAGAGTCGTAATTCTCTTGATACCAAGCATAGAATGAGGGGTAAAACTTTGGTTCTGCTGTGAAATTGAAAGCCGGGGCTGGCCAAGTGGTATTTATATGCTCGAAAATTGGACTGAAGATATTCATTATGGCCGAGGAGTTGGTGGTGTTGAGCATTATCACTTTTCCTGCTACGCCGGAAACTAGAGTTTGTCCACCATCGAGCGGATTCGGTGTTCCTTTGAGGATTAAGGGGTACCCTGATATTCCTGCTTCTGCGAGAGCGGGATACTGGTCCAGCAGATAGGCGACCATGTCGAATGCATAAGGGTTAGAGGCTGTTGTTAGAATCGAGAAGTCGAGATTCATGACTTGAGGACTCGGGTAAGTCTTCATGGTTACCGAAGTCATGATCCCGAAAGTCGAACCACCTCCCTAACATTGACTTAGCACTTTTCCTCTCCAAAAGCTCGGAATAAAGAAAAAGACATACTCCACGCATAGCCCAAAACAAATCCGTATTCTGACACTCGTTCAAAGTCAGAATCTCCCCTTTCGGCGTCACAATCTCCATCTCCAACACCTGATCGCTTGCTAAACCATAATGCGGACTCAAAATACTATGTCCAGCACCAGTAACATACCCACCCAACGCAACAGTCCTCCCATTACCTCCAACCACCGTCTGATTAAACGCATCCAGCCCCGCATACGTCTCCAACATCTGCGTTCCGCCCGCTGCGGTCACAGCCGCGCCGCCAATCTCGAAACTGCAGTTCTGCGGCTGGAAAGAAGTAGCGTGGAATTGCATCCCTTTCATATGATGCACCCAGATCGACAACGAATTCGGTCCACTCGAGCGGCCAACATAATCATGTCCACTACTTTTCACAATCAACCTAATGTTGTATTTCCTCGCTAAGGTCTCCACATCAGCACATCACATCACATCCCATCACCAAAAACAAGACGAAATTACTCACCAAAATCCACACCAGCCTTAACATGTTCCCTCGTCGTGGCATTCACAACATAAACCGGGTACCCGGCCGCCGAACAAGGAAAGCTGGCGTCGGGGAGACACGAATCATTGTTCCAATTATTCCACTCCGCGGAGATGGGATCGCGCTGGTGGAAAAACTCGCTGGACCATGACAGCTGGGCTTCGGTGCAGAGCGTCGAGTTATAGGTTGGATGCGTGGGGTGGCAGACTGCGCCTGGGGGGACCGGGAGGAGAAGGTTGCCGTCGAGGGTGCTGTTCAGGACATCCCAGGTCGAGGGACTGGGCCAGGTGGGGTCGCTGGGGGTGGTTTTGCAGGTTGTTGTATTTATGGAGGCTACAAGTGTGAAGAAGAGAGGGAGGAAGGTGAGGAAGGGAGAGCGTGCCATATTGTCGGGGGGGTTTTTTTTTCAAACACGCTGGACGGGAAAGGAAACCATCACAAGTAAGACACAGCGAGCACGCGAACTTTTCTTCACGACACGATACGGTCCCAGAAAGTGGTCTGAACATCATATCTAGCCTGATCTACTCAACTGAACAATCAATCGTCTGATAACAACCCTTCATTCATTCATTCATTCAACAATGGAACTCGGCACATGGTGAAGAAGCATATTGAACTCGGTACCAGTGGACGGCACTCACCCACCCCCACAATCCATCCGACGACGATAGCAGCACACAAGAGGCAAAATACCTCTCTTCACCGGCCCTTCATTCCTCCACTCCCTTCCACCATCAAATCTGAACCCCGAGTACGTAACTTCCCCTTTGGGTAAATAAACCTCATGTCCCGGATAAACGACCCAAAATAAGCAATCCATGTCTCGATTCAATTCGATTCGAAACCCCCAGAATTTTTCGTTCTGTGTAACGGTTTAGCCTTAATCAATGCATGGAGCGAGCGAGGGAGGGGACCCCTATATTACCGAATGTATGATTCGGTATATAGAGGGCAGGAAAGCTTATCGGTCGTCGGGGAGGAGAGGTGTGGAACGCGGGGTTGGCGTGATTGATTTTCAGGGACCATGCAGGAGAGGAACGTTGGGGAAATGCTAGTTAGGTCATGTGGAGGATGTATTGTACTGCTGCTATGTAGGTACTCTCTCAACTGCCATGAAGGCATGAACGAACGAAGAATAGCAAAGATTGCGGTTCAAGATAAGTCTAAGAACGAATTTCTCTATCTTTCCAGCATAAGTATATTTAAGAAAGATCCGAGAAATGATCCTCTAGAACAACCCCCGACCAAAAGCCCCCAAAACATCCAACCTGTTCCTCTCCCCCTCCAACCTCACAGGACTCAAAACAACCGTCCCATTCGCCTCAACCGTAACATTGACAGGCAACACCTCAACCCCCCCATCAACCACTGCGACGAATTAGCATAGTAAAAACCTGAAATGTCAACGAGAGTCTCTAGGAGCTAGGAGCTATCTCGACCTTTCAACGGAAATATCTCGTTCGCATATATCTCAGCTCTGCTCTGCTCCCAGAACGCCCCTATAAAGAAACAACATGCTGGGAAAGGGAGTTAGACATACCCGTAACATTAACCGCAATGGTAACATTCACGATCCTACACCCCTTTTCCGGCATCTCCACCAACGCCCCACTACTCGTCTCATTCGCACTCTTCCCATCCAACACCATCCGCAAAAAATCCATCGCCCTCGCTCTCCCCTGCCACAACTCCTGATTATGGCCCCCGATACTATTCCGATGATACAGCACATTCGCACCTTTCTCACAGAAGCCCTGGACCAGTGCGTCCGTTTCGTTGACAGCGCTCATCTCGTCCTGTATCGCTTTGTAGATAAACAGCGGCATATCCGGCGTCCCGTGCCGGCCCATCACCGCGTCGGATTCGTACATCTGCGTCACTCTCGGATCATGAAAGTCTTGTTCGCCGCCGAGGAAGTAGCCGTATACGTCCTGGTACATGTAATTGAGCAGCGCCTGGACGCCCGTCATGGATGTCGCGTCCAGGAAGCCCGTTATGTTGAATTCGCCGGTGGTTTTGAGCCGCGAGAGGAGGTAGGCGCGCGCGGTGGCGTGCTGGGACGTGATGCCTACGATGCCGGCGACCAGGAGGCCTGCGGTGTCTTTCCCGTTCATGAGTTTACCGACAGAAGTGATATTCGGCACCGTGCCACCCTCAACGACGCCCGCGAGGTGGAGGTCCGGGGCATAAGAAGCAGCCAGCTCGGCCGCAAATCCAGTAGCCATCGCACCACCACTGTACCCCCACAACGCAGCCTTAGCAGTACCATTACTGATCCCAAACTCACTCGCAACCTGCAAAACAGCGCGCACAGAATCAAGCGTCGAGTGCCCGGACTGGACGCCCGCGCAGTAAGAAGAAAGAGGTCCCTCGTAGTCAGGCACAGAGACGAACCAGCCGTTCGCGAGCAGGTCCGCCATCTCGCCGTACGGCTCGCCCCATTGGAGCAGGTAGCTGGGAGTCGCGTCCGGATCGGCGCTATCGTAGGGGATCTCGTAGGAGACGATGCCGTGGGCGCAGGTTTCGGGGCGGGAGGCGGTGCAGTTGGCGTGCGAGGCGGGGATGAATTGCGTTGCGTGGCCCCAGGAGGCGTTGTTGTGCGTATCTGAGGTTCGATACTGGACTTGGAAAGTATCGATGCAGTTTCGGATCGTGATGTTTGTATAGGGAGATTTGCGTACTTTTAAGACGGTGCCGGGGGCTTTGGATTGCCAGTCCGCTGGAGGTTGGAACCAGGGGTCTTGGCTTGGAGGGGGGAGGTAGGTTGAGGTATTTGCATCTCGAGGGTCGAGGTGAAGTTGAGGAAAGGCGAAGATGTGCACCACGAAGGTACTCAGACCGAGCAGGAAGCCCTCGAAAGCACGCATCCTCTCAATTCTCGAAGATAGGAATCCACGACTCAAACTTGGCAATGATCCTATATAGCCCCAAACAACCAGATTGACCGAGGTGGACGCGAATCTCATCTAGAATCGGTACTAGATCTCCCGCACGTGTTCGCTCCAGGTTTCGTTTCCGGCTGTAGGTACGGGCCGACAAATACGTCAGACATATATCCGCCTTAAATTCCAATCAACTCGAGCAGTGAAATCTAAAGACTTTTCCGACAAGGTACAGCCTGAATATGAAGTAGATTCAAGCGAAGTATAGAGAGATATGGTAAATGATCAAGATACGTGGCTATCCACAACAGTGCATCACTCAATGCTACTCTGATTTACTGGAACCATTCAAATAACATTTCTTGATCTTCGAGACATGAGCTTGTTGTTTTCGATAGAAAGCAAGCTCGCGATGCTTCAGATTATCTACTTATTAAAGGGGGGTTTGATGATTATTCTTTTACCTAGAAGCTCTTGGCCACCGGGCTTATCTGCAAGGTCATAAACCAGTGAGAACAAAATCATCAACTCCAACTCTAAAGTCAAACTTCAAGAACCATATCCTCCTCCGACCGAGCAAGTCTTGAACTTCTCGCAATGGCGAGGATGATTGAAATGACCTACAAACCGTACTGGTGTATAATTAGATAACATATCTTACCAGCAGTATCTTTCACTCAGAACCCTTCAAAAGGTAGAAAGAACCATCATCAGATTGCACCAATTCACACTCCTCGTAACTGAGAAGTCTGGTAATGATCTCCACTATATAAGGAAGTTTCATTTTGCTCTTCCAAAGCTCGTATAAATAAATAAAGACATCAAAACAATTCTTGAAGTTATTGATGGGCTAAAGAAGATATGTTGTTCGGAAACGATGGTGAGAATAGACGAAACTAAACATCAGCAAACATAACGTCACTTATACTCGTGCAATGAAATATCCAGCGGTCCATCGGTTGAACGAAACAGAAACTCGATTCGAAGCATGTAATAATAAACAAATAGACTTTTAAATTCTGCACAAACAAAAGTCTCTCAGCACTCGCTGTCTCAATTGACTGGGCAAAGAAATCGGAAGAGTCACAAACGCGAACCAACCACCAAGTCATAACTAACGTCCAAGGAACTCTCATATTTGTTGCTGAAATAACTGCCTGCCCTAGGATGTCCTCATCCTAGTAGCAGAAAGCTCAGGTCTCTATACAACTCCATTTCTCACATAATTCGAGACCTCTGATCTTCGCCTTCATTCCTCCACCCATTCCCCCTGCCTTCCCTGATCAATACACGGCCCTAGCAACTATCCTCAAAGCCGGCCAGTAAGTTGAAGCCTCCATTTATTGTTTGCTGAAGACCTCCCACCGACTCAATCAAAGAAGCGACTCGAAATTCCTGAAGAAGATTGCATGATCCGATGCTGTGTCTTCCGCAGGTGCAAAGTAGAATTATATGCAGAGACGCCGACCCCAATGCAATATTACCAGAAAAGGCAGAACAAAACAAGAATGTGTACGGTGAGCCGCACCAGCGTATGTACGTCCACCCTGAGAGGTGACTACAAGCAATTATGTGTATCGAAAGCCCAAATGTCTAATTCCCGGTTTTCATCATTATTCTCCATGAGGTAATTGTTTCTCGTCGATGCTGGCCATGTTCTCTCCCATCTCCAGTCAAAGCCTATTAAAGCAAAGTAGAAGTGTATATGCAAATTTGAATTCGATGAGGCCGTGAATGAGAAAGAAGACGTTCGTTATGGACAGCATTAAGTGTTGAATAGAGCCTTGGTGTCCGCAAGTTCTCTATCAGTGAAATTGGTGCCGTGTGCTGCACACGGCAGTTGGTGAGGGTACGTGGGGTTCTCGAGTCTATCTCACGCCGATCGCTGGTCGAGGTCCTAGACTGCTCTGGCTGCTATGAGCGGAGGGTTCGGAGTCGATGTTGGCGCTGTCACCACTCCCCGCGCTAGCGCTCGCACTACCCGTCAGACTTCGAACGTTCACAGGTCCTTTGGGTGGATGAAGGGCGCTCACCCCTGCATACTGCTCAACTTGTTGCGGTGCAACCGCATTTCCTTGTCCTGGCGGATGACGAGGCACTGGCTGCCGCATACCTCCAGGAGGCGACGGTCGACCATTCATCGGAGGACCCATATAACCATTTGGAGGTGATGGTCTCCCATTTCCTCTCCCCATCTGTGGGCTGTAAGGGTTGCCAGGCGATTGGCTTGCTCTTCGAGGATATCCGTTTCCATTCGGAGGTCCAGGAGGCCCTGCTGGCCCACCACCGTATTGAAGCTCGTCAAGACGTGCAGCAGTCAATGAGTTAGTCCTCGAGTCCATACCCATCTGAGCTCGATCCACGTTTCCATATCTGTTTGACGAATACGCCATCAGCGGGTCGTCCATCAAATTGTCGTGTGCACCTGGTACTTGACTTATTATCCTAGCACTCGACCGATTTCTGTTATACCCAGGGCGCATAAAGCCACCTCCTCTTCGTGGTGGAGGAAGCCCGTCGTACTCAGGGTTTTTCCGAATTTGACTGGCATTCGGCATATTCTTCCTGTTTCTTCGAGAAGTCACACTCATCATATCGAAATTGTCTGGGTCAATCATTGGAGGTGGAGGGCCATCTGCAGGATCAACAAAGTTATCATCATCGTCTTCATCAAATCCACCCCCTCCATTTCGGACTGAAGGTGTGGGAGGTCCTCTACGAGAAAATGGACCTCGTCGGGGTCCGGCGCCCTGGCCCTGGAGACGTAATTCTTGCTCTCGCAGTGCCAGTTCTCGTTGTCTCAACATCAATTCGCGTTCACGCAGGGCAATGTCTGGACCATCCCCACCATAATTGGACTCTCCGGACTCAGGGATATCGTCATACAGAACCAGATGGCTGAATTCTTCGAGATCGTTCCCTTCAAGAGAACCCCTTCTGGATTGATTTCGAGGAGGTTGATAACCATTGCCCGTCATGGGTCTGCCGTATCCGTTGGGCGGTCCGCCGTTAATAGGTGGTGGTGGTCCTCTGCGCATTCCTGGTGGAGGCCCATTCATGGATGGTGTTCGCCCTCTGCCTCTTGGTGGTCCCATAGGCCCATTGCCATTCACAGCTCCATTCATCATAGGTCTAGGCGGAGGCACTGAAGGTAAGCGGACTGGCGGGTTTGCTGCAGCAGGAGATGCGAGTGGAATGTCTTTCCTCTGTTGATTGACGATGTTGAGGTTGTGAAGTATGGCGTATAACGTTTCGATCCTTGGAACCTTCACTCCCACGCCTTGTGCCAGCTTTATTGGAGATCCGAGATATGTTTCGACTTCCATGGGTCGCTTCGCGTTGAAGTCCTGGTACATAATGCTATTGGCTTCTGTAGGTCTGACCATTTCTTCCATCACTCTTTGTTTGAAGTCGGCCGGAAAACTACAGCTCTGGGCATTTGCGATGCTAAGTAATTCATCGAAAACATCCGAAACCAATTGTCTAACACCAACTTTCTCCAGTAAGGCAGCGTGAGAAGCAGTCTCGAAAATGACACTCAGAGGATGGAAAGCGATTGGTCTGTATCCAATTGTTAGTGAATTCCTCAAAACCTTGATTTTAAAGTGCTTACCCGATCATCCGCTCATACTGCTGTTGCCGAATATTGCTCGAAACATGACAATCCACTTGCCCACTGCTGAGAGTCATGGCCAAGGCATCTGCCATATCACCTTGTATTGTGCTGGGCATCGATGGATTCTTGTTCGCTGGGCCTACCCAAACCTCTGTTGACCCTTTGTGTTCGAATTCGCTCGCACCTAGCTGTGTAATCTCCGCGCCGGAAACGAGTGACAAAACTACATTGCTTGGGAACCTTGATTCCAGTTGTGCTTCAACCCCTAAAGTGTGTGTGGTGTTGACAAGAATACATGTGTGCTGTGGTGTAACGACTGATTCGATGACGGCTGCAAGATCATAAACATCTGGAAGGGCTTTGACGCAAAGAAGAACGTAGTCGAAGGCACCCTCTTTATTATTTGCTGCTTCCTCTGGGGCGCGCACAACTGTTGGAGGAATATGAATTAGCCATTGTCTGGGACACGAAATCTTGTCATAATTTACATACCATGTCGTGGTTTGAATCGCTCATTGCCAAAAGATGTTGACCTATGACAATTAGCATTCCGCCCGTATCCATTATTCCCACCAGTCGAAAACGTACTTGAACGATATGCCATATTGATATACTGCATCGAAACCCGATTTCCAGACCAATGTCACGTCGCAAGCGTTCGTGGCTTGAAGCCGCCAGGAGAGGAAAGCAGAGACTGCGTTACCACCAACTACACACACACGTATTAGATCCATCTCGATATGAAGAATTGATGCATCAGCGCACGCAAGATAAAACGAAGGACAAGGTGCGAAGATATTTGTTCCAGCAATTCCCCTTCTTGGAAGGGAAGGATTGTGTGGAGACTATATTTGAGGAAATGGACGGGACGGGATGGGATGGGATGACCAACCTGAGAGAATCCGTAACCTGGGAGGAGACGGAGCCATCTTTGCCAAAGGGGGTATCAAGTCGTGGTGACCAAGTCTGAGAGCTGCAGTAGCTGTTGGTTGTGGCCCCTAATGCCGTGAGTGTGATGTTCACGACCGAGTCGCCTCAGGTCGTCGCCAAAAAGTGTCGTGAATGGCTGTAACTTTTGCTGCAATTGCCTCCTGTCTCGGCACCAAACGAGGGCTGATATGCACCAGTACTGAATAATCCTAGGTCTGCTTCTATAACGAGCGTGACGCCGCAAGAGATAAATGCCGATCTCAAGCTGCGAATGGGGGTGCCGGAATGATGTGCAAAAGAGTGTGTTTGATGGCTTCTGGCTGAGAAAATGGGCGTGCAAGAAAGAGCACGGATGGTTAAGGTGTCAAGGCCCTCGCGTAGGACGCCTGAATGGTGTGGACGTGTGGGATTGGCGAGCAGTGTTATTACTTAACAGCACCAGGACCTGATCAAGCTCCGTAATCCCTGACGGTTCTGCTCTGTCTGTTCGCGCGTTGCTGCACGGCGCGGCGGTGGCTCGGTCGGTGGTGGTCAGAAGAGGAAAAGGGGAACGAAGACGACTGCACTCCTCAAGCCCATCAAGCTATCCGCGTCTCGTCCGGGGTATTGGGTTCGAGATGCGCAGGAGGTATGGAGGAGAGGTCGCGGAGGACGAGGAGGACGAGGAGGAGGTTGTCGATCGAGAAGCCGGACACGAGAGGATGTTCGCGAGGTGAGGTAAAAGGTGAAAGAAGCTTTGGTCGGGTTCGGTCTTAGTTCCAACGTCTACGGCAGACGGTGAGAATGAACGATGGGCAGCAGAGGAAAGGGGAGTCGGCGTTCGCAAGGCGTGAGGGACGAAGAGTGATTGGGAATTCGAATGGAATTTGGCCCTGCGAATTGATTGCTTGCTTGATTGCTTGCTTGCTTGTACCGGTGGAGGTGCAGTGCCAGTATTATTCCCTGAATGCCTGAGCCTGGATGTTTTCTTTCGTGCTTGGCCTTCGCTGCCCCCCAGGAATTTTAGAGTGGGATGACTGCACGCAACGCTTTCTCATCCTTCCACCGAGGCGCGCTTAACCGGATCGGGCAGTGGCGACTCCAGCAATGGATCGCTATCCAAGGAAAAGGAGATCAAAAAGTATGGCACTGCACCGCAACTCACAGTGCAGGCGGCATGGGACAGGGCAAAGAATGATTTCTGCCTCTGAATACGAGTATTTCGCCAGGCAGCAGGATTGGTTCTTAAGAGGTTGGTGACCGCAACAACTTTCACGTTCCCTGGAAAACTGTCCGCATGGTAAATTGTAAGTGGGCAATGCCAAGCTCAATATCATTTTTTATATGGGATCACGTATAGCTGGCCATGACGTTTGACGAGCTGCGTGTATACGCTCAATCAAGTATCGTTTGGTATATAGTATATTTTATATATTGTATCTCTCTCTTTCTCTCTCCCGGTGTCAGACTGCGGTACGAACATCTACGAGCATCTGGCAGCAGTGCAGCGAGAATCAGGCGTTCAGGGTCCTTTTCAAATAAACTTCGAGGCGTGATAGGCGTATTTCTGAACCAGCGTTCAGACAAGCTGAAAGCACACGTTTAGGGCAATGCAGACGTGCATTAGTTGACAGCATTCGCGCCTATCCCTCGTGTCTGCGGCAGCTTGAGGTGCAGTTCCGCTCTTTGTACTGTACTGTACATAGGTAGCTACATATCACAGATATATCGATCCGCCGCAAGTTGAGCAGCAGCGACAGGTGCATGCAGGAAGTAGATGCCGCATCCCGCCAATTCTTACAGCAGCATTCCAGACAGATGTCAGATGCAGATTCGACGTCACGCAGCGCTGCTTCGAGCATGAAGAAATCGAGGAATGCATCACGACGTGGGCAAGTTGTCTGTCACGCTTCACGTGGTGATATTATTTTTATGTTGAGTTGAGTTGAGGGTACTGTAAATCTTGCCTTGAGATCGTAAATGGCGTTCGCGGTGCGTCAACATCTGCAGTTCTAGTAGGGGTCGGCATGAGTGGGGCAGAGGGAGCTGCGACAGGGAAGAACAACAGGCTGTGCAAGATTTACAAGATTGCGATGGCAGGGGAAGAGAGGCAAGAGAGGCCATTCTCGACGTTCGCCGGTCATCAAGCTAATTTGCATTCAATCTTTCCAACTCCAACTTTCTGCTCACCTTGTTTTGCTCTTGCTCGTGCTCCTCCGTCTGCTTCCGCTCCCATCAACCGACCCTTGCCCAAGCAGGAGTGACATTACAGTACAGTACAATTGCTTGGTACTTTTCCTTCTCGTACTCTGCCTCAAGTGATAGGCTTAAAAGTACTCGCACCGCGTATTCCACGTACGGAACTCGCATGTTTAGACACGCCGACGCTATCAGTCCCGATCTCCCAGTCCACGCGTTCGATATGATTTGTCCCACTTTCTCCCCCAAGCTCACATTCCCAGCAATGATTCGAAAGCTTGTTGAACTTTTTTCTCTCGGTGCTCCACAGCCGGGTCTTCCGTCGTCGTTGAATCGTTCGTGGGCCATCACCGCGCCTTTCAGGGCCAAGCCAGGAGGATCCCGTTGCTTGAAGACCGTTGAAACCGCTTGCAGCTTCCGGTGGTAGACCTCCCACGTTTGCCTCTTCCTCCTCTCTTCTTCTTCTCTTCTTCGCAACCTCACTCTTGTCGACACTCGTTTCTCGAGACGTAGGGAGTTTGTTAATACAGAGGCACTGATATCGATGACGCCGTTTGTCTTAGATTTTTTGGTTGGGGCTTCAAACCGTGACAGCGCCGTCCTGCAGATTGCCCGTGCGTGAGGCACAGATGTCAATTTGATATGGAGCCATCGGTAACCAGGATCCGCCCACCCAATCCCAGGGCCCCTTCCATGGATATATGGATATTTCAAGGGTAAAATGCGAATTTTGGGGATGGAAGCCTGCAATATCTGCAAGTCAAACCCGTCTGCCCAATGGTCGAGTGGGAATCAAGATAAGCAGCACTAGATAAGATATACACCCGAGCCCCTTTTTCATAATGTTAGGCCGGATGTCCCGGAAAACATAAAATATCGAATTTCTTTGATTCGAACCCGAGCGACGAAAATGAAAATCCTCACGCTGTCGCAGCTCGCTACCAGAATGGATCAAATGGAAATAGGAACGGTGATAGCGCAAGTCTCAGCAACAGCAGCCGTGGGAAAGAAAGCCAAGAAAAAGGACGTATGACGTTGGCTCGTTGGCTATGGAGAAACCTCCACCCCTGTGTGCATCTCTCTCGTATGATGAGCGCGACCGTGAAAGCGAAACCGCCTGTGGCCACAGCGTTCGTCGCGTCCCTCTCCACCTCTGCTGATGACAAGCCACGAAGGACGACGATGACTTCTCCCGCTCTCTCTTCGCACAGATCCGCTTCTGAGCTGAGAACAACCTCTAGTCAGGGAGCGGAAGGGTTCTAGAAATGATTTCGGATTTCGATGGGCGACTAAACAGACGCTTGACGCGTTGCTGGAAAATATTTTCGTTCCAGAGTGGATAATAAAACAACAATAATAATGCATTTGAGCTTAAGAACATCGGGACTTGCACAGCCGAGAAAGGCTCATTTCGGGATGGTGTCTAAGACCAGTCTCTGGTCTGTCTTGTCTATTTTTGTTTTCAGTACAAGAATCAACCCCTGATCGTACAGTACCATGGTATGATTAAAGATCTGTCTCCAGGATTCCAAGTTTTCGAATGGAACAAAGAAGCAACATTCTCGTCAGCGCCGACTGACCGATATGAAATGAATTGCTGACACGACGATGAAAAATCTTAACATGAAGCAGAAGCACCGCATACCGTACGAGGTGTGACCGAAACAAGGCAGCGGTACAGCGAGAATGCCATATGCTTAAAAGGCTACCAACATTCGGGAGTACCTTACAGTTGGGCCCTGTCACTCATCAATACCTATACCTCAAATACAGTCTCCAATATCTACAATGCCTCTCCTCCTCCATGCCCCTATCATCTCCGTCCAAGCTTGCAAATTTCTCGCGACCCCTCCTATCACGAGCATCAATTGAATCTTCCTCCTCCCAAAACATCCTAGTGTCTTGTAGCATGTCAGAATTCCCATCTGAGCCGAAAGAAAGTCCATGCTGTCAAAATTGCTGCCAAGAAACGCTTCACAGGCTCTGACCGGGGTAGAGCCACAACGTCCACGAGCAAGAAAGGTCTAGGGCAGAAGCACCCCGATCGACGATATAATGTCCGATGATAAATTACTTCACCAATCAAGTTCCAAGACCGGGTTAAACACTTGGCCCTTCCCAGTTATTCTTAGCCGCAACGACATCACCAAGAGCCAGCCCGCTGTGAGGGCTTGCCGAACCGAGCCGCCACACCAAGCTCGCGTGGCGACATCCTTCCTTTCTCCCTCCTTTTCCCAAAAGAACATCAAGTTACAGAAACGAGCCACGAATGACCTCCCCGTTCCCAAGTGGCTGGATCTTGACAAGTTCACTGGACTGTTTGGCAGATAACGTGGTCACTTCGAAACAATAGCCTAACCTTAATTCCATGTCCGATCCTTAGAAGGCTCTGCTCTACTCAGATATTCCCCCACCCGTACCATCGAACGGGAAGTGTCCCGAGATGAAGAGAGAGCGCCAATCCTCTTCGTCTTCTCAATAACGGCTCCTACTATTACTCTACATGCCAGCACAGATATTCTCGAAGATCACGAGAAAGACATTCTGCAACGCAAAAAATAAAATATGGGTGATTGGCGCTGCATGAGATTTGCCTCCCACTCCACTCCACTCCTCAAGCCTCACCAGCACAGCCTTGAGATCTTCTGTAACGCTCGCAAAAGCACATCGCCTCCTCCCCGCATTCCTTTCCTTCCGATAGATATCCCAGACCAGACCGCTATAACGATTCTCCGGACCCGAATTCTCCGATCCTAGATAGAGATCTCCAACTCCAATGGACTTGTTTGCCACTTACCACATCCAGCATTCTTTTCATCGATTGTCAACTTCACCTTCTGCTTTTGTTTCTTTCCTGTTCTATTATTGTTCTCCATCATCGAAGCTATCTGAGCTCAAGCGCCTACCCTGCATTTATTTGCCCCTGACTAAAAAAAGAACCGCATCTCGCAACCCATGATACCCGAGACAAGTTCGTGCGGGCAACAAATAATACCCGAAGTATCGACACAGCACCAGCAAATCAACACCTCGATTCGCCCCATCATAAGTGTCCCAGGACTATTGCATCTATACGCTATGTCACCTAAAGTCTACCTTAGCCCGCACGTCAAAGCCCACTCTCACTCTGTCTCTTCCTCGCGTGCTCGGGGAACCTCCCCTCCTCCATAACACCATCATCCTAACCTATCAACTCCCTCCCTTCACCTCCATTATCAGCATGGGAAACTTCACATCCGCATCCCAGCCCTGTACACCCCACCCAAATTCATCCTTCTCAAAACATTTCGCCTCATTTACCAAACACCAGGAGATCACCAGTGGCAATCCCTCTTTCCAGTTTCCTTTCCGCTGCTCTCCGTCTGTCATCCATCATTCAACATGCTATTTTGGAAATGCCATCCCCTTCGGACCCCACAATGGGGAATGGAAGGAAAGCTACGAGATAGATCGCTTGCGGGAAGGTAAACTTCCGAGAAGGGTGATCAAACATGAATCTCCTTCGCTTGCATGTTGTTTGTTTCGCCGCTCTATGTTTAGGTTGATATGCATATTTGATTTTCAGTATTGTTATTGTACTCTCTATTACCTTTCTTGTTGCTGCAGCTATCAAGGTCGAGGAGTTTCCAGACACTGAACATTCCCCAGCGTTAGTGAAGGAAGGATTCGAAGAATATCCTGCCATTCAACCCTCCACTCCCCCTCCCGAGCAAAACTTCCCCATCCATCACCTGTATGTAAGTTATGTACCTCAACCCACAACCCTCCCTCCTCAATCCCGTCCCGCTATTCGTCCTCACCCTTTCTCGGTACCAGATCTCATCTTTCCGGAGTTTTCCTCTTTTCACTCTGTTGCCAAGAAGTAGTACACGTCAGGTACCTCCTTTCATCTCCTTCTTTCCTCTCTGCTGTCCCCGATCTGTTTCCAGAAGTCAGTGATACTACACTACCTTCCCGGCAAGAAGTGGTGGATTGGTTCCCCTTTCACACCACTCACCCACCCTCTCCCGGATTTAGAACCCTATAGGCTAACCCAGAAGCTGCAATGGGACTTCATCTCATCTCATCTCATCTCACCTCCTACCATCTCTTCTGGTAAAGTGGTAGGCTAAACGGGGTTGTGAGCTCGTTACCAAACACTTCCCCTCGGCGCCAAACGAAGGGAACCATCTTTCCTTCTCCCTTCTTCGTAGCCAACGAATCCATCCCCTCCTCTTCTCTTTGCCTTCCACTAGAACCAGAAACCCCTGACCGACGAATCCATCCCTTTCCCTCTTGCTGATTCTCCCCATCCACCCCTTTGCCTTCCCAGAACAAGAGCCTTTACCGTAGCCCCCTGCGTAACTCCCTCCTAGACCGGATTCTGTTCCCCCTTCGAGTTTCCAGAACCAGAGACCTCTTCCTTACCATGGCTCTCCCACCACCCACCACCTCCAGAAACTCCGAGCCTGACCCACTCGTTCGTTGCCTGCGCCAAACTCCATCCCTTCCATCTCTCCCATCCCCCTTCCACACTGATACCTCTCCTATCCCCATCCCATCCCAATCTCCGCAACCCCACATCCCACATTCCAAACCCTCGTCCTCAAATCCTCATTTCCCAACCCCAAACCCTCATCCTCCAAAACGTAACACAAACACGAAACACACCCATCCAGAACAGCCGTCCCCCCCGACTCCCAACCCTTAAGCAGAAGAAGCGAACAGCGAAAGGAGGAAGAGAGCCAGATACCTTAGCCGCAGGAGCTTTCCCTCCGCCTCCGTTCCTCTCTCTATTCTCAGCCAAGCAAATACTTCCCTCCCATCTGAGCCGCATCAAGCTTGAAACATGATGTGTTTCTTGCACGCTGCTTCAGTGTCTCTTCCTCAAGGCTGCTGTACGGGAAAGAGAGGCATGGATGAACAAGAGCTGCAAGAACGTAAGCTTGTCAACGAGAAAGAGAGGTCTGAACAAGAAACAAAAGGGCAAGGGCAGAGAGGGACTTGAATGAACTTGGGAAGGGAAGAAAGAAGGCTGGCTACCTTCTGTACATGCAGCAGCAAGTGAATGTGCAAGAATGTACGTTTGTCGAGGGCAGAGAGAGGCGCTTGGACATAAGAAAGAAAGAAGTAGGGACAACACTTTTCTTTTCTCACAGGCGGAGGCTTCTCGTTGGAAGATAGGCCTTCCTCCATTACCTCCACAGGGTTGGGAGAAACGATAAATTTTGTTTAAAAGACACAAGAAGAATGGCACGCATCAAATCACTAAATCATCATTTCTCAAGGAAAAACTTTTTATTCATTGCATGCATACCAGCCAGTCCTTTATCGCGCATGTCTGTCTGGTTGACTATCTGCTAGCATTTTGCCATCGTAACACCACCACCATTTTTGACCACCTCGATAGAATTGAAGACCTTTGATTTCGATTTCGGTTCCACCCATCTTCCAACCAAATCCATCAATCAAATCCTCCTCTACCAGTTGGCAAGGCAGTAGCAGAAGCAGCGGCAGAAAGTCGAAGAGTTCTTAGGAAAAGTGATTACCACAAACGCAACCAGCCCGCCAGGAAACGAAAAGAGACGATAACGTCGAGACCGGTTGACGACAAGTACACGATTTTTTGGGAAAGGACCACCCAGGTTCGTAAGGACAACGTGAGGGGCACGATCTCGAGAAGAGTTCATCTAACCGGACATGTAGGTGGCGGCATCGATACCTCCCTCAGGGAACTCTCTGCAATCACAATCAGTACAGATTTACATCAGTTGAATAAACATAACTTACGGAAGAGCAACCTCGAAGCGCTTCTCAATCGACTTCAAAACCTCTTGGTCGGCCTCGCTGCTGACGAAAGAGATGGAGAGACCCTTGGTTCCGAAACGACCAGCACGACCAACACGGTGGAGGTACGAGTCGGCATCAGCTGGAAGGTCGTAGTTGATGGCCAAGTTGATACGCTCAATGTCGATACCACGTCCGAAGACATCAGTGGCAACACAGATACGCTCTTGGAAATCCTTGAATGCCTTGTAGCGGCGAATACTGATGCATGTTAGTCGAGATCCGAACATAATGTAGAGTGAAATATACCGCTCATCCTGGCTGACTCCGGAATGAACAGCAACAGAGGGGAAGTTGCAGTCCGTCAGAAGTTTGTCAAGTTCAGTAGCTCGGAGGGTGCTTCGGACAAAGATGATGGCCTGGTTGAATTGCAACTCATCAAGAAGCTCATTCAACTTGCGGTTCTTCTCCTTCTCATCAAGCTTGATGTAGTATTGTTGAAGACCGTGGAGAGTGAGCTTGGTCTCATCGTCGACGTAAATCTCAAGAGGATTCTGCATGAACTTCTTGCAAATAGGGCGAACCTCTTGGGACAGGGTGGCGCTGAACATCATCACTTGCTTCTGGGTAGGGGTAGCTCTGAAGATCTCCTGAACATCACGACGCATGTCTATATGAGTGTTAGCTTCAAAAGGCCGATAACAGATGTGCATACATACCGATCTGGTCCAACATCTTGTCACACTCATCAAGGACGAAGACCTTGCAGCTGCCAAGTCGGAGGTGCTTGTCTCTGACCAAGGCGTTCAATCGACCAGGTGTGGCTACGATGATGTGGGGATGAGTCTCCTTGTTCTTGATGATCTCAGCATCCTTTTGGATGGGAGTTCCACCATAGAACACGGCAGTCTTGACCTCTGGCATGTACTTTGAGAATCGAGCATACTCGTTCTTGATTTGGTAAGCCAACTCGCGGGTGTGGCACATAATAAGGACGGATGTCTCGCCAGCGACTGGGTCGACTTGTTGAAGGGTGGTGAGGACGAACACAGCTGTCTTACCAAGACCGGATTTGGCCTGGCAGAGAACGTCGGTACCAAGGATGGCTTGAGGAATGCAAACTTGCTGGACTGTATAGTAAATCGAGCCGATGTTAGATTATGGTTCTCCAAAGGTAGAATGATGTGCAAGGTATCGCAACGTCCGTCCATCTTCGCGTTATAGATCGAGAAAAGAACGAGCCCATATGAAATACAATCGTGCCAAGATTGTCTTGAAAGATATATTATATACCGCCGCTCGAAACGACCGTTAGGTGCTTCTTTCCGTCGAAATCGAGTCGATCCTGGATGTCTCTTGGCATCGGTGCTTGCCCGGCACCTTGCTCGTAAGCGCACCAACTCGAGATTGCCGCTTGCGCGCATATCTCCCACCACTCCACTTGCTCACTTTCTGCGTCGTAACCAAAGAGACATTCCAGGACCGATCGTGATTTGATGAGGGACGCGCCGATGCATGTTTTCTTGCTTGCGAGATGGACGGACGCGCGGCAAGAACGATAATGATGAAGCTTGGGGATAAAAGTTATGACTGACCCTCCGATGGATGTTCAAAGCCGCAGTCGGTGATGGCACGTAGCAGCTCGGGCTTCAAAAGGAAATCGCGGAAACCCGTGGAATGGATGCCGACGTAGGAGCCTTTCTTGTCCGCTGTGCCTCCAGATACCGTAAGATCTCCCTTCTTCGCACCTCCATTTGCATCTACACCAGCAGCTGGCGCAGCTTCATTGGTTCCAAGCTCCTCATCGGAGTAATCGATGAGATCTTCTTCGGCAGACATGTTGGCGGTCGAAAGCGAAAGCTTCGGAAGTTTGTAAAGGTAAGTTGAAGGAGATGATCTTTTGGATCTCGTTGAAGTTTCGAATGTAGATGCGCAAGGCGCTGTACGAAAGGCACTCGAAGACTCGAGTCGATCAAAGAAGGAAGAAGATGGGGTAGGTGTTGCAAAATGTGGAAGAGGTTGAAGGAGGAACGTTGAGGCTGAGCAAAGGACGAAGTTCATATGGAGGGCAGCGCAAGGGCTTTTGACGCGGCTAAAACACGCTAGCCCAAATAGGTCTAGTAGTAATACCCCTGCCGCCAGCCTTATAGTCACAAAAATACATTTGAGAAAGCACCATATAATTTCAACGACTATTGAAAACACCATCCACATTCAAGAACTCAGTATGGCGAAAGCGAAGACCTCCAAGGGAGCTGTCAAGGTACCCAACAAAGCTGTTCATAGTAGAGTCTCATTTCTCTTCCAAGCTGCATCATACTTGGCGACTCAGCATTCCGAACCGTCTGGCACGAAACAAACAGCTGCTGAAGCCTCAGAGACACTTGAAAAACCTGCCGAAAAAGTTGCCACGAGACCCCTATCACGCCGGCTTGCTTCCGACTTGCGCTCAGTCACACTTAAAGCTCAATTGCGAATTTCACCGCAAATGAAGCGTAAGATATGCAAAAATTGCGACACTATCCTCATTGACGAATCCACCTGTATGAACGAACTGGAGAACAAAAGCAAAGGTGGCAAGAAGCCTTGGGCAGATATCCTTGCGCGGAAATGCAATACTTGCGGCGTTGTGAAGAGGTATCCTTTGAGCGCGCAAAGACAGAAAAGGCGTCATCTTCGAACACAAAATGGGGATATAGCTGCTGAGAGCGCACAACAGAATAGTAACACATCAGAGGAAAGAAGCTTGAAATGAACAATCAAGAGGCATGGTCGAAGAGCTCCGTCTTGCAGATACTAATGAGAACAGCCCTTGGAGGGAAGACAGCGCGTCAAAGGGCCGCCGGTTGGACCAGCACTACTGGACGCGTTCTGATCATATACGATCTTACTGGGGAAAGGAAGTCCTGAAAGAAAACAGCATTTGCCCAGGTACAACTCTTCCTCGAGGAGTGGAATTCAGGCATAAGATTGCTGCAGTACCGGGGGATATCTAGCAGCTGGGTTGCAGCTCATGGTCAGATCGAAAACATGGTGGTTTGGAGGAGGAAATATTCTTCTGAAAGACGAAAGCGGCCGCACTTTAACCTTGTTCTTATACTCCTACGTAGGTTGAGTTCTCAACCCGAGGAAAAGCCGGAGAGAAAGCTGCAATTCCTTGAGGACAAATGCAATGCACCTTAATTCTTACTACAAGACAGTCTACGCAATCATAAGGTGTTTGATAGCTACTTGCACATAAGAATCCTTTACCATGTTTGTGATTAAGTGAAACGTGAAGTCCCCTTTCTGGGGAAGCTCAACAAGATGAAACTCATTTGTCTAAAAGTTGTCGATGGGTATCTATGATTGTTCATTTCTTTAGTCTTTCTCATACTCCTAGCCATCCTCGTCTTCCACTTCCTCCATCATTACAGCCCTTGGATCTTGCTGCGCAGAATTGCTATCCTCCACACTATTACTACTTGCTTCTTTCCTTGTACCCATGTAACCTGCCTTCTCAAGCCTATCCGCTTCTTCAGGTTCAACCAATCCCCCAACGCCCTTTGACTTGTCTAACTTGGTCCTAACAGCCGCAGGAACGAAGGCTACGGCCTCCTTCCTTAGATCTCGCACCATCGGCTTTGCCTCATAGACAGTCTTTGCAGCCTCCATAGCAGTCGCAGGCTTAGAATCACCTTGTCCAAACACTCTGCCATTATCCCCAAGTGGAGTATTGTTTGCATTCGTGCCTCTCTCCTTAGCCATTTTCTCTCTCCTCTTTGAGTACCATTTATCAAGCACTTCCTTAGGTATTGGCGGCGGAGTATCTCTTGGCATAGGAATGCTCTTTACGTCTTCGGGTATATCTTCCTCCTCACTCTCACTCTCGTCTCTTCTCCTCTTGCCTAGAACTCCACCGCCTCTACCTCCTCTGAATCCTCCTCGATCACCATCCTCTCTGGGTCCACGGCTAAATTTTGGTGCCGCATCACCAAGCGCTTCTCTAGCTTTCTTGACAGCCTTCAGATCTCGCTCGAGTGACTCAAGAACGGTCTTCTCGTGGGAGGTCAGCGTGCCACCGCTAGTTGTTATAGCTTTCAACTCATCGACCTGCTTTTGCAGACGGTCTGGGTTCTTCTTGGCAAGCTTGTCATTCCGCCGCGAGGCTGCTTCCGCTTTCCCTGCAGAAAAGTTAGAAATCAAAAGGCACAGAATCTGTTATTCGAGGGCTTGCCTTTCTTGATCGCCTTGGCTTTCTCGGCTTTCCTTTGGGCTTGCGCCGGGTTGATAGATCTCTCTTTCGGCATCTTGTAGTTGAACGGCGCAAAGCATCTGAGATATTAGGAAGTCGAGGTTCAATATAAATTCTGCCAGAATCTTGCTATTTTGAGCTTACCGCTTTGATCACGTGCACGCACTTTATTTCATGGTACCCATTTTGTGGATCTTGTGCATTTCATTCATCGAGCTATTATTTTACAGATGATGCTACAGAAGTGTCCGACATTCGTCTCTCCCGATCCTGAAGACATCCATTGGCCATGTCATTGATGACAGAAAATGTCAACTGCCAGTAGCTGACCTCTCCCAGTGGAGTTTCTCTCATGTGGCATCTCTCATTCCAATCTGAAAACCACCAATGATTTCTGCATCTGTCTCCTTGGTCCAAGCACGTCAACAATGGTACATTCCTGCTCCTGACCTTCGACTCCGGTGACCTGTTCCCAGACAAAGGTTCGAATGCCCACTCGAACAGTTTAATCTGCTCGAGGCCTTCGGGAAGTTGCTCCGTGCATCCTGATATCTGGAGCTCTCTTAAGTTTTCGAATTTGATCAACTCCAAGCCTTGATTTAGCCGGAAGGATGAATCAATGACCATGTATTTGAGCTTCTTGCAGTCATCCTCGACTTGTTTGATGTGTCGAACAGGCTTACGTCCGAATGTCGCCCATTGGAACGAAGCAGTGTCAAGCTCAAAGCTAAAGTATAGCGGTGCCCGAGATTCCAAGGATGTATTGAAGGATGGTTGATATGTCTTCAACCCTTCACGTCGTGCCTCTCTGGAGACATGCAGTATGGTCGGGACGTCCGAACTGATACATTGGCGAAGCCGTCTGGACCACTCGATGTTCACAGTTCGAGGCTCGATTGCAAGGGCAAAGATCTTGAGCCGAAGCTCGACTGGAAGCCGAGGAAATGATTCGAAAGTGGCCATGGGTTGAGGATGTGCGGTATGGATGTTTAGTGGATAGTCGGACTGGCCGAAGATGTAATGAGACGATTTTTCCGGAAGTAGTAAAGAAGCTGCGAAAGTTTGGATGGACAGCTGAGCGATCAGTACATGGGCAGATACATATGGCCTTTGATGTGGCTCAAACCAGCACGTGTGGACTCACGTACGGCCGTTGAAGGCCTTTACAGCGTTCGGTCTCCATCTTCGAGCGGATGAATTGATTGCGAGCTGGATTTGATGGCGATTTTGGAAATCCACCAGGAGGCTCTCCTGAGAATGTTTTCCCGACTTGTACGTCCGTACGCTAAGTCGGCGCATTTCATTCGCCAGAGGCCGTGCTTTGCCTCACTCCGACACAACACCTCCAAAGGCTTAATTCACATCCGAGCGGCCATTAAACTTGACCCAGCAGCTCGGATCTACGCCCGTACCAGGAGATAGTTGACCCGCTCCCCAGATTCCTCCACGCGTTTGATCTGTGTTTTGGTGAGCGAGGAGGCGTTGCTCACGAGACCAGATGGGGGTTTTCATGGCAGCCACGTGATGGTGTATTACTACCTAGGTAAGCGTCTTGTCAGACTGGACTTGGAAAGGTCAACTGTGGAGACACTCTAAAGTAAGCTTCTTTTCCAACTATCCTGGTTCATACCGGTATCCAACACGGAAAGTCGATCTGAGAAGTGCGGTTGTGGCGCGCAAAAGGCGCTACCTTTGAGGAGGGTTGTCAGCCTTGCAGGTTGCACGACAGATGATCCCATGCCAAGACGGCGTAACTTCTGCTCACACCCTTCAGATCTTCTCTCCACAAATTAAATAACACTTAAATTCTCCGTCTGTCTGCAGGCAATCTTTACGAGAGGAACCTCGTATGGGACAGACTTCTACCTACAAAATACACTGGATGTCCATACCACGGGCATGACCCCTTATCATACCGAGCAGGATCATTTTCGCAAATTAGGAAGCCTTATATTACTTCTGAATGGGGCCCAATATATTTCAAACACCTCTCCAATTTTGTTTTGCGCGCGGGCCAAGTCTCAATCAATGTGTTATCCTGAGAAAAGGAGTTGTCTATGTCTTCAAGTGCTAGTCTACGCTGCGTCGCTTCCTCTTCGATTTTCCCTTCTAGTGCAAGAATTGAGTTCTTAGATACGCATTAGGCAAATGTAGTCTCAAGAGGACTCCCAGACGACTACCGGCTCCATCCCGTTCCCCGCATTCTTCTGCTGCAAGTTCTTCCTGTAACTTGGCCAAGAGGACCCTTCGCTTGACCCCTGTTCTACATGGGGACTTTGTATTCGTGGAATCCACAGCAGTTTACCGCAGAAACGATGTTTCAATCTTGCAATTTCCGATAAGGAGATGTTGTGCTGGTCAGATCTCCGCACCGATCATGGACCTCCATAAGAGGTTGATAATCATAATGTTGCGAATACTTTCTTCTCCAGCGGTCTGATTCATTCTTTCTCAGTTCAGTCCTCCTGTCCAAAATGAAGCTCAATCTGGTTTCTCTTCTTGCGACTGTTCTTTTGTCGTCAACTGTGAAGGCACAGTTGTCTGGCACAGTTGGGCCTACTACGACTCGAGCTGCAAAAGAAGCTGTCAAAGTTTGCAATGTCCTTGATTATGGCGGAGTCGCATCAAAGACTTCTGACATTGGACCACCTCTTGCATCTGCATGGGCTGCTTGCAAAAGCGGAGGAGAAGGTAAGCATTGTTTGTCCCTGTACTTCACTCTAACTAAGAACGCAAAGTCTACATTCCATCCGGAGACTATGGCATGGCAACCTGGGTCACATTGACTGGTGGAACTGCCGTTTCCATTCGACTCGACGGTATCATCTACCGCACAGGGTGAGTGATTGAATGAAATTGCGACATCGGTGCTCTTTTCTAATGTTTATGTAGTACTGCAGGCGGAAACATGATCTTTGTCGAGCATACAACCGATTTCGAAATGTACAGTAGCACATCGAAAGGGGCTATGCAGGGCTATGGATATGTCTTTCACGCTGGTGAGAGCAACCCAGCTCTACATATTACGATATATACTAATGGCATAAACCGCAGAGGGTGAATACGGGTATGTTGGGCTGAATTCAGAATGAGAATTTCTCGCAGCTAACCGCCACCAAGCCCCCGGCTCTTGCGCTTATATGAAGTTGTCGACTTTTCTGTTCACGACATTGCGTTGGTCGACGGTAAATCCCAGCGTTTTCTGATCCCAGAATGACTGGCTGACTTTCGTGTAGCACCTGCATTCCATTTGGTGATGGACACTTGCTCCAATGTACAACCCCAACATTTCCTCTTCACCCAGGAACTGTGCCAGGAGAAAGATCAAAAAACATTTGGCTAACGGAAATGTAGGGCGAGGTGTACAACATGATAGTCCGCGGCGGAAACGAGGGTGGTCTGGACGGGGTTGATGTTTGGGGAACCAATATCTGGATCCACGATGTCGAAGTGACGAACAAAGACGAGTGTGTTACTGTGAAGGTAACTCATCAGCCTAAGCATAGTTCTCTAGCTGGTGCGCTGCTGATCATCTCAACCAGAGTCCATCTAGCTTCATTCTCGTTGAAAGCATCTATTGTAACTGGTCTGGTGGATGTGCTATTGGATCTCTCGGCGCAGACACTGGTATCACATCTCTCCTTTTTTCAAGTACAAAAAGACTAATCCTTAATCTAGACATCCACGACATTGAATACAACCACATCTACACTCAAAACAGCAACCAAATGCTAATGATCAAATCCAACGGCGGCTCCGGCTCCTTCTACAGCGCCTCCTTCAACAACTTCATGGGCCATTCCAACGCATACACTCTCGACATCGACGGATACTGGTCAGGACAGTCGGTCGCCACAGGAGACGGCGTCCTCTTCTACGACATCACATTCAACCACTGGCACGGAACCTGCGCCGCCGGCGCAACACGCGCTCCCATCCAAGCGCTCTGCCCCTCCGGAGCTCCCTGCTACGACATCACGATCGAGAACTACTACATCTGGACCGAATCCGGCAGTGAGGTGCTGTATAAGTGCGAGAATGCTTACGGAAGCGGTGGCTGCTTGAATACTGGTAGCTCTTACACCACATATGCTGAGACGACTAAGACTGTTACTTCTGTTGCGTAAGTTTGCTCTTGATCGAAATAAGGAGGTTTAGTGCTGATAGATGATAGGTCTTATTCTGCTACGACTATGGCTGCGGACCTTACGGCTGGCTTTGGACTCACGACCAGTATTCCTATCCCTGCTATTCCTACAAGCTTTTACCCTGGCTTGGCCCCAAGTAGCGCCCTTCTGGGATAGAACGACTTGTAGTGCGAGCAGATCGAGGGGAGGGAGGGCAGTAAGTTAGGTGTATGTGTGTATGAAACTCCATGAGTCGATTGGAGAGACGATCTTTCTTGTAAATACTTCTTTTCGTGTTGTACATATTTTATGTTTCATGTATATACGATTTGAAATCCATAAACATTTCTTGTTCGGGGAGAATTGCAAATAATCCGAACTGAAATTGCATTGTCTTCTAGTGGGTAAGGGCTGTTATTTCGGTTCAGAAGATGGCACTTCGTATTGATACATTGATCACTGGATGTCCGAATCACCACTGGACACTACGGCATGAGACGTAGAAAGCCATTGTTTAAACAAGATACGATACACGATCTTGAAACCTTGTCCGTTCCCTGGTTAGAACCTCAAATTGTCAGGAAACCCAAGTTATGAGGTGAAGTTGTCCTTAAACATTTGTAATTTGAAACATATCAGCATGTGCTTTTCCAGCATTCAGCGCAAGAATAACAATTAGATGATAAAAAAATAGCAGTCAAGTTTTTAATTCACAACTACCTATTTATGTGCATTTCCATCACATCCAAAAAACCCCCTCCACCGACGTTCATACACGCAGACCCCTGTACGCCACGCTCTGCCCATCTAATAATAATAATACACATCTTTGAAGTACCACCGCCATTTTTCCAGATATGTGCAGTATCAAGATACCCTTCCCTTCAGTAAGGTGGCTTGGCTACATTGCCCCTCTGATCCGCCCCACTAGCATCGATTCCCTTCAACAAGCTTTCCAAATCCATGACCGGCGTACCGTCATTGCCCCATGAGGACGAACCTTGGTAAATGAGGTTAGGTCTGCCCTTCTCTGACCGTTTGACGCTTCGACCTTTCCGTAGCGTGTCTCCTGCTCCAAGGTCCGTGTTTGCAGTCCCCTCACCAGTAAGTGACGATGGAAGAGGTGGTACAGGAGGAACTGCATCGAGATCTTCATCAGACTCTCGAGGCACACTCGAGTCTGCGAGCAGTACTGGATGAGATGAAAGGGGGCGGGAATGCTCCCCAGCACTGGCAACTCTGTCGCGAGATTTTGATCTGGATCTTTCGTTCGACCCACGCATGGAAGCCGAACGCTCCACAAGCGGTACATTTGGCATCGGAGGGTTGTAAGACACCTCTGAAGCGGTGAAGTCATAACTGACCATACTCTCGCTGCTAGCATCGCTATGAACACCCATTCTGGTCCCAGGTGCACTGCTTTGCTGACCTGAAAGCACTCTCTTCAGCGCATCAACGCGAGTGACAGAACCGCGGCTCGAGTCGCTTGCTGGGCCCAAAGATTGACCATTGGCTTTTCTGAGCTTCTGCAAAGCTCCAAGACCACCGACAAGACCGTACGCAGAAGAGCTCGGTCTACCACGAGTATCGACGTTGCCATGCCCTTTCGGCGATTGAGATCCGCTGTTCGTGACTCCATTCTGGTTCCCGTTGACATGGAGGAAATTGCGATGTCCAGAAGTGATGTTTGTGCCGGATCTGGAGCCATTGAGCGAGACTGTCTTACTCCCTTCCTGAGCAACAGCGATCACGAAGTCCCTGCTCCACTCTGACATCATTTGGTCTTTGACCTTCTCTGGAATAGTGTGTGTGTTTTCACTGGCCGTACCTGTCGTTCCTAAGATGGGATGGCTGAAGCTACGGCCAGGAGACGTGGGTGCACTAGGTGGTGGCGTCGCCAAGTTGGCTGAGTACGATAGAGCGATTAGGGTGACCATCTGATATCGATCATCGAATGGCCGCAGTGCTTCCGTTTCAATTTCTTCAAGTGGCAACGCCCGAGGTGGAAAGCTCTCGCCAGGAGTCCCTATCTTCCCAAGACCAATGGGAGGGCAGCGCACTCTATCAATCCAGAACAATTTATTTTGACGCCGGCGGATCTCGTTTTGGATTGCTCTGCCGATTGGGGAAGTGTCGAAGTCAAACTTCTCACTCAAGACCCAGAAATACCCATGACACAGACTGCCCATTCTGATCTTGGCAATGGGAGTATCTGCGTCCAATATATCTTCTTGGAGGCGGAAGATCATGGGTAAACCATTTCGCACGGCATTGACACCAAGATTTTCGACAAGCTTGGCAAGCAAGAGATGTAGAAGGACAATGTCTTCTTCGTATTCCACGTACTGGATTGCGTTTTCGTAAACAGCAAGATGAAGCAATTGTAGAAATGTGGTCCGAGAATGCTTCACTGGCTTCTCTCGGTGGGAAGCATTGGATACTGCACGTTTCGTCAAGTTGGTCGCAGAATCGTTCCGATTGCCTTTGGACAGTGCTTTAGACTTTTCTTCAAAAACACGAAGATCAGCTCGAGTCATCTCCTTCTCTAGCCACGTGAGCAAAGCATCGACGTAAGCTTTTCGAACTCTTCCATCACTATCTCTCAATAGCCATTGCGTTCCTTCCCAGACCCGCACGGGAACTCTGTTTCTACCCAAACTTCCAACGCCAGTGAGCGCATTTGTGTGACTTGCGACAGTGATTATAGCTTTGATAGCCTCTAGCGCCATGAGCTTTGCGGTGTCAAAGGAGAAGAATCCATCCGTAGTGGGGTCTTCAGCGAGGTTTCCAGAAGAAGCGATGGCTGCTGTAGCACCATTTGGATTCTCAATCGCAGCCACTGCATTTGGGATACTGGACATCGTTGGCGGTTTTAGTCTCAGCAGGACGGCAGCAACCATGTCTGATATTTGATCCGCATAGTAGACGTGAGTTGCCAAATCGCCTATACACTCTTGCAACCTGATTGTGACTTCTCTTCTCAATTCAGTTGGTGCCATTGCAGCTCCTACAGAAGTCGTGCTTCCAGATATGTCTTGGTTCGCCGACGATCCATTGCCTTGTTGGGTATCCAATTGAAGTAGCTTCAAAACTTGTTGTATCAAGCCAAGTAGCACATCCATAACACTCAACCCGATAAGATTAATGTCCGACTTGAGAAGAGAATCAATCATCGTCGCCAAAACTAATTGTTGTTGCAAGCTTTGTTCAGCAATATCCGCACGAGTCAAGGTATCCATCGTGGTTACAAGAATGACATATCGATCCTGGACTGGTGTCCATCGAGAAATCAACTCATAGACTCTGGTCGCCCATCCTCTCCAGTGCCCTGTATTCGACTTCTCGTCGATAACCTGCTCGTGCTGAGAAACTCGTTCCGCGATGAATCTTAGTGTCGCCAACGTAGCTCCATGAATTTGAGACCGGTTGTTGACCACAAAGATCTGTTTCAGACACTGCATAGCTAGCACCCCTATGTCTTCTTCTGCCACTTTATCCGCATCTGCAGTAGTTCCAGAAAGGGCCGCAGCATTTGCTTCCGTGGCAGTCTCAGCCGTTCGTACAGTTGCGACACTCGTTCGCCGTCGCAATAGCTTCTCGGTATCTATTTTCTCCTCCAACTGTACTCGGTGCTCAAGAACGTCAACAAAATCTTCGTTATCGGTCCACAAGTTTTCGAGTAAAATCGGCACTATCACATTCAATTGTCTCCCTGCAAGTGATGCCAAGGCTTCAGACGAGGCAACGCTCTTAATGGCTTCCAATCCCACATTTCTCCATCGCATAGCTACTGGAGCACTAATGGGTTGTTTTCCTGGTTGCTGTCTTGTAGAAGCAAAGGAGGCATACATCCGGACAATTTCTTCATACTGGTGTAGATATTCCTGGTCTGCCGAAAGAGACGCTCCGTCATGATTCTCGCAGAAAGCCTCGAATGTCGCAACAGAAGACTCGACCATAGTGATATCGCGCGAGCGGAGTATGATGCTTAGGATTTTGAGCACGTAAGGCGCATAGAGAGGTAGGTCTCTTGGTGCCTTCTCTATCAAGGCAGCCAAGATTTGGAGCGTAACCTGAACATTTCTGTGCCAGCATCAGCTTGCAGCTCACCAAATATAACATGAAAGACTATGAGATATATGTATACCCTATACGTGCCCGCCAGACATCGCTGGCCGTCTTCTTCTCTAAAAACGCGCCCACTTTCTGCACCTTGCTTCGGCGTGTTGTGGCATAGTATAGCAGGTAGCTCAGCTCACTGGAATTGGGCTTCACGTCAACCGCTCCTTTTGTAGTCTTGGGATAGCATTTCAGTATGAGGACTTGATGCTTTGGGCGACATTTCTGCCGTATGGCGTGCATTTGTTATGGCCGCGTCAACACCGGTTGAGTTCGGATTTCGCAGGTTGCGCGATGGATCGTTGGGAATTGGTTGGTGATGCTGATAGATGATCGTGAAGAACATGAACATAAACACTGCCCAGGCACAGTGATTGCTTGATCTGCGACTGTCGCGGGTATTTCATGAAGTCCAGGGTCAGCTTAGATGATATCGAGAGTGAGGTGGTGAAATGATTGCTGATACCCGTCAATATTTCTTGGTCCGGGAGCCACGTTTAAGGATTAAGGCAGCCGGACTAGCGCCTGTTGGTCCGAATCAGCACAATGACGCGGGTCCCGCTTCATCAGCCTGTCTCTCTCAAATCACACACGTTTCCACGAGACTGGATGGCGACAACGATCTTTGCAGACAGCAACTTCATAAATCATCACATATCCACAGAAGTCGCGCAAAGATGCATGTGCCGATATCATTTGAAGTTTGTTTAGCCTTTTCGCGCTTCTCGAGGACCTGCGTTGCGCCTCCTGAGCACCTTATGACTTGAGCGTATGATCTCACATGTTGCCGGCCTTAGCTTCACGGTTTAGAAACGAGGAGCACCTTTCTGGTAGCTATATTTCTTCCTGTGCCTTGGGATAGGCTAGATGACTCAAATCGAGATTGAAGACTCAGGTACGAATGTTTCACATATTCTGGAGAATTCCTGTCGGTGAGCAGGAAAACTATCCCCACTCCAGACTCTGGCGCAAGGACCATAAGTGCTTCCTCTTCCTTGATGCACTACATCTCGCACTTGTCACTCGATTCACGGATGTCGAGCACCGCACATGTCTAACGTCGAGCGTGTATGGAGAATATCTCCTATTCACTTGACGTGCGAGCTCATGTAGGCATTTGAGGTGACAGAGTTCACCAAGACAACAAGAGGTCAATGAAGGCAAGCCGACGAGCTGCTTAGACTGTACGCGCAATCACTTATACAGAACGGCTATTGCTAAATCATAGGATCCATCACTATCACATCATTCCTTTCTCAGCGGATCGATGTAATTCCGACTTTTGCAGTCAAATGATCCTCCTTGATAATGTCCGCTGCTCTTTCAGCTACCGCATACACACTCGCTTGAATATTCCCTCTAGGTATCATCGGGAAGATACTGGCATCCACGATCCTGAGATTGCAAGTGCCATACACGAGGAGATGCTCATTTACCACGCCTCCAAGCTCCTTTGGTAACATAGAGCATGTGCCTGTAACGTGATAGTGGGAGACGAAGGTCTCTTGGACGATTTCTTTGGCGGTTTCAAGATCATTTACTGGCTTCTGGGCATGGATTCGGCGACCATCTTTCTTCAGCAATGATGCCATAGGCTCAGTGGCCGCAATAGTCTCGAGCCATTGAGTGTGACGGCCATGGAGTTCTAGATCCAGCGGATGAGAGAAGTATCGAGGATCAATTGTCGGTTGAGCTTCTGGCTTTGCCGAATTAATATGTACCGTTCCTCGCGACAAAGGATGATTCAGTACTGATACGATACTGATATAGTTTCCATCCTTGCCCATGCCGTAAATGCCTTTGCAGTGAGGGCCGTCTCTTGGAACAATCTGGAAAGGTGCCATAGTATATTGTCCAGAGGCATCGAGAGGGTTCAAGAGCATCTCTCGAATGATCTCAAATTGTTGTTTCTGAGAAGGAATGTTTGAATATTCATGCTTGTCAATGTACGTGTCGAGAAGTTGCTCCATATCAGCTTTTTCCAAATCAACCAAAGGCATGAACGCAGACACAATGGGTACTCCAGACAGCGGGCCTGCTTTAGCCGCCTGATAAGCTGCCATAGCTGCGCCAGCGATCTCCGGGTTGCGGAGGACGTCACCAGATATTTGGTCATCTGCCACCTCCCAAGAGAATGGAACGTATCCGTGGTCTTGCAGATTCTCTCCCACGTTTGAGTTGTCGATCAGGGTTTCGATTCCATAGGTTTTCAAAATATTTGAATCGCCAATTCCAGAAAGCTCTAGGAGCTGGGGCGACTTGATCGTTCCGGCCGCAAGTACTACCTCATGACCTGCTAAAATGTCTTTTCTGCTGCCATCCTTTGTTTTGACTTGCACGCCACGAGCAGATAGTTCGTTTGTTGACGTCTTTTCGAGCAAGATCTTCTCTACCAAGACCTCTGTTAGGATGCGGAGATTTGATCGGGTTGCAACCTCTTTACTCAAGTAGTCTGCACCAGCGTGACTTCTCGCTTTGGTAACAGGATTCACGATACCAGGATTGGTAAAAGCGCCGTTAGCAACTCCAGAGATAGGATCGCCTGTCAGTTCATGCTTCAAAGTTGAAAATGTCTTTGGCCAGGCCTTATTGAATGGTGTGTATGCATCTGGCTCGCCAAAGGATAGTTGAATAGGTCCATTGGTGCCTTGGAGCTTCTTGTCCACATACTTGAGAGCAAGGTCTTCTTGGGCAACTTCTGATGGCAGTGTCAAAGTATGAAATTTCCTGAAATACGGAGCCATTTTGTCCCAGCTCCAGCCTGAGTTGCCAAGCTTCTCCCATCCATCGAACCCAGACTTTGATGGATAAATCTATGCAAAGAACTTAGCCAGTGCTCACCGATGGACGAAGCACTCGTGCATGATCAGTCGGGAAGCCCATTGTACTACTTACCACCATACCAAGGTTTATAGCAGTTGACCCTCCAAGAACTTTCCCCTTCGGCTGTGCGATCTCGCGGCCCTTGAGGTACTTCTGCAAAGCGGTTTAGACCGGAACTCTGTCACGTGCGAATCTGCTTACCTGTGGAGTGCTCATAAAGCACCAATCAAAGTCTGGATCATCATACATACTAGCTGCCAGACCAGGGGTGACAATTCTGGGGTCATGAAGACGATTGGCACCCGCCTCGAGTACCAAGACTTTCACATTTGGGTCTTCTGTCAGGCGAGATGCAACAACGAGCCCGGAAGTTCCACCACCTATTACAACAAAGTCGAACTTTTCTTTGTCTAGAAAGGCGGTGAATTCCGGAGGGACGATTGAGGAAGACATGGCAACTCAAAAATCAGGTTTGGGAGATGTGATGGATTGCGAAGGTTAATGGCTTAAACTTTCACGAAATGCAGGAAACGAAAAGGAGGAGAGAAATGTGCTGCGTGGAGATATTCCAAGCTATCTCGGTTTTTGTCTTCAGGGTGCTCTTCTCCTAGGGCAAAGATACACGAATCGGCTCACACGCGAAACAGGCAATTTAATGACTCGGGGAATCCACTTCTTCTACCATTTTCAAGATCCATGTAATCCTTAGCTTCTGTTTATGCTAACCATAACCGCTAGTCACGATTATCCTACGAACATCGAACGAGAAGCATCAAGCATGTCGTTGGCCACATCCAATCAAAAATGCGCGAGATTTCGACTCTGAATGGTGGGTCTATACGGCCATTTCCGCTGTCAAATGGGTAACTGATTGGTCCATATCTATCGCAGAAGCAGAATGCTTGAGGAACAAGTGGAGAAGTCCCGCTTCCCAAGCCACTAAATATGCAATCCTCAGACGTGATAATGCATAATCGCCATGGCAAATCCTGGGATCTAGGATAATCCCACAGCTTCATGAGGATGGCGTGCCCCCTGACTTGATGTTTTGATCGTCGCTGCTCGACCCGCAGACGTTTTCTTCTGCATATCATTCCCAATTGGTCCTTTGTATCAGTTATTAGCTCCCTCTTGGAGGCTGGTATGAAGCCGTTGACCCGTCGCTAGCATGCTGTGCAGGAAAGTCAACGGGAAAGCTTTGTGACGGTTCGACTATGATGAGTCAGTAGCTGCTTGATCCGTTGATCTGCTTACACAAGATTCAAGATATAAACTTCGTCTTGTTCGCAGACAGACTCTTCCAAACTCACCTTGTTGTTCGTGTTCAATTCATTTCCGCCGCGGCGCATCTGCTTAACTTCCACATCTCCTGAGGTTTTGGCTACATTTAGTACATGACTCGTACCATCTGGCCCCTGCTTTTACAAACTTCAATACCATGTCCATGGCACAAACCCTGAATCCTTCACAGACAAACGCAAAGGGTCCACAAATATTGATGCTGCGAGCTGCTGATCATGCAGGAGAAGAGAGGAGCAGCGGTGTTTGAGCATGGGAAGCATGACATGATCGAAAATTAACGAAGATCTTGGTGAAAAAGTCGGCGGAACGTCGCCATGCCCAATGAAAGCTAGGTATACAAGACTCTTCCTCTAGTTCTGGAGGTGGTTTGACTGCTAGGACTTCTATTTCTCACGGTTGACGACATTTGTTAGAGCGTGGTGGTAGAGTGACGATGGCTTACGATTTGAGTGTCGCGACTGCACGAAATCCTCTGATCGCGGTATGTTCAACGCTATCCTCCGCCTCATACCTCCTTGGAGTCAAAGCTTTCATGGGAAACTTTCTCAGGGCTGGAAAACCCTGAATAGGACATGATCCGGCTTTCAAGAGATAGAATTCAACTGATTTGGATGTATAGATCACAGTCTTCGTAGCGATTGCAATTGCTACTACTGCTTTGCGGTTCGAAGCAAGGCGGATGAGAAAAGTTCCTTTGGCGGCTGACGATTATCTGCTACTTGCTGCTCTTGTGAGTCTAGCCTATCCATAGCCACATCTGACGCTGACACTTAAAAGTTCTGTTTATTCATTAGTGTAGGGGATCAGTATGCTTGTATGTATGATCTAAACAAAGTTTCAATGACAATGCTAAGTCTCTAGGTGTCATTGCGGGCGGAGTTGGTGAGTTTCCTCTTAGCATGTATGCGGAAAAGTCTTCCTGTCTCAGACATGGTGCTACAGCTTCGTATGCAACTCACATTGTTGTTATACTAACCCTTAGCCAGGACGACACACAGTGGATGTCGACCCCTTAGATGTAGTGAAGACATTGAAGGTAAGTAAGCTCATATTCTGGAAAGTTGGGCCGATTGCGACTGCTTACACAATCAAGCTCATCCTCCCATTCGAAGCGCTATACGGCATTACCCTCTGCCTAATCAAGAGCTCTATCATTTGCTTCTACTTCCGAATATTTGGAAACACGAGATCTTTCCGTATATCCGCATACGTTGTACTCGCTTTCATTGTTTGCTGGGCTTTGAGTGTCGTCCTCGAAACATTCCTGCTCTGCCGACCAGTAGCGTATAATTGGGATACCAGTATCAAAGGAACATGCGGAGATAGAAACACTGTCTACGTCTCTGCTGGAGCATTGAACGTGATTACTGATTTCATGGTAAGTACATTGATGATTGGTCCTGTGGCAGATATAGAGTTCGAAACTGACAATATGCAGGTCATGTCCCTACCAGTACCCCATATTCTCACCCTCCAACTCAAAATGAAGAAAAAACTTGGTCTTCTCCTTATGTTCTCTCTTGGACTTTTGTATGTTTCACCCGTCTGCTGTTTCCTGCGTACACTCACAAAACACAGCATAACAATCATATCTATCATCCGTATCAAATCCCTCCAAGTAATATCTTTTACCGACCCCACCTATACCCTCCCCATGGGCCTTCTCTGGACCACACTTGAGCCCTGTCTCTGTATCATCAACGCAAATCTACCAATGGTTCGCACCTGCCTCGCTACATATGCCCCAAAAGCCTTCGGCTCGACCAACGATCAAACTTCGCGCAAAACACCGCTTCCAGGACAGAGTGGGAGTAGATCAGATCCTTTCGATTTGATCAGAGATGATAGATTCGGAGCAACCGATATTAAGCTGGGACAGATTGGCACGGAAAGTAGGATTCATGCTGGGAGGAGGAGTCAGCCACTTGGAGATAGTGATAGTGAGAGGTATTTGACGAAAGGAGATAACCATATCCATGTAGGAAGGAGTGTGGATGTTGAGTCGCTTTAATGATTGTGTATTGTTTAGTATAAGATGTAAATTGTGGGTAACTACGAACCGTGGGTACGAAAGCGGACTGTATGGACTGCATTTCATGTATACGATAGACTTATTGGCTTGGTTTCAGAGACCATAATAGATGGGAAGCATGTTAAATAGCAGAGCCTGCGCATGTCTCCAAGAAATCAACAAGATCATCAATCTGTTCAGGGACTTTGTACCAATGACCCTCGTCATACTCTTCCCACCTGACTTGCATCCCTATTACTCTCAGTATCATCACTATGTCGAGTCCCAGAGCAATCTTAACTTTCTCGTCTTTCTTTCCATGACCAAGAAATACCGGAGTCTTCAAACAAAGAGGCTCTATTGACTCCAATGGTGACATCTCTATGTTCTCACGAACAAAATTGCATACTTGCATTGACAGAGAGAGCTGACATCTGTGTGATTCGAAAACAGCGCTGTCCCCTTCATCGTCAGAAGTGGCAAAGGGGTCATCATCTTCCTCGTCTTCCCCAGCCTTTTCAATCATGTCCTCCGACCGAATTAAGCCCCGAATATCCTCAGCAAAAGGCAGCCACCCACTCATCCCAACAAAACCACCTAAAGAGCCCCAATCTCCATTCCGTCCCTCCTCCCTCGGCTGGTAACTAAGCAATAGATGCAACGCCATCGCACATCCCTGGCTCAAACCCCCAAGAAACACATTCTTGGCCCCCACAGCCCTCACCTCCTCATCAAGCAACGGGTTCAGAAATTCTGCCGTCTCAGTCAGACCCTCGACTTGCCACTCAATCTCCTCCCTACTCATTTCTTTGCTTTGTTCATCGATAGGAACATTGTCAAACCATTGGCTGATTAAAGCTCGCTTGTACCATTTCGCACGACGTTTCTTTGCGGTGGGGAAGATGAATTTCATGCCGGGGAAACGCTCTTGAATGGTTTGACCGGTTGCTGTCTTTGAGGCCAAAAGTTCTTGTCCGAATTTCTCGCCGTTGCTTCCTCGGCCGTGGAGGAAGAGTATTGTCTGTGTATGGGCGGTTGTGGGGGGTACGATGAATGGAGCGGGGTACATTTCGGGTTCCTTTTTTCGCTTTCCGCCTGGGTTTGGGGGGGTTCGCGTCTCTACGGAATCGTCCATGATACCCATTCTTCTGCGCTTAATTTGCGACTTGAGTTCTCCATTGTTGACACGTTGGTAATTCTGGTAACGCAAAACTTTTGAGAGACGCACTCGCAAAAACATAATTGTTGCCTGAGGTTTCAAACGCCAAGCTTTCGGCGCTAAGCTGGTGAAGCGAACCGTAATGTACCATAAATCAACATATCAAGGTAGAAAGCTACATCATGACACCGTACTAAAGTAGTCGTGATATCATGCACCCATCCTAATCTACGTGTCATTATGATGCGTACATATAATTCATAATGCCAATACCGTAGGGTAACATTATATATAGCAAGGGTTCATCACCTCTTAATAAATCAAAGCAATTCCCCAGTATCATCATTGCAACACGTAAGCTTCTCCTATGTTTTACATTATCAGCGACTGTTAGATTTGCAAACTCCCGAATCCGTTCTCCATTTACCAATTCGAAAGTATCAAAAAAGATTGCCAACCATGATAATCCGTGAGATGCTTAATCTTCCTTCATCATCTTGAAATGGCACTAATGATAGTCTCTCAGTTGAGGGGGCCGAATTTCAATGCAGCTATACCAGACCTGATATACCATATACCATATATGTCGGCGATAGCTATCATCTCCTTGTTCCCCGAGAAGTCCCCAAAGTCCACCCGAACTTCCCCACTATGCCAGATCCTCCTCAGCGGTATAAACTACAACTTACGGACTTCTGGGCCAACGAGTACAGGAGCAAATACAACTCGGAGCCCAAATATCATTACAAGGATGTGATGTTCGGATTGGAAGACGATGAAGTCGTCGTTGCTGGCATTTTGTTAGGCAGTGATCTTGTCCCACATTGGCAGTTCCGCAACTTGTTCCAGGGAGACAATCGCAATATGATGGATACATCTTCCAATGCCAAGGCTACCGTTGGTATGATGCAGTTCGATCTGAGCACGACAGCAGTGCGCCCTAACGCTTAAACTAAAGTGGGACATCTGGATGGCAACTTGGTATTTCTGATTGTGCTTGTGCCCTACAAGGATAGCGTCTCGTTCCAGGGACCGAATTTTACAGGTGGCCAGAATAGTAATGAGAAAATGAATAAATAAGTGTCTTCAGCCAACTTATCGAGAAACTTGAAACTGTATCTCGGATTTCCATAGTGGGAAGAAGGCGAATGTTCTTAATATTTCAGTCTCAAGAAACTATCAAGTCATCAATGCTGTCTTAGCATTGTAGTGTCTTGCTGCTCTCCTTCTGAGATTTAGCACTGGAATTTAATTTTGAAATGTTCGTCAATGGCAATACAAATATCTCATCCATAAGCGGCGCAAGCTCTCTGATGGTGCTCTCATAGTGTTCATGGACTTGTCACCAGCGCCCTCGAGCAAGTTCTCTATCTTCTCCATTGTTTATGCTCAAGTTGACGGCTACCTCAGAGAATTCTGAGCGAGGCTGTCCTTTGTATCCCCTTCTTATTATTTTGTTCGAAAAACTCTAGGTCATTGCCGGAGAGCATCAAATTATTTCTCCACAAGAATACAATGTTTTGGTAAAATTTCACCGCAAATCGCGCAAATCGCGGCAGTCGCGCGAATGGCGCGAATAGCGCGAAATGCGCAAGACGTGCAGAATGCGCAAAATGTGCGAAACAATTCCAAACTTTTCTTTCCTACTTGACTTGTTACCGCCAGCAAGCATGATGACAGCCTCGCAGCGCTTCAACTACAAACGCATCTCAAGATACTTCACGCTTCTTCAACCGCTTCTTCATCCTTATGATTACTGGAAAATCAAGTTCTCAGGAGATTAATACAGGAGAGGTAGAAATTGCTGCTGCGCCGATAAATCTTGTCAGACATTTACCCCACTAAAGTGTCTCCAGACGAGAACAGACATTTGGTTTGAATGTGAAGAAAACAATTCTTGCCTAGCAGTGCGTTCTTCAACTTGAAGTACTTCAGAATACGAGGACGATGATGAGCGGTGAGAAAGTAACGATGTCGATACTTACGCGCAATCAATCAAGTAGTTTGAACGGCTGATAACAACGGCAAACATTTCGTACGAAACATTCTCTTTTCTCACGAAGGACTTTCAATACGATGATGCAATGCCCATAGTCAAACGAATTGCAGCGATGTTGTGAAGACCATTCGAATACCTCCTAGTAAATTTTTTTTTTTTTTTTGGAGGGCTGAAAGCCAACTCAATAGAACATGCGCCTCAGGAGTGGTGGCTGCCAGTGCAGCAACCCCTATTCGCGATGTTCGAAATTGGGGGCTTGATAATTCGTCGTATCTCGAGACATTGACCCCAATTGATTGAAATTCCAAAAAAGCTTAATAAGACCGCTGCCAAGATGTTCATTCTTCTTCATCGACTTTGTCTGCCTTGAGTCTCCCGTACTAATCAAGATGCAAGTCTCAACCTTCCTCCTTTTCCTCACTAGCTTGCTACTCTCACTAGTAGCTGCTGGAGGAAACCCCGCAACATTCTGGTCAGACTACCCCGCCTGCGAGGATAATTGCCATCAATCAGTATGGGCATCGCAGTCATGTACTCTCTCCAACTCCTGCTCCTGTTCTGGCTGTCTCTGTCTCGCTGATTCCTGTCTTTGCGAAACTGCTTCTTGGCTCACAGCTGTTGCGCAATGTATAGGGGCGCAGTGTGGATCTTCGGGCGTCATCAATGCTGCGGGTATTGCTTCGAGCGCTTGTGAGGGTGCTGGGTTTCTTTTGGTGCTTCCTTCTGCTAGTCTTGTCAGTATTGGAATGGCTGCTTTGCCAGCGGCTACTACGCAAGGAAGTACTGCAAAAAGTACTACAGGAAGTGGGACAGGAGGGAGCGTGGTTCAGGGTGACGCGACACGTGAGTTTCCAAGGCTGAGTTTGAGGAATCTGATGCTAAATGTTGCACTGTAGCTACTGTGACAAGTACAGCCCCCTCGCAAGCTGGATCTACACAGGTGACAACCACAGCTGTTTCGACCACAGTTGGCTTGCAAACCAACCCTTCTACAACACACCACCTGTCTTCGGGAACGACACTTCCATCTACCTCTTCGGACCTTTCTTCTGGAGCAAAAGCAGGGATTGGCATTGGAGCTGCTCTAGCTGTTGGCATCATAATTGCTCTGCTAGCATTTATATTCTACCAGCGTCGGCGACACTCCAACAATGACGTGAGACCCGAAAGGAGAGCTGCATCTTTGGGCACGTTCGAGTTAAGCGACACAGGAAAACCGATCTCGGGCACAAAAAGGAAACCCATCGCCACAGAAAGAACAAGACCATCCGAACTACAAGGCGGTAGCAGCCTCTCTTCAAAGACAGAAACAGCTACATTCCCAGAAGGGGAGAGGCTGTTGAACGTAGCCGAGATGCAAGCACCCTTAACGGTAGATGAGAAACAGGAGCTGCAGCGTAGAAGGAGAGCAGCTGAACTGAGTGTCACTGGACCTGATATCCCGGTTGCAACTGGATTTGGTGAGAGGAATGAGTTAGAAGCCAGGAGGAGGGTTTACGAGATGGCTTGAGTGGGTTTGGTATCTTTGATTGCAATCTATGTAATTTTGGACTACCAAATCACACGCTTAATCCATCCTTTGCTCGATTTGTTGTAGGTTCCGGCAAGAACACTGGCTGCTGTGTTTGTGGCTCGAGGAGCAGGGCAGGTGAACCTCGAGTCGCATGCATGATCGACCATTCCAAAGTTCTCTCCCTCGATTCAACTCAACAGTTGATAATAGCAGAGCTCGACCAATATGTACTTTGCTGACTAGCTATTATCGCCGCCGAGTAACTCCAAAGCCGTGTCTCGAAAACATCCCGGATTCCCCCATTTCTTGTACTCATCGCTCGAATGCTCGTCTAGCCTAATAATTTGCAAGTGGTTTCCGCGCTGATGTTCCATTCTCGCCATGCGTTGCCATCTCGGTCCCATAGCCTTAGGTCCTTCGTCCGAGAAAACAATGATGCTCTCCACATCGGGTACAATCAAATCCAGTTCTGATAGAGACGAGCAGATCAAAACACGTACTGGAGATTCAACCTTTGACCAGGTCTCCAACAAGGCTTGGCGACTTGTCATCGGACTGTCTTCGTGGATAACGCGAAACCATTGTTTAATGTTCCGCCATTCCGCAAGATCTTCGAAAGTGCTCTCCTTGATGAGGTCCAAGAGGCCAGTTGCGAGGTCTCGTTCCTCAACCATGATTAGTGTCTTCGGGCAACACCATAGTAATCGCAGCGCATTTTGTAGAGAACGTATTGAAATTGAAGACGGTCGTCCATGATTGCAAGGGAATCCGGTCCTCCATCAAGATTCTTGACCGAAATGAAGATATTTGGCCGATCGAGGCTCTTGAAGTAATTGCTGTCTTGTGGGTCAGACGAGACGATTTCGTGAACTGGCTCTTTGGCGAAGGACTTGCAGTGCTTTTTGTGAATCTTCCAGATTTTCTTTTGACACTCTCGGGAGCAGTACTTGTCGAACATGCATCTGGAGCATAGAAGTGTGGCTGGTTTCTGGCACATATCGATCGCGTTGGCGCATAGGTACACGGCCAGGGTCATGTATTGGAACGTTCCAAGGTGTCGCGCATTGAGCCGCCTCTCTTCTTGGGTCTCCCATGATGTTCGAAGGTTTTGGAATTGTAGAATTTTTCGTTGCCAAAATCGAAAACATCAGGACCTAAAGGAGTGCCTTTCAAGTTCAGCCACATGCGGCGATTCTCGTGTAGCGCTTAACCTTGAACGAGAACGCGGTATCGCGAAACTAACACGCTATTTTCTCATGATCTTTGTATTGCAGCTCTACAACTCAAAATCCTGGTTCCAGCTACTTTCGTTTTCAGGACATAGTAAGACTTAAAAAAGTCCTCTTTCGAACGGACTTTCAAGACGGGCCAACGTTTGTGAACTCACTCATCCGAGAGTTTTCACGTCACCAAGGAAGCGATGAAAGGCTTTGAGACTTTGCGATCGACATACGACTGGAAATCTTTGAATAGCAGTGACCACACATTACCATCTTAGAATGAATCAAATTGAAGTGAAAATAGAGGAACAAACACATGAGTAAGTCTCCTTGGTCCCGAAAGCTTTAAGTCCAGCATCCTGACCTCATTTCGAGATGCTCTCTTTACAGTTCATCATACCCCGGGAAGAAGTCGCCTACCTCCTCAGGATACCATAGGGTACTCGGCCGCTTGTTATCCGATTCCCACCATCTTCTCAACGCCATTTGCCTCTCCTCGCAAGGAAGTTCAAGGAAATGCAATCCCATGATAGCTGCGCCTCGGCTGGCCAGGAATCCTTCTCCCATCATCGTCAAAGTCTCGTTAACGTTGAAGATAGCTCTCAGTAAGTCCCTTTCGTAGTCTTTAACCCTCCACGCGCCGTCTTGATCTTCTAGGACGCAAGTGAAAGCTTTCATCCGCGCACGCCGCTTCTCGTTCCACGCATGCAGTTCTTTCTCCGTAAAGATCATGCGGACGGCATATGGTTGTGATAGGCTAGGTAGAAGTTTCCCAAAGGCGGACTGAAGGATTGAAAGAATTCTGGGGTTGAGGGAAGAGGGTCCCTGTAGAACGAGGCGGAGGGAACGGTCAAAATCGTCGTCAATCTTTTCGCGGTTTGTCTCATATCGGTATTGATTTCGTCCCAGAAACTCAAATATTCACTGTCTTTATCTCCTCCAGAAACGTCTCCATGAGACTCCCCAATGGCAACAAAATGCCTCATCTCTTCCACGTTCCAGATCTATTTTCCAGTGTACAATTTAAATACAGAGAGCGCAAGGATGCTTTCAGTATAAGTCACCGCAATGACTTCCTCGACGCCGAAAGGACCCAGAAGGCATTCTGCAGCGGATATATTTCTCCCTCCCCTGGAAGGGAGTTGAGATAATCTTGTTGCTAGTGTGGATGCTATGATCGAGTCTTCAATATCGCCACAGGAAGACAGATGAAGTGATGCTTTGCCCAAAGCGAGCTTGATCTCCAATCTGACTGCTTCAGGTAGGAAATCTGGGGTGGTAACGGTGAGGTTGCTGATTTGTTCTTGAAGTAATCCTTCCGTCTGTGTCTTCATGCCCTGTATCAAAGCTTCAAGATCTCGTTGGGCGGAATCGGCGTCGCAGAGTTCTGTGAGATTACTGATTGCTGTCGAATTTTGTGTTCTCACTCGTAGCTCATTCTGGAAATTTGTCAGGGCTCTAGCCAAGTAACTCGAGCTCGAGCCATGTCACCTTGTCTGATAAAGCTGTATATCTCGACATACTTTGATTCAGGCCCTCAACTTGGATCCTCTGCAAAACACAAGCTTGGTACGCAGGTCCAGCCTCGAGACGGACGATATCCATAAAAGAGCCATTTCCGAAGGCTACCGTTGCTGCTCTATCGGAATGTTAGGCAACTAAGAACAGTGTGATCGCTTTAGCTTGGAAGCAAACCCATGAGTCATCCCAATATCAAAACCCACGACGATGTCTGGACGATCATCTTTCGCCCAGCAAGAAGCATTCGGGTTTGCATGTACCGCATTCACGAACATCCACAAGACAAGTATGAAACCCTCCATTTGAATGTGCATTAATGAGAGATTTAGCAGACTTTAACTCAGGAGTCAGATCACCTTGTAGAGGGACCTGATAATACTGTTTCTTTCATCGGCTCGCTGCGGTTTGTTGGCGTTGGTGTTGGTTTTTGCCTGCCACTTGCGTTTCAATCGGCCAATTGGATTGATGCTCGTCAACCATATCAGAAACCCACTTGGTGCGACTTACGGAGTACAACAATACTTCGCAGCTCTTCATCTTTTCGGTTTTGACATCTGACTCTTCGAGTACCTGCAACATTTTGATTTATTCCTCGAGTGATTGGTTGCCTCGTACGCCCCATACAGCACAACATTAGTGCGATGTGCCCAATCGTGGTTCGCGTTCGGACTACACCACCCTGCAAGCTCTCCCATGCTGCTATCGGAGAAGTAAAAACGTGAGATAGCTCATCCAGCCATTCGGAATTTATTCGCTTATTCACGTTCTCGGTGGCCAATTATGTTTTCGTCTGGTTTCTTGAGCCAGGATAATGAGGATTACCGACATCAGCACTAAAGGTTATTTCCAGCTGGACTCAGGGGCTCTCAGCTTTGCAATGTCTAAGCGGTCTTCGTCAGAAACAGCTGCTTGAGAGAAGTGCGCTCTTCATTGCAGCCGTGAAAGTATCGTATCTTGCTCAGCAAAAACTGCTTCTCCGACTGATGTAAGTACAGTATATCATTGCCATTCTCAACTACTTGATAATAACTTGCAGGATTGTCGCAGTCGGGAGCCTCAAGTTTAGCTCTTACGATGGTATCCACACCTTTGCTTGACCTTGTTACGACTTTGAGGTGATCTTCAGCCTTACTGTAAATGGCATCGGCGTTTGGCTAAGCCTCCTACATATCCTCACACCTCTCGCTCTTCAATTTCTCGACGAGCAGTACCTGACAATTTTGTTTTCTGCTGTGGGAGCTCTTTTGCTCGCCAATCAGTCACAAACATGTCGGACAATTCCACAGTCTATATCGGAACCTGGATCAATCATTCAAAGGGGACGTTTCTTGGCGCAACGCTCACATTGCCGAATCTACACGGACTTATCTTGATATCTGGTCTTGCCTTATTCATCACATTTACTTCGACAAGGACTTGGAGCATCCTATGTTTCTTCGTCCATCAAGTTGGAACCACTCGTCGTCCTCGAGATGGCCTCTACCACCAGATCCAAACAACGGTACGGAACAATAGTTCTGATCTGCAGTCAATGTGGCATCTGACGAAAATGGCTTGGAGATGGGGCTCACCGCGTTCGAGGAGCTTTCAAAAGATTGTCGGTATCATCATCCTGGCGTTGGCGCATCTGGCCATTTTCACCATTCTCGGTCTCCTGTCATCTCGTCTCATCACTCATGGAGACGAAGTTCTCGTTCGAGCACTCAGTAACTGCGGCTCGAGGGACCTCACCAAAAATATTTCGGACCCTGATATCGATCCTTCGCAAGCAATTCTTGATTACTCCACTCATCGGACAATTAATGCAGAGTTGACGCGACAATATGTGCGAGATTGCTATATTGGGCAGCAATCATCGACGGAATGCAGTTCTTGGAAAAGCACCCAGTTGACATATAGCACCACACGCAACGCGTCCTGTCCCGTTTCCGAATCGATGTGTTTGGGACCTGCGAACGGAGCAGTCCAATTCGACACTGGACTGCTTGACTCCTGCGATGACCTGGGTATCAACGCCGTGATGGGGATCGGGTCCAGTTCCGGAAGGTGATGACCTGCTCCCCGATCACAACCGAAGGTTACGTTGAAGACGGGAAACTCGTCTTCGATGGCCAGAGATATAATTACTCTGTTGGATATTACGGTGTCACAGAAGCCCCATCTCCGGATTGGCGTCCTGATGTGGGGTTTTCAAATGCGACATTTTTTCTAGGCGATCCAGAAACCCAGTTTGACCATGCTGTTGTTGGCAGCAGGATTCTATACAATGTGAAGTAAGTGAACTACAACCAGATTCAAGTAGCGCTCATAAAGCTTATATGTGATTCTTTGTACAGCGAAATCACTGCCTACCCTATTGATGGGAACTCAACAATCCTACCTTGCGAAGGATTCATTCCCATTCAAGAACTAGCATCCGTCAACCAAACCTTGGCCTTGTTATACGTCACGTTCAAAGGAGCCTACTCAGCACCAAGCGATGATCTTTGGTGGCCCGCTCATCAACTCGGCAGTCCTTTCTATACTTCACTTCGAGGTGTCGCCAATGCCACACGACCGACTTATACCTTGGACAAGACTGTCAACGTTCTGGCTTGCACAGAACAGCATCAATTTTGCAATCCAAATCACGGACAGAACAAAGACAAATGTAACTTACTCCTCTGACGTCTCCCGACATACTTGTAGGCGCATTCCGCGGCCTCAACGATACGGGTTACTTCGAAGGTGTACTCGACAACGACAGGCAGATCAGCACCGCAGAGGTTATAATGGGTGCAGCGGCGGAAGCTGCATTTGATATTCTTGTCCCTACTTTCGTCGAACCCCCTCTGCTGGATAGTGACCAGCACGGGACGACAGTCGCTCCTGGCCTTGCCGATGACAATTGGATCCAGGAGTCAATCCATTTGTTCAACATGAGTTTAACCACCGTTCAGCGCTACATGGTGGAATGGGCAACAGGACCTGCTGAACCTTACAGCATATATACATATGGTCCACCCAGCGAGCTCGACCCTCTAACTAAGTGGCAGTGCGAGAACCAGATCATCAGACAGAGCGGATACACTTCTTTCAGTTCTCTTGGTCTAGGCCTCATCTTCGGCCTCGGTGGATTGGTGATTTTGTCCAGTCTCTGGCTCGAGTCGATCGTGGGCTATTTCCAGAAACGCTTTCGTTTCGGGCTCTACCAACAAGTTCGCTGGAAGCTGGATTCAAACTTACAACTTCAGCGCATGGCTTACGAAGCAGCTGGGCTGGGCGAGTGGAAAGACGGCACTCACGAAATTCCTGTCACTGTTGTTAGGAATCAGGAGTTCCAGATTGCGATGGAGTGGGACGAAGTGCACCCGAGTATCAAGGCAAGGGCGGATAGCGATTTGAGCAGGACAAGAATGATGGGCAGTGAGCTTGTGTTCGTTGATCTGAAAGATAATGGCGCCGACAAGAGGACTTTAGTAGAGTGAGATTAATGATAACCCCTTCTGACTCTCTGTGGAGAGTAATTGAAATTTTCAAGGTATCATGTTCATGACATTGGCCAATGAAGAAGTACTTACGACGCGAGAGGATATGATTTCCAGTTCTTTATTTTCTTTAAGGTACTAGGTGGAATACGTACCTAGGTAGGTAAAGGCGGGGTAAATTTTGAGAACTGAGGAAATTCGAATTGACAAGAAGCCTCTCCAAAGTCGAAGGGACAGAATAGGACATGAAAAATGCTTTAGTTGAAGCATTGAATTGCAGTTTGTAAGAGATACGTACCCGCCAGACTGCTCTCACGTCCTCTCGCTTAAGGTTAAGGGGAAGCCTCCTCCAATCAATGAAGCTGCACAACTCATGTTTGGATCATCAATGACTTTTACACGTAAATATTCAACACTATCATCATGTTATAAATTGTACGTATTTTCAATTTGATCATGTCGTAAACTGTAAGTTGCGAGCGAAACTGGTTTTAGCGGATATCGATTTCTTTTCCATGCTTGCTTTTGCCAAAGTCTCAGTATGGGCTGCTACATCAGCAGATTCACGAGTATTGAAGCCTTAAAAGGCTACTTTGACCATCGCAGTATCATGAGAATTGATGACTACGCTCGGACTTAAGTCAATCTTATCAGTTCATCCCAACACTTTTCCGCATGTTTTCTGAAGATTTGATCTGCTGCCACCTTCTTTGGCATTCCGGGAGAAGGATGGTTTGACCCATGATCAAGCTCTATGAGACTTTCGCGGGACACTTTCAGACTACCTACTATCACGGTAACGCGCCAAACGCGCGAGGCAGCCTTGTAAACGGGCCATGTCTTTGAAGCTGCTGGTGACAGCCTGATATCAAAATCACCGCACTGCACCAGTATCGCCTTCATGGGCTGTCCGTAGTATCATTTCATAACCTTGGCTATTTAGATTCACTCAACCCACTTCACTCTTGGACTCAAGAACATTCAGTGTTCATGTCAACTCAAAGCTATCAAGCCCCAAGCTCCCAATTATCCTTTGAAGTACTTCAAATCTCGAGCCATGTTTTTCAATATCTCTGAAGGTCCAATGCGTACTATATTTCGAGGATATTTCATTGTGGCCCTGGCATTGCTAGGGCTGATCGGCGACCAGTGCTGCAAACGCGCAGCCAAGCTTCAACTTGCTAGAGGGAAAAGCGTTTCACTATCACGCATGACAGGCTGGGTTAGATTCATGGATATTGCAAAGATAGTCTTCAAACTTCGTCGACTTCCAGGCGGACCTTTCCTCGGTAGCTTCATGCTTGGTTCCGTTATTCTTGCTCTGGTGGCTGATTTCTCAGTCACTAACCTCGTTCTATGGACGTATGTGCCCTCAAGATGCGTGTTTAATCCTGGAATTGTCCTCAGTACAACTCAGTCCAGTAAATGGTCTGCCCCGCCTGCCGATGAGTATCCTGTACTGGTTGCCTCCAATGCGCAAATCACAAGCTATATCAATGGGGGCATGACTGGCATCTACCGCAAAGCGAACAACGATTCAACTTTCATGTCGCAGCCAGAAGATGTCTTGGGCAGTTGGAACCTGTACGGAAAACGGGGAGCTAACTTATCCTCCCGGATATTCTACAGACAAAATCGAGGCAGATCTGCATTCCAGAGGCATGCTATACTCCAATGGCTCAACTTACGACTACATTGATTCTGCCGGCAACACTTCATCAACCTTGATGATATGGTCAGCTTCGGTTCCAGACGGTGCCAAAGGACCCTTTGATGTCACAATCGCATTCGACAGATATGCTTCTTGGATAGATGGAAAGACGATGATAGGCTGCCTCTGTGCTGTTTCTAGCGAAAGCGAATCCGACTTGAACGATATCAACGAGATCTTAAGCTGGATTGTAGCGAACGACACTTTATGGCAATGGATTACCTGGCTGCCACCGGCTGTCTATACCGGTGCTGGTTCCAATGCTTCAGACTACTCCTTCTATAATTTGGCGCAAATATTGAACAGCCTCACCATGGTCGAGGGTGGCGGCGATCGAGCTTACGACATTCCGTCTGACAATGCAACCCAAGGATGTTATATCCTTCAAACTTGGGTCTCGTCTTTCATCTTCGCCTTAGTCGCTATAACGGCTTTGGCATTGATTCTCATGTTCGCATATCTGCTTCTCCTCACTATGCGTTTGGGAAGTAGAGATGACACCAACAACGACGCACCAGTGTCGAAACTTATCCCAGACGGACTTCTTGGCGTAAGTTAAGATGTGTATGTCTCTAATAATCACTAAAAATTTGGCAGTGGATGTTGGAAGCAATTCGGGAGAGTGCTCTTGGCGAATACCCTGAAAGCGCTGCGGCTGTATCCAATGAACAGTTTGCTATCAACAATTGGAAGTTCAACACCGTGAACGACTCCAGAGGAAGATATATGAAGCTCTCAAGGACAGACATCGCTTTGGTCTCACACGAGTAGCTTGAGGTCACGATGTAATATTCAATGATGAAAGCGGATTTTGCACAACCGTATGTATCGGCTTCTAGTCCACAAGAAATGTCATGAGGTGTAGATTCATGGCAATCTCAAGTATGAATTGACGAAAATCTGAGAGGATATTAGAAACTCAAATCCTAGAAACAAGACGCTAGCGACGCTTCCTTTCCAAGCTTCCCGGGCACCCATTTCAATCTACTAGCGAGACTCTGTTTGCTAGTCTCCATTCTATTTTGCGGCTTTGTTTTGTGTTGAAGGGAGTGTGTAAGAATTTTTTACGGGATTTCTATCTTATCACATGAAGTCATCCAGGTATTTTTTGGCGAACCTTAAGTTCGTCCTATCAGAATCGGATTGAGGCAAATCCTGAATATATTTCATATTTTAGTGCTCTTATGGCCAATTGGTTGCCACTTTCCTGCCGTGTAGTAAACTGTGCGTTCTTCACAGACTCTCTGGTGTAGATTGAATGGTGAAGATGTCATGTGAGATAAGTCACCTGCTCTCATAGGTTCTCTGTGACTGTTGAAGTAGTTTATCCACTTTTAAAATCTCAATCTCTGACAGACAATTATTACACAGTAAACACAGTAAAGACCCGATACTCCATCCACCCCAACTCCAATACCCCAATCTACGGCAGCATAGTCCAATCGCCCATAAACTCCATCCAGTACGCATCATCAATAAAATTCGCTTGCTCGCCCATCATCGTCACATCATAAGTCTGATCCTGCAGCGCACTCTGCGTCGAATCAGACATGATCTTCGTCTCGTACCAAGTCTTGATGACCCCCATCGCACGCGCACATCCCGTGAAGAACGAGTTCCTGCACAGCTCTTGCTGTCGTCCATCTAGATCGGCGCCAACCTGCTGGTACTTCGCTAGGAGTTGCTCAAAGTAGAATTCCAGGTTGGCTGTTTGTCGGACGAGGCTTAGATCCCAGCCTGCTTCTTCAACGAGACAGAGCTTGAGAAGACTGGAGATGGCTCGACCGAGAGGTGCTAGGTCCGCGACACATGTCCCGTAACAGGACCAGAGTGGTTGTTTAAGGTATTCGTCGAGGAGCTTCTTGCATGCCATCATACAGTTGTGTAGGAGGTCGATTCGTTGTGATGTGTCGTGGCCACATGATGAAGTGGAGGGGAATAGGCTTTTGTACAGGCTCGGCTCGTACAGGAAGATGAAATTACTGTCGTAGCTAAGACGCATAAGGGCTGATGGCGGGCAAAATGTCAGATATTTCAGGGTAAGGAAGGGGGGGATATAGCTCACGATGTTGCTGAATGCTGTGGGAGAGGTTGACCCAAAAACGTTCCATATTTGTGCGGACTGCTTTTATGTGCATTGAAATTGGCGCTCTGTAGTCATCGGCGAAGGATTTCTTCGTGAGGAGATTGTCGACGGGGGTAATTATACATTCGAGTCTCACGAGTGAAACGAGTAGAATGTCAGATTCGTGTTCTGCCCTTTCCTCGAGAGTTTGGGCACAGAAGTCGATATACGGCGAGAAGTTTAAGCCCTCTGTTCTCTTTACACACAAGGAGTAACTAGAAGTGTTAATTCACTACGCTAGAGTGATATGACATATTGGCTACTTACACAGATCCAAGATAAAAGCAACAAAGAAGGGCTCTGCATTCATCAGAAGTACGTTTAGCAGTATCATTTGCAGAACAATCGGGAATATTCCGAGTTTGACACTCAGCGAGCATCTCACCTGGCCCGTCATATTCGCGTATGGGTCTCGTGAGCTTCAGATCAAACAGCAGGCCAATTGTTAACTGGTAGAGAGCTGTACTCTTGGAGGATGGAGGAACAGGAGAGACGAAATAGGCCCTAGTAATTCCAACGAGTCAGCGAATTGTGCTATTCGTATATGGAGTTTCTTGCTCAAGAAGCTGTATGTTCTCGATAGTGCGATGCTGTGCTGCATCGAAAGTACATACCATGCATTAAGAAGAATAAGACATTCAAGCATGTCCAGATTTCTTTCTCCCCGTACGAGCATCGATGTTGAGATATCGACCATAAGATCCTTGCACATGTCAATCTGGCGTGCTCGTTGAGACTGGTAGGCGATTGTCCATGTGGCCTTCAGCACATATGGCTTCCGGGATTTCATTTCCGAATATTTCGAGAGAAGCATGATGAAAGGGAAGTGAAGCAAGAATTGTTCTTGAAACTTGACGAAGAGTTGTTCCCCTTCTTGATCCGAAAGCTTCCATAAATTGGAGGAAAAGTGCTGTTTAATCACTCCGGTCAACGATATGTCCGTAGGTAAAGTGGCCGTGCCTGGAAACTCGGCAGGACGCAGTGATATTGGAGTAATACCAGATGCTCCAACGCTCTGTGCCGGGAAGCCGGGCTCCCAACGACCCAAAGGGCCTACCATGACCGGAACATCTTCGGCATGTTGGGGGGCAGGAGACGGTTCGCTGTGAGCATTGCTTTCAGGGGGTGTAAGTTGATCTAAATTTACTCCTTGAGCGTTGGCAAGAAGATTTACAAGACTCTCAATTTTCTGTTCTAGTTTTGCCGTATTTCTAAGAGAATATATTAGTATGATCTTCGTAGGACAGATCAAGTGACATAGAGACTTTATTTCAAGAGTTCAGACATAAGTTAGAGATCTTGAAGCAGAAATTCAAGTAGAGCGTGCATTGGGCACGCTACGGTCGGCACTTCTCAACCGAGTCCCTCGCTTTAAGGTAAAGTGGCGTTCAGACAAAGGTCTTCTCCACATCAAAGAAGCGGAAGTACCCCTTTTCCATATCGCTTACCTATGTTTGGTGGCGTGGAGAAAATTCACATCAAAACATCAAGAAAAACATATAACTCACGTAGCAACATTTGGCGACCTTCTCTTCCTCACTGCCCGAGGGACCACAGTACATTCCTTATTGAGTCGGTAACATCTTGCGCATCTATTATCGGTGGCGGCGCTTGACTGCGTAACGCATTTCGCCTTGGCTCGCGAGCAGTTCTGACACGCTCGAATGGACACACTTCCGCGCGACGACGATTCCGAGACATCCGCCATCGTTGAGTGGTAATGCCGAGCAATCTGGGAAGAATTGCCAACTTCCGTCGCGAGTGAGAATGAGCAGACAATTTGGTGGGATGGGAGGAAGGAGGAGATATTGACCGGCCGGACACGGCGTTTATGAAATTCCCGAGGCTCCGTTCCAGAAATGACTGCCTATACCAGAGGTGGCGTTCGTAAAACGATTCAACACTTGCAGAGGAGTGCGAATTAGTTATCAAGCAATTATAGACAGATATCAAGCAAAGATCCGTATTCCAACGCCCATATTGATGCGATACCAGATGATCACATGACACAACCCTTTGGGGCGTTCAACATGACCGTGGGAGATGCTCTTCAAATAATCCGAGAATCACTTCAAGAGTGTACCTTGTAAATGCTTTCAACTTACAATGCTCAGCTCTGTCCGAATCTGCCTATGACTTCTGACGAATCCAATGTTAGCAAATGGCCATAGGTACGTCCACAACGTTTGGCCCTTTCCTTTTCTTCAAGAAATTATAGAAATAGATCAGGCTCGTCAAACATGTCAATCTAAACCCCATCTTCCAACCCCTAACCAACAATACCCATACCCAGAACCTCAACCGAAAGTGAACAATCACCTTTCCGCCCTCCAGCAAATCAGCCAATCACAGCCCACGAATAGTTTTGTTGCACATCGCATCTCTGTCAAATGCCGGTGTCTGGTTATCACACAACAAGGGTACTCTATCAAAAACGTGGAAAGTCCGAATGATAATTGCACTTATGGTCAGCCAATCTGAGGCCAGGGAATTTTTAGTGGGTCCTTGGGCGGGAATTTGGAGTTACGAGTAGGTGAAGGAGGGGAGATGGAGTGCAACCACCATAGACCAAGGATGAAGAATATCGTCATTTTGATTACCGTGCTAAGTCTCTTGATATGTGCTGTTTCAAACACTTTATCGAAACAATCGTCTTTGTCAATTTAGAGGTTTTCATTTCACGGTCATGGTATCTTGTAAATCTCTTATCTCTGGTGTCATAATCAGTTCATCAATTGTATTCGTCGCTATTAGTACAACAGCCTTTCATGAGCAGCATGGCCTCGCCATCTTGAACTCCAACAGTGCATAAACAGTAGATGTAATAAGAATCAATCAGCAAAGACAACCAATGTAGACCCGTCTGAGTGCGCACACGCCAGACACCACCATCTTCAATGCTCCTTTACGCTCTTTCAAGACCCTAACGCGAAGATAGAAGCGAAAAAGCCATCAACTTCGTAGTCATTCCTCATAGCATCGTCCCGAATGTTCCATCAGTAGCAATTGCTTTTCTCGGGCTTGACTTGCTACCATCTTCAGTCTTGCGGTGTCTGAACGTAAATCCAACAAACAAGCTCTTGCTCATGGGATCTTCCCTATCGGCCATGTTCTCCAAGGCATTTTGTTTCTCGTGGACTTCCTTGTACTTGGCCATATCAGCTTCATTGCTGAAGTCATCAAAGTAGCCAGCATCAGTCTCAGAGTCAAGTTCGGGTACAAACGGAGCTCTTTGAGAACGAAGAGTGGTCCAGTCAACCTCGGCGAAATAATCATGCTCATAGACTTGCTTGATGGAAGAAAATCGCTTCGACTTGGAGGCAATGCAACTATCTCAGTCAGTACATAGAAGTTCATATAGGGTGAAATTGACTTACCTGGTGATGAAGTTCCAGGTTCTGTTGCTAATGAAGTAGTTTGGATCCTCCCAAACTGGTCGCTTCAGAACTTCTCTCCAGTGCTTCAAATTCTTCCAAGTCTCGTCGACTGTAGCACCTGCAAAGGGTGGGAAACCGGTCAAGGCTTCGAAATGCATACAGCCAAGACTCCAGTAATCGACTGAAAATTCGTACTCGTCGCCTTTGAGAACCTCAGGAGCCATGTAGTCAGGCGAGCCAACGATTGACTTCGCATAGTTGACATCCTTTTCTCTCATCGATCGGTATCCTTCTCGACGCTCTGCAACAGTACGCTGGTCCATCGGCTTACCGAATGGTACATAGGTCTCTCCAACTTTCTCAAGTTTAACACGCATAGACTCAATCTTGCCAGGAGCAAGAAAGCCAGCTGCCAATCCAAAATCTGTGAGCTTAACATGACCGGTTGAGTCGATGAGGAAGTTCTCAGGCTTGAGATCTCGATGGATATAGCCAAGTTGGTGCAAAGCATCGACGGAGCAGAACATCTCGGCAATGTAGAAACGAGCGTGACGATTAGCAAGGACACCAGTATTGTTCAGCAGGGTTCGGAAATCGCCTCCAGGGACATATTCCTGAATCGTCATATCAGCCTGGTGTTCAAAGCTCCTTTCAAATTACTCACCATCGCCAAATAGATGCTCTTCTCGTCTTGGAATGAGTACAACAGTCGTACAAGCCATTCACTCTTGGCAGTAGTCAAGATGTCGCGCTCAGTGAGGACGTGCCTAATTTCATCAAGCTTGAATAACAACTTCTTGCTCATGACCTTCAAAGCACAAACTTCTCTGGTATCCTTCTTCTGGGCAAGGAAGACCTGGCCATAGCCACCCTGGCCAACCTGTGTGAGGATTTGGAAATCGCCTTGACGAAGACGAACACGACGCTTGCGGAGATTGGCACGCTCTCTACCGACATATTTCTGCCATACGGGATTGTAGGTCTCCTCAGGAGTGGCTGGAGGTTCAGGGAATTCGGCCTTGAAGTGGTTGAGTCGATTTTGACGAGCTCCAACGTAGGTCAGAAGATCGAAGTAGTAGTCTAGGAAATCTGCAATGCATGAGCAGATATTTTTGCTTGTTTTTGGGATCCTACTTACACAATTGAGTTACATTGGCCAGTCGTTTGACGTTTGGCTTGTTCAAGATCTCCAATTCCTCTGCAGTCAAACCTCGTTGAGTGTTGTATTTCTTGGTCGGCTTTGCTTGCTGATCTCTCGGCTGGTACAGTTCTTGTCTGGAAATAGCAGCTTGATTTTGAGCAACAGATTCAAGACCTTGCCTGGAAGCCGGAGGGGTATTCTCCTTTCCTTGTTTCCGTAGAGGACTGCCTGGGGAGACAGCGGATTTGTGTATGATGCTATCGTCGGTATTGCCTGCTGCATTGCCAAAGTAAGACTCGTCCATTGCCAAAGCGTTGCTCTTGCCAGGTGACAATGGTGTTACGGCTTGTGATCGTCCAAGTTTTGTAGGGCTGCCAAAGGTCGATGTAGGATTGATCTTCATAGCATTGTCGAATGCAACTGGCAGATCGTTGGCACCAGGAGGGTTTCGATTCTTGCTCGGGCTTCCTTGCGGGGTTGACACTGGTGTGATGAAACTGTTTCTGGTGGGTGTGTTGGGTCGTTCGCTGAAGGCTTCGTTTTGGCTCGAGCGAGTGTGAAGAGGTGGAGGAGGGACAGGGAGAATATCGTCGTGTTTACCTCCCTGGGAAGAAGGAAACAGGTTTGTAATGAAGCTCGACATGTTGGGCGCTGGATGCTTGAGGCTTGGGATTCAGATTGATTCCGCCAATGACTACGACAAAGTCGGTGAGCCCCTGAACAGCAATGGTCTGCGGCGGCAGTCGACGACGAATTGCAAAGAAAGGAATTGCAATTGCAGAAGATCAGGCTGTATGGCCAGGTACGATTTTATGATGTGTGGCTGCAGAGAGATCTCGCAGCTGGAGTCGGTCTTGAATGCAGCGTCAGGGATTTGGGTGGGGTTTGTTGACAACGGAAGTCGCATAGCAACGAATTTCGCGTTCTATTTTAGCGCGCTTGCCCGGAAGCATTGGGAGAACTTTATTTCGGGTCCGCAACTTCGTAATCATTTGTTGATGTCCGCGCAGAGCAATACGTGACTCAAAACTTTCCATTCAAGTAAGTGATGGAGTTTGAAAATTATTTTCAAGGATTCAGTTCTCATTGTATTCCTTCAGAGACAGTGTCTTGAAGAATGTCTAGGTTCCATCGAGTTTCCAGAAATTGTGGAACATTGCACTTCAATATGTTTGCTGTCCGCTCATTTTTCTACGAGGTCATATTTTCTGGGACTTGATTCCCCTCAAGATCTTTCGGCTTCTGAGCTCATAAAACATCCCAGTGTGGCGTGCTCAACAAATGCTGGGCTCCTTTCGTCTTGTCTCATCCTCTCTAATAGCTCGCAATGCAAGTTTGACGTTGTTATCCTCTTCTCTCCAGTTATTTTCCTGACATTTCCCTCCCAAGGAACTTGTCGTGGCTCCTTCATGATCTGCTATGGTCTCGATTGCTGCAGGCCGGTTTGCTTCTGTCAGGGGGGTACCAAGTTCTACGAGGTCAAGTGATGAAAAGAAGGCATATATACATGCTCTCCGACGTCTTCGGGCGCTTGACCCCATTTACTTTCCGAGCTCCAACAAACAAATCCGACTGCAGACAAACAGACAGGATGTTGGATTTGACTATCACGTGAGGATATGTGGCGACCACCTTGGAAAGGCTGAAGTGTGATATCCTGCAAGTCTCCGTCCTTGGCAAAATGAGTGGCTCATATCCGTACCACCTGACAACTCTTATTTTCCCCTGTTGAAATTCCAGAAATTCCAAATGACATCACATATTTCGTTTCACGATGACATCACACAAGAAGAGTTCAGCAAAGTAGGACGAGGCAGAGGAGAAGGCTATGAGAGTCTGTTTGGATATGTCTCGAAGCGGCGGAGCTTTTCATCCGTCTGTCAAGGATAAGTTATTGGGACAACAGGGTGTAGAACTTTCTTTTGATCTGCAAACAGGTTCACATGGAAATCTGCAAATGCCACTTCGCTTCAGCATGACGCTAATTTAACTCCTCCATGTTTGAAGACCCCTCTTTCAGACTGACGCGTGCTTTCCTACCAGTCACGGTCAAGCAAGATGACAGGCAACTGAGGTTAGCCACAGCAGCCCGATACAAGTGTGGCGGGTGATGCGAGAAACCGTTCCGCCATGACGTTCATACTCTACCAGCTGCTGCATCTGTACAGATTGCCAGAATGCAGCAGGCAGATTCCTTGGCCCGGCCCGTTTGCCTAATCCTCCCATTGCCTACATAAGAGCTTTCATTTCCTCCTCTTCTTCTCACCAAACTACAGCTCATTCCACAAATACAACACTTCTACCAAACTCTTCCAAACTCAAATCAATCAACATGTCTGATTCCATGTATGTTTCCATCCAAACACCATCTTGAGTTCCAAGTACTGATCTCTGGCAGGCGCAAGGGTCTTGGTGACCAGGTCTCGGAGAAGGTTACTCCAGATTCTCAAAAGTCTACCACCGACAAGATCGGAGAGAACATCACCGGAGCTACCGACAAGGTTGCCGGTGCCGTTCAACCTGGTAAGTCCTCTTGAGCATGACTTGACTGATCTTACATTGACATGTCTGCAGAGGGCGACAAGTCCACCACCCAAAAGATTGGTGACTCCACCCGCTCCAACGCCGACAGTGCTCAAAACGAGGGCGGCTCTCTCCTCGACTCCACCAAGAACACCCTTGGTAGCGCTGCCAACACCGTCTCCGACACCCTCTCTGGTGCTGGTATGTACTATCCCTCTTGCTTGCAAAGCAGTAATAGCTAATATCCCCGCAGCCGACTCTGTCACTGGCGCATCCAAGGATGCTACCAAGTAAAGCTATTTCACCATGATACCCCCTTCTTCGATTCTCGCGGAACCTTGATGGAAAGAACTTTGGGACGAAACAATTTGGGATATGATCAGGGATATGGGAATGCAATTCTCGTTTGTTATGTATGTTATGAGGATGATAGTGCCCTGAGGGCTAATGACACTTATTGTCAATATTGTTCTTCCAATCTTGTTTGTTGTGAAGACTACGATTTGGTGATATGTAAGATCTCACGTTCATTCTTTCCACTCGGTTTGAAATTACTTCCGCTTGAAATTAGCATGTGAGAGTCCGGCGAATGGTCACATGCTTTTAATCATGTCACTTCAACCAAACTTAGGTGCTCTAGTCGTTCGCTTCCAAGCAATGATCTTTCCTCTTTATGCCTTTATCTCTAATTCTAATTAAGTTCAGCTCCACCCTACCATAAACCATGTCCAGTTACATTTCTACCTGACTTTCCCACATAGGAACAGCTTCAATGTCCCAGCCAATTGACAAGTTCAACATACCGGAAAGTAGACTATCGACCGGAAGTCTGTTCTGGTGTTGATACGGTGGATTTTGACTTTGGGTTCTCCGATTAGACCATTCTTCAGACAATAACTACAATCCTCGAAGGCCAATCATCAGCCATCCCCTCGTCCTCCGGAATCTGCGCCATGCCGATACGACGGAATTCATTCTCAGCATTCCCAGTGGGCTGAAGCACCAAGGCATGAATCCCACGCACATCAGCCCTGCGGTGGAGATCGTAGTTGCCAAAGCGGTTGATCTGGAGGTATATTGCATCTTGAGGAAGAATATCAGCTGCAATGGCCGCGCCGTCGAAACGTTGGTCCAGAGCCAGAGCGATCTGGCTTGGCTCTGTGAAGCGATATCGATACACGTCTATGAAACGATGCCGTTCGAGGATATGACGCCGTTTCTTGTAGGTTTCCAGAAATGGCGGTGGCTTATCAGGCCATACCACGCTCCTCCATGGTCCTTCAATGGTTACTTGGCCAGACTCAGCTTGTCCGAAAGGGTCGTTATTGATGTTTTTGACTTGAACATCAAACACTTTCGCTCGAGCATCTTCGAGTAGCTGAGCACTTGATATGCCGTCTCTTGTATGTCCTCTCACAAACTCCTTGCAGTCAACGATTGCCCAGCTCCATGATGGACCTCTGCTGAGATCAACTCCTACCCCTGGAGCCGCCCAGAGCAGGCCACCCAGGATATCTTCTTCCCACAGGCCACATCTGTACCTATACCCCATCCTTTCAGCAACCTCCTTGGCCACACCTGCAATTGCTGGAAGTCTGTCCGAGATAAATGTGATTTGACGACCCAGGTAATCATTCAGACGTTCATACCACCACCCAAGAATCTCCTCTCGGCGGGCAAGCTGCTCATCGCCGCTACCCACCACTTTTGACATCTGAAAGATACTGTGAGGATCTGTTTTGAGGCCAATAATCCTTTTCATTGCAGGGTCATCTTCTGAGCAGGAACGAATCGTCTCACATGACCATTGAATCCCATCACCAAGATAGCGGACTCTGCGTGGAGAGAAAGTACTTTCTTGAAGGACCCATGCACGTTCTTGGAGTGGGGTTTTGATTTGCGAGGAGAGTACACCTCTAATGAGAGAGACCTCGCCCTTGATCTGTTCTCTCGAACTTCGACAGGGCAATGTGATGACAGGTTCATTCAAATGCCGCTGGGAATCAGCACTTGCAAAGATACCATTTTCTGTATCTGGACATGCATCTGCCGAGATATTCAAAACTGCGTTGCGGTAGACCTCTCTCATGGCGCTTGACTCTGCGAGCCAATCTGCTCGACTGTCTTGAAGTATACAAAGGGAGTCGATCCATAGGTACTTGAAGCCAAGTTGACGAGTGATTTCAACGGCGTCCCGAAATGTAAGTGGGAGATTTTCCAAAGCAATTCCTTGACTTCGAAGGGATAGCGTATCAGTAGTGGTCGTCAAAGGTGGTTTCGAGCCCCAACAGTGGCTCAACGTGACCCAAGCTCCTCGCTCTCCTTGTGTGACCTGGAGGAAAGGAGTAGCAGAATGGACGTTGATAACTCTCGTGGGCAACATCGCGTCTGGGCTTCTGTAGCAATTTGGATGATTTTCCAAGCACTCCTGAAGCCAATTTCCTATTGTCTTGAAACTGGCATCAGAGGAGGATCTCTGTTCCATGACCCTCCCTCTCACAAGATCCGACATTGGGTCATCTGCAATCTATCAGCCTCACAGCCCAACACTGCACGAATATATTTCTCACCTTCTTTGACACAAAATGCAAGGAATACCCAGAGGAAGTGAACCTCAACCACGTCCACAGGACGCTTCTTCAATAGAGCATGTTGACCAATCCGAACCCAATAAATGCCACGAATGTTCTCTTTCCTGTCGCAAGCAAAACATTGGATTTGCCTGTCCTCGGGCGGTAGACCTGCGTCAAAATCATCTGCAAGCTGTACACGGCGCGATGACTCGTTCTTGATGCAGTGGCATAGCTCACATCCGGATGCTGCGGAGGCGCATAATGCTGTGTAGCTTTCGTGGTGGTCGTACGATGTCTCGCTGGTGGGGAAGACGTCGAGATCTAGCATGCCTTCGCACTTGGCGCAAAGCATATTGAGGAGACAGAAGCTTCGAACCAAGAATCGCCGTTCTGGGGGAGAGCTTGTTTGTCTTTCGAAGTTATAGAAAATTGATCAAGAAGTTGGTACTCGTGACAATGATTTTTATGTCAAGATGTTTTGCTTTGCCCCTCAACCTGTAGGCAAGATAAATTGCTTACTCTGTAGAGAGCTGCCTCAAGCAGAGAAAATAAAAGAGGGAAATTTGTCGCTCGACTTCCGTTGATGTGAGGTGGTTTCATCAATCACGTGGTTTTCATCCCATTCTATTACCACCTGCTCAATGCGAGATATTTGCGCAAATTGCACTGATCGCGCAAGCTGCGCCGGTTGCGCTCTTAGCGGAGTATACTGCACCAATATATCTTCTGTATAGCAAGTCTCTCTTGCGCTACCTATCTCTGCTTTGCGGATTATCCCAAACGATCTCTGCAAACGAGCTAATCATTAATACAAACTAATGCCGTAACATCGATTAAAGATCTCCACATAGGATGCTGTTTTCGAGCTTGACTTCCATTGTTTGGAGCCGCGTACTGTCACGTGAAGTATCATGTGGTACTTTCCAGTTGCTGTTTCAGCTCACCTCCACACTGTTGTCGCATGAAGTAAGGGAACAAGTACTATCAGTAAGTACACGTTACCACTAGTTCTACAGTTTGTGTCAAATCCAGCGCTTTCCCATTCTACCACGTGCTACATGATAGACGCTTACCTATTCAGGGTAAGCGCGGACTTGGAGTATTCGAAACCCGTTTGTCGGTCATCAAACTTACACGCGCTCCGTGGAATCAGATACTGTATCAAGTTGCTTCACGTATCCACTCGGTGCTTTCTCTGGTCACAAATTGACACTCCCGTGACCAAGATCCTGGTAAGTACCTGCTGCAACTCTCTAGATTTGTACCGAAACCCATAATTACAGGATTTCCCACGACCTATGGTGTTCATTGCTATATCATACTCCGAACGCCATGCCTGTCATTGATCCGAGCTTGATATATGCGCAAAGACCTTTACAGGTAACTTGTGACCGCTGCTCCACGAGCATCCGGTCGATGCATTACCACTATGTTCATTGCGAAGACTACGACATCTGCAAGTCATGTGCTTTTAAAGGCATTTATTGTGTAAATGATACCCATGAGTGGCAGAAGATGGAATTCAGTGATGGTGGACGTTGGCGGGTTGGGGCCCAAATGTCACCAATGGGTGGAAAGATTCTTCGCTCTCAAGAAAAATCGTACCCCTCTGTGTTTCAGCCTCACGATAAACAAGCGACGCCGCAGTTTTTATTTGAAGATGAGCATCGATATATCAGTAAAAAGAATCCTCGGGAGATCATGATTTATACCGATGGATCCTGCTTGAATAACGGGCAGAGCGAGCCAAAGGCTGGCTGCGCTTTTGTCCACAGACCATCTGCATATGATCATGCAGGAGGACTCACCCACAGCGGTACGACCGCCTTCCATCTAGAAGTAGAAGGTCCAACAGGTCAAGTCTATAAGCACACAAGCAACAGAGCGGAACTTCGTGCTGTGATCGCTGCTTTACAGTTTCGTGACTGGAGTACCGACTGCAACAGATCGTGGAGACGCGTTGTCATTGCTACAGACTCTGGCGCGTATCCCAGATAATCACTTCCGCTTCATCCTTCTCTTGTACCGTATCATTTTCAGATATACGGTTGATCCCAAGTCCTCAGAAAGCAATTGCTGACTTTGTGACCACAATCCTCTAGAGTACGTTGCAGTCAATGCTACAACACGAGTAGAAAAATGGGAGAAGGACAATTGGAAACTTGCAGATAGAGTTTCGATTGTCAAGAATCAAGACCTATGGAAATTACTACTGAAGGAAATCCGTACACTTCTAGCGAAAGGAGTGGATGTTTCTTTTTGGCGAATTCCAAGGGAATGGAACGAGAGAGCAGACAAGTTTGCCCGGACAGCGACCCAGGTAGAGGGACGGGAGCGTTTTCATCGAATTGTACCAGATGGCCCAATAGTACTGAGCAACACTTATAGGTGCTAGCTTCCTAACATCTCCAGGCGGTAGACTGGACTGCTACGTACTTTCGGCTGCGGCAGCTCGGCCAACCCTGTATTGAGACAGTCATGGCCAGCAGTATTCAATATCTCCATTATCATCTTCGTAGCAACTCGCGTCATACTATTCCACCAAAAGCCGAATTGAAGATAGAGCCAGAAAAGCGTGAAGTTTTGATAGCAGTGGCCAAGGTTCGTTCAGTCGGAGCCTATTGATAGCAGTTAATGCCTCTGGATCATTAGCATCTGCCGCTCATCTACATGCGAAGGGTCTCCTTCATCCACTTGAATTCCCTACTGATTCACACACCACAGGTCAACTCGTGAATCGTCTGGTACGAATGATTCTCCACATCCACTCATAGCATATAACGGAATTTCGTCAGTTAAAGCTGAAGCACGAACTTTCTCACACTCCAGACCACAAATTCGACAATCTGAAACTGACAAGACTTCAAAAATGGCTTCCACTTTCCACTCCTTCGGCCGACTTCCCGTTGAGCTCAGATTCCATATTTGGAACGATGCATTTCCCCTATTCCCTCGCATCTTCGAACTGGTTTCCCATGACGAAGAGCCTGGAGACCACCCCGCAACAGGCGTCTCCCTTCCAAATTGTAACTTGAGAGTTAACCGTTCTCCAACCTTGCTACTCGTCAACCGCAAAGCTCGAGCAGAGTTACTACCAAGATACAGCCTCAACTTCAACCCTCGCGTGCCCGGTCCATTCGTTGGCTTCTGCCCCTCCATCGACATGCTATACCTTACTTTTCCTGGCAGCGGACCGTCTAGAAACTCCACTTCGAATGTTTTCCGAAATGCCTTTGGGAATGACTACGATAGCTTCAAGTGCTCAGTCAAATACTTATTCGGATTACCACTATTCTGGCCGACGTTCCTATTCTTCGATGGAACGGAACAATTAAGCGCAATGGAGAACTTGAAGGCGTTCGTTTTGTTGCACGACGGTCCAAATGCTATCGTCTCCGAGGTATCTCATGATGCCGGTTTTGGGTTCAAAACGAAGCTTAAGGGCATTAGTGGTATCAAAGACCGGCTTATGCGGAAGGAGTTGAAGGAACTGATTGCTGTGCATATTGAAGCTAGGGCAGCGTTCAAGTGAGAGGCCATACGGTATTGGGAGTGATAAGCCGTGTCGAGAAATGCAAGGTTTTACAAGTAAGGCGTCCCAAGGATGTGTTTCGTACTTCACTTCTATTGATCTAGTAAATCGTTCTTCATGGATGTGATACTTGAGCTCCCTTCACTGAGTCTTTAGCTCTATATAATGAATCACGAAGAGATCGAACGAATCAATGAATATTTAAGCTCTTTCCACTTCGAATCCTTTTACACATAAACACCACTTTCGAACCCATAGGACCCCACTACCCGACCAGCACTCCTCGAGCACCGCCATATTTATCACCACCCTTACCTTCAATCTCATCCAATAATCGTCGAAACCAATCTAACCCTAGCGGCAAACCCTCCGCAAGATCCCTAATTCACATCCTCGAGCCCCTCTATCGCCTAACATTCCGCCACCATAAACTCTACCCTACCTTCATCTCGCAGCAACTAAACACTCCTCCTCTATCCTCACAAGGTTCAGACAGTCAACGCGCTCTCTCCATCCAAACTTCCCTTCCTCCCCACTCTTCCCCAATACCAAACTTCATATCTCATCCGTGGCAGGTGAAGACTTCTCTACCATGATCCAAGATATCATTGACGAGAAATGAGATTTCTGGCTGAAAACGATAGGTGCTTTTGGTCGGGGTAAACAAGCTTGCTTCGGACGAGTCTTTAATTTCGAAATGACTGGTCGTGATGTATGTGAGAGGAGACTTGCTGGATTGTGAAGGGGAATGGACGTGTTTTAAAGGATCTGGTGAGGATATATAGAATGTATGTCTTCCCCTGGACTGAGCACCCTCGAGCTTTTGAACAAAGTCAACCAACGAAGTATGAACTTTTGGGTTACAAAAATTCACACTTAATCATCTGAGACTCATTCACCAGAAATCCAATCAGCACTCCAGTGAGAATTCGATAGCACGTGACCTCGACACTTCACCAACCCATCCTCCACGACATCTCAAGCCCAAGCAAAACTATTCGATGCCATCAAAAATGCCTCGAGGTGCTGAATCGCCTCCACACACTCCCCTCTCGCCTAATTGAGGACATCACAAAACCGAACGAACGAACCCCTTTCCATCTCGCTTAGCCCCAACCCATCCTCAGAGACAATCTCAGAGTTTCCACTTACCCTTGATAGCTATCCGTCTCTCCACTCATCCCGACATACATACTTTTCAGAAGCATCAAGCCGCCACACTCAAGCAATGCTCACTCTTCAATCCAATAAATGTCAAAACGTCAATCAGCTCTCCCCGGCAGGCCAAGTCAGCGTATAACGTTCCAGAAAACACACATCCCGCAAGTAAAATGTGAATTCTTCTAACTCCTTCCTCTTCACCCGACACACCACTCTCCAACATACATCTCAATCCTCGGTTCAAAGCTTATATCCCCATATCTTCCTCTCACCTACCCGCTCACAACCCCCCAACCCCCAGCTAAACCAAACCTCCAACCTCCCACCCTCCACCCTCCACATCCACATCCACTCTCCACCACCCAAAGACGCCACCACCCCTCCACCCCCCAACCAACCAAAAGACAGCAAACCCGCTGCCACTCGACCCTCACCCGTGCATGCAGACCTCTACAACCGCAGCAGCCACCTAGGCTAGACTAGCACAGGCTTCACAGGCTTACAAGATGCAGAAATAAAGAGAGAGAGAGAAATAAAGAATGAAGAAGTAAAGTACTTCCTTCCCTTTTCGAAAGCAGAATAGCTATGCTTGACAACCTCCCTCAACACAAAGGCAGAGAAACCAAGCTAGAGAGCTACCATACCTTCCCTTCCCTTCTCCCTCTAACAAGTCATAAACATACAACTATACAACTACGCCGCTATCGAGGAACAGAAAATAAACAGGAAAAACTGTAAAGCTACATACCTGCCTACTCATTCTTCCTAGAGCCCTTGGGTTGTACTCCCTACAACAAAAACTTCACCGCCAGGATACGTCCAGGGAGTCCAGGGAGGAACAAGCAAGTCAGACTATCCATCCATTCATTCACCCATATATTTCTCTTGGGACTTAGTATTTAGGGTGAAGAGCAAACAAGCCTGCCCTGTCCTCGGTGTACTGTAGGAAAAAAGGATGAGGACGAGGAGACTTCTCACATCACATCACGTGGCAAATACCAACCCCTGTCCCACTAAATAAGCAGCCTCTGATTGGCTCCACAGTCAAACCAGCACTCACCTACATCACAAGTACCACAGAATCACACAAAGTTCACCCGAGACGGAGAAAACGAATTGTCCACAAATATGCAACCCCATTGCATTCAGGAATCTCTCTCTCTCATAGCACCGAAGATAATATGTGCTAGCTAGCAGCTGCGCCTTTACCAGCCCACCACACAAACTCCAGTCCAGTTCGATTACAGCGATCCCGTTGCACCTGATCACATATTCATGTCGCGCGTCGAATGCAAGCAATCAACTACTAGGTAACTTAAAAATCATTTCTCCTTTCCGTTCCTTCCCTTCCCTCCTTTGCTCAGAACACCTAAACTTACAAGCGCGGCTTTCGAGTTCACCGTCGGCGCAGATAACCATGCCCATGTGCAAAATGCTCCGCTCCAGATCCCATCCATCTATGGAAGGTTTTACCAGAATTAGACTCCAAAACAGTGTGGTGTGTGTTATGTATGGACAATTCTAGCTCCCGCCCGATGATGAGATATGCAACGCAACGAACGCAGTCCAGGCAATGTAAATGCAACCCTGATGAATAGAGGCCCCGATTTTGGAACAAAAGAAAATATTGGGTACTGTTATGACAATTGGTGTGGTGGTGAAGACTATGTATAGGGCGAGGTTATTTTCAAAAGTAATTAGAGGATTCCCTCCCACATGCCTGGCTTGCCGAAACCAAGTGTTGGATGATAATGTTGGGGTAGTCCCCGAGTAGCTTCTGTTGAGCAACAGACTCTCTTTCGTCCGAGAGACGCATTTGACGTAGAGCGAGAAATAGCAACTTGGGCGTTCGAGCTAGTGTCCATGGCTCGCGAAGCGCGAGTACGGACAAAGTCATCAGACCAGTTACTCTCGCTTGGATGATAGCGACCGCTCAACATCTCTCTAACATTCTCCTGAAGAGTATTGTCAATAGAGTGTGTTCGGCTACGCTTTGCACCAGCTCTGCTTGGAGAATCCACAGATCTTGGATGATTGTGAAGTTCCTGCAAGGCACGTGCTGCTTCCTCATCCTTGGAGAAGTAGTCATCTGCTTCTCGTCTTGCCAATGGGGTGTCCAATGACAAGTCGAGGAAATCTTTCCCAACAGGTCCGGTGTAGGACTCTGGTGATGAAGTTGGGCCATTGTCGCAGTATGCTTCGGGAACTGTAGCAATGATGGTCCTGTTCTGTCTCTCACTGCAGAGCTTCGCATACCGGCAGCGCGCTTGGACGTCCAGCTTGGACGAGATGGGCGCGCACGCGAGTGACGAAGCCGACGAGATCGAGGATGAACGAGACGATCGGGACGAGTTATCCGATACCATTGATTCTGGCGACGACATCGAAGAGACCGAATTGGCCAGTGACGAGCGACGTTGAGAGACGTATGACTGAGGTGAAGATGACAATTGTGGTTGCCACTTCTCGTTGACTTGCGCAGCAGAGATGCTGGAAGCTTGGGCCATGGCATACCCCATGGAACTTTTGCTGAGCATGTAGGAAGCGGCACTCACTGCAGGAGTGTTGAATCCGGTGCTCTGTGGAGTCAGTCTTGGTGTAGGTAACAGACCAAGAGCGGGCGCAGGCTTGCTAGGAGGGTAAGCAGTGGATGGTGATGGTTCCATCACACTGGGTGTATAATATTTTGGAGTTGGAGTTGATTCATTGGAACCATATCCAAAGGTGTTGCGATCGGTAACCATAGGCACGAAAGATCGTGGGCAGGTCGCGCTAATAGATTTGACATTTGCCTTCGCAGATGTCGATGGTACAATCCCATCAATGTTATCCAACTCGGGGTTGAGCCTAAGAATGATTGACTTCCAATCAGCCGATTGTTCAGCGAGGCCTCGTGAACAACCGGAGCCTGGAGAAGGTGGTTGCGTTGGTGTGTATTTAAGAACGATATCGGCCCAGCGTTGGAAGACGGGTTCGGTTATGTGCAACTGCCAGTTGACAGCTAATAAGAATGCCATTTCGTTTTGGTTGATCTCCAGAGTGTTAAGTCCTGAAATCTTGCTCCACGCGCGAGCGGAGTAATTACGATCCTGGAGATACTTTGAAGCGAGAATAAGAGCTGCAAGGAACATGCGACGGCCGCACTGCAGAGCACGAATGGAGTGTGCATCGTCAGGCTGCTCCATGGTAAAGTCGTGTTTTGGAACGTGAGGCTTGATCAAGATCAGGTAGTACAAGGCTACTTGCAGGGTCGAGTAGCTTGTCCTTGATCGTCGAAGAGTCTCTTGAATGAATGTACGTAAAGGAAGAACCCCTTTGTTTCCCATCTCGCTTCTGCAAGGGACGGATGAGAGGGGCCAGATTGCCTCGACAATCTGGGCTGAAGAATCTGGGGATGTTATTGAGTGGGGGCACTTATTGGAGGATTTCATCATGTCTTACCGACGAGGCTGTCGACAAAGCTGACCTTACGATCGCATTGGCGGACTAACGAAGGTGGACACCCTGAACGTGCTGTGACACTAGTTCTTCTAGGGTGTTGTCGCTGTTCTTGTCCAACTTCGACATTGGTGTTGTGCTTCGGATAGTATGCCGCAACGGCAATAACTTGCTCGCAGGCATTGCTGGAAGTTGTAAAGGAAGGTGCTGGCTGACTTGAAGTCAAGCAGTATGTTTCGGAAAGGTCTGGGTCGGGATTTGAGGAGTCGTCCGAGGATTGGGAGGAGGCATCGGACCAGATAGAGGCGGTCGAGGAGGAGGCGGAGGAAGCTACAGAAGAGCTGTATGGACCATTTTGATATGCAGATATGTAAGGCGGCGAATCATTCTCGCCGCAATTCATCTTCGGGGTGTTCGAGGGTGGTGAAGTTGTGATTCGTCAAAACTCCAGTCGCCGTCTGTACAAAGCCAAACCGATAAACCGTTATAGACTGTGAGACCTTCTGACTAGATACAGGCTCATGCAACAGCAGACGCCGTTGCGGAGCGAGATGATCGAGGGAGGAGGAGACAAGCTAGAGTGAAGAGTCCGTAGCGGATCCTTCACGTACGATAAAACCGGTTGACGATGTAAGACTGGCGACTGGGGAAAATTCGGCGGGGACGAGGAGCATGGTGACCTTTTCGACGGTGGAAATGGTACTTGTTGAGATGAATGGTGGGCTAGTTGCGAATACTAGCTACCATCGAGAGAGATGTGCCGGGTGGAGGAGGAAGGTATGTATTAATTCGAAGAGGGCGTGGGGTTCGTAGGGTAGGTCGAGGAGGGAGGTCGAGTTTTATTATTAACACGTTACTGAAGGATTGAGTGGAGTGGTTGGTGGGCGAGAAAGGTGTTCTTTGGAGATGTCGTTGGGACTGCGTGGTAGGTAGAGTCAGAGGCACCGAGTGACTGTGTCTCCAAGTGGCAAGAGCTAAGGAGCCGCCGAAATCGCGACCGCAGGCAGTGAAGTCTGGTGCTGCACACAACAACCAGGCTTCCTCCTCCTGCTGGGTATCAAAGGGATAAAAGAATAGCAAACAAAGGATGCGCGTAAATAAAGAAGCGTGGCGAGGCAGTCGAATTCAGGTTCGTTGGGGGGAAGAAAGGACGTGTGACTGTGACTGGGTGGATGGAGTCACTGGGGGGGAGGCGAGGTGGTCGGTCGCTTTTTGTCGCAGCAGCAGCAGCAGCAGCAGCAGAACAAGAGTCGGAATGGCGGGTAACAATCAGGATTGGGTATTCGAGAAGGTTTGAGGAAAATCGGGAGTGCAGATGTATAATAAAAAAGGTGAGCAGATGTTTGATCAGAGAGCAAGCGGCGTTTGGATGGGATTTCGAGTGAAAGAGCCCTCTATTGCATCTTTGGATCGTACATTGCTGCGTTGAGGTAGAAAGGACTGACTGCGGGCATGGCGATGGTTTTGTTAGGAGTGAGATGGATGGGGGAGGAGATGGCTCATGGGTGGCCGTGGCCGTGGCCCCTCAAGCGACGGAACGATTTGCCTGGCCTGGTCTGTCTGGCCACTTGCGCTGCTTGTGCTTGGTGGGTGGCTGTTGGTCTCTGCTGCTGCTGCTGCGCTGGGCTGCGCTGGGCTGCGCTGCACGGGAGAGGAGAACTACGCGAGAATTTCGAATAATGAAGAGTCACATCTTCGACACCTCCGCCACTCAACCCAAGGGACCAAGTCGTACCAACCATGCGCATCCTTGATGACCAGACCTCCTCCACTCAAACATTATTATTATTATTACTGTCTGGTTATTCCACTTCCGTCCAGTCCAGTCAAGTCCACTCCAGTTCAGACAAGATTCAAGTGAGTCTCCACCCAGCACAGACCAGCAGCGATATTATTATTCGCCTCCTCCATGATCCCATCCATCCCATCGTCCTATCCCAAATGATCCTGTCTCCATCCTGTACCATCCATCCATCCACCCATCTCGTCCCCTCATCGCCTCTCTTTTGCCTTCGCCTTCATTTTCGGAGTCTGGCACACCCCAAACCAGCGCCCGGCGACGGGACCCAAACCCAACTCGTCCAAGACTATCATCATCATCATCTCGCCCGCCAGCCTACCACGCTCCACGCAATGGCAACCTGAACATCGTGATCTCTCTCGCTCTCTCCCTGTTCCTGTCAGGCCAGCCCCGAACTGGTGCTGTGCATCGACGACGACCACTTTCGACAAACTTTTTACCCAGCCTCTCATTCATCCATGCGGCAAGGTCATTTTCTCGCAGTGACTCGACAAAGGCTGTTTGATGTTCCGGCTCCCCTTCTACAATAGTAACAATACGCACCTCGCACTTACACCTCCCTGGGCCACTCAGGTGGACGCGCTCCCTCAGCCGGCCTGTAAACAGAAGTGTACACATACGCAACACAGCTGGACGTGTAGCACAGCCTTGCACTGACTGACTTCACGGCATCAAATCTCCCCCTTTGCGATCTAGATGAAAGTGTGGAGAAGCGACACGAATCTCTAAAATTCCCCTATCTTGTGTCCTATTCTGTCCTCCATCTCCATCTCCATTTCTGACAGACTCATCTGGACGTTGCGTATTTTCAGGTCTGCGGTGCAGTAGTCATGCAGCAGCAGCATGAGCCGTCCGCTGTGCTGTGCTGAGCTGTGTTACGGCATATTTGGGATCTGGATCGAGAAAATAGAACATGGACGGTTCAAAATGGTTGCTCTCAGCCTCCCCGAATTGCGACTTTCCCAAGCAGATAATTCGTGTCCTCAAACCTTCCCGTACAGTACGCTTGCTGGACCCATGGTTCATGCTTCGGGCTTGGGTTTAGGCGTGCCCATCTTTGGATCGTCCAAGATTGATGTTCTTATCGCCACGTTGCCGCTTCATCATGATTTGGGCTAGATTGGGTTCACGGCAATGTATCCACAGGTTCGCCTTCGGCCTGAAAGTTACTCAGAGTTACTCACGACACAAAACCGCCAAGCTGGATAATGCAACTGCAACCCACATCGAGGCGATCGATGAGGGCGACGAGGGGGTCGACAACCCGATATCCGTGTCATCTACATCTCATGAAACTCAACACACCACTAAGCACGTCAGCCCCCTCTAAGCCTGGCTGTTCAGGAGATGTCGAGTCAGCCTTCTTATTCTCCCAGGCACAGGAACGTCCATCATGAACAACCTCCAACATGAGACTCAAAATACTCGGGAGGATATATCGGCAGGACCAAAAAGATTCAAGGCATCCAAGGCGTTCAGCTCCTTCCCACGTAATCCGGTGCATATCCTCTCGATCGAAGGCGCAACAAGCAAAAAGAAGGATAATCAGTTTCTGGATCCCATCGACATCAAAAAATGTTACATCCTTGACACACACAGCCATTCAGCATCGTGAAGGCTTCCCCGCTCTCAGATGAAGACGGGCGATGATTGGCTTCACCCGACAGCAACATCGGCATCATGCTGCAGCTTGCTTCATGCTCGCCCCGGCGCTGCTTCACTGGCCCGCCCAATTACTGCAATAAATCCTTCCTGTCGCCAGCCTATCTATCTCTTTACTACTACTCAGCGGCAGCATGCCACGCAGCAGCAGCTTTCCCCTCTTCTTTCTCTCCAAAGAAGGAAAAACCTACATCTGAAGCAAGCTTTCCACCACCATAGAAATTTCTAGAGGAATCCAATCCCCCAGATTCCACTTCGGTGGGTTCGTTCGTGATCGAACAGCAAAACCCTCCCAATCAAGAAAAAAGTGCGAAGGAATGAATCAATGACTCAACGTAGCCTTGCTCACTCATCCATCCATCCCTCCTCCCTCGCTCGCTCGCTCGTTCCAGGCTGCAAGCGTCAGTCAGTCAGATGTAATACAAACCAGACCCGCGAACGGGACGCCAGCTCTCGTATCACCGAGTCTGGAACAAACAACGACCATCATCACGAGCCTCGTACAGAAAAATCTCGTACTCGATTATGAGCTGAAAAGTCAAAATTTTCATCTCTTCAAGTCACGAAGCCTTTCCATCAGGTGACGGGAGACAGAAAATCCCTCGTCGCCGAGAGAATACAACCCTCCGAAAGAAACAAAGAAACATCAATGACTCTTCCATTAACCCCCATGAACAGACTTTGAAATACGGTACCGTGATCCGCCCTCCTAACCGCGCGCTTTCACCCTGAAACCACCAGATCTCACCAAAACATCACGCTGACTCACAAAAAATTTTCCTCCCTTTCAACCATCATCTGCTGACATCCCGATCCTTCCTCGTGCCAAACTCCGAAACTAGCCGGCCCACCCACTTCCAAGTTCAAATCTGCCGGTTTCGGTTCTCGGTTTTCGCCCCCAGACAATAGATTGGGCGGGAAGATCTAGACCAGAATGGTAATATTCTAGAATATCGCTAGGCTTCCGTCGATCGTTGAGGCCGGTTCCCCGATCCTTTCTCTGCAGACCCGACATCAGGTCTGGAGCAGAACGAAACGAACGGAGCCGAGGAAATAATGAAGGCTTCGTACGAGAAAGAAAGAACACTCTGCAAAGACTTCTCCCGAGCCACACCCCTCAAGGCCGTAAGAGAAATGAAAGGGGAGGAACAACATCTCCCCGAATCCCGAGAAAGGTAATACGAGCTTGTTTATTGGTTACTTGCTTAGTTAGCTAGTTTAGTAACGGATCAGACAGGATGAGATAGTTGAGTCATCGGCAACGGGCGGAGGTGGGGTTTGATGGTCTATGATCGCGTACACACACTCGCCACTGTGGCGTGGGCATTTCCGGGCGGGAATAATGATTGAGCGAGAATTTATGCGTTTTGCATAATTCACCTAAGTAATTTTCATAATTTGGTATCTAGAAAGGAGTGATGATGAGAAAATCTGTAGAATGTCTCACTCCCTTCTCTCAGCTCAGCCAATCGATGCTATATCGTGTCGTACAAAGCACACTCGGCCCCCCAAGCAACCGCGGAATAGGCAGCAGCCTCTCATCTTCACCCGCCCGAGCTCAAAATATGTATGTCATGCAGGCAGGCCATCGGTTGCTGAGATAGGATAGGCAGAAGAGGGGACGCCACATACATACATATTTACTTGAATCAGGCTGGCTGGCAACGGATCTTCAGCTATGCGGTTGCAATTTGGCAGCCTTGCATCACGAATTCGCCTTACCTGACCCTCCTGACGTTTGTTTGTTTGTTGGTTTGCTGGCAAGGAAAGGCTGTAGGCTGTAGGCACTAGGCTGACTTCCTACCTATCTATCCTTTCTAGTATGTATGTATGTATGTGCTACGTGATGGATTGGTGGTGTGATAAGACGGAGTATTTCATTCATTCAATCAATCAGTTGTTCATGCAATAGGTAGGCAACCGAAGCGAGCGAGGCAACGAACTGTGCCTGTTTCAGTACTGTTCTGGAAGAACCTTGGCTGGGCTGGGATTGGTATGAGTCAATGGTTCGCACGTAATGAAGGTGGTGTCACCTGCTCGTGAATGAGTGGGGAATGATGATGGGCGGACGGGAGGATTTGGTGATGATGGAGATTAGTGAGATGGAAGAGGTGGTGATCAAGTGATAATTATTGTGCCAGAGTAAGTGAGTGATGATTTGTGGCAGCGGTTGGTGATGGCTTAAGGATGGAAGGAGTGATTCTGGTAGAGGGAGTGAGGTCTGAAATCAGAGATTCGTCGCGGAGAAAGGGAGTTTGGGAGGTTGTGCGTTGGTATTGATGTGCCTTAAGTTAAAGGCTGCTTAAAGGGAAATGTAAGCATCTGGAGCTGAGGCGGTAATGCGTGAATTCGTATTTTTGTATTTTGAAAGTGTCCTGCTTTTGCGTTTGCTCGTTTCATATTTCTACTCCTCGTTATCGACAATTAAATGCTTCAGTAGTACGAGTTTGAGTATATGTAGGAGGTGAGATTGCTTGTAAGACACCGAGTAAGTTAAGGGAGAATGAGGAAGTCAATCAATGTGTGATCTTCGCTTTGCCGCTGGAGATACATGTTTGTACGAGTCAGCGGCTCAGGTATTGGTCTAGAAGCTCGTTGTTGTGTACGTTGATGTGTAGACGGAGGGCAATATCCTGAGATGCTTTTCTTTGAAATGAGACCTAGCTTCGCTGTGACTTCAGATGTTAATTTCTAGTGCTTTCTCAATTTTGTATTGGCTGCAGGTTGTTGGTGTCTATGGAGTAAATGGAAGGTAGAGTCGATGAAATGATTTGCCAATGGATATTGAGAGACTTGAAGGTGTTCAAGATGGAAATGGGTATGAGGAACCTTTTTTGTGAAAACTATTTGGTTTGCGCTTGCCGGTTTCTTGTCACATCATGGCAGATCTGCCCTATCATTGGGAAATGTTTTCTTGAGCTGGGGACAAAGCGCAATCGCGTTCTGTCGTTGTTTTGGTCAATGATTCTGTTTGTCCGTCTATGGTCTTTTATGGAATGAGAAACTTGTCATTTGTAGTATTAACTTTAGGTACAGATTTGCGCTTGCGTATCATCAGAAATTTAGCACTTGCCTCTATATCACCTCCCTCTTGTCCTCCTCGAATGCGCTTTCGTTTCATTGGAAGTAGATATCAATCCTGTATGTCCTCCTTTTCCTGCTCTAAACTGAAGTGGATCTGATACTGCAGCGGGGCAGAACACTAGCAAATTTGATCACTGCTTTACCAGAATTTTGGCCCTCAGAAGTATTTAATTTCACAGCTCATTACGAAAACGACGACATGAGCAGTAGTATTCTTGTAGTGGTATCGGTGTCCGTATGATCTATGGCGTTGCTGTAGTTGTTGTGAGCTGTTGTGATCACAGGGATACGTTCAGGTTTCCTTTCCCTTCGGGACGCCTTTTTAGCAGACTGGAGTGCTCGACAATCTTGAACTTCTTCAGTAAGTTGGAGATACCTGGCGTTTTATTTGTTGATCTGCGCAAATGCTTCAGGCTCTGTTTGCCTGTAGTGGTTTTAAATGCTGTGCTCAAGAACTTCTTCTCCTGTGGGGTGAGGCATACTATCTTGGAATAGGAGCAGCCAGCGTTGGGCTTTGAGATGGTGGGGGTTGTCATAGAAGACAGCATAAATTTCAGAGAATATCCAAGTCCCACCACCTTGGCTTTGCTACTTGAATTTTTCCTAAGTATTGAGAGAAGCCCGTACATACTAGTGCCCGCGAGGTTTGTGCCCTAGAGGTTTCGCGTCACAAACATGTCGTCCTCGCGTCATGCTTGATCCGACTAGCGTCCCAGGGCATAAATTATCACGCCTTTCCACTTCATGAGAACACAGTCTCTCCGGAAACACAAAACACAGAGGGAAATGACTACCTCCAAGGAAACCTCCGTCCAGGAGCTTCCTACCGACGCGGAGCCTTCAAAAAGCGAAACGTCCACCTCCCTCAAGACTTCCGCTCAAGATCTTCTTACCAACATGGAGTCGTCAAACTTGCGCGACGAAGACTCTGGCAACATCCCCTCCACCGATGTACAGGAAGTTTGCGCTTCTGACGATCCCCTCTTCGAATACTTCCCAGATCTTCCCCTCGAACTCCGCCAGAAGATCTGGAAGCACGCAATTCCCCTCTTTCCACGTATCGTCATGTTCGACCTCTCCGACAGCAATCGCAACCGAGCCATGATATACACTCCATCCACTCAAGACAAATGGGTCGTCTCAGTCAGCTCTCCCGCGACACTACTTAATGTATGCCACGAAGCCAGAGAGGAGATTTTGCAGTACTACGACACTCCTCTGGTTGATCATGGAACCACGCTACGTCCTAGTTGTATCCTAATCAACCTCGAAATCGACCTGCTGTTCTTTACTTCGCTTGATACCTTTGTCAAGGCTAACTACAGAGAGGGACTCTACGATTGCATTCAGCAAATCTTCGGTCCTACATACGGAAACAAGATCAGAGAAGAATTGCGCCACCTTGCGATCGATCACAAATTGGCACTGAAAATCTGTGACCCAATTTCGCTCAACCCTCCTTCCCACGCAGGTTTCAACTTGGAGTATATGGAGATTGTGTTTGATTTGAGCTACAGGAAGATGCCCCGTCGGAAGGTGTATCGTGGGGACGGATTGTGGAGAAACCCGCTATGGAACGATTTCGATGAGGATCGACAAGCTCAACTTATGAAGTGGGGCGCTGTGGATTTTACAGAGGGGCGGGGTGCGGTATTGGTCAAGGATGATACGGACTCGGAAGTTTCTTCATCAATCTCTCCCTCCGGAAACCTGATTCTCCGTGCATCCAAGCCAGTATACGTACTTTGAGATGATGGGAGATTGACGAAGCTGGATCAGATAGCTGGTAGTACATTCAAGAAGGATTCTTCCTGAATATCAGCCACTTTTTTCAGATAACCAATGAACTGAATGACCTTCTTCAACACCGCTCTTCTCTATGTGATCTTCTACCAGCAAGGCCCTGTATATTTTCGGATTGATCGTACTCAGTGCCATTACTCATCTATCTCTCGAAGAACCCACTTCTCAGACTTGTATTGCCCCACAGAATTTGGAACAACATTATCTTTCATTCCATTTTCTAAGATATCCTTTGCTCGTGAATCCATACATTGGCCGCCACCTGGCAGGTCGTATAGCGTTAAATACGCATTTTCCTACCCTCCAATCGACCAAATACGAGTATATGTTGCCATGCGCCTGGCGCAGGTGGTTTGTTCTCTCTTTTTTGGTTTATTTTTGTTTGTTTTTTTGAGGGAGAAATCTAGGCCGTAACGAAATTTTCGCTACGAGGTTTAGCCTATGGAGATGCAAGGAGGGAGTGAGTTGTGTTGTACAGTGTATCTGGTCATATGTTAGTTCTGGCTCCTTGACTATTTTACTTCAATTTAAAGGTGAGAGAACTTACGCCACTTCAAAGTACTTAACTACTGACAGACTTTAATCTTTATGCAAACTCTGCACCCTCAGATTAAAGTATCATGCATCCATATTTCTGGCAAACTGACATATGATCACGGGGTACGAAAGGGGGACCGTAGCGAGATTCTCGCTACGGGGTTTAGCCGGTCTTCGATTTAGGGAGTGGAAGGAGGCAAGTGGATTGTGATATATGCAGTAAATTGCGGGGTTGTGAAGATGTGGAGATGGAGAAAGGATAGAATCGTATATTAACAGTTACTGTATGCTGGGAAGTACTGGAATAACGCCGAGATGATAATATTGTAGGTAGCACGGCGAACGACGATCTTACGACAATTTTGGCAGCTAATTGACTTGCTAGAGATCTGGTAGGTGTATTCTGATGAAGGATTTACCTCGGTATGATAGAACAACATTCTTTATCTGATCCTATCATGCTTCTCACCAGTCTTCCAACTTCTTTGATACCAGCTTCTCTTTTATACTGCTTTCAAGAATGTGTATTAAAACCTAGTGTGTGTTCTGGTATTCAGGAGGAGTTCATTGTTGGAGGAGGAGGGGGGGGAGATATGTGTCTGCTTTCTTCGACATTCGGTATTCTTATGAATTCATTAGCAATGCCTTGTTGGGGTGAATTCGAGTAACTTACAACTTAGTATTGCGCCCTAATAGCTATTCTTGCACTCACATTTGGCTGTTGGACTACAACCTTGTTCCAGAAGGGGTCATCGAACAACGAAAGCAGATCGGAGAGCTGTGGCCAGATAGAAGGAGTTATTGATTCCAAGATTCGTACAATGTGTTTTAACAGGAAGCTCGAAGCTTGAAGCTTGATTCCTCGACAGGCTGGGCAGATTACTGTGGATGTTATTAACTTGGCGCTACGGGGAAGGAAAATGTTGAGGTTTACCTGTGAAGACATCGAATCTCCTTGGAACCCCTAGTTGGAAAAGAGCTTCCGGAACTTGATGTGCATTTTATTGGGCGGTGCTTCTGCTGCGTCTGAATTAAGTTTTGCATTGAATTCAAAGCCACCGGTCAAAGGAATCCTCAAGAAAGACAGCTTCGTAGACACTCCACCTCTTTTCTGGGCACCTACCGCCTTATGGCAGTACATATTCTTGCTACTGGCACCCTTCCGTCAAAACCCTTGAGAATGAAAAGCCGATCTCCGCTTTGTTTTTAAAACCTCATCCTCCTCAACAACGCAACCGCCACTGAATGTCAATCAAGCATTGATTTTAACAATGACGGAGCGCAAGGATCTCGAAGATCTCAATGATGCCAATGTCGCGTCCAGCAGCGAGGGAGCGGTCACTAGCACCTCTACAAAGACAACAAACCTCGCCGCGATCTTCTCCGAGAGCCACTATCCAGCTACGATGATGCGTGTCACAGGAACTTCGTCTACGTCCTCTGCTTTTACAAGAAGCAATCGCGACATCAAAAGGAAACGTGTTGATGAGTACGTTAACATGATGATGATGGATTACAGCATTGGATCTTCCTCTGGCAGCAACGAAAAGTGTTCCTTTGAAGAGGGTTATACCAGTATTGAGGAGGAGGAGGATGCGAATAGCACCACTGATACAGAATCGACAAGTAGGGCTACGGTAGCTTCTTCCGCAAGAGATACTCCTGTTGATGTGGAGATCGGAATTACCTTCCAATACTTCAAGACGCTCCCCATTACGGTTCGCCAAAAGATTGTACGTATAACCTAACTCCATACGTATTCTTTTGTGTATGAGGGGCGGAGCTGCTGAGACCTGCTCTGAATGGTTTCCTAAAGTGGCTCTGTTCCTCCATTCCAAGGCTCCTGGTCCTTCCTCAAAGTCCATACTAAGTCCTTCTAGCTGCGGAATGCAATGCGGCTGTTCCCGCGGATTATAGAATTCAGGAAGCCTGGTATCAGAATGAAGGATGCCAACGGTTTCCCGCGCGAAAAGTGGATTGTCTCGGCCAGCTCTATCCCAACCCTGCTCTCTGTCAACAAGGAAGCCAGAGCTACCCTCCTGCCTTTCTACAACACGTTTATCTTCGACTTCCTGGTAGAAGATAACGAGCAACGACTTGCAAAGAACCTTCTCATGAACTTCGAGCACGATACCCTATTTATTAGGGCCCGAGAGCTTTGCACCAGATACTACGATTCGGAGCCTCTTTGGGACTCATTCAAAGATATCTTTGGGTATGTATAAAGCTTCCCTACAACTACCATATCATCGAGAGACGAGTTGCTAGAAAGTTTCTGCCAGCCGTCTAATGTTTCCTGTTCCGAAGTTTTGAGGATGTCGCTGATTTCGTCTAGTCTCTCATTCCAGTCTATTCTCAATGACAACCTTAAATCCCTAGCTGTCAACACGAAGATGCAACACATCATGAAGTACGAACTTGAGCAAGGTGTTGAGGGTCTTGAGAAGTTCCTGGTCGTGTCTGATTCCTTTCCACGCGCTTGGTACAACACGCAAGGAAGAGTGGTGGAGTTCAAGCCTCGTCAGAATACTGAGCTGCGCCGCGTACCATTTGATACGAAGATGATACAGTGGGAGGATGTTGAGTGGGTTGGCGACTTTGAGCAAGTGTCGTGTGTTTGGAGCAAGGGAGACGGTGCGCTGGATGATGATGAGTACAACTACTGATCAGTGAGGGATGAGACGATATGGTATCCATGGTTGACAGCATAGATTGAATTCCGGCGACATTAGCTTGTAATTCGAATGTTGAACCTTCCATGACAGCTTTCATGGGGAAAGGCCACCAATACGTTGACCCATTGCTCAGACACTGTGACTCTGACTCCGCAATGTGCCCCAATACCCGACGATCAACGACATGATGGGTGTTCCTGATCGCAGGTGCTCCTGTATCTTAGTGTTCGCAACTTCAAAGGAGCAAAAAGTCGCTGATCATATCTTTCCGTCTTGTCTTTGAATTTGTAACTTGCGCTTTTCACTGTAAATGTGAGGAAACCTTAATCCACCAACGCTTTGTTTTCTGCTTCAATACTGAAATCCAAAGTCTCCAGCTCCAGCCCATGTTCCCTTCTTGATTACGGCTGACCCTTAAATAGAAAGAAGGATTCGTCTGACAACATGAAAAACAGAGCGATTTGCTAAAAGATAAAGAATAATTTGTTTAGAAACTAGTTTAATTTACTTACTTACAAGAGATCTTGTTCATATCATTACTTACTAAAGCACTACTCACATCAATACTGTAGTGGGAAGTATCACATTCCGAACGTTTTTCCTTTTCGTTGCAAACCGTCGCCAACCGACCTTCCCGTGACTTTCCCCCTTTTCAACAGACTACAGGTACTCAATACTTCCGTCTAGCAATTTACACTCAATTGTCAACAAAGGAGTAGTGACGAATTGAGCATTAGCATTCAAGATATGTTCCAATCTTTGATGCATGCTGTGAAAACGTCCACAACACAGTTCAAAACTAGTGTTGCTTTGAATGTGGACTCAAGTATGTATCTTGGTCGGGGTGTCTGCCAGCACTCCATTCTAGCTGGTCACAATCTCTAGCATTCAGATTGACAACACAAAATGCAATATTGCAGTGGACATTGACGACATTGGACCAAGTCTTCAAAGTATTCACAGGCGTGAAAGGAAACGTCTAGACAAAGGACACCAATACATACATGTCCATGACTGCGACACATAATTATCAGACTTCGTCGAAGATCACACATATAAGATTCCAAGAAAGAGCCTCGATACGACCACAAGCACTGCACACAGATGCCAGTTCTTGGTCACGGGGAGGATGAATGTAATTTTGGGGCCAGTGTCTAATTTAGAGATACCTTCTTGATTCGTGACATGGACCCTCCGAATGTTGGTTTCGCAACCAAAACATACACGAACGATATAGGGTATTTTCTTTCAATCATGGATGATTTCAGCGAACATCATATTAGATTGAAGTATAGTTTGTAGAACAATCTCGAACAGAACTTTCGACCCTCGAAAGTCCTCAGAGTCCCGAGTTATGATCAAGTGGCACAGCACCTGGAGCGGGAGTAGTTGCTGGGCTCCCTTCACAATTGGCATCAAACTTGCTCAACGGTATCATCTGTGTCATCTAACCGTTCCACGCAAACTCGATTGCATCACCACCTGGAGCATAGGCATTCCATCCCTGTGCCGGCAAGCCATTGACAGGATCTTGCATGAAAGCAAGCCAAAGATCTTGCATGCGATGCGAAACAGCGTATTCAAATGCCGTCGATGCCGAATGTGCGATGTCGTGGGTACCGAATATCAGTGGCAGTTCGGATGAATGGTAGGCACCTTCCCATGTGCGAGGAGAGATATTGGAAAAGTTTCCAGTGTAGTAGTAGCGAAATGTTGTTGTATTTGCTGCGTAGTGATTACTAGAATCATTCAGTCAGTCAAGTCGAACTGTGGAGGAGAGGGAAAGAATGCTGACTGAGTAGTCTGTTGAGCCCAACATGCTCGTTGTACAGTATTGATGTTGGCTGCAGTTTCATTGTAGGTGGTTCCGTTGTTGATCCAAGCAGTGAGTGATGATCCTTCATTGTTGTTCGTCCCGTGAATAGCGGGCTTTAAGAGTTAGCATTGCTGATCATGATTTACAAAATCTACTTACCACTTTTGAAAAGTTCCCAGCCAGAGCTCGAGCTGTGTAGTTATCGAATCGTGTGATGTTATCCACGATAGGAGTAAAGCTGATGGTAGGAGCTGTTCCAGCATCCTGGTAGGACTTCAAGAACGCCTCGATATGTGACTGGCTGATATTTTTCATGCACGCAAGCTCAGCAGCAGCAGTCAAGTTTCCACAGCCAAGATTACCGGCAACAAACGTAAAGTTCAAACCTTGTGGGTCTGGGCTGGGTGCTGCTCCAAGTGCTGAGGATGAATCCATAATCATGCCCGAGATTATAGGATCAGTTGGATAAGCGAAGTTGTAGTAATCAGTGGAACCGGCTCCAGCAGACTGCCCCCAAAGGGTGATTCTCGATACATCACCTCCGAAGTTTGCAATGTTTGAGCGGACCCATTCGAGAGCAACCCGTTGATCAAGAAGTCCGAGGTTGAGCACGGGATTGATGCCAGCTGCGTGAGGGTTTCCAAAAATGTTAAGACGGTAGCTGAAACAACGTTAGGTTATGACCATGGGATAATCAAGAGATCTACTCACTTAATTTGTACCACAATATGGGCCTGGCTTCTCTGCACCCATGATGTAGGTATCTGATATTCAATTTGAGCTCCGCCAGTCACCTAGCCCCACCATAAATCCACACAATGACAGGTAACTTGTCTGTGCAGTTTGTCTTTGAGGTATACGGAGCCCATATACTAAGTGTGAGGCAATGTTCGGAAGTAGGACCTGAAATCAAGAAGTCTCGCGAGTCAATCTCATATACTGATGGAATTGACGTATCGTATTCCGAGAAATTGAGCAACATCTGGATGGGTTCCATTGACCAAGCCATACACAGTGCCCACTGTAGTGTCTACTTTCAAAGAACCGACAGCGGCACAAATAGGGAGAGTCCATGCAATGACAAGAAGAAAAAGGCTGCCTTGAGCGAGACAATGGTTTGACATCATCAGGGGCAATAAGATGATATTCAGAAACATATACGGTATTTGCGAAAAGGAGAGAATGAGATCGAAGATATATATCGCATTGCAGTCATCAGTGAATATTCAGAGACTCCACTTTACGTGTAGAGCGAACATTGCCAAGAGATATAGCCTTTTTGGCCCTGGTTGCCCACTCAATGCGGGGTAAGAAACGACCAAGCAATCAACCAAACCAGAGTGAAAAGCATGCTGAATAGGCCCGAAATAAAAGACCGTCAAGCTCGTTAGCTACTTGAAAAATCGTTGCCAAGCCGGAAGTCTGCTGCCCTGTAGACTTGAGGTCAACTAAAGCTGCACAATCCATAGCTTTGTGGGGATCTTTGCAGAGTATCGCTGTTGCGGGGAAGCGCGGGGCACTATGGCGGGGTAACTCCAACCTGAAAAGCTAACTTTCGAGGTGCAGCAATTTTGCGGAAGAGTAGAAGGTCGTCGTAGGTTGAAGGAAAGGTAGAAGGAGAAGCGACGGATATTGACATCCGGCAAGATCCAAGTCCAAGCCCTTCTCAGAGAAACTGCAAACCTTTGAAGTAGCTCTGAGGTTCAATATCGTCGTGAGAAAAAGGCGAAATATCTCTCATAATATCCTGGACGGTAGGGCTCAGAGTTCAAAGCATCAGGAGGCAGATAATTGTGCGTGAATGTTATGATGATTGAACTCCTGTGTCATGTTGGAGTGCCGAGGATGCTGCAACGTTTATCAAATATTCAGAGGATTCTTTTGTACTTATGTAGTGCTTCATACTTGTGATTTGTCATCGCCACGATGTTGTTGGAATTGTAAGACCTTAGAATTCAATGTCCTTAAGAAAATGATGTAACAAGTATATTCTCAACATGATTAGCGTGGTTTGGACGATTCAACGTTAATGTATCAATGCTTCCTTACCACTTCACTTGGACACCCTTCACAACCTTTGCGCTCTTCTTATCCTTCTTTCCATCATGATGATCAAGCGCGCCAGTCCTTCAAACCGAGCGGGGCCATACGAAAGTCTGGTTCTATCATTAACATGATTCCTTTATTCGTATCCTCAATATCTTCCGTATGTACAAATGTCTGGAGGCTCTAATCTGCTTGCGCTAACACAAAATCACAGCATCCATTTGGTGCCTAGATTCCAGAGTCTGGAGTAAATCGTCGTTAGAAAGCCTATCTACCCTCATACAGTCATTCCGTCATTCCGTCATGTCCTCAATCGTCCTTCTAAATACCGAAACTACGATCTCCCAGCATCGATGATAATTTCCGCCGCCATTTCAGCAATTCCATAAACAGCAGTCTGCATATGTGCAGAGATCAGCACAGGAATGATACTGGCATCGACGACTCGGAGGTTTGTGGTTCCATAGACCTTCAGCTGTGGATCTACAACTCCTCCTTTTCGTTTTGGAAGCATGGCACATGTTCCGACTGGATGATATATGGTGAGAGTGGTGTTGAGCGCGAACTCCCTCCATTCTGCATCGGTGTTCACAACATCGAGGCCTGGTTCATATTCGGACACCCACACATCTCGGAGCGGAGGAATCAATGCTATCTGGCGGGCTTTCTTGATCGCTACAATGGCAGCTTGGAGATCATACTCATTGCTGAAGTACCTTGGATCGATGAGGGGCTTGCCAAGAGGATTAGTCGCATTGACGTGGACAGTTCCACGACTTAGAGGATGCATAACGACTGCGATAAGAGAGAAGAAGCCTTTTCCATACAGGGTCGTATTGACAGCTGGGTATCCCTTGACGCCTGTATAGCCGTCGCTCATGATGACCTCAAGTTGAGGAATTGTGTCATCATACATCCACTCAAGCTTTTTCTTTTCGGCAGGATGCGTCGAATTCCCAACAGCAGCTTTAGCAAGCTCAATGAGGTAAGAATCATTGCCGGTGGCTTGATTCCAGGTCTGGAACGTGTATGCACTTCCCGTGTAGTCATACTGGGAGTACTTGCCCTCGAACCATAACTGAAGTTGCTCAGCAGCATATGTTGCGTTATACCTGAACGCATCTATGGATGTATAGTTGTCCTTGAGTTGGTACGAGCTTTGTATCCGAATATGGTCTTGGAGATTCTCGCCCACTCCTGCGAGGTCAATGAGCTGCTCAACACCAGCGTTGCCAAGGACTGTTTTGTTTCCAATACCAGAGAGCTCCAGTAGACCAGGACTACCAAATGAACCAGCGGAGAGAATCACCTCACGAGAAGCTGAGATGAAAGTTCCATCGGCCAAAGTGACACCAGTCGCTTGATATGCTCCACGCACTTTCGTCATGTTGACTTTGACTACTGTCTCTTCAGTCATAACTACTAGGTTCGAGCCTGCGAGGGGAAGGTATCCATTGACACTGTATGAACGATTGTAGTGCGTTGGGTCAATACTACTCGACGAGTATGAAACACCAAGACTGTTGCCACCAAGATACTCTTTGTTGGTTTCTATTCCGAGGCTGTTGAGTACAGGAACCCATCCGTCCTGGTGGGCAGGAATGTACCGATTGATAGTTCCTCGGACAGGACCATCGGTGTTAACTCCAGCATCTCCATACCACTCAGAATTCGCACTGGTGAAGTTTTCCGACTTATCCATCATGGCCAGCATTGTAGTGAAGTTCCAGCCATGGTTACCTACCTCTTCCCATCCATCATACTCCTTCACCGTAGACCTATCATAGGTCAAAAGATTCAGTGCAGACGATCCGCCTAGGACTTTGCCTCTGTTTTGCGCAAAGATTCTGTTTTTGGCATTTACTTGAGGTACTGTCGTGAAGTTCCAATCGTATATCGTCCCAAGGGTCGATCCTTTCTTCCCAGGGACATTAATACCAAGCTCGTCAGGAGCTGCCGGTCCAGCTTCGATGACAAGAATCTTTGAATCTGGTAGACCTTGGCTGAGCCGCGTTGACAGTGCAACTCCAGCCGTTCCACCCCCGACGACGATCTTTTGAACAGTCAGACGATATTTTCTCCAGGTTTAAAGCATGGGACAGGTCAAATCTCATCCCATTAACACCTACATAATCGTACTCAGCTGAAGCTGTCCTCCTTGTTGCTCCGAAAGAGCCAGCAGTGTAGAGGCATATGCCGAGCAGTATTGTTCTGACACCGAACATCATGTCTGTATTGCGGGACAAGAAACTGTTGCCCAGGGCAATCTCTTTCCACTCCACCGAGTTCTGGGAATACAATTCTCAAACACTTAGATCGGAGGATAGTCAGCCTCGAGACAATGTACAACCACGATGTTCACTGGACGGCAAAATGGACCAGGTCTTTCAATCTCCAAAGCTGTACAAGCTGGCTACGACGTGCAAGATAGAGACTGCAGCAGCGCCGCAGCTCTTCAACGATTTCTCAACGACCAGCCAAGAGGAGCGGGGCTTATCAAGAACAGTAGCCAACTCCGATTGCTCAAAGTCCACTGCAAGCTGTAGGGATCGTCATTTTCCTGATGCGGGGTTGTCCTTCTCATTGGGACCTGACTTTTAAGGTCTAGTATATGCTCTCAAAAATAACGAAGATCCAGGGACGAATAATTTAGATCCGATTTTTGCATTTTTTAGAAGTTTTCATTCGTACGTCTACTGCCCTGCTGCTCGGTACCAAACTTATGTAGCAAGTCGGCCTGGACTCTGCATAAGGACAGCTAACCGATGCTGACAGCAGCAATCTGCAGGCCTTCAACGGATTTGACATTCAGCCTGGGACGTCGTCCCTGCTCCTCCCCGAGATCCGCCACTGAAGATCTATCCTCGCGGAAGATAGTGTCTTGTAGCGAATTGGTCGGTGAGCTGGCAGACCGCTCTCTGATGCAAATCACATGGTAAGGCTTGGCGTTAGTCTTCGGCCTGGGATCGCTGAAGCCTCAAGGAACAAAATTGATTCGATACCTACACACAACCAAGCGAGTTGTCGAGTTGACCAACAGGGCGGTCCCGAAGAATAAGATGGTCTGAAATGGCGCATGACGCAGGCGAGGCAAAGCACTTCTCCGGGTCGTCCCTTGCATGTAGAAAGGGATCCAACCACACCCATTTCCCCTAGTGGGTCTCCTTCCTCTCTTTCAAGCCATCTTGAGAGTCCTTTCTAGATCGACGTTCTGCGAGAAGAGAAATATTGAAGGCATCTCAATGAGTAGGTGGAAAGACGCTGTCGAGATATCGCAGAAAGACACTTTAATCTCAGGTAAGACGGAATTAAGAGGTGATAATACTCGCTCGAATCCGAGATCCACCGTATCCACTACAAGGACTTAACAGATGGAGTTAAACAGAATGAAGGGAAATATCTTCAAGTATAAAGATTCAGTCGAGAAGTAGCAAACTTCCTGGCTCAGAAACATCCTTCTGCATTCTCTTTTTCACTCCTACTTCAGCAATCCGACTCGCCTCAGCGATGGCACGGCCAATCAACAAGAGTCAAGCTGCCTTCCTCCTTCTAGACTACCAGAATATGGTCATCAAAAGAGCGAACGCTTCGGAATCTTTTGTCACAAATGCAGCCAGGACGATTGCGACTGGTCGCGAGAATGGTCTTCCTGTTGTTCACTGTCGAAGCGCGTTCCAAGGCTCAGAGTTTGCAGACGTCCCTTCAACTAATCTGTAATTCTCACAAATGAAAAAAAATCCTGCATTTGTCGAAGCATACGGGATTGACCATCCTCTATCTCAATTTGCGCCTCAGCTTTCCCCTCAAGATGGCGACAAGGTCTACAGAAAGACTCGAGTAGGCCACTTCTTAGCTAGTCCTTCGACTTCCATGCACACAGACTTGCAAGACAAAGGTATCAATACCTTGATAATCGGTGGTCTGGTTACTCAAGGCGCTGTGCTCACGACTGTTCGAGAAGCTGCGGATTTGGATTATTGCATATATGTCGTCGAGGATATGTGTCTGGACTTCGATGCAGAAGTTCATCGTGTTTTGATGGAAAAAGTGTTTCCGAGGCAGGCATATGTGATCAAGAGCGAGGATCTCGATGGCCTTCTCAAGTGATGGATTTGCAAGGATGGAACGATTGATTCTCGGGGTTTGAAACAATGATAGTGATAGGCGTCGAACAGTCTGGGGAAGGAAAGGTCATCCCGAAATGTTCTTTAGCGAATCATGCCTACACCATATTGTTGGCTGTCATTCGTCAAGGTTGGAATCCTGCGCTGTGGTCACTATGCGCAATCTTGGAACGCGATTGGATGGCGTCCCCAAAACAGAAAATGATGAACGAGCGGAACCTGTTATGTTTTAGGGCAAAAAAAACCCGGAAGCCAAGTGCCTTCCCCGGGCTGGGCCCTGTCTGTGCTTCCTAGCCATCCTCAATATGCATCAAAAGAACTGGGGTATCTTCATCTTAAAGTCACCAAAGCGACTGTCACGGGGAATTGAAATCTAGTTGCGACGTTTTGGGTGAGAGGGTTAGGTAAACGATCCCTTCGTTTCCATTTCTTACTCTAAGAGCTTCATATCCTTCATAGCCTCTTCTTAATCCACATTCATTCATGAGCAAATAGCTCGGCAAGATCCCCACATCAACCCTAAATCTTTACTCACTTGGCACTTCTTGGAGTATCTTCGGATGAGTTGGTTGAGGGCTCACGTCGATCCACATACTGTTAAGACGAACCTTAATTCTAAGACACTGTCATGTCTGGGCTCGCCGACAACAACAATCTTCCACGTAACCAAGATGTAGGGCCCGTCCTCATGGCTGTAACTGGAATCTTCGCCGGTCTGGTCCTCATAACAACCTCTTGTCGAGTATACGTTCGTATCATGAGCCGCGTCTTTGGCTGGGACGATGCAATGATATTAGTCACTGTCGCCTTTGCACTCGCAAGACTGGCTGTCGAAATCAAGCAGTCACAACATGGGAATGGGAAGCACAGAGTTTATCTTTCGACGTACGACTATATGATGATTAACATGTGGGGATGGTATGCTCAGGTCTTCCTGTTCGCGGCAGTCGCATGCTTGAAGGTCTCAATCGGTTTCCTGATCCTTCGCATTAAAGATACCAAGACGTTCAAGATCTTGGTTTATACGTTAATGGCTGGAGTGTGCTTCACCAACTTTGGAGTTGTGATCATTTTGTTGGCTGAATGCAAACCCGCTGGATTCTGGAGGGGCAGTGCTGCGAAATGTTGGCCAGATAAGATCCGCATATATTCTATTTATGCCACAATAGGTACGTCTGAGTGGCATATGTCAAGCTCTGACTGACTTTGAAATCGTATAGCTTTCTCGGTCACAACAGATCTCTTTCTATCGATCCTTCCACTCTTCATCGTTTGGCGAGTACGAATACCATTGCGAACCAAAATTTCAGTGTGCTGCTTGATGAGCTTAGGCCTCTTGTATGGAAATCATCTTTACTGGAAGATTCTTTTTGCTAACTATGCGTAGGGCCACTGGCTTTGGCATCGCCCGAGCAGCTTCTCTCAGTATAATGACAACTGATCTTAGCTGTAAGCGCAGTTTCCATAACCGACCACCCACAAATCGCAGATGTCTGACTTGTGAATAGGGATGTACTGTATTGCGGCACTTTGGTCCAACCTGGAATTGTTCCTCGGCATTGTTTGCGCCAATCTTGCCATCGCTCGATCTACCTACAGCTATATCTTTGGTCGTAAAGAAACGCCGCAAAACGACTCTTACCATAGTCCTTCATCGCCAGTGCCGTCTTCACATTCAAGGTTCACGAATAGGAAGCCTTCTAGAGATGAATTCGAAACCAGGAAAACTGCAGAAGAATCGAGATTCAGAGCCCCATCGGAGTCTAGGAGCGCCCGTAGCGATATTCCATTGGTCATACAGAAGACGGCTGAATTTGAAATATCTTTTGAGGAAGAGGAGATGAAAATTGATCGCCAAGGAGGCTGAAGTCAAATTCAGCATCATCAATGATTCAAAACCATATGGGAATGCCATGACGCATTTACCAACTCAGAGTGGTACTGGCCCGACATCATGAGCAAAACATGATTGCAAAGTCATTGCGCGGAGGCTACCATCCAGATTACAACAGAGAAGTACAGAGCCTTACGATCATCAGCATTTTGGGAACGCTAAGGCTGTTTGAGGGAGAAGAACCAGTCGAGTTAATAAAATAAGAAAAATCTACGATAAGGAAAGGAGACAAATGGGCACCAGAGCTGTTGTTCTGGCTAGCGTCTGATCGAATCATTTTTGCCCTGGGGAAATAGTCTCAGGTGCAAGAGAGAATGAATATAAGTTGGGTGGATGAAGACCAGGCACAGAGACCTGAATCGTCTGAAAACCCTGAATCTGTAGCGAAACCAGCGCGAATAGCGCATATTGCGCCGAACGCGCTGGGTGCGCTGGTTGCGCTGGTTGCGCTGGTTGCGCTGGTTGCGCTGGATGCGCTGGATGCGCAAATCGCGTGGAAAACACTGCTGAAAGAGAAGCTTGAGTCTTGAAATTATTTGTGAACCATTCAGTTATAGCATACCTATTTACTTGCTCAAAGTGGAAAAGAGAGATTGAGTTCCATAACATTCTTGAAAACTGGCACTGAAACATAATCCAAAGTGGAACTCGATGAAGATAATAATTTGAAAAGACTTGATTTTGCGCTCACCAGGCTCTTAGCTTCTCTTGATCTTAAGATACTTTGCTCAATGATATGAAGCCGTTAATGGTACACTAGTCCTTTTGAAGCTTCCATAGTGCCTTCTTTCGAGTCCAGTTTTGGAGAAATTCTTTGTCAATATCAAATTCCTCCCATTCACCAATTTGTCTTCAATTGCTCGACGTCAAAATTGGAGGGATCGGATCTCGTTCCGGCTTTCTCCGTTCGGCAGCGGCGCGTTTCCGACCTCAGCACTTTTTTCCTATTATTGACTTACGCCGTGCAATCTGACAGAGAACCATTCAGCAACCCATTGCAAATATCTCAGACCCTTCATCGACCTCAGACCTACCTTTGCGCCTTCAATTGGCCTATTCGACCCTTTGTTGACACTTTCCCGAGGTTCCCAACCCGCAATGACGCTTCGGTCGGCAAAAGGCGCCTTTGCAGCTCCGCTGTCAGCTGCTAGACCGAGGGCAACAGCTCATGCGGTTCTTCCTTCCTCATGCAGAGCATTCACAAGCAAACCTACGAAGCCTTCTTTCTATCCAGCATATACAAGCAGGCCTTGGTCTCATTCGTCCTTCTCGGCTACGTATAAAAGCTCCGAACGCCTACAATTCCGCAACTCGAGAAACTTCCACGCTACATCGTACAATATGGCAGAGACAAGAGCAGAGACAGATGCTTTTGGGGAGGTTCAAGTGCCGGCAGACAAGTACTGGGGCGCGCAGACTGAGAGATCTTTGGAGAACTTCAGAATCAATCAGCCACAAGACCGCATGCCTCCACCTATTATCAAAGCCTTCGGTATCCTGAAAGGCGCGGCAGCAACGGTTAATATGGGATTTGGCCTTGGTACGACAATCCCTACGAACTACATTTCGAAGAAGACAAGCTCACCATTGGACAGATCCTAAAGTTGGCAAAGCCATTCAACAAGCTGCGGCGGAGGTTGCGGACCTCAAGCTCATCGACCACTTCCCCCTCGTTGTCTGGCAGACTGGCTCTGGAACACAATCAAACATGAACGCAAACGAGGTCATCTCAAATAGAGCAATTGAGATTTTGGGAGGCACAATGGGTAGCAAGAAGCCTGTTCACCCAAACGATCATGTCAACATGAGCGCCTCCTCGAATGATACTTTCCCTACCGTTATGCACATTGCGGCTGTTCTTGAGATTGAGCACGAACTTATTCCTGCTATCAAGTCTCTCCGCGATGCGGTCCAGAAGAAGGTTGACGAATTCGAAGCCAAGAACATCATCAAGATTGGAAGAACACATTTGCAAGACGCAACGCCATTGACTCTTGCCCAAGAGTTCTCTGGATACGTAGCACAATTAGACTTCGGAATCAAACGTGTGGAGTCTTCGCTCCCTGACCTCCGACTGCTGGCACAAGGTGGAACTGCTGTTGGCACTGGTATCAATACCTTCAAGGGCTTTGCTGAGAAGATTGCGGAGGAAGTCACCAAGATGACTGGCACTGAATTCAAGACTGCCCCCAACAAGTTCGAGTCTTTGGCTGCTCACGATGCTATTGTACAGGCTTCTGGATCACTCAACACTCTTGCCTCATCACTTTTCAAGATTGCGCAGGACATCCGATATCTCGGCTCTGGACCTCGTTGCGGACTTGGTGAATTGGCCCTTCCTGAAAATGAGCCGGGAAGCAGTATCATGCCTGGCAAGGTTAACCCCACTCAATGTGAGGCCCTTACCATGGTATGTGCTCAAGTCATTGGTAACCACACTGCAACGACCATTGGTGGCATGAATGGACAGTTCGAATTGAACGTATTCAAGCCTTTGGTCATCCGAAACCTGTTACATAGCATCAGGATTCTCAGCGACGGGATGAGGAGCTTCGAGAAGAACTTGGTTGTTGGACTCAAGGCAAATGAGGAGAAGATTGCGAGCATTATGAAGGAATCGTAAGTTTCCCCACCTTCAAACTTATCTGCGCATATACTGATTCGAGAAAGTCTCATGCTGGTCACTTGCCTGAACCCAAAGATCGGATACGACATGGCAAGCAAAGTCGCCAAGAACGCCCATAAGAAGGGCTTAACACTAAAAGAATCGGCTATGGAGCTCAAGGCTTTGACCGAGGAAGAATTCGATGCACTTGTACGTCCGGAGTTGATGGTTGGTCCTGAGGACTACAAGGGTAAATAGAGGAGGTAAATAGAAAAGTTTCTTGCACATACATTTGGGACAAATTTTGGTGAGGAGTACTCATTGATCCCTTGACATAGTTGGGCATGAAATGAATGTTGTACGAATAAGCAAATACCTTCAATCAAGATCTCGATATTACCAAGTGACTGTCTCCTAGCATGAAAGTTACCACCATCTATTGAAGCAGGTTACTGGAAGTAGGGTAGACTTGCTCCAACCTTGCGAAGTCTGAGAATGGACAAACTTCAAGAGTCAACTGTACCGCCCGGTATTCAAACTAACCTCATTTTCCATCACTTTGCACTGCACGGTTTCTCAGTGTCGATAGTGACGACCTACATGCCCGAACTTCCGGAGGAGCTATTCTGAATAACCTAACAAACCATTCTTTCGATTTTCTGTTGACGTACATCCATGGCAGCGTAGCAGGAGGAAGAAAGCAATACCGACAGATGGAAAGTCTACCTTTTTAGAGCATTATGGAGACATCATGGGGCTGACCAAAATCTATACCAAAGTTCTCAATGACCACTAAGTCTTTGAGTCCATCGAATATCACACCCAAGGTAAGTTATATTACCGGATCAGTCTCGTTCCTTTCGGCAATTCCCCTTATATTAAATCCGCGTGTTTTATGATCCCGGTCCCAGCATTATGGGAGGTATTCCTTCTCCGGAAACTCACTTCTTTTTAGTTACATCATCTCACTGTCGCTCGGCATGGCTTGCGGTATTCCACTGGGTCGGTCATCAGACCATATGAATGAAGTTCGACACCAGGTCATTTCTCAGAGGACGTCGCCAGAGGATGACGGGTTGAGTAAATCAGAGAATTCCATCTCAGCTTGTCCAACATTCGTCTTTGATTCAATGTCCCATCCCATGATTAGACTTTGAGGTTTCAGGAAGTTCGAAACGCTTTAGATAATGTTCTTCAAGTGAATACCCCGCCTGTCATCGGACTTTTCCATATTGTTAGTGAATTTTCCCCGCTCTGCGGTTTTCGATCGAAGGCAGAGCGACATTGCGAGTCCTGAGGTTAGGACGAGAGTAGAAATTCGATATAGTGCTGCTGTGTATTTGTCTGAAGGTCGGATTAGTACTTTATACACTACGGCCCAATGTACCAAGGTGGGGTACGACGTAAGGATGAATGTGGTAGTTATTCGAATGGTGGTATGGTCGAGTCGTAATTGTGAAGCACAAACAAACTATGCCCTGGTGTTGAGCAAGCTTTATTTGCCATCTGCAGTCTTCTTGTCGATAACACACATTCACCACTCTTCAATGTCGGGTTTCAAGTCTTGAAGCGTGTTAACACTTTGAAAGTTTGGATATGAAATGATGCCAGACACCGACAAGTCGCGAGCGATTATCTTCCTCAAAAACTTCAAAAGATTTCCAGATATCGAGAAATCTGAGCCTCAAAATTGAATGCCCGGCATCCAATACACGACTAACAGCACAATCTCTAAATCCAAGCCAGACAAAGATCTTCATCCGCAAATCTAAATGGTGATCTCCAAAATAAAATCGCTGTATCGACAAAAGAGAGTAGAGAAAAGCAACGCTAAGTCCAAATTCTGCAACATGCAAGGTCTAGACATATCACGTTGAACTTGACACCGTGATACTTCTCAAGGCTTTTCGAATCTCTAAATAAGTTTTGCAGGTGGTCAGTCTTTTCGAGAACTCAAAAAACTTATTATCAACACCATTTAGTTATCCAGAGTTCGGGAATCCGTCCCTCTTTCTCCACAACAGCTAAGTGCCGCATCGGTTTTCAGGGTGGAAACATTTCTTCTTCCCAGCAAGAAGTCCCTTGCTCCTCACCCGAAAAAAAGGGAAATGTTTCTTGCTATCATGAAGCTCAACATACAAGGCTCTTACTCCCCGCCGTCTATGGCAAATACTATATACAGTCTCGTACTCGGACTTCTTTTCGTAAACCTACTACATAGGATCACGAGGAACCCATCCAAGCGGGACACGATTCGGCTTTCATCATCCAATGCCTTACTGGATTTACCTCCAGGTCACAAACTCCAAACCACCATCCTCAACCATCCACCTTCCTCCATCCCCATCCCCCAAAAATTCCAAACCAATCCACATCCTCGGTACCGCCAACCCGGTCTCGCTCTCCTCCTTCCCATCAATCAGTCGCTTCGGCCCGACACTAAATACTAAGCGACGAAATGACTCGCTAACCAACACCTTAGCATTTTAGCTTCGGGGTCTGCGATGGTCTGGACTCTGGATCCTGGGTTTTGGGTTTTGGGTTATAGCCGGAAAGGTTAGTTAGTTAGGGCATGGTTGTGAAGATCGGGACCTATGCTAATGTGACCCGGGTTCTTGGGATCGATGTTGGGGTTCGGGGTCTGGGTTTAGGTTTGGGTATTTGGAAGAGTGATGGATGGGAAGTTCAGGCGGATATTGGGGAGAGAGAGTGGACGGATTTCGATGGATGGATGAATGGGGTTATTGATCTTCCGGGGGAAGAAAATGATCGAGTCAACTTTCGGGATATGAAAAAAGATTCCAGGCATGAAACCTATGACAGCGGTGTGCCTGCTCCCCAACATCGCAGAATCAACATCACAACCCCAACTCCTCCCGGCGGCCATCCATCCTCACCCATGAAATTCCTCGCCGTCGGCACCTCGGGTCACACGGCTCCTCGCTCGCTGGCTCGCGGTAAAGTAAAAAGCAAAACTACACTCACTCGGGAGAGGGAGAAGCGCGATTATCACAGACAAGACATGATAACACGGACAACCGTTTGGGAGTTTCCGTGTCTCTGCCAGAGTGTGTAGATATTGAAAAGGCTCGGGTTAAAAAAACGCCCCTTCCGAAAGTGATGGATGGTGGATGGATGGATGGATGGGGGTTCGAGACAAGACAAGACAACCGTTGCTCGTAAAATGTGGAACAGAGGGACGGACGGACGGACGATCTGTGAAAGAATTTGGAATTGATAGGTCTAGATGGAGAGATGAACGGAATGGGGTCATGAACGTTCGATTTAACGGACGTTTTTTTTAAGGGTCTTGGAGGAAAAGAAAGGTTTTTGTCTCGGTACTGAGTTTGAAGTCTAGAAATGGTCGCTAGAAGACCTGCCTCAACATAGGGGCAAAGAGAAGAGAATATTTGAACTCGGCATTATGTGCCGGTTATTGCTCCTATCCATTGTAGTGTTTAGAAGTGAGAATTTGTGCTTCATGACAAGAATCCGGTAACCTTGGCTTTCCGTTGACGTTCACGCCAGTGGGATTCTCAAGAAGTGGCATCCGAAGGCTTGCTTTAGCGGCCCAGGGCTGAATGAAAATAAACTATTGGGCCCGCGACACCTGCACATGCGATGGATGTGATGGCTCTTCCAAAACGGCAAGAAGAGATCCTGGTCGACGATGTCTCTCGTGGTGGTTGAGAGGAAAAAGCAAAGAGAATCAGCGGGAGGCTTTCCTGAGCCAATGGAACGGGCATTTGCTTTGAGAGAGAAGGAGAGAAGTGGGGTCCAGAACTATGGACGGTTGCGTGAATTGACAAATCGAGGATGTGGATGGTGTGGCTGGATATGGATACTCTCCTAACGCCTGCCACCACCGCCGTCCCGCGTCGTCGTCCGTGCAAACGTTAATGACTCGAGATTCAATGATCTGATGCAGAGTTCGAAGCAGCAGAAGCAGATCAGGGGTCTTGTGATGGTATTGTACCAGTGCTCCGTAGTATAACGTCTCGAGATGATATCTCTCCATGGGTGTTGCTATGAATAGCACTTGCAATCTACACGTTTCCGTTCCGGCAAATATTGCCCCGTACTATCGTTCAAATCGATAACGTCCTTCAACTAACCGTCTTCAGATATGTCATTGTCTTGCCAAGCTTCGTGACAGAGACGTTGAACGGTCCTGGAGGATTCAATGGATAGGACTTGGTCCTCCGGTTGTCTTAGTCTCAGTCAATTGAGAAACAAGAGAGTTGGAAATATCCAGTCCACATCCTAGCACTTCGGTAACAGAGAAAGATGCGGGGAGGTTTACCACGACCGTTCTTGTGAAGCGGGTGGTTTGCTTGCTTCTTCAGGGGTCCGCCATTTCTCTCTCGCCAGGCTCACTCACTCACCTGCAGAGGCGGATAAACTGAAAGCCCCCCGGCAACGCCGCCACTGGCTCGTGGGAGAATCCGGAGGGTTGAGTAGCACAAGCGAGGGCCTTTGGATTCAGATTCTGCGGTCGCCCGCTGGATTGATTATCCTCTGGGTCGGAAGGCTTGACGAGACATTCCACCTGTTGTGCTGCCATACAGTACAGTACCCTATCCAACATATTCCAGACTTTGTTCCCCGAGAAAAAGAGTGCTGTACAACGGAACTGTTCTGTCCACCTCGACAATTCTTTAGGGAATCCAGTGGCCTGGAACTTCCTTCCCGTGTTCTATTCTTGTATCGCAATTTGGACTTCTCTTACTGGGGTTTCTCCGCATGGCATGCTGCATGTACCCTCCAGGGCCAGCATCTTGACCACTTATGGCTGAATCTTATCTCGATTCAAGCTTCGGTTGGGTTGGTATCTTCCCAGGCCTGAGAGGTCATGTTCCAGTACAGTACATGGCTGGCAAGCCCTCATGTCGAATTTGTGTCGTGCTTGGATGCTGGTGCATACAATGTGAGATATGGATTTGGAAGCAAGGGTCTCACACATTTCAGCCAAACCGGCTGCAGTTGGCTGATGGTGGAAACACCTCCCTCTAGTGCGGCTCTGTGGGCCCACCGGCATGTCACTCGTGCTGGCGTTTTGAAATGGAGAGGCGCTGAACTCGGGCGTTCGAGGTTGAGGCTATGGAGCAATATCGTACCTCGCACGATGCAGGAAGGGCGAGATGAGGCTCGAGTTAGAGTCTAGAACCTGGTTTTGAAGAACGATAAGGAGCTTTGTTTGGAGTGACCTCGATCCGTGCAATACTTTTGGGCTTTTCTGTGCACCCTCGGAACGCGGGCTTACTCCCGCTGCAGCTTGTCCCTCCTTCCCAGCCGTTCGGGTGTCCTCTGAACTCGCGTGGGTGCTGCTGTGCTCCGTCCTGCTGAATGCTTCGGCACGGCGCAGTATCGTCGGTGGTGGTATTGGGACTTCTAGAAGAATGCACATGTCATACTCCGAAGGTTGTGCTTACTCGGACCAGGACACATTCTGATGACACATCCCATTTTCTCGTCTATGCCTGCTTGCTTGCTTGCTTGCAACGCCGTGATCCTTCTCGTGTCAGTGATGGTTACAGTATCTGCGAGTGATAAGCACGATCCTGTCTGCTTGCCATTCTAATATCAGAAGCTCGAGTAAAGTGGCCGAATGTGGACAGGTCGCAATGAGCATCTGCAACTTGACGGAGCTGAGCTCGCTCTACCTTGCTCCTGCTCTACCTTAGGTTGAGGAAACTGGGTGAGTTCCGTACCCCACGAGCTCGCTTGGACTCAGGAGACCACTCAGCATCCGAGGACGCACGGCTGGGACCCTCGCCGGCACACCTCCAGCCACCCCGTGCTGAGGCAAGCATTATTGAAGCATGGCAGCGCGCGAGGGTCACAAAAGGCGGTCTGGCGCAGCGGGAAGTCGTGTTGTTGTGAGGTTTGGAGCGGAAGGGGCACGACGAAGGAGACGAAAGAGAGGGAAGAGCAGCAGCAGGGACGAGGGTGCGATGACAGGGTTACAGAGGTACTGTAGTCAGATACAGTAGGAGCAGGGCGTAAAATAAGGTAGGCTGATCAATGCCCGGTTCAGCATTTCGCAGCAGCGATGGCGTCCGAAGCGACGGTGGGCGTCGAAAAGAGGCGGCGAGCGTGGGAATGGCGCTGTGAGCTTAATGTCAGAAGCGGTCTTGGCGCCGCGGTCGTATTGCGTACTTGGGACCAATAACTCGTGCTAGGCCTGCGCGCTGGACTGGGGTTGAAGTGTATTGTTCTCGTCCCACGTCCAGTTCTAGTTCTAGACATCTGGGACATGTTTCTTGCTCCTTCTGATTAGCCTTACCGAACACTTACCACGCTCCGTTATACAAATCGTATATTGCCATCATAACGGTGTCCTTTTGTCCCACGGCATTGCACGAGACATTGTTTCTCGTACAGCACACCTCTCGTACTCCAGCGTCCGCACTGGCCGGTCCTGGTTGCCGAACACAGAGCAACTGTGCGCTGAGACCCTCTCACTCACTCTCACACGCAGCATGCCATGCCCATCTCAGCGTCTCCACTTTCCTGCTCAACTGATCTGGGCAAATCGTGCCTCCAAGCTTAAATGTCGGGATGGAAGGGGGTGGCGACTTCAAGGTTAACGGATGGCTTTGAAGCAGGGGGAGAGGAAGCGCATCACGAATCGACAGGCGAATGGCCAGGTCTAGAACATACCTACGAAAGGGGGGGTCGGGTCGAGTTCTAGTCTTCATTCGGGGATACTAGACGAATGAAATGCTGTCCGTTCGTGGCCCATGGAGAAGAGAATAGAGAGAAAGAGAGAAAGCAGACGCGGGACGACTTGCAGCAGAACAGACAGACAGACAGACAGACATGACTTGGTACAGCTTATCGTTCTCGTGGAGAGCGTGCATTTGCTGCTTTGAGGTTCTCGCAATTCAGGCCAACATAACCTTACCGTCTCACGAGCGCGCCAATAGACGACGAGCCATTTCGTGATTCTGTGCTTCTGCTTGCTTGCTTGCTGCTTTGCACCCTCTGGCTGTCCCATCCTCCTGCCCTGTACGCCTTCCCATGCAGTGGGCTGATGAAGGGTCGCTTTCGGCCCCTGTGGTGGTGCTTGGCATTGAGATCGCACCCTCGCACCCTCGCAGCCGGATCGTGTCGAGTCCTCCAGCATCTCCATGAAGATAATTTCCAGGCCGCATCGCAGCTGCATCGAATCTGGGATGGAGAGGATTTATTTATGGAACACCTTGGATCACAAGGCTGAAATAAGCTGTTCCTTACTCATGCTACGGTGATATGCATCGCGGCAGGAAGAGAGTGTGAGATGAGATGCCAGAACTGTCGTGCACCCGTGGGAGGGGAGCCAGCACGCACGAAACCTTACCGCAGGCCCTGGACGCTGAAGGGTCTGGTATGGGACTCTGGGTTTGGGGGTCGGGGTCGTGCCTGCTTGCTTGCTTGCTTGCTTGCTTTGCTCTCTGTCGCATTTTGAGTCCAACAATCTCCTACCCGCTGTCTTGGTCCTGGTAACGCAAAAGTTTCTATTTCTGACCATCAGTCAGGCTTGGTTGCGCTTCCATGAAATCAATAATACCAATCATCGATCCTTCATCCACGCAACACCAACACCAACCAGCGAACCCGTACCGTACAGTACAGTACCGCGAGGACGAGGAGACTTCGATGGCCGCGTCCACTCCCTTCGTCCTCGCTTGGTGACATCGTCCTCGATTCCCTACCGTCCATCCATCGGAAGGAAGTACAAGGTCCAGGTCGTCTGGATGCGCTTGAGCTTGAGCTTAACGCTGGATGATTCCGCAATGCAGATGCAGATATTGAGGCCCACTCCACTCCACTCCACTGCAAACCACAACAGTGCACAAGTAAGCTCGGCGACCTGTTGACTAACTCGTAAGGACGCCAATCAGATGCAAACCCCTGGGAGATCGTTGGTCCATGCACGGCGCCGGAATCCCAGAAATCCAGATTTCCCAGGAGCGAGGTGTGCCAGCGCTGGGGATGGTCCTGGATCCGTGATAAACGTGCGGGCCAGCGTAAGAGGCACACCACCACCACCACCACCACCACCACTTGCACGACACGCTCACCACGAGACGTTCCCCTGTCGCCATTCTTCTCCAGACCCAGAACTATAACTATACCCATTTGGAAGATATCTTCCCTGGCCTGCTACGAGCCTCGAGTTGTTGAGCTCTTCAAACTTCATGCCTCTGTCTGGATTCGGATGGTCTTAGCTAGGTCTAGAGCTAGAGACTGCTTACTCGTACCGGCGCTCAGGCGAGTAGCACAGTAGCACAGTAGCAAGCCAGATCTCGTCATCGTCATGATACTTGCTTGACCAGACAGATGCATGGGAACACCTTCGATAGATAGATACTCCACTTGCAGCAGCAAAAACGAAGAAATAGATGAGGAGCAAGTTACGGACGTAACCATCTCACTCTAGGAGATACGGTAAGGAATGACAGCCTGGTGGTACAGATGCTCCTCTATTCCCTTCTGGGACCCTTGTTCGGACATAGCAGTGGCCCATGCAGCATTGTCCGTTTCAAGGTGCAATCAAGTCGAGGAGAACGATGGCGACTGCGACCCCAATCTATCGTCAACCCGAGCAGAAGAAATATATATCGCGACCACAGAAGAAGATGCGGACGGATCAGTGATCACAGACCACTCCATGCCCCTCTTGGCCCAATAGCCAATAGTAGGTGGGATGTCGGTCGCCGCGCAGGGGAACGAAGAATTGGAATCTCTCGCCCCCATGTCCTCGCCGTCCCAGCAGTGCAGCTCACTTTACTTCAGAGTTTTGGTTCTTTGTTCTTCTGCGTGCCAGTTCTCCAGTCCCAGTGCTGTGCAACCACACTGAGCCCCTCCCAGACATCACATCCGCGCTGCATCTCATCTCGTCCCATCCATCGCATCCCAACCAGAACCCAATCCCCAAACTCTCTTGTTCTCTTGCTGTCCCCAAAAACCCAACCAACCCCCCCTCCACTGACTCTCCCCCCTGCCGTCGGTGGTCTTCCCCAGCTCGGCGCTAGCCAGCCCTCAGTGTCCCCTGTCGCCTCTCCCGCTCCAGGAAATGGGCAGAAATCAGCAGGTCGATGCGCGCCTGGCTGCATTTTAGCTCGGCGGCTTAAGCCTAGAAAAAGCCTCTGGGCCGTCATGGGCACCCGCATGCGTCGAAATGCCTGTCAAAGACCAGCCCTTGCCACACCTGAGGACCAGCGTTACTTACCGATGCCCCCATACCGAAAGGAGGGGAGAAGAAGAGGGGCCACAGCTGTGGTGCGACCGGTCCTCGAGAGCGAAAATAACCACACCCAGCTGCGCGGAAAAGCACCACGCACGCAGGATGGATGCATGTGGTAGGGGGAGGGTAAGTTAGTCGAGGGGAGTCGAGTCGAGTCCCCGGACAGCCGAGATCTCGACGGAGCCAGACCCAGAGGAAGAGGAAGAGGAAGAGGAAGAGGAAGAGGAAGAGGAAGAGAAAGAGGGCATACCCGCGACCACGTCTTTCTCGTCACAAGTCATTATTGTAGAATCAATCAATCGATTCCTGGATCAGCCGCGATTGCTCCTCTTCCTGCGTTCTGTTTCTGCTCAGATGCAGGTGGGGGGGTGAACGGGTTTGGGATGTGTTCGTAGTTCGTGGTAGCTCGAACGTCTCGCACATAACCTTATTCAGATACACTGTCTCGTGGAAGCCATCATAGTAAGAGCTGCTGCTACTGCTGGCCCCAATAATCCACGCCCCCTCAACGCCTTTCCCAATCATCGCTGTCTACTGTACCGGTTCCTCCCTGTGTTTAAGCTTCTGCCCCCAAAAAGCCCATTTTCTTCATTCAATCGCTCGTGCAGCGTTGCACCGCCATCAGTCGCGGAGTGAGCCTGAGCCTTTTCTCAGTCGCGCGCTCTCTTCCCGTTGCTCTGGGTCCAGGGTTCGAGGGGAAAGAAAACCAAGGGAAATGACTGAATGAATAAATGCCCGATTCGTCGTGCTCCCCTAATATTTGTGTGCGCTTCGATAATGGGTGGTAATATTGTGTGGTACGACCTGATTCGCAGTCCGGCTGCTGCTGCTGCTGCTTCTGCTGGGCCGGCAAGCTCCAGATTCCAATTCCAGTCGCGAGATACACCCGCACACCAACACCAGAAGAGATACCATCGAATCGAATCACAGATCACGGTCCGGTTCCGTCGTCCTCATCTGGTGCTCCGGCATGTCCCCATTTTCTCTTTCTCCAAAGCACGCATCCTGGTCCCCGTCCCCGTCCCAGTCCCAGACATAGCGTCGCGATCCCTGGAACATTATCTATCTAGGAAAATACTCTATCGAGCGAGCGAGGAGAAGCTAGAAAAAGGACTAGAAGTCGAGCCTAGACCCTGGGAGGGCAGCTAGAGAGAGTCGAGTAGCACCTCGATCAAATCTTCTGCTCCGTGCTCTCATTCTCTCTCTCTCTCTTTCTGTGCTACACTCTACTCCACTCGACTAGGGAAATAATAATAAACAACAGTACACCACCCCAACCTGGTCTGGTCTGGTCTGGCCTGACCTGACAAACTACTACCTCTGGGTCTAACCCGATCGCATCCCTTCTCACTCATCCTCGTTCCCTGCCCTACCCTTCCTGCCTTCCTCCCTCCCTTCCCTCCGGAACTCTCCTCGCTCACTCACATGGCGTTGGCGCATTCACCTCACTACTGTAACTAACAAGCTACCAACGACCCAGGTGGCCTCGACGAGCTTAACCTTAGCCCTCTGCACTATTTCTGCGCTAGACCCCCCTCCCCTCGTCTCCCCTCTGCCACGCTTCCCGCCTGGTAATCAACACCATCCAGCCAAATCCTGGCGACGGGACACAGACCATACCCAGACCCAATAAGCTACATATATCGACAGACGCCTCCCCGGCCGCCATCCAGGTGATCGACGCTCCACATCCACCACCATACTCTATTATCCAGGTCTGACTTCGACGCCGACGAACTCTTCACACTTCAAGGTCAACATCGTGAGATTTTTCCACTCAACGACGCTCAAATACGTGGCAGAAGACAATCCCCATTGTTCTTCATTCTCCGCTTACCCTCCTACTCTGCAATACCGCCGTCCTGGCTTTACTACGCTCGACGCCTCAAGTTCTCTCGTCCCAAGGACCCCACCAAAACTCGAGTCTCCTCTCGTTGTTTCCGACTCGACAGGCATCGTGGACTTCGCAATCATCTTCCATGATGGAGACCGCCCAGAGCTTTACGGCTCGAAGGTCCGCAGCCTCCAATCTGCCCCAATTCTCACTCCCTCCACCAGATCACCTCTCGCAAATGCACAAATATCCGGCGTATGCTCCCAGCACCACGCAGCCATCATCAGCAGTGGTCAGCAGTGTTCTCACACCTCCAACCGGTCTGCAAAATGATCTTAGTCCTTTGGGCGCGGCCAGTGTGAACAGCCAGAGTTCTAGCAGCTCAGCTGCGGGAGTTCCACCATATCAACCCATGGGTGGTTTCTGGCCAACTCCTGGAAACAACTCGTATACGTACAGCCAGGCGCCTCCAATGCCTCCAACGTTCGCGCAAGGACAAGGACAAAGTTACATGGGACGCCCACTGTATTCTCCATCCATGAACTACCCAAATCGAAATACACATTCTCCTGCGTCTGGTGAAGCACTACCTCCACCTCCGTACGATATCAACCTCCCTTCATTTCCTACCATGTCTGGAGGACAATCACAAAGTCTGCCTCAACTCGCTCCTCAGCAGCAACAGCAACAGCAACAGCAACAACAGGCGCAACAACAACCGCAATCCCAGCAACAACAACCTCCTCCGCAGCAAAATCAACCTCAACATCAGCAACAATTGAGTCAAAACAGCATCAACTCCCAGCAAGCAGTCTCACAGGCGCCACCACAAGGCCCACAGCATGCGCCCAATAACTATGGCGAACGACCTCCACCAACACCTACCAACTACTACACGCCCTCCTCCACGCCACAGCAATCCTCCTTCCCAGCCTACGCCCAGCAATCCCCAACCCAGCAATCTCCAAATACCTCTTCCGCTCCCTCGAATCGCATCTCCCCCGTATCCGCGCAACCTCACCCGTCAATGGCTGCGCCGCCAGGCTATCCCCGACCATCCTTCAGCGGCTACAGTCTCCCAGCCATGGCCGGTCCCATCATGTCCAACGTCCACAGCCCCGGCAACCAAATGGCCCTCGTTGGCGGCATGAACATGCCCTACCCAGGCCACCAAATGGGCGCCCAGATGTACGGCCACCACCCTCAACAACAGCAGCAAAACGATCGTCCCTTCAAATGCGACCAGTGCCCGCAATCCTTCAACCGCAACCACGATTTGAAGCGCCACAAACGGATCCATCTCGCAGTCAAGCCTTTCCCATGCGGCCACTGCGAGAAGAGCTTCTCCCGAAAGGACGCTTTGAAGGTTCGTTCTTTATCCGATTTTAACCCCCTCAAGCAATTGGTAGCAGTGATTCAAAGCTGACTGAACGAACAGAGACACATCCTCGTCAAAGGCTGCGGGAAGCCGTCTAATGGCAGTGGCGCGAACGCGGGCGGGAGCCAGTCACCTGTTGATAAGACCGAGATCTTGAGTGATTCGACCGAGGGCGGCAGTCCGGAGGTGATGAAGAAAGAGGTGTAGATGATCATCTCTCTCTCTCCTGCCATGACGCAACATCAAGTACACGGAATGATGTTGTTCGTCTCTCGTCTTTTATGGATGGCGTGGATGGGGGCGTACGAATCTTAAACGGGGAACGGGACTGGACTGTAAATCTGTTTGCTTGTTGTTGTTGTGGGTGTGTCTTTTCCAGGAAGAAAGAGAGAAGAGAAGGAGAAGCGATATTTTTTTACTTACTGGAAGTGCTCCAAATACCCGGCCGGCAAGCGAGGCAAGGCGTTACGCGGTATAACTATTTTGTTGTTTGTTTGGTTTGGAAACTTGGGTTTAATGAAGAGGATCGATGACATGGGATGAAATGCTGGAGTTGGGTTTGCTGTGGTGGTGGAAAAGTGATGATACGAAGCAAGCGCATCTTTGTTGTGCTAAGGAGCTATTTGTGTCTGTTGTTTGTTGTTATTTTTTTTGTCGTTCTGTTTTTGAGAGCAGCTTCTTCTTCTTTTCTAAGCAAAAGATATCCGATACGCATTTGAGAGGGATGGAGGAGAAATGGTATCTTGTTTGATGACGATGTATTTGTATTATTCAACCTGCCTATGAACCAATAGCTCATATTGACGAAAGAATGAGAGAGGGGCTTTGTTGCCTACTTAGTTACTTGATTCTTATCATGAATTGCGTGAAAAGAGACCCTGGCTTCGATGAGAGAGAAATGTCGGATTGATTGCATGCGAAAGCGACCAACGATGTGACTTGAATGCGAGAAGCATATATATTATATGAACGTCAAAATAAACACCACCAAATCGTCTCCAAACGAGTATCCCTCCCCATTCTCCACCTATCTGCAACACACCCGCAAATCCCAATCCCAGTCCTAGTCCTAGTCCCAGTCAAAGATCGACCTTCAAACGAACGAAAACTCAAAAAAAAACCGTAGATCTCATCCCCTTTTCCATTCCCCACATACAAGGCAAACAGCCGACGATCCTTGCCATGCCATCCCTCCATCCACCTGTCAGTGCCAAACCCCAAACCAAACCCTCGGGCGCCCTGTCGATCTCTCCCTCTCCCGGGCAGTTCTCCAAAGCCACCACGAAACGAAACCCAGAGAGTCGGTAAGTAGCCCATCAAAAAATTGCTGGCAGATCCAAATTCCTGGGGGGCGAGGAAAAAATAATACCACCGGTGGCCCCCCCGAAGGCGTTCTCGGTTGGCGTCTCGGTTGTGGCGTCGTCGTCGCTGCGGCATGGCAGGACAGGGAAGAGGGGAGGGAGCGTAACGTAACGTAACGGCTATCACGGCTGCGGGCAGGGATGGGGATCTGGGGGGGGGGGGTTTCCATATCCCGGGGTGCTGGGTCGGGATTTGAGGCGTGAGGATAGGAGGGAGGGAGGGAGGAGGGATTGGGGTACCGGTGGGTTGGGTGAGGCTTTTGAGGTGGTGGTGGATTGGATGGGATTGGTGAGTGTGGATGTTTTGAAGGGGATGACGGTGCAGGGGTGTTTTATAGGGCTCGTACGCAGTTTCGATGGCTGGTGAGTTGGATTTCTGGATTTCTGATCTGTCTTTTGATTTCTTTCGTTGGTTTTCTGAACTCGGCTCCGACATTCGATTCCTCAATCCAAGATCGACATTGCAGGACGATGGGTGTTTAGCTTTATTTACCGATAAATAATTGGGGAGGTAGAATGTACGATGTTGTTCTCGAAGCTTGGACTGACCTCCAAGCTCGACACGAGTACAAATTCTAGAACGGACGGGCGCCGTCTTCTTGATTCTTCAGTCACAATTCTTCAACTACACACTTCAAAGCAAGCAATCCTTCAGAGAACATCACACATCTAGTTCAACGTCGAAATGGCTACCATCACTAACAGCACCACCGAGGAGGAAATGTAGGATACGGTTCTCGGTTGAGGGGTTTTAAGGTTGAATTATCGTATCGCGACGAAAGGAAAGTGCTGCACTTTGAGGAGAGTTTGAAATTCGGAATTAGAGTCACGACTTTCGAGGATGGAGATGTGGGTTGTTCATTGTGCTTGATGTAGTACGTAAAGTTTCTCTCAATGTCCGTACTCAAGTTACTGAATTTATGCGATTCGAATTCCGATAACGCAGTTTGACTGCCCTTGAGAGCATCATGGCTCTCGTCCACCATCATTGTTCTCCAGACAGAGGTAATCGATACATGGTTTCGAAATTGAGGTTACGATGCTAAGTCTTGATGGAGTTGCTTCAGTCCTGGAATTTCGTACGATACTGAGCTTCGTCCAGTTCGTCACGAGTCTCTGATGGATAATGGCCCAGATCATCTTCGAGTGATCGAGTCGAAGGTCTTTGCCGTAGAGCTTGCCTTGTTCCGATTAGAGCTACTCAGAACAATCGTTGCCCCCAAAATATTCGATTTACAAAGATTCAGTGACAATGGAAAGAGCTTGGATCGAGGCAAAAAGGTGTTCTTCGGCACCCGAGATGTCTACTGCAGTCGAAACTCATTTACTGGTGGCACACTATGACATCTGAGATTCTGAATGCGAGAAGCAAATGATGAGAGGAGTCCGGAAGGAAGAAGTGTCTGTTGTGTCTATGAAAGGAGAAGGACTTTAAGAAGATTGAGCTTGTTCGAGTCACTGTTCCTTCTAGATTCGCTCTTGTCATCACCATGCAGCCCTTCTTATTAACAGTTTCGAAGTTACGGAAAGGGCAGGCATGAAAAGTGCATGCATTTGGACCTGCACTTGGGCGATACTTTCTCTCTTTTGCGGCACTGCTTGATCTCGTTACTCCCTGATCACTTCCATGTTCCTCTTACAGCAGTTGCGTAACTCTACCTCCGTCATGTTTCTTGATACGAAACGCTGAGAGACTCTTTGTTTTACCCTTCTTTCTTGTTTGCTGAATGTCGGTTTCAAGTGTCGAATATCTTGTCAATTGTCCGTGCATTCAATATCTGGCCTGGTCTTCGAACTCGAGGGGTTAATTTCTCTCAATTCTCTGAGAAGTCTGACTCTATTTTCAACACTAAATATTTTGCTGTGTTTTCGATCTTTCCAAACATAACTGGTTTGACAATTTGACTTTGAATCTTGGATTGTATACTCATTCTTGAGGGCTTCGACACAGAACAGCTCTTCACGATGTCCAGCATCAGTTTCAAGATTGAGCTTACTATTGGAGACTTACTTAGTAGTGATCCCGCACGAATATCGTAGCTGGAGAGCTTCGTGTCAAACGCAGATGATAAGCCTGGCCTCTTTCAGAAAACCGCCTTGCATACGATCGTTCAAAATGTCTGAATGAGTCTCCGACATTTGGAACTGTTTCGATTTGCAAGTTTTCCAAAGATCGACTTAGCATTACTAATGTATTTATTTTATTGCATTCATGACAAGCTGCATGAGGGTGTCGAATCCGTCAAGTGACTGATTGTGCTCTTCGAAAGAACATGTGACACCCCTTTTCGCAACTTATCAAATTGAACAACTCAGGAACACAATTTCTATGACGAGTCAACGGCGAAGATTCGAAGATCACTACTGTTTCGGAAAACATCCGAACCTCGATCTAGGTTTTTGGACGAAACTCCTCACGGATAAAAGTGAAGCATGGCTAAATCCCCGCAGAAGCGATCGTCAATATGCGGAGTCGACAAATCCGTCAGGGAGAACTTTATCCATTACCTCCCGAACTCCATCTGGGTATAGCTAAGCTTTTGCCAAGCTATTATCCCCTCCTGTCGAGCAGATACTTCGGATGGGTGTTCGACACAAATAGATTTATCCGGTTACGGAAGAACAATGTACTGGAGACAAGGAAAGGACCTACGTTATCACTATGTGCTCGGGAAACCGGCCGAGATCCTTTCACGGTGAAAGGTTTGAGCGTAGACATATTAAGAGCTATTGTTGTACCTGAAGATTCTACAAACAAGAAGGAAAGTCTGTGAGACTGAACAGCCTTGAAGTATGAAGTCAATAATCTTCAAACTTCAGGCACTTGCCATATTAAGCAGCTTGTTTTGTACAGTCGCATCAAAGCATTGGGTACAAAACCAATGTAAGCCATTTCTCTACTCCGAAAAAATAGACACTGACATCAGAACAGGTCATGTACCAATAAACTTGACGCTATACAACAACACCAAACTTCCAGATCCTTTCACATTTGCAGGTGGAGGCGCAAAAACCAGCAACGCATCGCAATGGGATTGTCGACGAAAACAAATCGGTGCTCTACTCCAAAAATACGAACTTGGACACCTCCCACCAAAACCAGCATCCCTGACTGCAAACATAACAACCAGCAATGCCACATATTTGGGAACCAACTACACTACCAACAACCTGAACATCCAAGTCACCGACCGCAACAAAACCATCTCCTTCTCAGCCTCGATCATCTGGCCAACAACAGGTGAAGGTCCCTGGCCCGCAGTCATAGCCTACGCAGCACCCAGTATCCCCATCCCCTCAAACATCGCAACCATCAACCTCGACAACGACGACATCGCCCAACAAAACGACGCCTCCTCCCGCGGAATCGGGAAATTCTACGACCTGTACGGCATCAATGCCACAGCATCCGCAATGACAGCCTGGGCATGGGCCGTTTCACGGATTATCGACGCTCTCGAATCCCTCCCAATCTCAGAAGCGAAAATCAACACCACCCGCCTCGGCATGACAGGCTGTTCTCGGAACGGAAAGGGAGCTCTGGTAGCAGGGGCTTTTGAACCTCGTATCAGACTGACTATTCCGCAAGAGAGTGGTTCGGGAGGAGATGCGTGTTGGCGACTTTCGGACGCTGAGCAAGCTGCTGGATATGTTGTGCAGACTTCTTCCGAGATCGTGAACGAGAATGTCTGGTTCTCTACCGAATTCGATAATTTTGCTCAGTATAAGACGGATCTATTGCCGTTTGATCATCATATGCTGGCTGGTATGATTGCGCCAAGGGCTATGCTGGCGATTGAGAATACAGCGTACGTGTGGTTGAGTCCTCAGAGCAGTTATGGATGTATGACGGCTGCGAGGAAGGTGTGGGATGCGCTGGGGGTGAGTGATAGGATGGGGTTTACGCAGGATGGGAATCATAGCCATTGCGCGTTTTCTGCTGATCAGCAGCCTGAGTTGACGGCTTTCTTTGATAGGTTCTTGTTGGATGCAGAAGGGGTCAATACCACTGTTTTCAAGACGACGAATGAGACGTTTGATGAGGCTCGGTGGATTGATTGGACGGTGCCAAAGCTGTATTGATGGATGTTCGAGTGTATTCAAGATCAGCGGAGGAAAGAAGACACAGGATGGAGGTGTAAATAGTCAAGAGATATAACCAAGAATATTCTCTAAACGCCCCCGTTCCCCGAAAGTTCATGCTCACTTTTTGACCTCCTAAGGCGCCAATAGAAAAGACAACTCCAAGATAAGATATGCGACCCTTGAAAAGGAGATTTTTGGGTACACCAACCTCCATACTAGCCATCATCCCCAACAAAGAAAAAGAAGAAAAAACAAGGTGCTCAAACAGCACCCCAGAGAAAACAGAGCAGCCTCTCGTCTCCACCCGATAAGCCTGGCGCTCGAAAATGCTGAAACGGTCGACAATCGCAACATCGTCAGCATGCCTGCCACTTGCGTTCCATGTCAATCTCGATCTACACATTGTATGTATACCGCACTCACTTCTGTTAGATACATTGGCTAGGCTATGCCAGCCGCCAGGAGATACAATTTCCGGAGGAGCACTTTCTCGGTGAAAACGAAGATACAAAAGCGCACCGATTTCTGCACCAAATATCCCTCTGAAAGTTGCACAATCGAAGCGTCGAAGATCGATTCCTAATCCGTAGTCCCATTTCATAGCCAAATCGTAAGCCTCTTTTTTCTCCATCTCGTCAAGCGTTAGAAGAAACTTATGAACGTACTCCCGAACGAGAATTGGTGAAGCGTCGTCGGCAAGTACAACTTGGCGGCCCATAATCACGGTGTTATGACTTCGTTGTTCGCTTGATGCCGTGAGTAGAAGAACTCGAGATCAAACTGCAGAATTTGCTGGAGCGGCTGGTGCAGGTTCATATATGTGGCAGCATATTTGGCTATGCATCCAAAGATTCTCGTCTCTGAAGAGAAAGCATCCAATTGTTCGCGTGTATACAAGAGATCCTTGAGAATCTGGATACCTAGCTTCTATGAGAAGATTCGCTATCTCGAGGAATTGCTCTACCAAATTTCTCAAAGGAATCTAATGTGATAACTAGCAAACCAATCCCTTTCAGGTGCAGTGACGCAAAACCAACAAGAACTCACAGCCAACCAAATCCTAGATGTGCGAGTCCAAAAACAAGGAGCAAGGCTTGAGGATATGATATATCAGAAAACTCTTTTCTTTTGAAAATATCTCTGTCTGGGTAAGATGCAGGTTTCCCGTGGTGTTTCAACTCGTCCCCCGCACCAGTAATGTTCGACTCCAGATAATGTTGTACTACACACCATGAGGCTGAACTTCCAGGCATGAGAAGATTTTGAAATCCTTCCAATGAAAGATGAAATGTCAAGGGATCTGAGACGATGTTTTGCAAGCCAATTCAACCTGCCTTTCATGAGAACTTGCTCTTCAAGGACTAGAGGCTCTTTGTTCCTCACCACAATCGTGTCACCGGCTCACATCTCAAAGGTAATGAGACTTGAATCTAGTCCTCACATTTCACTCTTCTAACTACTCTATCCTATACACACAGCAATCACGCTGTTGTCTTCTTCCACCCAATGCTCTCGAATTTCTTGTATGTTATCCTACTTCTGACAGTGCAATACTCTACATACCCTCGTGATCTACGACCACGGAGAAGATTTTATGCGACACAATTGGGTTGCCATTCAAATGAACGGTAACATCAAAATTGCTAAGAGGACCCTGACAAATGTCAGTACCAATAAGCTGAATGTAGAAATCGAGGTTGCTTACATCGAACACCCCGCACTGCATCTTAGAAGCTAACGTCAGACACATGCAGCATTTCAGCCTGCGAAGCAGTCATCGCTGAGAAGTTGCTGTGTTTCAAGAAGAAGTCAAAGTCTTGATCATCCTCTTTGACTTCAACTCGTCTAGAACAAGCAGTTTCTTGACATGGAGCACATTCTCCAAAGTATCGAGAACTTTGTTGAAACTGCTTGCAGCACCTTGTTCCTGAGTGAAGCGAACGATGCTGAGTTGGGATCGCTTTCCGTGCTCGATGACAGTCATGACTTCTGCAGCGATTGAGACTTCCTTGATGTCAAGATCTAGTCCATATCAGTCATGCTCACACTTATCTTCCCTCAATGTGACTTACAATTCTTCGGGCCAACTTTAGCGAAAACAACATTGCGTCGCTTGTCGACCTGGATATCACGCATGCCATACTTCTTCCAGTCCCTGAAAACAATGACTATTTCTTTGCGAGCTGTACGTTGAGACACCGAAAAGCATAGATATCTTGCCGCAGGCTTGACATGGAAGAGTTTGGCCAGCCAATTTCGTTGAGGTGCAATTTGGCGAGTTCCTGCATCTTCATTACCGGCAAAGCGTCCAGCAAAAGATTTGTTGAGATTGGCCACGGAGTCTCGCAAGCTTGCTTCGTCCTCAAAGATATCGTGGTCTAGGATACGTGTTAGTGCTTTGACGTCTAGATGGGTCTCATGTACTTACTAGCAACTTGCATGTCGGCTTTAGATCGCTTCTTGAAAAGTTTGCCAAATATACCTTTCTTCTTCGGAGAGGGTAGTGGCGGTTGGGGCTTATCATATGCGCTTCCTCCCCGGTCAGAGAGGGCCGTCTTAGCACCATTTCCTGACTTGATCGATTGTTGAGTTTCAGAGCCAAGATTAGACAACCGGGAATCATCGCTAGCTTTAGAGTTGCGTCTAAACCAGCCTGATCTCTTTCTGACAACTGTACCTGTGTTTGACGGAGCGGAGGCATTCTCGTTGATTTCTGTCTCTTCGTCGTAGTGACGTTCAGTGATTGGTGTCAAGCTCGGAACAGCACCTCTACCGGCCATGTTATATTGCTGACGCAGGCTGGACTCCGCAGGCTGATAACTTGAATAACAACTCTCCCATTCGCTGCCGGTATCATCTGTCAAGGGAGGCTTGGGTGCTTGGGAGCTCTTCTTCCTAATAGTAAGAGGAGCTGGCATCTTGACAGGGCTTTCTGATGATGACGGCGGAACCACTCGAATAGTGTCTCTGAAGGACGAATCTGGTTTTGTGAACCGATCATTCTGATAGCGATTCATGTCACGAGGTTCAGGAGCAGAAGCAATACGACTGTTCTTAGCGTCACTTCGATGATACCGGCTTGATTGGTCTTTGCGTCGTGGTGGCGAGTCTTCACCACCAGTCTCGTGGATCGATGGCAATTGCCTGGATTTCTGCCAGGTCTCGAATGGAGCGGAAGATGCACGCCGTTCTCCCGTAACAGATGATGGCGATCGCATCAGCTCATCAAGATGCGTAACCATGCGGTCCAGATGGCCTTGCGCAGAGGGACCTTCAAGTTCCTTTCTAAGCTCGAACTGAAGCTTCTGCTGCGCAAGTTCAATCTTGACGGATTCGGTTCGAGCTGGTGGTGGAGGCAGTGGGCGAGTATCTAAAGCGTTGGGCTTGGACTTCAAGGGTATCGCATTGCTCCTGTTGGCGGAAGATCGCTCCGGATGGTAGACAGTGAGGTCAATGATAGTTTCCTCACTGGTCATTACCGAACCCCGATTGAAAGCTTCGTCACAATCCTTGGCCAAGCTGCTGCTAAGTTGGCGCACATCTTCACCCCATATGAGACTTGCGCGGACAGCCTTCTTTGCAGGACTACCATTCTGAGAGGTCTGAGCCTTCCTAGAGCGGATATAACGAGAGGACGGTGAACCTTTGTTCACTGGGCGCAAAGTATCTCCACCATCATCGGTGACTTCGGTATGGTTACTGTGTCGGCGAGGTTTATGAGCCTTCGAAGAAGCTGGAGACGGCAAGCTGCTAGTAGAGACTCGTAAATGATTAAAGCTCACACCACGCTTGTATCGACCCGCAGCACGCGCGTAATTACCACTAGTACTGCTCTTCACTGAACTTGCTAGCGAGCTCCTCGTCTGGCCGAATTTCGGTGGGGCTAAGTGTGTAGAGGGCCGTAACGCCAGACGGTCGTTGCGATGAATGGTGACTTTGGGACCAGTGGTGCCCAAGGAACTGAGTCGTTGAGGTCTCGAAGCTTTGAAAGGATCATAACTCTTCTCCGTCTCTGCACTGTTGCTGATGACCGTGAACTTGGATCCCTGTCGTTTGTGGCCAACTTGGGAGAAGTGACGTGTCGAATATGTCTTCCTTAATCTTGGGGGTCTGACATGATGATAGTCGCTAGTCGAGTACTCTAGTTCGGGCGTGTAATCTTCCAACTGAGCGTCTCGATGTCTGCTGAGAAGAGCATAAAAGATCTTCTGATCGTTTGGTCTGGTGTGAATTAGTAAGACTTTCTCTGGAATGTACTTTCATCAGTAACTGCATGACTTACACCTCATTCAAGAGTGACTCGATCAATTGCTGCTCAGATAATGTATGCCACATTGAATTGAGCTGACGGACGATGTCTTTGTCAATCTCACTTCTCCGAGAGACAGGATGCCCATAAGCCTTCGCGCTTGGTGACTGTGGATAGAGCCCTTTTCCTAGATCATCTAGGTGATCATATGCTTGCATCAGAGGATGTCTCCAGATCTGGGCAATAGTGATTCTATCCTTAGGGTTCACCTGGAGCATCTTTTTGATCAAATCTGCTGCGGCCGGACTGATATCAGGACTCATGGTGTATCGGCCCTTGCTGATCATCTTGAGCACGGTGCCAATATCGTCAGTCATACCGCCATCGAATGGCAATCTCCCCGCCAGCATCGCATACAAGATAACTCCCATGCTCCATATGTCCACCAAATTACCTCGGTATAGATGGCCTTTCACGAGCTCAGGAGCGGCATAGTGAGGACTACCACAGGATGTTCGAAGTTTGAAGTCTGGTCCTTGTTGTAATGCCGCCATGCCGAAATCAGCAATCTTCACATTGCCTTCGGCAGACACGAGTATGTTCTCAGGCTTTAGATCTCGATGACATATGTTGAAGGAGTGACAATAGCCAAGAGCACTGATGAGTTGTCGGAAGTACTTCATCGCTTCCACTTCTTGTAATCTTCCCTGGCTAGAGATGCGCTCGAACAATTCTCCGTTCTCGAGGAATTCCAATACCAAGTAGCTGTTTTGAAGTTAGCGTAAAGACCATCTGATTACATAGATAATGCTTACATCTCTGTTCGATTCTCCCATATATCATACAACTTCATGATATTGGGATGTTGTATTAACTTCATGATAGCTACCTCTCTCTCTATGCCAACCGGCATGCGCTTGATGCCATCCTCTTCTGGGTTGTTCAGGTCTGCTTTTTCAAGATCCGCAAGACTTCCTGCTTGAGAAATGAGGGCGCTCTTCTTCGCAATGATCTTAACGGCTGCTACTTGTCCTGTCTGAATATGCTTTGCAAGTCTGACGCGAGCCGTAGCTCCGTAGCCCAGAGTACGGCCCAGTCTCCAAGGGCCAACGCAAACCTTGATTCGACTGTTGGCTGAACTGGTGGAAGCTTGCGAAGTCCGCTTGGACGATGTTGCTTGGTCATCCTTCATAATCTCAGAGAGTCGATTTGATACCGGAGGTGCTGCAGATGATTTTCGTGTAGAATTAGGTCGGGAAGGTGGGGGCATCGCAGCATTGTCTCCGAGCTGTCCATTGGCGCCGCGACTTTCATGATGCGGCATCGAGGGGGCCACCTTGGACGGTGGAGCCATGCTGGTTTGTGTATTATTGACCCGACCAGTCGCCTCCCCAAGAGCCGGTCGGCGCGTCTGCTGCCGCGAAGCACTGCTCATCTTGTGTATGATTGAGTTCTCCTTCTAGAATGACAAGAACATTGCCAACAAGTACGGCGCGTAACCTAGAAAAAGTCCCTCTACAACTGTGATATTGTAGACGGTAGGTCGCGGATAGGCTGCTTGTTCGAGTTGCCAAGGAGACGCGTTGTTGCGCCTTCACGGACTCGACCGAAGGCTGAGGAGAGTTCTCTGTATTAAAAGTCAGGATGAAATGCGATGCGTTTGGAGAAATGTGACTTGCACTTATTTGGAAACGAAATATTTTGGTTTACCGCGAGAGCGAATGTCAACAAACGAATGAGCTCGACTCCCAACGGAGCGTGTCAGATGCTAATCGAGAGCGAACGAGAGAATGACGGAACGAGTGATTGAAGGGGAACACAAAAAAATGCTATGCAGTATCTTGAGGTGGAGCGATTTGAATGTCGGAATGCAGTTTTTTGGTCGGCAAAAATGGTTTGTTGACGTTTGTCCGTTCTAGGCGAGTTCCCAAGCAAGAAGGAATGCGGACAGACACTTAACATAAAATCGGCCCGGAATTTATTTCTCGAACAGCCTTCTATAACTAAAATACAGGCTTCATCGAAATTTGCCCATGAACCACTTTCAAATCTTTCGCCAAAGTCACATCATAAAATTACATATGTCTGTTCTCCTCCATATTACAACCTTCTAGCTGGCCGCATGGCAAGGATAGACATAAGCTTTCAAGTGCAAATCGATTTGATCAAGAAGCTGCTCAATCAAATAAGCTCATCGTCCAATGCCGAGTTTATGATCATGCACGTATCATCAAGCACAATGTCAAGGAACAGAAGCTGGCATCATGGCTTCGTTGAAAGGGACGGCATCCTCCAGATCCTTCTCACTCAGATGAAACGATTTGCATTAACATAAGGGAAGACTTCTCGAAGTTCAAGAAGCAAAATGTGGAGTGCAAGGAGTGCAAATGACGGCTACATGCTACGTGCTTTGAGATTAGGTACTCATCTATTGTTTTACCTATCCTCTTTGACCGACTGGAATCATCCTCACGCATTCATGGGACAGCATATGCCCAGTATGTTCTCGTCACAGCCTGGAGGCCACACCACGTGAGGCCAACAGATTCGTGGAGGTGGAGGTCTGTATAGAGTCAGAACTGAGCTTACAACACCCTATGCAGACTCAAGCAAGGTTGGACACAATATCCGTGAATATCACTGGAGGTTATAACAGTATCCCGAGTGAACATTTCAAGAGCTTGGAATCTTGCTGTTTGGACCATTCCCTTACCACTAGCTCACCTTTCCCTAAGATCCCAATACAGCCCAGAAGTGGAGACACCAGCTCAGTTGTGCCACCTTTTTCTACATAGTCGGGTCGGAGTACCATTGGGATGAAAAGATTGATATTTCTCTGAACTTCGTTGTCGTTGACTTCTCGGAAATCGCTTTCCCCGCTATACACGTGATCTAGCTAAATTAGGTTACCGCGAATCGTGAGCTCAACGCGTCACGCGTTCCCTTCCTTTCAAAGGTCTGAGACAACGAGAACAATTTCAACCACCCTGCGATTGCGTTTCAACAAGATGCCGTCTACAACGTCACCTCCTCGCCGTCGACAGCGTGCCGATATCGAGAGCGACGAAGAGGCTGAAAATCTACGAGCCTCCCAGCGATCGACGCCTTCCACTTCATCTGGAAAACGCGCCCGAACAGATGACTACCAGAGCGACGAGGAGTCTGTAGCTCCAGCAGTTCGATCTGCGAATGGATTTCGCAATGACGACGATAACCTCTCCGATGATGAAGAAAGCGGGGAGGGGAACTCGAATACATTCCAACCAGGCGCTCTTATTCGTGTGAAGCTCACCAACTTCGTCACGTACGAGTCTGCCGAATTTTTTCCTGGTCCGAATCTCAACATGGTCATCGGTCCAAACGGTACTGGAAAGAGTTCGTTGGTTTGTGCCATATGCCTGGGATTAGGATGGGGCCCTCAACATCTTGGTCGTGCCTCGCAAATTGGCGAATTCGTCAAGCATGGTCTGAGCGAGGCATATATTGAGATTGAGCTTCAGAAGAAGGAGGAAGAACCCTTCAATCACGTCGTACGAGTGCGTATTATCCGAGACGGCAACTCCCGAGAATGGTTCCTTGACGGAAAGAAGACTTCATTGAAAGCTATACAAGCATTAACTGTTAGCTATTCTATTCAAGTCGATAATCTCTGCCAATTCTTACCGCAAGACAAAGTATCAGAATTTGCAGGACTATCTCCCGTCGAGCTCTTGCTCCAGACCCAGAGAGCAGCGGCACCAGAGGAGATGCTCCAAATGCACGAAGCTCTGAAGAAGTACCGGAAGGACCAGAAAGTACTTGATCGTCAAAATATCAGCGACAAAGAGGAATTGGAAACACTGGAGACTCGCCAGCAGAGCTTACATGCTGAAGTTGTGAAGCTGCAGGAGAGACAAGAAGTTTTACTTAGGGTCAAGATCTTGGAGCACACTCGGCCTTTTGTGGAATACCAGCTTGCCCTTGCAGAGCATCGTGTCTTCAAGGAAAACAAACGTCTAGCCCAGAAACGCTATGAAGAGTTGAAGACGACAGTCGAGCCCACTATGCAATCGATCGAACAGAAGAAAGAGTACGCAAGTCGAATCGATTTGGCGATCAAAGATCGCAAGGCAGCTTTGACTGAGGCAGAACAAGCGGCTGATAAGAAAACAAGAGACATCGGAGGGTTAGATGAGGAGATTACGAAGAACGAGCAGGAGGTCAACGCTGTCTACAAACAAAAGGAAGGCAAGAAACGAGAATTAGACAGAATTAAAAGAAAGATACTAGAGTTGAAGGCTGGTCTGAATGGTGAGCCAGTCGTCTTTGATGGCCGAGAGTGGAATGAACGCATTGTATGTTGGCCCACCTATTTCTGTGGCATCGCTAAACTTTTCATCTAGAGGGAGAAAGAGCACGAGCTGAGAGATGTCAAAGCCGAAGTTGCGTCAACGCTCAGTAGCCATGACGAACTGAAAGATAGAGCTAGAGTTCTCAGGAATAGGAAAGATGAGGCGCAACGAGATCTTGCCGCATTTGACACGCAAGAAGGTCAACAAATGAATAACCTGGAAAAGAAATCCGCACAAACTGCCAAAGCTTGGAAGTGGGTTCAAGAACATCTCGAAGAGTTTGAGAAAGAGGTGTACGCCCCTCCCATGATCTCTTGCGCTATCAAAGACCCTCGTTACGCTGCTGCAGTTGAGTCGATGCTGCAAAGGAACGATTTCCTCGCTATCACCGCACAGACTACAAACGATGCGAAGATATTATCCGACCAACTGCATGGGACTGAGAAATTCACTGATGTCACTATTCGAACCGCGAATGATGATCTAGCTTCACTACGCCAAAGAGCCCCTCTTTCACCTCAAGAAATGCGGAATATCGGCATGGAGGGCTGGGCTATTGATTTTATCGATGGCCCGGAGGTAGTCCTATGCATGCTCTGTAACAGTCAGAAGTTACACCTGGCAGCTGTCACTTTGAACGATATCACCGAACCTCAATATAACTTGATTGTCACAGGTGATAAGCTGATCAAATGGACCACGGCCACTCAAAGCTACAAAGTCTCCAAGCGACAGGAGTACGGACCTTCTGCTGTATCGACTATTACGAGAGCATTGTATCCCGCCTCGTACTGGGTTGATCAACCTATTGACACTTCAGCGCGTGGGGAAATTGAGGTAAAGATGAAAACTGCGCACGAAGAAATGGCGGCATTGAAAACACAAAACGAAACTTTCAAGTCCGAATTAGTAGACCTGAGGACCAAGGAGAAGGATCTGGAAGAAAAAATTGTGAGTCATTTCCCGAGAGTAAAGTAATGTCGGCTAACCAATGGTACAGCGTGCTCTCAAGTCAGAGAAAGAGGGATTGCAGAGAGCCTATGGCGCATGGAAGGCATTGCCCGAAAAGATCCGTAAGTTTTTACATCTCCCTTCAGAACTCCGATCTAACCTCATTCCAGGTGTGGAGGAAGACTCATTGCAAGCCCGGCAAAATGCAAGTGCTGAGCTGACGAAACAGATCAAGAAACTGCAAAACCAGCATGATCTTGCAGTCGTTCGAAAATCAAAATACGCACTTGAGTATAAAACTCTAGTGGAAAAGATTCGAGACTGTCACGACGAGCTCCTTGAAGCACAGATCAGACTTATCGAAGCTCGGTCAGATGTGGAGGCATTGACGGCACGCAACGAGGATATCGTCAGGCAGCTCGAGGAAGAGGAGGCGCGAAAGAAGCACGCAGAACAAGAGTCTAAAAGAGTCCAAGACATTGCCAAGAGGGCATTGGCAATCTGCAAAGATATTCTTGCAGATGAAGAGAATGCGCCATATGAGCAGGAGTTCACACATCCACCGGCAGATATGACTCTTGAATCTCTAGACATAGAGATCGCCGCGGAACAGTCGAAACTCGAGTACATGCAGTTGAACAATCCCAACGCCCTTAGACAATATGAGTCACGCCAAGTTGAGGTTGATAAGCTGAAGGAGAAGGTCACTGCGACCGAGACCAAGCTTGAAAAGCTCGAGCAACACATTAATAAGATTCGTGGTAAATGGGAGCCACAGCTTGACGCTCTCATTGCTGAGATCAGTGACGCCTTCTCATTCAATTTTGAGCAGATTGGTTGTGCTGGGTCAGTGAGTGTACACAAGGATGACGACTTCGACCTTTGGGCCATTCAAATCAAAGTGAAGTTCAGGTAGGTCTTCTTCTCAAGCGTGATATAATCAACACTAACACTTCACAGGAAAAACGAAGATCTTCAGATCCTAGACGCCCATCGCCAATCCGGAGGAGAGCGTTCGGTATCAACAATCTTCTTCCTCCTATCCCTGCAACGTCTCGCAAGAGCACCTTTCCGAGTCGTCGATGAAATCAACCAAGGTATGGATCCTCGAAACGAGCGCATGGTCCACGAGCGAATGGTAGAAATCGCCTGCAACGAGCATACTAGTCAATACTTCCTCATCACTCCCAAGCTACTCACAGGCTTGAGATACGACAAGAGAATGAAGGTGCTCTGTATCGCAAGTGGAGAGTACATGCCCGATAAGTACCAAAAGCTTGACGTCTCCAAGATCATCGATATCCGGAAGACAATCATGACTCGGGCAATCATGGCGAGAGCTTAGTTGAGACCGGGAACTGGCGTATTTTGGAGCAAGGTTACAGGAGTTAGGTGGCGTCTGGGCGCTTTTTATTGCGGTATCACATGGAAGTTAAGCGTGAGGCAACTCGGGAACAGGAAGGCATTGTCTGGAACCAGGTGCCGGGTAGGCGGTCTTGTGTGTAGAACTTTGTATCTGTACAATTACCTATTTGCATTTGGGAGCTTTGGCTTCTAAATGAAAATATCCTCAGTATGTTCATGTCAATGTGTGCTCGTGCATGACGAGTGTTGTTCAAGATGGCGCCCGATAATGGAGTATAATATATAAACGAGAAATGAGCACAAGTGGCAAGAAAGGGGTCTCGCTTATCCTTTAGCAGATCACCAAGTCGAAAGATAATTCAACGCAGCATTAATGTTCAGCTCATCGATTCATATACTTCATACAAATTTGCTTGCGAGTAATGTAACAATCTTCCTCTCCTCCCCATATTTTTCTCAACCCTCAACCTACTGAGACCTCACAGCTTCGAAGCCGGAGACGCGGAACCGACTGAGGTGATTTCGTTGTATAGCAATCTGTTCATATATAATCAGCTTACGAGGATGAAAAAGAAGGGGGGGGAAACTCACGAAGTCAAAAAATCAGCATAATCCTCCCCAGTAACCTGGCCCGAGAAATACTGCGCCGCGAGATGATACTTATTCCCCTTGGCCGCCTTCCCCGCCAACTCATCCGCCTGCTCCCGCAACAACTTCAGCGCGTACGCCTTATCGACCTTCTTACCCTCCGCGGTCGACACCCCGTGCTTAACCCACTGCCACAATTGGGACCGGCTCACCTCCGCTGTGGCCGCGTCTTCCATCAGGTAGTTAATCGGCACGCACCCGATGCCCCGCAACCAGCCTTCCATGTACCCGAGCCCGATGTTCAGGTTCTTCCGGATGCCGTCCTCGGTGATCTGGCCCGGCACGTTCATGTTCAGCAGGTCGTTCTGCCCGATCTTGACGTCTTCGCGGCGCACGAACATCTGGTTCGGCGTCGGCATGTGCTTGTTGAATACCTCGGACGCAATGGATGCTAGAGCTGGATGCGCAACCCACGTCCCGTCATGCCCGGCTTTTGCTTCGCGCAGCTTATCTGCGTACACGCCCTCCATCGCCTTGTCGTTGGCGGCCTTGTCGTCCTTGATGGGGATCTGGGCCGCCATGCCGCCCATGGCGTGCACTTGCCGGCGGTGGCAGGTCTGGATCAGCAGCTTGACGTAGGCGTCCATGAACGGGACGGTCATGGTGACGGCGCTGCGGTCCGGGAGCACGAAGTTGCTGTTCTGGCGGAACTTCTTGATGACGCTGAAGATGTAGTCCCATCGTCCGCAGTTCAGGCCGGACGAGTGGTCGCGGAGCTCGTAGATGATCTCATCCATTTCGAAGGCGGCGAGGATGGTTTCGATGAGCACGGTGCCGCGGATAGTGCCGCGGGGGATGGCGATGAAGTCTTGGCCGAGGTTGAAGACGTCGTTCCAAAGGCGGGCTTCGAGGTGGGATTCCATTTTCGGGAGGTAGAAGTAAGGGCCTGTTCCTCGCTTGATGAGCTCCTTGGCGTTGTGGAAGAAGTAGAGGCCAAAGTCGAAGAGGGAGCCCGAGATGGGCTCGCCGTCTACGGTGAGGTGCTTTTCCTCTAGATGCCAGCCTCGAGGACGGACGATAAGGGTTGGGAGGGTTCGGTCGGTGCGGAGCTTGTATTCCTTCTCTCCTTGCTTGAAGTCTACTTGTTTGCGGATGGCATCGTAGAGGTTGACTTGGCCATTAATCATGTTATCCCACGTTGGGGCGCTCGAATCTGTTTGCACATCTTGTCAGTATACAGCTATTGTGCGGTAGATGCAGCACTTACCTTCGAAATCCGCCATATAAGTCCAGACATTCGAATTCAGAGCATTGACAACCATTTTCCTATCCGTGGGACCAGTAATCTCCACTCTTCGATCAATCAGACCTGGTGCAGGAGGAGCACCCTTCCACGCATCATTCTCTCGGATATTCTTCGTCTCTGGCAGGAAATCTGGCAGAGACCCCTTGTCCAACTCTGCTTGTCTGATCACTCGTCGTTGCAAGAGATTTTTTCTCGTGCCATTGAAAGATCTGTGCAGCAGCGCGAGGAAAGCAAGAGCTTCCTTACTCAGAATCTTCTTGTTGAAATCGGTGACCGTCCCCGACACATTCACGCCCTGAAGGATAGACTCTGTGCTCGCCATTTCAAATTTTCTTGTTATTCTCCTCAATTATGTTTGTCTGCAGATTCTTATTTCGAAGAATGGGAGGAATTTGTTGCGCGCGGGGGAGTAAGAGTGGCGGTGGTAATTATATGCTTCTTTTTCTTTCTGGGAGAGCCACGAAATACGTCAGCATCAGGTAAAGAGGAGTAAGGTCGTTATGAAGGGGAACCGGCAATGGGGAACTAATCGGCAGAGACGACAGAAAAGCAGCACGCGGTCGGGTGGAGGGGAAGACTAGCTTGGGGCAAGGCGAGGCTTGTGAATGTGGGGAAACCCCAGGATTCTTTTGTTACCAACGAACTGGGTGGTCGCCGCTCTACGATGTGAATTTTTGGACTATATTATAGTCTGACGCTGATCCCATTCTGTGATATAATTGTATCTTCATGCAAAAAAAGATTTTGTTCGTGTGATGCTTTTCAATTCTGTTTTTGTTTGCATTGGCATGTGCTCTCTATCAACAGCTCACAAGCGAGAGATGACGATGATTGATTGTGAAATGCAGCTCCGATAATGCTGGACTTGACCTCGGCAGCTTCCTCCCAGCCGGACTATGCCCCTTTTTGCCGCATGAGTCCGCATCTGTCCGTCATCCCGGCCAATCCCGATCAGTCTCGTGATGAGCCGAGGCTCAATCTCGTGGGCGGGCCGGGGATTTGACTGCCTGATCCGTGTGGAAAATCCTGAGGATGCCAATGACCTTCGTAGAGTTTTGCTATTCGTATGGATTCAGTTTCCCGAGCCGGATTAAGCATTGCAGACCTCCGGCGTCTTGTTGCTAGGTACTCAACGTACTCCTTCATTTACGCACTCTCTGCTTGCAAAATTTTCATGATCACGAAATGTCCAGCTCTTTGCATTCGCTGATTCTGCACTTCGTATCGTTGACCAGACGTCAGATCTTTGTACATGCGATAAAAATTACCGTTAAACTTGGGCTACAAGATAATGTTATTCCAGAATTTGTAGAACATTATAAGTGCGCAGAGTCCAAGCTGGACAAGTCAATTAAAATATGAAGGATAAAATCTCCAATCTCGAGAATGTACTTTTTCTACCTATATCCCTAAAGCTCTAGTGCAATATTATCTTATCTCCAATTCCGACAGTATGCAACTTTTAATCCGAATTTACCTCGATAGAATACGCCGGGGAAGCGTAAAGTCCTGTGCTAAACTCATGCCCTAATATTCCTCCGACTAGTCCCTTCCGACACCGCCTGCCTCTGCTCTGCACCAGATCCCCAGATCTGAGTAACAACACCCATCCCCCTCTCCACTCCCCCCATCTTATCCCTCTCCCTCGCTTCTCTCCGTCTATCCTCATCTCTCAATGGCATCATATCATCCTCCACTCCTCTCTTTCCATCTAATATCGACCCTCCGTCTTCTCTCCAACTCGGTGCCAGACTCTTCCTTCGCTCTACTTGGATTGAAACTTCCTGTTTCGCATTAAGCATTATATCTCCATCTCTTTCTCTTCCCGCTGAACCTTTGTAACTGGTTTCCGTCCGCCACGCAACGTCTTGGCTGACGCCGAAGGTCTTGGATAGTTGGTTGGCCACGAGATTGGGGTGTGGTTTGAGAGGAGTGGAGGAAGATGCGAGGAAGTGTAATGTAGTGTTGTTGTTTGCGGAAATCTTGGCGGGAAGTTCCGCCATTGACATTTCGATGTTGAGTTTGACGATGTATGCTAGAGGATGGATCTGCATATATCTGTGGAAGGTTGATGTCAGTAGGTTTCATGTGGAGAATTGAGGAGAGAACACTCACACAAATGAATTACTAAGAGACATCATGCCGCTGAAGGATAGTTAGTGAGGTGGCAAGGGCGGGGTGGAGAAAGGAGAACTCGCATAATCAGGCAGTCCATAGCTAGTGACAGACCAATTATCCATTGATTGAACCGAACAAGGCGATTGTACTTAACTAAGCCTTGGCTCACTAACTTCTCTCGCACTGTTTTGATGAACAGCCAGTTCAAGCAGCCATCGACAATAAGAAAGATGATCTTTTCGCATCGATCCCAGATGCTGTTGATGTACTCATACCTGGGTGAAATCTGTAATCTCGAGGGGATCCCTAAGTAAAGATAATCAGCGCAATATAACATGTGAGTACCTGGAGGATGTGACTCGATTTCTCACAGCGGATTCTGTCGTCAAAAAGGCAATCCACTAGGAAAGGAGGCAATCTTGTTGGGAGACATACATATATTGTAAACAGAAATGTTAATCGCCGTGATGAGTACGGCCACTCCAATTTTTAATTTCAGGGCTTTCCGGCGATTGGTCAAGAGCAACGAAATTCTGTTGATGATAATCTGAAGGAGGAACTGCACTTGCAAACTCCAAGCAGTTACTACATGTTGTCAGCGCCGAACAATCTCACAGTCAAAAGCTTACAGATGGAGAAGAAGAACACAAGACTGAGGAACATTAGTAGAGCCTCTATCAAAACATCCAAATATGCCATACCTCGGTGGAATTACACCTGTCAAGTGGAGCCAGCAGATGATTGCAAACACCAGGCAGGCAAATATCTCTCCCCAAATCATCCACACATAAGGAGAGTTGAGTTTGGCTGCTCCATATCGTCGATATATTGCTACAGTCTGTTTGATTGCATGCCCTTCAGAATCAATCAGATATATTTCTTGATCAGACACTAGACCGACTTGCACGTTATAAGAAATCCGAATCCAAGATTGAAACCAAGGGCGATAGCAGCAATGATTAAATCATCTTGGGTGACCACCATTGGCATGAAATTAGGGCTCAGAAATGTTTTCATGATGATTCCCAGCAAGCTGACAAGAATTGGATACGGGCAAAAGGAGAGAACGGGCCAACTTGCAAAAGTGTATCATGGAGCAACGGAAGTGGAGGTGCTGTAGAAGACATATATTCTGACTCGAGACGTAGTGAAGGGATGAACACTAATCCGTCCTAGTACGTGTACCCCAGATATACTTTGCAGAATGCCATTGCGGGCATGTCCCTGGATCCCGACATTCTAGGTTTCCTATGGGTTCAACTGCCATGGAGCCAAGACTAGCAGCCGACTCGTTGTTGTAAGGTAGGAATCGGGTAAGATGCAGGATCCTAGAAATATCAGGCATGGCTGCTTCCGCGTGCTAAGAAGTTTATTCCAAGAACGTTCCGGAAAATTCTTTAAGCTGAAGGTCAGGATACATACGGCAAGATCGACAACCCGGAAGAGCATCGGAAAAGTATAACATAATCTATGTTTCAACCCTGCCGCATGCTGCCTCATTGGGAGAACACTCGCCTGCCAGAAGTCTAGAGAACCCCGAAAGATTTGGTACTTTGGTCTCTCGAATGTGTGACTCCATCCCGTCGTCTTCTCCCAGGGATATTGTAGGGAATGCCCATGTCTATATGGGGTGTCCCGGTCGATCCGCGTGCTTCTCCGTTTGTGGACGGCATGCAGAAAAATTGGTGAATTGAAACGCGAGAAACGCTGCGAAGTAGAATTACCTCGAGAAACTGTAAAAAAAAATGTAAAATAGACGTGCCACAGGGGGGAAGGTCTTTCAAAGGAAACCATTGTTCTGGCAGCACTGGATAATAACGTGGAGGATCACTGTGAACCCACTTCACATCCGTGACGATCTGGAGAGAGTGGATCAAATTTTGCACTCGCAAACAAGGTCCAACGACAAGCAACAAGGAGAGTATCTGTGCTCCAATGGGATCGCAACTTCTCTCGCAAAGGTACAATGACTCAGGAAAGTCCACTCTGGCTCTCACTATCCATGACTCGTCCCTAGTAGGAGTTCGTAATGCCTGCACGGCAGCGTTTGGGTTTGTTCCAGCACAACCTTATTTTCACGTCGAGACTGTTTGTCAACGTTGAGCGGGCCGATCGCTTTATCAACTGTGCGCACATGCATCAGATATCGGCTTGATATCGACGTTGATGCGGATGGTTGGCCAGACGCTTTGTAAGAATGTGGAAGCTTTGTGGACGCTGGAAGAAAGGAGTAAAGAAATGGATGTTAAAAATGGGCGGATATGATCTGACAGTAGCCCCTAGTTTAAAAAGGGTGTTCTGATATATTCGCAATGTGCGTGCTGACACGGTATATCCGAGCACTTGATAATCCTTGCTTCCCATGGTCCTCCTCCTCCTCCTCCTCTTCTTCCATTCCTTTCTCGAGCAATATATCATTTTAGCTCCGCATTGTCCAGCATGTCGCTGTCATGCTCCAGCAGTTCAATTGCCTACCAAATTTCATGCCTCTATCCGTCTCTTCGATCATTCCGCCGTTCTCTCCACAGCAGCATGACAGGATCCCGATTTGCTTTTTCCCCCATCATTTTTTATCGAATTGGCACAATCCCACTCATTCGGGCTTCTGCCAGACAGTCTCGCGTTCATTAGTTCATCGTAAGCTTCACATTCCTTGTTTTACACTCGTGCTCACTTTCTTGCCACGATGCTTTGAATACATTGGGTTTCAGTAATTCTTGCTTCATTGGCGTACGCTCATGTCAATCTGTGAGTGGTTGATATTCTAACACATGGAATATATTTCTTCCTGTCGAAAAGGGAAATAAGGTTTGAATCTTGTAGTGGGGCTTGCTTTTGGGCTGTCTTTGATTTAAGCCTTAGCATGGTTCAGCCACGAGGCCAGAAGTCACAAAAACGATGTCCAGATTTCAGGAGGTCAATGAGTGTGCTCATTACATTTCTTCCGGATTATCCTTTGAATGTTCATTGTGCGTGATAGGTTTTCTCTTCATCTTCTATGTTGAAACTTTGTCTTCATTTTAGGCTAGGCAATCAGTAAGTCTTTAGATTGACGACTGTTGTAACCCTTGTACTATCAATAATTCTCTATCATTTGTTTCAGAGCCAGGGCTTTCCTTCACCTCGAAATTTCGCAAGCTCAATCAAGACTCAGTTTATTTCATTCGTTCGGAAAGAAGATTCTCCTTCGAAAGGATATTCAGTCAAACCCATCGCCTACATTTTCCCTCAATACTACCCTTTTGAGCAGAATAACCGACTATGGGGCGAAAACTTCACTGAATGGGATAATGTCAATAAAGTCACGCACAATGGATTTGGGTTCGAGACCGTTCGTCAGCATGAGTCCATAGGATATTACAATGGGCTGGAGTTTGGGACGAGACAACGACAGTGTCAACTCATCCGCGAGAATGAATTTTATGGCTTGGCATACCATAACCACTGGATGGCAGGCACTCCTATGATGGACCATATTCTTCAGGCGATGCTACTCGTCGGGGAACCAAATACGAAGTTCATGTTGAGTTGGGCAAACGAGCCCTGGAAGGCGACGTGGGATGGACTAGATTCGAGGAAGGTCTTGATAGCGCAGGATTATGGAGATATCACGGATTGGAGGAAGTACTTTGAGTGAATGTTGCCCTTTTTCCGTCATCCGAATTATATTCGTTCTGAAGGGAAGGTTCAATTTATTATTTACTTTTCCGGACATATCGACAGAACTGCGCCTGGAGTTAAGCATGCTATGTATACTGCGTGGAGAAATTGGGCTACGGAAGCAGGTCTTGGAGGCATGGTAAGAAATTCCCAAACTGCAGTGATGCCAAAGTTTTATATCATCTGAAATCTAGGATATTATCGAGACGCGCCACCCTGCCAACCCACCATTTACAGCTTCTGACGCAGTCAACGAATTCCAACCTCATTCCGGTGGGCTGAACCAAGAATTCCACCATCTGATTGACAGAATTTCGAGAGTCTACCATCGTGGTAGCATGGTACTGTATGCTGGGACAGTACTCCTCGCCATGCAACCGATGGAAGAGCTTCAGCCTGGCCAACTTGCCATCCTAGAAGTTGGCAATCACTGCTAATGCGATTAATGGGAAGGATAAAACAAGATCCCAATCCTCCCGGTGTTGAGAATTTCCTTTTCGTCAACGCACTGAACGGTAGGTACCGTGCGGGTTTTTACCGGCTATTAATCAACCAACGTTGCAACGCCCGACGCTCCTGCATTTTCATTTTCAGCACCACCTCTTCCACGTAGAAATATCCTGCGTCCATACTCACTGTGTCTACGTCTATCTTCTCGAATTATCTCAGCAGCCACAATGTTTGGCTCTCCGCCTGCCCCTACCACCGTGAGCCTCGTCTTGTTCGGCTTCAAAATTGGTACGTAGCAATGTTCAATGAGCTTTTCAAATTCAATGTGCTGATATGGAAATGCAGTTCTTGCAGCCATATCAAGGCTCCTCACAGCTCCCTTGCGCTGGCTCCATTGGAACGGCGCTCCCGTCTTGTATCGAGATATCTTCTTTGCCGCTATCCGCGCTATGCTCTCTAATTTCACCATTACCGTGTCTCGATATTTGGGAATGACTACGACGCAAGTGTATGAAAACTTCTGTAAAGAAGTACACCAGGAGCCCAAGACAATAAACTTGACGGAGAATGACGTGACAGCGCATTGGATGGGCAAGCCAGATGCTACCAGAGTGATTCTCTACCTCCATGGTAGGTTCTTCGACTGTGCTCGAGCTTCAATTATGGTTAACACTCGCAGGCGGTGGATATACCCAGTCATGTTCACCTCAACACCTGGAATATCTTCATCGTCTAGTCACGGATCTCAACACGTCAGATAGTACGACATCTGTCTCTATCCTGCTTCTTGCCTACACTCTGGCTCCCGAAGCCCAATTTCCAACCCAACTCCGACAAGCTTCCGCTGTGCTTTCATATTTGTTGAATGAGGGGAAGTCGCCAAGCGATATCCTAATTGCTGGAGACTCAGCTGGTGGCGGCCTCGCCTTGTCTCTGCTCTCTCATCTCCTCCATCCACACTTAGACATCCCCAAGATACAACTCCTAGAGCCACTACGAGGTGCTTTCCTGTACAGTCCTTGGGTCAGCTTTGACACAACTCATGACAGCTTCGAAAGAAATGCCCAAAAGGATGTCCTGGTGCCAAACATGCTCCGAAAATGGGGAGGAATGTACCTGGGAACTGTTGATGGAGAGACGGATCCTGGTATTACAACAGGCGGCAACAACTATAGTGAGCCTCTACTCAGCAATGCGTCCTGGTGGCGAGGTATGAACAACGTCGTCCGTGATATCTGGATCTTCGCTGGTAACGATGAAGTTTTTGCTGATTCTCTTCATGCATTTGGGGTGAAACTTCGTGATGGATGGAAGGATGGCGGTGGGGCGGAAGAGAATGTCGTCTTGGAGTTCGGCGAGGACGAGGCACACATTGGACCGATTCTAGATGTCATGCTGCAATACAAGGAGAAAAGCGGGACACAGCTGGGTCTTGAAAAATGGCTCAAGGAATGTGTCGCATAGTGGTCGCATGATTCCGGCATAACCACGGTCTTCATTCAACGGCCATATGTTCATGCTTCTTTGGTCGTTCGCGTTGACATTTTCTGCAGTAATCAAACACATCCCTTTACACAATGTATCTTGATCGTGAACTGGTCTCTAATTCTCCTTAGTTGTATTTTTTATGTATTGAAACTCTTGACTGTGAAAACTCCATCTTGTTCGTGAGATCTGGAGCATCTCTTCTTCACATCTACATCAGCTCGTCAAGAACATTCTCGAGAGATCGAAAACTTTTGATTCAGGTCATAGATGACTGGCTAGGAGGTGTATCAAATACAGTACGTAATTCGATGTTAGCTATGCATTTGAAGTTACTAATTCGAATACGTTAAGCTTCTAAAGCTCACAAAGGAGGCGCCAGGGAAGACCGAGTTCGACAACGACTAAGATGCCATCATATTACGTGCCAACGGTGTTGAGCCAAAAGTATTGGTGAATCGCGATCTGGAAGCAAACACCCATGGGATATTAGCAGAACGCGACCTTGCATCGCCTTTGTATGGACGATTCAGGAACGGTCTCTTGTATGCTTATGTCCCTGGCCGAGCATGCCAGCTTCAAGACCTAGCCCAGGAAGAAATCTGGAGTTGTGTTGCGGCCAAATTGGGTGAATATCACGGGAAGATGCCTCAGACAGACGAAAATGTCGGCTTCAGCAGGTGCGTTGGTTCTATGTTCGAAAGCTGTAGTGCAAGACTCACAAGGTGATAGCACAAACATCAACGATCCAATGCCAAATATTTGGTCCTCGATGCAACGATGGATAGATCATCTCCCATCCCGAACAAGCGAGGAAGCCAGACGACGTCAAGAACTTCAGAATGAGCTATCGTGGTGCTACTCAAAGTTGAACGAGAACAGAAGCACGAGTGAACAAACCGTCAGTCACCTTCTCCTTTACTGGTTCTCGAACTCTTCGAAAGTAGAGGTAGCTAATATGCGTTCATTTCAGCACATATTTGGGCACTGCGACCTTTTGTGCGGAAATATTCTCATCCTCTCAAACGACAAGCCAAGAATAGACAGACCCGATGCCCCAGAAGAACGAAATCGAATATCTCCGACTGAAGTTCGCTTCATAGATTTCGAGTTTGCAATGCATTGCCCTGCTGCCTTCGATATTGCAAATCACTTCTCCGAATGGGGTGGCTTTGACTGCGATTATAATATGCTACCCGGCAGGGTCATACGTCAGAAATTCATAGACAAATACTTAGCGAGTTACATACAGCACGCAAACATTACATTGCCCGATTTCGCATCGGCAGCAAGCAAGCTAGCTTACGAAGTGAATATGTTCAGAGGCATCCCTGGTCTCTGGTGGGGCATACGTGGCTTTGTGTCGGTCCTGGAGTCCAAGATTGACTTTGATTGGATTCCGTATGCGAACAAAAGATTAGCTGAATATTGGGGATGGAAGGCGGAAGCAGAGGGACTGCGCGACAGAAACGGAGAAGAAATGACCTTAAGAGAGAAGATGTGGGATCGAGACTAGACTAGGAGCACGACAAAAGCAATGGACTTGTTGATCTGAATTCATAGCCTTCGATGCAATAGTGAACTTGCAAACTTCGAACTAATTTTCTATTTGACTAACCCTTCCTGGATACTCTTGTCTTCGTATCAGATATGGCTGTCGTTGCCCTCTAAAACACCACGGTTCTGCTCAATTACTTGTCTCACTGATTTGCTATCATGACTGCGCCTCCTTTAGTATGTCATTCGTATTGGGTCTCACCTTAGCTCACTATAAGTCTTGGGTGATTTCCAGAATCTCCTTCCAGTTTTTGAACTCGGTAAAGGGTATCTTTTGTTGCTTGCAGTACTTAACGAGATCTAGGATGAATTGCAACGTCAGTTTCCATCTAGAACGCAAATGTGCCATGCAATATGCGCGACTGAATCAGGAATATGTATTTGGTTGAGGACACACTTATCCTCGCCCTGCTTAGCAAACAAGAGATCCGTTTCCTTTGCCGCACTCAGATCACTCACACCGTCACCTGCATACAGAAGGATTGATTTTTCATGCTTCGGCAATCCTTCTCTGTGCTTGGTGTAGGGCTGAATCGCACAAGCCTTGTCGTGCCCATATATGTTTTCATCGTGGAATTGGACTCTCCAAGCACCACCTTGGTCGTTGAGCGATTCGAAGCCGTTTCTGACTACCACTGAGTTGGCAATGATTTCAACGCCGCGGAGCTCGTGGCCAATTGCTCGACCCAAAAGAGCTCGGATTATTGGTGTGAGGCCTCCTGAAAGGATAACGAGTGGGATCGAGGCCGAGATGCACCATTCGTAGAAGGTTATGAAATGCTCATCCAACTCGACATGAGTTAAGATTTTCTCGATGCATTGGTCGAAGGGTGTCTTTATGCTCTCAAATTGCTCGCAGCTGACTTCACTAGCAAGTCGTAAAAGACGCAAAATCAGATTGGTAGATGATGGTACAAGGTTACAAATTTGTGGAAAACGACAGGGAGGAAATATGACTTCCGAATTTGTTTTGGGGGCTAAGGTTTGCTTTCATGATTTGAAGAGAAGCAGGCACGAACCCGTATGTTCTTTTTCCATCATATACAGCTTGAAAGCCCTCTTGCATCTTCGCGTATCCATAGCCCTCATGCTCAATCTGTTAAGTTTTACCTCATCAGTAAAGGTGATCGCCAGACTTTGCGTAAGAATATGAGCCAGGAGTTACTTGCCAGCCAGTCGCAAGAGTCTTGGTTACTGATCGTGCCATCGAAGTCGGTAAAGAAGATTATCTTCGGTTTCTTCTCTATGTAGTCTGGAAATGGCATTGTATTTTGTTTTGCGATTGGTTGCAATTGCTCTGCGACGGAACATAGGAAGTAGAGGAAATTAGTGCAGGATAGTTGAGTCTCTCGGAAATAGGTTATACCGAGCCACTAGTGCGGCTCTGCATTCCGAGACAATCTTAACAACAGGAATGATGTCTCCTGTGTAATCTGTCCAACAAGCTGGATCTTTGCACAGATGGCAGCAGGTAGGCAGGGAGGATTACCATGTCCCCATCCCTCTGCCTCGTTCTGGCATTCTGAGCCCAATGCCTTTCTCCTCAATCACGCAACATCAGAGCTCCCTGATTCAGCTGACGTTGTGATCGTTGGAAGCGGTATCACTGGTGTATCTGTGGCTCGCTACCTTGGCGAGGATCCTAGCGCTAAAGCCTTATCGGTGGTCATGCTCGAAGCAAGAGAGATATGTTCCGGCGCAACAGGACGAAATGGTGGCCATTGCAAAGCCGATCTACTTGAACAAAGCCCAGAAATAGCTAGATTTGAGATGAAGAACGTAGAAGCGGTTAGGTCATACATCATGCAGAACGAAGTTCAATGTGAATGGGAAAACATCAGTGGTTGTCTTACCTATTGGAATGAGGGGTTATTTGCGCTGGCAAAAGCAAGACATCACGACCTGAGGAAAATCGACCCCGACATCGCCAATCTCATCGGCATTTCGGAGGATAAAGAGGTCATGCGAAAATATCGAGTTAGACAAGAATGCGTGGGCATAATAACAACACAACACGACGGACAGCTATGGCCCTACAAATATGTCACATCTATAACTCACACTCCTGTCCTCAATGTCGAGTGTACAGAAAACACGCGGATTGTGCACACCCCTCGAGGTTCGATCAAAGCAAAGTGTGTCGTTCTAGCCACCAACGGCTACACCTCCCGCATTCTGAACCAGTTCAACGATTTGATCGTGCCGATTCGGTGTCAAATGTCGGCCTTACATCCACCGCAGGAATCGCCAAGATTGCTCCATTCATACGGCATGGTCGGTTTTGGCACATCTGACCCTGAAACCGATGACTACCTTATTCAGCGTCCGTTTCAACACATTGATGGACGCTTCCGGGGCGGGCATCTCATGTACGGAGAGGGAAGAAGCAATGCCAGGTATGAGACCGTTGGTGAAAGTGACGACGATATAATCGATTCTGGGGAATCCGAGTATCTGAGAAGAGCTCTCCCACAAATGCTGGACCTGGGTGGTCTCGAGACGAAAGAGCTTGTAGCAAGCCATGAATGGACTGGCATCATAGGAAGGTCAAGAGATAATGTGCCTTGGGTTGGCAGAGTTCCTCAGAGGAAAGATGAGGCAAGATGGGAAGATGGACTTTGGCTTTGTGCCGGTTATAGCGGACACGGGATGCCTAATGCGTCCTTGTGTGCCAAGGCTATCGTTACTATGATGCTAGAGGGAGAGGACAATTACGACACCGTCTCTGAAATGTTGATCCAGAGCGGCGAACTGCCACGGCCGTATTTGATCACTCATGAAAGACTCCAAGAGGCTCGACGTCTACCTCTGGTGGCTGGAGTGCAGTGACTTTCTGAGCCCAGAATACTTTTACAACATGCTTACCACTCAAGTCCTTTTGAAATCTCTTCAGTTCTCATGGTTCCCAAGGACATGAAAGAGACTTCCAAATTAGCTGGAAAGTATTCAAGGAACATTTTCACAAGTGGCATGTTGATTAACTTGGCGACTGTTGAGATAATTTAGGAGTGACCGTCACGGCTCTGTATCCTGCAATCTTGATGTTGGATGTTGGAATATGCGCTCTTAAGTTGGTACAGGGTATCCGAAGGATACTTTCGCTGATGGAGCATGCCGGTGCTCTATCGAACTCGAACCTTGGATATTCCAACAGATATATACTTCAGATCGTCACTGCCAAGCGCGGGTTTTTCTTCGTGTTTGCTATAGATAACAAGATTGAAGTACCTAGGTATTCTCTGCTGCAGGGCCGCTGTGAGAAAGTAACAGAACAGCCCTACAACAACGAGATAGTCATCATTGAAGAATCTCTTCAAAGTCTTTCGACGGACTGCATATATAGCGCTGGCTTGTATGCAGTTCGCTTGTATTACAACGTATTGTGCAACCACCCCTTGTCTATGATGACGCGGGCATGCGTGTGCCGAGCACGATAAGCTTGCATATGCAAAGTCCATGTGTGTTCCATTTCATAGCTACCTTTTCTCTGCTAACTATTGGACAATATGTGCTAAGGCTGTACTCATTATTGAGTGCCGATAATGGATGTTGGATGGCAAGGGTATTTCCATTAATGAGTGCAGGACAGGTTACGAGGCTGCAATGAGACCTTGACGTCCGTCCCCGGCAGAGGTCTACTCAACCCAACCGTCAGCAATAGTTGGTCAACCTGCGGTTTTGTCGCCCCAACCACCTGCATGTCAAAGGCGTGCAGCATCAACGCTACGAACAATAGAGCCTGCTGAAACGCGAACTCTCGACCGGGGCAATAAGTTGAACCACTGCCAATGGGCCTGAAGCTTTTACTGCTCGCGAGCTTAGGATCGTCTTGGAAGCGAGTTGGCGCAAAGTCTGCCGCATCACAACCAAAAACTTCCTCGTCTCGATGAAGCTCGGTCACTGACAATATGACTGTGCCGCCTTTCCGCAGGGTTATGCCGTCCACCTGGATGTCTTCTTCAAGTCTCCGATATACGTGATCCATCTTGGTAAGCCAGAGGGTCTCTAAGTAGACTGATTTGAGAAGAGGACATTGGTGGAGTAGATAGCTGGAATCAACTTCTCCTCCGTGCATAGCCGGTAAGATTTGCCTTTGGATGTCGGCGCAGAGAGTCCCATCGAATAGAATATGCACCAGCATCCAATATGGAAGTTTGGCCACATTCGATACCGCACTGTACCGCCCATGTTAGGAACACAGCTTGAAGCGTGAACAAAGGAACGCTTACACCCAATAAACCATCACCAGAACTGCAGCGCTGTCGTCTTCGTTTATTGAGAATTCACGGTATTGCTTGATGAGATTTCCGAGCAAAGGTGACTCTTTAGAGCGCAGTCTCTGAGGCAGCCTTTGGTACTCCTTCAAGGCATCGTGATATCGCTTAAGGGTTTTCTTTTGTTGAGTCGAGTCCACAAAGGAGGTAGGATCCATCAACTTCCACATGTCGTCGGTGAATTCCATCATGCCTGTTGTCATTCCAGGTTCAATGCTTTTGATGATTGGATCGAATAGACAATTATGCATCGATTCGACCATGGTAGCAGTGCAGAGCGTGTAGAGCGAGATAGGCTCTGTCTGTGTAGCAGTAGCTAGTCCCCATCGACCAGCAAGTTGCTTGAAAGAGAGACAATACTTGAGCGCGACTTTGTGATTATTTAACAAACCAGAAAGATGGGGTCCAGAAAGTAAAGCGTGTTTATAGATGTCTTCCGTAACATGTACAAGGCATTTACCCTTTGGGTTGCCCTGGGACGGTGATCTCTTCTGCCAGAACGCATCCAATCTGGCCGGATCCACACCAAACCCTGAAAGCGCCTTGCCGAGGAAGTAGTCGAAGTTGAAAACCAGAGGCTTGGAGTAGACGAGGTGGGCACTACCGGGCGAAGTGACAACGTAATGTAGCATACCAGCAAGAACGATGGCAAATGGCTTCCTGGTGCTTGAGAAATACCTCCTGGGTGATGTGAGTATCAATATTGTTCATCTCACGGTTACTCGTACCGAGCTTTTGATATAAGTCCGTGTGAATCTCGAAAGTAAATGTAGGAGTGACCTGGTGCAAGTCATGAGAACGATGTTACGAAACAGCAACAGATGACTTGCCGAATACTGGAGAGCACGTTAGTGTTATTATTCCGCTGCGGTACTCTTGCTTTTACTTACTTGGAACGAAGTAGGGATACGGTGGCGCATCGAAAGGACGAAACCATGGGGTAATTTTGAAAGACCAAATAAACCAACCAGACCAAAGCAAAAGACAACAGAAAAGTACCTTGGAGGCGAACAGCCCAATAGTCACGCCTTGGAGGCCGTCTAATGGATCAAAGAGATTGAAGCAACACATTTCCGGTACTCAGCTTACAATTTTCAACCAAGACTGAAGTGGAGGACTCAGAGGGACCGATGTGCGGAGTTCTCTATGGTGCTTGTGTGGAACGAAGGAAGGAACAACCCCGAGTAAGTCACCTTCGAATCTATCAGTTAGGTCACGTGTAGTATACTAAGTAGGTAGACCCTTCTTTTTGGTGTATTGAGTCTCAGCTTGTCCCTTGTGAATTCTACAGCCATTTCCGTTTGATAAAAGTATTTTCAGCCTCATGGTTGGATGTAGCATCTGTTATGTGGCCAGGGATTGACAAGGAACTCTCAGCTAAGGGGTGCCACTGCCCGGTGATACTTGTATTTGATCTATCTGCGCCTCGTACTTTCTTTTTTGGGCATTTTGCGTTCTAGCTCGCTATTTCGGGCTGAATTTGGAATATCTCCAGCAACGAATGAAAGTCATGAAAACTGCACCAGCACCCAAGGCTGGGTAAAGACCAGGAAAGGCAAGTCACCAGAAGTTTCATCACCAAGCGCTGAGAACAATGTATGCTCTGGTTTCATATCTGGCATTGATTTCAGTTCATCGCTTTACCGCATGGTTTTAAACCGTATGTTATTCAAGGCTCGATCTGGCCGAGGGCTTGCGGACTATGCAATTCCCCCCTGATTCTTGCTTTCTAATGTAATTTTCTTGGAGTTCAACCAATCCATGCCAAATGTGAAGGGCAGCGCAACAACTGTCAGTGCAATGCATAAATACACAATTCGTACAACTGCGGTGCTCCAAATTGTTTGAAGAATCTGAAGCACGTCTGTGGTACCTGCTATTGATGGAAGACCTGTAGCTCCAGCGGCAATTGCAGTTTCACCTGAAAGGCCCGGTACCATTTTCGGCACCAGGTCAAGAAGTGTATTGATGGCAATAGCTTGACCAATCGGTACTACAATCGCCCTAAGAAGAATATCAGCATCTATGAAACTTGCTCTATTAGTAGAACTTTACACTCCAAGCTGCCATGAAAAGACAGCAATCGCTACGTCCAATATTGGCGTTTGCGCTGATGACAGCCGAAGTACCTGACTCGAACACCATGCTTAAGTGGCAATGGGTGTTGAAAAGGTGTATAAGCTTAATGGAAAATGCAATGTCTATTTCAGTAATGTAGAAATACAAGTTCATCAATTCAGAGGCTCTATTTCCTAAACAAGAATAGCAGTCTGTTCTTTGGTTTCATCGACTATCGCAGACGAGCCATCAGTATGTGTTCTTCAGCGAACTCATGGAGCAGGCAAGAATACTTTGGCTTGCCTACTCCGTACTGCTGCTGTTCAATCCCGCTTGAAAATACGTTATCTTCGTCGGAAGCAAACTTTCTAACAAATCACCCTTCTAGGACGAGAACGTCTGTTCGTATAGGTACCTACTCATTTGCAATGGGGTCACGTGCTTGCTGAGAGGTCGGGAGGTAAAGGTAGTCGAGGAGCGCGGGCCGGGGCAAAGTTGGGTAGCTAAAGCCTAAAGACAAGCATCTTCCTCTATCCTTCACCACCTTTTCCATCTCTTCCCTGTCTGTCATATTGCCATCCTTTTGTACTATCATGTAAGTGCTGAAGATTACACTGCATTGCAGGAAGCTAACAGAAGCGCGCTCTGGAGCAGACATACATATTTTAAGAAGAAAGGAGGGAGGAACTATCTGAACAGATAAATGAATGTGGTTTTGCATTTCACTTGACAGACTTCCTGGGATTATCCTTTGCGAGTTTTGGGATTGGCACGACTGACTGAAGACTTATTTGGAAAGCTCTAATTCTTTGGGTCTCTATTCATTAATCCTATCAGTCCTGGCTAGCTTGTATTCAGGACACCAATCATCCAAAGGGGTCATATGCTTATCAGCCGGGAACCACCTGGTAGGTTGACTGCGCATAGTTATTAGCTTGAGAATTCAATGGAGGGGCATTTACTCACTGCAAGCCCAAAGGGCTAGGGTAATCGATCGTCTCCACTGCGAAGGTCCTTGCAATTTCCATTGAGGGCAACTTGATCTTGCTTTCGCCTAACTCTTCTATGTCTCTGGCGATCAAGTCCTTCATTCTGTGTATGGATTAGACCCACGAACAAGTAGTGCAGAGTGCAGTCTCTCACCTAAAGTAATACCACTGATCTTCATATCGCGGATGTGGGTTCTTGCTCCAATCATATTCCTGCAGAACCCTTAACGTTGTACTCCTCCTTCTTAGACTCAATCCACCATTATATCCCTGTCCCCACTGCGGCGAAATGGGAGCCCCAATCAAATCCCACTCGAAGAAGTCCTCGACGCTGCGAACAGAGTTGGAACAAAGCACACTATCGGCTTGAAAGACGAGAAGATATTCAGCTGGAGCGAGATCGCGCCACATCCAGGGTGTGGTGAGGAAATTGGATACGGAATCCCAGTTTGGGAAATAGAGGCCATCTGCCAAAGAGCGTACCACGATGCGTCCGTTGGCTTGGTGTCGGAGGAGGGCTTCGGATGTGCTGAAGCTACCGAAGTTCTCGGCGCTGGTGTAGATGACGATGGGCCAGTCGGGGCCGAGGACTGCACTGAAGTGTAGAATGAGAGGGATAATCGCTGCCGATCTGCGAGTTTCTATGATGACTGCGGCCTTGATGCTCGTCGTGATCTCTGCAGTTTTGATCGTGGTGTTGGTTTTAATGTCATCTTGGGTGGATCCAGTGAGCATATCATAATACTCTGGGATTGCTTTGATCTTATCTGCGATGCTGGTAGTGATATTGACGAAGGAGTCGGTGGTGTTCGTGGGTTGTCCGCCCGAAGGAGAATGTCTGCTGTATTCGGTGGCCACGAAAATGATAACAATACATAACCAGATGACTGGCCAGAACAGTTTCTTGACCGACAGACCGCCGACGCCAGGAAGGGCCATTCTGTCAATTGTTTCCTCTTCGGTCAAGGAGAGAAACTGGCAAAACTTGAAAGCTCCATCTCAGTCAAGTCTCGAGACCAACGTCTCCTGTCTCCTGAGAGGAATGTAGATGACTTTCTTGGGAGAGACATTTGTCTCAGAAGGGATGTGGCTTGCATTTTCTTTTGTTCATTCTTGAGAGAAGTTGTGGCCGAATGAGGCTTCTCAGCCGCTGGTCGCTTGAATTTGAATCGTGATGTGAGATCCTGATATTCACTTGATATACCACGACATAGAGCCTCATTTGAAAGATTCTCCCTGTGCTAGACTTCTTGTCAGAAGTGTATTCACCTCAGAAAATTCGGACCAGTAGATTCGCAACATCTCTAGCTAGCGAGGACGCAGAGAAGCAGGAAAGGTGCCGCAAATGACATGTTGCTGTTCCAGGATCAGGCCTGGGAGCTTCAAACTGTGGTCAAACCCTCAATTCGACTATATCGTTGTCCTTTGAATGATGTCTGTCCATTCTGAAGTTTAGTGAAGCTTGCTCTTTCCTGATGTTGTAATTAAGCCCTGTCACATGCCGTCTTGGCACGGCTTGTTGGGAAGTGGGGCTGACAATAGGTAACCTTATATTTACTCCGTGTGGTTTCTGTTCCTCATCTGCATTCCTTTCTTCCATTTCTCTTCAATCTGAAAACCTTCATCGCTCCAGTGAGGTGTATTCTCAAACTGCAGATGATGTTACATGGGTCTTGCGGTCAACACGCAAAAGCTAGATGCCACCTCTCAAGTCCAGCTCAAGAACCACAATCGCCTGTCGACAAACGAGGCTCTCTCAGTGGTCTTCTTCACACGAATCAGACAACTTCAAGGTTAGAACCTTTGAAGCGAAAGCGAAAGATTGTGCAGAGTACGTGCCACGCCTTTTACCATAATCGTATCCTTTGATTTCACATGGTGGGGTCCAACGGGAAACCCTTCTTGCTGCTATTCGTTCCGATCACAATGATGGAACGATTCCCGCAATTACTGATGCTTTCGTGATAGAACTAGAAATAGAGTTAAGCATGTCATGGAGAAATGGTGATGCGATTGGTGGATGTCATGCCATGCGTGCCTCTAAGCTGCCTCGTCCGTCCGATTGTCGAGTCTTACACCCATGAGGAACGGATAAGCTGCAGATAAATGCTACCGTCTTCCATGGCTTCCATGCAGATTCTCTGCAACTATGCTGCACAGCACTTCGCAGGCCGAATTCCTTCCGGAATTGGTTATGTGCACTGCACAATAGAGGAACGAGCACCACCATCACTAACGAGGCGACCCTATCAAAAGCTCGGATTCCCGACACCGCAGACAGCAAAGGGAAACCCACTATTCTAACACACCCGTCAGCAAAGACTCTTCATCGATCAGGACCGAAGAGCTTAGGCGGGTTGGAGATAAGCGTCGAAATACCCGCAATTAGCCAGATTAATACGAGTCCGGTACTTACTCGCCAGCGCGCAGCCAGCGAATAGGCACCTGTCTACCGTATCGGAAGATCACTATGGCGGGAAACCTGCAGAACATATTCTTCGGCGCTACAATATGCACCAGCCCAGGATGTCCACGGTCAGCAACGTGCGACATAGATTTCCTATCATTTTTATGCGGGGCATATCACAACGGAGGGGGCCAAATGCAAGGCTGCATTCATGGAGCAGAGTTGGTGTGAGGGTTGCGAGATGCGTAAGGACTTAAGAACTGGTTATCATCTGGGCAAACCTATCAACAACTACTGCAATCCCAAGTCAAGTTTGGAATTGCTGAGAACAATTCATTTCGAACAAAGCGTTCCGAGCTTTGCTGACTCTCGAAACCTCTCTTCCGTGGGACAACCCAACAAGTCCTCTTTCCCAGTGTAAGAGTGAAATCTCCTCATATTTTCGAAACGGACACAGGACTTTGCTGGTTCAAATTAGATAGAATTTCCACTACAAATATGTCTTCAGATTTGAAAGTCTATGTTGGCTTCTGGGTCAACTACTCGAAAGGGGCCATTCTCGGATCGACTTTGACTCTCCCAGAGCGTAATGGGGTCATTCTCATTGCGGCTGTTGCCATATTCATTCAGGTCAGTAAATCTCTACTTTGCCTCCATCCTTGCTTCATTCATGGAACAGGATTTAGCTAATCTCGTTCACAGCTTATCGGCCTCCAGAGTTGGGGCATTGTAAGTCAAACTCTGCCCTTAGTTCAAAGAAACTTTGAGATCCGAGCTCTTGAGATAGTCCTCGAGAGATATTGACTCTCGTGTCCTCCAACTGCGTCAAAACACGTACTAATTTCTTTTTCTGAATAGATCCGTTTCATCACACACCAATTCCGTACAACCACCCAGGCCAGAGACGGCTTGTTCCATCAGCAGCAAGCAATATTGAGAAATGACACTTCCGATATTGGGACTGTTTGGTGGTTTACCAGGATGGCTTATGCCTGGCGGTCTCGCACCCAGAAAATTTCACGGAGGTCTATCGGCGTTATCTTGATTGCCATTCTACATTTGGTAGCTTTTGGCGCTGCCAGTGTTTTAGCGTCGCACATAACGACCACCGATGACCAGGTCCTCGGAGTACGAAGCCCTTATTGTGGAGCATGGGCACTAGACACTTCCGATCCATTTGACTCCAGCACTTATATTCCGTATGCGACCTATATGGAAACCACTATGCAAACTAGCGACAAATACGTCCAAGACTGCCTAGTTCAAGGACAGTCGCTTCCAGAATGCAAAACATTCAAGCAATTAGGTTTCAACTGGACTTCAAGCACAAACCAACCGTGTCCTTTCGACGACATGTGTCTGGGCTCAGGTGATAACTCTCTTCATCTTGATACAGGACTACTTGACTCTAGTCGAGATTTCGGCATCAATGGAAAAGCTGAAGACCGGATTCAATGGAGGAAGACCGCAACTTGTGTACCTATCACAACAAGTGGGTATAGCAAGCACGGCGCAAGTACCATGACTTATGATCGCTTCAACGATAAAGGCACCAGTAATTTCACTTACACGGCCGTGTTCTATGGACCTAACGCTGATTTCAATCTGTCGTCAATGGGGATTACCGATCCTAATTTGATCAACTCCATTTACATCTTGACGAACTACCAGGACGTGGAAATAGTATTAACAAGCTCGATGTATGATTTAGTGTAAGAGCTTCACCACCAATGGTCTGTATCAACGCTAAAAGATGCATAGAAACTTTGTGGCAGAACCACCAGAAGATGAAGTAGAGGTGGATTTCTACGCCATGCCAGCATTGGTCGTGCCGGACACTACCTTGACATTAGCTTTTGCGTCTCTCAAGGGAGGCTACACCGAGCCCAGCAATGACCTATGGCTACCAGCTCACGTCGAATACAACCTAACCTACAGTGGCAGCACAGGGCAGATCAACAAAACCATATATCTTCTCGATAACTCGGTTTCTGTATTAGGCTGCATCGAACAGCACCAATTCTGTAATCCCTCTCCCGTTTCCAGCAAAAATGCAACCTGTACACAGATGCGGTCCATCACACATACCTTCTCGGACGAAGAATTCGACGTGTTTGATAACAGTCGTCAGATATATATAGCGAATTTACTCTCAGACCAAGCAGCAAATTCCCAATTCACTATAGCTATGTTCAATGCGCCACTGCTAGCGGAAAGCTTTGCTTCCGTCGGATTCTCACTGCCAATAGCTGCCGATCAATGGATCCTGGAGGTAAAGAACTGGTGGACTGTTAGTCTCGCCGGTACGCAACGTCTTCTCACAGAGATTGCCATTGGACCAGCGTCCAGCCAATACAACCAGTTTATCCCTCCAAATCAAGCCAGTAACGATACAGACCTGGCTTTCTTCTGCGATCATCAGATTATACGACGCGATGACTACACCAACTTCTATACTCTGTCCATCAGTTTGATTTTCGCCTTGGGAGTTGTGCTGTTTTTGGTCAATCAGTGTTTGGAAACTGTAGTAGGATGGTACCGCTCAAAATTCAAGACTGGACGCTGGAGGCAGCGAGCATGGTGGGCTGAAGGAACGCTGCAATTGCAGAGACGAGCCTTTGAAGGCATTGGTATCAAAGGCTGGGAGCGGGACGAATGGGACCGTGTGCCAGTGACGGAAGAAAGAAAGATGTTCAGCGCGCTGAGAAATTGGGATGAGATGTTGCCAGTGGCTGCAGACCACAAGGGTACAAGTATTGTGCACCTGGAAAAGGTGCAGTCTCCAACCTCGTCGGAAGAGTCGAAGCTGAGGAATGTGATTGTGCAGGTGCACTCTACCACTTCTTCGACTTCTGGAGGCCTGAGCGCAGGCAGCGATGGGAGACCACGTTCTGTTTGAACGAGTGTTTGTTGGTGAATTCGTGTGTTCAAAGGGGTGACAGCTCGCTTCGTGAAGAAAGTCCCCAGTTGCAGTGCAGACAACGCAGCAGCTCTTTCATGTCCCAACTCGAAGGTGGATATATGGCATTCGTCTCAAGACTTAAAAGTTATCTCAGATGGATTTGAAATTTGGTAGTCTTCTGCAGTACATCTTTCACTAAATGATGTTCGTTTCCTGCATAGGTCGAAGCTTGAGAGGAGATCGTCCATTTCAGAACTTCTAGATTTCTAGATGAATAGACCCGCAACCCTTTCCCGGGAAACGGCACGATCCTGCACTGCTTGCGAGTCTTTGTTTGGAGGTAAACGAATCCTTCATTCTGTTGGAGAAAACGATGAATCCCACAAGGTGCGGAATGCTGATACCTTGATGGCTACTTCTAAAACACAATCCACTTGTGGAACCTCTTCGAAATTTGCTGTGGAAAAGTGATTGTTTTTGTATATCACAATGCCAAGACATTACACAATTCCCAGCAACTTTGACAGCTGCTGCGGATGCAAGATGACTATTCCGCGGTGTCGATTGCTTCACCCCCTTGCTCCAATTGTTCAAAATCAGTACACACCTTGTGGGTATCAGCGAAACCTTGCAGCAGTAAGAAACTGGCACACCAACACTCAAACAGGAAATCGCTTTCGCTTTTGCCGGCGCACTTGATAATAGCAACCTTTCTTACTCGTCAAGAAAGTGATGCTTATGGCAGGTGTTAAGAGGCTTTCATCATCGCTTTGAGCTTAGCGTGACCATCAAGGTAACGGCCTAACTCCACCCTCTCACTTCACCAAAAGGAAAAAACGCGCACTTCTGTGAACAATAAAACATCCTTCGTCGAACAGGATTGGTTTCCAGGATCCTTTTGGCTGCGTGAAGAGATCTTCTGGTCAAAGACGCGTCTGGATAATTTCCATATAAAGAGTCGTTCGCCTCGGCTCTTTTCCGTCTGGTGCCAGAGCCTCCTCCAACAAAGCAGCAACCAAGAACAAATAACTGCGAAGATGACGGCCGTCTTTGATCCGGCAAATGTCAACTTGACGGCTGCTGACCCGGTCGATATTATCTGTTACCTTGCCCAAAGTCAGAACGAATACAATGGCAGTCTGGGAGCTCGTATCTCGTCCATCTTCGTCATTGGACTTGTTTCCACAGTCGCTACCTTCTTCCCCGTGTTGGCTGCTCGAGTACGATGGCTGAGGATTAACATCTACGTCTACCTCTTCGCTCGCTACTTCGGAGCTGGCGTCATCGTAGCCACGGCCTTCATCCAGTACGTCTCTACTTCTCTTCCCTTTCCTAGCAACATTCGCTAACCCATCCACAGTCTCCTCGACCCAGCCTACAGTGAAATCGGCCCCCAAACATGCGTAGGCATGACCGGCCACTGGGCCGACTACTCCTGGTGCCCTGCCATCGTCCTAACATCCGTCATGATCATCTTCCTCATGGACTTCGGCGCCGAGCAATACGTCGACCGCAAATACGGCCTTGCCCACGGCCCCAACGTCGAGACCCTCATCACCGACAAGCCGGGCACGACTGAAGGCGCCCTCGACCACCATCACCCTCGAACCCGCTCCCTCACGCACAACCAGCTGCATTCGGGCGACCAGGACCAAGCTATGCACGACAACATCGCCTTCGCCCAGACCTCGAAAGACCTCCTCCCCTCTGAAGACAACAAAGACGCAAGCGGCGACTCGGAAAAAGGCAAAACGGCCTCGGCGTACGAAGCCGAAGAGATGTCCTTCCGGCAACAAATAGCCGCCTTCCTAATCCTCGAATTCGGCGTCATCTTCCACTCCGTGATCATCGGGCTCAACCTCGGCTCTACCGGTTCCGAATTCTCGACCCTGTATCCCGTTCTCGTCTTCCATCAATCGTTCGAAGGTCTCGGCATCGGGGCCCGTATGTCAGCCATCCCGTTCCCGCGCCGCTTCCGCTGGCTGCCGTGGGCGCTGTGCGCGAGTTACGGGGCGACGACGCCGATTAGCATCGCGATTGGGCTCGGGCTCAGGTATACGTATGATAGTGGCAGTTTTACGGCGAATGTGGTGAGTGGAGTCCTGGATGCTGTTAGTGCGGGGATTCTGATCTATACGGGGCTGGTGGAGTTGTTGGTAAGGGATTTTCTGTTTAATCCTGATTTGACGCGGGATCGGAATCGGTTGGTCTTTATGGTTGTTTGTGTGTTTTTGGGGACGGCGGTTATGGCGCTTTTGGGGAAGTGGGCTTGAGATTTGTGGAGGGGGAGAGGGAGGGTGGTGTGTGCTTGAGGGTGGCAAATAATGATGTTGGAGAATAGATGGGATGATAGTGGTATATGCTGAGGTAGAATGCACACCATGCGTTGGACTTCTTCTTTCTTTCTTTCTATCTTCTTATTGTAGCACTACCATTATGAAATGTTAACAAACCACAGCAGACCTCCACTAACAAGCATCCATCAATCCACCCATCCATCCACCCACTCAACCACGAAACCACGAAACCAACCCCCATCAAAACACCAACAAACAAACCAACCAACTCCCAACAATTCCCTAAACTAAAATCCCCAATCTCGTTCTCAACCTCAATCTCAAACCACCTCATTTGTCCCAAACAATAAATACCCTCTTCCTCCTTCTCCTTCTCTCTCTCCTTCTCTAAAACCATCAAGGCCGTCAAATGGAAGGAGTTATAGAGTTACTTACTTACTTACTTACTTCGCCCGAAGTCGTTGACGAGGATCAAGGATTGAGGATCGGGGATTAAGGGTTTGGGGTTTTGTATCTTTTTTTGTGGTTTGGTTTTGGTTTTGGTTCTGGTTCTGGTTCTGGCTCTGGTTTTGGTTCTGGGTCTATGTTGGTAGAATGACGAAGGATAGATAGGTGTACCTTCTAACTATTAAATAGAGGACGGGGTTTGAGATTATGATCGATCGTAGCAGGAGGGAGGAGGAGGAAATGTTGATCAAATGTTGGTTATGGCTCTATGTAGATTTCTATAGAAATAAAGCCCCATGTACTCTCCAAGCGAAGTTGAAACGTCGTCTTCAAAGTCCGGAGCTGGGAGCTGGGAGCTGATTTTGAGGGAGGAGGAGTGGGATTTGATTTAATGTTTAGGTTTGGATTGTTTTGATGGGGGTTGGGATATAAGGGCCTAGGGAGGGGGTTGGTTTTAATATATGATTGATTGTCCTTGTGCAGAACCGGACTTTGTCACACTGTAAGTGGGGACTGGGTTTGAGACGCTCCCGTCAACATTCTTTTGGAGACTGCGATATGCAACGACACTTTGTAATGTCCATCCTCGGGACTCAAGTTTCATATAAAATAAAATGAAGAATACAATTCACACATCAAGAACTTACGACATGAAAACCCCCCATCTAATCATCCCTCACTTACAGTACACAAAATCAGTGCAGCATTACTCCCAACCTCCCTTCCTCCCCACACCTCTTCCAAAAATCAAGCATACCCAAACCCCTCCCCATGAACCCAAATCCCCATCGCCCCACTCCCCTTACACGCCCCCCTCTCATCACTAACCACACAAACCTCATTCCTCACCTCCCTCACCATCCCCCCCGGCCCACAAACAACAACCGCCATCTCGCCCTTCGCTTTCTCGGCTTCTTGCCTCACAGTCTCTTTCAGCGGCGGCCTTCCGGTTTGGAAGGAGATTTGAGGGCGATGGGAGAGGGGTTGAGAGTACGAGGTTATGGTTTCGTTGTAGGTTTTGTCGAGGGATAAGGAGGAGGATGAGGAGGGGGAGGTCCGTAGTGGTGGACGTGCGGAGAGAGAGTTAGAGTCTGGAGAGGAGGATAGGATATGGAGGGCATGTTCGCGCTTTTCGTCTGGAGAAGGGGACGAGGAAGAGGTGGTATAAATGTCGATCTCGAGCTCAATGTCCATTCCTTTCTTTTTCAAGTCGTGGACGGTGAGGAGGGCGTTTTCGAGATGTGCGCGGAACCAGGATGTCCAGGCTGAGTGTTTGAGGACCCAGATGAAGCGGATGCGGTGGGTGATAGTGGCGTTGGGAGGCGGTTGGAGGAAGATTCCGGATTTTAGAGAGGATGAAGGTTGATTGGATGAGGAGGATTTGGACCAGGTTTGGACGAGGTCGCGGAGCAAGGGGACGGTGAAGGTCGCGCCTGTTGAGCCGGCGATGAAAAGGACACTGGAGAATTGGCGGAGGGGGCGGATGCGAGAGTATGGGCCATCGATTAGAACGGTTCTTGTTTCGGTTCTTTCTTCGTTGATGGATGACGCGGATGAGTATGAAGGGAGAACTGGAGCTATTTTATCGGCGTATTTGAAGAATTGTCTTGTTGCTCCTTTCTTTGCGCGAATGACGAATTCCATAGTGTTGTCGGTAGGTAGAGAGGCGATTGTGAAGGGGTGAGAGGAGAAGGGGGCGAGGACCGGAACGGAGAGGAAGACGTGTTGGCCTGGTGTCCACGAGATGGGCGGATGGGCAATGGTAATGCGGGTGTGGCATTCGTCGAGAGGTGTGAAGGTTGCTTTGCATGCTAAGACACCAGAACTTCTCTTATGGAAGAGAGAAAAGTTGTTGTAAATGATGTAAGCCAAACGAGTAAGTCGATCGAATCCCCAAAATGCGATAGGAACGTAGATCCAGCCTTTATTTTCGGCTGGAACGTGCATCCAAAGAGCAGTTATGAAGGCTATCCAAGAGATGATATGTTGTGTGACGAAAAATTCGTATGATACTCCACGAATTGGTGCAGCTGATGAGATGACGATCCAGAGGAGGATACCGCCTGCGATAAGACCTTTCTGAGTAAGAGGGTCCTCCTTGATTTTCGTGGCCGTATAATCGTATTTGTCCCATTCTTCAAACCAGAAGAAGATATGCAGAAGGACGGTGAATAGAAGAGAGTGGGCAATCCAACGATGCAACCAAGCAAGACGTTCATAGCCAACTCCAGTGAGAGCACCGATGATATTACGCTTTCCGGCAAGGAGAATGATAAGTGAAACTTGAGAGACAGCAATGAATCCTGCTCTATAACCAAGATCTTCCCATTCTAAGAGGTCCTCAGGATCGAGTGCATATAACGTGCAGCCTACTACGGCTAAGAGGTACCCAATCACCAAAGTTGCAGGTCCTGTGGTGGCCAGATAACACCATTTTCCTCGGATAGAGACTGATAATGAATAATTGCTGTATTCTCGGATGATTGCAGAAATTGTTGCTTGAGCTTGGAATATTAGCGACTTGGGTTTTGCAGGAGCTGGGCTTGATCTGGCTGAAGTGATACGCTGGTAGCAGATGATCTTGTTGATGATATTTGCAATTGCCGCGATTCCAATGGTCGTTCCTATGAATGCCCAGAAATATGATTGCATCTGAAAGAGACTCGGGACGCCAGCGCCCATAGACATACCCGACATGCTCCCACCACTGTGGACATGTCTAGAGTTGATTGTCGACATCTTGAGATAAGATTCTGGTCTAGACAGGACAGTCCAAGGAACTGAGGATCTGCATGGAAACAATAATGAAGGAATGAGAACACTTCCAGCGCGTACTCTATCACTAGATGGAGCGGACAAGATGAAAGATATGAGTGTATGCAAATTGGGAAGAAAGGCATTGTCCACTGGGACCACGAAACGGGCTCATCTTCTCAGAAAGTCAAGCTTTTCGTTGCTACACTGCCAAGATAAGTTCCAAAGTCTGACAGTGAAGTGAGTAGAGTAAGATGAGCAAAAAGACGCAGTCAATGAAAGTTGAGGAAACCATCTCAAAACTCAAAACAAGCTTGGAGGGGTATAATGCAATACATGCAAGTGGTGCCGTGGGTATGTTGATAGCGTACATCTGATGTACCAATCCGGTGGCGATTGACTCTTTGGAAACAATACAGTCGTAACCCATGAGAATACAGCTCTCTCGAAGCGTCGAGATGGTGATCATGATCGGACGTCGAGATGCCGAGAGCAATTGACTTGAGAGTCGAGACTTTTCCAATTGAGCAAGTTTGTCGTCGAAGAAGATGAATGTCCGTTGAAACGACCAACGGCGTGCACTTCGGCAGCAGGGATATCGCGGGCGAGACCCGTTTTGGAAAAGCTTGGCTGAAAGCTGCTTTAGCTACCACGCCTCACCTTTCTTTTCCTTCGCGATTCGGCCACGATTGAAGCATGGTGTTTGAGGTTGCGAATCTCCAAAGGAAACATCCTCGTGCACATATGGCGATGAAGATATTCCAGATCAAAACTGGTAGGAGAAAGCAGGTCATCACAGACCAGGTTTCCCATAGAAAACGCCTCAGCACGTGATAGAGCTGAGGAACACAAAGCGGCAGCAGTTTGGATTTAGGCTAGTCTCGAAGTCGGCAAGCGCGAGCGAATATGAGAGAGTTTCTTGCAGCATCAGACTTTCAATGCGGCTTCCCACCAGAAGTGTCCCCAGTGTCTCCCCTCGCAAATCCGTCAGTTCGCAAGCCACCATGAATGGGATTCGCTCGCGCTGACCACCGTAAGTGATCTCTCTCTCGCTCTCTTGCCATGTTTGGCCCATCCACTTGGTCGAGCTACCTAGTCTCCTAGTCCTAAACATGCGCACCTCGGGACCGCTGCTCTGACACGGCCCACTCTCTCTTTCCCTCTCATACTCTCTCACTTCCTCACTCGCAGCTCCATTCAACTCTTCCTTTATATCCAACCTGTGCGCCCAAATTACTTGCCAAGATCCAGCTTACAACCAAGACCACCTTCAGCCTCAATCCATTCACCACAAGGAAAAGGAAAATCCACTTCTCTGCACATCAAACTTCGACTACAGGACAATACAGTACAGTACAATACAATAGGATACAATACAACACCGCCACCATGGACATGAGTTCGATGACCGACACCACCACCATGAACACGACCGACATGTCCATGTCCATGATGACCATGGCCTTCTTCACCAGCACCACCACCCCGCTGTACAGCACAATGTGGATGCCGACCAGCGTAGGAGGATACGCTGGGACATGCATCTTCCTCATCACCCTCGCCGCCATTTTCCGCTCTCTGTTAGCTGTCAAAGCCTGGAAGGAGACGGCCTGGCTGGACGCTGAATTCAACCGCCGATACGTGACTGTGGCCGGCAAGCTGCCCAAATCAGAGCGAATCGCGAGCGATACGGATAGCAAGCGCATGATCTTGACCGAGAATGGCGTCGAGGAGGATGTGGTGGTGGTCAAGAAGAGGAGTATGGGTGTGAGGCCGTGGAGGATCACTACGGATCCCGTTCGCGCTGCGATGGATACTGTTATTGCTGGTGTTGGATATCTTCTGTAAGCCTTTCCACTCTCTACTATTTTCTACAGTACTTGACTAACAATCCCGTCAGCATGTTAGCAGTCATGACCATGAACGTGGGCTATTTCCTATCAGTACTGGGAGGGACCTTCTTGGGCAGCTTGTTACTGGGACGCTACGTCGCGAACGAGAACCACTAGATTTCTTTCTACTACCGTACAAAAAGTCACGATGGATGAGAATATGAATGAATGGCGTTCGGACAACTGCAGCGGGTACTGCGAGTCATACAATTTGGGCAGGCAAGCGTTGAATAGAACTTGGGGGATGCGAAATCTTCGTCAGGTTGTATTTTCGACATTGTATTTAATATTCAACCTGACAAATGTTGGTCTTCGTTCACACACAGACATCTTTGAATCTCAATCTCAATCTTCACCTCTTCTAACCTTCACCAACCCATCACCAACCCACAAATCCATCCATCTCACAACACACCAATCCCTCGAAAGCACCCCCAAAACAGTCCGTCCACAAGCACCTCAGATCAACCATCACGATAACCTAAGAAAGAAGCATATTCATATCCATATCCAACGTTTCAAATCCCCATACCCATACCCGTACCCAGCCCAGCCCAGCCCAGCCCAGATTGGATTGTTCCAACTCTCCAAGCCGCTAGCAAGCAGGGGAGGGGTCTTCATGATCGTCCGTGCCGACACAATAGAGTATCATATCGTATCGTATCGTAACGTATCGTAATGGAAACCTTCTCATTTGAACTCAATCGGTCTCGTGGGAAACGGAGAGGTGCTGCTCTTGTGGGAGAGGCGAGGCGAGGTGTGGTTAAGTTTACCTACCTATGTTATGATGATTAGGGATGGGAGGAGATGAGGCTAATAAAAAAGGTTAGTGGGGGTTGGTTGGGAGTTTGGAGTTCGAATCTGGGAATTTGAGGATTTGTTTCTTCGTGCTGTTTGTTTTTGGTTTGGTTTATCGGTTTATTTGAAGAGTTGATTTGGTTATATTGCTGTACATTTGAATATCTTCACTCTGGGTTTATTGGTAGCTCTCTGTCACGTTCTTGCCCAGTGGCATCGATATATTGTTGTATATGAATTTACCCCTACGTTCTCATCAACATGATTAAGATTTTTTTTGAGAAATATTCTCAATTTTCAGGAAATCTACAAAAACTCTACGAATACACTGCAAGCGCCATTCAGCCCCCTAAGGACATAGAGGAAAACCCATCAAAACACGACAGGACAAAACCTCTACGACTTGCCACACACAAACTCAAAACGCAGTCAACGAAGCTCGAGAACATCTAGTCCTCATTCCCGACCTTCGCATCCACGCAAAGCTCCTTCCCCATAGCAGCGAGGATCGTAACACGAACTGGCTTATCCTCGGCCAATAGTATCTTGACCTTAGCACCAATCTCGTTCTCAGGCAGCTTCACATCCTGCTTCTCGCCACTCTCTCCAAAAAGGCAGAGATATCTACCACACCACCACACATTAGCCCTCTCTCTCATACCCCCAAACAAACAAAAGAAAAGAAAACATCACTCGCCCATCCCGCCCCACATGGCTAACCTCCCACTCACTCTTCTTCACGACCGGCACCATCACACTATGCGAACTGGGCCACGAATCCTCGACCGCGACGCCCGAGAAGATATCCCGGCCCCGCACCAGAGTCTTGCCGTGCCCGTGCTTGCCCGGCTTGGCGCTCGTGAGCTCGAGGATGCGGCACGGGTGCGATTTGAGCATTGCGTAGCCGCCTTTGCGGAGCGCGGAGGCTTGGACCGGGTACGTTAGGGAGGTTTCTGCGTCGCCTGTTGCCTGTGGGGGTTTTGGGGTTAGTTTGAGCTGGAGAGGGGAGGGGAGGGGGAGGGGAGGAGAGGAGAGGTACCTCGGGGGCGTATTGGTCTTCTTCTGGGGACATGTTGGGTTTGTTGGTTGTTTGGTTGTTTAGTTGTGTTGTGTGTGCTCGACTTAGGAGCGGAAGGCGAAATATCTGAGGAGCTCTTGTCGCGAAGTAACTCTTCCTGACATTTGTGATTGTTGGTTGTGGTGAGTAAGAGAAGAAGAGAGGGAAGGAAGGAATGACTGGTTTTATAGAGGGAATTTAGGTTTGTGAATTGGACTGGAGGACGAAGTTTGGGACCTAAGGTTAGTGGTCTCGCTAAACCCGTTCTGTCTCGGCGATAGGACCAAACAGTCAGGATGGTGTGGTTGGTTTTTTTAATTAAAAAAAAGAGAGTGTGTCTTTCTGACGTAACCTGAGAAAGGAAAGTTTGATGCGGAGAGAAAGAGCGTTCGCCAAGATGCTGCTGCAGCCACGTGACCACTAAGGGGCTAAAAATTTAGTATCCAAAAAAACCCCCCTTCCCCCCCTAACCATTCAATTAACCCAAAAGAATCAGAATCGAGAACCAAAAACTCAGATCTCACCTGTCGAAGAGGGGAGATCGTAGAAAACGTGCTCGGTGTCGGGTGCAGTTTTTGAAGTCGCGATTGTGGCGTAAACTCGTTATGGCGTGCCTAAGTCCGTCTGGAAATCTGTCACTCGAGCTAACAAGATATTAGATAACCTTTGGTTTTCCGGACTTAGTGGTGGGGATAGTACTTATTTTGGTTTATTGGGGTAATGTCTAGGTTGGCGAGGAAGGGGTGAGAAAAGAGTGACTGACGTCGGTTTGGCGGCGCGATGTTGGGTTCGAACGATATATATATGGACGCGGTGGGAAGTTTTTGAACCGAGATATGAAGGGGTCTGGTTGGGATTGTCTTCAATCTATGTTTGAAGTATGACTTTAAGTTGTTCCAGGAGTTCGAGTACGTTTTCTTTATGCATGACTTGGGATATACGTTATCATTTGCTCTCTTTCAAGCAATTTCCTGATACACAACATCTGCTTCAAAGGTTTCGTTTCCCTTCCCTTTGTCACAATACCGAACCTGCTCCTCTGCAGTGATGATCACCTTCTTTGGAATGTGTCAACGTACAGAACAGCGTCAAGGACGACTATTCGTTGAAGGTCTAAATTTTCTACCAAGAAGGAAGAGTTCTTTTATTTACATTGCATCTAGGCTAAAAGTAGGAATCCAAAGCTATATCATGCTTTTCAGCCTCATTCAACCTCCTCACGCCACAGACGGTGGGTACGGAGACGGTGACGCGGGATAATTGGTAGGTGGCGGTATATCCCATGAAATCCGGTTGCAAGAAACAGACTTGGCGTTATCCTCTTCTGCCACTTGCAATTAACCCACACAAGTTCAAGCTCAAGTATTGAAACTCAATCTTGGATGTCAAGTACAGTGGTACAAAGTGCGGGGACAACATCGAGTTCAACAGCAGAGAGCAAGCCGAATCTCTCAACGGGAGCAAGAATAGACATTGGAGTCGGCGCAGCTTTAGCTGCGTTATTCGTCGCCGTTCTGGTGGGAGTAGCACTGTGGAGGCACAGGAAGAGACGACAAGCAGCAATAGACCAAAAGCAGACGTCTGAGCAGTGGAGGAAGAGCGAGTTGGACAACACAGGAGCCGAGAACCCGACTAGAGTTCAACCCCATCATAATGTCGGTCTGATGACGAGTTCGAATGAGCTTCAAGGCGTGGGTAGGGTAGAACTTGCAAGTAGCTACTTGTACGTTGAATAATGACTCATCTTCGGCATTGTCAATGATACAAACTATATGGGCCAAAATATAGCTTAAGGCACGAAAGGGTGTTTAATTGCCAAATTTTTTTTTGGAATACGTTCCCGATGAAGTTACCCGGATTAGTTGACTAGTAACCCTATTGGCATCAGCGTGAATACTTAAGTTATGTTTACTTTCATCTTTGAGTTCATCACTAATCACGAGTCAGAGATGCGCAATCAGGGAAGTATATGCAAACCGATACCTTTCTCACCACAAAGCATCTTAATCGATGCGAACCGCTCGCCAAGTTCATCATTCACATCTATCTGCTTCTAGACCGTCGGCCATACTTCGTATCCGTAATTTTCCGTTTCTCGATCATCTGGTAAAGTTCTTGCCACGAAACAAGCGATGAAACAGAGTCTAAATCTTCACTTTCCCCGCAAACCCCAACGATATCAAATTCCTTTCATTCCTCGCCGCTCTTACCTGACAGGATCAAACTTTCGAGGCTGTTTGCGCAAAACTTCGGATCGAGATGCCATTCTGTTTCGAAGACTGAAGACAAAAGACGCACATCCATCTCCACGCATCTGAAAATACCTTCTCATTCACACTCTCATCATTCATGCTTCTCTCTCCTTCGTCTACAACCGTTTTCTCAAACCTCTACCGCCTCAAGAAAGCCCTCGCGAAATATGAGGCTGTTCACACCATCTTGCTCATTCTTGCTCTGCCCAGACATCAAATAATCTTGGCTTCCTTGGCACGTCATCATTTCTTCGGAGGAAAAGGTAGGAGCGAGCATAGATGGACAGAGGGCTTTGTGCGGGACGGAATTTGAGCCTGTTTTATGAGTTGAGGTTGGGATTGAGTTCCCTTGAGATGGAAGATGCGAGGGCAGAGGTCTGCATGGGATGGCCTTGGCTGCTGTGATGGAAGTCTTGGGAGTGAGGTTCTTAAATTTGGTGGTATCCGGTTGTTCTATACTTTTTTGTTCAGTTTAGTTCAAAAGAATCATCATTTCATTTATCTCTTCTCGTTGATCGATCGCGCGATTTTTATTCTTTGTTAATAATTTTTGGTCTCTTTCCCATTTAGTTCACTATCATCATTTTTTGAAGACAAATCAAAATGAGGACTGCTACTCTTTCTACCTCTACCGCGCTGGTCGCGTTTGCGTCACTTGCGAATGCGCATTTTAATCTTGATTATCCTGCTGCGAGAGGCTTCGATGAGGACGTGTAAGTGTTTCCCCCGCCTTCCACCAATACCAAACACTAATTCAATCTCTTCCCAGACTTGGAACTTTCCCTTGTGGTGGCCAAGATACAGTCTCCTCGAATCGCACCTCATGGCCATTAAGCGGAGGCTCAATAGCTTTGACAATGGGACATATAGATGCAAATGTCGAGGTTCTGATAGCGGTTGGATCCGATCCTGGCTCTGCGTTCAACACCATCATTCGACCTACTTTTACAGAACAGGTAGGTCATATCCAAACATATATATGAAGTATAGAGCTGACGCTCACTTCACAGGGCCTCGGAGCCTTCTGCATGACAGGCTTCACCCTCCCCTCCTCCCTCAACATCTCCGACGGCACCGAAGCAACGATCCAAGTAGTAACGAACGGCGACCCAGACCGTGGACTTTACAACTGCGCCGATATCACGTTTTCTAGCACTGCTACAAATCCTGATTCAAGTGTCTGTAAAAATGCGACTGGCGTTACAACGACCCAGGCGAGTGTTGCGGGCAATCCGAACGTGACGAGCTCAGAGGCCAATGGGACGACGAATGGGGCGGAGAGTGGTGCTGTTGGGATGAGAGTTGGGGTCGAGAATTTGCTACTTGCTGCTTTGACGGGCGTAGTCTTGTCTTTCGCTTTGTAGGGCCTGTCTTGATTTGAGGAGTAAACGTGGTGATGACTGGATATTAAAGGGTGGGGCTTTTGTTGTGTGTATGAAGAAGATATCTCTGATATACATTCATTGGGATAGAATCAGTCTGCTGACGATCAAGGTACTGTTATTTGATTTGAAACCGTTTCCAAGTCAAGGACGTTTCCTATATGTAGTTTATTTTCACTCCCGTACCGAACTGGCAAATCGGACGGAGCTCAGCCCCTGAGACTAGCGCATCTTGGCTAAGCGAAAGCCCCTTTTCTTCCCGATTTTACTTTCTCTACACAAGCGAAGTAAAAGAAGAGGAAAATCATGGACTGAGTACACCGAAGGATCTCAGCCAGAAGGAGAGTCCAGTGTCTCATCTGAACCTGAATCAGGAGTTACCACAGTAAATCTGTCCTTATCTCCACCATTCCCAATCAAAAACTCATCTGACTCCTCGCTTGGCTCGTTAAAGTAATTCCAAAATGTCTCTCCCCATGTTTCACTTGTTTACCTTTTTTCTTGCTCTTGAGAAATTTTGGAGAATTTGTTCCCCGCCATGTCAACTCTCTCTTCTGAGCCCCTAGACAAAAGGGCAATGGGCTCCATATGATGTCATTCCAATATTGGATTGAGAGTCTAACTACTTGCAAGACAGTTCGAGGATCATGTTAGCGAAGTACGAGTCACTACGGCACCTTCGGCCATGGTTGCGTTGGTGATACATCTTACTCATCTCCATCTCCTTATTCTCGATCCATCTTTTGTTCGTCCGCCATAAACACCTCACCAGCAGCCCAGATACCATCACAAACGATGAATATCATTCAAATCAAAAACCCGCAAATTTCTCTTCCACTCGCCCCATTGTCCTTCCACATATCCCAACCTCAACAGCACCAACCCCGCCAGAAGAGCAACCACCCCACAATCCTCTCCCAACAAGACGAGTACATCGCCATCTGCCTCTCCGTAAAAGACCAATCTCGCGACCTCCCCGAATTCCTCACCCACCACTACCACCACCACGCAATCCGCCCCTTCTACATCATGGACGACGGCTCCTCCCCACCGCTCTCCACCTTCACCTACCCCGGCCTCCCCCGCTCCGCCCTAACATTCACCTGGCAGAACCGCACCATGCGCGCCGGACCCATGCAGCTCGTGTTCTACAACCGGTGTCTGGAGCGCTATGCCGCCCGGCACACCTGGATCGCGATCTTGGATGCCGATGAGTATATCGAGACGCCTGGACCCGAGACGTTTAGGGAGGTGCTGGAGAGTTTCGAGCATAATCGGAGCGTGGGAGCTTTGGGGATTAAGTGAGTTTGCTATTCCTCATCTATAAAGAAAAAAAAAAAATGAGCTGGACTGACATTTACCTCCTCGAAGCTGGAAAGTGCACACCTCATCGGGACTCAAGACCCGACCATCTTCATCCCGCAAAGCATTCACCAGCTGTGCGTTCGACGGAAACGGCACCATCAACCAATACATCAAGTCCGTAGTCAAAACGTCTTTTGGCGCCACGGCTGCGAACCCGCATAAATTCCGGTTCGCAGGCAAGGCGGTGACGGTTGGGTAGGATGGGGATGTGTTGGATACGGTGGCGTTTCGGAATCCGGTTACAAGGAGGAGGGTGGGGGTGCATCATTATGCTGTTAAGAGTTTGGAGGAGTTTGAAGAGAAGTTGGGGAGGGGGAATGGGATGTCGGATCCGCAGAGTAGGAAGACGTGGGAGAAGGTTGAGTATGAGATGGAGAAGGTTAAGTGTGAGGAGCTTGTGAGTTATGAGCCATGATAGTAGAGTCATCACAGAGTATCGTTCTTTTTAGGCAGGTACTTTGATGACCAGCCCTTACTCAAATGAAAGACACAAAAAGACATGAGAGAGAAGACTTCATTCATCATGAGAGAAGTATACCATCTATCAACTCGAAACACTAAACACCTACTCCACCTGTTATGACAATCCAACGCCCTTAATGCAACTAAAGGTATATCATAAAACTACACATGCTTCCTCGCTTGGTGACTTGCCTGCAAACGCGCTTGCATCGCAGCTTCCTGTCTCTGTCTTATCATCTGAGCTTTCATCTCCTCCATGGCAGCCAATCTCTGCTCTTTCATCTTCCTGTGTCTCTCTCTCGTCTCTGCTCTTCCTGCTTCGATCTCCCTGTGTACTATAGCTCTGTCCAGATCCTCATCTCTCCAATTTCGGCCTCGTCGGCCGCCTTCACCCCACATGCTTACACGCTGCACTTTTCGGAGCTTGGTGAGCCCGTAGGTACACACGAAGGCGGAAAGAACAAAGCTCCAGCCTGCAACGCCCAAAAAGCCTAGGTCGGATTCCTCCATGAAGTTCTTCAGATTCATGCCGTACAGAGCGGCGATGAATGCTCCAGAACCCATACCCAGAGTACCGATGGAGAACTTGAGGTCTAGAACCATAAGGGAATTACGGTTTGCGTCCAGAATTGCTTTTACGCTGCAAAGAATTAGTAGGTATAACGATGGGATGAAAGAGATAAAAGAGAGCTTACATCTCTTCTGTATTGCGAATATTGGAAACCAAATTCCCGGACTCTTGTACGATTTCGTCGCAAAGCTTATGGTAGGACTCAAGTAACATTTCAACCTCCGTGTGGTCATCTTCCCCCCGTAATAAATCATGGCTCTTTTCCGTCAGGTACATGGCGGCAAGATCATCATCTGCCTCCAACAGTTCATCTATAGCATCTCGAACCAATTTCGCTTTCTGCTCGAAAGTGCCCAGCTTCTTGGAGTAGATCAGGAGCATTCGAAGCTTGTCCCTGTCTATATCCTCTTCTAATTCCCGCAGCACTCGCACAACAGGCTTCCTGACACCCTCGAATTCTGTCTCTAAGCTTGTAATTACTGAAATGAGGACGGATTCGAGAGCACGGAATTCGTACGGTAAGCCACCTGCTGAGGGTGAGTTCTGCTTCTGACGAAGCTTGTCTTCCAAATCGTATATAAATGCAGATTGGTTGTACGAATCTGTCGTGCCGTAGGCATCGAAGACCAAAACTCGATTGGACTTTATCAGGACTCGAAGGTGGAGGAGGTTAATTAGGATGGCTGAGGGTCGGACAAGAATGTGAGGCAGTAGACTGGAGTCGATCTTCCTAAGATCTCGAGGAAGAAGTCCATACTACAATTGCCATTAGCATTGCCACGCAAAAGTCTAGGAAGTACCCTATACCTTTGCAATAAGCTCGCTCTTTTTGAATTCCCCGCTGGCCAAAACCACATTCCCATTCTCATCCAACTCCGTACATCGTAGTTTAGGTTGCGCTGCAGCTTTGGCAGAAATGTGCCTCCCAAGACTGAACATCGAAGTATCATTTCCATCGTCCCCACCAAAGTTCCGGGGTAAATCATCTGGTTGTAAAGGATTCCAACCCTTCGAAGACATTGGCCCCCATAGTTTCTTGTACCACTTGTTATGATTCCATTTCTTCGAGCCTGTAGAAGCTGGCCTCTGCGTTGTCAAGGATGCTGCATGCCCAAGTCTCTTGTTCCTCGATGTGCTGGGACTTTCATTCGCATGCAGCTTCGCCGTGGAACCATTTGCCTTAGCCCAGAAGGAGTCTAACCTTAGGAACCCAGCTTCGACAGTGGCTCGTCGGGGTACGGTCGTGGACAGACGTCTTGTCCTAGAGCTACGAGTAGCTAACTTTGGTTTTCGGGATGCATGGTCGTGGCAGATGGCTGTGCTGGGACTGAAGAAGCAGATGTCGGATTGGATACGGAGGTACTCTAGGAGGGAAGAAGAAGGTGCACGTAGAGCGGACCGCATAGCAGCGTGAGAGAGCCTGCTTCTGTGTTTGTGTGGTGCTCTGCTGCTGGAAGATATTTCTCACTGTCCAAGCTGGAATGGGTGAACTTCGGGCTGGGGATATATGATCATGTGACATGGATGTTCATACCCAAGACTTTGTCAGACAATCGTTGGAGATAGCTATGGCATTTCGAATTCATAGAGGGTAGATGCACAGGAGTCAATATGATTTCAAGAAGAAGAAGAAGTCATATTGTGCAATAGACAGGGTGTTCATTTTCTAGCTTCAAAATCCATAACACCGTAATTAGGCTCCGAACTGTATAAAATTGTAGCAAGTGTCTCTGACTTCGAGATTTTGACAGCCAAGTCATACTTCTCATTGTCACCTTCTTGCTGAGCCTCATCCATCATGTCCGCAATCTCCTTCTCGATGATCCGAGCTCCCTTATTGTTGACGGAAGGGAAGTTTAACATCCACAGCTGAGTGATGACGGCAAACTTATCGCCTCCAGCATTTCGCAGAGCGTATACCATTAGGTTGACATTGAGCTCCACTTTCATACCCACCCATACAAGGATTACGATTGCACGACTATCACCGAAAGTAATAGCTTTCTTGAGTCCCTCAAGCCCAACCTGTGAGGGTCAGAAGGCAAGCTTTTGGTATTGAAAGGGGGTTTACTTCTCCGCTTGTGGTATGACACCAGTCGATACTTGCTCCCGACGTTATCAACCAAAAAAGATACTTGAGGGTGTCTTCATTCCATGGGCCAGAGAGCAACGAAGAGGGTATTTCTATCGCATCAGCTACATCAAAGTTGAGACCCAAGTGGCAGTAATCCAATAGACAGCCATCACTCTCTTCCCAGTTCAGAACGACGTCGGAGAAATCTTGGAAGTCTGTATCGAGGTGTTCTCGTGCTGTGATTTTAGTAGGGTTGTCTGTTTCTTCTGCTGAAGAATCATCATCGTCCGAAGGCGGATTGTTGTCTGCAACAAACCCTATTGTTCATTAGTATTATAAGATAATCAAAGTACAACTACTTACAAACAGGTTTGAAAACCTTATCCGTAGCAAATCTTTGTATCCACATATCCTTGGCATTCAACATAACAGGTAGAGTTGCCCAGCGACAGCGTAGAATAGCAGATTGAAGTACTGGATCGCCGCCTCGATCCTTTAGACCAATTGACTTTCTACCATGCGAGCTCGCCCAAGTAGGACCGAATGCAGCCAAGAGAGTCTTGTTGTATATGATAGGACTGCTCAATTTCCCAGCAATCACAGGACTTGCATTGGGTAGGTTGATATTCAAGCAGAAGAGGAAAATCACCTCGAGGATTTCGGTTGGTAGTTTCTCGAGGTCCGACATTTTGCGTCGAGACTTGATGCTCTTCAGAGATCTATTCTTCCGCTTCTTCGAAGTAGGTTCCGAACTTGCTGAGCTTTGGGTCTCGTCACTTGGATCTAGAAGCTTTAGAGGTCTTCCGGAAGACGGCCTCTTCTACAAGATGGTTAGAAAATAGGGTTGCAAACACAGGGATATTGCTTACAAGTGGGTTTGTCGTTGCGACAGCTGCCTTCGTATTGCCGCGCTTTTTCTTGCCAGGTACCTTAATGGCTGTCAGTTCCATGATAATCTATCAACCAATTCCCAAGGACGATGTACAAATTCGGGTTCAGCTGTGGGATAAAGTTTTTCGAGAATTAGTAGCCTTGCATGACGCTAGCAGGGAGCTTAGTGCGTCATTGATATTCTCACAGCCTCGCTCCGCACTTTGGATTGAGACCTTCACCATATCATATTAATTACTACCTACGACAAACATTCTACTAATGGGTGCGACAATGTCTTCGCATGGAGAAAACTCCCATACTAAGAGCGTGCGTTCTCTAACTGCGCCTCTATTCAAATGGAGAAGATGTATGACCTTGCCTTATTTCCATGACGAAACTGACATGCGATCTCAAAGTCGACGATAAGATTCACGATCTCAATATCACCATCGAAAGATCTCCTTCCCAGTCATCTCCATTGTCGAACCTACCTTTAGAACTTCGAGAACAGATATACAGCTATGTATTTCATGATCATACCAACAACCAAGACTGCGAAGACTTCCACCTCGGGTTGGGCAATCTAGGTTGCAGATGTGGGAAAGGATTATCTCGTTCGAATTATTTCTTCTACAACGAGACTCGAATCCGATATTACGAATGTGCCAGATTTGTCTTCACAACACCTGAAGCCTGTAAGAATTTCCTCGGAATTGGCAGGATCACGAAAAACATGGGCAACCTCTCGATCGCATACAAGGATGAATATGCAGAATCGTCTCTGCTTCGGCCGATATTCAAGGAGCTAGTATTTTCCTCCAGTTTGGAAAGTCTACACCTGCGTATCAAAGAGGATCCGCTTCTGAGAAGACGACCTTTGCCTCCTATATATATGCCAACCGTTGACAAGGCTTTGCAAGCTCAGAAGTACGACCTACTGTTGCGTCCCTCGAGACATCCGTTGTCGGACCTGAAGTGTCTTCGAGCACTGGTGGTGCAAGGCCAGCCCCAACATGAAATCGAAGAGGCCCTTCTCAAGCTAAATTTTAAGATCGAAGATCTAGCGAAGAAGGAAGGAAAGTCTCTCCTAACAAAATGCCAATGGCGTCCAGCTTTTGGAGAATGGTTCTATGAAATCAAAATTATCGAGTAAGGCGCCTGCGTATTTGCGAATTCCCGTGGATCTGGATCTGATTATATCTTAAAGCCCCATCCATGGACGACACGTCAGCCCTTTCGACGACCCATTATTGGATCAAACAGAGCCTTTTGTTATCGAGCAGACAAGCTTCGCTTTCAATTGACAAGGTAGCTGTCCAAGGACAAAGTCTATATTTGCGGAATAATTGCGATTGGACGGAATTTGAGACCTCTCGTCCGATATTTGATCAAGAGGCTGGGATGCTCGGCAACACCAAAATTGCCATTGTCACCAGTTTCCATCATCTAGGAAAAAAGACCTTGGAAACCAGGTCTAGAACTTGTTCTTACTTAATTCGGAGATTAATCATAGCTGAGACAATTTAAAAGCCTCATTTCAAACAAATCTCCCATGCAAGTTGAAACTCTATCAAAAAATTTATCCGCCTACGTCATTCAATTCGGCATTCACGTCTCACTCTCGACTCATGCGACAGACAACTTCTTATCTTACAAACGGTAACTGATGCGGGGCAAAACATCCGACTGATTCATCCGTATCCACACGAGTCAAAAAACAGCAAAAATCAACGCCCCGATCACCAACTCGTGATAATGGTCTGACCTCACCAGCCACATCTCCCCATCTTTCCCATCACCTTAGCCTGTGGCGCATCGACGATCTGTGGCTGTGAATCCCGATCCCCATGTCAATCCATCCGTTTTCGTACCTCTCCCTTCCTTGATTTCACACACCACCTTAATTTCTCACCGACCAATGCGCCTCCCCAATCTGCGCATCCCGGTCCTCAGGAATGCCATGTGTCGAATAGCAACATGGCATTTTGCGACGTGTGACATGGAACATGGCTACGTCACCTAAAGTATCCCTGCTTTGACTGCTGTTTTGGGAAGATGGTGAGCGGGTGAACAACATGAGAGCATTGTTGGCTATGACGACGGTGCTCGATCTCCTTATCGTTATCGGCGGGCGGTGATTAAGATTTTGCTACTTATATGCGCGCTTCCTTTCTGAAAGTTTTCCTCTGCTTTCGATCTATCCATCTACAAACAAACCAAACCAAACTCTCTCTCAATCCAATCCAATCCAACTCGACTCAAGATTTCACGTCTTGACTCTTCTTCATACCAAACACACACTCAAACAAACACAAAGCCGTTCATCGCACCAACCGTCAAAATGGGAGCCGTCGTCTCTTGTGTACGTCTTGCCTCTGTCTATTTGTTGTTGTAACGCAAAGCTAATCAGACCCCATAGATCGAATCCATCTGCCGCACCATCGGTAACTGCCTCATGGCCATCGTCAACGGCATCGCCTCGGTCCTCCAAGCAATCATCGGTGCCATTGCCAGTCTCTTCGACATCATCATCTCGTGTGTCACCTGCGGCCGCGGTGGCGGACGCCGAAGACGCGGTACGAGTCACGTCTAGTCCTCGCTCGTTCGCTTGTTATTCACCATCTTCGATCTTCAACCGGGCTGTGGAGGGGAAAGGGTCAGGATGATGTTGTTGATGAGAGATGAATAAGGGGATGGATTGATGGAGGATGGGCGGTGGTTCGCGTTCGTTCTCGTTTTCTGGAAGCAAATACCCGGCATTGAGGCCACTTGTAACTGTACTCATGCAGCACGCGTCACGACTGGGGAATATGAAAATACAACTTCATGTTCTTTGCATATCAGTTCCTCTTGTCTATGTGATTGTGAATGATTTCTTTACCAACCAAGGTACAAAGTTTAACGCGTTTGTTATCAATTGCATACTATCAATGGCAGCATGTCACTTATTCCACTTCAACTTCTCATCTTCAGCTTCAGACTGAAACTTTATTCACACGCCTACAGCTTTATTTTAGAGAGATAGACAAGGTGAATCAATACCAAACTACCATTATTCACCCATCTACCACACTCCCCCCACCAACAAAAAGTGAATCAACACCAACATCAAAACCAACACCCAAACAACATTCACATTCACACCCTCCACAATCCACCCTCCCAAATGTCCATCACCCGAAAATCAAAAAGATAGTCTTTGAATCTACCTTCCCAGGACCAACAATCTTCATCATCCTTATCACCACTCTAATTAATAAACACTCCCCAAATTACCAACCCACCGCCGCTCTGTGAGCAAGTTTTTGAGGAGCATGATTTGATGTTAATAGCTAGGGTAGTAAGCTACCTTCCTAACCACACTATTCTGTCCGATAGAAGAATGATATCTGGGCACACGGAGCTCAGATTGTCGTGCTTGGGCTCTTTGTTCTGTTGTAGTGGTGGTGATGATTTTTGATGTTTTCGCCTCATTATAAGCGAGGAGAAAGGAGGCGGGGCGAGGCCAGGGAGATACAATGAAATCTTAATAACACCATATTCAAAAGTTAGGCAGCAGCTCGTCTGTCTGTCTCATTAGAAATCATAAATACCGAGTCATTGAATGAGAATAAAGGTCGTGATATATGCTCGTACACAAATCCAATACTAATCACAAGTTTTGGAACATCCTATATTACCATCCTTCATGAAATCGTAAAAATTTACTCTACACCATCCCCTCCCATCCCATCCCATCCCATCCCTCCTATCCACAAACAAACGAAACCTCCTCCCTCCCTTCTCCCCCCTTTAAACACCCAACCAATCCCTCCCCTCCCCCTCCTCCTCCTCCGCCACCCCTTCCCCACCCCTCAACCTCCTAACCTCCCTCCTCCCCTGCAACTCCCTCAACCCCCCCAGCGCCCCAGCAATCCCCCCCAACATCCCAATCAAAACCTCATTATCCCTCTCGATCCGCCTCACCCTCTCATCCAGCTCCCTCTCCCTCAGACTCGCATTCCTTTTCACCCTCCTCTCCGCCCTCCTCGTCTCCAGGACACTGTTTCTTAAACTTCCTCCTCTCTTCCGAAACGTAGGACTAGTTGTTGGCGTCAGGGAGGAGGACCGAGACGAGAAATGATCTGGGATCGCGGGGAAATCGTCTAGGGTTGGGGAGCGGGGCGGGGTATGTGCGTGTGTATGTTGTCTCGTCGCCGTCATCGTCGTCGTCGTTGTCGAGGAGGATTGTTTTGTGTGGAGTGAGGGAGAAGGAGAAGGAGGTAGGTCCGCTACTATCATGACGCCGCTCAGGACATTGGCCGTTCGCGATGAGTGTCGGAGGACCCGTTTCGGGTTCCGCTGCGGAGGGGTGGTGAGGTATGTATTCGTATTTGTATTCGTATCCTTGGATTCCGACAATGGTGGTCTAGAGATGGAGGATTTAGACGAGCGTAAGGCTTCTATATCCCGCTGTTTTTTCTCTTTGACGCGCTCGCGTCGGGCGGAGGGTTTCTTTTCCGTCGTTGGAGGAGAGATTCGGGGCCGTTTGCCGATGGGTAGGTCGGGGAGACATTTATTTGGGGGAGGGGAGCTGGTTGTTAGGCGCGAGGAGCGCGGGGTGGTGCTGCGGACGAGGGTTGGGCCGTCGCTGTATTTGCGGACCATTTCTGCGGTGCCGACTACTACCAATGGTGGTGAATTCGAGCTCAGGCTTTCGTCGCCGGGTTTGAGTGGGGAGTTTGGTGGGGAGGGGAGGTCGTTGGTGTTGGAGGATTGGGCGAGTTCGGCTTGTATTGGCTTTGCGATCTTTGACATCGAGGAGTTGCGGGGAGGTAAGTCGAGCTTGAGGCCTGGGATAATGGCTATGCTGGTTGCTGTTGCGCTTGGGGCGGTTGATACCGAGGAAACTTGACGGGAATGGCCTACGTTTGGGGTAGCGATTGAGATGGTGCTGTATACCGTTCCGCCTGAGTGTCTGGGGTCTGCACTCCGTTGACTGTCTGCTCTTTGCATAGCTGTTGGAGAGACAGCTACGTAGCTTTTGGACGGTCTTTTAGGATCGTGCTTTGGTGCGTTGCTGGGCTCGATGCGTGGTTGAGGTCTATAATTCAGATATGTTCCTCCCAGTGTAGGTGATTGTCGAAGAGCTTCGTCTGGTGGATGACTGGCTAGAGGGTTGATGGAAAATTCGGGGATGACAATGACCGGTCCATTGCTGCTTCTCGGTGGAGAAGTAATGTGAATCGAACCCGATTCCCTCAGCTCATGCAACGGCTTCAGCACATGAACAGCAGCTCTATCCGTCCTCTCCCTCTTTCCCATCCTCGTCTCCGGCGTCGGCGTATCACTCCTAACAAACTCCATATGATCATGAACCAACGGAATCGAAATGGCAATGTGCCTCGCCCCTCTACTTGTCCTCGCTGCAACGGCACTATCCGGCAGCCGAAGCAGCTTTTGTTGTTTTGATTTCTTCTTCTTCTTGCTTTTTCCAAATAGTTTATACGCTGATCTCTTGAAGGAATTGAGACTTTTGTCGTCATCCGATGATTGAGCCGAGACCCAATTCGTAGGAGGCGGCTCTCTCGTCATAAGAAAGTCTGAGAGGGCTTTCATACTCTCTCTGTTGCTCTCTAGTAGATCTGGGTCTACTGAGCTCCTTCGACGTCCCATCTCAGTTCGCATTTGAAAGAGAGACGATTTCTCTGAGTTCTTAGACATTGAATTCCAGCGCGTAACTTGACCTGCTGATATGCTGAATGGCCTAGAAATCGCACTCGCGGGTCGCTGTACAAGCGACGGTGGCATGGGCGAATACATAGATCTCTGAACCGGAGGAGTCGGGACCCGACTCGAGGTGACCGACACCTCTTTGGAGATATGTACAGAATCATTTGAGAAGGTCCTCGGCAAGTCACCTAAGTGTGGAGGAGGTTCTGATCGGACGGAAGACTGCATCTTTTCGTGTCTGAGAACGTCGTGTATATGTTAGTTCTGCATGCAGCTCGCCGTCTGGGTAGCACCAGAATGGGCCCAATGATTTGCTCTGATGACTTACCAGGGTTTCATGATCCTTCCCCTTCTCTCGAAATGCTGTCCCCTGGCAATTCACTCAACGTGGCCGACCTCTTTTCCGCTGGTCACGATAACTGCTTCATTGGGTCGGGAGTCGTTTCCAGAATCGAGTGCGACCCAGAGATAAAATGTGCGACGTGAGCGCCAAACAAAATGACAAGAATCTCAAGACTCGAAGAATAGATGAATGGTCTGGCGAATGGAACGACGTCAACGCCGTTATTGTACAGAATAACAAATTGACCGAAAAGTAACACAACGAGTACAGGGCTTCTGGTGCGACAGCAAATCGCCCTTTCCTTTGCCCTTGTATAATGTATATATCTTCGGATTATTAAGGTAAGGAAAGGTCTGAGCTTCCAAACAGAATCAGAATAACGAGGGCAGGGAAACAGAACTCGAAATCGAAAAAGAAAAAGACTGGGGGGAGCTAGACAAAGACAAGGAGCCATCCAGCCGCAAAGAGTTGTTCAGGTCAGAAAAAGCCCCCTGCGGCGGCGGCGGCATCAAAAAGTGATATCCCAGTTCGACCAGTCCAGTCCCGCAGAAGATCCCATTGATCGCCCCCCCCTGACATCTTTTTGGCTTCAGACTAGCGCACCGCTTCCACTCGACAGGTCAAAATTCCCGACGACCGCTGCATCTGATCGACAGTCCCTCCATCTCTTCTGAACACCACTCCAAAGAGCAACCACGGAAACAGATGCAAGATTTGCTTCCCCTGAAATGTAACCACTACTCACGATCACGCAGTCACGACATTACAGTCCTTGTGTTTCGCTGGTGCAGCCGGACGATTTCTCTCGGGCATTATCCAGCATGCAATGATCTGCGCGCTAATACGTACGTTGATGGCTTTTCGGGGCTTGACTAGCCCCAGCCGATCATCCCCAGCTTTGGATGTGAGAGTTGAAAGAAGCAATTGTTGAGGTCAGTGATCGGCGCGAGTGCTTGCGTCAATGAAAACAAAAGTGGACGAAGAAAGAAAACGAGCGCCGTTTGGCATAGATTGATAAGTATCAGGGTTGTGATGTCTTGCTGCAAAACATATTTTGATTTTGATAGGGAATTGCGAATTTTACTGCTGGTGGGGAGATGGTTGCGAGGCAAATCTGTCCAGGGCAAGATTAGCGAGCGAGCCCAAGCTTCAACTCTAATCCGACCCGTGCAGCTCAATTGTCCCAAGCAAGGTCCCGACATTCAGCAGTCGTCCGAGATCATGGCGTTGACCATCTCATTATTTTATCAGGTAATCACCAATTCAAGAAAAATGCTGGTGGTGTCACTTCGCTATCTACCTCTAATGCTGCTGCGGAAAAGCATCGCTGAACTGCAACGCCATAGAGACCGACAATGAACAGTAAACTAATGTTGCGCCTACAATGCACCATTTTCCCTTCCTCGATGTCCCATGCTCCTTCAACTCCTGAAATGCAATATATGTCGGACCTACCTCTTGGGGGGCGGTTTCCGCTTAATGAACGGATCTGCCGCCGGTCTTTTTCGAGGAGGAGCTACACCAGGCGGACGTGGAGGACGAGCAGTCTGAGCAGCAGCCTTAGCCTGTTGAGCGCGAAGTGCAGCATCGAGATCAACAGCCTTTGGATCCTTTGCAACCTGTCCGACATTGGTTAGCATCATTGTTCCAAAAAAATATCCGGGACATTGTAGTGGAATTATTCACCTTTTCCGGCCCCGGACTTTCATCACGATTTCGCTTCCCAAATGTATTCAACTCATTGGAAGCCGTGCTGCTTGCATCAGCTAAATCAAGGCGAGGTTCTTGCTTCACCGTGGGTCTCTTGACGTTTGAAATACCAAGAAGATTTCTGGCCTTTGGCCCAGTGGCCGTAGAGCTAGAAGAAGACTTTCGAGACTCCGAGGGACCAGGAGCATCAATCATCTCAACCTCGTTATCCTCGGCCTTTGGTCGAAACGACGTACCGTTTGATCCTGATGCTGAGCTTGTCGACATGGTTCTAGATGGAAGACTATTCGCAGGAAGTAGGGGAGGTTCGGCTTGGACAGGACCTTGATTACGTTCTGTCGGTCTCGAAAAGAGCTCCATCACGTTCTCACTCGTATACCGGCCACGCTTTTGGGCGTCCAGAATGAGCTCGTTCCAGAACGAACCCTGTTGGAGAGCCCTTGAATCTCCAAGCACCCAGAGCGAGGATTTAGCTCGAGTAAGACCAACATTCATACGTCTGATGTCGCCCAAGAAACCAATACCACCAGTCGCCTTTGCTCGAACGCAAGAGAATATGATAATCTCTCGCTCACGTCCTTGAAAGGCATCAGTTGTGTTGAACTCGATCTCATCAAAGATCGCATCAGTGTATCTTTGAGCGAATCTGGCCTTGAGCTCGTTCAATTGTGCCTTATAACTGGTGATGATACCAATCTTGCCCCTGAAGTCAACTTGACTGTAATCGGTCTTGAGACGTTGATAAAGTTGAAGAGCAGCGTTAAGCTCAGGAACGTTAATGAATGAATGTCCTTGTGCTTGCTTGGTCTGAAAACCCGCAACATCGAAGAAGCGATACGGACCTAGTATCGTGCTTGCGTGCCAAGGTTGTTGTCTTAACTGAGCCATACCATCACCATCGACCAAGCGACTATTGTAGAATTGAGCGCTTGGGAATCGACTGATCTCAGGATGCATGCGGTATTGCGTGTCGAGCAAGTGAATATTGTTAGGGTGGTTCTTCTGCATGCGGACGAACAAACTCTGCTCGTATCCAAAGCTCTGAGCAGATCTGGACAGGACAGTTGGCGGAAGTTGCTCTGGATCTCCAACGAGGATACATTTTGAGCATCCATACTTCAGTGGGATCAATGCACTCAATTCAATACATTGAGCGGCCTCATCAATAATGACTGTCTCAAAATCGACGTCGAGATTCTTGAACATATCATGACCACTACCACTGAGAGTGGAGCAAATAACGTGAGCACCGTCGATGATTTCTTGCTGGAATTTTCGTCGACTGATCTCATTCTGACGAGAGACTGTCATTCCACTCTCCTTATCCTCGTCGATTTTAGAGCCCAATTGAGCTTGTCGGCGTTTCAATTGGTCGAATTCTCGACGCAGATTCTGGATTTTGGTGGGGTTGTCATCTTTCTGCGCCTCATCCATTTGTGGTCGAATAACGTTCAATCGCTCCTTAACCTGTGCTGCCTCTTTATGCAAAGAGTCGCGAGCCTGGAGAAGCTTGTTCTTATCGCTGTCATCGCCTTCAAGCTTGATTCGGACCAGTTCGTCAAGCATGACGTCCTTCACAGCAGCATTGATAGCATCACTTCTACCGATACGGATGACGTTGATCTTCTGTCGAGGTCCATTGAGGGGTTGAATACCTTCCTTCAATCGTACGACCAACTCGTCGACGGCGGCGTTACTGGGTGCGCAAATAAGAAGCTTCTTCTTTGGTGGTGGTGCTTTAGCAGGCTGTCCATTTGTCGGAGCTCGTACCCGGGCCTGGTCTGCTTGTTGCTGCTGCAAAGTGGGAGTCAAAAGTGCTCCAACCATTGCGACGATAGTCTTCGTCTTTCCAGATCCGGGAGGCCTGTAGAATGTTAGAACTATCATAGAATGGACATGTTTCTACTTACCCTTGAATCAAAGTGAAGCCATCATTGTCATTAGCAGACAAGATAGCTTTGGCCTGACCACGGTTAAGACTGTATTTAGAGGAAATGGTAGAAATCTTCTCTTCTGGATACTTCAGCAACGGGGACGGCTTTGCTTCGAGCACCTCCGTGCACAAATCATAATACTCCAAACTGCTCAAAGCCGCAAATTCTCGCTGAGTCGTAGTCATGTCGCAGATCTTCAGAGCAAAAACCTTGCCATTTGGCACGAAAGACGGCAAGAATGTTGGATCAACATCTCTGCTGATACGGTACGTGATCTCAATTGCGTCTTTCTTGCGTGTAGTGCGATCCACACGAGCAAGGCAGTGCGGTGCTTGAGGACTGTTGAGTGGATCAGAATCTTTGGAAAACAGAACAATGTCTCGTTCGGACATCTTGAGATCTTTGTTGTAGGCAATAGGCATAGTTGTGCTGACTTCCAAGAACTTGTCAACGCTAACGCGGTTGAGGACTTTGACCTCGACAGCCTTGTAGTTGTTCTCGTCCTTAGCTGTGACAAGAGATCGCCAGACTTCGGAGATGAGCAGTGGACCGAAAGTTCTCTTATAGAGATCGAGATCTTGATACTTGTTATCGATCTTTCGGCACTGATTTTCACCAGGTGGAGCATCGCCAGGGTGGAAGATGTCCCAGTTCAGGATCTCCAGGTACAGCTTGGTCATATCAGGATCTACACGAGCACGTTGGTCTTTGGCCGAACGCTGGATTTTTGTCTTCTTGACTGGTCCTTGCTGTGCCAATTGAAAAGCGCGGCGTTTGCTCTCCTCGTACTCAGTAACCTTCTTAGAGGTCTCCTTTCGTCTCTTGACCAAGGCGTTCGTCTCGTCCTCATCGTCGTCCTCATCAGATTCTTCGTCAGAAGAGCCGACCATGATTTCATTGCGAGCTGGTGCATGATCTTTGCCAGCCACACCGCCAATGTCCTTAAGACCAGATCCCTCTCCCTTGATAATAGCGCTGGGGCCACGAAGAGCTCTAGCCTTTGCAATAGCTTCCTCCTTTCGTTTCTGGGTCTCTTCAGCGTCTCGTTTACGGTTCGACATGAACTGCTCTTTCTGTTGTGCATTCATGGCTTCTCTAGCTTTAACCATCTCGAGATGCTTCTCTACATGCCTGTTGATAGCTTTTGATCCTGGAACGGCTTTCTTTGTTGGGAGCTTTGGCTCATGTTGTTGGCCATCTGCTGACTTGGTCCACGACTCAATCGTACCTTGCTTCTTGGAAGCTGTGGGCTTGCTGACCTCGACAAAGTCAATACCAACATTTTCATCCAGTGCTCTCTGTAGCTCGGCCTTTTGCTGAGATGTTAAATTGGTTCTGATAAAACCTCTGTCGGCTTCACGCTTGCATGAATCTCTGATATAACTCGAAGCAAATTGGGTCACTTCAATATCGTATTCTCCAAGACAGCGAAGGAGCTTCCCGATTAGACTCGTGATGACACTGATGAGATATGCATCTCTCAATCTGATCATCCGCACCAAGCCATTGATGTTCCGGCAGATGACTTCCAAGACCTTCTTGTTTCCGGCCTTCTCAGATGTTGATTCTTCCGACTCTGAATCGAACTCTGAAGAACTGCTCTCCCTCAAAACGGAAGCGATGATGGAATGGTTGTCGAATAGAGATTCCGCAAATTCCATACAATCGCGAAGAAAATTTTGCATATATGTAGTAGACTGGTCAACTCGAGGAGCCCATGCCTCCGCCTGGGAAAACACAACATCGAGAGCATGCCATAGCATAATCCACCAACCCAGAACTGCACTCTTTTCCTCTTGCTGAAACATCGAACGACTGCGGAGTACACCTGTGGTTCCACAAAGACCTCGAAGGATATCCCTGTTACTCTTGATCATGTGTGGAACTGGTCCAAAGGTTTTCGAATTGCTAACACGTTTGATAGCTGATGTCATGTAGGTAAGAGTCTGAGCCAAGTGCGTAGACAGCAGGTTTTCGAAAGCGTCGCTCTTGCTCTCTTGATCTGTCATGACTTTGATAATCTCAACCGCAGCACCACTGATACCCTCATCCGCCGAGATCAAAGATGCAATCAGGGTGCGAGCAGTTGCGTTATCCTCCATGAGCCGATACAAATGTCGGGAAGAGAAATCGCTCAAACGTTCAAGGACTTTGGCAATATTATCGAACAATTCTCGTAGGTCCTTGTTGAAGGCTTGGTGGTCCTTTGGCAGTCTTTCGGGATGGCGTTTGTCTTCAGGCCTTAAGATATCGACACCAGTGAGTGGTATAAGCGCGGGAAGGATGCTCTTGACAAGCTCGAGGTTACCAGGTCTGAAGATATCCAACACAGCTTGCCAAATCTCCTGGGAATCGGTCCTGTTACCACGCTGAAGTTTTCTACCATTGTCCAATGCGTAGTACTCGGCTCCAATAGCTTTGCAATCGAGAGCTAGAGCATCTTTGATATCCAACATACCCACTTCTTTCAGTTCGGATGGTGTTGCAAGATCTGTGTTCAAATCCAGGTCGGCGCATCCAATGATCGTGTCTCTGAAGTGATGTACCAAGCCCATAACGTTGCTTATGGTGATCAGGGAATGAGAAGCATCGACCTTGTAATCTGGCGTGATAAATGTCTGCAAAGTAACATGCAATGCTTCCAAACCAGCTCGGCAGCAAGCAAGTCTAGTCTCTTCAGCAAACTTGCGCTCATTCTGGAATTTGAAGAAGAGGGTGTCGAGCAATTTTCGGCAAGCTTCATATTGGGAATCTGGACCAATAGACCTCAGTAACACAGGGATCCAGGAAACGGCTAGCGAATGTTCGAAGACATCCCACGACTCGGGATTGTTGAGCATTTTCTCAAACCCTGGACTCTGAAATATCAGATCGACGACTGTATGTGCTGATATTGTACCCAGAGCTTCCCAAAAGTCTTTCGGGGCCTTGATGAGGAGCTTCCGTAAAGCGTTGACGACAAGGCCAACAATTCTCTCAGAGCTGCTAGCGAGATGTTGAAGGGCGAGTCTGTAAACGTCCGGCTGAACCTGCATGGCTCGAAGCCACTCCCTAATCATGTTTTCATTCATTTTCTCAAGTATAGACAGAAATCCGGCCCAGAAGCGCAGAATGTCCTCCGGGTCGGCATGAGGGTGAGAAACCAGAATGATAGCTTGCTCGAGGACATCATGAATGACCCATTCGAAAATTGGCTCTGTGAGTGTAGCATTCATCTTCATCCACGCGTATGTAGCAAATTTCTGTCTGACAGGGTTTCTGCTGAAAAGAAATCGAGCCATAGCAGGTAATATATCGCCAATCCGGAGGACTTTCTTGCCCTGTGCTTGCTCGAAAACGTAATCGAAATGCTTTGCGAGTCTGTCGTCGTCTGAATGGTAATTGATGCAGCAGAGCGCCTCGTAGAGAGCCAACAAAGCCGATGTATCATGCTTGGCCAAGAGAGCTTGATTGCGTTGAGCTGGTTCGGCCTTTCTAAGGAGTTCCTCGGCAATTGCGAGACCTCTATCCAATCTTTCGAAGTCTAAACGATCCAGTCGACTCGAAAGTGCGGCGACAATGTATTCGTCGAATTGACTGTCCCTAAAAGATGAGCGATTGAGCCAGAAAATGAGGATGTTACTCACCCCGAGAGTTCCTTCAGGTATGCCTTCCTTCCCAAATGCCAGTTGTGTACACACTTGTCGCAAGAGGTCAGAAGCTCATTGAGTCTCTTGGTATATGCGTCAAGCAACCTCCCAGAAATCTCAGCCCCCAATCCAAGGATCAGGGAGTATTTGTATGCAACTGCTTGCCGGCTCTTCCAGTCTGCTATGAGTTCTTTCTTGGTCTCGAAGCTCATATCCTCTTCTTCGTCAGGGTTATCGTAGTCGACTGGATCGTCGTCATTGCGTCGTGGACAGAACCAATGGGCTTGGGGGTCGAAGCTCTTGAGATCCCTAGGGAATGTGTGTCAGTAGTCTGCGACGAAGGTGGAACGTAAAGAGAATACATACCCGTCGAGCCCATGGATCTCGTCCATGATCTCCGCTTCCTCCCTCATCTTGATCGATTGTTGTGTCCTATAAGGACCTCATCGGACAATGTCGACGGACTATCTATGTGCGATCTAGAGCAGAAGCACGGAAGTGAGAAGAAGGACGGAAGTTGCGACGAAGATTCTGTCTTTACAGGTGACGGTCCTAAATCTGGGTAAGTATTCGTTGTCCTGCGGAATGATTAAAAAAGGAAGGAAGGAAGGATGGAGAAAGGAGTAGCGAGAGGTCAAGTAAGGAAATCTCGGAACTAGGCGAATGAGTGAATCACGCCGTAGTCACCGCCTATGTAGTGTTCAATTTTGGAGGTTGTAGTTGGAGTTCAGAATCTTTTACTTGCCGATGTATCTTTCGGCGGACGCGAAGAAGCGTGAGACCCCTGTACAACGAGTGTCAGCCTTGTGACGCTAAAGTGCACGGACAAGGCTGACAACTAAGGTGGTGTTCATTACTTGCACAAGGTGTTCACTTTTATAGAGCATTGGCTTGGTTATTGATATCACATCATATATTCTTTGGATCGCAATCTTGTCTTTATGGCAAATGGTGAACAAAGATCTCACGTTGAAGGGGCCAGAAAGCTATAAAACTTAGTGCATTATCCGACTCTTCTACTCTTATATACAGAACTCATTCCCGTCCTCCCCCAGTCACCATCAGCCTTCTTACAACCATCATCAGAGAAGGAGATCTAAAAGTATCTCTCAGAGAGGCGCATGCTAAACCCAATCGGAATTCACCTGCCGGGGCACAAAGTCCTCCGGTCTCGTTATAACGCCTAAACACCGCTGCATGAAAATCAAATGCAGAAAACCAGATCAGAGATCACTCATGCAAATCGTAATGCTTTCGAGATCTCTTTTTATCAAACAAAAGAGACTGTTGTGTATTGTACAAACCTCGAGGTTCTCGAGGTGGAGTTCATAGTCGTGGGATGGAGCTTATGTCCTCCTACTTTGTGTAGGTCCAAAGGAGTGGCTTGACTCCAGTCGAGTCAACATAGCTGCCGAAGTGAAATCGCGACTTTGTTCGAAAGACGGTCGTATACGATCCATCGAAGCTCGTATTCTATCGTACGAAGGTCTCGCTCGGTCCATGGATTGTCGAACGGGTGGTAGTTGCTCCATAGAAGCTCGATGTCGCGTGAAATCGGTGCCGTCGCTGCCGTTTTGACTTCGAGGGTTGTGGGTGGTGGCTGTAGCAGCAACTGAAGGTGGGTAAATCGGCCTTTGGTCTTCATCAAGGCTCGGATAGTGGGTGTGCTTACTCGGCTTTGCGATGTCAGATGATGTTGTAGAAGGATCTTTTGTGATGTCGTCACCGGCACTATTGTCCACATCAAGGTACGCGAACTTCCCTTGACGGACTTGCTCGCGGATGATGTCGACATCGTATGGGAAATAGATTTTCTGAACAAATTTGATGCAGAAACGAGGCATCAGGGCGAGAATCGTCGACAAGAACGTGACTGCCCAGAAGGACGCTTGCGCAAAAGCTTCAGCAGCTGCCTTGTAGAAGTAATCTGATGATTTGAAAGCCGAGTAAACCCCAGTCCAAAACCATACAAGGAGGACACTGATGGTCACGAGCAGTACCATAAGCCAATCCCATCGATAGGTGTTGATCAGGATATAGACGTTGATGACCATGAGAGCAGCAGGTGCAATGTACACGCCAAAGCGTTCTCGGTCATCGATATTGAGGCCATTTCCAGTAACAAAATTGGCTGGACGGAAGAGTAGCCATGCCATGAAGAAGCAAATGACTGACTGGTACAGTCCGTCGAACATATAGAGCCTAAACTTTATTAGTGCCAACTTAAATGAAGTCAACTTTTGGTAGATACTCACCAGAATTTGGTCTGTGTCCATTCTTTGCGCTCAATGCCGCGGCGGTAGAGTTGAGGAACTGCTAGAGATACCTTGTCATTGACATCTTGGTCCAATACACCCATGAAGACAACCGGTACCGATGTAAATGCCAAGTTGAAGAGCAAAATGTAGGTGTAGTCGTAGAGGTAGGTCATGTCGAAACTACAGAAGATCTGGTACCAGAAGATCGTGAACGTCCACACAATGTTCTTGTAGAAGAAATTGGCAATCATCTCCCCTAATCGGCGGTATGACCAACGACCATGTACAAGTACCAGTCGTTGAAGGAATCTGAATTGACCAATGGCGTAATCAGCAGACATGACAGCTTGTCGACCTTCTTCGCCTGCAATACCCACACCGACATCAGCCTCCTGAATCATCGCGACATCATTTGCTCCGTCTCCAATCGAGAGGGTCATCACATCAAGTCCAGTCTTGACCATAGCGACGACAGCAGCCTTCTGTGCTGGACTGACACGACAGCATAATACAGACTTGCACTGTTTACAAAGTAGAAGAAACTTCTGGCGCAATCGTTCATCGAGAACGAGCTTGAGCGAATCGCCATCGATAACAATAGCATGCGTTGGCTCTGGTGGAGCATGGCTCTTCCTTGCAATAGCTAGTTCGTGGTCAGATCCAGTCATGTTGAAAGTGGCAAGATGTTTGTCGAGCTCCACGTCAGCGCTGTCCACTGACTCATCATCTACTTTGAAGATGATGAGTTCCATGTCATTGTTGAGCAGGTTGCAAGAGAAGCCAATGTTGATAGCGGTCTCGACCTTGTCACCAGTCAGGACCCAGAGCTTGATACCAGCCTCGGCGAGAAGAGCGATGGTATCTGGAACACCCTCTTGCAGACGATCTTCGATAGCTGTGCCGCCTAGCAATGTCAAGTCACGCTCAATCAAATCCGAGACAGCTTCCAGCTTGTCTTCTCGGTCGGAAATAGCGGCGGCGGCAATCTCATGTTCCCTGTTCCACTCTTGATATTCGTGCTCTCCTAGCTCTCTTTGTGCTATGCAGAGAGTTCTCAGACCTTCACGTGCGAACATTTCAAGGTGCTCTGCTGTGGTTCTGCGTAGTTCGGATTGTTCTCCTTTCTTTAAGCGAGAATATATGATGCTATCAGCACCCTTACAGAAGAGAATGATCTTGTTGTCGGGCATTCGGATGATAGCACTCATTCTCTTTCTGGTTGAGTTGAATTCTAGAGTGTTCAGGACCTTGAATGAGCGATCCTCTCCTTGAATGTTCAAACGAATACCATCGTTAGAGTTGCCGAGGACCGTGTAGCCTACATCACGAGCGGTGGCAACCAACGCGGCCTCATCAGGAGACTGTGCCTTGAACTCAATTCGTGGTGGTTCAGCAGGAATGGTCTCCGCGATGACTGTGTGACAGAGAGCGAGCGCTAGCATGAATTGCTCATTGGCGAGTTGTTGCTCTCGTGTTGATTCACCGGCCAGATCAGAGATGAAGTCTGGCGCAACGAACGTCAACTCATCATCATGGAGATAGGGGTTGTCGTAGAGTTTCCTTATATCAGCCAGCATCTTCACACGTGCCTGTGCAATTTGCTCATATGCTCGGGCAGACTCCTTCTCGACATCAATGCCCTGTCGCTTCTGCATACCGGCCTGTGCTTCTGTGTAAGCTTCTCCATAAGGAACTCCATTGATGGTGGCTTTCTTGAACTCCATGACATTCTGGGTCAGAGTACCAGTCTTGTCGGAAAAGATGTACTCGATCTGGCCCAGGTCATCGGAGATGTTCCAGGACTTTGGTGTACAAGGATAATCAATCTTTTCGTAGTACATCTCAGTGTCGCTGTAGATGAAGAACGCCTGGCAAGTCTTGACGATTTCGATGGAGATGTAGAGAGAGATGGGTACCAAATTCTGGAACAAAATAACGGCTGCCCAAAAGGTGATGAGTCCGTCCAAAGAGGGTTTGCCCCCGATAGACCCAAATTCGAAGAAATCCAATGAGTTATCACCCTGGCCCCAATAGACACCTTCAATCAGTCCAGAAACAAGACACATGATGAAGAGGATAATGAAATTGTAGATGACGTTCCAATTCAACTCTCTAGCAATTCTTGATCGCTTGCTGGGAGTGATACCAGAGTTCATCATGATTTTTGTGTCGAAACCAGTATAGACGACAACACCAAGGATCCAGTCAGTGTTTCGTAGATTGCAGCCTCGGAGGAGGAGGTTGTTGATAGAGATAGGTTCGGCCATATCCTCGCCTTCCGAGTCGGGATATCTGGGATTGTGCTGTGTCCAACGTGCAACGGCACTGTACTGGTAGAGGTTTGGATGTGGCGGCTCACTCTCAATGACAAACTGTGTTCGCTCACAGTCTCGTGCATGTTTGATCTTTCTGCCACTCCGAAGTGCATGTCTGACCTTCAAATTCGTTTCTCCGTCCAAATTCTTTGTCTCAACATAACAAGCTCCGTCTGGATCAGAAGTTGACAAGATAACGATGTCCGCTGGAATTTGATCATCGTTGTAAATTCGCACAAAATCTCCGACTTTGACATTCTTCCAATAGTCGCTGTGGAATCGAGGCCCCCCAGTGACTGGAAGGGTTGGGTTGATCAGGTTGCCAAAGTTCTTCACAACGGGGGCGTCCCCATCACCAGCTTCGTAAGAGAATGCTGTCTTTGGGCGGTCTGCATCAGGTACTTGCAACCCATCGTCTCGAGGCAGTCCAGGTGACGGCACTGGTGTCATTTGGATATTTTCTCGAGCAGATGTGAATGAGGTTCGCTGAGTATGGGCAGAAAATGCCGACACACGTCTGTCTGCTGTCGCTCTGGTTTCATAAGATTCTCTGGGTTCGTCAAGGGCTCGTTCAGCGTAATCTTTTCCCGGAAGTTTCTTATTCCTCTTGAGTTTTCCCCATACAGCAACAACACCACGAGTGGATGCTTTCTTGAATCTTCTCCATAATGATACATCGTCTTCGCTGACGTTGACATTGTTCCAGTCTACCAGTCTGTGTACCGGCGAATTATTCAACTCAATGTCTAAGATTGTCCTCCGGTAATCCTCAATCGCATCTTTTATAGCGGTTATAACAACAATGACGATCAGTGGTACGGCGTTCAGTCCGGGGTTTGATGCACCAAATATGCCAAAGAACTATAATGATATTAGCACAGGAGGAACAGAAGTGGCTGTCTCCGGACTTACCGTCAAGATAATCAAGAAGAGGAAGTAAACATTAGCGATGTTGTGGAACTGATACCACAAGTTCTTCGGTATGAAACTGATAGGGGTGTATTTTGCGGTCCTGATCTTGTTTCTCCGGTAATGTTTGAGCGGATGGCCCTGTTCGTCGACTGCATCTGGCGGTAACGCTTGATTGAAGTAGACTGTTCGAGGACCCTGTCCATCGCGATCACTGCCAGAAGTTTCCGTCGCTCCTTCATTAGGTTCTGGTTCCTCAGTGATTCCACCAAGATCAGTACCCATTGAATCTGCGCCAGCTGAATCTCGTTTCTTCTCGCTGTTCTGCGAGCCTCTGTGACCTAATCGGCCCAAGATGGACCCTCGCTTTTTACTCCCACTCTTGCCCTTCAGCCTCTGTGTTGCCCATCTTAACTTCTTTGTAGGATTTGGCGCATTCTCGGGATCCGCAGAGACAGCCATTTCGGTGGATTAGGAGGTGAGTATGGGCTTCGCCCCCTCGGGGATAAACAAGTTGTCCTCCAGCGTTCTCCTACCCCAACCCTCAAATGTCGTCTCACTGCGAAAATAAAGTTGTCAAGCCAGCATGTAAGTTATCGAATGCTCTTTCACGGATGAGGCAAAGCTTTATTTGGGCGCTGTCGCCGTCGAGTGGAAGGAAATTTTGTTGTTGGAAGTACTATGTCCGGATAGAACGGGATCGCGTAGAAAGCTGGGCGCTTTCTTCTAGCACATTGCAGAGCGGGCGAGGACGAGGACGAAGAGACAGCAAAGGCGAGTCGGCTGTGCCGTGAGTGCGACAGTTGGCGGAATGGTCGGAATAGCGATGAAAGTACTGTAATTGAATTATGGAATCGATTGAGCGGATCAGGGAAGTTGGTAGGAGCGATGAGTGTTGTTTCTCCAAGGGATCTGCTGGGGGGAACCTTACTCAGCCAGAGCCTTACTCAGCGGCTTTTGGGCGAGGGGACAACGGAACGCGATCGACGAAAAGATATCGGCCGCTTGATATTTCCTCGAGCGTCTGTGGCTCTGGAATTATATTTTTGGAATACAATGGGGACCAACGTTCGGCTCTTTTCGATGGGCGAGTGAATTTCTTACACAAAGCAGAATCCTCAGATCAGAGGGGAACGTTTCTACGCAGCGTTGAGGGGACGATTACTTTTCAGATGGGCCGCCGAGATGTGGCTCAGTAGTAAGCAAGCATCCTAGAGATGACCTCAATACGGGCGTGGTTGATTGATAATGTCCAATTACAGCAGCCGGAAGTTACATGAAACCTTGGGAGTGCATTCGATGGAATCGCTGCCATTTCAGCCGTTCTTCCTCCCCTCGCTGGGCTGCCATCCAACGCCGAGTGCCTTTCGGGAAGTTCGACCTACTGTACTTGGCCTCCTGATAAATATATAGGGGTCGCTTTGCACGAGAGGGGCCTTCCACGTAGACATCAATATTACAATCATGGCCGCATACCAGAATGGGTCTGCCGAGAAGTCATCGTATTCTTCATCTCGTTACGGGCGTCTAAAGTCCGAAGCCGCCGCGGCGGGGGAGAAGTGAAGAGAAGGCCACGGTCTGCGGTCTTTGCTCGCTGTCCCTCATGCCAAGAGGACTAGGTACTGTATGTCAAGGTCGCTTGCTCGGTCGGACATCGAACAATCATCGCCATCCGAACTGCGGTTTTGCTTTTTCTCCTCCCACTCCCAACCCAGAGACATGAGGGCACCCAGCATTGGTGACTTCGTTCCCATGTGTGGTGCTGAGCAAGCAGTGCGCAGGCCTCGCCGGGAGCAATCTCAAACCGCAGAACATATCTCGCGAAATATGACCAAACGCCTATAAAACAAGGAGTCAGGGGTCATGCCGTGCCACACACCGCCCGCCTCAGCCTTGCCTACGGTACGGAAGTGGAACTAAGGTTATGCTGGTTCATAATTTATTCAAATAATGCATTTCTCGCTTCTTTCCAATGAGATAACGTGACTCGGAACACGTCAAATCCACGTCGTCCCACGTCCAACGCGTAGGGAGCCGTGTACGGAGCATCTGATAGCTCACTTTCCCGAATCATGTTCACCACTTGATGCGCATCCTATTCGGGGACCATGGCTGCCAATAATAAACCCAATAAATCCATTCTGGAATTCTTCAAACCGAAACCAGCCCAACCTGTCTCGAAGCCTTCAAATGCGGCACCAGCGCGGCCAACATTTCAAAGTTCCTCAGCTTCCAGGACATCCCCCGCCCCTCATGTGTCAACAACCGTAGCACCGACAATGAGAGCCTCAAATTCACCCAAACCAACAGTTCAAGCGCCTCAAATGGCTCGGACACCATCAGACGATCGGAGTCACACTTTGAGCCTGTCTCCAGCACCAAGCACTGATCTGTCAGAACCGCCCTTTTCCCCCCGAAAAGAGGATATGCCTTCCAAATCCCAGTCGAGCGCGGAAAAAAGCTCTGACCGCGTCATCGAAAATTCGGACGACAACGACGATGACTCAAGCAGTGAGATAGAGGATTTGAGAGTATTGCTGGCCGCAAGAAGTTCTGAGAGAGCCAGACAAGCCAGCAATGACAAGACACCCTCAACCCCGGCTGCCTCGAGACAGCAGAAAAGTTTCAATTTTCACTCTTCGCCGTTGGCCGTACTACCAAAGTACAAAATCGACATGAAGTCGCTTGTCAGTTTTGCACAAGACGATGAAGCAGCTGAAGAGAGCTCAAAGAAAGTCAAGGAAATGCTTGCAGCTCGAAGAGAGGATGGAGATGATGTCCCCATATTCCATGATGAGAAGATGGCAAAGTCTAAGCTTGACCATGATGCCTTGCTGGACTCCGTCGTTGCAGACAATGAAGATGGTGGTGCTCATAAAGTCAAACGTGCTTTAATGAGAACCGAAGCTACGGCCACAGAAACTCGGTGGTACTTCTTCGATACACACTCTGTACCCCTGAAGACGACACAAGATTCTTTTCCAGTGTCTAAAGTCCCAAAGAGTTGGAAAGCTGAGCTTGGCGAGCCAAGAATGAGGCAACATACCTTCCTGTCTGGGTTTGCTGAAGATATGGTTGGATTTGGCAAGAAGTTACCAGATGAGCTCTTCCTTTGGATGCTGGATGAAATATGCTACGAATCCAGCGATCCCCTGCGAAGTGCCTACATCAATATTCTAAGAGCATCATCAGAACAAGTGGGACGTCTTGTTGACCCTTTAATGATTCAGACTCTGTTCGTCAACCTCGGAGCTGCATCTGGTGCAACAATAGTCACCGAGAAGATCAGACTTGTCAATAAACTCCCTGCTCCATATGCACATCGGAATTGGGCAAATCTACTCTCAGTCATCAAGCTTCTTGGCCGGCTTGCCAAATATCTGACCTCGGCAGCAAAGATGTGTACCATATGCATGCTACTACGAATGAGCATGGATAAACTTGTGGCCGAGAACATCGACATCTTAGATGCAGTCCAAGAGACCACCAACCGACTTTGTCTAAGCATCACCCATGAAACAGAATGGACAACATGCGTAAGTTCCTCATTTTCCTCTCATCATTAAATGCTGACAACTCTACCAGTGTGCTCAAATATGTACTATTCTATTCGGTGCTGTCGAAGAATCAACCCTCCGCCTCCAAATGGTCGAAGTAATCTCATCAATCCACCCACGCACCCACGACCTCCGCAGAAGACTAGCCATGTGCTTCTACTTCAACGACGCCACATATGCCAAATCCCACTCTCACACCCTCATGGACATGGAATCATTCATCAACCGCCTGCACAGCCCTGACTTCGACACAAGTCCCCAAACAGACTACCGAGAATTGACTGCCCTAATCCTACTCCTGGACATAGCACTCGACGACGGCCGTTCTACGAAGTTAGACCTGACGGATGCGGCTGTGGAGAAGAAATTCAATGAGGATGTCGATGCCTTGCGTGTTGGTATCAAGGAAATTTTCAATAGCATTGGCCATCCTGGAACTGCGTTCATTTCGAGGATTGAAGCTAAAGAAGCGTTGGAGTTGGTTAGTCAGAGGATCACGGATACAGTTAGGACCAAACGCAAGCCTAGACACACGTGGTTTGACCAAGACGTGGGCAAGAAAGATGAGGACTTGCAGTCTGAGAAGAAGGGCATGGCTGATTTCGTGTCGAGGATGAAGGGTATAGGTAATGGCACTAATGGCTCAAAAGCGAAATAAATATATTCAGGAAGATACCCCAGACTTGTAGATGTAGACCAGTAATTATAGAAGTGAAGCTTCCAAATGAAGCTTATGGAAAAGTTCATTTTATCATACACTTTCTACAATCTCTAGTGAAACCGTCAAACAATGTGCAGCAAACCCATGCTCAGCAACCCAATGTCCTTTCATGCCACAAGCTCCCAATGCCCAATAGATGTCCCACTTAATCATAGAACTTTCGGTTCTCGTTCTTGCCGAAGAGGGTTGTTCGTACCGCTGGCAGAGCAGTGTCTTGCAACAGCTTCAATCTCTCCTCGAAAGTATTGTTGATATCAATCTTTCCACCACCCCCAACAATAGAGAGACCACCAGAACTATTCCAAATTAGCCTCTCCCCGACTCCAATACAAAGAACACAACTCACCTTCCCTCAGGCAGCGGATGCTCCTCATCAACACTCGCCTCAATATCCTTCTTCAGATTCTTCGTATACTCCTCACAAGCCTTCTTAATCGCCTTCTTCACGACCTCAAAATCCGCCTTCCTCGCACGAACCTGCACCTTCCCCTCATTCAAAGCATAAAAGCCCTCCAACGCCAGATTCTTCAGAATCCCCTCATACTTCGCCTTATCCTTCGTCGCCTCCCCCAGCTTCTTCTCCGCCGCCTCGAAGATGCCGTCCAGGAGCTCCTGGCGCGCGCTCAGCACCTTGAGCCGCGTCTTGTTGGAGACGGTAGAGCGAGTGATCTGCTGAGACATCTGGGCCTGCTTGAATTTCTTCTCGTAGGTGGTGTCGATGGATTGGGTTTCTTGGCGGACGAGCTTCGATTTCTCGATGTTGAATTCTTCGTCGGCTTTGAGTTCGATTTCGCGGCCCTTTTCCATGGCTTCTTGCTTGATGAAGGCGGTCATTTTCTTGAGCTCTTGTCCGACCTGTCATGGTTGGTGAGGTTAGCAATTGAATAACTGCTAGAAAGAGGGTAGAGAGAACATACTTGATCGTCGGACAAGGCGTGGGACTGAGACATCTTGGAGGTTGGTGTGGTGGCAGCTTGGAGGGAAGCTGGTTGCTGCTGAGCGAGGAGCTGTGATGTTGAGAGAGCTTGAGCTGCAGGCGATAAGAGAAGCTGCGATCTAAACCTTGAGGGAGATTAGCGAGTCCGTCACCTGACAGCTGTATTGAATCTTGGGTTGCACAGAGAGATCAAGAGATGATTACTTGTATTACAAATGGAGAAGATGTATTGAAGTTTCTGCTGCAGGGTTCGAACCACATGCATCTATTTTAAAGTTCTTCTGGGTGAGTTTCCATCCAGTCTAATGAACATGCCTTCAAGCGGCTGCACCCAAGCGAGACGCAGGTCATTCGACCTGACCGCGAGGTCCTGAATGACCCAAGTCCTGCTGAACATTCAACTCACCTCTCACAAAACCCTCAGCCATATCTCCACAATCCGGCAATCCTCAGCTCGCAGTTACACCACCGATTTCCTCCAAATGAAGGCTTGCGACATTGTGACAGCGTGATGGGGAACCTTGGCGACTTGTCGCCAGAAGGAAGCGTAGCAGTAAAAATCCCTTCCTTGTACCTCGCATTTCAAGACATAAATAACCTGTTCTTAGATCGGCATCCTCGTCGGGCTGATATCTACGAGTGTCCAAAGTCTAGGCCTTACTCTACAACGAAAGTCCCATCTCCTAGAAGACGAGAAGGAAGACTACGATGTACGACGACCACCCTACAGACGGCGGCGATGGCAGCTTGGAATGGGAATGTTCATCATATCAAACTTGGTCGGGAGCACAATTCAGATAACGACATTACCTCTGCCCGTTCTTTCGACACTACAAGCATCAGGATTGGTCTTTAATTCCATATGCGCCACCGTCATTCTTGGGGAGCCTTTCACAAGGTGGTCTTTAGGAGGAACAGTTCTGGTTTCAAGTGGAGCGGTATTGATTGCAATTTTTGGAGCAATCCCAGAGCCGGCACATACTCTGGATCAGCTGCTGATTCTACTTGGTCGAAAGACGTTTGTGGTGTGGATGGTACTACAATTCCTCTTGGTGGTAGCTATCATCGCAATAGCAGGATTCCTCTCTCGAATTCCAAGCATATCCTCAAGTCCTCGAATACGACTCTTTCGAGGCCTAGCATACGGCTGTATCAGTGGCATATTATCAGCACATTCCCTACTTGTCGCCAAATCGGCAGTCGAGCTCATTGTCCGTACAATAGTTGACCGAGTCAACCAATTCAATCACTGGCAATCATGGGTGATTGTCCTCTCCTTAATCGTTCTCGCCCTCACACAACTCTATTACCTACACCGAGGCCTCAAATTGGTCTCTACCTCCGTCCTCTACCCTCTCGTCTTCTGCATCTACAACATAATAGCCATTCTCGATGGTCTCATCTACTTTAAGCAAACTGACCGCCTCTCACCTCTCGCCGGCGGACTCATTGCCCTCGGCACAGTCATCCTCCTTTCTGGGGTCTTAGCCCTTTCCTGGCGCCTCTCCGACGAACAAACACAACCAGCAGTTGCACAAAGTGCATTGGCCCCGGGTCTCGGCTTAGTGGAGGACACCGACAATGACGAGTATTCTGACTCGCTAGGCGCAGACGAAGAAGCAGCCATGGGAGCCGAGCATCAAGCTCTACTGAACGGGGAGCCAATGACTCCCAAAACGAAAATGGACACTGTCCTTGGAGCAACTCGCAATGTCCGAAAATCAGTCCGCTTAACAGAAGCAGACGAAATATGGGGCGAGCTCGAAGACGATGATACGAAATCCCCTTCTCCCTCCCGACCCCCTCGAAGCAGTTCCAACAGCCTCCCAGCTCCCGCCATAAGACCAGGAGACAGCGAAGGCGACATCCCAGATGAGACCACAGCGTTATTAAGACGAGATACCCTGGGAAGAAGGAAACGGCGACGCTCAACAGGATTTCCAGGCTTCACAGCCCGTCCTGTAAGAAGAAGAACAACACACTCCCAAGACGCCACAGGCGGCTTCTGGAAAATGAGATGGTGGAAAGATCGGAAAGGAAGCGGGAAAGGACCTCCCAACTCTCCGGGACCAAATCCTTCCAACAATGGTGGAGAGGGGCCTTCGACCTTATAGTTATACAAGAGGAGCATGTGTGTGTGTTATAGATAGACCTGTACTCTCATATCCGCCACGAGAACCGAATTTGCTGGCTCGGGCGTAGAACCATTCGTCTTCCTTTTGTTTGTTCGTTCGTTCGCATGGCGTTCTGGGTGGATGGAGGGCAGGCAGGGAGGATGGAGTTGTGATGTATGTATGAATGCTATCTACCTAGGATATGATGGATGGCCGTCGACTTGAGACTTTGAGAGGGTTGTGTGTGTGTATAAATGAATGAACCCTTAGTCTCACGTACATACTTTCTGTTCACATGATATCCAGTCCCCTGAGCAAGTTAACAAAGGCTTTCATCCCATCTTTCCTCGCTCTCAGCCCTATGTGCACACCTCTCTATCCATCATCAATCTAAAACTCACCCCTCCTCCTACCCTCCCTCACTTTAGTTACACAAGCAAACAAACAAACAAACAAACAAACAAACATCTAATCCCTCATCCAATCCACGGTCCACCTTTACCTTCATCCCATACCTCTCTCAATTCACGAACCCCAGCACCAAACAAACATTCACCCCTATCTCGGCAAAGAAAAACGTTGCCCCTTTTAACGACTACGCGCCGTCTCACCGCATAACAAAATAAAGTAAAAGCTGTACTGCAAGTGCCGCAATCCTACACCTACCTATCTGGATAGGGGAAGGGAAGGAAAGGGATAAGCTACATACATCCTGCAGGTGCGTGGCATGCACAGGCACAGGCACTATTACTATTCACACCGTGGTCAGAGAAATCCTTGATTTTTGAACGTCCAGTCCTAAGGGCTCGCGTGAATGGAGAAAGAAAGGATGAATTTACATGGAGGAAATATGAAAAAGAGAAGATTCCATGACATGAACCAATAGATGAGAATAATCACAGCAAGGCGTCACGCATCAAGACAAAGAGCAAAGAAAGGTAATTTAGTGATAGATCACCGCATTCACCTCGCCATATAGAGATGGCCAAGGGCCTATTTTACTGTACAGAGAGAGAGTAACACTGAACAACCCGCAACCATCCATCCCAACCGAGAGCAAGAGAACCCCTGACCACAGCATGATAGACTTGCTAGAGGTAGAGTTGAGCAAGAGCAAAGAACCCCCAGAAGACAATGTGAGAGCGACAGTTTGAACCCCTGTCACTAAATCACATGGTTACCCACCCCGTCGACGCTCAAATCACCCCCGCATGATCCCAGTCAAATAATCTCTCCCCAGAGAGATCAAAGAGAGGAAGATTATTCCATTATTCGCATTTAGGTTTCGCATTTTTGTAAAGAAGAGCAGAAAAAGGACGACGTTCTGTGCAAGGAAAGGAAACCCAGATGAATCGACACCAAACACCAATCGAACAAGTAACGTTTTGAGGTTCGAGACCCGCAAGACACGAATGGTATTATTGTGTCGGGTATCAGTGTTAAAGACTAGCTCGGCCCTCTTCCGTATACTAGGGATGCAGGATGTCAACTTATGCTTGATGCGAATGTTGTTGAGGAATACCCGCTTGAGGTGGCATTGGGTAACCGCCGGTTCCTTGTTGTTGCGCAACATAGTTTTGGTACGCCATGGCTTGTCTTTGTTGCTCCAGAGTCGGTGGCATATATCCTCCATGCATGTTTTGTGGTTGTTGAGGCATACGATTTTGTTGTGGGAGATGTTGCGGGGTAGGCTCCTCGGGCGAGTCTGCGGTGTTTTGATCGTCGACACCGTTCTCGCCATTCGAAGGAGGCTCTGGAGCATTAAGACAGGCCTAGCACAAGTTAGCGAATGTTCTTGTAAACAACGTAGATTCTCCACCATACCTGAATCAAGTTCTTACCCTCTGCCTTGGTGACAAGAGGTTGGAGTTTCGGTGTTGTGAAGGTATAGACCAGACCAGTCTCAGAGACAACGAGGAGAAGAACTTGTGTGCCAGTAAGGACTGAAAGCTCGTAGGCCTGGATGTAAACAATCAGTAGGGGTTCATTAATCAAAACGCGACAGTATTCACGCGCCGACGCGTGCGAAAACAGGATTGAAACGTACCTTCTTCATGATACCAGCCTTGCGCTTGGAGAAGGTGATATGTCGACGCGACTTGTCAGTGATGAACTTGATCTCGATCTTTCGGCGCTCGCGACCGGGCTTGTCATCATCATCATCGTCGTCGTCGGCCGTCGAGGGACGTTGGCGCTTGACACCGCGACTTTCAATTGAGTTGCCATTTCCGACAGCATGCTCATCAAGGGCAGAAGGCGAACCTTGGTCGTGTTGGTCGGTGATATCGGCCATGGTGATAAGGTCTTGTAAGGTATGACGAAAATGACTCTTTTGAGATACGTGCCGATGGCCTTACTGCTTATGGGGGGTGGAGGCTGTTGTCCTGCTTTGTCGCAGATACCTGGTCGCGAAAGACTGGATCGAGGATGGCGTGAAGGGAGGAACCGAGTAAATTCAGCCAACTGTTTGGATGTCGGCTGGATTGGACTGGAGGCGTTTGGCGACCGGTTAAGATAGGAAGATGTTCCTGGAAACCTGAATAACAAACAGTGGAATTAATGATTGATCAGGCAAGGTGAGGGCTGCGGTGCGGGTGCGGGATGACAGAAAGAAGAATAGATTGAGAAGCACAGGCGAATAACTGCAAGGAAAGATGAGCGGAGGCTGGGGCAGAGCAAAGCTTGGGCTGGGCTTGGACTTTTGGGGGGGGAGTTCGGCGGTGGACAGCGGTGGTGCGGTGCAGTGCGACTTGACTTCTTGAGGGCTGAGAGGGCTGCTGGAGAACTGTGGAGTGGGACTTGGCTTGGGTCGACCAGAGAGACAGAATGTGCGGTTGCGGACCTGTCTGCGGCCGAAGATTTGAAGGGCACAGGGATTGTTCGGAATTCTTCGCGGTGGTTGGCTCGATGTGTCTGCGATTTGATGACTGCACTTGCGCTCCGTTTTGATGTGACTGGATGGCCGAGAGTACCGAACCGGTCTTGTAGAGAAGTGGGCTGAAGGTAGTGGGTGCCTCTGCTGCTGGTGTTGCGATGCTGCGCCGAAGCTGTTGTGGTTCCTGTGGATAGAGATGTGGTACTGCAATTGCTTGCTCTGCCCTTCGCACGCTGCTGCTTTGGTGATCGTGCACCTTGTTTCTGCTGGGGTCGATGGTGGAGGAACGGAAGACCCCTCGGTACGCGGTGCTGGGTCTCTCTGCTGTGCTGTTTTGAGGCAGAAGGCAGAAGAAGGCTGGTGCGAGAGATGCAACCAACGGTAATGCGCTGAGTAGATTGAGGGCGCACGCGAGACCGAGCCCACGACCTCGACCTCGACATCGGACGAAGCCTCAATTAATAGCATCAACCACCCCCAGGGGCAGGCAAAGATTAGATTGGGAACGGGCTTGTGTGACTTCCCAATATACCCTCAATTAATCTGGACGAGGGGCTGCACTTGCGATACTGCACTTCGACCGAAGCAACTGCTTGCGATCGCGACTCGAACAAACCACAGCCGCACATGCGATTGTTTTGTTCGAAGTCGTCTCCCGATATCTCATCTGGCTCTCCTCGCCCCGAGCGGTAGAGGGGTCGCACACCATCCCGGTCAGGGGAGGTGATCGCCATAATGATACTCGATGAAGGAGACCTGCCCCATAAAGGGTTTGGGTCATTCAATGGTTGCTGCTGCCACAATTGTTTGTGCGCAAAGGCGACGGCAGTGTCGTGGTGCTGGAGGGGAAAGAAAGGTGCCAGTGCGACCGACGGACGGAGGTATGGGAGATCGCAAAGCAAAAGAACGACGACGTACGAACGTACCTGTCTTGTTTGCCGTCGGTCGTATGGGCGCACGCTGGGCTGGCACGTTAATTACTTTTCGGTCAAAATCGAATACTGGATCAGGATCTCGACCTCGAATCGAATTGCTTGTGCTGCTTTGCTGTCGCCGTGCAGGGATGAATTGGTTGCTCTCGGGTCTGTCTCGACGCGTTTCAATGCAAAAATCCAAAGGGCACCAGAAGAGGTTAATGGATTTCTGTTTCGAGAGGAAGTCGCCTTTTAAGAACCCTTCAGGGCAAGCTCGGATGGGGGGCGCTAAAATGAGTAAGCGTAAGGAACAACGATACGCCGATACCGGCACGTGATAATGGCTGCAGATAGACCAGGATGCGGTGGAGAGTGGGGCTGCGGCGGCCGCGAGTGCCGGAGTATTTAATACTTCTGGACAGAGGTGTCGAGGTCCAAGTTGAAAAAGATTGAGCGAATTCCAGTTCAGAAGCTTGAAACTAAATCCGATCTGATAAGTGAGTCTGATAGGTGAGCTATTTATGCTTGCCCTTCTCGATGTTTTCGTCTTGGCTTGTTCAGTCGAGTGAATAATGGAATGAAGGCCTGGTAGGGCTGTGTTCCTGGTAAGGCGTTTTGTGGGTGTGGGAAGATTCGGTGAACGGACTCTAACACTGTAAGAGACCGGGGCTTTCTTGTCGGCGCTATGAGATGCTCACCGACACGTCCAACAAAGCATATGTTTGATAAGCAAAGTCAAAGATATTGTGGGCTGGGACTGATAGTGATAGTGATAGTGAGTACTGGTCCATAGACTATGTAGACAATTAATGGGATAGGCAGAGTCTATGTTTCTCAAGTGAAGTAGCCATACGGATTCGGCAATTTTGACCCTCTCCACGCCCAATATTCACTTCGGCACTGGCCAAGGAATGAATTAGATCTCGGATTGAATATAATTAACTTCCCCGTATCTGTCCCGCTACACCCTGAAATCTTGTATCCGCAGAATCTTCAACAATAGCTTGGATCAGGTAAGTGAACTTGCTCGCTTCTTCTTCCTCCACACCGTAGTGAAAGCTTAATCTGGTTACCTTGAACGCCTTGCTCAAATCCTCGACAGAGCCATGACCATGCGATTCTCACCGCAATTCGAGGAATATTTATGCAAATCAATTTTTCCGTTGTCTATTTCTACCAGAATTCCCTTCAATCTTCCTCTTTTCGAGAGTACAATGGCCTGCAGTGTAACAAACAATGTCTACCGTTCCATTCTCCCTCCCGTTTCCTCAAATTTCCCGCCCCTTTCTAGACGAAGCCTCCCGAAACTTTAAGCAGCCACGCTGGTTTTGACACCTATATTACCCATATTAAGAGTAGTTCATCTCGAGTTGTTTCATTAATCTAAAACTCATTTGTCTACATTGTCGTCACTGTGCATTCTACTACACCGGCACCATTCACAACATCAATGCTCAGGTGCAAGTTCAATCCGAACCGGATCACGTGCCACGAAACATCTCACGTCTCTCTGTCTTCGTGCGTACCTCGTCGCCACAACGGCTTCCTGAACGACTTTTAGGAACACATCGAACCATTTCCACAATTCATAAGGCGAGCCTGCAACAGCCTTTGCCACGCCAAACGTATGCGACGTCCTTCGAATCGAGTGGTCCACGCAACCCCAGCGAAGATCACGTCCTCAATTAACCGAGAGCCCTAAATTTATCTTCCTCCTTTCCCATCCACCCATCCTCCTCTCCATCACGACGACATCTCGTGGTGTATTTCATCGGCGCCTCCTCCAAATGGGCCCAGGTAGCCGGCACTTCCTTCAGGACGGCCCTGAAACTGCGTACCTGATTGGCCCGTGCCTTTCGCTGTCGCGAGATTTTTGCCTCAGAGTGCGTGGATGAGGCAGGACCTGACACGCCTGCCGTCGCGGATCTCCCAATCCTTACAGATCTCAACGTCCGTAACGATGGGCCCATCGCCGCTGCACGGTCCCGGCCTCACAATGCAAGTGTTTCCTTATACTTTCTCTTTCTGCGTACCGTCTGTCCCTATTGTTTCTCGTTAGTCTTCAATTCAATTCGATTCTCTGTTGCGCCTTCCTCGAGTAAGGTTTGTTCTTCACTTAAGCGCTTTTCCCGGTCGAGGTTCTTTTTCGACGACACTCTCTTTCGCACGCCTGTTTTTTTGGGGAGGTTATTTGACGCCGGTCGTCGTTGAAAAAGGGTTACAGAACGAATACCAAGGAACGAGAAGTTAAGCCGCAGTCAAGATGAGGGACAACATTCTTATGACATATGTCCTCGTGGATTTGCTGTTCGTGGCCGCTGGAGGACTCCTCATCATCTTCGCCCTGGTCACCAAGTCAGAGATCAATGGTACACCTAACATCGACGATGTCGCCCACAACATCTTCTTTAGCATGTGCCCGTTGAACGGTTGGTTCTCCCTATTGTCAGGAAGGAATGGCGTGAAGTGCTGACAAAATACAGCTGCCATCGGAAACGCAGTCATGATCTTCTTCACTTTCTTAATGACCGTCCCAGCAATCGTTATGCCAATGACCAGAGGCTGGCTGAAGTTCGGAGGCTACATGACCGTCATCTGCGCCATCTTCACCATGGTCATTGGCCTCGACATCTGGTTCGAGACTCTCAAGGCTCGAAAGAACCTCGGGAACATCTGGAACACCCTACCCGCATCAACACAGAGTCTGCTGCAAACAAAGGTCCGCCGCCCCATTGTCCACCTGTTGTCTGAATCATTGCTGATGAATTGAAATAGTTCGATTGCTGCGGCTACGCCAACTCCACCTCCCCTCTTTTCGTCACCGATACGACCTGCCCGAATCCCCAAGCCGCTGCTGCTCAAGTCGGTTGCGTAGGCCCCTTCTCGAAAGAAGCGAACAGCTTCCTCGACATCATCTTCACGGGAGCATTCGGTATTGTCGGTATCGACGTTGCGTTGATCCTAGCTACCGCTATGCTGCTCAAGGACCGCAAGGAGAAGGAGAGATACCGTCACATTGATGAGAAGTCTGGTGCCGGTGCGTTTTAGAGGGGTAATGAAGGGTTTAGAGTTGTTTAGAGGGTTGAGAGGGGGGTTCGTTCAGTTCTGTATCTATTCAACATTGTGTAAGCGTTGCCTGCCGCCTTCTTTTCTAGCTAGGTCTAGTATAGAGTATAAACTGTTATGAACATCTTTAGTGCTTGAGTGTGTCTGTTGCTGTATCGTGTTTTGGGAGGAAATTGTTTGGTGTCCTGTCATCATCTCATATATTTGGGGCTCAGCCTTCAACCCATCTGATACTCGACAACTTGAATAATTCTACACAATAGAGCTGGGGTTGATTGTTGAGAGGTGTTTGTGTATAGTGAGTAATGGAGTGAGTTGTGCTGTGCTGTAGTAGAGATACGGAAGGGAAAGGGGAGAGCAGAATTCCGCTATTGTGCTCGAATGAACTGGTCCATTGCATTTTGTGCTGCCAGCGTATGTGAGAATATACTAGTTTATTCCTCGATGGAGAATTGGACAATTTATCCTTGTAAGTATCAAATAGATGATCGCGTTTATTTGCCTCGCAGATCGAAATGTGTACAGTAATACATTCGTTCTGCTACTGACAGCTCTATCATACAGGTTCTAGAGGTGTAGCAGACTCTTGGAAGCAATTCGGGTGTAGTGAATGAAAATCTCAGGAGTTGCAGCTGGGTAGCCTTCCTACCTAGCCTCTTGTATAGCTTGACGCACGAGGGAGAGAATAATAGGTTTGGGATTGAAATTCAGCCTTGATAACTTGCAATGCCAATTCGTTAAGAATTCACATATGCAAGAAATTGAAGTATGACATATGATTAACGGAGCAAATGCTGGCCATTGGTGATCATTGATCATCGTGCTCGGAGATTTTGCAATTCTTTCACAGTCATGTTGGTGTTCAAGTCAATCTTACAAAGATAAGAGGAGGCCCCACTTATATCGAGGCTGCAGTGTTCCGGATCGTGTTCAAGTCCAGCCTGAGAGTTGCTTAAACCTTGGCCTGAAAACAAGGACGGAGGCTAGGCATCAGCTACAGTACCGAAGTTTGTCGTTTCTACCGCCAAAACATTCTTCCATTGCATAAACGAGAGCGATTCCTTTCTCAAGTCACCACCTCGGTCCTTCTTCTTTGCACGCGTTCCTTATTGTTGAAAAGATGTGTATTCAGAATGGAATTTCTAGTAACGCCGCTTACAGGGTCGATTGATGCATGGAAAGCTCCATGCAGATCGGAATGCCCTATGCGCTTAGCTGTCGATGGGGGCCAATAGCTACCTGAACGCCCCGTTTCTGCAGCCTCGTCGAGCTCAAGGTGAGCTCAGGCGCCTTCCCTCTTCTTCATCGTGTTATCTATTCTCCAGTCTGTCTCCTTGTTCAAGCTCATGACCGAACATTTCGACACGTATTCAACAGCTTGCTACTACTTGAAAATAGCTCGAAGGAGCAGGATTTCTCCAAAGGCTGTTACTGGGCCTCATGCGCCAACGGCATTGACCGAGTATACGAGCCTGCCAATCTGGGCCAATCTCGACGGGTCGTACAGAGATGCAGAGTTACGGGGATGCCAGGGGGAGTAATGGACGTTTGGAGGACCTTAAAGTGGACAATTTCGATACGCAAGTTCAAGATGCTTCTGACAAGGCTTTCGAGCTGTCGCAGAGGGCTTCGGGATTCCTACGACGAGAGAAGATCCGTGCTCGTCTCGGTGAAGCTGTGTACAACAAAGGATGTCCTCAAGCAGAGCAATTCATAATTCCGCAAGATCTGCATGAAATATGGAGGCCGCAGATACTGAGAAACTTTCTAGGTGTCTTGGGCTACAGTGGAGAAGAAAACCTGGTTCAAACCGTACTGGATCATTTGATAAAGACAATCTCGATACTGGTATACATCAGATGGGAAGAGTGGTCAAGGTTCGAGTCTATATTTTTCCCTAACGGTTGGGGAAAGCCTGTCCGCGAAGACAGAACGGATGCAAGGATACCTTACCCCGATATTATCCTCGAGGAAGATCAGTTTTTAGGGAGTGGAGACGCTGCTGCGTCGGACTTTTTCAATCATCAGAACGTGTACATTCCCAAGATCATCGAACAGGGAAAGAGGATTCTCATTCCAAAGACTACTCCTCTCCCATTCATCAAGAAACAACAAGAGAAGATAGCAGTGGGAGGGTATGGAGTTGTGACCAAGGAGGTCATTGCAAAACATCACTTCCGCCCGAAATCAAAGTTTGGCTCTGATCCGATAAAGGTGAGTGAACACTTCTCCTTCAACTGCTTCGATATTAAACTTATATATAGCGGGAATTTGCCGTAGCTTGCAAAAAGTTTCAAACCAGGGGAGATTTCAGAGCAGAAGCCAAGAACCTAGACAATCTAGCTTCAGCCCTCTCTAAACATGAACGGCTTGTCAAACACATTGCATTCATCACTATCGGAGATGTACATGATCCAGGGGCCACTAAAGAATTCAATATTCTTCTTCCAATGGCTGACACTGATCTCAAAAGGTTGTTATACCTGGAACAGTACAGTCCACAATGTAGTGACGTTGTCGAACTTGTCAAAGAAGCATCTAAAGTCTTCGATGCTCTTGCCTGGCTACATCAAGGTCAAATGGTGGAGGATAAGATGCAGGTCTTCTGTCACATGGACTTGAAACCTGCTAACATTCTCGTCTACGAAATTGGAGAATACAAGTTTCCCGCAGGTTGTTGGATGATCTCGGATTTTGGCATATCATCAATGACAGAACGCCACCAGAATACCCAGTTTCTCAATACATTTGAGAAATCTCCTGCAGGGACTCTGGCATCAATCCTCGGGGCAGATTCCGTCTTGACCAGTAGGAAGCGAGAGCCTGGAATTTATTCAGCCCCAGAGGCCCACAAACTTAATGGCAAGATCGGTCCTGCGAGCGACGTCTGGTCTCTTGGTTGTATCCTCTTTCAGGTGCTTCTCAGGGGTGTCGGCGGAAGTGAGGGTATTGCAGACTTGGTAAAGTATGACGAGAAGAGGCGTTCCAAGGAGCATGACCATTTTTGCCAACACACAGATGGCGAGGCACACCTCCATCCTGCTATAGAAAGGTGGCTTGAGAGCACTCACCTTCCAGGTCACATTGCAATACAGGACCAGAAGATGATCATGGAATGCAAGAATGTTATCAAACAGGCTCTGATCGTCGATCCAGACAAAAGAGCGACAGCGGCAAACCTCCGAGACAGACTGTTGCTTATTTGCGAACGGGAAGAAATCTCTAACGAGAGCGTGGCTGGGTCTCCTATCACTTCAAAACCCCCTTTCCCCATGGAGACGTCAAGTGCGATGCCATTACCAGATCGGACGACCACCAACTTCCAACCTACTCAGCCCAATCCATTGGAAGAGACAAAAGACCTTCGTCTACAGCAGCCCGAATCAAGCGCTCAACCTTCTCAGGTAGCTGCGGCAGCGTTTACACTGCCACCTAAAAGCTTCTCTCCAGCACCAACAGCAGCTCCACCAACTCCCCCGGACGACCATCATATTGCCCACGATCTTGATACCACAGATAAGCTGAAGCATGACACCACAGGGAACAATCCATCCACCCAACCAGAGAATGATATTCCACGAAAACAGGCAAAGCTTCAGCCTCTAATTCCAGACCGAGTGTCATCTCATACAAGAGAGACAGCGCTCCCAGTGTCAAAAGAATCTACTCCGGCAGTCATCGAGCCTCCACCTACCTTTCCCAGAGAAAGTGTACGATCAGTTGATATTGGTCCTTTTGAGACTAGACATCGAAGCTCGTATCCTACATCCAACTCAACGGTTCAAGCTAAGCCGGCTGACTTGGAACAAGGACGCTCAGTATCGGTATCTCGAGGTCGTCCATCGTCCGCCCAAAATCTGACAATACCTCCGTCTGCTTCTCCAGTTGAAGAATTGCAGCTCGTACAAAGCACAGGCACACTACCGGGCAAGTCATCTAACGGACAGATGAAAGACAGTGCATCCAAGAAACCTCGCAAGTTGTCCCCGTTGGGTCTTGCCATGATGAGATTTACAGGGGCCACAGAGAAGAATCGCAGTCTCTCTCTTCCATCACTGAACACTTCCGCAAGTCAAGAGGATAAGAATATGGCGTTTCAAACACAAGAACCTTCTTTTACACCTCATCATCGACCCACAAATAAATCGACTTTATCAGACTCATTGGTGCTGTCCTCCCAGAACTCCAGGCCTTACGTCCCGCCTTACGCCGAGTCCTTAAACTCTTCACAAGATGCAGCAAATGACGACAAGGATGCATCATATGACCGAGATACTTCTCTGTGTGGCCCCAATGTACCATCCACGTTTCCAGTCCAAGGCGAAGATGGTCGAGCTAGCACAAGCGCAGAAAGAACTTCGCAACCGGAACAGGCTCCTCTTCCCGTGACGAATTGGACACAGATTAGTAACAAGCAGCAGTCGGCTAGGAGCCGATCATACAACCGAGACCCTTCTCGACGTGGCCTTAGTGTACCATCAGTCGAAGACAAAGATGGTCAAGCCAGCACAAGCTCAGAAGCAACATCTGGACCGCAACAAAAACCGCTTGATATGACGCATTGGCACGAGCTTCATATCACGCAGCAGTTAGCTAGAAGCCGCTCTGGTCATTCTGTTCCATCTGTGCACGTGGGCGAAACAAATCCTCATAACTTCTTGAACATATCGAGAAGCACGAGAATGACCCTAGTCTCGTCTACGGCCGCTATGATTGCATTCGTTGCCCCAAGCCGCGTCGATATAGCTACCCTATATGAACCGAATTGTCAGAGCTATATTGCAGCTCCCAGTGATGTGGCTTGGGAGACAGGAAGATTGGCTGGCAATTATTTGGCTGTCCGAGGGTACTGTCGACCATCAAAAGATTGGGTATGCACTTTCACCAATACCGTTCTTCATTTGCTGATGTCTTGCAGATCCTTCATTTGTACCAGTTGAAGCTGTCTGCTTCAAGTGAGCCCCCTTATATTCAACCAGTACTTAATTACTTCAAGAAGGAGCATGGCAGGCTCCCACCTTACGAAAAGTTTGATGTGTCCCGAGACGGGCAACTTCTCCTAGGTGGGCTCGGCAAAATTTATCTTGCAAACAAACTGTAAGAGCGCGCTGTGTCCTATCCACTAGTCTACTGCTAATATGACGTGAAGTCATGAGGAACCATTTGAGCTCGAGCCAAACTTAGAGGATAAGTTCAACCTTCAACGAGTCTGGTTCAGTACAAGCGGGACAATTGCTTTCGCTTGGTCTTCTGGGCCGAAGAATAGGCACCGTGTGAATTGGTGGCAAGTAAATGACATCCAACGTTATGGTCGTTTGAAATATCAGGACGTAAGTATGAATCATACGCGGCCTTGAATACAAACTTACAAATTCACGTAGTCTGACGGTACGGTGACGGCATCCACGATCAAAGTCATTCATTTTCCCAAAAAGCCTCTTTGTCTTCTATGGCAGGATCATCATATTCACCTACTCCAGGACCCAGAAAAGCCACCCGCTTTTCAGATACCTCCATTACCACTGGCCAATCTTCAGGCAGTCGTCGTGACTCCCGATGAACACCACGTTGTCTTCATTAGATCATCAAACACAACTATTTTCAGAAAACCAGTCTCTAAGATATGCTTTTGTCGTATCAAGAAAATCGGAGATTTCTTCTACCTCGACGATTGGAGCAATCCAGAGTCATTGACGCATCACATCAAACAACATGAAAAGTGCGATGTAGTGATTGAAGAGTACGAAGGTTCGAAGAACACTATCAAAGTCTTGATTGCTCAGTGCGATGGTACATTTGAGGTTTCAAAGATCAATCTACAAAGTTGAGCAGGCACTCATGTATCCTCCGATTCTCCACCAACGGACGCTTGTCTCCGACGATCTACCCTCTTTTGCTTTTGTCTTCTGCGTGCGACGAACATCCATGATCCAACAGTAACGAATGTTAATGGAATTGTGATAAGGAGAAATACCCAGAATTGTCTGGACACTTTAAATCCAGAACCCGGAGATGTTTGAAATGTGAAGAGATTCATTCCTAAGAGAGACTTGGTACATTCCGTCAGTTTCATCTTCTTCGGATTAGAGGTAAGCACGTACTGTTACGAAGGAAGCTGGCAGGTATATTAACGTGACAACAGTGACCACACGCACCGTTGCAGAGTCATCCACTGTGTCTTTGGTCAGGCTGAAGATGTTTCGATTGATCGACAAAGCGGTAGATTGGCCTCTCAGATTGAGAGCTACTGCCAACTATGATGAAACTGTCAGTCAGACGAGGATCTTTCATTCTCTGGACATTCCGCTTACCAAGCCTACAGTCTCCTGTATTTTCTTTTCAAGGAGCGCTACAGTTGCTAGATGTCCTTCGGCATGAGCTTCATATGTTTTAAGCTCATCCAGAATCTTGACGGAATGACGTTCGGTATATAATGTCTTTCTGCGTAATGTTTCATAAAGCGTTTTCAACGCGGTAACAGTCCCAATGGTAGAACGTAAACGGGGAGTTATTGGCGAGATCTTCATCAGCAGTGCGTGCAGACGTTGCATGATTTCTGTACCTTTCGTATGGTCTCCAGTGACAGAGAAGTCGTAGGATATAGCAATAGCAGCCTGCATTAATGTTAACGAATTTTGCTTGAGAGTTGTCTTCATTGGCCAAACTTGCCATCAACTCAACTTCTCCATTCAGGTATTTGAGATACCAGCGCCAATCATCAAAGTAGGAAGATAGAATCAAGATGTGTGTCATCTCCCATTCATCCAAAGAGCCGCTCCTTCCTTCCCACTCCAACGCACAGTCCTGCAGACGTGTGTGAACGGTTGAATCTGGTCTTGGATGAAGAAGGATCCAGATATTGCCAGATCCATTGGGCACATGACGATGATAGACACCTGTTTGTCTGATAGCCCATGTGCTACTGCTCTTACCAACAATCTCTTCTGCATAGCTGAACCGATACTGTATTTCTAGATTGATGTTCAAAACATTTCCGGACAATGGCATGATTTGAGACTTACCATAGGAGCCATCAGGAAAATTCTTGATGCTCAAGTTCCCCGGCCCTGCTTCCGACTCATTCTTTCTGGTGGCAAACGAGAACAGCAGATCAAGGAATTGTGAACCAACATTATGATGATTGAGTATGGAATATACACCAGCTTCTGTGATTTTAAGAGGTCGAATGGAGTTTATTGCAGCAATGGATCTTGTTTGGTCAGCAGGTCTCGCTTGTTCCTTCATGGGTTGTACAATCTCACATGAATCTTGTGTGAAAATCATTTCTCTCTGAAAGATACTCATCGAGATCCGAACAATTGCTCACTGTTCTACGACGAGTGTGCATCCCATGCTCATCAGGGCAACCTAGTCGTTGGTCAGCAAAGCCCTGGTAGCTCCTTCCAGATTGAGAAAAGTTTTTATTGTACTCAAGATATTCAACACATCGACTTGCATTTTCTCTTCTGCCGCAAACAACCCTTTCTTCTCCACCTGCAAACGCCTCGATCTACCCTCGACATTGTTCGTGAACAAGCTGTCGCCTTTCACGTAGTCGGCCCAAGTGTCGAAGATCGTGGCAGCGCTGTCGCGGTGCAACAAGCTCTTCTCATCCGCGATGTCCATTCTCACGGGGTAAACTTACGATAGAAGCAGCAATACAACATCTACAAATGCATCTTTGACCTTATCTAGCACTTCCTTTTCGCCTCAATGTGGCTCTGCTACCATACTCGGCCGATCCTCAAAGACAACACACACACAGCGGTCTGGACAGGCGTCACCTGATTTTACATGTCTTCCAATTGTTCGTGGCTTTTGCATAGCCTTCACACCAGATGCAAGTGCATCGGGGGTAAGGCCAAATTCGATTATCGCAACGCTATCCTATGGAATGAGAACTTCAATAGCCGTCTGCAATGCACTCCTCTCAGCCATCGCTGCGGCACAGCGCCTGCATGTTCTCCAGAGCCTGACGCCCCAATGGCGCTAACAGAGCCTCGCCATGCCCATCTTATCCTGTTGTGGGACGGCCTTGGTCGCTCACTGATCTGTTGAAACGTTGATGTTAGCAAGCTTCAAATGTCCAGCCTGCTCCTGTGTGTAGCTTTGTGGATGTTCCAGGCAGCTCTGAGCGTAATACGTACTCGATCTCGTCCTAAGCTGGTCAGTTCGAGTGATGCGAGCTTGGTGGGATTCTCAAGTGCATACCTCTGTGAGAAGGCGTGGAGCCTTGAACACAAAGACTTCATTCCTCTCCTTGGCATGCATAGTCAGTCATGTTGTATACAAGCATCTGATTATGACCGGGGCTGATGAGGCTCGGAGATGCTTACAACAATAGCGATAGGTCGCCTGAAGAGCTTTTTCAAGAGATCTTCTAGTTTTTTCCGGTCGACGTAGTGCGCCTGAGCGGGCAATATCGTGTTTTCGACTAGAGGCATCGCGGCGGTACGTTGAATGGTGTGATGCGGGTCGGTTGATGCTTTGGAAAACTATGAGGATGGTCAGTGGAGAGGGACCGCCCACCGAGAAGCTATATACCGGGCGACATGTGGGACAAGCGTGGGGTCCTAAATTGTGCTACCAATAGACGCCTCTCTGAAAGCAGTATTGCTGCTTTTTTGATGCAGACAGCCATCACGCTGGCCTTGTCGGACTAGCACATGTTGGGGCCGAAATGGAGTGTGCCTGCATGTAAACCTTGGTACGGGGTAGCATTCTCGTAGCCTCACTTTGATACTCAGTAAGCAGCCGGGTGAGTGTTTCCAGCCTCATTTTGAAGTCTTTCAATACGAGACGTCTGTTCCTCCCTTCGAAAGATTTTTCTCTGCAGAGCATTCATCATGTCGCAGTCTTTCAAAGAATTCGCCTTGGGAGGCAGTCCGAGCATCACGGAGAGCGAGATGCCTCCACGAGCAAAGTCCTTGAACTTTGAAGGCAATGATAATTCACAGCCTTACACGACAAGGAATCATCATAGAGTTTAGTCAGTATTACCACTTCCCTAGACAAGATCATAGACTGACTTGTTTGCTGTTGACAGTAAGCACTTGAACCAGTGGCATATTCTCGTTCGTTTTCTCCCTCGAATTACTATATGAACGTGGCTGATGAAGTACCTAATAGTTGATTACGATTAGCGGAGTTATTGGAATGGGTCTCTTTGCCAACAGTGGCGAGATTCTCAGAATAGCTGGACCGATGGGTGGCATAACGGCCTACCTTATTGTTGGCATATTCGTCATTTGTGTGATGGAATGTATTGCGGAGATGGTTGGTCACTGGCCTATTGCAAATTGCATGTTCGAGTTCGTTGCCAAATTTGTGGATAAAGACTTGGCTGTAGTTGTTGGTATTGCTTATTGGTATGTGTCTGTTCACAGCATTTCTCCTCCACGTTCTGCTAGGTTGTCGTTCGTGTAGCACTCATCGAGGTATCTCGTTCTGGCTACAACCCAGAACATTCATCAAAGCCAACCAAGTATCTAGACTCCGGTAGGGACTAACTTTGTTAGGTACTGCTATGCAATTGGCTTTGCTACCTTGATCGTTGTTGCCGCAAACCTGGCAAGCTTCTGGACCTGGTCAAGCACCATACAGGACTTGATCTTCACAGTGGGTATAATGGCAATACTAATAGCAATCAACTGCCTTGGTGTGCTCTGGTATGCTAGAGTAGAGAGTGTACTAGGCTGGATGAAGATCTTGCTGGTCGTTGGCTCTTTCTTGACCATGCTCGGTATCAATCTTTCAGGTAAGACGGGACTCGGAAGAATTTGTGATCGTTACTAATGTATCAGATACTGGTGCGGACACGCCTAATGGCAGGATAGGGAAATCAAGTGAGCTGCTTCTCAATTTTGATTGTTGTTATAATTGTTGACTTGCTATTTAGACATCGATGATGGCTATCAACACGATCCAAATGTTGCCAGGAACACCGGAGTCGCCGTCCTGTACGTATTGTGGCAAGCTCCAATCTACAATCACTGACCAATGCTACAGAGTCGCCATCCCTATTGCAGCATATGCATATTGCGGTGTCGAAATCGTAGCCGTCACCGCACTCGAAGCTAAAAATGAGCAGTCATTGAAGTTTCCTGCGAAGTGGATAGCCTGGATCACCACCTTAGCCTACGTCATAAGTGTAATTGGGTTCTACTTGAATGTGAGCTGGCTAGATGTCGCGCTCCCAATCATGGAAGGACGAAAGAACGAGATGTCCAACAACACAATAACAACTCCGTCAAACTCGACAACCATGCAAAACACTGCTCTGGTTATCATTGCTACTCTGGAAGCAAAAGTACCTGCATTACCAAGTATTCTTAACATTGGTCTCATTATTGCGGTGCTAAGTACTTCAAATACGTGCCTTTACGTTGCTTCACGGACACTCTTTGGCCTTACTCGAAAAATCGATAAAAATGATCCAATCTGGGGATGGATGTTAAGATTCAGTCGAACGACTCCTAGGACGAGAATCCCTGCTTTTGCTCTGTTGTTCTCGGCGTTGTCGTTCTGCTGGGTTCCGTTCTTGCGTTTTAGCAAGAGTCTCACCAACCAGGAAGTAAATTTTCACTCTACCCGGTATTGTGTTACCTGTTTCTGACACTTTCAATAGCTTCAGGAAATCATGAGCGCAATAGCAACTGTTGGTGTGGTTATTGTCTGGGCTGCGCTTTGTGCTGCTTTCATTCGATATCGTTGGTGGTAAGCGAAGTTAACTTTCAGTCAAGTGGTGTATACATGTTAATATTTTGACAGGTTGAAGATGTGGGAGGGGGAACTGGTCGGTCGTTATAAAGAATATAACTACTGGCTGATAGAGAATAATACTGTCCCTTTCAGAACGGTTCTTGGCGGATACCAACCTGCTCCTGCTTGGATAGGTCTTATTTCGTGTATCTTGATCATCCTCGTCTTTTCCACTGCTAGTTGGTGGGATAACGAAGAGAAGGGCGACGCGGTTGTTGCTGCGTTGGCTGGGGTATGTGGCACTCAAATCTATCCTTGCTCCTTTAGGTGACTGACTTAGTATAGCCATTGATCCTGTTCGGCATTTGGGGTGTTCGGAAAGGTTTCAAATGGCGCAGTGGTCGCGTAGAGTGGTATGTAAAACTGGGTACTTGGGAGGAACTTAAGAAAGTTCTGGACCTACTGCGAGGATCAAGAGAGAGCGACGACAATAATGATGACCCAGCAACCGACCAGCCCGTTCAACAAGAACATTCAGTGGCATCACCGTCATGGAGAGCACCTAATTTCCCCAATTTACCCACGTGGTTAGGTGGGGGCGGGAACGTGTTCACACCACTCTCTGACCAGGATCCAGTCCACGATTTCTATCGTGGAAATAACAGTGGAAATGTATCACCGGCTACTAGACCCGCGTACGGATCCTTAGGCATCCACGACCCGAACGGCTTCGAATTGGTTCACAATCCCTCACATGGATCCGAAGCAGGACATACAAGAGCCTCTGACCTATACAGGGTCTCGATTCCAGGTTCCCCGAGACGAAAGCCTGTACCTAGTACAGGCTCCATTTCTGTTCACAGTGAACTGAACTTGGGCGACTCAATGCAACGACTAAGCCCACCAACGTCAGCAGCAAATTACACGCAATTCAACTCAGCGAGAAGCCTGTCCCTCGCAGATATCTCACCTGCGGTATCGACAAGAAGGAGTAGCAATACGCTACTTCCTCCTGAACGCAGCGATTTCTTGGGACCTGGGCTGTCGAGACCGGCTCTGGTTGATGAGCGAGATCTTTCTCCGCAGGATAGTATGAGGAGAGTGGTCTGGGGACAGCAGTTGACGCCACAGTCACCAGGGGAGCGGATCTCAAGAAAAGCTGTCAGTGAACCTGATACGGGACCCATGCGTACAGGAGACAGGCAGAGATTGCAGAGGTCGAGGGAGAGGGAAGGATTAAGGGATGAGGCGCTGAGGGAGGGATCGATTCCTGCTCCTCCGGCTCAGTATCAGCCTAGGGGTTCTGGCGATATCGTTGATGAGGCTTTGGAGTAATGGGAATGGATCAAATTGTTACCGGAAGATTGATATATCCGAGCATTGGCGTCTTGGTTTAGCTATTATCAATCTTTTCTTTCTCTTTCGAAATATCCTCAGAATATTAGGGCAATAGAACTTCTCAAGGCAAAACCTCCCCTCCCTTCCAATCCCAACACCTCCCCCTCCCCTCGATGCCCACCCCCCTCATAACCTCCAACATCTTCTCCACCGCAAACCCCACCTCAAACAGTTTCCCCTCCTCCACATTCCCCCAAAACTCCCTACTAAGCCCCGTCTTCACCGTCCCCGGATGATACGCTATCGCCATCGCCTTCTCCCCCGCTCTGGCCGCCAAATACAAATCCAGACTCTTCGTAAACGAATTAACCCCTGCTTTGGACGCGCGATACGAATACCAGCCTCCCAATCGGTTATCGGTCGTCGAGCCGACGCGCGCGGACATGTTGAGCCAGGTTGCGTGGGGTGGGAGGCCTGGTGATGAGGGGGAGGGGAGGGAGGTTGATTTCTTGGGGAGGAAGGGGGAGAAGTGTTTGGAGAGGAGCATGGGGGCTATTGTGTTGATTGCGAAGGTTTGGAGGAGGTGAGAGTGCGTGAGTTGGCTGGGTGATTTTTCGGGGTGCAGGATGCCGGGGATGCAGAAGGAGAGGTGGAGGTGGTGGTTTGAGGATGGTGGGAAGAGGGAGGCGGCTTTTTGGGCGGCGGCGGAGATTGTTGCTTCATCTTGGATTTTGTGAGTTGGAAGAAGGGAAATGAGGGGAATGAGGGTGGGTTATTACCGGTGACGTCTACTTCTAGTACTATGAGACGAGAGGGATCAACGTCTTTGAGGTCTGATAATATGTTCTTTTTCACGCTCGTGATGTCTTTTCTAGCTGTTGCTACGACGGGGATTGTAGTTGTGAGGAGTAATTGTCGTGTTAATTCGAAGCCGATTCCTCGACTTGCCGGACAGATTAATGACCATGCCATCTTGGATCGCTATATGAGAAGGATTCATACCCAGTGTGAATTAGGAATGTGAGGGTTGAGAGTGAAGATTGATATTGAGGGACTTCAATGACAACATGAACAGGGATCTTTGATCGTCGGAACCCTGGTCTAGAGACACTAAATGCGGGAGCCTTCCCGCTTCGACGATAGTTCGTGGAAGGGTGGACTTCGAGCTGCAATTTTGAGCTTGTAGTTCCAGAGAAGGGCTGTCGTATTTAAGAAGCCCAAGAATAGACAGGGTTTGACAGTACAAGTAAAATGGAGTGTCTGTGGATACTTAGGAGATGTGACACCGCTTTTCCGGTGATCCAAAAGAGACCTCCAAGCCACTTGGCTCTTGAGCAGCAATTTTCTGGCTGAAATTGATTTCCAACGCTGACACTATTGTCATTTACACACACAACATAGTATAACTACAAGGCAAGCCAGACACCATGCCGTCTAGAATGTAATGCAGCGATCGAAGGCAGAACTTAGGTATATTGTAGCAAAACACGCAATTATAGAGCAACGTCTTGGAAACTCGAATGACCAGGTGTCTGAGAACCAGACCCATTTCCTTCTTCGGCAGTTTCCCTCCCCTTTTCTTCTGGCTCGTCTGGTTCGTCTGAGTCTTCAGATGCAGGTGCTGCTGGCCGAAGTGCTACCTTGTGCTGATCTCTGTCTTCAACTCTGACTTTCTGCTCGTCTGGAATAGCTGTCTTTTCTTTTTCCTCTTCCTCATCTCCCTCCTCTTCGCTGTCCTCCTCCTCCTGGTTAGGGACATCCTTGGCTGGTGGCGTGGGAGGAATTGCTTGACTCGAACCATTCGTTTGTCCATTGGCCGGAGGACTGGTGGGAGGCGATTTTGGTTGTTCAGTTGGTGGTGCCTGTTGTGGGATTTCGGCTTGTGCAATTTGACGTTGTCTCGGATCAGCATCAAGATAATATTGTCTGACTCCCACGATCCGTCCACCTCGCTCACAGCCTTCAACCCATTCTGGTCTTACGACTGGAATATTCATCTCGACGGCCTTCTCCCAGTCTATGCCTCTTCCTTCTGTGGTGACGAAATGTGTAGTGTCAATCCTGACTGAAGGTGCAATCTTTGCTCCTATTCTCTCAATTGCCTTCGTGAGACTCTCTTTGAGTTGCGAAGGCAAGATACCAGGCGTGACTGTGATACCACTCAGATCCGTCATCTTGTGCGTCTTGACAACCACCTTCTCACTGCTGTATGTACCGGCACTCGTTCTCAACACCAAGTGAAATGTGTATTCCGTATCAACTGCCAAGCCACTGATCTTCGTGCTCTGCATTTGTGTTGGTCTTGGAATATTGCCCGCCTTCTGCCCGTTGCGGAAAAGGGACAGTGATATACATTCTGCAGTTGCCGTTTCAATTGGGTCCCATTCGAGGACTACAGATGTTTGGGTCGCATTTCTGCATCGGAGGACTGGCGCAGCAGGTTCGCTTTCACCAAACGAGGAGTAGATGGCATCTTGGAGAGCGTGGAAAGCAGCTTGGGATTTCTGCTCGGAGGCGACGTTGCGGGCGACAGTAATATCGACTATACTGCCCGAGGAGATATTAGGAGGGAGGAGAATCGAGGGAAATTCAATCTAGATGAGGTGTTAGAGGTATGATCGTGTGCAGGGACATTGTTGAGTTTGAGAATGGAAACTTACAAGTCTTTTGTCCTGAGTTAGGAGGACGGCGACGCCTGCATCGACCTTGCCGACGGTCAGTGAGATCAGCATCTTTGGTCTCTAATGTGAGGTTCGGAGTGTTCGAGAGTCAATACGTTGCGATAACTTTCAAGCTTGCGAACGCGACGAAGCTCGGACCCGCTGTGTGCTCTTGATTGGTCAAAATGCAAGGCTGGCAAATGGTGAGACCATGAATGAAATTGAGTGAACAGTTAACAGTCGCTGACATACAAATAGAGCTTAAATTGTAGTGGAATTTTATGAGCTTTGATATCTAAAAATCGCTCTTTCTGTTCTTACACCTGGGTTTGGTCCACGTCCTTGTGATCCCCGCTTATATACACCTTTAGTATGTACATCTGTAGCCTCGTGGCCATTCGCCTTCTGCCATCGATCCCTAGAATTCACCCAGATCATATGCTTGACTGCAGCATCCGTCTGCTCAATCAAAGCATCATTGTTTATCTTCAAGATTGGTGGCGTTGCTCCAAGCATAGCCGTCCCGATCATCGGTTGTCTCCTCCTCGAACCAGGTAACGTGGATCCATCTGGTGCGAATCCCTCTTTCCACAATGATTCCGTGAAAGCGTTTCTCAACCTTCTTGCACACCAGCTCCGTACCGTTCTCTTTCCAACAGCCATGTGTGAGAGGGCAGACCACCATAAAGAGTCTGTTCGTTCAGCCCAACGTTTGAGATGTATTGAGGACAAGATCGCACTTTGGACTTGCGAGTTCTCTGTCCATCTCATTGCATTGAGGGTGTAGCAATGCTCAGCTCTGAATTTGAGGCTTATGGCTGCTTCTCCTTTACGGACTTTTGGCGTGAAATTCAGCAAGGCATGGTAATCGAGGATTGTGTTTCCTTTGTTTGAAGCCTTTGGGCGAAGAGCTGCCGGTAATGTTGTCCGTCTCGACATGGTAAGGACTGGAAGGAATATTATGACAAATTAAAGAGGGTCTTGGTAGTCATAATGAGCCATAGCTGCTCACGCAGATTGGCGCAGCATCGAGGACGTTTCGAGGACTCTAATGAGTAACAATCGTATTGCAAACTCGACCAGTTTTCTCGCTTGGAAACAAAGGAGCCCAAACACTTTAGCGGCGATCCGCATGTGACGCACAAGCCTAAAGTCCACCCCGCCAACAATCCACCAGTCCATTTCACAACCACAACAACTTAAAAGCCCGCCACAACTCTCAGCGGACTTATCCAAATAACTTCAACTTCTCCAACAGACATTCAACAACTACGCCGCAAGCCTACACAGTAACTCAGTCACCATGCCTAAGAATAAGGGAAAGGTAAGCGCCCAAGACCTCGCCACGGCGCAGAGCGCAACAAAGGCACAAAGCTGACCACATCCACAAACAGGGAGGAAAGAATCGTCGTCGTGGAAAGAACGAGAACGACAACGAAAAGCGTGAACTCACATTCAAGGAAGAAGGCCAAGGTACCATCTGCCCTCTGTGAAAAAACCCGCCGAACACGCCTGCTAACCTACTCTCTCTCTGTCCAGAATATGCTCAAGTCCTCAAGATGCTCGGAAACGGCCGTCTCGAAGCCCTGTGTTTCGACGGCTCCAAACGCCTCGCACATATCCGTGGTAAACTCCGCAAGAAGGTCTGGATCAACCAGGGCGATATCATCCTCCTCTCGCTCCGCGACTACCAAGACGAGAAGGGAGACGTGATCTTGAAGTACAGCGCCGACGAGGCGAGATCGCTCAAGGCGTATGGAGAATTGCCCGAATCTGCGAAGATCAACGAGACGGATACCTACGGACAAGAGGGCGACGGAGACTGTAATTTCGAGTTCGACGAGGACCGGAGTGAGAGCGATGATGATGAGGAGGGCGGAAAGGGCAAGGAGGTCGATGTTGATGAGATCTAGAGGGTCTGGGGTGTAAGACTGTCTTCTCTCTCAATCTCGTGGATGCAACGCAGAGTCAAGATCTAGACTTACGGGCCCATCCTGAGAACCTCGACAGCAATTTTACTTTGTTACTCGACTGGTTAATGGATTGCAGTGGGAGAGACGTTGCGATCCATTGGCTAGGACTTTTTCTTTCAGATGTTTTTTTGTTTTCCGAGTTGTCTTGATACTTGCGGTCATGGTCATTGGGCATTGACGGCTTTGCATCAAGCATCCTACATAGACTAGAATACACGCAATGCATTTACATATCTTCACAGTCTTCAGGCACTTTTGTGAACTCTTGCGTTGATTATATTCAACTATAACCACATTACCTAACTCCACGAGCGAAATGCCTTGACGATTTCTAACCACCGAGTCAAGAACAAGTCGCTAACTTCACAACGCCGCTTGCACCAAAAGGTCTTCATCAGAATATAAACCTTTTTCTAATCCCAATCATCGTTGTCTCCTTCATCATCTGTACACAGTCAGTATTTTGAGTAGACCCAGAATTTGAGGATACAACTTACCACTAGCACTGACTTTCTGCTTCCGCTTGTTCAAAGCAGCCGCTAAAGCATCAGCCAACCCACCGCCTCCACCACCAGATGCCCCAGCAGGAGGCAATCCGCTACCAGCAGGTCCTGTGTCAGCACCGCCAGGAACTATAGCTGCACTTCTATCCCTGACCAAACTCTTGTCGACTTTCTTAAGAGCTCCGATTCCACCAGCCTTTTGAATACCAGCCAATAAGTCTGCTCGCTCGCCTGTGGGAGCTGGTATGGCTGGTACACCTGATTGATAGCCTGAATCTCGGTTTGGTGGTGGGGGAGGAGGAGCAGGTGGTCCTCCAAAAGATGGTGGGGGTGGTGGAGGAGCGGGAGGGCCATTGGAAGACGGCATTGGCGGAGGAGGAGGTGGGGGAGGAGCATTTGATTGGGGGAGAGGCGGAGGTGGGGGTGCACTGGACTGAGGTAATGGCGGGGGAGGAGGTGCACTTGATTGCGGCAAAGGAGGAGGTGGCGGGGGCCCGGAATCTCTCGAAGGAGGTGGAGGAACTGGCCGACTTGATGCAGGCGGTAGAGGAGGAGCATAGGATGTAGGCGCTGAGGGTGTCTTCGGAGGCAATGGAGGCGGAGGCAATCCGCTTGGAGGTACCGCATGAGAATAAGAGTTCGAAGTATCTCGGGCAGGAGGAGGTGGTGGGACGGCTCCTCGAGAGGGTGTTGGAGGCGGGTTTGTCTTCCTTGGTCCTAAGAACGGAGGAGGTACACCAAATTTTGATCCCGACTCCCCAGGCTCATATTCCTCGTTTGGAGTCTTCGGAGGTCTTGGAGGAGGAGGCGGACCTGGGTTGGATAATGATGAAGCATGATTTCTAGCAGGAGCTCTGTCGATATTTGCAAACTTTCCTGCATCTGGTAATGGTGGGGGAGCAGCAAATCTTGGTGGAGGTGGTCCTCGAGGCGGGGAAGGTTCTCGTGGAGGCGTTGGCTCTCGAGGAGGTTCGGCTTTCGCTGCAGATCGTCTTGCTGGAGGTGGTGCCGGGGGAGCACCTCTGCCACGTCCCGATGGGACCTGCTGAGGGCTTTCGGATCTAGTCCTCGTTGGACCTGCTGGAGGCGGAGGTGGGGGTGGTGCTTTGACCCGTTGATTCTCTATTCCATTTGGAGATGAAAGGTTCTGTGCAGCTTGTTGTTGTCTGATATAATCTGCAATGAAGTCCTGGTTGTCCCGAATCAAATCATCCGTGATTCCCATTTGCTTCAAGTCATCTCCCCAGGTCTCCCTCCAATTCGCATCGATGGCATCGAGTGCAGCAAATTGAGATCTTCCACCATTGATACTGCCACCTGACATCCGATGATTATTCGCAGGAGGAAGGACATAGCTCGGCGAATCGGGTGGGGTAGGTTGAATGGATGGAGCAGATGAGTGTCGATGTCCGCCAAAGAAACCTCCCAGTAAACCGTGCCTATGTCCTTGCTGAGGAGCTGAACCACCAAATGGATTTGACTTTGTCATCTTGCTAGCATTCTTCTCTCGATCGTTCATCTTCTTGAGAAACTGCTTGGCCTCCTTCTCGTCTACGAACGATAACCCAGCTAGACATTCCTCAGTCTCGAAAGTATGGAAAAACGTCCTGTCCTGATTATAAGACCAAGTATCGTAGATCTCTTGGTCCCATATTACTCCTCGATTCGCAGGCTGTCCATAAATTAGCAATCTTTCAACGAGTCAAGTCACAGCGGCTTGACAACGAGGGGCACATACCGAAACATCGACGAGCTTCAACCAGTACGTATTACCCACGAGATCGTTCGCAAGGACAGCCGCACCTTGCAGACCAGTGTAAGTCCATCTGCTGCGATTAGGGTATGCGATATAGAGTCTAGCAACGGCCACCGCCTGTATCTTGTTCGTAGCCTTAGGAACCTGCCGCTTGACCGTTTCCTTATCTTCGTCGGACAATATCGAAGGCATCTTGACTCCTCAAACGTTTCTTAGCCTCGAGGGCTCAATACAAGATCGTGCTTTCGAGTCGGATCGTTCCGTTTGTCGTTATAGTTTCGAAACAAGAGTTGGGAGATTAATACGAGCCGATGGCACTGCCTGAGCGCATTGGACCATGTAATGAAGGACAACTTCGTCGTTGATGGAAGGACAATCAACCGAAGTCCTGACTGTGAATGAGTGAAGTGGCCTATAGGCAGACGCACGAAGCAATGATTCCATTCACACGACCAAAACGTCGAAGCTGCGGGTTTGTGCTGCAGTGCTAACGACGTAAATGCCAAATGCCAAGGAGGGATTTGCGAGGATCAAGCGCGCTTCAGCCACACCATACCGCCGACCTTTTCGAAGCCCACCGAAGGCGGCAACTTTTGGTCGGATATCAACGCGCGTTCAATATCTGAATGTCCGAGTTCAACAGGTAGATAAATAGATTCTCATTCGAATTGAATGCTGCCTGTATGGTCGTCACAGTCATTACCCTATCTACCTAGGGTCACTTCATCACTGCTCACTGTCAAACTTTTGATCCAATAATAGGGTCCATGTCAATCCATGTCACTGGCCCAACGATGAGCTCATTCAGCGTTTCAGTAGGACAATACAACAGTTGGTATCGAAGTATGTGTGTTCATGTGTTCATGAGGCCAGACTGATAATGTATCACTACAACTTAGCTACTCCATGAAGCTTTTTTTACAAACATTCTTTGTCCATGATGCTACACTCAATTCCTCGTCTCAAATCTTAGATCCTCTGGTTCCTGTCAGCAAAGGTTTTGGGCCAATATAAGCACTACAACAAGCATACCAGAAAAGCATTACTTGTTCAATGCCTGAGCCTTTGCTTGACGCTCTTCCTTGGTTCCCTCTTGTTGAGCACTGAAGTTTTCAGGAATGGCTGGACCTGGGTTTGCTTCGTGGTGGCGGAACTCGACTTGTTCTCCCTTCGGTGGTCCTTGATCATGAATTGGGTGATCACTAGCATTCGACTCGGTCTTGCTCGAAGCATTCTTCATGACATGCTCCGTGGCAGCGCCAGCGCCGTGGTCCTACTGTCCAGTAAGTATTATAAACTTGTGAGCGCTTTGAGTGCTGTAAAGCTTTGAAGCTCCCATAGCACAATGTAGCAAAACTCTAGGGTGTAGGAATAACTCACATCAACATCTTCTTTACCTGCAGGCATGGTGAATTGTTATGTAGAAACTTTTAATGGACTTGTCAAATACAAACTTCTTGAATTCTTGAAGAGGAGAATAGAGTCAGATGGGACATTTAGAACTTACCCCTCTGCCATTTTATGGGATTGCCCCTCCATTAAACCCTATGACGTTGCGAATCGCGTGCTCCCAATCATCCCGCCTCGCTGCCTAGTTGAAACGTACTTTTTGGACGCGTTTTTGAGGAATCAAGATTATCCTTTGCGAACAGCCGAATTACTTGTCGCCATCCTTGTGCGACTTTACACGTCGACGCTCTGGATGACGATGAGTGCCTCTGAGAATGAGCGCGAACGGTGACCAGCAGCCTGTGAAGCTGTCCCTCCCACTGGTATTCCCCACACGGTGTCCCTTTCTGCGTCTATCCTAACAAAGGCAGAAATATCAACAAGAGCTTTTCCAGGAGCTGCGTGAAAAGGATGAGCTCGTAGTCATTGCCCGCGGGCTTGGCCTCCTCCGTCTTGTCACGAATCTCCTCCATTCTTACGATGCAGCCGGGAACAACCTAATACTGGTGGTGGGGGCCGACGACAGAGAGAATGGATGGCTTGGAGAAGCCCTGGCGGAACATGCTGCGATCAGCATGGCGCCGAAGGCCAGAGGCCTGAGTGTTGTAAATACAGACGTGATGAGTGTGGGGACAAGAGAGAAGATGTATGCGCAAGGCGGCATATTCAGCATAACTTCGAGGATTCTCGTGGTCGACCTTTTGACCAGTCTGCTGAACCCGGAGACTATTACTGGACTTGTGGTATTACATGCCGATCGGATCGTGGCCACTTCTTTGGAAGCTTTCATCTTGCGGATATATAGGCAGCGGAACAAGGTTGGTTTCCTTAAAGCATTTTCAGACAATCCAGAACCCTTTGCAACTGGGTTCGCGCCACTCTCTACAATGATGCGCAACCTATTTCTTCGCAATGTGTCTCTATGGCCACGATTTCAAGTGGTGGTCGCGCAGGCATTAGAAGGCAAGAAGAAAGCGGAAGTTATCGAGCTCGAAGTTCCCATGTCCGACTCCATGCGGGACATTCAAAATGCTATCATGGAGTGCGTGGAAGTCAGTATTGGAGAACTCAAGAAGAGCAATACGGGTCTAGAGATGGAAGATTGGAACGTCGACAGCGCTCTTCACAAGCAATTCGACATGGTCATCAGAAGACAGCTCGATCCCGTGTGGCATAGAGTCAGTTGGAAGACCAAGCAGATTGTCAATGATCTGACCGTCTTGCGAGGCATGTTACATACACTACTCACCTATGACGCTGTCTCTTTCAACCGACATTTAGATACTATCTTGGCTGCGCACTCCCCGCCCCCAGGATCTACGAGACAAAACCAGTCTCCATGGCTATTCCTTGACGCTGCCCATACCATATTTGACACCGCCAAGCGAAGGGTCTATACTGGCAAAGCCCAAGGAGACAACCAAGATGTTGAGTCTTTGCGACCTGTTCTTGAAGAACAACCTAAGTGGGCTGTCCTTGCCGAGGTTCTAGATGAGATTGATCGGGACCTCTACTTCAATCCTATTGTCAGAGACGATTCCAATGGAACGATCCTGATAATGTGTACGGATACGGCGCAGTGTCGTCAACTACGAGAATACCTTCAAAATATGCACGTACGGCCAGAACAGTCCACTGCGGAGGATGAAGAGGTAGACGATGAACCATCTGCCGCTTTCATGATGAAGAGGAAGCTCATTAATTATCTGAAGTGGAAGAAGGAATTTGCAAAGATCAGCGCAGCTCTGTTTGCTGAGAATCAGAAAGAATTGAATGGTACGAGCACCACTAAATCCACGGCGAACAATAGCTTCCGAGGGAAAGCTCCGGCGAACAAGAGGAGACGAGTCAGAGGCGGCGGAAATACTGGATCTGGCTCCTCTCGAGCTGCAAACGGCAGCATTTTGGCCTCAGAAGATAAACCTCTTGAGGTTGCAACGCTTATTTCAGAAATACAGCCTACCGGAGCAGAGACTGCTCAGAAAGAAGACATAGTAGCAGATCCGTTGGATGACATGGAGGACTACTATCAATTATACGATATGCAAGATCTGGTCGTCATCCATGCTTATGATGGAGACATGGATGAGCACGTCCTGGAGGAGGTCAAGCCTCGTTATATCATTATGTACGAGCCAGACACTTCTTTTGTTCGCCGAGTGGAGGTCTACCGGTCATCACATAACGATCGCAATGTCCGGGTGTACTTTTTGTACTACGGTGGTTCGGTAGAAGAGCAGCGTTATCTTTCATCTGTTCGACGCGAGAAAGATGCGTTTACGAAGCTAATTAAGGAGAAATCGAGCATGTCTGTAGTCATGACTCTTGACGCACATGGCATCGAAGACCCCCAAGAAGCCTTTCTACGGACCATCAACACTCGCATAGCAGGCGGTGGCCGTCTTGCTGCCACGGCTCAACCACCTCGGGTGGTTGTTGATGTGCGAGAGTTTCGTTCCTCGCTACCCTCGCTTCTGCATGGTCGTTCTATGGTCATTGTGCCATGTATGCTAACCGTTGGCGATTACATCCTCTCGCCCAGTATATGCGTTGAAAGAAAGTCGATTAAGGATCTGATTTCGTCGTTCAAAGATGGACGTCTGTATAACCAGGCAGAGACCATGCAACTACACTACAAAAGTCCTATGCTCCTGATCGAATTCGACCAAAACAAATCCTTCACTCTCGAACCTTTCGCCGATTTATCGGGTTCTTTGTCCTCTATGTCGGCCTCAAACGCAAGTTCAGATCTTCAATCTAAATTAGTTCTTCTCACGCTTGCATTCCCTCGACTTAAGATCATCTGGTCATCATCGCCCTATCAGACAGCGGAAATTTTCGAATCGCTCAAGACCCAGCAACCAGAACCGGATCCCATCGCTGCAGTCAAAATTGGTCTCGAAGGTGGCCAGAGAGCCGAGGATCAGAGCTTCAACAGAGAACCGCAAGACATGTTGAGGATCGTGCCCGGAGTGACAGGAAAGAATATCAAGAACTTGATAGTTGAGATAGGAAGTCTCAAAGAAGTTGCCAATGCTACTGTCGAGGAGCTAGAGCCTGCTGTTGGCAAAGAAGCTGGGAGGCAGATACATAGATTTTTCAATAAGAGTGTGCTAGATGGCTGATGGAAAGCCTTGATTTTGGAGTTTAAGGATGATCTCTCTCGAAGATATCTAAGAAGCATTGTACGAATAAAATTAACAAAACAAGAACCTGATTCTGGTCACATGATATTTACTTGCTCAAGAGTCCGTACTGCCTCCTTTCAGCATACTGTGGCGCCCAATAGCATTACTCCACCTCTGAGCCGAAATTGCGAGGCAAGTGCCGGAGGTGGTGAGACCTAGTGTGATGAAGCTAGGAAGGTTTGTGGTTGTGAAGTCCTGAATCATTTGCAGTGGCTGCACGTCTTTCATTAAGTTCAGGAGAGAATAGCTTAGAGTTCTTGGGATACTGAGATATCTTCGGTGTCCCTTCCCGAGAATAGCATACTTGATTTGCAATTCTTTCCATCATTCGAAACATCTATAATTTGCTCCCAGCCACAGAGCGTCCTCGAGCCAAGCTGTTCCAGTGCTTCTCGACCTAAGAGGAATTAGTCAATTCCATGTCAATCGACGGAAATAATGGTATAAAGTCAAAGCAAGGAACAACACGGACACTCACATCCTGCAAATGATCATATCCCAATAGCTTCGGAGCCAACACAGGATCTCTCCAAACCAAAGCTTCGCCCTCTTCCATGTCAGCATCAGTTTGTGCTGCTCCGTTAGCTCTAATCTTCCTATCTCTTTCCACTTGCTCATCCCCATCATCAAGATGATACAAAACTTGCTGCACATTCCCCCTCTCTACAATCATCTCCGTCCTCTCTTTCCTACACGCTTGATAAACCTTCAAGGCAAATATCTTCTCGTCCACACTCTTACTCTTCACCTTCCCCAGACACTCTCCCAGCACAGCAGCATCCTCAAACGACATCCCAGCTCCAGAAGCGAGGTAGGGTAAGGTGGCATGAACAGAGTCACCTAGTAAGACGAAGCTTCCACTAGGGTGGTACCAGGTTTCAAGAGGCTCGACTATGCAGAGCCGCCAGCGCTGGACGTTCTCGCAGAGGGCGAGCAGTTTGGTTATTCGTGGGTCCCATCCTGTAAAGAGGGAGCGCATTTCTTCGACATTGCCAGCGATGGTGGAGGGCCCGTCTTCGGGCATGTCGTCTGGCACGAGAAGAACCATATTGCAGAGACTTGAATCTCGTAGCATGTATGTTACTATCAACTTTATTAGTATAATTCCCAGATCTAGGGCATGGAATTGCTTGAGCTCAGACATACCTACATGAGCACCGGGCCCAATCCAATAATTTACCTCTTTATTCAATACAAAGGGTGCCAATTCTGGATCCTCCTTCAACTTTTCAGCATCCAACAACAACCTATACGCCAAATCTCCCGTCCTCTTCGGCGGCTGTTTCCTCTGGACCAGCACCTCTCGCATTCTCGAATGAATCCCATCCGCACCAACTACCAAATCAGCCTCCATCTCCCTCCCATCAGCCAACAATACGGTCGCTCCTTCCTCTTTACATTTAACATCTACCACTCTAGCATTACACTCCATACTCGCCCCCAATTCCACCGCTCTCTCAATCAACACTCGATGCAGATCCGCCCGATGAAAATCCCAATAACATGTCCCCGGATATTTCGCCGTACTGGACCCGAAATCTAAACTACTTAACGGGATCCCTTTCCAGTTTATCAAATTTGCGGCTTTTGGATGAGAGGCGTGGGTGAGGAGAGAGTGCTCTAGACCCCAGTACTTGAGCACTTTCGAGGAATTGGGGAGGACTTGGATCCCGGCTCCGATCTGAAGATTTCTTAGACTGGGTCATTGAGAGGACTGGGAAGGGGAAAGTTACTTCTCCTATTTCGCTGGCGGATTCGAGGATGTGGACCGAGTGGCCTTTGAGAAGACATGATATTGCTGCTCCTGCGCCTCCCAAACCGGCACCGACTATGATTATCTTCACTTTTTGTTAGCAGCTAATTTGACAGAAACATTTTATGACCAGAGGACGAACTTTAAGTTTAGCCTCAGTGGGCAACTCTCTTTTCATTTGAGTGGCCATCTTGAAAATGTGTTGATTCCGTTCTCGCTATTCTCCTCCTTTCGGCGATTATGGGTTAAGGAATCAGTGTGTAGCAAAATTCATACAGGACACGAGAACTTCAGGGCTAGAAGTTACCGAATAAAATACTTCCACGGAAACGTCAACGAGATACCACCTGGTGTACCGTCCCGCAATTCTTCTTCCCCACCTTTAACCATCAACCCCACTATTGCAGTCCCTAGTCTAGACTCTGGCATAGCTGCTGAAAGATAAGAGCTGAGTTGAGATACCGGATTCAACGGGAATAACGGCATTGGTTCCCTCATTGTTTGTCCCCAGCTTTTTGGATATGTAATATGTAATACACAGTACCTGCAGCTATGGGATAAGAGTTGCAGAAGTGGGGAGACGCAAGACGAGGGTTGGGGATATATCTCTCCCGCATCTCGTTGATAAGCTTTGTCTTTCGAGAAATACTTCTGGAATTTACTTTTGTAGAGTTGTTTCCGAAGCTCTTGCACAACATGAGTATCTCGGAGTTTGCCTACAATGCTACGTCCAGCATCCCCCTCTGGGCCTGGGGCAGCATTGTGTTCTCCCTCTTTGCTGTAAGTATAACCCACATACGAGCATATCGTTCACCTCCTTACTTATTCAATGCAGGCTTTTTGGATTTATCCATACTCTCAGAACATCAATGGCCTCAATCGCTTCCCAGGGCCCGTGACTGGAAAGTTCTCTGACTTATGGATGCTACTACAAGCCAGGTAATATCATTATGATGCTGCGATTTCCATTGTACCAGAATAATTCAATCATTAACATCTTCCAGAAAGCATCGAATCTCCCTCACCATCCACGAGCAACATCAAAAGTATGGAGACTTCGTACGCGTCGCTCCAAACCACGTCAGCGTCGCTCATCCAGACAGCATTAGAGTACTACCACTTCCTCCTTTCTTTCAAATGCTTTCTAAGTATGCTTTAGGATGTCATGGGCCATGGCAACGGCTTCCTGAAATCCGACTTCTACTACGCGTTTGACAATATTGAAGACAACATCTTCACCACTCGAGACCGGGCCAAGCACAGCCGGAAGCGCAAGATCGTTTCTCATATGTTTAGTCCTAAGTCCATGCTTGGTTTCGAGCCATATATCACCAAGGCGTTGACGGTGTACGGGCATCAAATGGAGCAGATGATTGAGCACGGAAAGGCTGGGGCCTATGTCGAGTTGGGTAAGACTGATAGTGAGATCGCGAAGAGACAGAATAAAGGAGAGGCGGCATTCGATGCGGCGAAGTGGTCTGCGTTCTTGGCTTTTGATATCATTGGCGATTTGGTGAGTGTTGACTGCAGCTAATCCTGAGAGTTTGAGCTGATCCGGGAATTACCTCAGGCTTTTGGAAGTCCTTTTGGATTCACAGCTGCTGGCTTTGACAATGTAGGTTTCATCGTTAAACTCCGTGATCGTGGAGAGTGGTGCTGTACTGTGGGACAGATGAGTTGGATCAAGAGTAAGTCATCTATTCCTCCCACAATGCGCGAGCTCATACGATCTTCACAGCATGGACACCTTATTTCTTTTTCGATCCCTTCTTCAGCACCGGCTCCAAAGCTGCCGCAGCTTTAGGCAGAATTGGAATCGCAGCCGTCGAAAAACGGAAAGCAATCCCAGCAGACCCAAGCCGAAAAGATATCCTACACTACCTCTTCTCAGCCACTGACCCAGATACGGGGTCTTCACTCCCAGACAACGAAATCAAAGCCGAAGCCCTGACTCAACTCATTGCTGGAAGCGATACAACGGGCAACACCATCACGCATCTAATCGACATGATGATGCTATTCCCCGACAAACTCGCAAAACTGCAAGCAGAACTTGACACAGCCTTCTCATCTCCACTCCCGGCCGATTTCGTAGTCGAATGGCCTGATTGTAAAGATTTGCCGTACGTGAACGGTGTCATATACGAGACTCTTCGTCTCCGAACCACTGTCTCGGTTGGTCTACCTCGAGTAGTGTCTAAGGGTGGGATGAAAGTTTGCGGGGAGTTCTTTGAAGAGGGAACGGTGTTGAGTACGCCTACTTATACTACGCATCGAGACCCGAGAGTTTGGGGCAGTAATGCGCTGGAGTTTGTGCCTGAGAGGTGGGAGGGGGAGAAGAAAGCTGAGCTTGAGAAGGCATTCTTGGGGTTTAGTTATGGGCCGAGGGCTTGTATTGGGAGAAATGTGAGTCCTTCTTTATGACGGAAAGTGGGAGAGTACTGACAAATGAATAGGTTGCGTTTATAGAGTTAAAGAAGACGGTTGCGACGCTGTTCAGGAGATTCGAGTATCGAAGAGTCTTCCCTGATGATGGTTCGGAGATCAGAGAAGGGTTCCATTTCAAGGTGCAGGAGTTGCCGGTGTTTGTCCGTCGGAGAGCTTGAAGTGTTGATTGTGCACCAAAATAAGCAAGCTATGATTGAGCACCGACTGTCCATCAATAAATAGAACAGATATCAGCAAAATATATGATGTGTCACCAATGCCGAAAAGGGAGGCTCTATATGATCAAACTGCCCATGCTCCTGTTATGAGAAAGTGATGGCATCTCGGTACCGGAAAAGGGGCGCGCGAGAACCTCGCTTAGCAACCCCGCTCCTTGTCTATATATGATTAAATAAACACTCTTTTACACAACGACAAAATAGCTCAGCGGGAAACTTCTAGCTACATTCGACTTGGCAAAGTCTGTGTGACATTTCGTAAGCCGCCGTCCAGATAAGCTCGGTATTATGGGCATGTACCTTGTAGCTGTTCGTTCCTCGCAGTAGTGTTGAGCTGATGCGTAGATTAATCTGTCGAATCACACATTTTTTCTTTCCTTGTCGATTGTTTTACATATCCGAGGGTATAAAAATATCTTGCCAGGTATTGTGGATATTGTTTTTGACACTTGATCCCGGTTATATGATGTTCTGAGCTTTTGCGATCCCTGTGAAGCCCTCGAAACCCTCGTCATTTATCCAAAGTGACGTCAAAAGTTTGTATGCATTCTGGAATTGACTGAGATATTCGGGATATCTATGCAAATATGATGACTGTGTGTAAAGAGAGCCAACTATCCCGAACTCGGAAGTACCATAGTATTGTTACGAGAACAGACTGAGCAGCTTGTGAACAACCTTCAAACGGGTGTCAATCCAGATACTAGAGTTTTGAGACATACGAAGATTAGGGAGATTCCTAGCCTTTAGGTTCATTCCCCGTCAAGCCCAACCTCATCCTCACTATAGACCAACACCCCGCATTGTGGACAGGTATTGATTTCCTGTAGCCAAGCAACTACGCATGTTTCATGGAACCAGTGGGAGCAAGGCAGAACAATGATGTCCGAGCCTGCAGGTATATGCGTCAAACAGACTGCGCATTCTCCTTTCAAATTCGCATCGTTAATTTGTGCCATCGACACAGGATCTCCAGTTGCTATTTCCTCCAAAGTTCGTCCATCATCTTCGAAGAGGCGCTTGAGGTAGTCGTATGAAGATGAGATACCTTTTTCCTGCCAAGTAGAATGGTCTACAGCTACACTAGCTCCATCGATATGTTTCAACCCGATGTCCACTCCTCCCCAGAATATCATTGGATCGACGGAAAGCCTATTCATAGCTTTGAATAGGCGCAATGGAAGGTAGAGATACTGCTCCGCTTCCGTCAGTGGGTCAAAGTCCCAATCTTTCGAGTACAATCCTGCAATCATCTCAGGGGAAAGTTTCGATATTTTAAGGCTGAAATCAAATCGACGCCGTGAGATCCTGAGAGGATTTCGTGGGTGGCCGGACTTGCTCGATATCTCACCGAGATAGCTTACCGCCATGAGGAGCGCTTGCTTTAGATACCATTCCCTGTCGAATGCAGAGAATTTCATCCAGGTTGTATATACTGCAGAGGGAAAAAACTCGATAGTTTGTCGTCCTCTCCGAACGACGTCATAGAATATGGCATATGCAGCCTCAAGTTGTTTTGGAACACTCCGAGTGGCGGCGGCTCGCTGCCCTGTTTTCCACACTGCTTCCTCATAGAAAGAGCAAATGTCCGTTGCTAGAATACTGGTAGGTTTCAGTTCCATATTTAACTTAATTAGTGCTCGCCGTACATAGCTCTGGATGCAGAAGCTATAGAAAGCAGAGAGCCACCAAGGGCGGCGGTTCCGTAGGTTCTCTCTTTGGAAGAATACACGGGAAAGTTCTTTATTGTACAAGCGAAGATGTACATTCAAGTTCCTCACATCGTCGAGTTTGGAATTGTGTGATTCGCAAATACTATGCCAAGGTGTGGAGAGAAGCCCGGAAGCTTGGGCACGCAAAGCTTCCGCACATACACGAAGACATATCAAAGATTGTGCAATCAATTGATCCTACATATAATCAGCCTGATATTCGAACGCTCACGACATTTTTACGCCTACATCTTGTTGTTCAGCTTGGTAGACTATGGCCAAAGGCAATAGTTTCCCAAGTTCGTCTAAAGAGCCTTCTTTGTTGAGGACCTGACGTGCCTCAGGGCAGCGAAGAAAATGACAGAGTATTGTGAGAGCACACTGCTCTGAAAGTTGACAATTACAAGTCAGTATACTTTGGACAATAAGGGACTATGCTGGGAGTTGTTTGCCTGGACTGAAGTCGCGCAGCGAAAAGAACGAAACAGTGACAAAGAGGGTATAGCTCTAGAGCAGTAACGTACCAAGAGGTGCTAGTTGAGTCAAGGAAGTGTTCGAAAGTTGGGACAGTGGAGGTCTGTGCAAGTGCAAATGGAAATTTTGCAGGACTCGATCCTCCTCAATAGAGCCAGAAATGTCGTCTGACCTCACTTTCTGCAACCATCTCTCAACGTCAGCCGCAACATTAAGTGATCTTATCTTAGATTCCGTCACTTCAATGTCTGACTCCTCTGTAGCAATTCTTGCAAACGGGCTTGGACAAAGTCTAGAGCCTGGAGGTTGAAAATCTCCACGTTTACAACCAACCTTTGCCCAATTGGATCTTTGATCACTTGGACACAAGACACATGGATCATAAATATCACACTAAACACAGTCAATATGGGTATCGTTCAATGTTATCAATGCTGAGGAATACTAACTGATTTTTTGAGTACTTTACACCTCCAGCAAGCACCGACTTCCTTCAGGGCGTGCATTCCTGCTCGAGCCAGTCGACTTAAAGGTCCTCGTCGTCCAGAAGTGACTGAAATACCAGAGCTGGCTGAATTGGCAGACCTAGCAGATGAACGAGCAGAATGGATGGATCCTGAATCAAACACAGATACGCTGAAACCTTCGGCATTATCGCCACTGTGGACGCTCCCTTCTCTGCTGTCGTTACGAGAAGTCCTACCACCTCCGCTATATATGCATGATATCCGATGATTAGTCAGACTAATTCGTCGATCGAATGATGCTTGGCAAGTAGAACAGTAGAACCTCGCCTTCGCGTCGCGGTGTTCAACTTTTCTGTGACGGTTGATGTGCTTTGAGCTGAAATATTTCCTTGGACATAGATCACATTCATACGGACGACGTGGTCCAACGCCGTTATCTGACGTTTCGTCGGTGCTTTCTGAGGTCTTCGATAATTGGGAATTCTTCCTCTTGCGTTGTAGTGACCGAATACAGTTAGGCAATAATGAGTGCTCCTCTGTCCAATCTCTGACTGAATTAGCATCATTCTGAACAGTGAATGATGATGGGTCAAACATACAAGTTCGTAGCTTCTGGAATGTCTGACACTGAAGCCAGGCCTTGTGTGAGGACATGCTCTCGCAAATGTAGCTGTAGATCGACCGATCTTGAGAACGTCTCCATACAGTCTCCAAAATGACAGACACTCAATTCATTTCCTGAATGCACGACAGGTACTTCGTCAAAGTCCTGTAGCAATGGTCTCACATTTGGGCTCGTCGGACACTGTTCGTGCAGCGATGCTTCATTGGGCACATCGTCAAGACTAGATTGGGGAAAGCCCTCACTAGTATAAGCTTGAGGTGCACTTGTAAAACAAGTGCAAGCATAGTTGTGCTGGTGGCAAAGTATACACTCTTCGGGCTGTGCTTCTCCTTCTCCTACTCCCTGGAGAGAACTTGTGAAAGACTCGATTTGGTTCATCTCAATGCGGTCAACATGTGTCTCATAGGCACTCCAAGGTTCAAGATCTCCGCTCATGCTATTGCTGAACTCCCCGCTAGGAGCGTTTGCGCTTATACCTTCCCTGGAAAGTCCGTCCTGCTGATAGTGATTATTCAGTTGTCGATCTCTTAAGTTAGGCCCAGACATGGCAGTGTTTTCAGCATGGTCTCCATTTAGCCAAGGTGAAGTCATTATTTCGGGACCGGAAATGAACGAGTTGTTATCGTATCCATTGCTTTCAGGAATCAAATCGTTCGGATCCAACGCCTCGGACTGAATACCATAATCTCGAGCTGATATATCATTTTCCATTTGTCCAATCTGTAAGTCTTCCAAGAATGATATGTCTAATGAGGTTGGTCGACTGATCCTTATGACTTTCGTAGCAGCGGAATATTCGTACTCCAACAATAAACTATGAGCAATCGCCTGCAACGTTCTTTGCTCAGCATTCGAGCGATGGAAAAAGAGGACTTCGTCTCTGCTTGAATCATTCTTGAAAAGGAGAACCTCTGAGTATAGCTCAAGGTTCGCGGCATTGTTCATGTCTGTATCCATTTTAGACATTCGAAGAACAAGAAGTCTTAGAATTAGAGGAAACTTACCAACTCCGGCCAGATTTCCCGACAGCGACATGTTGTTCAAATTATCCCGAAAGCCAAAACTGTAGCTTTACATCCATCTATGCTAGACCACGAGGTAGCACTGACCTGCCAAGTACCCCGCCAGTCAATAGAAACGAGATCTGAAAGGGCCTTCTCAATAACGATGAATTCGAATGTCCAATGGCGCCGCTCGAAACAAAATCTCAAAGTTTCTATCAATAACGACGAATTGCTATAAATTGTCCCTCTGAGAAAGAAAACAGATTATGGAAGAAAATGGTCCAGAAAGAAAGAAAAAATCTCTCCAGCCTTGCGGTCCTGTCTTCTTGGGCGGTCATCGTCTTCGGATGTTGATTACTATTCTTCTCCCCAAATATGATACGTGGCCACCTCCTTTTTCAGCTGAACCGACGCGGTCCTCCTCAATGGAGACTCCAAATACTCGGTTAACCTCTCCTGAATAATCCCTACACCCCTCACCCTGCCTCTAGGCTAAACCCAAAAAGACGGACCGCCTCGGCATCTCAACATAAAACCGTATGCCTGTCAGCCACGCCCTACATGACCGCTGTCGACATCTCTGCATTTCGAGGGACCGCACAACCAGCACACGAGAACCGCTCTTTTCGCAAACATGCTCGGAACCAGTACTAAAGGGCGGATATTCTGCCATTATGGTTCTGCTCGTTGGAAATATTTACTTGAATTGTTTCCTTGAGTTCGAAATACCGACAGCCAATTCAAAGTATGACTTCTTCTTCACGGAATGCTGGAGATCGAGAACATGGAAATGGTACGACAAAGAAGCAGCAGCAACAGTCAAAGGTCCAGGCAAACTCCAAGGACAAGCTTAGACATCACGCCAATGCCACGAACCCTCCCATGCACGAGTGCGAATGCATGACAACGAATAACCACAAAGTACCACATCGTAGAAAAAGCGCCCGCCATGTCCCTCGTACGGACCCTCCTCAAATCTTCAATACTCCGTAAGTTAACCTAGATCCAGACACATACACCCCCTTCCACCACCTATCACTCGACGCAATGGACGGCTTGCCAGACGCCAACATCCACGAATTCGGCAACGACCCAGAACATGATGACCACGAGGACATCGGCGACGAATCCACCACGATCCTCACTCCAAGCTATGACACCAACTCGACAATCCCCACCTACTTTGACGAGGACGACGAGTGCACGAGTCTCTTCAATACCCTGAGCCCGTACGCGCGCACTACGCACGATCTGAGGTATATTGGCCATTGGGTAGAGACACAAGAAGAAAGTAATTATGTGCTACCGAGCTATGTGGATGCAATAAGTATTGGACGTCGGTATTCTTCGCGGGTTGATGTGAGGGACGCGATGGTTGGGATTGAGGTTGCGTTTCCGAGTGGTGCTTATGAGACTGTGCATCGAAACAGGTGAAGTGGAATTGGAGTCAATAACTGAAAGTTTAATTGAAATAGTAATGATGAATGCATGACTTATGAACATGAAGACTTGAAGCTTCGAGATAGACAAGTATGAGTGCATGAGTTATAAATATAAAGACTAAACGACTTGAGACAAGCAAAAGTGAATGAAAGAGAATTGTCCAGAAACCTCAAAGTCAGACTTCTGACAACTGAGATGTTGTGAGTAGGTAACAGTGCCAATTGTTTTGTGAATATTTATATATCGTTGAGCAGGCGTTGGAACATTAAATGTAGGGAAGAGAGTTGAGATGTAAGAAATTTTAGCTCCTCTCAAGAGTGGAGTATCATTTAGACTTTCACGTGAAGCTCTAGTTTCAAAAGAGCTTGGGACATTCAGAGGTCAAGTAACACAGACAGACATAATTACATATCTTCAATTATGGTATTAGCAAGACAGACGCTCCTATCATACACACCACAGCCCCGTCACGAATTCCTCCACATCCTCATAAGTCCACCAAACATCTTCCGGAAAGTTACCGAGTACCCGATTTCGACCACTGCTCTCGTGAACTCATATCCTTTTCTCGTATCCGGAATTGGATATTGGATCTGTTTCGGTATCGCTGTCTGGATGCCCATCCAACCCCATCGGTCCTCGCAGATAGCTTTGATATTGCACAATCCTCTCAACCCCTCTTCACCTGCAAAGCGTCCGTATCCACTTCCGCGGTTACCACCGAATGGCAGCTGAACAGCGTAATATGCAGCAAAGTCGTTGATCGCCACCATACCAGTCTTGAGATGCGAAACTACGGCGTCCAATTGAGCGCCTGATGTGCCAAAGACAGATGCTCCGAGACCAAAGTCAGGCTTGTTGGCAAACTTAGTTGCTTCTTCTGCGTTCTTTGCTTTCATCACCACGCAAATGGGTCCGAAGCACTCTTCGTTGGCAATGGCCATTTCTGGAGTAACATCCACGAGGAGAGTTGGTTGGAAATAATGTCCTGCATGGTGAACAGGATGATTGTATCTCTGTCCACCAGCGAGAAGTCGCGCACCATCCTTGACTGCAGCTTCTACGAGCTTCTCTAATCGTTCAAAAGAGGCGTCCGAGATCATGGCTCCCATGTCAATCTTGCCATCTGTCGAATCGAGGATTGAACCAACGCGGAGGGCTTTGATTCGAGGTTCGAGAGCATTCACAATGTCGTCGTAAACATAAGGTGTGGCAATGATGCGTTCGATACCTATACAGTTCTGACCTGCAGCTTGAAATGTACCTCGAAGTAAAATTTCGTTGATGCGTGGAAGGTCGTTTTTCGCCGTGTCTAATACGATTGCTGCATCTTTGCCTCCCAATTCAGCTAACACTGGCGTAAGAGATTTTGCAGCAGCAGCCGCAACTAGCTTGGCCACCGGTTGACTGCCAATAAAGGTAATGTGTGATATGGAAGGATGAGACGATAAATGATTAGCAGTTTGAGGCCAAGTAGTGACAAGCTGAACGAGATTTGTATCGTGTTTGCAGGCCATCAGGGCACCTCTAGCAATATTCGCAAAGTGTGTAGCACTCCATGCCGTGCTTTCGGAAGCTTTCACAACAATAGCATTCCCAGCGAAGATGGCGGATATGATAGGTCCAAGAAGATTGTGCAGAGGGTAGTTCCATGAGACCAGAGCGGCAACCACACCCAGAGGCTCGTAAATCACCTTGTTCTTCTTGTACATCATAAGCATGTTCGTCGGGCGTTTCGAAGGTTTCAGGGCCTTCTCTCCGTGTTGAATCGTCCACTTGAGTTTCTCAACCGTAACTAGAATCTCGCCCAGTGTAGCATCGACCATGGTCTTTCCAGAATCTAAGCATGCAATGCGGCAGAGATCTTCCTGATTATCCATTATGTATGCCTGCATGGAGCGAAGAACCTGTCTACGCTGCTTGAACGTCGTGCGAGACCATTTCTCTTGTGCGATTCGGGCTTTCTCGACTGCGCGATCGATGCCTTCTGGGGTCGTAGGGTTGATGAGTCCTAAGAATTGTCCGGTTGCTGGAGCGTAGCATTGTATCGCTGTCGAGCCAGAAGCCTGCAGACGTCAGTTCCAGTAGTTCATAAGTGTTGGTCTGGAAGCTGTACCTTGATTGAAGGCCTATCCAGAATCTGCACATCTTCTGGGGGTTTCAGGGTGCCGAACTCGTATCTCTTGATCTCCTCGCCTTCTAGGCTCTCGAAGAACTGGATCGCGTAGTACATCCAGACTAATATGAATATTGTACCACCGATTGCAACCTGACTCAAAAACCACCAGCTACTTGAATCAGCATACTGTGTCCTGAATCTGTATCTTCAAGTGCTTACACCTCATCTGGCTCCCAACCCTCGAAGAAGAACATCCGCGACTCCATTGACGATCCCATTTTGTCTATGTTCCCCTTCTCTCTTTCAATTTCAAGCTTCTCTTTTGGCGAGACCCACCACAGCAATCGCAGTCGAGTAAATTGGAATTGGAAACTGAGCTGAGAATTACGGCAGACAATGCATCTCTTATACTTTTAGATGTTGCCACAGGGCGAATGCTGTGAAGCGTACGAGGCGTCGATAGAACAGAAAGCGTGGCCTTCGCGCGTTGATAATTTTGAGATCTGGGGAAGGCGAACCCCTGCTAGCCTCGTGTGCAGTTCAGCCTGAATGCACTCGGTCCGCTAAGCCCGGCTCGTTTGCCCCTTTCGGGTGGCCCGCACGTGTAAAATAGGGGGGGTTAAGCGGGGTCTTTGTTGGTGGAAGTCCAGAAATGTTTGGGAATTCTGCTTTAATATATTACTTTACGGACAGTATAATCGTTCAATAATCAAAAAGAGTCCTTGCTATTGTATTTGGCACAGAATGAATACACTAAAAGTAAGCACAACATATTATGGAGAGCTTCAAGTCAACGATATTTGTATTGAGCTCAACGCTATTCAGCTATGATACATGTTATGGCAAAGCAAAAAGTCAAGCTGACGCTTTTGTTAGCAATACCGTGCAAGTTGTCCACCATCTTATCATACAGTGCTCCCGTCCAGCTAAACACCATGCCCAAGCAAATGCCACGCCAATCTATGTAAAACCATGCAGAAGATCAGCCATAAAAAAAGTCTGAAATCACCTATCGTCACTCATCACCTCAAATTCAGTCATCTTACTCGTCATCTTCTAGATCATCAAGCTCTGTCAAATCACTCTCCTCGGCTTCCTCGTCATGCGTCAAGCTCTCAACCTTCTTGCCCTTGGACTTCTTCATTGGACTGGCAGTCTTGTCTTTCATCTTTCCAGTACGCTTGACCAGATGCTCAATCGGACACTTAGCAGTCTCCCAACCCTCCGAACCAGGGCCGGTTCCAGCTTTGCAACGTGGACATGTCTTACCATGCTTGATGAAGAGCTGGTGAAGCGGATACTTCAACTCGTCGGGGATCATGACCTCGCAGTGACTGAAAGTCTTGTCTCTAGTTGCCGTCTCGGGAACCCATCCAAGCCACTTGCAATGACGCCAAACGTGAGTGTCAACAGCAAAGCTAGGTCGCTTCATGCAGAAGAGGATAACACAAGAGGTCGTCTTGACACCAATTCCGGGCAGCTTTGTCAACTCCTCCATGACTTCGTCGGTAGTGAGCTCGAACAGGTAGTCAAGTGTCAGCATGTTGTCCTTGAATCGAGCAAGCTCCGTGTCCTTCTGCTTTTGAGTTTCATGCTCTGCACCTAGAACTTGAGCTGTCTCCCCAGTCTCCTTCTCTTTGGTGAGAGCATTGACACGGGCGAGGTTACGTTCGTAGACTACGTCAAGAATTTTCTTGATGTTAGTGCCCTTAGCTTTTGCCAGTCCACCACTCTTGATCGACTCGATAACCTTGTCTAGGGTAGCTTCGTGTACACCCTCCCAGTTAATGCTACCTTTACCAACACCTGCAGTGCGGAGACCGAAAGTGTTCTTCAATCCCTGAAGCGCCATGTTGGAATTCTTGCTGGTCGTAGCCGCACTGAGCAAGGTTCTTAGAAGAGCATCAAGCAGATCAGGGACTTCGCCACAGCCAGTGACTTCCATGGAAGGTGGAGGTATGACCTCGGGAGCCTTCACTTCTCCGTGCAACTCGGCTAGTAGTCGATTGACTTCATAACAATCTTCCTTGGTGGGCTTTGCATGATCGGGAAAGGGGGAGAAGCCAGGAGTCAGACCGTATGGATGCTTCTTCTTTCTCTGCTTCTTCTCGACAGGACCCAATGCATCGGTGGCAGAGTTCGTCTCCTTCTTGCGAGGCGATCGCTTCTTTGTCGGCTTTTCGTCCTCAACATTCTCCTCCTTGAATTCGTCATCGTCAGTCCCAACATTGGCCTCTTGTTCTTTTCGACCCAACTTTCCTTCGATATCTTTCAAGAAATCTGCATCACCAAATGCCTCCGTCTTGATATCAGCCGGGGTTGATTTGAGGTCTTTACTCTTGACAGCTTTGCCACGGCGAGGTCGCTTGGTCAGAGAAACTTCAGATTGAGATGCAGTGTCGCCAATGTCATCCTCAAGATCGCCCTTTCTACCCAGGCCGTGAGGGAGGACGTCCCAATCTCCCTTCACAGACTCCACAATCTTTTCACTCTTTGTCGTTCGTTTTCTCTTGGTGGTGACTGGTTCAGAGGGAGTTGGTGTTTGAATCTGAGAGATCATTGCATTCTTGTTCATGACAGCTGAGTCTGCATCATCGAAAGGTGTGAAAGTTGGACCTGTTAAAGTCTATAGTCAGTAAACTGTACAAATACAAGTGTCGTTTGTTGGAGAAAGCGTCAATGTCCCTGCTTTTGTTCCGACTCTTCATCTCCGAAAGTCGTCTTGTTTGGCTGAACGTTCACTCATTTTGGTTGTTCTATCCGGTGTCGATTATTGAGGAAGTCAATTGTCGAGGATATCGACGGTTGAGGATGTCAAGAATGCAGGTAAGGGAATAGGACACCGAAAGACGATAACAATACAAAACAACAAAACAATTAAAAAGGTGCATAAGTACTGAAGCAATGATGATTGAACAGGACACCCCAAACATTCACGCAAATTCAAACAAAATCGAACCATACATACCATTTTTGACACCAGCCGGAGTACTGGGCGGGGAAGACAGAGTCAACGCAGCTTTTTCTGCAGCAAGTGCTTCCGCACGCTTTGCAGCGCCCCGAGTGGTCGCCATGGAGAGCTGAATGCTGGAATACCACAACAATGCCCTGGAATGGGAAGGGTGGTTCTTGGTCCAAATGTGACGCCGTGAGCTGCGGACGATGAACAATAGCGCGTGAATCTTTGAATAGGAATGTAAAGATGTAGAGACTTAATTTCTTGAGTGATACGGAGAGTAAATTTGATAATGAAATGCGGGGTATCCTCCTTGAAGGTTGGTTGTGAATCGAAGATTGTTCTGGTGAGAATATCAATGACGATGTCAACAACAAGGCTGTGAGAGCGAAGCCGGCAGGGAAATATTTTAGCGTTGCCGCTAACCGTTTCAGGGGCAGACCTTTGCATTGAATGCAAGGCTGTGAAATGCAGAAGGAACGAGCCTGTGCGGCCGATGCGGCCGTATATCCGAGAGTATTGACTTCGTTTTCTTCTTGGATGATTGTAAAACACTTCCAGATATAAAGCAAAAGCAGTGTAAAAACCTTCCGAGAATATGAGCATGAAAAAAGCTAAAAGTATAAACCATCGAACGAATCTCGATTGCGAGCGCAAGCCGTGCCGAGAATTTGAGAAAACAGTCATTTGAACAGAAGTTGACTACGGATCGTACACATTGCTTTGTTGTGTGTGGTCAAGTCCTGTTTCGACCTTAAGGTTTGATGTGTGCGGATTGGGAATTCTCGATTATTTCTTCAGGAGCCAGTGCCAGAGTTAGTGGCGCATGTGACGTCTCGTTGTGAACAATCTCCTCGAGTTCTAGATTCGAGCTTCTGCATTTTTCCTTCAAAGATTCAAGTTGCCTTATCAAGTTGTCATCAGAGACGACTTTGAAGATTTCTTGTGACAGAAATGGTGAACAGCAGTGTCTAGCTCCAGCACCGAGAAAGCGTACTACGAGTAACGTCTATGACAAGCTTAAATTCTTCGTTGATCTGCTAGCCTTAAATTCGCTGGCCCTTGTTTGTCTCCCCTGAACTTCTCGCTTGCTAGTTCGAGCCATGACTTCTTACATACTAGCCTTGCTATCATCCCTTTCAGACCAAGATAGTTGAGCTGAATCGACACAGAGAGCCGAGAAGCATCCATAAAGTGTTTGAGAGCATGAAGATCACTCTGTCCGAGTTGAGGATAGAGAGGTTTCGTTGGCTTATATGCACCTCCAATGTAGAGAATGGGGGTGGGAAGGTTGACTCAGAATAAGAATAAGAATAAGAATTGTGGAGCCATCTTCTAACCTTAAGTGATTCGGAGGCAGAAATTCAACTTTGTTTCGATCGGTAGCATGGTAAACTTCAAGCGTTCTAGACTTGGTGGATTATGTTCAGCCCCTCATAGGCAAGGAAAAAATTTGTGCGAGATTTTCGGTAGGCATAAATATGTGATTTGACTCGAGGTTTTATTCGATGTTTTATGTGCAATGTAGTTTTAAAAGTGATACAGCCTCCCCATGCGCCTTTGTCCAATACATTTTTCATCGCTTACCTCCTGGAATAGAACCTCACTCATAACCTCTCTGAGGCTCCGTAGCGAAATTGTGCAAGCTAGACGGAGATTAGTTTTTGTTCTTCCAGCTTGATACAAGAGCTACATACCTGATATCGTGACGATCTCTGACTGGCGGGGTCCCGGATTCTTCTCGCTCTCTTTTCCTCTTCCCATGCCCATTAGCATCACCGTTGACCTTGAGACCATTCGTGCCGTTGTTAGCTGGGACAACTTGGCCGCTCTCATTGACTGCCACTCCGTGTGTGACAATTTCAAGTTGTGTATCGCTAGCACAGCCATGTAAGATAGCATCTTTCGCGGCATCAAGCACCTTCAACTTCTTGGTCTCTCCGCGAACCTTCTCTAGCCTCATGAAATAGTCGTCATCAACTGGGGTAACATATTTGCCACAGAATACACCGACTTCGAACTGCTGAGTAAGACCTCGAGGGGATTCCATGGCGCAAGCAAGTTTAAGATCGTCAAGCGACTGGTAAATGACTTCTTCGGCGCCAATGTGCTTGGCAATAGCTTTCCTGTCTCGATTGTGGGCTACGAGCTCTTGTGGTGAAGCTAGATCGATGCCGTAAATATGGGCATGGGTGATGGGTGGAGCGCTCGAAGCAAAGATAACCTTCTTTGCACCAGCTTCACGAGCCATGCTGACAATCTCTCTGCTTGTGGTACCACGCACGATACTATCATCCACGAGTAGTACAGTACGACCAGCGAATTCTGAAGGGATCGCGCTCAGCTTTCGCCGAACTGACTTCTGACGAGCTCCCTGTCCGGGCATGATGAATGTCCTGAACACGTAGCGATTTTTGACGAATGCTTGACAGTATGGAATCCCAAGTTTCTCGGAGAGACTGGCGGCTGAGGTGTTCGAAGTCTCCGGAATAGGAATGACAACGTCAATCTCTTTGATAGCCTCTGGGCCAAGGATGTTAACAATCGTGTCTGCCAATTTGATGCCCATGTTCTGTCTGGTTCTGTGAACACTCATGCCATCGATGATAGTATCAGGACGTGCAAAATAAACGTATTCGAAGATATCTGGTGAGTACGCCAGCTGAGGAACAACTTGTTTGAAGACTGGAGCACATCCTTTGCGAATGATCACGGCTTGTCCAGGCAAAATGTCGACGATATTCTCGAATCCGAGTTGGTTCAAGGCGACCGATTCAGATGCCATCATGTAGTCGATAGTCCCTGGTTCTGTCCCAGAGGGTCGAGAACCTAAGACGAGAGGTCGAATGCCGTATGCATCACGAAACCCGAGTATTCCAAAGCCAGCCAACATTGCTGTACAGGCCCAGCCGCCAACACACTTTCCATACATCCTCTCAAGAGCACTGAAGATATCTCCTTCATTAACACGAGCCTTGCCAGTCTCATTGAGCTCGCTTGCGAAAACGTTTAACATCAGCTCGCTGTCACTGTCGGTGTTGATGTGTCTGTGTGAGGCCTTGTCGAGATCGTCACGGAGCTTCTCAGCATTGATGAGATTGCCATTATGTGCGAAAGTGATGCCATAAGGGGAGTTCACGTAGAAAGGCTGTGCTTCGGCACTGGCACTGCTACCAGCAGTGGGGTATCTCAGGTGTCCGAGTCCCATGAAACCAGGAAGATCTTGTACTCGAGAACCGTCGTGAAAGACTTTGGCAGCCATGCCATTGCCTTTGCACTGGTATATACGTCCTCCGGAAGCACAGGTGGCTATACCACACGCGTCTTGTCCCCGATGTTGGAGATAGTATAGAGCATCGTGGAGGTCGGCTGCTGCGGTCGCGGAAGACGGGTCGTCGATATCGCCAAGAATAAGACCAAGAATGCCGCACATCTTGTAAAAAGATCGTAGTAGTAGTGGCAAGGTAGAGGATTCTGATCTCCGTTGTCAGTAAATATGCTAAAGCATTTCACGGAGCGCAATTGAAGTTTGAAAGTATGTGGGGTTCATTCAGTCTCAAATATTTATCGCCAAGAGTATGGTCCGAAGTCTAACATCTTTTGGATTTTGGATCATCATAACTACACCTTCAAGGAAAGAAGAGGCAATTGCAAAAGAAGAAAGGGGATACATACATGTTATGGAGATCTGGTTGAAGATTTCACCCCGAAGAGCGAACGCGCACGAGAGACTTGGATAAGAGACTGATTCGGAACGATAGCGGGATCTACTTTAGTGGTAGAAATGCTGGATCTTGCTCAGCCAAAAGGAGACGAAGATTTCGAAACTAGGATGGGCTTCTGCCAGAACTTGTTATGCGACGCAGCGCCGTGTTGATTTGACGGTGGAGGATACATTTTGGAGTTATTTCATCCCACTTCAAAGTTTTGCTGCGACCTTAGAAACATTTTTTTGGGTTTCGGCTAGCTTAGCCCACCATGTCTTTCCGCCATAGCGGAACACTGGAGCAGCCACAACGGTCACGCGCTGGACTGAGATTGTTGCAACGACTTCATGATCCGTATATGGAGGAATTGAGATATCTTTGATGATGAAGAGTTACGAAAAAGAAGCTCGCACCACTTCAAGCGGAGTTAGATGAAATCACGTTGTTCTTGCAGCACCTTGCATTGCCCTCACTTGTCATTGGCCAATGCTTACCCCGCCAGCATAAATTGTGCATTTGATTCAGCCACGCAAAGTCAACCTTGTTTCAAAGAAAGAAATACCGTTCTCGTTGGTAATCGACTATAGCTCCTGTCTTTGGTTCGTTTTGCCATTCAAGGCTTCATTTCTCAGTCAGACATCGAGTGTGTTGAAACAGCCCAAGCTGCTGGCGAGGCCTATGCTTCTTCCTTGACTGTTCTTGTAAAGCTACTTTCATTTGTAACAGCGGAGTAACAACTATCCATTGCCTATCAGAATCCTCCGTTCTTGTTTTTGATCTTTTATTTTTTTGTGCTTCAGCTGCAGTACGGTTCTGTTGCATTGAAGACCTCTCGATCCATAGTATTAGCTGTTTCTGTCGGATGCCTCTTGTGGTGGTGGTTGGGCTGTGCCATTGGAAGTACATCAGCCTCACATTTCTCGTTCCACACCGAGTCTTGTCTCAGCGTTTTACTTTTTGATTCAATGCTGCAAGTTTTGTCCTAGCCCTAAATCGCACAATTCAGTGATCTCGGTTATTCACTAAGATTATCACATCGGCTTGTTGAACCATATTGCATAGCTGTGCTTCGAATTTATCAACATAAGACTTGAACAGCTCTAATTTGTTTTCTCGGTAGGTCTTCACGTTTGCGAATGGTGTGAGACGTCTACCTTATTCTGATAAACCCTAGCTGATCAATTCCTATTCAGTTCTCTGTCACAAATCACACCGACAAGTTGAAAGAAGCAAATAAACCCTGCTTTTTTAACTGCCTACCTGCACTATGACTGACTAGCTTCAATTCTCCTCTTCTTCAAGCTTGTTGTCCCTTCTTGTATGGTATACTATGCTCGAGTAGCACTGGAAAGCTCTCGCATTCTACAAGACTGCAAGCACATAAGTAGCTTTATGCATTTTCTTACCCTTTTTTTTAGAGATCAAAGTGCGGTACAAAGGCTGGACAAGAAACCACGACGTTGGCCTTCTTCCAATTAACTTGGAATCCCTGCAGACACCCATAATCTGTCCAAAAGATCTCACCTTGTCTTCCTGCAAAGAGCACACTTTGTACCTTTATTGATATCATTACTCTTAAATGCCAGTTAAGATCCAGCGATAGTGATTGAGAGGCAAGAAAGTATTGGGGTGAGCGTTTCTTGGTCCAGAAGTGAGTGAAGCATGGAAAATACAACAAAGATTGTTGTAGATATATTGCCCAAAGCCTTCCGGTCTCCTGAGAACTTTTGCGAAATCGTCTTGATAATTTCAACACTCAACGCAATGTTATGGATCTGTGTCTTCTAGTGCTAGCCAATTTGGAGAATCACTTACGGCTCGGAGATTCAGCTCTGCAAAAGCCCACCGGTCCACGCATCTACTACTTACGATCCGCTATTATTCTCGAGTTCCTCTTCTGATCGCATCGAACATAATGGATTTGTTAGAGAGGGACGGAGTCATTGTGATTGAAGATGATGTTATTGTCATTGATGACGAAGAAGGGACTGGTCTCCAGATCAAATATTTGAGTACGTCCTCGTCCTTGACGAAAAATCCAATATTCGACTGCTTTCTACTTTGCCAAGCAACCGCGAGCTTGATTCTTTGCGTTCACGTTTTTTCTTGGAAAGAATTGTAGAATAATGCTTGAGCCTTATATCGAGAAGTCTCTAGAAGGACTTGATGTGCTTTCAACCTCAACTACACTGCAATGACTAACATCTATACCAGGCTCCTCTACGTCTAGTAAACCACCAACAGTGACTTTGGTACCGCAGCGTTTGCCGAGCTGTGTATCAATACTCACATTGTCTGACGACGAGCAACCACACATCATGCCACGACTACCAATAGTTGAAAGCCACTCGATCGAACCTCGATTTCGAACGCCGAACTATGGTCCTAGAGGCTCATGTCCGACCAATCGTGCATCTTGTGCCAGATCGCCAAGGTCGCAACGAAGGATCGATTCCTTGCCGACGCAGAGAACAAGCCCATTCGCGAGTTCTTGCACTTCACAAAGTGCTAGCAACGATCCAGGTACTCGAGCTGATCCCATCGAACTTGATTCTGAGAATGATGACTACCCTCCGATTTCTAGTGTACGGCATTCCATAAAAGTTGACGACAGGAGACACGGCTTGAACATTGGTACGCACAAAGAGCTAAGCATTGATGAGTCTGGAACATTGAATCCTAATAACGTTCTTGAGCATCCTCTCCAGGTCGAAGAAGCAGAACAGTCTACTCTCCAACGAAATCTTGCTGAAAATGTACAAAGGATGGATGTCATTGACTTGGATGAGCTTGAGGACGATCAAGAGGATGAGCTTCGCATTCTAGCCGTGCAGAATATCCGCCCAGAAGAAGACCAGTTACAGACGCAGCCCAGGGCGGCTAGAGTTGTTAAGGTTCAGCAACGGAACCCAAGTATCGTCCAGCCATGGAGCAAGTGCCCTGGCTACCAGCATGAAAACCTGCTACTGAAGCCAAACAAGACTGTGGAGCTTATTGATGGCGACTTCCTTCGTATCCGAGATATTGTGTACAATGCACAAACACAAGAAGTTCGGGTCTGCGGGAATAGGTTCCAGCGAACACGAGACTTGAATGGACTTTTGGAAAGGAAGATGAATGAGCTGGTCCTGTTTCTGGAGGTCGACCTCGACGATCCTCGTCCTCATCTGGAGCAGTCTGCTGTCCAGATTCCACTGATTGAAATCAAGAAGATACGAAGTCTTCGTTTAACAAATCAGAAATTTCCCTTGGACAGGAATTTGCAACCCAAAGACTTTCGGACCCGGCACGACATCACTCATGAAGGAGGCTTGACTTGCCGATGGAAGTATACTTGCACGTACTCTACTGGAGCTGATAGATATCAGAACGTCCACAAGGAAAGGAGACTGGAACGAATCAGAGCAGACGAGTGTACGGGTGCCAATGTACTCTCGGATGCTGATCGTCGTTCGCAATGGCGGGAAGAAACTATTCCTGGAGGAGCTTACAAGCCTTCTCTTATGATCGATGCAGCCAGATCCCCGTCCATCATAGATGAAGGATTTCTAGATTCTGTTGGCAGCTCATCAAACCAAGAAGATCACAATGTTGAAGTAATCGCTACACATACCTCCACTGCTCGAGTTGGAAGGAACAGAGAAATGTCTGTGTCAGAAGTTTTCTGGCCAATAAAGACAGAGAAACGCAAGCATAGCGATACGGAAACGATGTCTCTCAGCATCCAGGAGAGAACGAAGCGACCTCGATTTGATGGAGAAGCAGTAGTCGAAGAGACTAGACGACGTCTGTCGATTTATACACTTGGGAACAACATCGAAGAGCCTGACATCTTACTTTCTCGAAGAAAGGTTTCTGAGGTTGTGATATCCAGTCAAACCATAGACTTCTCTCGAGATCCAAAGTCCTCCATATCTGAGCCCATCAACCTCATGTCCTCGGATCTGTCAACCCCACCGCCATCAGGATCAATACATACATCGGCTCTCATCCCTGTTGAACCAGTCCATCGTCTCCCAGGACAGAAACTCACCTACAGCGACGCCTTTTGCGGCGGCGGCGGTTCAACCAGAGGTGCTGTCATGGCAGGATTCCAAGTAAAATGGGGCTTCGACTTCAACAAACACGCGTGTGAGACCTGGAAGGCTAACTTCCCCAACGCAAACTGCTACCACGAATCCTCTCATGACTTTGTATCTCGTGTCCAGCATTCCCCCAGAAAAGAGCGTTTCAAGGTCGATATTCTGCATCTCTCGCCTCCTTGTCAGTTCTTCAGTCCGGCACATACTGTGGATGGCCAAGATGATGAGATGAATGTCGCCAGTCTTTTTGCGGTGCAGAGCGTGATCGAGGCTGCTAGGCCGAGAGTCGTGACCTTGGAACAGACATTTGGGATTGTGAATGAGAGGTTTAGGTGGTTCTTCAACGCGCTGATACAGATGTTCACAAGCCATGAGTTCTCTGTTAGGTGGGCTGTAATTCCATTGCAGCGGTGGGGATTGCCACAGCACAGGAGGAGGTTGATTATTATTGCTTCTTGGTAAGTCGAACCCTTTTCTTGACCTTTTTCGATATATCATGATAACCGGAGAAGAGTTTTGCTCACAAGAATCTAGCCCAGGTGAGGTCCTTCCCCGAATGCCTGATGCGACGCACGGCGAGAATCCTTCACTTGGTGATACGCTCAAACCTTACGTCTCCGTGGATTCAGTCCTGGCATCCATCCCAGCCAACGCACCTGATCATGATCGTCTTGCTGTCCGATTCGCTGAAGACAAACGCATGGCTCCATGGGACGGCTCCAAGATCCTCCCACGAGCAATGACCACCAGTGGAGGACAGAATTACCACCCGAAGGGATTTCGAGACTTCACATTGAGAGAGTATGCTTGTCTGCAGGGCTTTCCTGTATGCCACCTTTTCAAGGGGAATTATGTCAAGAAGCAGATTGGGAATGCGGTCCCGCCTGTCGTGGCGAAGGTTTTGTTTGAAAGTGTGAAGAGAGATTTGGATATTGCGGATGGAATTGTGGAAGGAGTTGAGGTTTTGGATTAGAGTTTGTACGATTCAATTTTGATGTTGCGAGTTTTGTTTAAATGAGTCTTCCTCTGAAAAGGAGTGTTTTTTGATTCTAAAAGGATATCTGGTTGGAGGGAAGGAAGAGACATTTCTGGGATCTCAAAATAGAACGGAAATGGAAAACAGTAAGACGTAATCAGTCCCGTATTTATAAATCTGACGACAAGGCTACATGATAGATTTCACTGAGCCTGATGCGTCGTATGTCTTCTGCGAATGTTTGGATACATCCGAAGCGTTTTATGGAAATTCTTCGCTGGCTTCTTGTCAAGCGAGTGGAAATTAACGATTATTGAACCATGGCACAAATATTTGAATAAGTTTCATTGGTTATCTGAAAGCATTCGCTGCATGCTTCTAATGCTAAATGCCCAGACAACAAGCGACGAGGACATATCGTGACACAACAATTCTCCGCTTGGAGGAACGTTTCGCAAATCTATATTGAGTACCGTATCGAGCAGTCGAACCTCTGTATCATTCGTACCTTATTCTAAGACATCGCGATGACTTCATACTGCGGAGTTGTCCTTCGGCCCACGGAATTTTTGACCGACAATTTCGAGTTTTGTTGCACTTCGATCGGTGCTCATTGATGCCGCTGACCGACCTGGCCTTATTCCATAGAGAGGCTAAACTTCCTTCTTCAACATTTATGGATACCCAGAGCGAAGAACTCTTGCCCCGGACATCGAGGTTCGTTCGCAGCGAGATAGTATATTTAGAGTTCCTATGGTTTGCAGGTTAGCAAGTTGCCCCAGTATGCGTTTGGTACGAGGCATCTATGATATGTAGTTGTATAGCTCAGTGATCTTGGTTATGAATAATCAGGACTTCGGAAAGTTCATTATTTTCAGTGCGTTTGTTGTAATCATTGCAAGGGAATATGTGATATGTATAGTAGAAAAAGGTGCGCTTACCATAATGCCGGGAGTGTATCGGGAGAGAAGGGTCTGAGAGAGTCCGGCACATTAGTCGTGGATACTGCTTTGAATCAACATGATCAGAAGGCCCAGTCTCTGAAGAGTGATTTGAGAGTTTGGCAACGGTAGGGTCACTGGACTAGATTTCTTCACGAGGTCAGCGAATCATCCCGAGAAAGACAGGCATTGATACTTTTGGTTGAAGAGAAATTCAGAATATGTAAGATTGAATGTCATCCACTCGAACGATATAGCGACCCCGGCGAGGGTGCCACCGAACAAGGTCAATCGCAAATTATATCATCATAAAAGGATTGGGAAAGCAAGCAGGTAGTTAGGGTTCAGACTTACCATTATTTCATACGAGGGAAAGGAGTCATTGCGAATATGTTGATGCCACTAATGACTCCTAACTGAAATAACAACAGAGTGTTGCAGCAAAGTGCTGGTGTTGAGACACTGCTAGGAAATATCATGAAAATGAAGAAAAGTTCTTGAAGTTTTGATGTTGAAAACGGAGCTTGGAGAAGGCTGCGGCCCTAATCCTGCATAGCTGCCTTACCAGGCTACCATAGAAAAATTTAGGGTGCGTTTCGCTAATCACACACAAACCAATTTTGGCGGAAATCGATTTCTACAGTACAACGATAAATTTCTCGACAACCCGCCCAGTACGTCTTTGAAAGCTCACCGCGTTTTCGCAGACCCTCAGCTAATCGTATTAATTCAGAATCATTCACAATGGGTGACGCAGAGATCACGGCATCGTCATGGAGATTGGTCGAGGTTGGCCGAATCGTCCTCATCTCAAAAGGACCTTCTGAGGGAAAGCTGGCTACAATCGTCGAGATCATTGACCACAAGCGCGTATGTCATGCTTGACTTGGGACTGGAAGCAAGGCGCATTTACTGATTAAGATACAGGCTCTCGTCGATGGACCATCAACAGACACCAAGACCGCCTGCCCTCGCCAAGCAGTTGCCCTCCAAAACGTCATCCTCACTCCTCTGGTCCTCGAGAAGCTCCCCCGTGGTGCACGAACTGGTGTTGTCAAGGCGCAATGGGAGAAGGCTGGTATTGAGGCGAAGTGGCAAGAGAGTTCGTGGGCCAAGAAGCGTCAACAAAGAGAGCGAAGACGAGCATTGACCGATTTCGACCGATTCAAGGTTATGCGATTGAAGAAGCAGGCACGATTCGAGATTCGAAAGTCTTTGTCTAAGGTCAAGGCTGCGAAATAGAGGATTGAAGGGTTTGGGCTTGCTATCATGACTGCGTTGGGTTGCTGGATTCCTTTGCTTCTCTGGGAGCTTTGTATCCTACGTCAAATTTGACAGGCGTCAGAGCATATGGACTTCATAAAAGACAAATGGAGTGCTTTCCGAGAATTTTGCTACGGGTGATCTGGTTCTATGTGTCCATGTTTGTGTGTTTAAAGTTTTGGGGATAGAAGTCCATTGTGATATTCAGCAGCTCCAAGAGCAAAATCGAAAATGCCCATGAAATATCCGTGAATATCGCGTTGATCCAAATCATACCTATTCACCGCTGAAGCTCTGCGTGCCTTCCTTCTATGTTCTGCGATAATCCTAATACGGTAGTCTAAATTACTAGCGAAAGCACAACTCTATGCTTTGCTGTCCGTGAACATTCAATATCGCGTGAACACTACCACTCATTCTACATTTCGTACTTGAGGTAAGTTGAACATACGTTCCATAGGAAATCGCGACAAGTCTTTTTTCGAGGTTTCTATTCCCTAAGAACCTGCGGGGCTAAGCGCACACTCGAAATTTCTCAAATAAACGAACACACAACAACCTGCTAATAATTTACACCACAGACATACCGCCCACCATGTCTAACCCACGCATCGAAGAGCTCCCAGACGATGAACCCACCAAGAACGTCACCGCTGAGGACGAGGGATCCGAAAGCTCTGACTCCGATGTCGAGGCCGGCGAAGGTGGCATTCCAGCAGGAGGAGCAATTGTTCACTCTCGCAATGAAAAGAAGGCGCGCAAGTCAATCATGAAGCTCGGGCTCCAGAAGGTTCCTGGTATCACCAGAGTTACTCTGAGAAGACCAAAGAACGTGAGTGTGCCTTTGCGTTGGAGCTTCCTACAGGCTGCGAACATTTCTGCCAACCACGACGTCACAAGCTCTGTGGGACATCGATATCGAGCCTGGCCGATGGAGCTGCAAGAAATAGAGGACTTTGGCCTGTTTACAAGTACAGTGTGCTAATAATTATATGTTGCAGATCCTCTTCGTGATCAACAACCCCGAGGTTTACAAGTCTCCCTCAAGCAATACCTACATGTAAGCACACCATATCTAAATTCCACACGTTTAGCAACTGACACAATCTAACAGCGTATTCGGTGAGGCTAAGATTGAGGACTTGAACTCTCAAGCACAAGCTTCCGCTGCTCAGCAACTTGCCGCTCAAGAGGCTCACGACCACGCCGGACACGATCACTCTGGGCATGACCACTCTGGCCACGACCACGGCAAGGGCAAGGCTATCGATACTGGTGATGACAAGAAGGACGAGGACGAGGACGACGGAGAAGAGGTTGACGCTTCTGGTTTGGAGGACAAGGACATCGAGCTGGTTATGACACAAGCTAGCGTTTCTCGCAACAAGGCTATCAAGGCTCTCAAGGAGAACGATAACGATATAGTCAACTCTATTATGGCTCTGAGCATATAGAGTCTATAGTGGTGGTCTTGCATGGCAATGCTGGACTGGCTGGAGGGGTTGTCGACAAATTCAGACGCTGATACTGCATCCAAAAAGCAATGTATTCTGAAATGCAAAGATTGGACTTGCAATCCAAAAATCTCTGGACCTCTATGTATGTGAAGTACTTGTTTTTGTGATGTTCTGGGGGCATATAAATCTTGCTCGTGCAAGCAAGTAACATCATGGAGTGATTTCAGTGTTTCCCAATGCTTTGACATATTTTATTAAAACCAGAAAAGTCCCCTTCTGAAGCTCTAGCAGCTAGCTTGTAACCTTTATTCGAATATTAACAAGAAAATCGCATATTCTTTTCGCTCGTCTCATAAAGCTGCTCGGCGCGTGTTTCTGAACGCCTCATTATCAAGGCACCAACACCGGCCCGGCAAGAAAGCTCTCTGAACCTTCAACAACTCAAGACAACTACATCTCTCCCCTCATCAATCGCCCCAATACCATCACAATGGCTGCCGGAGTAAGTTCAACCGCCCAATTGCTCATTACACCCTCCTGCGAGCTGTTTCCACTCTGCAATACCTTCCAGGCAGTCCTCCACGTCTCCGAATTGTGCCGAAAAATCGCAACTCCTGTAAATCCATAGCTAACCCATCTTCTACTACAGCGAAGCGCAGCTCTGAAGCTCGACTGGGCAAAGGTCACTCAATCCCTTGGTCTCCGTGGCCAGACCGCCACCTCTCTCCAAGCCTTCAAGAAACGCAATGAGGATGCTCGTCGCAGAGTGCAAGTGCTGTCCGAACAGCCATCGAAGGTCGACTTTTCACACTACCGGTCCATCTTGAAGAACCAAGCTGTTGTCGATGAAATCGAGAAACATTTCAGCACTTTCAAGCCAGCGACATATGATGTTGCTAGACAAATCAAGGCCATTGAGGCTTTCGAGGCACAAGCTGTGAAGAATGCTGAGGAGACCAAGGGACGTGTTGACATGGAGTTGAAGGATTTGGAGAAGACATTGAAGAACATCGAGGAGGCTAGACCGTTTGAGGACCTCACTGTGGTATGTCTTACCGTGGTAGAGTTTTGGATAAACAGGGATGGGACTAATCTGCTGTGTGCTTATAGGATGAAGTTGCTGCTGCTCGTCCGGACATCGATGAGAAGACCTCCCAACTCGTTTCAAAGGGACGCTGGTCTGTACCAGGCTACAAGGTACGTAGTTAAACATACATCTCTGTGGTATTTGCATAATCACTAACTATTCTACAGGAGAAATTCGGCGACCTTTCGATTCTCTAGGCAATTGCCTCGCATCCTTTCCTATGTCTGTACTTGTGTAAATAGCGGACCAGTAGAAGACGAGATCAAGAAGGCATATTCACAAATATTGTAGCTTCTCATCATTGCGGTGACCAATGTGCGAAAGTTGGTCTTATTTTTACTCATTCAAAATCGCAAGTGTGGATTATCAAGTTTTGTCTTTATGCCAAGTACTGGGAACAGCTCCGTGTTCAAAATTGTACAAAGCAAAATAAATCATCTAGAGTGCTATCAAGTCCTCTATGTTGCTTCTCAACGCGAAGTCTGAATAGAATCCGGACATCGAACATCTCTGTTGAGCAAGTCGAAAAGCTTGTTCTCTCATACATTCATGAATTTCTTCTCAAACTCCTCATCGGTGAAAGGCACAAAGTCTCCTGGTATCTCTGGTCCCCAATTAGATCTAGGCTTCTTTGCTGGTGGGACTTCACTCTCAATCAGCCACTTTAAGCCCTCTATCATATCGTTCTCAGCCTGCACTGCTCTTTCCAATAAAGGTGCTTTCAACCAGAAAGTATGTGGCCATCCCTCCACCACATCCAGCTTCACGTCAATCCCCGCTTCTCTCAATGCTTCAGCATAACACACGCCATCCGAATAGTAGATATCATTCGTTGACACCTGGATCCAATGTCTCGGTAGCTTACTCAAGTCCTCCACTTCCAACGGCAATGGACTTGAAGTCCTATTCTTCGAATGCAGGGCAGAATTTGCTAGCAGCGAAGTATGAAAGGCCTCATGCATCGACGTATGTCTCGCTCTCAACTTCTCGCTAAGATTCGCTCCTCCATTGGTAGCATCACAGGTAACAGGGCCCCGCAACAAAACACCATGGATCCGTTTATCTCCTTGCGGAACAGCAAAGGCTCTATATTGCTGCGAGATCTGAGCTGCTAGTTGACCACCTGACGAACTGCCCATTATGATCAAACGGCTCCTGCTTCGCAAAGATACGATGCCTTGGAAAGCACGTAGTGCGTCAGCGAGTGCATCATCGGCGGGAAACTCTGGCATGAGCCGATACTCGACCGAGTAGACTGTGCATTGCAACTCTTTGCAGATTCGACGGCAAGTCAAGTCTTCGCTATCCAAGTCACCGACGTGTAGACCTCCGCCATGGTAGTAGACGACAATAGGATGTAGGGGCTCTCTGGGAACAAAGCTTTTGAGATCATATGGTGGTGGTGATCCCTCTATAGCTGGAATAGCACTGTAGCTTCGGACTGGAATTGTTCCGATGCTTGTGTCGTGGATTTTGATGCCTTCTGCGAGGTGCTTGTCACGGCCGGTAAGAAGTTGGGCGTTGAGGTCTTTGCATCGTTGGCTGTAAAGCGCTCGACGCTCTTTAGGGTCGGTAATCGTGGGCTGAGGGGCGAATAGGTTGGCTGCTTGTTCGTGAACGAGCCAGGCTGGGTCGAGAGGAGGTGGGAGTTTTGGAAACATGTTGGGATCCATTGCCAAAATTTCCTTTGGAGAAGTGATGACACCTCTTTAAGGTAGCGGCGTGGATAATTCGAATATACTGTGTAAAAAGGAAGCCTCTGACTGTCTTCATTCAGTGTTACTGTCTTTGGTAAGCTTTGAGAAGTTATGAGAGAGAGGAGCCATTGAAAGTAGCTTTGAAGGTTAACTTGTACGCGCGATCTCCGGCTAGATCTTGGACTTTATAGTTTGGAAGATTTGGGGAACATACTTAAACGCTAGAAGAATCGCCCAAAAAATGCTTCCTTGCCTCGAAACATCTCACAAATGAGATACGATTTCTCCGGGTATAGGATAGCATCAGGAGGTATGATGTCTTATGTGATCTGAGACCCTAGTATCCCACTGGATGCTATCTGCTCTGAGAACGACAGGTCCCCATCTTGTACATTTCAAGTCTATGTATAAGAGCTGTTCTAGCATATAAAAGGTTCTGGAATGAGTAAACATCTCGAAGCTGGGCAATGATGCGAATTTAGCCGGCTTCGAATCACGTGAATCTACTATACCCCTATCCGATCACGACTGACAAGAACCAGCCTTGTCAAACGGAGCATATATGTTTAGGTGCGAAATTACAAGCCTGGTAATGAGGTTGGCAAAGTTCTGTGAAACCAAGTCGATCGCAGTAAATTATTAGATTAATTGCTACTCATTAACTTCTTGAGGGCCCATTGAACCGAGAGGCCTCTGAGATCGTTGTAGTGCTGACCGGTACCTACGAAGAGAACGGGCACATTGGTAGCATGCACCATGCTTACCAACGTACCAACCATATCTCCTACAGTATCACATTTCGAGATGATGAAGCCATCAAGACTTCGCCCGTTGCCAAATGCCGCATTGAAGTTACGAGCTTGGGCAACAGAGTCTGTTCCAACTAACGCTTCTCCGACCATGAGAATCTTATCCGGTTTGGCAAAGTTTGCGAACTTTTCCAGGGAAGACATGAGTCGCTGAATGCTTGTTAGTGATTTGAACCTGGAAGGAAACATAAAACATACCTGATCATTGTGTCGTCGACCAGCGGTATCGATCAGGACTACATCATATCCCTCCTGTGCCCCGAAAGTTACGGCATCTTTAGCAACGTTTGCTGCATCCTTTCCATAGCCCTTCTGATAGAGCTCCACCTTGCCGGTTCCCTCCCGAGCAGTGAGTTCCTTCAAATTTCGTACGTGAACGGCCAATTGCTCAACCGCGCCAGATCTGAAAGTATCACAAGCAACTACGAGAACTTTGAAATTTCTCTGCAGCAGGAAAAAGCATATTTTCGACAAGTTCGTCGATTTTCCAACTCCATTTACACCCACGATTGAGATGACATATGGTCGCTGCTTCTTGATAGCATTTATCTCCAACACAAGATCGTGAGAAGATGTTGGAGTAAGCATTTTTTGCAGTGACGATTCCATTGCGCTTTCGATTCTGGTTTGTATACCTGCGCACAAATTAGCCAATGTATAAATTGAAGTACTTGAGATACTGACTCTCGAAGTTTTCCGTCTTCACTCCGATCAGCTCTCTCTCCACGCCTTCACACAATCGAATAGCTGCTTCACGAGCAACGTTCTTCCGCAGTAGGTGATCTTCCATTGCCTTCATAGGCTTCTCCAAATCTTCTTTTGTCAACGTCTTTCCTCCGACAATGCTTCTAAAATATCCACCAATAGCACTTATGCTCGAGCCCACAATTCCTGTGGACGAGGTTACTGTATCTGTTTTCTTTGCAGTCGCTGACGCCAATATCGAATCAACCTGGTCGTCTAAATCCTTTAAGAAGAACTCTCCCTTTTCGTTCTTCCAGCCCCAAGACGATTGGTCGATTTCCTTCATGGCTCCTGGTCGCTCCTTGATCTCGTCTTCGCCGGAAGTAGCACCATTAGCAGGCGCAGAATAATCCAGGGGTGTATCGCTATCCTCGTCTGCTAGGCCATCCGCGTCCCATTTTCTACCTTTCTTCGCTACTGCAGGCTTGCTAGCCTTATCCCGCTTGGATTGAAGCTCATCGCCGGATGAAGCATATGCTGTAGGTGTGTTGGCAGCTTTGCGTGCTCTTCGAGACCCTTTTCCTCCCGGTCCTCCTTTACCTGTCAATAAGTGACTCGCTGGGGTGCTCGGTCGTGAGGTATCAGGCGTCGCAATAGGAGTGGATTCGTTGGAGGTGAGATCTTTGTAGTTGTTCTTGGAGGCGCCTCTAGACAGAATTCCAGGTAGAGGAGGCGGCTCATTCCCGAAGTCCTGAGTTACTGAAGCGGGAGCTTCTGCACGCAAAGCAGTTGATTCGGCGACCTTTGTATCTCGGTTCAAAGCTGTCTTCTCAAGCTGTCGAATTTGCTGATCGAAATAATCGTCGAAGGCGCATTTGACTATGGTGGTGTGTGGTTTTCTTAATTGATCGCCATACAACTCCACAAATATGATCTTGATATTATCCACAAGTTTATCAATCCAAGATAGGTGCAAAAGAGATCGATAGACAGCCTGCAATAATTTTAAGTCAGCCAAAGCTTTGCTTAGGGAATTCTGCCAGAGGTAGGGTAGGCCGTCTGCGGAATTCGGCGACGCACCACGAATATCAAACCTAGCTCTTTGACGGTCGTCCATTTGCACGTATGTTGGTCGTACTTATATGGAGGATTGTTTGCGGCAGAGATATCGTCTGCAACTCCAGCTCCAGGAAGTGTGCGCTCCTCGATGAAGACACTGGTTATGAGACTGTTGATGATGGAAGGACTGGTCGGCGCATACGTTTTCGACCATAGGACAACACCAGAGGTTGTAAGAATCTCGAAAGAATCCAACATATTGGCAGATTGAATATGGTAGATTATGAAAAAGAAGTGTCCAAAGCCCAGCAAGACATTGAAGAATGCGGTTCGCCGCGATAAGGATTAGCGCCGAAGTTTAAGCGGCTATCAATAGGCTCTTCAAGTGGAAATCTGTTCGAATAACACCTTTTCAACTCGACACATAGCCAGGCCTTCCTCTTCAATTATCCTGCCTTTTCAAAGCAGTTCAAGCTGCTGAATAAAATTCACCGCCTCTTCAGTCCACTTTCCACAGATTTGAGGCTCACAATCACTTCATTCTGATCATCAAGATGCAACGAACAGGTTATGGGAACCCCCCTCCTGCGACATCGCCGCCGCTGCACCATCCAGTGCCTCAGCATATTTCTGCAGTTCCCCAGCTAAGGTCTCCTCCTCCTCCAGCTCCTCAAATTCAACATCAAGCCGGCTATGGAAATCCATACCAATCCCACCCTCCGCCGCAAGGCTCATTTGGTGCATATGGCAATTTCATGTCAGACCCTACGGCGCAAATGGGATTCCAGGTTGGGCAAACAGCTTTGAAGCACGGTACAGAATACTTGGAACAAAATGTTAGCAGGAGAAATCTTATTCCATGCGAAGCTGAGACTGACTCCGAATCAGGTTAACCGTTATGTCAACATATCCGCGATCAAACACTACTTTAATGTCTCGAATTCCTACGTGGTAAACAAACTATTCCTGGTACTTTTTCCGTGGAGGCACAAGCCCTGGTCGCGCAAACAGTCTACTGGCCCCAATGGCCAAGAAGGGTGGTATCTACCTCCTAGAGATGATTTAAACAGCCCGGACATGTACATTCCATTGATGGGTTTCGTCACATATATACTCCTTTCAGCAATGGTGGCAGGTCTTCGAGGCGAATTCCAGCCAGAAATCTTTGGATGGACTGCTTCAGCAGCTTTTGTCATGGTTGCCGTGGAACTTTTACTCTTGAAGCTCGGATGTTACCTTTTGTCTATCTCGAATGACTCCCAGCTCCTTGATCTTATTGCCTATTCGGGGTACAAATTCGTGGGAGCTATTGTGACTATCGTGCTCAGCGAAATCTTGAATGGAGGCAAGGGAACTGGTGGATGGATTGGATGGACAATATTCACCTACACATTTATGGCGAATGCTCTATTTTTGGTAAGCCATGTGGATTACTACCTTTGTGATGGCTATTGACTTGTTCAAAGCTCCGGTCCTTGAAGTATGTTCTGCTTCCCGAGAATCCCAGCGACGAAAGAGGAACCATGCAAACAGTAGCTCGATCCCAAAAGATGCAAAGAACGTACTTCTTGGCTGGGTACTCGTATGTGGTACAGCTGGTTTTGATGTGGTATCTTACGAGAGTGTAAAGCTTTGGTGGGAGCGGCGTTGTGTTGGCGTCTGGATGTAAGGGTGAAAACGGTCAAGGCCTCCCAACGATAGGCATCGAATCATCGCGTCGGAGGGGAAAAAGAGCCTTGCCATGGAGCTATGGCGCTCATGTGTACCATACGATATTAATGTAAATGCAGATGACACAAACCGACCGTCTTTTGCATCATGTCTGAAGGGGGTTTCTTGTGAGTACACGAATCAATGATCCCCTCCTTTTAATTCATCTTTCGCCTTCTTTCTCTCGTCGAATTGTACACACTTGATAAACCTTGAGGGTTGCGATCAAGATCCTGATTTCATTTCCTACCGCTGGATGCCAGTTGCACCTTCCTTCCCACATGCCACTATGCAAGCTCACATGTCGCTTTCTCGATTCGTGATTCTTTTCTCCTTTCATCCAACACTTCATATCAACAAGCATTGCCAACGTCTCGATTTTGATCACCGTTCATTCTCAAAGTTATCAATACATATATCTATCTTGCTTCCTCCCGTCAAGCGCTTTAGGACGGATTGACGATGTCGGAGAACATTCCTCTTGTGGCTATAGCTGGCAATCATCCCAGGACGGCGTCGTCCTCTATGGATACAGCGGCAGCGAGCAATCCTGCCACACTTCTATCCGTCACGGACCGAGAAGGCCAAGACGAAGGTACGCTCCCCCCCCCCGGCTTGGCATCGTATTATGCTAATTGATGCAGAGGGCGAGACAGATTTTGGGGAAGGTTCTCGTCAAACTGAATTAGCCTACACGAATCACCAGAATCTCTTGCCATTATGTTGGCCAAGCATAATTTGCTGGGGTATAACGTTCGTCCTGGAGGTTGTTGTCTACATCATAGTTCGCATATTCGAAGAAAAGCCATACGAACAAAGTACTTTGCAGCCCATCCTGTTCATCATGCGCAGTTGGATAATCCTACTGGCATTTGTTTCCTTACATACCTTCAAGGTCATGGCACTTGATGCTCGCTGGTTATGTTTTCGTGCTCAAACAGTCGAAAACACAGATGTATGTTTCTTTGCGTTTGATCGAAGCCTCAATTAATACGTGCTTAGGCAGACATTCTCAGGGAAAGTGATAACCCTTTCACTGTACTCTACAGAGCCTGTATAAGCAAGCGATTTCAGGTTGCGGGATACTGTGGTTGGTTCCTTGTGTGCATCTTGGTAACTTTCTCAGCAATTTCAACATTTGAGATCACGCTACTAACATTGGTCAGGTGGCTCAGTATGGCGTGGTTTCCTTGTTCTGGAAATGTTCTACGATTGCAGCTAGTCAAGACGTTCTCTGGTCCACCCAGCATGGATCTGTGTTTTATCAGAATCTAACCCTGGCCAAGGTCTTCGCTAATTCTACTGGGCTCGAAGAAGATTATTCTGACTTCAAGCGTTTGTCTGGATTCGACGAAGACCCTTATCATTTTGGGCGATTCTCTATGGTTCACCAATATGGAATTGTTGGAAGTCGGTATAACACACAATCCGTCTCGCCATTGAAGAATATTGCTGGTACTATAGCGGATCAGAAACACCCCGTACTGGTAGGACAACTCTCCGATCGCTTGCTACAGGCGTGTTCCAGAGGTGTTATCCTGGTCGACCACACCCGTCCCTTTTACCGTTGTCGCCTACAGTAGCATACTGACTATTTATCTCAGTGGTCCGATGAGGTTGCTCGTTGGAAATATATATTCACTGAAACCTCAGTCCTACATCCTTCTCATACATCGCTTCCGCCATCGATCTACAGCTATGCCAACATATCCTCTGAAGCATCTTGTTCTACGCCGCTATTCAAGATGCGGCGACCGAGAGACGATGCTCCTGTTTTAATCGTCGCAGACAGCCAGTACGACGAAATTGTCGACGACATGGAGCAAACCTGGGATTGGAATTATACTGCATTAGATTCTCACCGACAGTTCTTCCCTGCAGCCTTCGAATGGAGAGGTACTGTGTCCTACGTCACGACACTGGACGAAACATACGCCGAAGGCAGTTGCGGTCTAGGCTGTAGTAATGTCAAAGTTCTGGAAAAGGTAGCGCCTGATCTCGAGCCTGGAATGCCCCTCGATGGATCAATGCAAACCTTCTACTTTTATGACTGCAATATTACTGTACATCCCGTGGACAGCCTTATCTCTTCAGAGAATGCTGCCGTCGCTGCAAAAGCCATTGCGCTTTCTGAATTTACATTATTCTACCCCCACGACGGCCCTTGGATAGCAGATAAGGCCAGACTCTTCACTAGCAGTATAGGCTACGATCGAATGGACAATTCTTCAGGACGCATGGCAAGTTATCTTTCAAAACACGCTTCGGGGGTTATTGCAGCCGCAGCTGCAACAGTCCCACAAGAACAACGAATTGGCCCTGCTCCTGTACAAGGCGCGCATTTGAAAGTAGAGGGCATATTTTACCTCGTCCCCTTTGCTATCGTGGCATGCCAAGCTCTTCTGCTCTATCTTCTCCATAAGTATGTCATGCGCAAAATCAGGATACCTTATTCTGTAGGCAATGTAGCACTATCACAGCTTCAAGAACGTTTCGGAATGGCCCAAACGGGAGGCAATAGATTGACAAATTCATCTGTTGGACGCGAATGAGGAGAACGATTTATCATGTGTTGTGTTAGTCCGATGGGAGATCGGATGGGGTTGTAAGAAGAGTCTTGGTCATCATCCTTACAGCGAATGTCGCATGAAATTCATCATTTCATGGCATAGCGATACAAATTCAAGCTTTTAGCTTAAACTAATGACTTGCTCGCATTTTGATGTTCGTGTGCCATTTTTCAATTGAGAACTGCAACTTGAGTGCAAGGCTTCTAAACCGAGCCAGCTAAGGACGTTCAGAAGCAAAGGAAAAGTAGCCCCTTCCAAAGAAGCCCATTCAAAGTATCTTGGTAAATATAGAATCAAGGAACTCACGCAATGACTTAGCCACTTGAACGAAGCCTTTCCAACCAATTCACGGCTGTATCTAGCTCACATCGCGTTCAACTTACTTCTAAGAGAGAGCTGTATAAAAAAATTCCCACCTTCAATTGTCAATGTGGGTACCCCACGACAGCCTTGCACAAACCTCCTCAACCAAACCCACCCGACCAATGACCACCTGAAGCGAAGCGAGTCAATATTGAATTCCCCCTTGTTTAAGCATAAGTTTATAAATAACTTTAGCGAGTCCCTCCCATTGGACGCCAAAGCCCAAGCTCTCATGTCTGAACCTCGCGGTGGCTTTCGACCTGAATGCTGGGTGGTTCCCTCGACGGGAACTTAATCCTACTGCGGGAGTGGGGAGACAACCTCCTTTCCGACTTGGGACGGTAAATGGGACGTTGATGCTGGATGTGGCGGTTACAACAGGACGGGATGGGAAATCATGGCATGGGATGGTCAGGAGTACCCTTTCCCGTTCTTTCTCTCTTGTCTTTCCTTTCGATAATCTTTTTGCCTTTGGTTAAAGCCCACTATGAGGAGGCTTGAGTTGTCGATACTTCTCGGGCTGTTTGTGGGAGATGGCATGACCGCGATTGTATATGTCACCGATCTTCCCGTCTACTCGGCGCTCGCTCCTTGTGCGCAATTTGCGGTCAGTTATGAGGTTCAGCAGTTGACGGAAAGCGAGTGTGTAGCGGGCGTCACGTCGTTAGAAGCGTGTGCTTGTACACAGGATCAGAATTCTGCTGCGATTTCATCCAGTATCTCCAACCAAGTTCTCTTCTCGTGTGGGAAGACGGCTACAGACGATGTCTCGAGCGCATCTGTGGTTTTTTCTGCATATTGCAATCAAGGAGGAACGGTCGCGACGGACCCTCCAGGACCAAATGCTGTTACTCAGTACATCACCGATTTATCGGCCTACTCGGATCTCGCACCATGTGCGTCTGGGGGACTGTCCTACCTGATCATGGGCATGACGAACAGCGATTGTAATACTCTCGGCCCCTCAGCATTGGCTAGTTGCGTCTGCTCGAAGAACCAGAACTCCCTCGCTGCCAGCGAAAGCCTCAATGCGCAAATTAAGTTCACATGCGGTTCGACACATACCGAAGATATTACCTCTGCGCAAGCAGTTTTAGCAGGATACTGTGGCCTGGCAAATGGGACGACATCCTTCCCAACACCATCGTATCTACCGGGGAGCGTATCTTACTATATCACCGCGTTGCCGCAATTCCAAAGTCTCGCAAGTTGTGCTCAGGAGGCGCTTTCGTATCCTGTCCTCGCGCAGACATTCTCTGATTGTCCGTCGAATCCGCAGGCGCTGGTATCATGTCTTTGTGTAAAGGACTCGAATTCGCAGATGATGACGAGTAAGATTAGTGGGAGTGCCAGTCTGTTCTGCGGCTCGACTGCGAGTGCGAATATGGCATCTGCTTTGTCTGTTTTTGACTACTATTGTAGCGTTGGAAAGGGACTGGCAACTGTGGCAGGACAGCTATCATCAGGTAAGGACTAAGATTGTGTCTGAAGGGAAAATAACTGATGAGATGGCTTCGCAGTGGCAACGACCCCATACGGCTCGAAGACAGGGAGCCAAGCAACGGCAACAGGGAAATATTCCACTCCAGGAGCAACATCGACGGGGTCTTCAGGAAATGGGGGAGGTACAATTCTATCGAGTCCACTTGGAGGAACTAAGGATGGCGTGCCTGTAGCTGCAATCGCTGGAGCAGCAGCTGGCGCCCTTATACTTATCTGCTTGATGTTGATCGTGGGGTGGAGATACAGGAGACGACGTTTGAGAAATCGGCCTCTTCCTCCACCGGTTATGGTCCAGCCCGGTCCACGCCCAGGTAACCGACCTGACTGGTCGAAATCAGAGCTTGCGAATACTGAGACTTCAGCGATACCCCCAAAGAGCTCGACTTTGAGAAAGCCAGTGCCGGTACCTATGTCGCCTGTCTCGCCGATAGATAACAGGCCCAGCCTAATTCCAAGTCCACGACCGAGACCAGCAGAAATGCCAGTGCCGCCACCTCCGTTTCGAGCGGAAGTACCAGGCGGGCCAAATGCGCATGAATTACAACTTAGTGTCCCGCAGCATGAGGTGCCAGGGTCGAATCAGCATTCCGTGGAGATGGGAGCGAGTCTGAGCGGACCATTTGAGATGGCTGGAGATCCACACTGGCGATCTTAACCCGCCGCCTCCCTCTGCTTTATTCTCATAGACCCTGAAGTATACGTTAGATAGTAAGGAGGCGCTTATTGAAGCATTCCCTGATTGGAGTATGGAGTTTCATGTTCTGGAGTTGGAACTTGTATGATAATCATGAACTTCTGAAATATATATTGGTCTAGAATGTATATCTCTAAATGGTTTATAGTTTGGCCCTACCGAGCTTGAGATCTTCCCACTGGTCAACGTGAAAGTCGACATAGCCTGGGTAACATCAGCACTTGTCCATTCGAGTCGCAGACGAGGATGAAGATCCGATTCTTTTTTCCAGTGGTGGGTATCAGGAGCGACTCTGTGCTGACAGAATGTACGAAGATAAATCAAGACATCCGTATCTGTATTGACGAATTGTGAAAGAAGTCGAAGAACCGAGAATGACTTACTGTGACCCTTGCCGTTCTCATCAATCCATAAGACCTTGTCCTCTAATTTGACCTTTGTTGGGTCAACGCCCTCTTCTCGAAGGGGAACCTTGTTCTGCTTGTTGTTGTGGATGGGCGTCATCTCCTTGACAATGCGAACAAAGACAGGCACGGCGTATCTTGGAAGATGAACCCTCGCATATCTGAGTCGTATTAGCTCAGTGATCTCAATTCAAGCTTGATCACTTACTTGAGCAGTCCAGCGTAATCAAAATTCTTCTTGACAGCAGGATCGATGTAGACTGCAGCACAGCCTGCTTTACCGTCATGAAATGGTAGAACCACGCCATATACGTTTGCTTCAACAACTCCTGGGTATTTCCCCAGGACCTCGGCGACCTCGGCCGTACTGACGTTCTCGCCTTTCCACCTGAAAGTATCTCCAAGGCGATCCATGAAAAACCATCGTCCATCTAGAGTTCTCCGAAGTGCATCGCCTGATCGATACCACAAGTCTCCTTTCTTGAAAACGTTGCGTTCGAACTTTTTCGCAGTGGCTCCTGGATTGTTGTAATATCCAGGGAAGAATTGCTCGTTCGGGACCTGAACAATCATTTCACCGCCTGTCTCATATGGTTGTCGATAGGCGAAACCTGTTTTTGGATCTCGAGCAATCTCTCCAGATGCTTGATCGATCAGGACTGGGACCATATAATCCTTAAATCGGTAGCGCAATATTGCCCCGTGATGTCCAACACAAGTTGCAAGGTAATCACCTCTGCAATTGTTGATGAGACCGAACACGCCTTCAGAAGAGGCGAAGAACTCAGACATCTCACTAACGCCGAATCTTTCGCGAAATTTGAACCAAACGTCAGGTCGAAGTCCATTGCCATACATACCACGGACGTGGTGATCTTTGTCAAGCGGTGATGGTGGAGCAGCTAACAGATATCGAGCTGTCTCTCCTACATACGTGATCCATGTTGCACGCGAATCATGAACGTCTTGCCAGAATTTGGACGTGCTGAATCTTTTGCCAATGCAAAGCGTGAGACCGGTCATCATACAAGACATCGCTAGAACTCCCCCTGTACCATGGTAATATGGCATGCAATCATACCAACGATCGTCGTCAAGCTCATTGGTTCTTCTTCCGGCAGCACGCTATGGTGGATTAGTCTTCCGTTCAACTACAGGCAAATCAAGCTACACTTACCTCATACGAACGCTCAACGGTGTATGGAACGCCTTTGGGCATGCCGGTAGTGCCACTACAAGAATGTTAGCTTTGAAATCTACTACGTGTGGAACACCCACCTTGTGTAGAACAAGGCCATAGGCCACTCTCCTCTCACACCTTCTCTGTATACATCTGCCGGCCTCTCCGGCTTGACAGCACGGATTGTGTTCGTGGTGGCTCTGTCTTGAACACTGATTTTCATGCCGAGATCTCCCTCAATTTGACTACGGACGTCATCAACTCTTTGCCTGAGTGCTGGCTCCTCATCGGCCAACAGCAACTTTGCATTGCTGACTTTCAGACAATGAATTAAGGCATTTCCCGCTAAATTATAATTGATCATAGCAGGAGCGGCACCAATAGCCCAGAGCCCCAACCATGCGAAGATGAAATCAGGGCTATTGGTCAAATAGAAAGCCACATAGTCGTGAGGCTTGACTCCCTGCTCTAGAAACCAATTGGCCCATTGGTGGCTTCTCTCGTACGCTTGTGTCCATGTGTAGCATCCTTCTCTCGACCATATACACTCGTCGTTGGGTTTACGTTGGACGGAAGCTTCGAAGAAGTAGTACAGCGAAATCCGATTCTCTTTGACTAAACAGCTGTTAGATCGATAAAAAGCAGCGGCTTGGAGTATTTACCATGCGCTGCGTACAACTTTTCAATGTACTTCAGGCGCCTCAATGAGTAAATGTCCTTTCTTAAAGCATATTTCCCGTCCAAGTAAGCTGCAGCTCCCAATGTGACAGCAATTGCTACAGCAGTCACTGATCGAAGGTGCCATGTTAGCAAAGGAAAATCGTTGCTTGGGGTAGGACGTTGAGAGAGTGGAAGCATTTATGAGCTTGGTGAGAGTGGGGTGTCACGAATCACGGAGTGGGGTGTGTTTAGAAGCTTACCGAGTGCCATTTTATGCCCGGTCAATTCCGAACTCTACAACATATAATTTGAACCAAGATATTTAACAAAGATCAACAGGAGCACGTCCTCACTCTCTCAAGCTGGACGAGAGTAATTTGGAATCTTTGTTTCGGTGCTTTTGTCAACACCGAGGCACGTTCAGTCAACTCCCGGATTTCCTACTGCAAACCCCGCGCTCTGGAAGTTTGGTCATTGGCCACGATGCCGAACGCGTGAAGCTTGCGGGAGACTCGACATCTTGCCGTGTTCCGTCAAGTGGCTGTTTGGTGGGATGAGCTGCATTATTCAGTATCTTACCGACTTCAGAATGCTCCCAGACAGAATCCTCCACTGTCCAATCGGAAATGAAGCCTGGTGGGATTGATGGGATTGACGATGGACATTCAACATCTCCTTAGCTCGTCCGAGTCGGTCAATACTGTTCCATCATCAAATCTCTGTCAAGATTGCCGTCACATTTTCAATCACTGGGATGAAGTGCTTGAGGACGATTACAACGCAAGATTTCCGCATTGCCAGAATATATTTGGGCTCATCGAATCAGCTGCAAGGGGATGTTATCTGTGCAACCAATTCCTGAGAAACTTGGAGATAAGAGGCATAGCGAAAACATTGCGAGGCCTCACAATCGACATCTTGAATTCTGCGGGAACGGGATACAATGGTTACATTGTCGTGAACTCGTTTGAGAGGATCATTTCTCGAGGTCGAGATCACCATAAAGACTGTTGGCTGTTGGAGTTGAGATTTCGACCGCCTGACGCGCTGTTTGACGATGACGACGACGATGATGAACAGAGCGATGAGGAAGACGACCTTCAGGTAGACGAAACCGATCAAGATGCAGACGAAGATATGGAGACCTCCGACCCAGTTCCTACTGGCGACGATCTTGATGATTGGCCTAAAGATGGCGGAGTGTTCAGTAGTTGGCCACATGAGATATCTCGAGACATGTACAGCTGTCGAGCTGTTTTGGTCCCAAGCTCCATCTCACGTATGCATGGTATGGTTCCCCACCCCTCGTGTACTTAAATCTATCTGATACCAGCATGGTCTAGATTTCAGAACCAGCAGGTTATCACCGGATAGTAGAGCAGCGTTGTGGCAAGCTAGAAGCTGGCTTGAGACTTGCAGTCAATCTCACCCTCAATGCTTGCTCAAACAATCATCTCTACCAACCCGACTTTTATGTCTCGATGGAAGTCGGGTCCGAGTATGTACATCGAAGTCACTTGATTCTCAGGAGCCACCTGCATATGCCACGCTCAGTCATTGTTGGGGCTCACTTAAGATTTTGCAGCTCACGAAAGAAAACCATCCCTTGCTCGTACAAGGAATACCACATGCAGCACTTTGCAGGACATTTCAAGACGCAATACAGATCACACTAGCGTTGGGCCTTCGATACATCTGGATAGATTCCTTGTGTATTGTTCAGAATGACCCCAAGGATTGGGCCAGAGAAGCTACACGGATGAGTGACGTCTACTCTGGTGGCGCTGTCAACATAGCTGCTAGCAGTGCATCAGATGGCAGTGTCGGATGCTTCTTCAACCGCGACTCATCCCATGTCTGGCAGCATACGGTAGCTGCTCGTGTCAACGGCCAGAACCGCATTTATGATTGCATTGAGGACGGAATCTCAGACGCCTGTATTTTCGAAACTCCTCTTGCCCGTCGAGCTTGGGTCATGCAGGAACGACTTCTTGCTCCTAGGACATTGCACTTCAGCTCAACACAGATGTTCTGGGAATGCAATACTCTCAACGCATGCGAGGTATTTCCTGAACAGTATCCAGCTACACTGTCGTATGGTGACTTTTATCTACAAAAGCAACCCGTGTCTCGCAGCTTATGGTGGAAAATAGTTAAACTTTACTCGATATGCGACTTAACATACCAGCGCGATAAATTAGTGGCAATTTCAGGCATTGCTCGGGAGATCGTAAAGAGAGATCCTCAAGCAAAATATGTGGCAGGTCTCTGGGACAATGAGATAGAGAACCAGTTGTGCTGGAAGGTCAGAGCACCAGCAGAGAAAACACTTCAAGCCCCGTCTTGGTCATGGGCTGCCGTCAATGGAACGGTCAACCTAGCGACTGTTTCGCAGTTCGAGAACTTTGTTCGTGTCTTGGAAGTGGATTTGCAAGGTCACGAACCCTTTGGAGAGATTCTCACTGCCACATTAACCATCGCTTGTCAAGAGATATTCCACATCTCAAATATGTCCGCGCTGTTGCCACTACGCTGGTCCACAAGCCTGACCATCAGCTGGGACTACGCGATCGAATCAGCTCGCACGTTCTTGCTACCGGTGCAGAAGGGAGTAAGTCTAGGATCAGAATATATCTCTGGACTGTTGTTGCAGGAGACGAAGAAGTGTCAGGGAGAATATCGACGCGTCGGCCATTTCGAACAGCTTGCCGCTGCATGGGAGAGATTACCAGAGCACCTTCTGAGAGTTACGACAAGCAACGTTAGAGGAAGAGACCCCTGGCACCTAGGGAATTATGCAGACCTCAGCCCTGATAGCAAAATCATCTTGCTGGTGTAGGACAACAAGCGGCATGGTCTTGTGCAACAATTGGACAGACAAGTCTTGTGTGCGGATCTAAAAAGGAGCTATCATATCAGAGTCCTCCAGCTTCCCAGCCATGGCAATATCACCAAACCGCTTCTGCTCACCGAGAGACCGTCGTACGACGTTGATTTTGTTTTCGGGCAGTTGCAGAGTTGGAGGCGGGTCACAGCCTATGGCAGCCTACGAAATAACTCTCGGAGATCGAGTGAGTTTCCGGTAGCCATCGATCATCGTCGATCTACTACTCGGTGTCGTTTCAAATCAAGCAGTTGCTCTTTCTTGGTCGTACCTTCTGGTGGTTGATTTGTTGAGGCTGGCTTCCAGGCTCCAGTGATGTTTGGCGATATTGATTTTTATATGTTTGTGGCTTGAACTTCCGGGATCCTGCCGGCACCACAACATGCATATCCGATCGAGCACGATCAAGCACGACCCTGAATATGGTTGTCACTCTCTCATTGTGGTTCGCTGCAGGGCAAGTGCCTCCCCGTGCGGGCACCGTGCAGTTACCATTTCCAGTTGCATGTGCAGTCGGGTATTCCATCAACCCGGTTAAAGACTCGGCCGGACTCAATGACCTAGCGAATGTCGGTCTTGGCTCGGCTGCTTGTGATTCTTCGCGGCCCGAGACCATCCTTTCCTCTATCTACTATCTCTTCCCACTCCTCCTCTCTCTTCTCGTTCTTCATATCATTCTCTTCTGCTAATAATCCCCATTATTGAGGTGCCAGACTAAAAGAAGCATTCAACAGCTTTAGGCCCAACGAGAAATCGATGATATACCTATCGATTTAATTGTTGGTGCAGGAAAAGCTGTTTGGATGGTTCTTTATGTCTGGCACCTAGGGGCGTCTTATTAGAACATGTCAAAAATGCTCACCTCCTGACTCCATCATCTATTCTACTATTCTACTACTTTATCTTTTCAATGTGCCAGGTCTTACGTACGCAGAACGAAGGCATCTCGGACTCTTCATCTGCAACCTCATTGAAGAGGTAAGTCTGTTTGAAAGACTTAGACCTTGAATGATCAATCAAATACCTACTCGATGTTTGTAAACTAGCTCACAAAGCCCACAGTTCCCATGCAATTTCCTTCGAAATCCTCTCGGTGGATTTGGATGTTGTTTTATAGTGTGTTTCCATCAATGTCTACGTTCAATTTACCAAAGACTGTATTAAATCTTGCTCGTATAGAAGATCTAATGTAGATATCTGTTCAACGGGGAATCCTTTAGCAAGCTTTTTGATAGGCTTGCATACCATCGAAGAGCTGGTCAAAGACCCTCAACGAGATTACCAGACAAGGAGCTCTGGAGTGTAGGAGTTGTCTGGATTGTTTGCAGTGGCGACATTGGTGCAACCAGACGGTATGGCTTTGCCGAATCTCTTGAGCGGGCAGATGGTTGATTCCGCCCACCCATTGGACCTCATCTGCGAACGATCTACTTCCGATTCGAGCAACTCTATCGCAGCTGAAGCCCAGGACCGAGCTTACTTCTACTTTTCTGGCCTTGCTGTGACGGATGTAGGGCACTATCGACTGCGAGTAACCCTCATGCAGATGGATTATGTCTCTTGCCCTAAGAGTGCGCCCGATGGGGAGACGATTGAAGACTAGCATATTGAAAGCAATCGGTTCGAAGCAATAGGCGCACCAGTAGTTGCCTCGAGACCAAGTGAGTGAGGTGCTCTAAGCAGGCTATCGATTATGCTAATAACAACAGCCGCAGAAGAGCGTCATTACTTGACACGACTGAAGAACGACGGCAAAACTGTGTAATGTGACTGGAGTGAAGCTGGACGATGGGAGATGCGGAGATGATTTCGGCATTTCCCACCTAGTATCTCCAACATGCCCAGCACATATGAGTTCTTCTTGGTCGAGATATTACTACTAAGTTAGTTTTTGATTGACACTGTGAGTATATTCAATATATTTACAACTTGAATCTTGTATCAAATACTAATTTAGTAGTAATAGCTCGACCAAGAAGAACATGCCACGAAACCGTAGACTAGCGCTCCAAGTAGCGAATCGAGCATACATCGAACTGTACCGGCGACTTCGAAATGGAAAGCGAGTTCGTCGACGTCGAGATAGAGGAGGAAATCGATAATCTAGGATATATTTCACAAGATAGTGGATGCGAGGAAGGATTAAGGCAGAAATGTAAATGAAGTCCCTTGGATGAGACGACGACTTCCCACACAGGTAGCCGCCCACAGAGAAGCCGTGACTTTGTATTCGAGGTTAATACCGTGCCCTCTTCTGAGCCACTGGACGAAGAGATGAAGAAGTCTGGATCGCACACCCTTCTCCATCACCTTCCGTTACCTTTTCCGCCTCATCAAGCGACCTCAAAAACGAAGACGAGTGCTTGGCCATCGACTTACGTGTGCTCAGTATGCCCATCTTCCTGCAGATTGTCAATGGACAGCCTTGCGGAAGAGGAGGAAAGGGCAGAGCCGAGCTACCCAAGGAACGACTCCAAGGTCGTAGGCACCACCGCTTTCGCCACCGCCTCCAACTGTGCAGCCACGTAAGGCAACAAAAAGGAAACCCACTTGCTTAGCCACACCAATACGATTACAATCCCCGCCTATTCCGACGAAAAGGAAAGCTGCAGTGCATGAGATGTCGCCGAAGAAACCGCCAAAGAGGGTCCAGCTTTCGCAAAATGTCGATGGGCTGGTGGCTGATATCTGTGGGAAGGAGGCACTCCTACCCCCTCTAATACTTATCATCTTCCTGACGTTTCAAACTCTTCTCCCTCCGCGAGTCAGAGCTTTATTAATGGGTCTGGCTTGCTCCTTCTAATATTCGAAACACTGGCAAAGACTACACTACAGCAAGTTGGAAAGCCAGGAATATGCATCGTCGAGATTACGAGTCGGATACACCGTAGCCTCATTGATCTGAATCGAGACATAACGACCAGGAACTCGAAAGACAATTCGGTCCTAGTCGAGCGACTATCCGCCATAGCCTATAGAGTCTTTGAGACACATGAAGCTATTAATCATGGAGGATTCCTTCTGATCAATGGATATATGTCGGAGAAGGCTTCGGTAAAAGCGAACGACTTCTGAGACGAGGGCGGATTTTATTTGCTTGGCTGTGCAAACAAGAGCGAGTACTTCAAGACGCAATCGAGGTGCGTACGGTCGAAAGTCGAAACCAAAGGCAACATTCCAACTGGGACTCGGGGAGCGAACTTGCCACAGAGTGGGCATATGTACCGGACGGTCAACAGTTTCAAGCACATGAAGTCGTGCAAAGTCCTGATTATTATGGCTTGGCTAGGGGATATCATTTGGACTAAGGGAGTTTCATAATAGATGCAGTTGATACGTGGGAATTCGATCAGCCTCATTATCCCTCGATTTTTGCTTGGTTAAATTTGCTGATCCATAGTTGATCTCTAATTATATGCTTTCATCGCTCTCACAACATTGTCCGAGTGCCGCGACACCCGCTGCAACATATCTTGCACCTCCGGCGATTCCACATTTGCATTTTCTATCTTCCTATACGTTTTCAAGAAGTTCACCACGTACTCGGGGTCTGAACCAAGCTCTGCTTCTCCCATTGGCGGACTCATTCCTTTCCTGATTTATCACGTCGTCAGCGCTCTCATGCTTGAAAACTTGGAGTGACAGGAATTCTTACCATTGATCCCATGTCGTTCTGTTATACGGCTTTCCCAGCATTTCTGCGTACCTGTCCAAGCGATCGTAATGCACCCCAGCGACCTTGGAACCAGTTGGGTCGGCGTAATTGAATTTGTGCCCACAACGATGTGTGATCAGATCTCGAATATCAGGGTTCGTGGTACAGCAACCTCCCCAGCATTCGCCCATTCTGCCAAGTTATCTGTCAGTATTCAATACAGTCTCAGCTGCCAGACTCTACATACTGTTGCATAACTGACTGTGTGGGATGCAGTCGCCTCGTCGAATCAATGATTTTCATCATCGTCGGGATAGCGACTTCCTGAAAAACTCCAAAGTCATTAAAGAACGCAGACAAGAAGATCCAATCAGCCCAAAATCGTCGAGGGATTAAATATATATCCGACCATCCCACGCAGAATTCTCCACCCGGATATGGATAGTTGAAATGCTGGATAGCTTCGATAGCTCGTCTGGCATGGATATGGTTCTGATATGGCGGCTCGAAGAAGACCCATGGCGCCCATTCTTCTTTGTTATTCATGCATCTGAAAATACCTCCAGATCCTGCATCTGTCTTGAGTCCATCTGGGCTAGAGTATCAAGTTAGACATTGTTCGCTGATCGAGTGAAGGGCGGGAACTTGCCTATGCGGAAGCCACATCTGGTCGAAATTGTCACTAGCAAAATCCATCGGATCAATCCAAGCATCGAAATGGAAGAAGAGCAGCGAGTTGATGTCCGATTCTGGAGACCCTTCCGGGACGTCGAGAATGAATTGCATCGCCACGGCCACTTCTCGATAGATGGTATAATCGTCAATAGCGTTGTCGTTATTCAAATCTTGCCATCCTGAAGGGTAACCGGGAACGAGGCCAGGCATGCTGTAACTGCAGACAGAAATCCGAAGTCAGCATCACGGACGTTGATCGGAAAAGGACTTTTTGTACTGCACCGTGTGGAAGAATGGCTCGTATTTCTTCAACATGAACATCCTCTCGCTTCTTTGTTTGTTCGATCGGATTATGGCCACCGTCTTCTCGAATGGTGATTTGAGGATTGGTGGGGGATTTAGAGAGTGCCCGATGTATTGCAGGGTGGGTTTCTGATATTGCGGAACGAAGAGCCAAATGATGGCCAAGATGAAGGCTGCGGAGCTTACTCTCACGACATTGTGATGTTGTGACCATGCCAGCACGGGCGCAAATATCTGTTGAGTCGGGAGTTGCATTGCATTTACTGTTTTGCGAGTTGTTTCTGAAGGTTGATATCTTGAACGCCAGGAATGTACCCCGCGTGTACTTCGGCATGTGTGCCAAGGGAGAGAGAAATGCAGATACCGTTACATTAGCTTCGCTTGGATTCGAGCAATTGAAAAGAAATCTTTCGTATTGTTCTGCTAGTTGTCCATTTCAAAGATCACCCGAAATAACATCACCCAATGCAAAGGCGGCCTGCAGGTGAAGCCACAGGCACCCCACCGAGACTCACTCACTCGCGCATGAAGAAGCGGCACTAAGAGTAGTGACAGATTCGAGATTTAGTCAATTAGGATCGATTTCATGATTATGGCTTACGTATAAATCCAAACCATATAACGAAAATGGCGCACTTTGGGACATTTTCCTACTTATATATTTAGCTGCAGCAAAAACCCGACAATTGCACACATCTTGTTACGGATCAGAAAGCTGACATTGACTTTAAACCTGTCTCAATTGGATTATTCTACATCATAAGAATAAACGCAACATCTCACGACGTCGTGAAGTAATCACCAGCCACGCCTCGTTTATTTTCAACCTTCGCTCTCAAGTCGACCAACGAGAACCTCCTCGAATATCGTTCAACACCACGAACCGGAGCTTCGGAAGTTCTCCCATGATTGAATACTTCCGATCATTGCAATCTAAAATATCATCTGTCCAAAGCCAAAACCCAGTCATCACAAACAATCGACCAATCAAAAGTTCGCAAGATCCGCTTGCAGGACCAGCTATCTCGAGATTTCGGACACCCTCGCTTAAGGAAAAGGTGCCATTTTCTGCTCTTCACAAGGCTGGACGCGGTTGAATTGGCCTCCAAACCCCTAGAATGGGATTTAGAATAGCCAATCACAACTCCTCAAAGCGACTATACAGCACCAGCTGTTCTGAGATTTCCAACACCTCGCTTACGGATGGACCAATTCCGTTCAACCCGTCACCGTGAAGCCCGTTAGATTCGGCCTCCACATCACATAAACTCAACGACTAGCAACACAGCTTAAACACCCAGCAACATCGCTATTATAAGCAGCCCTATAGTTAGCCTGACTTTCAATCTTTGACTTCCAAATCTCAAATAATAAATCCCAAATTCCCAAGATTATCCTCTATGATTTCTCGCGAATTTCGACCTCGACTCCTCTCTCCTCAAAGCTCAAAGACGCAGACAAAGCCAGCCAATTACAACCCTACAAACCTTTCATATAGCAGTATCCCTTTTGAAATCTCGAACACCTTTTCGCCTGCTCCACTAATTGAATGTTCGTCATACGAGGAAAGACATTCGCTCCTGGCCTCCAAGTTGCGACTTATCAGGCCGACTTACAGACATTGAATCTTCCTCGAGACTTTTAGAAGGTTTCATAGGAGCATGACTTTCTTTCTCACTTTACCATGATCTCAAAAACGGACTTTCATCGAAGTGGTTCGTGGTGGCGATATCGAGTGATATGCAGGTTGGTGAAAACAACTAATCACAATCCCTCAAAGCGACGATGCAGAACCAGCAGTGTTGGAATTTCCAACACCTCGCTTAGTGGCTGTTCCAATCAATACTGACTTTCTCTGTTTTAGTGAATTTCTTGGCCTCCAATCTTCAGCCGACGGTTTCGTGCTCGTGGTGGCGATGTTGAGATGCAAGGCAGTGAGAACAACCAATCACAATCCCCCATAGCAGCTGTACTGAGATTTTGAACACCTCGCTTAATAGCTACGGGATAAGATTCGCTGAGGCTCTGCTTGATTCAACCCCGAAACGCCCTCCAATCTGCAAGTCACACGCCTAGATTTGCCTCATTTGCCTCAAAGTAGAAAGATTTATCATTAATTATCCCATTCTCAGCAGGTTACTATACAACACTTTATACTATCCTCCCCTCTCCTCACCCACCACACCTTCCACTCTCTTAAAAGATATTTCTATCTCCAGGAGGACTAACCTCCAAAATGCCCACGCCAGAAATAGTATTCTCATCCGAGACCTTAGTGCTATTCCCATCCGCCGTGCTAAGCACAACATACACCTGTCCGGTAGGAGGCAACATGCCCGCCATGCCAGCAGGGATCATATCGATCTTCAGATCACCGCTGTTGCCTGCCGTCATTCTGGTTAGGACGTAGTAAGTATCGAGTCCCGAGAAGAAGACTGCGTAGACGGGAGTAGAGCTAGTGATCAAGCCAGCGGACATGGCGTTCTTGTAGGCGTGCGTGAACGTAACGGGCGAGGAGCCGGCCGTGTAGGGATACTGGCTAGCTTGGATGGTGAGGGGAGGGAAGGCCATGAATGGGAGAGCGGGGTCGCCGGGCGCGAAGCCGGTGATGAATTCCGCGGCCAGGGAGAAGACTTGGTTGAAGTCGAGAGGGGTGTCGAAAGGCTTTGGGAAGGGAGATTCCTTGAGGGCGGCGCGGATGTAGGAGGAGTGACGGGATTCGACAGTGAGGATGGAGCCGGCGACTGTGAGGTAGGACTTGTCTACGATTTCGGCGGCAGCGCCTGGGTGGTGTTAGAGAGGTGAGTAGGAAGGAGAGGGAAGGGTAGCTTACCAAGGTAGGCAGACACACCGACTCCTTCGAGGACGGAGGAGAGAGCTACGAAGGATGCAGCGTCTGTTGATGGGAAGGAGTAGGTAGCTTCGTGGACAGCGGCTGCTCCTAGAGCACCAGCGAGGAAGCTGACGTGGGTCTATTGTGTCTCTGTCAGTCTTCACCCTTGCACTCGAGCAGAGAGCAACGTACCTCTTCATCAAAGTAGATCTCCTTCAGGTTGTCATAGAAGGGATCGGGAAAGCCAGCAGCGATGAAATCTGCTTGGGTGTAGTTGGCAAGACCCTCCATGTAGAACTTACGCTCGAGGTACTCGAGAGTAAGAGCATAGTTGAGGATGGTGACATCTCCTCCTGGAGGTGGGTTGTAGTCCTCGACAGTAGCACGCTCTTCGATCGGAGCAGCTGCAGCCAAGCTGGCAGCGAGGACTGGGAGGAAAGTTGAGTAACGCATGATGGAGGTGAAGCTAGATACTCTTGGTGTGTTGAAATGAAGAGAAAGCTGTGAGGAATAAGGGGGAGAAGTAGAAAAGCTGCAGGCAGGGAGACTTAATATAGGAAAGCTAGGAAATAAGGGAGGTGTGCTGAATGCGGGGGATCAACATTGTGATGATGAGAGAAGACACCATTGTAGCTATTCTGATCAATGAGACTGCCTCGTGAAGGCATGTTGACGCTACCAAGAGACACTGTCGACCTGGAAGCTAGACGTTCCGGGCGATGTCACCATTGATTTTCATCACAAAGGACGCTGTTCCTCGTCCCCGACAATATTCAGAGCTGTGATTCGCTGAATGAGACCGTTTGTGGAGACCAAACCCTGCATGGGAATTGAGTTTTCTCCAGAACCTCGAGCTCATTTCTTTACCCATTGCCTAAGGTCCCTAGCCAAGCTGCTGGTATAAATGTTCGAGGTGGATCCTGGGAAGTGTTCGTGATATGGGACGGCGTGGCGCGGATCCTGACGACATGGCGGGATTGTGTCTAACCCAAAGGAAATCAGCTAAGTCAACTTCTGCCCTCTTTTCAGTCGAGACGGGCAACATGCCCAATCATGAATCCAGGAGAATTTCATCTCTCCTCATTTCAAGAATTGCGCCTTGCCTAACTGGGACCCACACTGCACAAGCTTAACTTTAAGCTTCGCGTTAGCGAAGTTAGGGTCCCGCGATCCGTGCTGTCAGCCCGACTGCGATCTACATCGCAGCGGATTCAGGAGTATCCGAATTCTGGAGGCGCGGATCTAGATTTCCTGTGTAAGATTATCGATTTCTTCCCGAACTTCCTTTTGGCATGATGAATCCGATAATCACAGACCTTTGCCGTCATCTGTCTTGGCCAAATGTCTGGAATACTAGACATTTCAATTAGTCAGTGCAGAGGAACAGCCAGTCATCAATGCGTGCTCAAGACCTTAATGGTGCGAGAAAATAAAGAAGACTTGTCGTCATCAGTCTTTCCCCTCATTCTCGTGTCTTGTCTGTTGTCATTGCTTTAGTACTTGGAGCTAGGACAAAGTCAAGAAAAGATCTCGTCTTGGCTGGTTTGATTTCAAATTTCCAAGTAATAGTGATGTGCCGCCATTCATCGCGAGGATAGCGGCTCACTATCCCAGCTATTGAATACGTTGTACAGAATTGGTATAGTGCGCAGGGGAAAGCAGATGCAGCATGCAGTGTCTCTAGAACATCACACAGTCTCGATGTATCTCCGTACCTCCCTGATCGGAAATTAGTATAACCCATAGAGCTCACCAGATGAACATACCAGTCTGTTACAGCTTCATCCCATAAGCGAATCTCATGCTCTCTCGTGCCACCGTAATGTTCCACGAACTCGTCGCCGAAAACCTCTCTTGCTACACTTTCGGGTCGCATAAATCTTTCTGTGGCCTCCTTCAGACTTTTCGCCAGTCTTACTCCTGGATCTGCCTTTCCTCCCACATCTTGACCTTTGCCGAGAGGACGCTGTTTAAGCTCCAATTTCTTTTCGACGCCTCTCCAGCCCAGTGCTAAAATAGCAGCAAGCACGTAAAATGGGTTTGCATCTGCACCAGGAACTCGGACCTCGAAGCGTGTAGCTCCTGGTTTCGACGTTGGAGGAGCGATCAACCTGATGGATGCTGCCCGGTGCTCTAATCCCCAAGAGACAGTTACAGGTGCCCAGAAATTCTCGACTAAACGTTTGTACGAGTTTACGGTGGGCGCAACAAGGGGCATAATATCCGGCAGACCTTCAAGAAGGCCTGCGAGAAAGTGCCTTCCCATATCCGACAGATTCGCAATGTCACCCCACTCAGCCTCCGTGTCCTTTTTCTCTCGGAAGAAGAGGTTCTTGCCATCCTTATCAACCAAGGAGACATGCATATGTCCACTGTTTCCTGGAAGACCTTGCCGTGGCTTTGCCATAAAACAAGGTGTGATTCCATACTTCGTTGCAACTGATTTGACGACGTATCTAGAACCAGGTTAGAGAACCCTTCGGCAGATGGAGATGGACACATACTTGAATAAGCCAGCTTTGTCTGCCATTTGCTGAATCTCTCCAAAAGAAAGCGCAGCCTCAAATACTCCCGGACCACTTTCTGTATGCCAGCCTTCTATTCCGCAATTGAACTTCTCGCATGCATCAAATATGCCATAATAGTATTCTTGATTATGTACAGGTCGAGTCAAGCTGTATCCAAACATGCCCTCAGTCAACGATGGTAAGGAATTGACAGGATTGTCTCGCAGGAACGTCGCGGTAGAGGAATTATTTCGCTCTGACAATGGTCCGTTTGAGTCTGCGGATGGGGCCTTGAACTGGAAGAATTCGTATTCAACTGTCAGGGCAGTCAGCGACTATTATACTTTGACATCATTGAAGGAACCTACCTCCAGCCATTGCACCCAAGCCTTTTGCTTTAATCTTATCTACTGTTGTTTTCAAGAGGCCTCGTGGGCATGCACTGATCGGCTTTCCATCGTCTGGGTCGAAAAAGGATACTAGGAAGAATGGCACATCATCCTCCCACGGTATCCTTCTGAAGCTGGACAGGTCTGGAATAGCAATCATATCGCGGTATCCATTCTCAGCATTACTGATCTTCAACTCTTTAAAGTATGTCTGGTCGTGCATATCCCATCCAAAGACCACTGAGCAGAATCCAAATCCTTCTTTGGCAATACCCAAAAACTTCTTCTTGGATACAAGCTTGCCTCGCAGAATTCCATCCGCATCGATACCCGCGAGCTTGACCTTGGTATCATTCTCGAGGATCTGCGGCAGGGACTCAAGGGTGACCTCTATCTCTTCCTTCTTGTCTGGCATCCTGGCAGATCGTAGGAGAATGGGGGGATTCGAGAGTGAGGAAACGAGGGATCTGGCTAGTAAATCGTGCGCAAATTGGGATAGTTGTTCGCTGAAGAAAATTAAGTTCGATGGCAAAAGATTGATCCCAAAAATTGAGTAGATTGTATTGGAGAATGCACGAGGGGAACTTGTCGTGTGTGTTTGGAAGAGGGGAATGCGATAAGAGCTAAGAAATCTAGCGACAGTGGGAAAGCAAGATTCGAAGCTCCCCATGTCATGTCACAGCACAGCTCCACTGAACCGCCAATGAACGGCCGCGTGTCAAGCCCCTCCGTAAACCCGCACGCAACCACCACAATCATCACTCACCTAAGACGAACAGTAACATAAATACCTCTGAGGGTCCCGTAGATTAGATGTGGGAGCATTCTGCTTTTATATGGGCCAATTCCCAAATATCTTATTCAGAGACCACACCAGCATGCTCCAACGAATACAGTATCATGGTCCCGAGTACACTAGGACCAAGGACCGAGGACCGATGCAGGCTCGGGATTTTGATACGATTTTCGGACGATAATCCCTTGGCCTCAGGGGACACCAAAAGCTCGACCCCGCGGCGGTACCACCGTTGACACATTGTTGTCTCAAAACATAGCAAACGACCAGTGATGACGACGACAGCCATGTTGGTTGAGCATTGCCTCTGAGAAGGGGAAGGGTCTGGTGATGGTGCACGAGTCGGTCAGGTTTCGGAGTACTTGTCTGTGGTCGAGTCCTGGTGCTCACGCTTCTCGTCTGCTCTTCTTTGATGGAGACGCTTAGATAAGAGAATGCTCAACGACCGAGAACGGACCATAGCCCTCCACACCTCATTTTCGAATTTGTGTCATCAATATTTTGACATCTTAATCTCGTCTTCACCGCAACTTCTGTTCAATTTCATACTCTCGTCGTCTTCAAATCAATCGCCGTCCTTATCGCCTTCTTTTTGAGATATCTGTAAGTTCATCTCGACTCTGCATAATCGCTGCTTCCGATATCATAAGCGAGCATTCCAGAAATATATTATCCCGGAGCATCACGAAGGGGTCACTTTTTGTAGACCATAACGTTGACTTCGGTTCTCAGAATCTCTCTTTCTCAAGCCAAATTCTCTTCTTCTCAAATCGTCAAGATGGGAGATTCTTCTCGAAGCAGCAGCAGTGGCAAAGTCCATACCATCAACAGTATCGGCATGGGACGGTTGATCGGAAAGAACGCCATTGTGACTGGAGCAGCAGGGTGAGTAACACATCTTGTTGACTGAGATATTACGGACAATTTTTCATCTGCTTGACAAGTGTTACGATCTCACATGGAGATCATCATCATCAAATTCCACGTGATGCCGTCATCCTCTTTTACCCCTCGTTTGTCTTGCCTCTTCGATATCCCAGGATCAGAAGGCGAATGAAACGTCTTTCGAAGATGCATTGAGAATCTTGTTGAGTGCTACATGTGTGGTAAATCAGTAAAGAAGCTACGGATATGCCGTACAAATGATTCTCGAAGTGGTCTTGGCAAGCTACTGATTTTCCATATACAAAGTTATCGTGGATTTCTTTTTGTGTGTGGATTGGCTTTTGATGGCAGAGACGATGATCATGAACTGACTGTGATTCAGTGGTATTGGTCTCGAAACATGCATTCTCTTTGCCAAGGAAGGTGCCAATGTTCTCATGGCCGATATTTCGGAGAAAGCTCTCGATAAAGCTTCTACCAAACTCAAACAATTGGTTCCTTCGGCCCACAGAGTTGAGATTAAGGTATGATTCTTCAGAGCCCGTCCAAATTCACGTGCTTAACATTTACCAGGTCTGCGATGTCTCCAAAGAGACTGATGTGAAGGCGATGGTCGAGCATCTCGATTCATGGGGCGGTGTTGATATCATATTCAACAATGCAGGTATCATGCATGCAGATGATGACGATGCTATCAACACCCCAGAGAAGATCTGGGATCTCACACAAGCCATCAACGTCAAAGGTGTCTGGTTTGGCTGCAAGCACGCTATTCTATCCCTAAGAAAGTTCAACAAGGCCAAAGGTTCCATCATCAACACTGCTTCAGTCGTCGCCTTGGTCGGATCAGCAACCCCACAACTTGCTTACACTGCCAGTAAAGGCGCTGTATTGGCCTTGACCAGAGAATTGGCCATCGTGCATGCGAGAGAGGGCTACCGCTTCAACGCATTGTGCCCAGCACCCTTGAATACTCCATTATTGCAAGACTGGCTCGGTGACGACAAGCCAAAGAGACTTCGACGAGAGATCCACTTCCCAAGTGGTCGTTTCGGTGAAGCTATTGAGCAAGCACAAGCAGTACTATTCTTAGCTAGTGACGAATCGAGCTTCATCAACGGACAGGTACGTATGCTGAGACTCACCGAAATGTCAATGCTGACTTTCCCAGGACTTCGTCGTCGATGGTGGTATGACAAAAGCCTATGTAACCCCAGAAGGACCACCACTCGCCGCGCCAAAGAACAACGCCCTTCTTTCTGAGCAAGTCGATGCTATCCGTGGTACTGGAATCTAAATTACCTCAAGATTGAGCTGGCAGGTTATTACTTTGGCGAATCAGCGTTGGTTTTGCAGGCATGACTTAAATTGACATCCACCATACACGACATCTCAGCAAAGGCGTCGAGGAAGATCATTCATAGATAGCACTGCTTTTAATGCGGAAATCAAATGGCTCTACTCCTCATTCCTCCCATTTTGTGTTCAGTTCTAGGACATTTCCCCTTCGAAGCCACAAAGTTTTGTTGTATATTGTAGGCCTCAACAGGATGGCTACACAAAGCCCATCCTTTCAAGTTTCAAGAACCCCACCTCTCTATTCCACAAAAATTACAATGTTAGTTTCTTATCCGAGCAATGGAATTTTTCATTATGGTCTTGACAACCTTGATGCCAAGCAGCTTGAGGATTGGATTTGTGGTTATTGAATAATCTATGATTCCATTTTTAAGATCTTCATATGTTGCGCCGTTGTCCTAAAACCCTGGGCCCAGGTGCTAGAGTGCAGCTGAACTCGACGTGATTTCGAGTCACGTGAAATGAATCGACTTCAAACTTTTTCATCGTCGAGTGTTCTCTAACCTCGACGGACATTAAGTGTTAATTCACTAATAAAATACAATGATTCAGACACCTGGCCAAAAATCACCCAAGCAGGATAATTTTGAACGAAAATGAGGCGAAACTTTTCTTGCCGGGCCCGCTTGGCATGAAAATACCCAGGCACTTCCGTCAAAACCCGCCAGACAACATCATCAGTCTCCTTATTCCCCACATTTGGCGCCCGAGGAACCTTGGATGAGAAAGGAGAACCAATTTGAGCGACTCCTTTAGCATACTTCAAGTCACCATGTAAGTACTTCACCCTTGCAACTTCGGCATATGCGGAACAGGACTCCGCGAGAAGTTTCGACAGGTGAGCTCTTGGGCAGTATGCAGGATGGAGAAGGTTCTTCCTTCGTGGGTTCTGGTGGGGATAGTGGAAAGATACGGTGATGTTATTCTAGAGCTTGTGAGATAATGTAAATGAGAAAAGCAAATTCTTTGGGATAGGTGAGAATTTGCGTCGTAATCTGAGCCGTTTTTACACCTTATCCCTCAAAGCTTAATTCATACTTAGAATTTAGCCTACTAATGTTATCTCACAAAGTCTGGGAGAATATTATCTTATATCCAATCCTTTCGGTAGGTAGAGGAACTTTGGCAGCTGATTACCAAGTGCACGCAGAGATATGAAGCCTTGTAACTCTCTTAGGTGAAATGGATCAGAGCTGAATGTCAGATACCCAACGATGACACTGGCCATGTCTCCGACATCGACCTCCGTGCATCACTGCTCCAGCGTAGCCTCCCAGCCCACGAAAGTAAAGAAATCCGCTCCATCACAATGTTCACATCCTCTATTGACCTCCACAAGGCCGGAACTTGGAGGCCAGGCATCCACGAAAATTTTGTCGCCGCGAGAAAGAGTGTAGGAAATTCACAATAGATATAGTATTCAAGCAACCATTTCAAGGCTTATCATTGGTATACGGATCTGCTGAAAACAGTAAGAAATCACACATGTCGTGATCTACTGTGTCGTGGATCTTGATAGGTCGGAAGGGACACCGCGGCGAGCTTGTAAGGCTGGCGCTAATGCAGGAGTTCGGACGCGAGACTTTCTTGTGAATAGCGAATTCCGAAGCTTGCGGAGGACAATTCCCGGCCATTGTATGAGATTGGTGAATAGCTCAAATGGAAAGTCAGGTTCAAAGCCGATGATTTTGGGGGCCATCCTCGGAGAAATTACCCGCTCATGCTGAGATCTTACTGATTTGGAAGATCTTGCGTCAGCAAAACTAGCGCTTTAAAATAATCTCCGACCTATTCCTACAGAGCTTGTTTACCACATAGGTCCTCTCTATGTCTCTATGTATTGTCGTCTAATTACCTGAGATGCACTGGCTTATAGAAGCTCTTTCATCTCAATTCTTGCCGAGAAGCTAGCACTTCTCCTAGCGGCTTTGATAGAGGTTCATGCCGAGCTAACGAGGGGTTACAAAAATGAGCCAGCGTGGTTGGTGCGTCTTGGATTAACTTCAGGTTCAATCTTCAGCCTCGTAAGCTTTACTTGCGTACTCGAGCTCCGGGCCCCGTGTGCAGACCAAGTTCATCTTTGATACCATACTTCTCCCTTCTTCCAACGTCGACTTCGCGCTCATCGCGAATCTCCTCAATAACGCGCAACTCTTCAACAACGCGCAGCTCCTCAACGACGCCCGGCTATACTCTGACATGAGCCCCGCTGTTCTAATGGCTACAACCAAGAAGAACCGGTTCTCAACTCGAAGATCCTCAAGATTCCGATAGGCACGCGCGCAATCTCCAGAAGAGGCTCAGGAGCTCTTGTATTCAACAGGCAAAGACTTGGATGCTTTTACGCCCTTCCCTAGACTGCCAATCGAGATTCGACTTATGATCATGCGTCTGTCCTTCCCACGAACTCGCAAGGTCATCCTCAACGCAGGTTTCAGGCACCTCCCACTTGATTCGTTCGGTGTAGAGCGTCGTCGATACTCCCCACGTCTCCTACCTGCCCTCCATATCAATTCCGAGAGCCGTCGAGAGGTATTAGAGAGATACTCGGTTGTTACAAAAGCAGACTTCGAGAAGTGGCACCTGACCTCCTTCGGCCCGCTGTTTTTTGACCAGGCGACAGACACATTTCAACTTCAAAGTCGTGGGAAGAGTTTTCCAACATTTGCTTCTGTCAAAGTGGTGGAATCGATGTTTCCAGAAAAACTAGCGCAAATCAAAAGGATCGAGCTCCTCTTTGACTATCCTCAGGTTACCTCGTGGAGACATTTCCTGAGAGATTCGATATCGAGCCCACTGAGAAGTGACCATCAAGGAGATGTTGAAGGGAAAGAGCAGTGGATCCCATTTGAGGGTCTTTTGCACTTGAGCGGCCTTGAGCGTGTAGTCTTCTCTATCTTCATATCCCGCTGGGATGCGTTCGGCCACAATGTCGAAAAACTTTTTGATGATCTTCAAAGTCTTTTCCAACAAGTTCTCGAAAAGCGAAAGTATCGGTTTGCCCATGGCAATGCTCCGACTGTGAAATTTAGGAGAGTCTAAATTAGAGTTGTTGGAATCCCTAGCGATTGATAGCTCAGCAATTTTCTGATGGTGGAGATTGAGGCTGATGAAGTTGCGGTTTTGCAAAAAATATGTATGAAGATAGCTGCTCGTTGCTGGGCGTTTTAGCCAAGAGAAATTACATCGGTGTCTTGAAATTAGCGGAATGTTAACACCAAATTCTCATTTGATTAAAATTCACTAATCTAATGAGATCTGTTTCTTACGCCATGTGCTTAGCACGTGCTCATACGCGCTCGCATTATCTAGGGTTAGTCAATCGGGATAGAAGCCTCAGTCCTGTATATATTGTCCTCAGGCTTATACAAACTAGGCCCTCAAGCGTTTTGCCATATGCGACCGCCCTCACGCTACCTATTCAAGCAAACACATACCCTGGTCTTTTCCTGCTGAGCCCCTTCTCCCCTTATTTTGTTTCCATCAACTAGGCAGCTATTCTTGCGTGTGGAATCATAGACCAATCAACGTGCTTACATGCCCACAGGGGGGATTAGCTTAGTTTAGGTAATCATGAACAAAACAACACTTGACCGTACTTTCGGCGGTGCAATTTATTGAATGACTGTATCAATAATTGTGCCTGGGTCTACCAACATTCAATTTGAGTTTTGTTAAATTTCTTTGTAAGCAAAACATCGAATGTTGATGCCACATTGTGGCAAGAAATGTTAGAGGATTTCTAATCGGCCTACAGTTCGGCCTCAGGTGAATACATCCGAGAGGGTGTTAAAACAACCACAACCACGCCGGTTTTCAGAGTTCACATAGCGGTATATGCAGCTACAACAAGGTTAGGCTGCAAGACATTTATGTGCCCTTTGTCGCTGGGATGGGAGGTACCACACGTGACGGAAAGAAACGCCGTGTGAGCAGACCAAAAGTCCGAACAGGATGTACAGCTTGCAAGTAAGACTTCTCACCGTTTCCAAGTCCTTTGTTATACACTAGGCAATGCTCTCATGACTGGGAGAATTCGAGGTTTTGTTCAGAACGTAGCGCAGCTAATTCCTAGGTCAGGACTCGGAGAGTAAAGTGCGATGAGAACAAGCCTACATGTTATCGGTAAGCACTGGGAGTGACTTGTTTGAAGTAACCGACTCCAAATTGTGCTTAATCAGCTAACCATTTATGTTTCTTCTACAGATGTCAAGAATACGGAGCATTCTGCGAGTACAAGTCGCCTCAACCCCGCGCTGCGGCACCTGAGCCTACCCCACCTCAAAAACGTTGCAGGGGGCTCGTCCCTATTCAGCCTCGTCCGCTGCAGCTTGTCCCTAGCCCCTCAGATCCTTTTCCAATGGATGAGGTGGAAGGTCGCTATTTTCGACTATTTCACGAGAAACTGGCCTTTGATTTGAGCGGTTATTTCGAAGCTCCCTTTTGGACACGGGTCATACCACAACAATGCCATCACGAACCAACGATCAAGCAAGCAGTTCTTGCTTTGAGTGCTCTATACAAATCTGCAATATCGTCTGAGACTTCTACTGTGAATGTGGACGACGAGCATGTTAAATTCGCTTTGGTCAAGCACAGCGAAGCCATCAGTTCCTTACGAAAAGCACTGTCCAGTGGAAAGCCTCAGATGAGGCTTGCTCTAATAGCTAGCTTGCTCTTCTCATGCTTTGAGAGCTTCCACGGCAACTGGGAGACAGCGACACAGCAGGTGTATAGCGGGCTCAATATTCTGAAGCACCTGAGCGAAGACGAGAGACAGCACGCAACCGATAGCTTAAATGATATTTATCTTGAGGTTGGCTTAACGTTGCGCCGTCTCGAGATGCAAATATTATCATTTCTCGCTATGAACCCGATATTGGAACATCCCTTTGATGACCTGTATGTCGAGGAGATCATATTGGACATTCCAGATCGGTTTACTACCTTCAATGAAGCTTTCACAGCATTAACTTACTTGGCTGTCTCTATTCTTCGGCATTCCAGGGCATCTGCTCGATGTGGAGATGAGCCAGGTCCTCGAAACTCAATTGCACAACAACAACTGCACCTCCAAGGCTCGATGGATCGGTGGAACAGGGCGTTCGAGCCCTTCTTTCTCGAAAAATGCCAGAATACTGTTGGCCGAGAGTACCTTGGGCTTCTCCAGGTTCGAATCTGCGCCTGGAAACTGGAAACAATGATCGCTACAAGCACATCACATACAGAAATCGTCTTCGATGGTTTCATAGCCCAATTCCAGAGGATTACTCATTTTGCACGGTATCTATTTCGGAAAGACCAAGAAATTCGAGAATCGGATGGCTCCATACTACAATATGGCATGGGATTGATAATGGCTCTATTCTACACGGCCACTCGGTGCCGGGACTTTACCGTGCGCAGGGAAGCTATCGCCATACTCCGTGAGTGGCCTTGCACAAACGGGATCTGGCACAGCTTGCAGGCAGCAAAAGTTGCAGAGTGGATAGCCAGCATCGAGGAAGATTACTGTTGTGGGCTGGAAGTTATTCCTGAGAACTGTCGGGTACAAATGCACAGTTTGAAAGTGTCTTTGCAAAAGGGTGTGATTACTGTGGAATGTGTGCAATCTTCTGTTGATGGCGTCTTACAATCCCGAAGAGCAAATCTTGAATGGCCCTGAAAAGATTTGCACATTAGAAATAACAGTCTCCCAACCCAACAAACCTAGAATCATCCCAGTTCTCGCCAAATGGAAGTTTGATTGAAGCTCAGACAATCTTCATTGGCTATGTGAGAAAGCGGTCCTTCCCACCAATTAACCTGTAAGCAAGGCGAGTAAACTTACTGGTTTGTCCTAAAGCTAGGAACTAAGAAAAATATTCTTTGAATTTTTAATTAACTGGAAGGTATTCCAAATGCTGCCGCGGGACTTCGACGCAGATCATGCTGCTTTCTTGGCATGCATAGGGGCTAAAGCTCGCTAAACCTTGCCCGCTTAAAAAAGGGGGCGATTACTAATCTATGTGACACGACACTCCAAGCTTGTGGTTGTGCAGAGAGACCGAAAGAAGCCGGGAAACCTGGGGTATTCGGTGGTAAAAGAAATCGGTTTCCTATGGTGCCCGTACAAAACGCGGTAGAACATAAGAGCTCGGTTGCTTCCTTGACCAAGAGAGCTATTCTCCCTGATTCTACTTACTTCATAAGTATAGCTTTAGGTAGTTGAAATGAGTAGCTGTCAATACCAAATTATTTATGTTATAAAAAGTAAAAGAACAGCATATAAATGGGTTTGAATTGTATGGAGAGAATGAACTGTATGGTGAGACATTAATGTTTGGTGAGATATTGATGTATGGTGGGACGTCAATAGCAGCCTTCCACGGTTTGAAACTGGACAGAGCCGAAAATCAAAGCACGACCAAAAGTTTCCAGATATAGTAGATAATGCCATCCCGAGAAACAACTTTAAATCCCCGTCACGATGTCGAAGATCCGATATCCAACGGCAGAATAGTGAGGCACGAAGCTATCTCCCCAAGGCTCCTGCCACGAATCTGTCACAAATCGTCTCATTAGCATCCATCTGATATGTAACAAAGATGATAACAACATGGATAATTACTAACCATAGGTTGAGTTCGGTTTCATGGTGGCGAGCTCCACAAACGTCGTATTAAGTCCGGGCAAGAAATTCAACTTTGGATAGGCGGCAATGACGGTATCATACTCCTCAGTTGTAAGGTTATAAGCTTGCCCAGTCAAATCAATTGACACACCCTGTACCAACGCTCTCACGGTCGCCTGCTTGTACAAAGAGAACTTGGACTCCGAGCTCAGCAGTACCGAGTCGAAAAGCAGCTGCAAACGGTGGGCGTCCCAAGCAGATTCAGCATCGCCATGTGCCACTTGGTTCTCGACGAAGTCGGTTGTCGCGAAGGCACTGTCGACTTCGAAGCGGCGGTCAGAGCTGATGAAAGAAGCGTTGAGCACCAAGCCGAGGTCATGCAGCAAGGAGCCGACAGCGTGCACTTCGTAGTCGACAGTTCTTTGTAGTGTGGTGTTGTGGCTGATTACGAGTGCGCCGAAGAGCCAGGTCCGCATAACGTGGTTGAAAAGAAAGTCCTCGCTGTACTTCCGGGCATAGGCTTGGGCAGCGCGCACGCTGATGATAAGAAAATTAGTGATAGGCTTGGATAGTGACAAATCTCGGGGCATAGTTTGACTTACAGAGGCGTGTCAATGACTGTGACATTTCCGATCACTTGCGTCGGCTGCTGGTTGATCCATCGTGGGACTACATGCTGGAAGCCGAGGGATGGGTCGACATAGAATGACACTAGCACTTGAACAATCAATTTGAGGTTAAGTTTCATGGTTGCTAACTATAGGAGCAGAATCTATCTGCTTTAGTGAGGCGATCGAGCTTGAAAGTTTTGCTAGTGAGGATGTCCGGCCGTTATATACTTTGAGAAGAGCTTCAGTGTGACTACCAAGACAACATTCATGCACTCTTCACAACTATCTTTTGTCTAGAAGACAGAATTCCATGCTAAAACCTTTTAGGGTGAAAACTAGGACAGCACAGACCAAATATATTTGAGCAAACTCAACACGATGAGCAATATTGAAATCAAACCAACAAGACCCCCGCTTGGCGCGGCTACCGGCTCCACAGACTAAACCAGATTGGTCTAGAACATTTAAGTTTTGCGGATTAAAAGTGCTGGGCTATGGAGGCACAGCGGTTAAGTGTTGCTGAAGCGCGAAGGAGCTGGATGACTTTGCAAAGCCACTTTATGCACTCAGGCAACCCGGCTGGACGTAAGCAATGTAACGATGACTATTTCTCAGTCTTTAGGAATTATGGTTCTGGTGACTAGCACTGGGGCGTCTTTCCTGGGGGCTTGTGGTCCACCGAGTCTGCTTCGTAAGCCAACACTTGCTCGATCGCTCAGAAAGTCCCACCTCACGCCGTTCCCCTGCTTTAATGTATCCATTCCGACTGTACTTCTTTCCCCTGCCGAGCACTTGTAGTCGGGAAATATCCACACCGTTGCTGCTGCTCCTGCAATTCGCAATGAATTTGGAACGAAACATCAAGAACGAAAGCGAGCACGGAAGCGATTGGATGGAGAGTACGGAAGCGATTGGCTAGACAATACGGCAACGATTGGCCCTCTTACAAATATCCAACATTGGAAGACTCGCGCGTTACGTTCATGGTATCTGCCATTGTGCGGTATACAGTGATCAATCTGGTGCGACCTCCGGTTCTCGAATCACGTGAAGACCCCTACCCCTCCCTCCAAAGGACTATCCCCAGCTATTGCATGAGATTGTACAGCCATCTCGGGGAATTGTACTCGATCTTGCAAGATACATTATTGTTTCTTGCGCCAGCATGATCGTGTCCTTTGAAACTCTTATAGCAGTGCAGATTAAAGCAGACATGAGTTTCAGATGCAATTCATATTTGATATTTATGAAGCTGTGATAGATCGAGCCGAGTTTATTCGATAACATGAAGTGGTTGCAAAGTTTTGTTTTTCTGTGGGGATTACTGTACATGCTGTGCCTCGAAAAGTCAACAGTGGACGGCCTGCGCGCAAAGGGTTGCGTCCATGGCACCATTGTGCGTATACTCTCTGCTGCATGAACTGTCATACCCTGAATCTGCGGTTCTTCCATGTCTTTTTAGAAGATTTAATTCAATGTTGCTGCAAGAGGATTATAAAGATGGTTGGGGTTCTGCTGAGGAAGGTAGATGCTGAGGCGCAAAGTCGAAAGATATTGGAGGCCGGTTGACGTGGCAATCTATAATTCACTAGATACCTAGAACAGTCTTTGCACTTTTGGATTACCATGTTTTGACAATTTGCGCTATGACGTTTTCCATCGGATGGTGGGACTTATAAGGAGCTTTATCCGCTCAAAGCCTCTGGTTAGGATAGATAGATCAATCAACGCCGAAAGTATCATCGCAAAGACGGAAACCTCTCAACTAATTGCACGAGACAATCAAGATGCCAAGAGAAGATATTGCTTTTCAAACTGGCGATAATGTCACTCTCCGCGGCTGGTTTTTCACGCCTGAAGCAGCCTCAGCTACCCCACTGCCATGCTTGGTGATATCTCATGGCTTTACAGCCGTCAAAGAAATGGATCTCGACCGCTTCGCTGAACACTTCACTTCTTCTGTCCAAATCTCTTGTCTCGTGTATGACCATCGCGGTTGGGGAGCTTCAGATAATCACCCATCTGCTCCTCGTCATGAGACAATCCCTTACTTGCAAGCTAGCGATATCCAAGATGCGATCACTTACGCTCAGAGCAGAGAGGATGTCAATAAAGAAAAAATTGGGATATGGGGTGTAGCCCTCAGTGGTGGACATTGTATTAGGGTTGGAGCTGTTGTATGTCTATGAGTCTGCTTATTTATACTGGCCATTCTCTCGACGTTCTTTGGCCGTGTTACTAAAGTTATATTCATAGGACAGGAGGGTAAAGGCGGTCTTGACTCTGGTGCCTGTGGTGAATGGCTTGGAGAACGGTCGTCGCTTGGCCAAACCGGATTCTGCGCCTGTCTTCAATAGAATCTTCGAAGAAGGTTAGTGGAGCTTGAAGTGATCCTTCAATGGTTAACATTTGGCATGAAGACCGAGTGGCCAGAGCAGCAGGGAAACCAGCCGCCACAATTCCTGTTGTTGGTCTAGACCCGAACGGAACTGCTGCGCTTGGAACAGTGGAAGCCTACGAGTGGTTATCCAAGTTGGGAGGCAAACATTGGAAAAACGAAGTGACTGTCAGGACGTAAGATTGCCCTGCTCCTAGAACTCGCTTTGGCTGACAAGGTGCAAGAATGCAAGAATTTCAATCATACATTCCAGAGGCCTATATCAAATACGTATCACCAACTCCCTTGCTGATGACAGTTGCGGAGGACGACTATCTGATGCCAACCGATCTGGCTCTGGCAGCGTACGCTAAAGCCCTAGAGCCCAAGGAGCTGCAGATAATTCCAGGCGTCCACTTTGGTGCTTATGGTCCACAGTTCGAGCAAGTTGTCAATCGTCAAATCGAGTTCTTGAAAAAGACACTCCTTGCTTGATAATCTAGCCAGCAATTTTGTTGAGGCATCCTCAGCCGTACTCGTGTTCTCATTGCCTGCAATTCTTCGTATTCTTCTATAGTCTGGTCGAGTTGTCGAACAAGATCAGCAGGACGTCATGATATCGAAGCGATAGTTTCTCTTGGCATAGTTATAATAAACTCTTATTCTTGATGTAACTGCTTCGCGGCCGCGATGGTGCTAAGCCTAGTATGGACGAAAGCCTAGGGATTTTGCATCATTCTTACACTACTTTGTCCTAATGTTTTACTTTACACATGAGATTTAATCCACTTATATTGTCTCACAGACTGTGGAACAATATAATCTCATTTCCCTGATTCGATCGCATAATCTTAACCCATAGAATTTTTGACTAATATAGTAGCAATAGCGCAGATGTATTTAAAATATAAAATAATCCTAAAAATTTGCTATATGTTTTACTTGAATTTTTTGCTCCTCCGAATTCTCGAGCAATGCCTAAAATTTTCACTGATTCATCATGCTGGTTCCATCATAATTCTTCAAGAAATCAATTCGCGTATGCTGTTAATAGCTGAAAGTGATAACATCGCGGTCCGGGGAAAAGGGGTCGCAAGAATCTCGCTTACTAGCGCCGTTGTTCAACGATATAAATTTGAATACACATTATTCTGGCACCAACAAAAAATTCTTCGCTAGCTCAGTTGGAAAATTGTAAGTCCTCTCCCCAAATTTATAATCAGTTTACTTCGATAGGTTACTGTGTGGGCAAGACATTTCGTAAGCCGCCGTTCTGATAAGCTCGGTACTTGTACCTTGTAGCTGTTCGTTCCCTGCAGAAATGTTGAGCTGATACACAAATCATTCAATGATTCAATCATACAAATTTTTTTGGAAGTTTTTTTCTTTCTGAATCTATGGTTGGAGCAGATTCTGCGAATTATGTCAGAAAATTTATAGTTATCGTTTGATTAGTTGAGTATTCCTTCAGAACCCGTCAGATGACAGCGTCCAGTCTTTTTTACCTCGCGTTGAGCCGCCCATAAGATTAGAGATACAGTTTAATTGTCTATGTATACAGAAAGTTCCGAAGCCTTGATTCTTGGTTCGAGGTGTCATCGTGTTTGACTTGGAAGTGATTGAAAATAAGATAGAAACTATTGATGACTTCGAACTTATGGGGAATTCGTGATATATTGCGAATAGTACCGTCTTGAGGATAGATTATTTGATAATAGAGCTTTCATTTTATTATGAAGATAGGATGCTATTGTATGTGGTTTATAATTGGCCTCTTTTCAATTTTTTATATGGGAATAAGGCCAAGCGGGGCTGGATCCGCTTCAAGTAAACAAAGCAACTCCAACACTTTTCAACGAGTACGATAGACACAACCACAGCCATCCTTCCTCCACAAAATCAAGCACTATGGATCAATCTCAAGTAAGCGCTTAACAAACACAACACATGATGATAAGGCTAAGAATGTGTCTGCAGCGCCAAATGCAACGCGCTGTTCCTGCAGCGAAAGCTGCACTGCTTCGAAGCAAGAGAAGAAAGCTCAAGGATGTTGGAAAGATGCAGGAGGAGAAGGCCGACATCAAGAAGAGTTAGTGAAATCTTGAATCTGATGCTCAAGCAATCATTGATCGAGGATGATGTTAACAAATGCCATAGTCATCAAGCACAAGAGGAAGAAGCGCATCATGAAATCGCGAATTGTTAGGAAGAAGAGGCGAGAGATGAGAGAAAGATGGAGAAATGAGCACTGGGAGGGAGAGGCGAAAATGCAGCGAGCATTGGCAGGCATGGGTTTCGAGGAGGAGCTGCGGGATTTCGAGCTGGACGGAGACGATGGCTGGAAAGCGGGAGCTGGGTGGGATGATACAGAGCATCAACATCAAGTCAGAGAGGAGTTTGAAGAAATGGTTGAGTATGATGTTATGGAAGAGTACGAGGTAGAGGTGGAGGTCGAGGATGATGAAGAGGGTGCAGCAGACACCGATGACGAGGAGCGCGACATGTATGTTTTGTCGGATGACGAGAACAAGTGATTAATGGAGGCACCATTCCAGATGTAAACACCAAGGCTATGCTGATAAAAGAGAAAGAATCAAATAGCATTACCTTGTATTACGATTTCCTTACTTACAGCAGTGAGATATTTTCTTCAATGACTAACTTTACAATCATTGATCCAACGCTCAAAGCACCTTTCTTTGTAGCCAAATAAATGCAATTATTTTCTTTCCAAGCTCCTCAGAAAAGCTTTGATAGGGCCTGGAAAGAAGTCGCAGCACTTTATTCGTACACCAGAATGAGTTTGCAGATTTTAGTCACTTCTGTTTTTTGTTCGCACAAAGGTGTTCTTGACTCCCCTTTTCGAACTACTACTTGCTGATGTATGCACAGAGAGTGCTCTCGCTTGATCCACCCCTTTTTGACTTACTCGGCAAGAACCAATAGGAATCGTCTCCAAAAAAACACATTGGAATGTAATGCAGCTAGCCAGGAAATTCTAACAGATCCAGGTGTTAAGGATTGTGAATGTTCCCGACAGAAGTCGTCTTGAGAGAAGCATCACTTCTTAGAAGTCATCAGACAATAATCCACATTCACCCTTTGGCAAATGTGGTTTAGATACATCCGCGCCCACAAAAGCTTAACTTTCAGAACACTGTTACTCTCAAGTCTGCACATTGTACAATAATATCGTTGAGTCAAACTGTGCGCGGCTTTCCCAGTTGACTCTTCCAATCGGATCAAACAGAAGCAGTAAACTCTATTACATATATGTTGCCATACGAGATAATGTCCCCCTCTTTCCATTCTCGAATTCCTTTCGCAATCACTAAGTCAGTAATGGGTAATCAGTCGTCAAAGACATCAACGAATTCTGCGTTGCAAAGATTCAAGTGCTGCCAATGTTTCAAGAACACGAAGGGCGTATTTATAGGTGCTTTCCCTGATAAATGCGATCATTGCGAACATGAACCTTGCCATGGCTGTTGGCTGCTCAATCAACCTCGTTTGGTGAATAGGAAGTCGGGCTTGTGGCTTGATGAGGGGGAGGCCAGGGAACGGGGTATGGGAGTTTAGGTTTCAACTGGATCAAGTACTGAAATTATTGCTTTTCCAACATGGGTGGAGCGGAATTCAGAGCCTGGAGGATTCTTATCAGTAAGCTTCTGTGTTTTCTTATGCCACACAGCAAAGTCGATTTTAGCACTAGGTCGAAGCCAGAACTTCCGATAATGCAACTTTGATCGTCATTCTATTGCTGCTAAGTCAAGAGTCTTTGATAATACTATAGCTCATCGCTCAGAACTTCTTGACCATTCTCTGTCTCTCGATTTTCGAAACAGCGAGTCGGCTCTCTACAGCCCGGCGGACTTGCCTGAGCCCTTTTCGCAAATTCAGCAGCACCCTGAGCCGCAACATACAGTGGATCTCCCTGTTCCCAAAGTCTGACACTGGGTCCACTTCCAGGTTCAACTTGAACAACGCGTCCTGCACAATTTTCACAAATTCAGAATGTCCCGCACCTTCACCCAAAAGTAGCGGCGTGTTTAAAGGCCACTTGGCCATCTGCCCAAAACCCACTATAACGTCGCGTATCCTGTCCCAATACGCCTCTTCTCCCTCATTCTCCAGGCCAAGCTCGAACCGCACACTCTCCGCTTCATGATAGCTCTGAAACGCAGATTGTGTATACGTATACGCTGCGCTGAACGACCTATTAGTCAGGCTGAGCGCTAGGACATGCAGGAACGGCATATCAGCCTCCTCGACCTCGCACTGGTCGCAATTTTCGGGATGCTCACACAATCCAAAGCCCATGCCTGCAAGCACGGCACTGGTCTCCCAAACGTATCCGAGGTGCTTGTGTGTGACGAGGGTGCGAAGACCAATGTGCTGTAGGGCGTCACGGAGGTCTTCTTCCTGGAGGCCGGGGAGGCTGGGCATGGTAGGGAGGACACTTTTGGTGGTACCAGCGCCAAGGTGGCTATCGGCGAGAGTACGGAGCTGGGACATGAGGTTCGCGAGGATGCCAACATCGCGGGTTGCGGGACGACCGCAAAGCTTGTTGAGACGTCTTTTTAGGTGAAGATAGGAGCAGTGGACTTCTTGCCAAGTGGTGCTATGGCTGAGAATTGTTATCAGTTTTGGTTATTTCTGTCTCTTATATGGCTGACTCACCAGGAGATCTTCGTAAAAGGGTCGGACAAGCGCTCGACAAGCTCTTTATACTCTTGATTTGCCTCGACCTTCACACACATCAGCCTCTTATTGCACAATTGTAGCGGAGTCTTTCACACTCACTTTTCCTAAATTCAGAGTCGACTTATTGTGATATCTAATCGCTGCAGCCCCGTACGAATCTGTCAAGTCAAACCCAATGCCTGGTGCGAGCGCATCTTCGCGCCCAATGCATTCCGAGCATTCGGGCAACGGTTCAAAGCGGGGGGTCTACCAGCCGTTACGAAGATGGCAAGGAGCAATAGAGCGATAACTGAGATTGAAATATAATCAGTAACAAATTCATATCGTTTGGATGTATTCGTGATTGTGGAAGAGGGTATTGTTTGGCGAGAGGAGGTCGTTGGTAAAAATATTGCCACAGCCTCGAAGGATTAGTTGGTTCGTACGAAAATCTTGGCTACACTTGGGCCGGACCATAGCCCGAACGTCCAAAAACGAACCGCATCATTAAGACCCTGTAATAACGGTAAAAATCATGATACTTAACCACGAATCATATTTTATAGTCATCTTATTCCGGAGTAGTGACGTTCTTTATTCTTTTCTAATTGAAATTTCCTGCCTTGTTTGGCATTCTCAGTAGGAAATTAGATAGGAATAGTACTTATGCCCATAGATATTTTAGATTGTGAGGAATGGTCTCAAAGTAGCTTGATTTATTATCATGTCTTGGCTTAATACTAACGTATAAATATCTCAGTTGACGTGATGGCATGAACTGTGCTTGTCTGAAACGTCTAGAAACCATACTAGCAACTCATGATCTGACAACAAGACTCTTCGGAAGGAGCGAATCAGTTATGACATCTCTCCCAAGGACGTACAATCTCTTTGCCTATAGCTTGATCCCGAATCTCCTTATCAAAAGTTTCCTGTTGAGTCTCGGGGTCCATGTCCACAGGAAGGTATTCCTTGGTATTCCAATAGATACACACCGGACACCAATCATGCAGTTCTCTCAAACCCGCCATATCGTAGCCGTTTTGGCATTTGATCCAATTGTCGCCACGGGCGTCTGGTGAGTTGCATCGTTTGATAAGTCTTCGGCGAATATGCCGACATGGGCCGTGAAAGTATCTTTCTTTGCTGCACATTGTGATACGTCTATGTCCGGACAGGAGTCTGAAGCTTATTGGTGAAGGTGAGTACTGAAAGCAAACACTCGAGGTGATATGTAGGCGATGGGAATAGGGAGTAGAGCTGCTGAGAAAACCTTGAAATACCTTCGAGAGCGTTTCTAGGCATTGAGGACAAGCAGCGAGACATTCACGCAGTATGACCATTCAGATGTGAGCTATGCTATCATTGAGAGTCACCACAGAATTGAAATGATTCAAATCATAACACTTGATAATTTGGAGGGAGAGAATTCGTCTATAAAAAACCAGTCTTTTTCTCCAAAAGTGGAAATGACCAACATCGACGCGCAAACTACATCCCAGATATCAGCATATCAATACTCGACGAACAAACCATCCAAGAACAATGACAGATCAAACTTCATTGTCAGAGAAGGCGATGATATGGCTGAGGGCCGTAGAATGTTGCCAGTGCTTCAACGAAACGAGAGGCATGTACCAAGGAGTTAACCCTACAATCTGCGAGTTCTGTGGTCATCGTATGGGTAATGGGATAGCACCGAATAGACATTGCATCCCACGCCACTCGATCAAGTTTGTGGAAGAAAAGGATAAGCACCAATACGAAAATTCAGAGGAGCCGTGTCCCTGGGTCAACAACAGATGCCGAGATTGATATGTGTACATTGAGTGTAGCAGCTCGGAGCTGATGTTATACGAGAGGTTGTTGGTTGTATTTCGAGCCTGGCTGCTCATTGCCACTATAGGATCAAGCCTGATGTTAGAAAGCAAGAATGAAAGCATTTAAAGCCACTTATTTACTCTAGTAGAAGCAATGACAGTGTATCTGCTTGATAGACATCACTAAAGTATCCCTCATGTGAGCCGCAAGTATGAGACATATTGTGCTAGACCATACTTTCCAGCTTTTGCTCCCTCGATCATGTGCGGGAAGTCTTACAAGTACTAACTGAAATCTACCACTTAGAGCCTAGGAAAGTACCAAGTTGACTTGAATGATTCAATCATGGAGATGTCCCTTCCCAGAACGAGTTTAGACGGAGTGCAAATGGAGTGAATGGATCGGGTTGCCTCTCTGAGCATACTCACAGAGAATCACAAGCGGTGCCTGAATCAAAAACTTATATCATGGAACCAATCACCAGCATCCTGAGACAAAAAAAGTACTACATCTTCCTCTTCCTCTTCAAAATTTCTCCATCACCAGTCTCAGCCCCAACTTCAAAGAGACCAGACATCGAGATCTAACCAACAATTCCCAACTTGATCAAGAGCCAGTACTTTTCAACGTGTAGCTATGATGATACAATGGCTTAGATGGCTACAATGCTGCCAATGTTACGGGGAGACTGGTGGTATGTCAGAGTTCGATCAGCCGAGTCAATGTATGCATTGCGACCACGCTGGCTGTGACGGATGCTGGACGTTCACACGTCCTGAGATCACTTGAGCGTGCAAGTCGGTGTGGTTGAGAAGCACACATCTAGAATGCCTACGTAGTTTGGCTCGCTTAGTATTATTGCTTAGCTTCTGTATAAACAACTTTAAGCAAAACCATAATCACCGAAAATCGCCAAGTCTAGCTGGCTCAAGTGGTAAATTACCACTCCGTCCCCTCTTCGCAAGAACAGTTAACTATCTATAGGTCCCTGTGTGGGTTCCATGTCGCTTAAGACGTTGCTCGTATGCTCGGTACTTGTACCTTGAGACTGGTCGGCCACGCATGCTTCATGGAACTGAAACACAAATACAATATGCTATGCATAAACAAAATTTTTTTTGGAGGTTATTTCTAATTCTCATTGTATGATGCCATTCCTTTTCCTTGGTTGTGGTCGGGCTTCTCGTAAGTATGCAGAGTCGGCGATATTGAAGGTGCGCCTTTTTTTCGAAGTTGACTACAGCTTGTATATGGATTCAACTTTACCTTGGGGTAATAATTTACGCTTAAGCGAGCTCTGATTCTCGCGACTTGAAGTCCATTGTTTACAAATATTTTGTGTCATCACAAGTTTAGTTCGTCACCATATTCAATTCGCAGAATCATTAATCACGATGGCATCAGAGGTAAGTCTTTCTTGAGGGAGATGAACGGTTGATATGTACTTCATTCCTCTTTGTTCTAGCCAATATGTATCTTTCGAGAATGATGCTAATCGTTGGTGTTTAGCGACAAGTGACTGCGGATAAGAAGGCGGAATTGCGTGAAGGAAGATCAGAGCGAAAGAAAGCATTGAAAGCCTTGAAGGCTGATGTTGCTGCTGGCCGTGCTAGTTCGTTGAACTCCGCTGCTAGCATCGCAGCTCCTCCTAAAGGTATGTCTTCCTTGAAGACTTCCTATGAAGTGTGCCTCTTGGTCATCGGTTACATGTCACTGACGTGACATTCAAATCCCAGAGCATCCAAAGCAGCATTACCACGTCAAGAAGAAGAGGTATATTCGGAAGTGGCAGAAGCAGGTATTCAAGTCGTGGAGACCGGAAGCATGGAGTGGGGAGGCTACATATCGTCGCTGGGTCAGAGAACAAGAGCGTGTCACTGAAGCACCAGCAGCATTCGAATTGGACGGCGAGGATGGTTGGGAGGCAGGGGATGGTTGGGATGACCATGAATTCGAAGTTGAGACAGATGTGGAGGATGAATTGGTCTGTTATGAGGAGGAAGTAGAGTGCATCATTGAGGTGGATGAAGATGGGAAGGAGATATGTGTGATTGAAGCACCTGGTGAGGATGATGTCGTGATGTATGATGTTAGATTTTGACAAGTCAAGATTCCTGTTCTCCATCTCTCATCTCTCTTCAGCTCACTTTCACATGGCGGTATTGTAAAGGAGTTTTGTAGCCCAGTCAAATCCGGCGGAGAATGGACTGTCGATTTAGCTGTGTGTCAACAACAAGACGATCACATATCCTGCGGTCTTGCTGTATTAAGAGCTGTGGAGACTCTTCGATGGGGAGTTCATTCCACCGTTTGGAACTGCCCCCGAGTACTTGAGGTCAAGATATCTCCACATGCTCATTAGACAATTTACAACCTATGCCGGTCTGTTCCAGCCTTTTGTCAAGTCCTTTGATCAAGAGCATAGCGAGTCTATCGCTGCAGGCACGAAGCAAGTCGAGTTGTATCAATAGGCTATGGCAACAGTCAAATCAACACCAGACCTTTTCACGATTGAGGGCCAAAGACTGAGTTAGGATCTTCTGGGTTCGACCTGAGGAGATCCAGCTTCTGGTCCTAACGCGCATATGCCTCGCAATTCACCCACTTGCCACTCATAATTAAAATCTCCAATTTTGCTTGCGCTTTCTCCCACTTGCTCTTGCAACTCCAACGCGGATTCTGCCTAATCCTGCACTTTCTGTAAGCTAAGATTCTAGCTCAGCTATAGAATGAAGACATAGAAACTTAACAATACTCTCTGTCCTTACACATACGTGATAAAGTTACTATGGTGTTTTCGTGTTCGCCCACCATGATCAGCTAATAATATCCGATGTACCCCCTGATCATATATTAGTTTCTCGCCACTCAATCATTCTACATTAACCTAATTTAAAAAAGAGACAACTCATACTACTTTAAAATACCGAGTCACTGACGGACTTTGAATCGAATCTTGATACAAAGTCTGAGTCTGCTTGTGTACTCTCTTCAAGTTGACACAGTATGCTTCTATTTCTGGCAAGCTAGGTAATATATGATCAGGGGTTACAGGACACTGGAAATACATTTGATACTGTAAGTTTGACAGCCGCTGTACCCAATAGCCTAGATAGAGACTTTTATTCATATATCTTTTCGAATGCCCGGGAAGCGGCCCAGTATTCGGCCCACTCTAATGCTGGACCTCTCGTCCTGACATTCATCCTCATTCAGAACACCAACCTCGCCCATCACAACTCACCAAACACGACACCCAACTCGGCACCCAGCCAGCGTACCCAGAGCCTCAGTTCAATTCAGTTCAATGTGGAGAAACCCACGCTGGTAAATGAGACGAGGTGTGGAGACACCCATTCCAGCCCAGTCCATCAGAATCTAGATGTGTTCCAGGGTGGTTAAAGGAAAGATCTAGATGTTTGACGACGATGTGCAACAACAATTCTCTATCTGCTTTACACGAGACGAGTAAATATAAACGCAGAGTCACGGGAAAGGAGAGATGGGAAGGCTTGTTCATCAATTCGTTGCATTTCTTTGCATTTAGTCCAGTCCAGTCCATCCATTCAATTTGCCACCACCATCTCCCCATAATACCACGTCTCTCTCAAAGACGTCCTTTCATCCTCACGATTGCTTATCGTCTCATCCCCCACTCTCACGAAGGAGAAAATCAAAAGCCTTCCTGTACTAACGCCCTTTATGCAGGAGTTGGGCCACTCATCAAAGAAATTACACCGCCCCTCCTAACATCTCCACCAGTGTGTGTCTAAAAGAAAATCATAGGCCCATTGTGCCCCATTGGTATTGGAAATCTTCGTTGTTCCGCTGTCAGTACAGCGAGAACCAAAGCAGAAAGCGTGATTCGAAAAGAAAATAGTTCATAGGCTGCTGGCCGTCGCTGTATACTTTTGCTGGTTCATTTTTCTCGAGATCTGTGCTGGTACAAGTCGTGGCTCAGATGTGCCTGCTTCAAGCATCTTGCGCTAAAGGCTTCTCAGCTCTAGGCTTGCGTGGTCCACCCTTAAGAGACTTCACTCTCGACAGAAAGCCACCACCAATCTTTGGAGCAACAGATGGCGGCATGTCACCACTACCATCGCTTGTAACTCGCCGCTCAAGACGTTCACCAAATCCTCGTCGAGGACTGCTGGGTGCGCGAGCGCGACCAGTTCTTTCTGGCTCAACAATTGTGATACTCTCCTTCTTGCTGTCGTCGCCCTTGGAGAATTCGTTGAAGAATGGGTTGGATTCGACCTTTGTACCTCCTGGTGTGCGTGCCTCGGGGGAGTATACACCATCAGGGCTAGTGATTCGACCAGATGGACCAAAGTCACGTCGAGTGTTGACACCACGAATTCTTTGAGCCAATGACTTCTTTCGTCCAAGACCACCAGCTTCAGTTGGGGAAGTTTGTTGTTCACTCTCACGACGTTGCAAGGCTGCTCTGGAAGCTGGAGCACCTTCGAGGAAAGTAGACGTACCCAAACCAAGGGTTTCTTCCCCGTGGATAGGCTCAACTCTGGTGGTTGCACTCAACACGTTCAGCTCCGACTTTGGTGGTGCACGAATAGCCCCGTTGTCATAAGGTTCATATCCATTGAATCCTTGACCACCTTTGGAATAGTCCTTGAAAGCTTCTTCATCGGCCTGTCCTAGGAAAGTTGCGTGATCAGGTCTTTTGTTAAGTGGTCCTCCTCCTCCCAAGACATTATTCAATGAGTCTTTAGGGAATGCTTGCATTGGGGCACGTCTGCTGCCTTGTCGGTTGCGGTGAGGATTGCATGCGTCGAACGGACCGTCGTGATGGAATACTAGAGCACGTTAATTCTAATTCCTCTTTCACAGTATGGTGTACCTACATCCAGTGCCATAAATACTAGTAACATCCAACTTATCGATGATATCCAGATTCTTAGGTGGTTTTCTGTTCTTGGGATCCTTGGCTTCCTTCTCTCTACGTTCTCTACGCTCACGTCGTCGTCTCTCTTGTCGCTTTCTATCCTCCTCAGGATCCAAAGACTTGCGATGGCCACTCAGAACCGATGAATCGGAATTTCTCCTCAATCTGGGACCTGGCTTGGAGGATGATTCGATCGGATCGGCAAAGATGTCTAATTCTTGACTTGGGCGCGATCTGCTAGAGGAACCTTGAGTGGCAGCTCTGCGAGCACGCATTGCCTCCTCTTGTGATCTAGATGGACGGTGACCAGGTGGACCTCGAGGGGGGACATTTTCAGAGCGAGAACCTGCTGAGTATGGGGGAGGTGCCTTTTCACCAGTGTTGGATCGGGGAGGAGGTGGTCGCATGCCATTCTTGGTAGAAGGGGGCTTGTCATTGAGAGTCAGATTGTCCTGTACGGCCATGGTCAGCGATGAAGTAATTGACATTGTTGTCTGAATGCATGTGGTTCAATTGATGAGACGACTCTGGGACAAGAGTCGATCTTGTACTCCATAAAGGGGGAACATGTTCTTTGGCCCAAAATAGAATGACGTACAAATAATTCGGCCGCATTGCCAGTCAATGCAGGTCTTGGCGGTGCTGTAGCGTCTGTTGCGAAGGACATCTTGTCTGGTGAAGTGCCTGGTCGTGCAAATGTATCTTGAGAACTCGCGTCGAGAAAGGGATTCCGTGACAATGGTCGTGGCGGCGCTTCGAAAGGAGATCGTGAACCGTTGGAGAGAGCAGGCGAAGCAGCACGATTGCGAAAGGGATTGTTGGAAGAGAGATTAAGTGTGAGGCCTGGGGATGGTTGAGAACCTAAAGTACAAACAGGATCTTCTTGTTAGCCGGCGGGTTCATGCATGTCCATGACGGTGGATTGGGGGGATTTTGAAACAGGGCGATTGCCAACTTGATACGCCCAACCTGATGATAAGTGGAGAGGGGGTCGGTGATGTCGAAGCGCGCCCAAGGGATATATTGCAGCATTGGACAAGGAAACTGACCTGCTTGACCTGGTTGGGTGAGCGACATTGTGGCAAAGCTCTGGGCCAGGATTAAGATTTGGCGTCGTAATGGGGATCGTCCGGTCGATGTCGTCGCTGCAATGCGCGCGTTGATAAGGAGGTGAGGTGGGCAGAGGGAGCACAGATCGCAGGGAGAGGGAGATGTTTTCTGTAAGGTCGGATGGAGGAGAGGAGGGAGATGGGGTTTCGAGGGAGGTCTGCGATCTGTTTGGATTTGGACTGTCTGGGACTGGGATGAACACGAGCGGGCAGGCGAGCGAGGAGCGGCGTTACGGGTACCCGCCAGTAAATTCCTTAGCGACCGAGGCCGATTGTGCCTCTCGCCTTTAGCAGATCGCTGGTCGAGGAACGCGTGTGTGCCGGTATTTTTGTTCGACTCCTGATTTGATTGAGTGATTGAGTGATTGCTTGATTGATTGATTGTTGCTTGGCCTCGATGTGACACTCGAGTGTGCAGTGTAACAGCGCGTCTGGGACGGCGGGAGGTCTAGATGCGATGCGAGTCTGGGAGCCCACGTCGCGGTCGAGTTTGGAGTTGAGCGTTGTTGGCAGAGCGGTGGGTTGGCAGTGGGAGACAAGTTTGGACCAGATGTTCCGTTTGCCAGTGCTCCCGTCGAGGTCCAGGTGATGATTGATGAACGGCTGCCAACTCGAAGCGGGGATCCGGTGGCGCCCCTGGCTGAATGAAATGTCTTTCCGTTGATCCCAGGTGATCAGAGAAAATCGTTGTCTTTGTTTGTACTTTGTACCTGTCCTGTGTGCTGTGTATCCAAATGTCGGAATATGACATACGATGCCGTAAGAAGTACTATTCCTAGGAGGTAGATAGAACTAACGATTGGGTGTGGTACAGAGGAAAGGGGAGGAGAGGAGAGGAGAGGAGAGGGAGGGAGAGAGACGGGGATGAGGTGGTATGATAGTATCAGTGTTTATTTCCTATCTTAAGAAGTGGAAGAAGGAGAAGAAGAAGCTTTCTGTTCATCTCTCTAAAGTGAAGGAACAAAAGACGTTCTTCATGCCGGTGGACTGCTGGAACTAGGTACAGTACTAGGACGCGCTCCTGCTCCAAATGGCAGGACCCTGAGGATCTGAATCTGAATCTGGTCTGGGAAGGAGCCATCAGACCCATCACAGCAGCGGCGCCGTGAAGGCATCCCGTTCTCGTCCCAGTTTTACGGGGAACCTTGTTGAGAGTCGTGAAGTGCGTGGACATCACTGCATTATTTTGCATAATTCTACAATTTTACTCATGAATAATCCTCTGCTCGCAAGGCCATTGGTGGATCCACGGGCAGCCCCTGAGGAGAAGAAAGCCACTCTTCACCTTTCCTGGTAAATGGTGGTAAGAGTGGGGACGAAAGCTGAGGAGGGGTCTTTTCAGGGGAAGGGAAGCCATTCTCCTGAGCCTAAATGGGTAATGGAAAGGCCACCTCCTGATCTTTGTAGGACTCATGTCGTGAGCCGCTGGCATGTTCACGGGACGATGAGAGAGGACGAAGCGGTAGACAAGCCGCAGGAGAGTTCTGGTGTTGTGCCAAAGTCCACAGAACGAGAGAGCTACGCCTGGAGCAGTAAAGGTCTCGTAGACTTTCTTTTGGGACCTCAACTAACCTTAGCTCAGAACCAACGTGGGGTAGAAAGGTACTGTAGTTTCGTCTCGTCTTCGTGATTTCCAATCTCACGGTGCTCGTATCGGAAATGCTTGGGGGAGTATCAAACAGTAGGTGGATACAATTTGATCATTGATCTTCATGAAATGACTCGGCCCATCTTTGTACGAGGCGGTGAGGTACATAATCTGCGTGCATGATGCCGTAGAACGGTGAAAGGGGGAGCAGGGTTCTAGATCTTGGGCAGCACTGGACACCGCAGGATAGATTAACTAGAGATGAATCTCTATAAAAAAGTACAGAGTAGGGCCGTACTATACAATTGAAAACATCCATCGAGTGATGCGAGAACTTTAAGACGATCCAAAACGTAATAGGCCTGTTCGGAGACTCCTCCTTAAACCTTATCGTAACTCAAATTGATTCACCTGCAGAAAGTACCTGCGCATATCAGGCCGGATTATACACTTATGCAAGCCATTATTATCATTGGAAGCACGTGGTGGTGAATAAATTTAAGCTGTTTTGTGCCAAGCCAATGATCTACATCCCCTTCTCAGCCTTGTCCTAGCTTCCAAACATCGCAACCGTTCTCAAACTCAGCCTCAAGTTCAGCTCGTCAATAATCTGATCTATTGAAACGAAGAAGCATCGAGATGGCTGCTGATTCTTCAATGCATGATGTCGACATGGAAGGCAATCAGACGCCACCGCCAATCCCAGAGGAGCCCAGGTATGGTGGTTTCAGCAGATTCGAGATTGAGCTTGAGGTATGATCACCAGACTCCATACACTCACTCGCAAGAGACTTGCGCTTCGCTTCAATAAGCTTGAGCATCTATTGATTTGTCTATAGTTCGTCCAATCTCTTGCCTCTCCGCTCTACCTCAATCATCTGGCGTCGATGAAATATTTCGAGAATCCTGCCTTTGTAGCCTACCTCAGCTATCTACAGTACTGGTCACTTCCGCCATACACCAAGTACCTTGACTATCCCGGACCGACACTCAGAAATCTGGAATTACTGCAGCAAGAGAGATTTCGAGCGGATATTCTAAGCCCTGACGTAGTTGCCAGACTGTTCGAAGAGGGTATGAAAAGAGGAGCGGAGGGGCCACCTTCTTGAAGACAAGAGAGATGCATACACGAAAGCTATCAGGACAAGACCTGGCACCGAGAGTCAACAGATTTATACAGTAGATGCTGGTTATGGAGGATGAACCTTATGATACCCAGGACACGGCGTTTTCTGGCAAATGGAGGCAGAGTGGAGTCTGCAATGTATTGGATTGATATATGGGAGATCTTCATCAATGGAGTATCTCCTTGCATATCCGTGGTATCCGCCAAGTGACGCCTTGAATGCTTCCCATACGCCTCGCTGAATTGCAAACAATAGCAAAGTACCACCTCCCATGCACCTCCACTCCAAACCATGATCTGCAGATCCTCCACTCGACACGAATATCAGTTCTCTCTCCACCGATTCCCACAAGTCATACACTATATCCAATCAGTCTCTATAACAGCTTCTAAAAAGCCCGTCCCCAACTCACCTTATAGAAACCCGTCATAGGTTCATCAGCACTCCGAATCTGCACCTGAAAGAACGCCGCCTCATCCCCATCACACCCATCCTTCGGACACTGAATCTTGATCTTATCCGCATTATCCCAAGCTCCAGGCCCGCCAAACACATCCTCCCTCTCTTTCCTAACAAAAGCCCTGCGCTCGAAGTATCGTTTCGTGATGATATACTGGTACGGACAAGTCTGGCACTCGAGGCGATTGACCGGCGTCTCGTCCCCCTCAACAGAAATCTGGCTCACGGTGAGGACATTGCTGCAGGAGGGGCAGACTGTAGTGGGGTTAGTTATCAATTTCTTCTGAAGAGAGACGAGAGCGCATACAGAGTAACATCTTGACTTTGATATCCTGAACGTAATTTAAGTTCGAATCGAAGGGTTCAAAAATTGTTCGTTCGATTCACAATGTCTCTGCGCAAGAAACACAATTGTTCAAATCCTGACTCAAAATAGTTTCCCCAGCGAAACCCAAAAATATATCGCGGGAAAATGAAACACCGATCCGACCCCTCGCTTCCGAAACTCGACTTTCGAAGCGCCTTCTCAGCATGAAGCTTCATCTTGTCCGCACAGCCCTGTTGCATTCGCAATCCTGCTCCTTTTACTCTCCCTCCCCTAAAATCGTCAATCCGATTTCAGCGCCCTCTTCATTCTCTGCCATTTGCTACCAAAAAGTTCGATTTACAGCGCTGAAACCTACTACGTCAACCAGGCACGCGCCTACAAGTCCGCGCACGCGCTGAGAAGAGTTCAAGAAGTGAACAGAATAAGGAAGATTACACAAGATGGCGGATATCAGAGCACATCCAGAGCAAGACGAGGAGCATGAGGTTCGTTCTATCTCTCTACAAGCACAACTAAAACTACCCCACCATCCCGAACATCCAAATCTCACCATGATACTAACATTCTCAACGTACAGGGCGCCTCCCCAGGAGAACTCCTCATCGAAGCCGCCCGCCGAAACAACACAGACCTGCTAAAAGAAGTCCTCTCATCCTGCAAAAGCGAAGACGAAGCCGCCAAGCTCCTGAACGAGACCAAGTCCGTGCTGGGGAATTATGTCTACCATGAAGCTGCATTACGCGGGAACTGTACGTCTCCCTTCCCTCCCTTTCCTCTCCCCAAATTCCCCAGAACTGACTGTTTGTTTGATAGACGAAATAATCGACACCCTCCTCGACCAACCCGGCTTCGAATGCGACCCCATCTCGCGCATCGAAGGCGACACGCCCCTGCACTCCGCAATCCGCTACATCAACAGCCACTTCTCCACCTCGCCCACGAACGCCGAGCTCTCGACCTTCGCCTCGGAGCTAATCAGCATGATGATCGAAGCAGGATCGGACCCGAAGTTAAAAAACAAGGCGAACCTAACACCGTACCAGCTCGTGGATCCGCGGAACGAGACGCTGAGACAGCAGATTCAGGACGCGGTCGATGTCGAGATGATGAGAGGGGATTATATTGAGGAGCGGGAAGAAGGGGATGGTAGGGGGGATGGTGGGGGGGATGGTGGGGAGGATGGAGAGGAGGATGGCGATGTGGGGAGTGGGAGTGATAGTGATTTTGATCCCGAGGAGTATAGACGGGAGAAGGAGCGGAGGGATAGAGAGAGGAGGGCGGCGGCGGGGGCTAATGGTGGTGCTTGATAGAAGACAACTAGAAAGAAGTAAGCGAGAGAGAGAGAGAGAGAGAGAGAGTTGGATGGAGGATTTGATAGCATAGCGCGGTCGGTCGGTGGTTTCTGCCATTTCCTTTCCTTGCAACGACAGAAAGCAGTCCAGCAATCGAGCCCGAGATGCAGGGGTGGGTAAGATAGAGATAGGCGTATGAAAAGGGGTTCCTTGCTTGATTTTACATAGGTACTTGGAAGGAAAGGATAGATAGCATTGCAGCACGAATCGAAGATCTAAGCCTTGATGCACACACAAACATCTCCAGAAGCGGAAGTTGGTCATGATATGATTCATTCGTCTCATAAAGTAAAGTCTAGGTACTGTACTGAATTGAACTGTAATAGGGGTATCGTCTCGCATCACGTGGGTATCATAACAGATCTGCCTCCTGCCTCGAGCCTGCTCTTCTTCCACTTGTCCAACCTGCAAATCTACCAAAGCACAGCCCAAGCAACAACCACCACCAACGCCCCAAGACTCCCACCAAATCTATTTGGTTCGCCTCTGGTCCTCTCGCCACCGTTCTTAGAACCTTCGTTGATAATGGTAATATTCATACAATCAGCCAAGATCTCTTTACTGACTTTCCCGCCTCCTTGACTTAGCGCTTCTAATTGCTGTTTGAACGTCGCCAGGATATTCGTACTCCTTCCCTCGGGACAAAAAGTGATTTCCCACCCTCCGCCTGAGGGAATGATGAAGGTCGACGTTTGATCGTCGAAAGCGTACGAATAGGCGTCTGGACAGACAGCTTTTGCGGATGTCGCGTAGAGATTTGGTGAACATTTCGACGAGTCGTCATAAGCGCCCGTGCAGCAATCTGAAGGTGAATTGGTCTTAGAACAAGCAGAGAGGCAAGGATCGAAGATTGGACGTTGGATGTTATCATCTGGATATGGATAGACTCCATCACCTGGTTTGGTGGGCTGGGTCACTTGAAGATCCCAAGGACACCAAGAAGCAACCATAGCATTGGTTTGTTTGCTCTCGAATGGTACTGGGTACGTCGAATTGGTTGAGTTGCCATTCTCTCCAGATGGAGATGGATCAGCGAGCCAGCCCGCTGTTCCAATGCAAGCGGGGTTGGTCAGGTTTGGAGGAATATCCTGAAGTGAAGCACTATCGCCAGGAATGTAGGTTATGCCTAAAGGGATGTTGTATCCATCGACGAGAGAGATATCGTAGAACGTTTGAGTGCCTCCAGTACCACCCGCAAGATCAAATTCGGCCAGAGTAACAGGAGTTGCGCCCTGGCAAGTGTCAGTACAGATCTCTCCCCCTCAATTGAAGTGATTCACTAACAGTGAGGACACAGCTTAAAACTCCACCACAATCTCCCGTTGAACAAGCAGCACCTGCACCATTGTTGCCGTTCAAGTTACTTGCTCCCGTCCCTGCAACATTGAAACTGCAATTCGTTCTTCCCCAAACTCTGCCTTGCCAATCTGGGCTCACTGTCAAGGCCTTGCTGTCTCCAGATGATAACTCAAATCCACCAGTGCCAGCGCCGGTGCCTGCTTGAGTTCCAATGCCTGGCCAAATGGTATCTCCACAATTATTGCTTATGACAAGAGGTATGGAGCCATCTCTCTTCTCTGGAGGGCCCCATCGAGCAGGTCGAGGTTTCGGATTCGAGTTCCGGACAAAGAATGGATTCGTGGTATAGGCAGAAGCTTTTGAAGAGAAGTCTAGAGCAAAGAAAGCAAGTAACAGTATGAGTAACGGAGGAAACACGCGCTCGGTGCGAGCAGTGTTCGTAGGGCGCATCGCTATCGTTGAATCTTGAAGCCGTTATAGCTCAAGTAGTTGCTTGTTTGAAACGCTATCGAAAGAATGAGGAGGACCAAGACACAAGTATACAAAAGTATAGACCAGGTCCCGTCTAGGAGGCGTTAAACTCAATCGCCCCCGCAGCCAGCCAAGATCTATCCAAGATCAAGGATGCGGGAGGCCCAAGGAACCAAGGAAGGTCGACAGCTTTTGGCACAGCCTTGCTGGAGGGAATCGGGCTGGTCAATCAGCATCCTCTGATCCAGTGCTCCAACAGATCAGCCAAAGTGAGAGACGACCTGCATCTCTAGTGACGTAGAGTTGTCGCCGGCGAACCGTTGGAAGCGGCTGAGCTGGGGTTCGTAGGAAATGAGGTTGAAGCAAGGCAATATCCCTGTCGACGCGGACGGAGCCTTGTGAAGTTCGTGCAGGCGGCAAGATAAGGAATCGATTAGGGTAGAAGTCGAAGAGGAGAGTGAGGAATGAGGTTTAAATGATTGTGGTTGCCATGTGTGGGCGTGAATAGAGCGATTGAAAAGATGTTTGGTGTTTCAGGTGAAGCTTCAGTCATGCATTGTTTGGACGACCAGCTCTTGAGAAACATTCACAAACTCTCCTCGATGACGCAGCTTCCCTCCTTAACGTGGTGGATCTTCGGTTACATCCGAAGTGGGGGAAGTGAAGGCACGATCCTAGCTGTGTACCTTGTTTTAGAGTTCTTGACGTGAGGTTCGAATGTGAAGGTTTGACAAACGACAAGGAAATAAGATAAAAGCTTCCTTGATTTATTGACTTCAAAGTCGGTGCAAAATAGACTATATACTATGCTCCACTACAGATGACATAAACAAATTCCGACTTTATGACTCGACAACTCCTGTGCAAAAGAAGGCTAAACATTTATCAAGTCTTTAGACTATGAGTCAATCGATTCCATTAGCTTATGTATCGTCCAGAAGCATATTTATTCACGCCAGGCATGTCCATCTTCCATCTTCCCCTTTCGCATCAAATCGCTATCAAACCTTCTGAACCTTTTCTGCTGCTCCTCATATATCAGGAGATCATCCAACCTCCATCTATCTCCACAACAATAATCATTCATAGTCATATCTCGCCCTCTTGGATGCAAGAAAGAAATTCGTTTGGTGGTATCATTTTTGGTGCGATCACTTGAATCTTGACGTGCACCGACCCATGACCTCGCCCTGGCACACTAGCTCTGCGTTGAATTCGGATCCATCGAGGGTCAAGTAGATGTCAAAGTATACACGATAGAACGTCCCTTGAGGGGTATCCATTCTCTCGAAATCTTTTTCGAGGTTCTTACGTGATAGATCTGAGGTGAGAGTGACAACTTCCTTAACGCCTAGGAAATAAGTTAGTTCGAGTGTTACCAAACATAGAACAGAGCAACTTACGGGGATCTTTGGTATACTCGGGGCAAACATCGTCGTCACAGGCATACAGGATATCCTCGTACATCAGAGTAGCACCAGGAGCAACCTGTCTAAAGAAAGAAACCTTGACAGGCTCTCCAATCTTGACTCTTTGGCCTTTCTGTACAAAAATCTGTCGAGTGAACTTGCATCGATCCTTGCCATCCAAGGACGGAACACGGTAAGCTTCTGGGTGGTGACCCTCCTTGAAAGGTTGGAGAGTAGCCATAAGGTAGTGGCGACGAGCGACACGAGATGTAACGACTCGCTCAGTGATACCAGCAGTGACAGCACCCTTGACAATAGCAGCAACGGAATCCATGGGTCTAACCACCTTGGCCTGGAATTGAGGGGGTACGTGAAGCTTGATCTGCTGGAAGAGATATTCAGAAGCACCAAAACCACCAACAACCAGGACGTTTTGCAGGGTTCGGTTCTGTGCCTGGATGGCGATGATTTGGTTTCTGACCAACTCCAAAATTCTGTTCACTACTGGCTCGAAACATTGCAGAATTTCTTCGTTCGTGAAAGTCATGTAACCTTCCTCAATACCAGCTTCTGGGAACTCTGCCTCAATACCAACATCGACAGCCCACTTCTGGTTGTTGTTCCGGAAATCGGCCTTGATTCTGTTCTCGAAATCCATGATACACTTTGCGTAGACTCTACCAGCTGTTTTTGATCCATCTGGAAGTTTCATTTTTCGGATCTTGGTTCGAAGAATGTTGCTGAAATTTCGGTTAAGAGCCGTCGACCCACAAGAATCACCAGAACCTGCTGTACACTCAGACACTGTGAATGGAGACTCTTCCTCAACTTCGTATGCGATCAAATCGACAGTTCCTCCACCACAATCGACGATCAGGACTGCATCATGAACCTTGAGGTTCAGGAGACCGGCTTTCGAACAGAACAACGCAGCAGCTTCGGGCTCGGTGATGAGTGTTAGTCTGTTATCATTCTCATCACGTAAGAAACCAGCTTGAATAGCAGCAGCGCGAGTTGCAGCTTTTCCAGCATCGTTCCAGATAGCTGGGACTGTGAGATAGTATCTGATGTTTCGCTCTTCTCTGTTGAAAACCTCTCCAAGTGTCTTTTGCAGTTGACTTCGCATCGCTTGTCGAAGCTTGAAGAGATAATCTGCCGCTACGTCGATTTCGGACTTTCCTGGTGGAAGCGGTGGGAGGTTAATGGGGTCGATATATGTGTTACCAGAAAGCATGAGTTGGAGCTTGAACCACTCAACTTTTTGCACTCCTGGCTTTGGATAACCGGTGGGAGCCAAAGCATCAGCAATATCAGGTCCCCAACCTACAACCTTCTGGTATTGATCGTAGTAGAGCACAGTAGGAATCTATGATTGTCAATATTAAGTCCATTTTCAAACAACAAATCACTCGTACCTTTTGCTTCGTATATGATCCCGCTCCTGGCCATTCTGTAATGATATCTTCCTTTGCTTCTGTGTTGGTTGCGAAGGCGAATGCGACACCGGAGAAGGTGGTTCCCTACTGCAAATTAGCCCAGATCTCTTGGTGCGATAAGGATTACTTACAAAGTCGATACCGACAATTAATTGTGCTTTGCTTCTTCCAGCTCCCTCGACTTCGACTGCATTGTTTCGATTTGCGTATTGTTGGGCCGCAATGCTGTTACCGATTGGAGCTGGAGCACCATATCCAGGAGGACCATACTGAGGAGGGCCACCTGCTGGCGGTGGTGCACCCATTCCGCCAGCTGGATGTCCAGGAGGATAACCACCTCCAGCACTTGTATTGATGGGAGGTGGGCCGCCCATCACCTGCGACGGCGGTGTGCGAGGATTGCCTGCCATGGGACTCTGTGTGCGGCCGACTGCTGCAGGAGCAGGAGCGTAGTTGTTTGTATAACTCGGTGGACGCCCACCAGGACCTGGATGGCTCATAGGGAGGCTGGTCGTCGAAGATGAAGCAGTTGAGGGGAGAACGGGTCTGCCAGCAAGTTGCGGCGCAGAAGAGGTGGGGTTCTGGGCGATCGTGGGAACGTTGGCGCTCGATTTGCGTTTGGAACCGAATCCAAGGCCTTTAAAGCGGGAGTTCATAGAACTCATATGGTCGAAGGAGGTGTAATCAATGCGAGGGAGAGAGAGGAGGCGGAAGGGATTATTGTGTTCGACTCGCCGCGCTGTCAGCAGCGTCAAACAAATGGGCGCTAGTGCGGGCGGGCTGAGCTCTCGACGAGGGGGACGAGGTTGATACAAAGACAACCTTGTGGAAGGAATGAGAGTGAGGGTCCGGCGACATAGGACGCTGCAGGAACGGGAGAGAGCCGCTGTGGGATGTGTGAATAGCAGCAGTCGTTTATCAAGGCTAATTCAGGTAGGACTCGCGGTGGTAAGTCGCAGACTGGTGCAGCTTGGTCGTTCTGTTCTGATCTCTCCGTAATCTGGAGGCGCTGCAACAAGAGGCTGGTTGCGTTCGTTCGGGTGTGGGTGAATTAATTGGGAGAAGCGGGCGACGAGCTGAAGGAATCCTTCTCGCTTTGTTCCAGATGCAAAGTCCTTTCCTGTGGACAGTCGCAGCAAAAGCCACCAGTACCATCAAACAAAGCACGGGAAATTGGAGATGAGCTTTTCTGGACGAGGTCACCGAGAAGAGGACTGCAGCACGAAATATGGATTGTTCGATCACATACAGATCACATCCAGATTCACGAACAGCCAAGTAGGCGGGATGCGAGTGAGAGGCGGCTGCAGGTGTCTTCACTCCTCACTCGCAGACAACTACGACGCTCTGATGCCGGACCGCGAGTGCAATGGTAATGATCGTACTATTGCAAGGACTGTCTTTGGTTGCTTTTCGCAGCTTGACTCTGGATGAGAGACATCCGGTGGCTCTGCGATTTGAACTTACTCAGCCTCACTCCTCCGCTCTTTTCGCCCGCGCTGTTCTTCACGGTCCACCAGATTAAAGATTACCTCAGGCCTAGAGTTCCTATCCCAGCCTTGGCCCCGCAGTCAGGCTGCCCCTCTCACGCAGGTCTGCCCTACATCGCTGCAATGGGTATTAATGGCACCATGGCTTCGTTGCGAGTGGCCATAAATAGAGATAACCTTACACTGCACTCTGAGCGGTCAGCAGTGTGAAGCGAGTCCTTAGAATTTCACACATAAGTCCTGAAGAGTCCTGCCTCTTCTGACGCATAATGCATCATCATCAACATCAGCCCCCAACAGCACTTCTGAAAGACTTTTTGGCAACGTGTTATCTGATTGGTCGTGGATGGATTCTTCCACCTTGCCTCCGTAAGATGACCGTCAGCAGTAGAACATTCTGTCGATTAATGTGGGACCTCGTCAGCAACTCATATTTAAGTGTTGACTAGATATAGACCATGATTCCAGCATCTCAGCTGGACGTCTTTCAATAGAAACCGCATTCGAAAGTCAGTCAAGGCAAATCACGTGACGGATATCAGATCTGACGGCGACCCAGGGATGTTGAGGAATCATGTCTTGATCGCTCTCAAACTTTCTCGAACATGGCTGTGGCACTCGGTGGCATAGTCGATTGAAGGAGGTGACTGTCTCTGTCTCTCAGTACTCCACAGAAGGACTCCATACCATAATTCGGTGGTCTGACATGCCACCACCTGGGCACTTTCAACATCTCCACAGCTCACGAGAATTGAAAAAGTCGATAGGGAGTATTTCGATGTCCCATGGGTCTGTACAATAAGATCATCCTTTAACGCCATTCTTGCAAGCAAAAGTCGGTCATAGGCGAAACCATGAATGGAAGCGGCGAGAGCTGTCTCTTCTCATTCTTCATACTTTTGCCAGCTTGACTTTAGTCAACTCGAATATGGTGATATGAACAGCTCTTGGAAAGATATGCTCCAAGCACAGAGTCTCAGAACCTCTAGGGTATCCTTCCCGGGGAAGATCTGATGTGCAAATAAGGTTGTCGATGATCAGGTCCAACGAGACATGAGAAAGGATAACCTAGAGTCGCGGATGAAATGCCGAGACTGGATTGTCTTGTGCCTAGCTGTCTGAGACACTGATACGCGGAGGAAAGCAAACAGTGTGAGGAGGCATAGCTCGTCCTTCCTCAACAACCGTATCGATGCGTTGAAAGAGTTCAAATTGGCTGAAATGAAACGCTGACTGTGGAGTCTCGAGCAATTTAAACAGCAAAATTCAATTTCCTCTTTTCCCCATAGAAGCTCGCACTCCTTGCATGGATTTGCCGGTGTACAGTGCTCCGCGAGAACCTTCAAAAAAGCCAGGTTGTTCATAAACATTGGATGGAAACTTTTCCCGCGGCATTCGCAGTGCTGGGAAACTGGAACAGATCTAAGACTAACCCCTCATCAAAGGTCACAGCGTGCCAGCGAGGACTAGTGTTTGAATCATATAAGAATGCTTGCCCGCCCCATTGACGAATGAAGGATGGATGAAGCCACTTTTTATATATCTCTACAATACATACTGAAAAGACCATTACAGATATCAAGCTCATACATCGTCGACGACCAACTCATCTCATCGGAGATCTGGAAACCCTACTAGGATCGACGCTTCTACGAACGGACACGATCAAAGAACTCTCGTGGTAACTCGGTCATTGTCGGCCATTCCCCTTCGTTCTTCTCCATCTCTCGTCCGGTCCCAGGTCAGGGAGTGCAAAATCAACGTCAATTGCGGATCTCTCGCTGTTATCTCGCCTTATTCAGCGTGACAATTTGGCCGAGAGCCTGCAGCAACTTCGCCGGACGTTCCATTGTCTGGCCCAGATTGCGGTTCTGAACGGTCCCCAGTTCGAAAATCTGCATGCACGAGATCTGCTAGAAGTGCTGCAACTGCACGCCCTGACGACATCAGCGCCGCAGCCCGCAGCTTGTCTCCATCGCCAGACGAGAGAGAACCAGGAAGAGTGAGAAGAAGCTGCAGACCGAGAAGCTCCTCCTCCTCCTCCGGCCCAACCCACCTTTCCATTTCCCTGGCGCGGTGCAGATTAATAACAGATCCTTCTTTTTACATTACCTGATACCGCCGACAATTTCCCTTGGGCCTCACTCCTCCTCTTCTGGGACAACTGCGTCACAGCCCAGCATCACGCATCGCCCAGCCCATGAACTGATTAAATTCTTTTTCGTGGTCTCGAGTCGCACGGCATACCGGCCCTACTCCAATCCCTAAAATCCCTACTCTCACCTCACACCCAAACCTTCCAATCCCTACAATTCCCTCCTCCCAGCGACGAATGGTTGAGGGGAATCTGCTGCCCCTCCCTTTGCATCCCGCCTCAGTCTCCTGCCCCGCCAATTCTGGCTTTTGGACTCCACATCACCAAAACGTCGTCCCTCACTACAAGACGGGCCCATTCGCCCAGGTCTTTACCTTCTCGCACTCCTTCACTCCAACCTGCTGCAACTGCAACTGCAACTGCCACTGCACCTGCCACTGCACCTGCCATTGACGAGTCGAATCTTTTCAAAGCCCACAAAGTGTCGACGCCAAACCCTATCAGCCTGGTCCACGTCGTATCCATTGCGGCACTAGCCATCGTCTTAGTTAGTGGGCGCGCACAATTTCTGTTCGAGTAAAAGACTAATCACATGCATACAGATTGTACAGTTTCTCTTCACGGATTCTCCTGCAAGCTATTCTCGAAATTCAAAGCCTTACTCCCCCACGTCCTTCTCACCCGTTGCGAACCTCGTCGAGGGCGCCACCTGCGAATCCCCGCCTCCATTTCCTACCGAACCTCCAATCTCGAAACCACACACAATGGCATTGCTAGCTGAAGCAAAGCGGGTAGCTGCTGAGTTTGAGCTCACAGATCAGGATGTGCAGAAGGTGGTGGTAGAGTTTCTTGCTGAGATGAGTGCGTACAACCAACTTTACCTACAGAGGACATGATTTTGACGAGGCGCAGAGGAGGGGTTGGAGAAGAATGCTACAACCATGAGCCAGATCCCAACATATGTCACAGGAGTACCTAATGGCACAGAAAAGGTAGGCAGCCAGGCGAAAGTCGAGAAGCGCAGCACTAATTGCATGTAGGGACTCTACCTGGCAGTTGATCTTGGGGGAACCAATTTCCGAGTCTGTTCAATTCAGCTCAATGGGGACACGACATTCAACCTTATACAATCAAAGGTAGCAATACCAAAGGAGCTCATGGTAGCAAAAACTGCCAAAGAGCTTTTCGCATTTTTGGCGAAGCAGATTGAGCTGTTTTTGAAGACCCACCACGAGGATCGTTTTGCTGCGCATATTAGAAGACGCCAGACAGCTAGCACACCTGAAGGATATCGGGACGAACATATCTTCAGACTCGGCTTTACATTCAGCTTCCCAATTCACCAGATTGGCATCAACAGAGGCACACTGATGAGGTGGACAAAGGGATTTGATATTCCAGATGCCGTTGGACAGGATGTTTGTGCTCTTTTGCAAAAGGAGATTGATGCTCTCCACTTACCTGTTAGGGTTGCAGCTTTGGTGAACGACACAGTTGGGACTCTCATGGCTCGTTCATACACCTCACCAGGAAAGACTGGGACTCTCCTAGGTGCAATTTTTGGAACAGGTACCAATGGTGCCTATGTTGAGAAGCTTTCTGCTGTTACCAAGTCCATGGAAGGAGACTTTGACAAGTCGACTGGTGAAATGGTCATCAACACGGAATGGGGTTCTTTTGACAACAACCTCAAAGTCTTACCTACTACACCATACGATGCTCAACTTGATCGGGATAGTGTCAACCCAGGCATTCAAATGTTCGAAAAGCGCATTTCAGGAATGTTCTTGGGTGAAATCCTTCGAATTGCCCTTACCACAATGATGAAGAAGCCCGATGTCTCCCTCTTCGCCGACGCCAACTCCTCACACAACGATTATCGCTCCACGACTACCATTGATGAGACATCGTGTCTCTTCACACAATGGGCAGTCGACAGCAGCATTCTCTCCATTGCCGAAGCAGACAACAGTGTAGGTCTGCGAGCTCTGAGACAAGAGATTGAGAAATCTCTTGGGGTCTCAGCAGCAAGCATTGAAGATGCTCAAGCTGTCAAGGAAATTGCACACGCAGTTGCTAAGCGTGCAGCTCGTCTCTCTGGTGCTGCCATCGGCGCCATTGTCATTCACACCGGACGACTAAACCCTGGGGCATCCGGTGTCCCTGGTCCGAAATCTGCAGCAGCCATCACAGAAGACATCAAGAATCTCAAGATCAGCGAAGCCGTCTCTGCCACAGCAAACAAGCTCGCTGATACAGCAGGTTTGGCCGTCAACGAAGACGAGATCGTCGATATTGGTGTGGATGGAAGCTTGGTCGAATTCTACCCAGGCTTCGAAGACTACATGCGTGATGCCCTGCGGATATTGCCTGAGATCGGAGCAGCAGGCGAGAGAAGAATCCGAATCGGCATCGCGAAAGATGGATCTGGCGTCGGTGCAGCGCTCATTGCGCTCGTGGCTGCAAAGATGGAAGCCAAGCAAGATTATCTCGGCGACCTGAGAGCTAGATTGGCTGAAGTGGGAGAGGAGGAGAACGAGAGCGCTACTTCATAGAAGAGCGAGGATAGAGCGTCTGTTTGAGTTACGATACATACCAGAGTGGATGGATGAGTCGCGAGTGAGAAGGAGAATCTTGTACCGTGTCTTGTTGGGAGCAAACGCAAATGGAGCACATGTGTCTGCTGGGTTCTGGTCTGGTCTGGTATATTGTCTCGGGAGTTTCTCTTCAGAAATTCTCCTCGACGTTTGGTTGGTTTTTCATGCATGCATAGCAGGTTTAACTCCCCTTGAATTGAACAATCAATCCCTTTCTTGCTTTCAGTATTGCCAGGACCCATTCTTACATGCATGGTACCTATTTAATCTGACTCCTAAAGTTGCCCATCTCACGTTAATGAAGGAGGCTTTGTTGCAAGTCGCGAAATGAGCCCGTGTCGAGTTTCCGCTTTTGGAGGGGGTAGAGGGGATGTGTATGTGAAGGGTGGTGAGATGAGGTGAGGCGAAGCGAGGTGAGGTGGGGGTTTGGTGGAGGGGTAGGATAGGGGAGGTGGTGCCGAGTCTCGGTTAGAGTTGGGGGTTTTTGTTTACTTGGGGGCGAGTTTGGGGATTTGGGGAGGGAGGGGTAAGGAGGGACAAGTGAGAGTGAGAAGGGAGAATGGCTGGGACTCAATAAGAGGGGAGGATTTAGGTTGAGATTCTGGACTATTAGTGGTGGGTTGAAAATACTGAGATTGACAAAAGGACACCCATCTTTGGCAATAGGCATCCAGAAGCGGGTTAGACAAGTTCTCCCTCTAGGAAACAAAATTTCGGTGTTTAGGTTTAGGTGTAAGTGATGAGGGGAGTCTGTGAAAGAATCGTTTTGAGTCTTTCTAGTTTAAGACTGGGATGGATAAGTAGGTTGGAGTTGAGTCAGTAAAACAGATATTCATGATGCTCAGAATCCTTTTTGGGGGAGAAGTCTTCTGAGGACTCGTGGGTTCCTGATTTGTAGTAACTTTAATGTCTATTATAATCTTGGTTTGAGATGATGTCTTTTCAAGTAGGAGATGTTGAGGTGGGGTACATTTAAATAGGAATAGGTGTGCCCGTAGTCATAACCCGCACTACAAATCCATTACCTCCCGAAGCGTTCCTTCAACCTTTCTCCATCCCATTGTACAATTTTTTAGGTAAGCGCATCTCAAAGAAGAAGTCGAGCTTCAAGGCATGATGAGTCACCAGAGTGTGATTGAGGTCTGCCGATTCCTCGCATACCTTTCTTTCAGCTCGTTCCACTTTAACCTGCAAAGTCTCGCGTGACTGACACCTCGAGCATCGTTTGAACTAAGCCCGTCCCTTACAATGGAGTTCTTGCTCTTGCCAACTCATCGTGGCGATCCTGAAAAGGTTATCCAAGTCCCAACCACTCCATATGTCTGCACAGAACGATATGATGGCGGTTCCTGGTTGTCGTATCCAGCTCGCAATGGCATGGCTGAGAGGTTCAAGGAAGGACGATTCGATATCTTGGTGTATGAACGATACGAAAAAAATAATCCTATGCCGATCAAGGAGAAAGAATCGTTCTTCCAGACTTGGCTGTACTTTGGACTGATTGCAGAATTGCTGGGAGCGAATTCCAAAGACAAAACCCGTGACCCCACCGCGAAAGAGTTGATCAAGACTATCTACAAGAAGACTGTCGTCGAAGATGGTGATAAGATCTCTGTCAAACTTGATACTGCTATTTTGGATGAGTTCCTGGATCTGGGAAGAGCTCGGATGTCTCCTGATCCTCAAGTTCGAAGAGAGCACTATGAGCATATGGTACAATGCCTCGACTGTGTCCATATGTTGATTTCTACTGTTCCAAACGATTTCAACTGGTCAGTCAAATCGTCAATAGCGGCTCTGGGGGAACTGTTCACAATTATTATGCAGACTGTTCTCCGGGCTCTCGAGGCCCCAACCGATTTCAGCAGGATGTGGGGCGTGAGGTTTCTGAATGATGAAGCTAAAGCATCAATGAGGGAGCATGGATGGTGTAGGAGCGATATTGCAAGAGCTGAAGCAAAGTATGACAAAGTCCAGACTTTGTATATTGCTCGAATGCTCGACAAATCACACCCTATTCGAGACCACAGTCAATGTACGGATGCTAGTTGCTACGCACATCAAAACAATATGTCTCAGTACGACGTCCAACACCAAAAACTATCATGCTCATGTACGGAATTGGTGATGGAAGAAGAGAGCCTCCTATCAATGGTTCTAGAAGAAGGACACTACCCTCTGCTCAAGTTCGAAGGTCAGATGGATAATCTTAGCTGCGAACCAGTGAGATCTGGTTCCCAGCCTTATGTTGCTATTAGCCACGTCTGGTCTGATGGGCTAGGAAATGCTGAGGCCAACGCACTCCCCAAATGTAGGCTGTATCACCTACAAAAATTGGTCGATGCTATTGCCGACGCAGATTCAGGTACCACTCCGAACAAGAAGGAGAGATATCTAATCTGGCTTGATACTCTTTGCTGCCCTGCCAAACCCGGTATTGGCAAGGACACATCGATAGAGAAGATGAGAGTTGTCTATGAGAAAGCCAAGTATGTGCTAGTTCTAGATGCAGGACTAATGGCGTATGATTCTGAGAGCCAAGACTCTTCTGAAATCGTCTTTCGAATTTTCACTTCCAGTTGGATGAGGCGACTATGGACCTTGCAAGAAGCAGCTCTAGCTTCATGTTTGTTCTTCCAATTCGCAGACAAGGCAGTCAATCTCGTGGATGTGCTCAGGCGCACGTGGTCGAAGGCAGCTTCTTCTATGCAATATGTAACATTTCAACCAGATTTGATACGCGAGACTAAAGGTATCGCTGCATTCTTCCACTCTCCGACACCGCTTGAATTCGCTGACTCGCTCGACAATCTCGACCATTCGCTGCAGTATCGAGGCGTCAGCGTACCGTCTGATGAACCTCTCTGTATCGCAACTTTGATGTCTCTCAAGCTAGAGGACATTGTGGAACTTGAGACACAGGAGTTACGGATGGCAAAAGTATGGGACATCATAATGACCAAGAATGGCGGTATTCCATCTCAGATCATTTTCTTTGAAGAGGAGAAGCTCTCACAGCCCGGGTGGCGCTGGGCACCAAAGACCCTCCTGAATACCCAACGCGGAATGCGCCCTCTTAAAACGCGAGTTATCAGATGGAATGATACCAATATCGCTATCCGAGAGCATCCATATGGTCTACGAGTCAAATATCCTGGTGTTCAGATATTTGTGAAATCAGACTACGGAGATGGAAAGCCACGAAATCCATGGATAGGCGCTCCACGTCTTGGAGAAGACTGGATTCTGTACCACAGTCTAGACGACGGGCGTTGGTACAAGATAGCGGATACAAAACTCATGGTCTTGAGTAGTTCCTGGAAAACCGACGAAGAACGGAGGGAACATAACAAGCGGGAATTATTTCCCCTCCACGAGGTTGCAAATACAGGGAGAAGTGTTCTCGTTCTTAACAATCTTCCTGGAATGAAAGAAGCATTGTTTGCAGAGAAAACCTCGGATAAGGATGATCTCGTCGAAGAAGAGGCTATCGCCGTCAACACCAGGCTTAACACCATTGTTCAAGATCTTGGAGAAGAGAGCTACATCTATGATGTTGTTGAGAAGCTTGCCTTGGCTGTTAGAGCAGACGAGGTCACAGACAAGCACTTGGATCTTTGCCAAAGACTGAAGATCGACGAAAATACAGCGTCAGAAAGGTTCAAAGACCTGCTAGCCAATCACGAGGAGTTCATTGCCTCAACTGCGAGCGTAAAAGGCAAGGTGCAGGAGAAGCTCGCTCAAGCAGTTGCCGAGGACGAGGAGTTTGTAAGGCTTATCAATAAGTTTTGGGATGAGTCATACCAGAGGGATTTTTGGGTTGTGATTAGGAATTTCTTTCATCATGATTATGTCGGGAAACGGACTGGTGAGCAGCAGCAGTGGTGGATTGATTGAGTGTCATACCTCCAAGTGAGTAGTAGTATGCCGCGAATTTCGCGCCTCTCCTCGAGCCAACAAGTGTCTAATGTGCAGTGTTGGAGATAGGAGGGATCAAATATACGTCTTTTTCCTGGTCCTCGGACTTGAGCTTTCTCTCCTTTATAGTCTGTGCATGTTGAAGTGAGAGAGCCGAAAATGCGTTGACTGGGAATGAGAAGAAGTGGCAGAACAGTTAGGCGATTAGCACTGGAGGTTGCGCAGGTGAGATGGGGATTGCGCAGCGTGTGATATACCCGAAATTGAAAAGAGTGAACGGGTTCGAGTGTTAGTGGTGAGCTGTGATAGGACATAGATCAATGGAGGCGAGACAAAGTGAGGCCATATAAGAGAAGGGGTGAGAGTCTGTTTTGCTGCAGTGAGACTGATGACAAGAATGGGGCAGTATGAATTGGTTGACCATGGTTATCAAACCATTATTACATTCATCAGGCACATGCAAGAATATAATCACCGGGGTCTTATGTTTTCATTGTCTATTTCCTATTGCCTATGAGGTAGAATGCACCAAGGCCGCTACAAGTGCAATCGAAAAACAGGAATGAAAGTAGCAGGATCAAAGTCCGCGGGTCTGACAAAATTGCATAGGAGACTCGGTGATTGAAGAGAAATGATGTTCGAAATGCCAACCTTCTTATCAGGCAGCGTGAGTTGCTGGGCAACGGAGAAAGATGTGCGATTTAGGAATCAGGACCCAGATGCGCAGAGTGCGAGCTCGAGGAATCGAAATCGAAGAGTGTAGAGCAAACAGATCCTCTAGCTTCAACGGCTCAGGGGATGAATCAGAGGAACTCGAAATAACCTTATGCGGGCGGCGACCCGGTTTCGAGGAACGACGAGATGACTCCAGGGTATAAGATTTGGTTCATGGGCGACGATAGCTTGGTGGCAATAAATCAAAGTAAAGCCTGATGGAAGTATGCCCAACGGGATACCCTTGCAAAAACCACCTTGCCATCTTTGCCGATTTCGAATCTTGATATTCCACATTTGCAGTCCTCTTCTCCCCTGATCCACGAAATTCGAGATACTCGACAACCCCAAAGACTTCGAAGTAGCGGCGGAGGCGATCTTCATTCATATCAGTGGCTACGTTATGCACACTCAGCCGCCTCAGATGATTGTTGGCGTATTGAGCAGTCGTCAGCGGTTGGATAGTGTCCTTTTGTGGTGATCCCGTCCGCTTGTACTTTTGGGCTCGTGATACGAATAAAGTTGTCGCGCTTTCAAATAGCTCTGCTACGGTCTTAAGCATCGGAAGCTCCTCCAAGCTGTACATTATTTGTCCATCAGCCCCTCAAAGGATTTTGCAAAAATCCGTCAGCTGATCGGGAATCATATTCTCATAGATGATGAGCAGCGCTTCTGCTTCTCTTTCTTGTGCTCAGTCTCGCGTATGAGCAAAGAGATATTTCTGCGGGCCTCAGAAAGGCTTTGTACAGACGGATCTGGAGGGACAGTCGGTGGCAGAGAGCCAGAACCGCGTGTTGGGTGTGTAGTGACTGGGGCCGATGGAGAAGAAGTCTGGTAGGAAGAGGGAGAAGCAAGACCGGGATCTGGATTAGAGCAGATGACTGACTCGGAGCTTGGAGGGTTGGAGTCTAGACCAGAGCTGCGAATTGATTCAGAGCTTGGAAGGTTGGAGTCGGAACTAGAGCAGGAAGTCGACTCAGAGCTGCAAAATGGTGTATCATTCTGCGCTAGTGCGTTGTTTGAGGTATCTGGTACATCGCGAATCGGATCCGAGTTCTCTGTGGCAACAACTTCTACAGTCCTTTGGATATGTCAGAGTAGGCAGATGTAAAGTATGAGGGAGTTAGCTTACCAGGGATGAGCTCGATGTGGGGCATGTTGTATTGAGATCAAGATAGTCTCTGAGCCTTGACAGCTTTGCGTGGATTGTGGGTTGGCATTGTCAGACTTATGAGCGATAATGATCCCAGTGCCTTGAGAGCCTTGCGCAGGTTGTGCAATGGTAATGATAGGCTTATGAGCAGCGACGGTCTCATTTTCGACATAGGGCACGTAAACGTCAGATGGAAGGACCTCGCACTTCTCCAACTTCTCAACTATGTACGCAATCTCTCTGGAGACTTGAGCGAGAATCTCCGAGAGGACCGTAACGTCATGGCCAGATTGGACTTGTTGAGTGATCGTGGCTAGAAGTCGAGATGCGTGGATGTCCAGCTCGCGCTTCTCCTCCTCAAATGTCTTTGCGAGACCGCCAGGTACGCTGGCGCCGAGTTGTTGTTTATCCATGGTGTAACTGTTTCAATCTTCAGTTAGAGAGCGCAAATTTGGCAGATAAGGTTACCTACCGTGGCTCCTGATGTTGAGAGGGTGCTGAGGGTACGATCTGTCAAATATCAGCAAGGCGCAACCATGTGTTGACGAGACTCTTACCATGCGACTGGTCGACGAAGATCGAGTGCGATGTGGATTGCTATCTTTGAAGGTGTAGAAAGAGAACAAAAGGTTGGGGTTGGGTTTTGTGTCAGAAACCGTCCAAAGATGAAATGAGAATCTGGCGACGACGAAATTCTGATAGAGTCTACCAGGCGGCCGCTACGAAGCTAAAAGGCCGCTTAGGGCTCAAGCCCTATGCCTTTTCGGCTTTTGCCGCTTCTCAAGGTCCACTGGGATGTAAAAGATTTGAAGTTCGCGCCTAGCTCTTCTTCACAACTCGAGCTTCCGCAGCTCCACGACTCCAACTCCCCAACTGCGTCAACTCCCCTACATATCCTCTTCTCCCTGATACTGTTTATTCATAAATCAACGCGATTCATTTATCACTGCGCAACTTGCCTGCATGTTTGGACGTGAGGTTGACATTGTTGATTTCAACATAGCGCGGAATTGGGACACACACTGGGTGATCTTGGGAAGTTCGTTTCAAGTCGGAGAACTTGTTTCAGCATTTATGAAGAAGAGATCCAAAATACTCCATGATCTTCAACTCCATTTCAGCCTAGTCACAAGTCAGCCTGAGCAATACCTAAAGTCCTTCAGTTTGTACAAGTCCCATGGCACCAAAATCGCTCTGAGATAGCCGGACTTTCAAGCTACGGGCCAATGACCTTGGTGGGGGACTTACTTCATTCAAATGTTCCACTTTAGCATCTATCACGAAATGTGCATATCTTTCAGTTCCATGACTCGACCCCCTTCAATTATGTCTAGAAGCCATACAACAGCATCATGACATCTCGAGCCTTCTATACTCCCACAAGTGTGGGGTCATTGTCCGTCCAAAAGCAGATGATTCATGGATTATGTCTCTGCATTTCTATGGTTATAGTATTGAGTTGGATTGTCTTTTTCTTCTTGTTGAACACTCTGACAAAAGTCCGTACACTGACCCAACTTATGGTCAGCTGAATGTACGAGCTTTTCTGAGCCTTCCCAATATTTATTTCCTTGCGGTTCTTACCATTCTGATACTGGTCATTGACCATGAGCTAATATGCTGGCTACCACTTTCGAAGCATCTTTGGGTTTGCTTTAATGGTTATATCTCGATCTCTCTTCACTTTTCATTCTCCGAACTCCCGGAGTTGATTTCCTGGACTGTGATCTCGTAGAATCGTACGTTGTTTGTCATCCCCTACATTCCACGTCACATTCCCCAAATCCCTCTGCTTAAATCGCAAAAGGCACACAATCTTCACATCCTTCAAAACAATCTTCACTCATAAATCTCCCCATCATGCACTACGCATTCCTCACACTATGCCTCCTGGGTCTCACCCTCCTCACCCTCGTCGAGCCCATCCGCAAGAACACCAACAACCACGCCGCAGCCCTAGCCGACGAGGCCCAAACTTACCACGACTCTCACTCCGCAGCTGAGAAGTCGAACAAAAAGGCCGAATCCTTCGGCTCCAGACTCACCGACGTCGTGTATAGCTACGCAGGCCAGATCCACCTCGCGGGAAGCAGTCCAAATGATCTTGGTCTCGTGGACGCTAAATGCGCGGCTGATGGATGCACGTCTTCTCTCCCCAACGTAGTCGCTGAAAGAGTTGTGACTAACACAAACAAGTGTCCTGTAAACATCAAGACACTTGCTGCAGCAGAAAATGCGAGCTAAATACCTGTCGACCAGCATGTGTAGCAGATGCCTGTAAGATGAACTTCTCCGGCCCGACTGCGAATGGCGCAGAGCTGATGTAACAAGTGTCGTGTGCCCATGACGGTACTTGCTGCAGCAATAAATGCGAGTTGGGCACTTGTCGACCGGCTTGTGTGGCGTATGGCTGTAAGTTCCCACTCCCCGTCCTGGTTTATTGAGGGTTTAACAAACTGATATCAAAAGTGCCGTGTGCCCATGATGGTACTTGCTGCAGCAGCCTCTGTATAAGCGGCCAATGCCATCAGAATCCTTGCGTGAAGAAGGGAGGTCCTTGCTCGGAGGGCTTGCAGTGTTGTGCTGGTTTGACCTGTGCTGCTGATGAGACTGGGACTTGTATCTGAGTTTCTTGATGAAGTGGGGGTTTGCTGGAAGTTGGATTTCGCGGTTGATCGGTTGGAAGCTAAGAGATCCCAAGAGTTGGTGGTGAGAGGAGGCTTTGGTTTGTTAGTCAGGTGCTGAAATTGTCTGGTGTTAAAAGTGAATCTTAGGACTTTGGAAGAGTGTCAATGTCCGACGTTTTTCAAAGGTGCCAAGGATCTAAGGCTCTTAATTTGCAGTGAGGAAGTCTGGGTTCGGGAGTTCACTGCCGGGACTAAGATCTAGTCCAGTCCGGTCCCAAACAATTATATGCAGAGTCTAGTAAGATGAATTTTGATTCGAAGATATCAGATTGTCGCTCATCGTAAAATCGTGCCCAGGAGCTAAGGCTCCCGAGTATCTGGTAAGGTTGTGGCTAGACGTTGGAAATGAGCTGATATCGATGCCAAGAGCTTGATATTCAGTACAGAAGTTTGCTTGTTGCGTATCGTACTTTTCCGTCCAGGAGCTAAGAGTCCCGAGGGTTTGGTAGAATTGTGTCTGGATGTTGGAGATGAGCTGATGTTGTGGTGTTTCGAGGTTATTGAGCATACGTAGGGTTTTGGGCGGTCTAGATCTTGATGCCGACATGAAATCATGGGATTAGATACGTACCCTTGTATATATATCTGCAGAATCTTCCCACCAACGGGAAGCCTCGAATTTGAAAGCCTTTCAATAGGATACTGACAATGATTGACCAGCTCCGGGACATTTGTTTCATCAGCCAAGTCTCTTGGCAAAAGTCCTTGCCCCGGCCAGCAAACCTCATCTCAACGTCCAACACAAGACTATCTAACATGCAATGCATTAAAAGTCCAAGCAATTGCCGCACATCGCAGTCTACGCCGAGACAATTACCAGCCCCCTATCGGTATTAAAACGGCCCTATGTCGGGTCCTTGGTATATACTTCGCTGTCACACGCCGCTGCCGAGTCGGTACTGACGGCAAGGAAGGATGCTTCCTTCTTGACTCTTGTGTCACTCTGCTTGAATCGTCTGAGAAAGGGTATCTTTGTTGCATTCGCCAAGTCAGTAGGGGTTCTGTTTATGGACTTAAGACTGCGTTGGCGAGATCTCATGGGGCTACAGCTTCCGAAGCAGAGCTATTCTGTGGATTGAGAGGGCTTAATGTTGCACATCGTATTTCTTGCCAAGTTGAGGGGCGTTGATCTAGATGATGGTTGTGGTGTGATGTCACTGAGGCATCAGGGTTGGGTTGGCGAGAGCGCTCTTTTTATTTAGGTGCGGTGTAGGGAGTCCATTGACACGTGGCCCGATGTCGGTGAGAGGGATTCTTTCTGAAGATGTTGTCGATGAGGAATTGAAGAGATGGGAAGAGGAAGTCTGTAATGATGAAAGATCATCTAACAAGCATCAAAACTAGGTTTCGACCTAGTCTCCTTCAAATATAAAGGGGGAGAGTAAAGGTTAGGCTTGGCTTAAGCGAACGGGTTTTGCCCAGTTGAGGAGCATCCTTCCATCATCCAAGACAATCAAAAGCATGTTGTGCACGTATTCTCCGTCTGTAAACGCCTTTCCAACATGTTTGTTGCTCATCGCACTTTGTGCCCAGCAACTAGTAACGAAGAAAGTCCGCCGGCGAGTGACGGCGTACCACGAGGTAAAAAGGGGTACCTATTTACATGACGAGCTTTGTCCACACTTGACGGTACCAACCGTCCGGAACCGACGGGAATTGCCCGGGGAAGATGGCCGGGAAGAGGAATGTCACTCGGTTGACGCAAGCTGTTGACGAATTAGAGCGGCAGACTAACATTTTGTATGAGGGATATTCCAAAAGAGTCGTTTTGATGCATGTCGACGTTTGTGCCGAGAGATTTGGTGCTGTATTGGGATTGTGAGTGAGGCGGTCTGGTGATGGGACGTCCCTAGGGCTGAAGACGGTGGATGAGAGGCTTCGTTCTCACCGACTTGTGATGACAAGATCCAAGGCGAAATGGAGAGGTGAGCTTGGAGACCTTTCAAGGGCCCACGAGTCTGAGGAGATATAGTAGTAGGAAGAAGGATCGTGGGGCAACCAGGGGACTGGAATCCAAAAGGGGGCATCATAGGCTTTAGCGAGGTCCAAATCCAGGACATCACCAGGCGGTTCTCAAGACCTCGTCATGCGTGAATATCAGCTCCTGTGAGTATACCTCATTCAAACGATGCTTGTAATTTTGCACATCAACATTTTCGCCCAGCCTTGACCATCTGCTCGCCGGTCCCAAAGTTCAATATATATGGGTACTGTACACTTGCAGCGGGTTTTGCTCGGGGATGAGGTCACGGGTGGACAGTGCTGAGGAAAATCTCCGAAAAGGAGGATCATGGGAGCTGAAATTAGTGCTGGAAAGGTGTTCCGGTCTGCTTTTAACAGCATTTGTTGCATCTCGCAAATGTCATGCAGGATAGTGGATTCCCTTCATCGTCGAGATGGGAAAGTGGGGAGGTTTCGGCCTTCTTCCCCCTTTATGCTCAGGGTCGGGATATATTTTGTTTTGGTGCACTGTGACGACTATTTCTGGCAAATCCCCGAGACCCCTTTCAGCTCTTCCCCTCATTATCTGTCTTAAGGAGATACTTCCGCCCATTCACAAAGGTTCAAATTCTTTTGTTGCACACCGTAGGTTGATGATCGCCATCCTTGGACCGTTCGAGATGGCGTTGGCCCAAGTCTGTCATGCGGCTGTTCCTGCTGTCGATTTTAGCCTCCGACATCTTGCATCCTGCAATTCCCACGTTCCCAGATTCTAGGTACAACCGTCTCAACGACCAGTGGGATAAATAGGAAGAATCAATTGTTGCTCATCGCAGTTTCGACCCAGCTGTCCATGGGTCTAAAGGATGCATTTTGGCGCGTTCGAGATTGACGCACGTTAACATATTGAGACGGGGGGCCTGGGCGTTGGGTATTTGAGCTTCCGAACCTCCAAGTACCGGACAGCAATAATTACTGAGGAAGATACCACGAGAAGGACGAGGAGGCTTTTTGTTGCATGCCGCGAAAAATGGATCGTCGCAGGCCTTGACAGGTTCAGAATGGATTGTGCTTTGAGGCTGTCTCCGGTGGCTTGTACCCTCGCTCTCTTCCATCTTACCCCACACGAAACTCTCGGCCGACGATGTGACCCTTGAAGGATGTGGATGTTTCGGGCTCATCTCACGATGCAAAGGGGAGGCAGGAGAGCTGTAGAGGGCGGTTAAGTACATGTTTTGTTGCGTATCGTAAGGGGATCGCCGGATCCTAGAGCGCTCCAGATTCTGCTGTTGGAGGTTGAGATCGTCAACTCCACGACCAGCCGCACGGCCATGTGCATTAAGTAACATCAAGGGAAGATCCTTCAGACTCGCATCCAAAAGCCACAAAGAGGCAGATGTACAGGTTTTGTTGCACACCGTACAGAGATCGTCCTCATTTGGAGCATTCGAGAAGTCTTTTTTAAGGTGTCTTGTGTAGCTGCTCAACCCGCCTTGATCCGTCTCACTCGATAGAACGTGCCTTCTGCAGAACTGCGGTACAGTAGCACCAACATTAATGTAACCAAACGAGGCCAACATAGACGAAGAGCACAGTCAAACCGACCTCTTTTGGAACCTTTCACAGATTTGTTGCACACCGTAAATGATAGCCCAGTCCGCCAAGAGGGCCAGAACATCCCCAGACAGAGTGAGGTCGACGATCTTCCCAACCTACCACCAAGATTCATCCATGTAGACTACGAAGATCCCGCTATCCGAACATCTCGCTGAAACCGCAGGAACTTGCCTTTGATCGTACTTAGAACAACTCGGTTTGTTGCATTTCGTAGAAACCGATCGCCCAGCTCAATGCCCACATTCGGATGATTTGGAGCATTCGAGACCACGGGAAGGTGGTATGAGGCGTCAGCCCCTTGACCCCACGATGCAAGCCACTTAGCCAACAAACGGGTTCCGCCGTATTGGAATCCTCCGCTCGTCAAGAGAAGCAGGTTTTGGAGCAGCAGAGACAATGTTTGTTGCTCATCGCACTTTTCGGGATCGACATGTTGATGGCGGGTGGCCGTGATCTGGACCGTGGGAAAGCGGTCTTAGATGAGCCCTTCACGATGTATGCATGATTTCGGGACTGGTCTCACCCACAACATCTTGCTCCCGACGCACCTTTAGCCATTCCAGCCGTGTCAGAGGAGACGATTGATTTGTATTAATGCATTTGTTGCACATCGCAGTGGGATCGACAGCTGCCTCATTTGGACAATGAGTCTGTGTTGGGTTTGTGTTTGGTTGGAGTGAATTTGATACTGTACAATCGATGTGCATTTTCGATGCATCTAGACTTTGGGATCGCCAGACTGTGCCAGGAGGAGTGCTACACGTGATGAGTGATTATTTTTAGAGGTAAGAAATGTTGGAAATCGCAATGAATAAGAAGAAGATCACTTGATCCTGAGTAAGGAGAGGCAGAAATCTATGCGATGCTGAAGGAAAATCGTGTTGTAGTTTGAGCTGAGTCTCTTGGGAGTATTCTTGGCAGGGAAGTCTCGCTTCAAGATTTTGATGACTTTTAGGCGCATCACGACCTCGGCTTCTCATCAACAACAGCATTAACGATGTGACATTTCAACATTCGGTGGTTACTCGACCTCGAATCTCTTTCTTGTACATCATTACTTCAACTGCTGTGTTTGATTTCATACCGTTCTATGAAGCATTTCTCATGCGTCCAATTTCCACGATTTCCAGCAGAGGCGGCGTAGTGAAGCGTATCACATTCCATTATTCTTTCTTGTTGATACTTGCATATAATTTCTCTACACGAACGGGACGCGATGATTGAGGTAGATCATTCCACTCTTCCTCAACCAGAGCCAGAACCTGCTGTACCTATTCTGGCGTCTCATCTTCTGCAGCTTGAGGAGAAACAGAGAACTAGGTTCACTAAAGACGGTCGACCTGAACGGCTGAGCACACATTGTGAAGATATTGATGAGATACTCGGAGGAGGGGTTGAGAGAGGGATTGTCATGGGCATCAGTGCTGAAGGCACAGAAGGACAATTGGTGAGTCAGGTGATACGAGATTATGTAGGATTTCATGTAGCTGTCTGTTTCCGATCTTATAGATGCTCTTACTCTTCTACCCATCTGTTATATGGCTCATTCAGTTCTACACCCGTTTATTTGACGCTCGCTGACCAACATATAGATCTCACTCCACCTTCTAGCATCAGTTCTCCTCAATCACCTCTCACCAACCTCCACCGCACCACCCAGCATCAAAGCAACCATAATCGACACAACGGGATCCTTCCCTCTTCCCCTCCTGGCCCAAGTCCTCAAATCACGCATCACAACCACCCACTCCCTCACCACCAGAAATGCAATCCAAACAGCAAACCACCCCGTCTCACGCCCGGATCGACCCCAAGTAGATGCCGCCAGCATCGAACAAGAAGTCCAACAATGCCTAGAAATGATAGCCATCAGCCGCGTCTTCAACATCGAAGGCCTCTGGGAAGTCCTGGGTGAAATCGGACATGAAAGTCCACCGTCCCCTTCACCCACATCTCTCCCTCCCCTCCCGGACAACAAAACAGACGGCCCCATCCAATCCAGCCCCGACTGGCCCGAAATAGTCGACAGCCAAGCACCCTCTCCTCTCTCAGATCCAGATCCGCCATCGCCTACTCTCCAAAAAGAAGACGCAGACCTGGACATCGGCCCAGAAATACTCCTAATATCCACCCTCACGCAAATAATAAACAACCTCTTCGCCCGCAAAGAAACACCCTCCACCGACGCGCACACCCTCCTCTCTTTCCTCTCTAGACACCTCGTCACGCTATCCCGCACACGCAATATCCTCACCATCCTGCATAACTCCACTACCCCCTCCTCTTCTCACTCCTCTTCCTCCAAACCCTCTTCCACCTTCCCCAACAATCAAAGCGCCCCCGAAAAGAAGAAAAAATCAAACCCGCAACCAACCTCGGTTTTCGCTTCCAACCCGCTCAAACCAGCACTAGGCATTTTATTCGGGCAGTTCCCCGAATTACACCTTTTCGTGTCGCCGATGCCGAGGGGGAGGAGCGATGCTGAAGTTCTATATAGTGGAGAGAGGGAGGGAGGAGAAGTGCGGTTCGTGAGCGTGGTTGAGGTGCTGAGGGATGAGTGTCCGGGTTTAGGTCCGGACGAGGAACGGGGAAAGGATGAGAAGGGGAAGGGAAAGGGGTTTGGGTATAGAGAGCAGAGGTGGTGTGCTGTTGAGGTTTGTGATGAGGGAGCGGGAGCGGGAGCGGAATTGAAGGGCGCGTTTGGGATGAGGGGTGGGATGAGGGGGATGGGGATGGAGAGACGGGGGATTGGACGTGGGATTGGGATTGAGAGGGGCAGTACGGAGACGGAGGTGGGGAATGTGGCTAAGGTTTGGGGGTTTGGTGGGAGGAGGGTTTAAGTTGCTGTGTGTCATGGGCATATAGTTGGCCGTCTCAATGACAAAGTAAGATACAAAGTAGAATACAAAGTTGAGCTATCACCTCTTCTTCACAATAGTACGGGATTGCACAATAGTAACAAGTTACTTTACATCTCCTGGTATCGTATCATACCTCATTTCCTATTTTCTGCGTCTTATGTGCAAAACAAAAAGGGGATATCATCTATGTTCAACCGTATGCACAATTTCTCCCCTTCGTGTGTGTGTCCGTACTATCTCACAAGTCCATTCCAGCCACGCCAGTCCAAGTTGCCCCAAAACGCCATGCTGTATGATGCTTTGCCCGCCTTGCTATTGTGTGCATTTATGACCCCCTTCTTATCCAGTATCGATACAAGATTACCACCCTATGTACTTGACAAACGAAAATCGATGTTTTCTAACTACTTTGCATGAATTAGACTGCTTGGGCCCACTCGACGACTTCTAGGGCGCACATGACGAGGATGAGTGTTGAGGGGAGGATCCTATTATAAGTTAGTTGGTGAGAGGAGAAAAAGGGTTAAGCGACATACCAAATAACATAGCTTTGGAAAAGCAATTTACTCATGACTCCCTCGTACACACCATTGATCTGGCAGATCTGCGCTAATTGCAAAGCACTTGGTGCACCGGTGAGTAAGAAGCAAACGATGACGAAGATTGGGTCGTCGACAATGCTGACTGGAACGTATTTTGCAATGAGTGCGAGAAGAGGTGCCATGATGAGGGTTGGAAGAAGCATTCGTGAGATGAGAGAGGCGACCAGAAGTTTCGTGCCGATCTGGTTCTCTTCCGAGTTCTCATCGAGAGATTCTTGAGGTAAGGTATTGCGAGCTAGATTTGCTCCTAATACAACTAGGATCAGTGGGACGGCAACTCCACCAGATTGGATGACGGCTCGCGTCACAGAGTTAGCAATGAAGGAACCATCTGCAAAGAAGAGGTGCTGGAGTTTCGGGATCGAGGCGACGACAATGGCGATCAACATGGCCCAAAGAGGTGGGTTCATGAATTCCCAAAGACCAGCAAAGAATCGACCGAGGGCGGCTGTAATCTTGCTGAGAACTGTTTGGCAAGGGCTTGGCAGAGAGTGGAAAGCTTTTTGTGAGGTTCTCTCAACCTTCTGACTGACAAAACGGACCCCACGTCTAGTCTTCAGCTTGATCATAGGAATGATGCCCTTGTAACCCTCTGGGATATCCCATTCATCAGCTGCAGAAGGTGTGCGAATGCTTGGGAAGGAGGTGATATTGCCATTCGATCGATCGCTGGGGAAAACATTTCCGTTCGCAGGCGTAGGTAATAGATCTGGGATCTTTCTTGGTTCTTCTTCGTCTGAATCCACTGAGCCTGCATACTGAGCACTAGTAATAGGGGTCCTACCACCAGACTCAAAAGAATTTGATGAAGCTGCCCCATTTCCATTTACTCGCTCATATTCTCCTTGCTCTCCATCTAGACCAGGAATCAATTCTGGGTTGTCTCGGTATCTTCCTCCTTCGATGTCGGTACCGTCACTCTCATTCTCGTACTTCTCTGGAGGCGCCAAAAGAACATGGTAACCCCAGCTCCATCGTACAAGTTGTCCAAGCTGTTGGAAGATCAATAAGTACAAGATTCCTCTTGCTGCCACCTCGTCATCATTGTCTCCTGGAATATTGTCCCAGTGTAATCCGCTGATTGTCTGCGAGAGTGAAATAACAAGTGAAATGGGCAGCGAATTCGAGTTTCCGAAAACCTGTGAACGTTAGCATTCAATTATACCACAAGAAGATATACATACTCCCATAGCAGTCACAAAATTTGCAGGTCTCTTGCCGAACCCAAAAGCTCTAGAAACCCCTATCGAAACCAAGTATGACACCATAGTCTGAATAACGAAGATGACTGGAATGACGGCCAGCTCCAGCAACTTATCCGCCGTCAATTGCGACGCCAATTTCGTGAAAACTATCTCTGGTCAGCATTCTCTCTTCCCCGATGATTTCAATACATACTCAGACATGGCGTGAAGAGAGCCACATTCAAATTGGCCACAAACTTCTGATTGTCCGCATCGAACATTCCCTGCCTCGCAACGATATAACCTGGCAGACTGACACAGACAACTTCCATCACGGCCTCGAAGACCAACAGGATCAGATGTCCCAACGGCGGATGCGAATCGTGGCCATTTCCCCTCGCAGCAATGTTGGAAAACAGTTTGAACGAACGGGTGGCGATGGATGGAGCAGCCTCGTTGCCCGCAACTATGGCATTGAGCCGGAAGGACGTGGGTGTTGAGAAGATGGCCATTGTCGCAGCAGCTCGCCGTGTAGGACAGGTCCGTACCGATGCGTATAAGTGCGACAAGACGAGAGATTGAGGGTGCACCCTCTGTGGTGTTTATGAGGTGGTACGAATCGGTGGCCAGCAAGGTGTGAAGGTACGACGACGAAGTTGTTTGTTTGCCGGGTCCGTGAAAATGCGAGACGAGACTTGATAAGACCCGCGCGCCGAAAAAGCAAGGAACGGCTGAAGGTGGCTGGAAAAACGTGGACGAAGAAGAATATTTTCACTCTGCACGCAGTAGAAGGGGAAGGCCTTGATAAACGTTTCTTCGATGATGTCTCAGTTGATGAAGAGAAAGAGAAAATTTCGAAGCGCTGCGCTGCAGTAGTAGAATCTTTCTTTGGTGGGTGATTCGAAAAGTCTTTTCCTTTCACTCAAGCGTCCCTTGGCCCTCTACACCCGCAACGCGTGTTTCTTGCAGATTTCGTGATTGGTACCTGAATTGCGCAGTCGCAGGCAAATATCGAGCAATGGAGGAATGATGGCCTGCCAAGAGGGTCAGAGTACAAGACCGTTAACGTGGCGCTCTGTGGTGGGTCTCAATCACTTCTTACACAATAATGGGGATTTGCTGCTGAACGATTCACATTCAAGACAGAGTGATGCGTGGTGGTTCCCTCTCTGACAGTATTGATTTCGAGATAGGAGATACACATCTGAGGCCTACGATACACATCTATTTGTAGAGGCTAATCTGGGGGGCCAGATTATGATAGCTCATGAAGCTATTCGGGTGTCTGTTCACGAGAGCGTTTGCCCAGAGATTTCCATTCTCACCCAGATATTTTGTGATAACGATGTTCATGTTCATTCATGACTGATCGTCCTCTCCGGTGTCCAAGCTCCTCTTCCGACGCTGGTGAAGGACGATCATGGTATCAGCCACAGCCATGACGTGTGATCGTCACCCAATCCAGTTCCCTGCGCCTCATTCCCTGGTACTGTACAGTAGTACTTCAGTCCTCACCTCACTTCACTTCCTGGAGCTGACGACGCACGAATTGCATTCCTTTGGGATGACTGCCGGCCGATACGGTTCGGCATTACCTTCGTACTTCCGCGCGCTTCCCGATACCTTGATATTGTTGGGCATCCTTCTGACTGTGCAATATTTGTGGCCGTTTGCTACTACTGCTGCGGGCTTGGTGGGGTGTGGTGGAGGCTGTGGGGTTAGGAAGATACAGGTCCAGCCGAACAGCCCACGAGAACCGCTTTCTTGGCTTGCTTCTCATTTTGGGGTATCCGTAGTTCTCACGATCTTCGATCTGTGTACGAAGTCTCTACAGTAAAGACATAAATATGCTAATGAAGGCCAAGAGCGCGATCACGTACTTGAAGAAGGGCGAGCTGTGAGTGGTTCCTCATCTGAGGTTTCACTTCAGTATTATGATGAAGACATAATCATTCGATTCCTTCGGCCAGTATCTAAACATGTTTAGTGAGGGAAACATAGTCAGTGCAATGACCAAGACGACGCACGAACAACAGCTTTTCTTGGCTGTGTACAGTACAGTAGTCTTGAGACTCGTTCCAAGATGCCAAGGCAACCAGAACGAGTCTTGAATGCATATGTTGGCGAGTTAAGTATCGCTTGTAGTATACTTGTACTACTATGAGAAATGTGAGAGGAACGGTAAGCACATCTTGGCGAGAATAGCTCTAGCTATTCCGATGGTCGAGTCCTCCTCGCCTGGTTCAAGAATCTGGAGAACTGGCAAGCATAGCGCGAATGTCAAGACTAACCTTGTCCAGCTGAGTAGTATAGGAAGACTTGAGTTTTGACCAGTGACTACTCCCCGGAAAAGGTTCATCTTGGCCAAGTATTTTATCACTCCTGTTGAACCAATCTTAGCAGAGCATCTATCCTGAGGTGGAGTGTATTTGATAAGGCGACCAATAAAGGAGGAGCTTATCCTTGACTAGCTGAATACTGTAGTACATGAAAGAATGGAGGCGATGAGCGACTTTTCAGAGGATCTCCTGACTGGCGAACCACAGGTTGTCTTGTGTTTTGAAAGAACATGATATGGTTACATTGAGGTTTCTTGGCCCCCCAGAGACTTGCCAAGGCCACAAGCTAAGCCTGAAGTTTCATCCAATCCACGCGCCATCGGTCCCCTAAAGTCCAAAGACTGGAATATCCGGTCCGAATGTGCCCTGAAACACTGGATTGGGAATTTCTGATATTTCTGATCGCATGTTTTTACATGACAATTGGGTGCAGATATCAATGGTTCATGTCTCTCGATCTGCGGGCGATTTGATGGCAATCGAAGGTTAGGTACGGGCATCGCTAAAATTCGCCAAAAAAGGAGCTGGTTTTCACTTGGGTGTCCTCAACCGACGAACGGTTGTTACCATCAGGTCGGCACGACTCATGGACCACGCCTTAATATCCTCCTCCAGTCACAATAGCAGTTCAAGTCTTAGGCAAAGACCACTGCTTTCAAGATCTTAACTTCTCTCCAATAGTTTCCGTAACCTGGTCACAGGCAAGATCAGATAATGGCCTGACATCCGCCATCCGAACGTGTAAGGATTGTAAGCAAGCAGATGCTCTTTATTCAAGATGCACCATCCAGCACAAGACTCACTCTTATATGTTGATCCATCTGCATGCACCCTCAAGATACCATATGTCTTCCGAGCATTTGAGCGACCTATGAGCTGGATATGCGCGACCTTTGCTAACGTCACTGTTCTTGCTTGGTCTGTGTATCTATGCAGTAACAGCCAGTGCCCAATTATGATAAGCAACCCAGATGTGAAGTCCCTGTCCTGATCCCTCAGGCCCAGGGACAGCTCGAATTCCCCACTAATACGAAAGGAATGTCGACTGTGGCTTGCTCTGCTGAAACGTGATTGTCCTGCTTGTCTTGCTTATGTCCGAATTTGTATCTCCACCGCTGCTCCCTAGCCACTCACAGCCCCGTCCGGCCAGGGCAAGCCACTTCCCTTCCACTGCATCCACACCCCCCTCCCGGAGAACCCCTCCAACCCAAATGCGATTGAGGGAAAATGCACCCAACGTCATCGCGCGCTGCATCTCGAATTCTTTCCAAGTGTCCAGTTCTAGGTATGCAATTTGGGACCTGCGCGTCTGTCATGGATCGCTGTCAACATCCGCATCTCCAGAATTCGTCACTGTGACAAGTTGGTCGGAGACAGAGATCGTAAAAATAACTTCATATAAGCGCTCTGCTTGACTCAGCAGAGACTTCTTCTCCTGCCTTCAAAAGAACCGTCCGGAATCCAGACTTGCGCCTTCCACGTTCAACTACTTACTTAGCCGAACTCTAAGTTCAGTTACTCCAAACGGAAGCTTACCTATCCTCAATCCAAATCTGCTTTCTCAGCCGGTGTCCAGACCATCGACGGCCTCAGGTACCGATTCGTGAGCCTTGGCCATACACTTTTTGGGTTGAAGCGGGGCGACATCCTAACGTTTTTCTCACCTCCTCAACCACAACTTCAATCTTCAGGTACACCAACCAATCCACACGAATTCCTTACACGATACCCAAAACGTTCTACGAATACCGACCGAGCCTCTCGAGGTACCAGTCCGCTGTTTCGAATCCCTCTACACTGTAAGGTTCTGCCGGAGCTTGCGGCATTTGTTGCTCCCAAGGTCAGTCTAAAGCTCGAGATATCTATTTGCCAAGTCTCCACACGCTCACCACAGGCTGTCAACAGACGTCGTTGCCTACACGATCTCCACAGTCAAGACTTCAAGACTGCTCGATTCTCGAATCGCTCATGCTACTTCAATAAGACCGAGAGCAACAATGGCTACCCCGCCAGACCACCCGCCATCGGCGCTCGAAGACTCCATCGACTTCGCGAGCCCCCGATCACCAGGAGAGTTATCTGATTCAGACGATGAGTCCCCAGCTGGTAGCCCTTCACCGGAGACCTCAAATACCCTACGATTACCCTCCCTCCGATCTACCTCCAACCCTCAAAACACTCCCTCGATGAACCCCTCCTCCACTCCTTTAGGTTTATTACAAAACGCACGAAGACCAAACCTACCCCCTTCCAGCCTATCCAGCATGAGAGGTCCACAAAGAAATACGGGCGGAGCACTACCTGAAAGCATGGAGGCAAAGATGAGAGCTTTCCACCTGTCACGACAAGGCACACCTCCATCCCGTCCTCAAATGGGTGCTCAATCAGTATCTGTTGGTTCAGGTCCTATCGGAGGTCAACCAAATATTGGCGGCGGCGCAATCGCAGGACTTCCTCCCGGATTGAGATTACCCCCAAATTTGGCTCGCCCCCAAGCTCATAATTTCGTATCTGCTCCAGCAGTTCCTAAGATGAGTTTGAGCGACCGACGCAAGATGAAGCTCCCAGGTGGACTACCAGGCGCAGACTCAAGCACACCAAACCTCGGTACCAATGGAAATGCTGCCCCACCAAGTAACCAATCCGGAAATGCGTTCGACCAATTCTCCAAATACGTGGATACCAAGAAGGGCGAATTGAGATTTCCTGACAAGGCTATCATCAGCAGTCAAGGCGTTGAGTTCAGTTCTGGTAGCACCTTCAGCATCTCGTTAGATGAGGTTGATACATTGGATGAATTGGGCAAGGGCAATTATGGTACCGTCTACAAGGTCCGCCACAGTCGACCACGGATGCGCCGACCAGGTCTAGGACTTGCTGGCAACAAACTCTCGTCCTTCGCCCCAATCACCCCCTCTCCAGAGAAAGACTTGAGTCTCGATTCATCCCCAAAGAGTGGTGGTGGCACTGGTGTTATCATGGCTATGAAGGAGTTGCGACTTGAGCTTGATGAGGCCAAGTTTGCCGCCATCATCATGGAACTCGATATTCTTCACCGATGTTTGAGTCCATACATCATCGACTTCTATGGCGCTTTCTTTCAAGAAGGTGCTGTCTACATTTGCATCGAGTTCATGGACGGTGGTTCTATTGACAAGCTGTATGGAGATGGTATTCCCGAGAACGTCCTGAAAAAGATCACCTATGCCACTACGCAAGGCTTGAAGACTTTGAAGGATGATCACAATATCATTCATCGTGATGTCAAGCCTACCAATATTCTTGTCAACACGAAAGGCCAAGTCAAGATATGTGACTTTGGTGTCAGTGGCAACTTGGTCGCTAGCATTGCAAAGACAAACATTGGCTGTCAATCCTACATGGCCCCGGAGCGAATCAGTGGTGGTGGTATGTCTCAAGCTGGTGCCAATCCTGGCGGTGGAACCTACAGCGTTCAGAGCGATATCTGGAGTTTAGGATTGACTATCATCGAGTGTGCTTTGGGAAGATATCCGTATCCACCGGAAACTTATAACAATATCTTCTCGCAATTGAGCGTAAGTCACTAGAGCCCACCTTTGTTTCCTCCCACTAACATCGAAATAGGCAATCGTTGATGGCGAGCCTCCGGATCTCCCAGCTGAGGGATACTCTGCCGCTGCCCGAGACTTCGTCAAGGGTTGTCTGAATAAGATCCCCAAGCTGCGACCTACGTACGGTGCTCTACTCGCACATCCATGGCTCCTAGAACTATCCAAGCCGGTTACGATCTCGGAAGAAGATGAGGAAATGGCCGAAGTCAATGCCGAAACTACCTATACTGGTGGTGTTGGCGATCATAAGGTGATGGGTGCAGGCCGAGGAACTGAGGATGCTGAAGTTGCTGAATGGGTCAAGAATGCCATTGAGCGCAAGAAGAATGGCCTGATGGGTGAGAGCAAGAAGCCTGCTTTGCATGCTGCACCGCTCGATACCGTCAGTCCTGCTGCTAGTCCCAGTATTTGAATACCTTCTGCGCTTCATTTGCATGGCGTTGGTGGTGTTTGGATTGACCGGGAGGGAATTGAATTCACGTGCATTTATTGCGAATTGGGAAGGGATCTTGTGCTACGAACGAAAGAGAGCCAGGAACGCAAAGCTTGTGGATATGTCAGATTTGGTTCTCCTTTTTTTTTTTCTTTTGTTCTTTCAAGACTACGAGATGATTGCATGGAGGGACGACGACAGCGATGAGATGAGATGAGGAGAGGAGCTGCGCTCTTCGGACCAGTGGGCTGCCTACTTTACATACCAACTGCAGGCCGAGCGAAAGGAAGATCATGGTCTTAACTGACTGGATCGGGAGTAGCTGGCTTCAGACAATGATACGTGACGAGAGGTGAGATACCGAGACAGCATAAACAGTGAACAAATACATAGAATGGGCTTTCCCTTTCGATTCTTGGTTTTCAACTTGCAGTGAAAGTTATGATCAAATCAAGGATACTTCCTTGGACTCAACTACTAAGGTTAACTCAAATAAATTCAAGCTCAAGCCACTCAACCTCTCACATCGTACGTAACCTAGAATTCATGCTTCAAGCATGTGAAATCACCAGCCACACCTGCCCGGATCAGCTTAAGCCACACCTCAGCGCTGATAGGCCGATCTCTTCACAGCCCTTCGTCATATCCTCGGGACCCTGCTTGGATCGTCTTGGCTTTTTGCCTGTCCGCAGCATAGCGTCGGTGTCTGAAGTATCCAAGGAAATTTTGGATCCTCCTGTTGATGCGTTGGCGGGGTGTAAACAATCCTTTCTCTCTCTCTTCTACTGCTTCTCTTGCAGCATCACGACGAGCGCTTCAGGTTTTTCCTTAAGGTTACTTCAGAAATTTGGGTTTTGGCTCGAGTTAGACGAACGGGTTTGCAGTACTTGCGGTGAGGAGAGGGACCTTTGGACGAGGTGGGTAGATGAATTGTCGTCATTTGGAGGGACGAGAAACTGATTACGGGTCTGCAGATACGGTTCTTTCTCTCAGGGAGAAGAGGGCTTCGATCAACAGCTCGAGAGAATTGGCACTGAACTGCAGGAGTACAAAAGACGGAGCTATCGAGGCTGACAGCTCCGGACCAGAAAGCACGAGCGCCCCAATGTCTTCCACGCCTTCAGACACTAGCTCAGGTCTGCCTCTCCGCCCAGCTCTCAAAGAAGAACCAACAAGTCCGAAATGTGGACCAGTGAAAGGTAAGACATGGGGTCGAGTTCTCTTTTTTGTCTCGTTTCGTTTTGCTTTTCCTGCAGAAACCCCACACTGCCTTCTCTCTTTTTTGACTGTCACACGACACTAATCTGCCATGCAACATTTTGCATTTTGCATTTTGCTAACCCATTCATGCAGTGGTCTCGATAGCAGAACCTGAGCCCGAGCACGAGAATTCGTCGTCGACGCCGCTAGACGAAACTGCGCGATTGAAGCAATTCAGAGCTGGCGTGGCGGATAAGAGGATGACGGGCCGCCCAAGCTTTCATGGGACCGCGAGCTCGAGTTCGATGTTATCGTTGCTGAGACAGGGGAGTCTGGATGAGGTTCCTCCTCTGCAACAGCCTTCTTCGTCTTCGAATGTTTCGTCCGCGCAGCACACGCCTAGACATACTGGTGCGGGGGAGGGGAAACATGGACATGGACTTGGACATCATCTGCATGGACACGGTCACCACCACGATAAACTGCTCTCGCAGGTCGCGGAATGGCTCCAAGCCGAGAAAGCGAAGCGGGCAGCTCGGAAATCAAAGAAAAGGGGAGAGGAAGAACCAATTGAGCTTGATGGAGCGTCTTCGCGGCCCCGAACCGGGAGCCAGAGCTCAGACTCGAGCGCTATATCGTTGGAGAAGCTGCAGCGGATCTTGGAGGATAACATGAGTTCGTTTGGGCACGAGAGATTACCTATGTTGTCTCCCAGTCTGCGGCCTCAGATGCCGGGGCGATCGAGACGGCGGTCTTCGGCGAGGAAGCTCGGTGCTGTGAGCTCGGACACGGAGTATCAGGATGGAGATGTCATTGTGCCGTCGTGCGACGTCGTACTGGATAATTCGAAAACGATGTCGTACACAGGTGGCGGCGCCGAATCGAGCAGTGAAACCGTTACACTGAGCACGAGCAAGCGAGCAGAGAAGGAGCGGAAGGCGTGGCTGGGGTTCAAGAATGAGATTGTGAGGTTGGCACATACGTTGCGGTTGAAGGGGTGGAGGAGGGTTCCACTTGAGAGAGGAGGTGATATCGAGGTTGAGAGGCTGAGTGGTGCGTTGACGAATGCTGTTTATGTTGTGAGTCCACCGAAGGACTTACCGGTGCCTACGCATTCTCAACAAGGGGTTGCGGGAGCGCATGCGAAGCCTTTTGTGCCTAGACCGCCGCCGAAACTGTTGTTGAGGGTTTATGGACCGCAGGTCGAGCATCTGATTGATCGAGAGAATGAGCTTTCTATTCTTCGTCGATTGGCTAGGAAGAAGATTGGCCCGAGGTTACTGGGGACGTTCACAAATGGACGATTTGAGGAGTTCTTCAATGCTCAGACTTTGACAGCAGAGGATTTGAGGGTGGAGGATACGAGTAAACAGATTGCGAAGCGAATGAGAGAGTTGCACGATGGTATCGAGCTTCTTGAAAGCGAAAGAGAGGAAGGACCTTTCGTTTGGAGAAATTGGGATAAATGGGTTGACCGATGCGAAGAAGTCATCTCTTACCTCGACAAAGAGATTCTCAGCGGCAGGAAAGGCAATCGCGAATCTTGGAGAAAGAGAGGATTGATCTGTGGAGTCGAGTGGCCACTCTTCAAAGGAGCCATTGACAAGTATCGCAAATGGCTTGGCGAGTATTACGGCAAGTATGGAGTAAACAACCGGCTAGTGTTTGCTCACAATGATGTACTTCCCCCTTTATTTCTCGCTACCCCTTTGCCTCGCTAACCTCACCCATCAGACACAATATGGTAACATCCTCCGCCTCGTCCCCGAAAACCCCACAGACGGCTCAACACCCTCACCTCTCCTACTCCCCCAAAACACCCACAAGCAACTCGTAGTCATTGACTTCGAATACGCATCCGCCAACACGCCCGGCCTCGAATTCGCAAACCACTTCACGGAATGGTGCTACAACTACCACGACGCCTCTAAACCCTGGATGTGCAACACGGATAATTACCCTACCTTGGAACAACAGACGCGCTTTATACGTTCCTACGTTAACCACCGTCCGCAATTCAATCCCCGCGCCTCGGCAACCCCAAAATTAAGCGCCATGGAAGGAGTGAGTAGGAATAGTATTTCTGACTTCTACCTCGATTCTCGGACGCCGGGAGGTAGTAGCTCGACGCTGGACCTAGCGTACGACTACAGTCAGGAAGAAGCGGCTAGGGAAAAAGACACAGAGCGCCGGGTCCAGGAACTACTAAACGAAGTCCGCATCTGGAGAGTCGCGAACTCGGCGCAGTGGGTTGCGTGGGGCATCGTGCAGGCCAAGGTCCCAGGGCTCGATGATCAGACGAAGGTCTTGAACGGGGAGGCGATGACGGAGGAGCCCGGGGAGATTAATGGGGATGCTCAGCATCATCCTCAGTCGGAGGACAAGAGACCGGAGGGGCTGAAAGCTGAGGCGTTGCTGGCGGGCGAGACGGTCAAGGAGGCGGAGGGGTTGGAGGATGAGGAAGATGAGTTTGATTACTTGGCTTATGCGCAGGATAGGGCGATGTTCTTTTGGGGGGATGTGGTGGGGTTGGGGCTTGTTGGTAAGGAGGAGTTGCCGGAGAGGTTGAGGGAGGGGTTGAAGGTTGTTGGGTATTAGGTTGGTTGGGTGAGTGAGGGGAGAGTGAGTACATTGGGATAGTAACTTTTTTTGGAGTTGGGCTTGGTTTATTGAGATATCCCTTGCTGCGAGAGGGCGTTTGTAGATGAATGTCAATGAGAATGCTTTCCAATTCGTGAGTTTTAAAGCGAATTATTCCATAGGTACTTGGTGTTGTTTTGATTGTTTTCTTTGGCTGTCTATTAGAGTATTGTCAAACGGCAATGTGAATGTTAGACCATGCAGGTTTTTTGAGCAAGTAACCCTGTCTTTGTCTTGTCTTTGAGGTACTTTATGTTCTGTCTCGGACTTGAACGGTCGACCCCAGAGATCATTTCTAGTACTCGTGTATATCAATTTAGAGGCAGTCGAGGGAGCTGTGTATGGAGGAACTTCTATATTTTGGAATTTCTTTTAGATACTCGACTTCCCCAAACATGAACCCTTGCGCTTCGTTACCCCTTCGCTTCGCTTGCGCTGCAACCACGAAAGAATGCATACAATTGTTGCATGACAAAATACGAAATGAAGTATAAATGCTGCACAACACCACTCTCCATCCTCATCTCCCCCCATCTTCCCTTCTCTCTTCCCTTCCCCAACAAACCCCCTAAACATAAGAACACTTAACACTAGTCCCACTCGCCGAGCAACTCGTCAACACATCATTATCCTGCTCAATATCCAAGATCGTCCCACTACCCCCCGAAACCGTGCCCGAGGATGTCGTAGCCGTAGCGCCGGTAAAGGAAACGGTGCCAAAGTTAGCGAAGCTGACGAGCGAGGAGCCGGACTCGAAGTCCTCGACGATCCATTCTGCGTCCGTTTCGCAGAGGGAGCCTTCGCTGCCTTCGTTGCTGAAGGTGTGCGTGACGGTCTTGCCTGTTGTTACGTCTGGTGGTGTGTTAGTTTGGAGGGGATAGGTGGAAAGTGCGGGGAGTGGAGTTTGGGAGGATTGTGGAAAATACATACTGTCGACGGTGGCGGTGCCGCCGGTCTTGGAGGTTGCTTTTACGGTCACGGTGATGGTGTCTCCGGCGTGGATGGTGATGCCGGAGAAGTCGTAGGCGTAGTCTGGATACCTGGAATCGGGTTAGTTATTACGTCTTCTCGTTGAACCTTGCAGTAAAGTATTTTTTAATGCTGTAGGAGGAAACATAGTTTGAGGAATGCCTGACTTACCACTCATACCAAGCATCATAAGTGATAGAAGAACCGGACTTAGTCCAGTCAATACCAGTCTGCAGAATAGCAGTTTGGCAACTATCGCCGTCGATTCCCACCCACGCGGAACCACTTCCAGCAGACTTGGGGGTAGGCACGGTGAAAGTACCAGTCACGGACTTGACGCCACTTGTTGTGACGACGGAGCCAGCCCAATTGCTGTCATACTCAACGTTGGTGTTGTTGGTTAGCTTGGCAAGCTCGGCCTCGATTCTTTGAGGTGGGAGGGATTTACGGCTTGCTCGCTCGGCAGCGCGTGCTCTGCGCATGGCAGTACCGGGGGCGGCAACGGCACTTCCTGCCAAGAGGAGGGAGCTAGCGATGGTAGAGAACTTCATGATGATAGTAGGCAGAGAGCAAGTAGAGCAGTTACTAGCTAGAAGTGAAGAGTGAACGAAGGAGTTGATGTTTTGAACTGAGACAGGAAGAATTCAAGTATTTATAGAAGAAGCGTCTTGCCAGTCAAGAGATAAGACTGAATGGCTCACCTCCATATTTCCAAGTGAGTATTGCTCACACAACTTGTCCGCAACCCCTTTTGGGCAGGACAAAACCTGATTCACGGCTCCAGACTTCTCAAGATAAATGATAAGGAGCATCATGGGACTCACCGGCATTCATATAAACTCCTGGAGGGTGACTCGGAAAGGAAGGAGTGATTCTCCATGGCAGCTTGCAAGAGGGCATTTCGGAGGAATCTTTCTCCTCGTCACAATTAAGTACCAGAGCTAACCGCTTGGCAGTATCTATCTGAGCGAATCTAATCGTGAGGTCTAGGGAGGACGAGGAAATCAGGAAGCTGTCGATCGGATGGTTATGCAAACCCCTCTCGGGGATCGGCAGCCACTTGCGAGTTAGAAGAGGTACCAAGGTGAGATTTGGTTCTTGGCGAGAGGGACGCGATACAGGGGGCTCCCGAACCTCGCTTACAATTCAGATCTTGTAATTGAATGATTCAAAATTACGGTCCTGGGAATTACCCAATCAGCAATCCTCAATACATTCAAGTCTAGTAATTGTAAAACAACCTCCTAGCCCTAAAATCTACCAACTACTCTCCGATGAGCCAAAGTCAACAAACTCTACACTAACACTAGTAAGGGATCACACTCGCGTACGACAGCCGAAATACGCGAGAGATAAGCTTATGTCCCGTCCCGGAACGGCACTGACATCTGCCTCTTAACCTTAATTGGAAGGCCGGAGCTATGTTTCCTACACAAGTCAAGCTTCCTGCACGAAATTAAGCTTCCTACTAAGGCTAATCCTGCCTGTGCAGGCAATCTATTTAGCTTTCTGTGCAGGTTCTTGCGCAATCTTCTAGAATGTTGTGATGGGAGCCGAGCCGGAAGGAATGCTTGGCGAGGAGTGAAAGGGAGGGCGGAGAAAATTATGATAGGAGGGTGTTTGGCTTGCTTGTAAGGATGGATCATGAGGTTTCGGGATCGAGTCCAAGTCCAAAGAGAGATGGAAGTGCGAGCCGATGGTCCCCTCCATTGTCTCTTCGCTGGTGGGAGCCAAGAAATTAGGAACATTCCTGATATGTCCCGAGGATGGTGAATGGTCGCCACGATTCAGTCACCTTCTCTTCTGGACTGAAGTTCGCTGCACTTTCTGTTACCAGGGACTATTATATACTGTAAAAGCTATTGTCCTTTCAATGTTTAACAAATCATCTATCTTAGTCACTATAACGCAACCTCGTCGCGGAATGGTTGCTTTCAATCTCGGTTTGAAAGTTAAAACGTACTTACATTCACACTACAGATAGTTATGATACACAATTCGATTAGGAAAAGCTGTAAGATCGCGCATGAACGAGTACTCCGACACTCAAGAATCTGAGAGTTCTGCTGAGACTCCGACCCAGCCTGTCAAGAATAAGATAAAGCCATTGTTCCATCATTTCCATGTTGAGGATGATGTGAGGATAATGCACTGCGGGATTGAAATTGAAGAGCTACATGTATTTCGACGCCGTGGCTTAGTGTTGCATAAGATACCTTCCTACTGTAGGCACCCATCGAACATCAAGCGTCCAAGACAGTAGACGTGGACGAAGGAACCATGACAGAAAACCACTCATCCTAATTGACGCCCTGGAAAGAATGCCGAGAACATCGTCCATCGACCTACATTCAGACTGATACCATATGATGCACATAAAGACATGACACATTGTCAAAATGAACAGATTCATGAACAAGTCTGGCTTTCCTCCAGCAGAGCAGGTAGCCGAGAAAGGGGTAAAATTAAGCGAGATCCAATTCCCCACTCTTTCAATGTCGCTCTGAAAACGGGGCCAGCATAAGCTCGTGAACGAGAAAGATACCATTAAACTCCCTATCAAACAATCATCCATTCCACTTCACTCTTTTATCAACCTCAATCATCATCTCCACACACCGCTCCAGCCACCACTCGACCTTCTCAAATCGTTCCCATTCCTCGCACTCCTCGCATTGTTCGTGTGCACAATGATCGCAAATATCAGGCGCTGTTAGGATCATAGTGTTGTGGCTGCAGATGTGGCAGGTGAAGTAGGGTACTAGTTCTGCTGGCATTTTGTTCGTCTTTGGAATTTGTTTGGGAATGAGGTCTGTTGGTTATGGGAGAAAGCGGGGTGGAGGATGAGCGTTTGTGCTTTGTAAGTTCTGGTAAAGTGGTGGTAGAGATACAGTCCATGAGTCGAGGAAGTGGTATCTGTGATTCGATGGTGGAGCGGACTTTCGCGTTATTCAGTGGCGGACATTCACACGCATCCAAATTGAGGAAATTTAGACTTCATGAATATTCAGGTCTCCTTGGAAATTCTATCCGCCATCTCTCGGTCTAGATCCCGTACATCTTATTGGTTTTACACAAATTCAACGCCTGCCCATTCCAATCCTCAATTACGCCATATCTAGCAGATATTCCCTTAGAGTTCGGTCTAGTACCACCCTGTCAATTTCAAGTCCCTCGAACTGGCGCCAACTCTAATCGTAATTGTTCCTTCCGTAGGCATAATCCAATTCTGTTGTACCACATCCCAATAACTTAGATCTCTTCTGGTTAGATTGAATGCAACGGTGTGCGTATCTCCAGGCTGAATCTCCACTTTCTCAAATCCTCTCAACACTGATATTGGGAAATCCAGGTCCCTGGCAGCGCCTTGGACATCTGCAAAGTTGAGGTACAGTTGTACGACTTCTTTGCCTGTAACAGAGCCAGTGTTCTTGACGTCAACTGTCACGTTGGCGTACACGTTCCAAAGATCTGGATTACCACCCTCATCGCCACCTGCTTGTGAAGGTGCCTGTTTGACATCGTAGCCGACAGGGTAGGGATATTCACCTTGTTTCACGTCTGAAACTTTCGAGATATATGGGTAGACAAACTTCTTCAAAGCCTTGAAACCGGCAGGGAAGAGTACTTCCTTGGGATCTGGAATCTTATCGTCGTACCTTGGTGGTTCGATGCCAGATGGTCGAGGTGCAGGAAGCGCTGACTTCGGTAGAAGTTTATGTACTGTGAGATTCGAATATTCGAATTTAGTGTAGGAGAGTCCGAACCCAAATTCGAATCTTGGCTCGACGCCATACTTGTCGAAATGACGGTAGTCGATGTAGAGGCCTTCCGAGAAAGTTTGTTGGGGAACGATTCCATTGGGGTAGTAGAGAATTTTGGCTCCTGGTCCATAATCATCCAGCGATTTGCCAATAGTGTAGGGGAGCTTGCCGCTTGGGTTGACAACTCCCAGAAGAATATCTGCAATGGCGTTGCCACTCTCTTGGCCAGGAAGATTAGCAATGATGACACTCTTGATTTTTGGATGATTGATCCATTTCTCGACAGTGACAGGTCCAACAGTGTGGATGACAACCACAGTGCTTCCCTGGCCTTGACCACAACCATCTGCGACAGAATAGATTAATTCGTCGCCACTGTTTTGGAGGGCAAGATCATTTCGGTCACCATGAATGTCTTTGCTTGCCATGTATCCCTCGCCAGAATCGGCGTTGGCAAATACTATACAGACGTCCTGGTCCTTGAGAATGACAGGGGTTTGCTTGAACGGAGGAGAATTTGTCGGGAAATCCGTGACGTAGACCTTGTTCTTGTTGAAAGCTGCCTTCAACGCAGCAGCTGGTGTGATGAGGTATGGGAACTCTACGGCACCGGATCCCCAGCCTGAGCCCAGAGTGCCCTGGTTGCAGCCGCGATCGGGGCATGCATTCGGACCTTTGCCTGGTCCGGAGTCTTCGCCGAAGATACCCACTCGAAAAGTGATTTCATGAGGCTGGTCGGCAGGCCACCCATCTTTACTCAAAGGCAAAAATCCATCATCATTCTTAACAAGGACTGTGCCTTCAGTAGCAACTTGGCGAGCAATGATGGAGTGTGCATCATCGCCCTCGCCTTGGACGTTGATGAATTTATTCACAAGTTTCTGGTCGTGATCATCTGGGCTACCAAAATTGATGAGGCCCATCTCGTCATTGGTCCACGAGGAAAAGTTTGGACCTTCGCCATCGAACTTCGACTTGTCATCTTGGCCCAGCTGATACCATGAAGCAACAACTCGAGTTACCATGTCGTTGAGTCTGGTCATGGGGATAGACCCATTCAGAACGGCTTTGCTGAGTTCAGCGCCCCATAGGGAATTGCCACCAGCCCAAAGAAGTCCATCTCCAGGCATACTCATGTCCAATCCAGCAAGAGCAGATGCAACTCCTGATCGCTGTGCCAACCAATCCGACTGGACGAATCCTTGGAAACCCCATTCATCCTTCAGAAGGCCATTCAAGAGCTTCGAGTTGCCGCATGAGTATGAATTGTTGGTCATCTGGTAGCTGCACATAACACTGGCAACTCCTGCCTTGATCGAGTCTTGAAAGGGCCATCCGTACATTTCGTGAAGCGTTCGGTCGTCTATGTTAGAGGACATCGCGTTTGGAAGACCCCATTCCCAACTCTGTCTGAAATGTTCCTGCTCATTGCCGATAAAATGCTTGATCGTGGCCATCACGCCCTCTTCCTGGATACCCTTGATCGTTTGTGCAGCTGCGATTCCTTGCAGTACTGGATCGGCACCAAAACCCTCCCAATTGCGTCCACCAGCCGGCATTCGTCCCAGAGGTCCAACACAAGGTCCCAAGAGCACGTTGATACCCTTCAAACGAGCCTCTTTTCCGTGTGCCTTCCCTCTCTTGTACATTAGTTCCTTGCTCCATGTGGCGCCAACAGTAATACCAGCAGGAAAGGCAGTTGCGTTATCCGCAAATCGTAAACCGAGAGGGCCATCTTGAAGAGCCAGTCCAGGAAACCCGACATTGATAGCGGGGCCAGTATTTCCAACCGCGAGACCCATCTGCCACCCTGTGCCCGTTGTAATATTGACCTTCTCAGGCAGAGTCATTTTCTCCACCAAAGCAGCAGCTTTCTTGTAGCTTTCACTCCACTGAGTTATTGTTCCTCCTTGAGGTGTGGGATACCATGGCGGACTCTGACCATCTGCAGGCTTCTTCTTGTATATGAAGAACCCTCCACCAGCAAGTAAGGACCAGAAGATTACCATCACAACCAGGATAATCAACACACACTTCGATCGTCGAGCAAAGTTTCGTCGTAGGTTTGAAAGATGCATGCTGGGTGCATAAGCTGATACGGGAGCTGTGGTCTGCTTGTTGAGGGGGTCATCTCTCGCGAGAAATTCGGTGGCATCGATGTCCGACTCGCTGTCTGAACGGTAAGCATCTTCGAGCGATTTCCGAAGTGGTATGCTCTCTCCTTTATTATAGGAGCGAAGCAAGCCTTCGCGGCTCTGGTTGGCTTGGTCATTTCGATCCATGGTGAGGTGAAATTGGGAGGAAGCTGTGTTGAAGCTCGATCGATAGCTATCCGCAATGTCCTCAAATAAAAGAGAACATTCACGCTTTGATTGAAAGGAAACAATCAAGAAAGAAGCTCTGAACTAGAAATCAAAAGAGCAAAAGAGCGGTCTCGTGTACGAGTTCCGATTCCACGTTTCGGCGCATGAGACGTCGGGTTCGTATTTTATTTGGCTGGTGTTGAATGGCATTCCGGGGAAGATTGTCAGAGCTTCCGTCCCAATGACGCAGGATTTCAGGGGCAAGCACAATCCGCCTCACAAAGTCAGAATGCGTCTATCACTTGGGTATGCTTCTGCCATGTAATTTGATCACATGTGTCCTATCCATTTGCGATGCATCTGGACATTAATTGTATTCAGCGTTTGCTCAAGTTTTCCTGGTCCTAAAACTTGTGTATTCAGCCGTGCGACTCAGGGGTAAAGTTATCCCAGCCTGAAGTTGGACAGTAGCATCGAACATACCCTTTGCTTCGGGTTTAACATTAACTTTCAGCATTGGAAAACATTTTTGCAGCCTTGCTCGTAGACCTTCTCTCGTTGTCTCCATAAAGATTCTGGGTCGTTGTGGATCATCTCTGCTGCAGCTTGCCATTGAAATTTTGAATAGCTTTGAAGGCTTCTGCAGAAATCCTAGAAGTGTGTTACATACATTGCAGAGACCTACTGCAGAGTTCTTGTCAAATTGCCCAGGAAAGCGGCTTGGCTATTCTTGAGATGAGAAGGAGTATAGTCGATTTCCCTCGCCAGCAACCCAACAGCCTCCAACAATGAAACGACTGCCTTCGCTTTCAGCTTGTATGTCGAGAGGCAAAGTCTCAGTCTTATACTTTTGTACAGCTTCAATCCAATCTTATCGGCTCCTGCACCTCGAGAAGCAATTTTGACATAGCCTTAACTTGTCTAGGAGACATCTCTCTGTATCAATGCTCGTCCTTTCATGAAAAATCTTTTCTACACTAAAGTACTTGGACATACATTCACCGTTAGTTCATGTAGATCTAAGTATTTCGTGTCCTTCTCTTCAGCCCACCAATCATATTCTTGGGAAATGCACCTGATCCCCTCCACAACATCTAGTCTACGACACTCTGAGGCTCTGTAGCAGCTTAGTCACAGTCCCACTCAGATAGCCTCCAGATCTACGGCTTTTCAATCAGGCGAAGAAGAATACTGAAGTGTAGTCATTAATTGACCTAATCATGAGCTTCAAACTTCGTGCTTGGTGAGCGATGGAATCCAGACTGTTCCGCCGCCTCTAATTCTGTGGACTTTGCCTTCTCAATTGGAGGTAAGATATCACGCCTTGCACAGGAAATTAGTCATAACCTTTATATCTGGGCTGACAACCATTTGTTTCACGTGGGGAAGTGGTAAGAGCTGGGAAGATCCCTTTGGAGTTCGTTGGCTGTATCTATTCAAGAGACAGACTTTAGATTTGAGTGAGGGCAACCCCCATGTGCCGCATATTGCGCGTGTAGCGCAAATTGCGCAGATATCGCAAATACCGCATAGTGCGCAAATAGCGCGGATAGCGCGAATAGCGGAAATATCGGAAAAATCGAAAATTTTGCTATAAGGAAAGCAAATTTTTGATATGACTTTGAGTAAATGGGACCAGAGCAATGACGAAACTCTGCAAAGAAATGCCATATGATATGGCGCTTTTCACCGATTGAAATACAAACAAGGACATACTCATCGTTGAGATACAGAGCCTAAGCATATCATGAATCTATCTCGTCAGAGAATCCGACCTTCATTCGTCTTGAAACTCCAACTACCCCTTGATAGTAACATCACTCGCCCTCAAGTGATCAAAAGAATCCTCAGAGCTATGCGCACTCCTACTCAACCCCTCCTTCTCATCCCCACCCAGCACAGCACCAACAACTTTCACCCCACCAATCCACAATTTCCGCCTTGCGATCTCCGTCTCTTCCAACGCCAACTTTGGTCCATCACCCATGATGAACCTCCTGTGCCACTCTCCAACAAACATTCCATCCGGATCAGCATCGCCTCGGATCTTTCTCCATTCCAGAAGTCTGTCGCCGTACATGCTCTCAATGTCCTTTCCTGTGGTCTCGAAGTTCTTCGCCCAGTGTGGACGTCCGCCAAGATCCCGCATTAACCATTCGAAGCCTTGGTAATATCGGAATCGACATGGAGGGTCCATGTCATATGGTCTATAGAGAGTGGCGTTCAGATAGAGCGTGGCCTCTTCGGTGCATGTGGGATCAAGCTGTGGGCGGGGCGTTGTGTCAGTGGAAGTGTCTGTGACTCGAACTTCGACCGGAGCATGAACGTAAAGTCCTTCAGCGGAGTAAGGGATATTGTGGGGAACATAATCCGGGTCTTCGGGAATGAGGTGATTGAGCCATGAGCTGAGTCTGCGGAGAGCTTCTGGGCCTTTGTGGAAGGGAATTGCCCACTCGTTGACGAATTGCGAATAAAGACAATTCATCAGGAGTGCTTGTCTACTAGGTTGGATGGCGGAGGTTGTTGAGCCGTTCGGAAAGCCGTATTGCATTCCAAAGACAAACCATTCTATCCAAGGCAAGATTCTGGGAGCATGCTGAGCGATATAGAGTAGGTTGTGGTAGACGTGGTATCCCAGCCAGGCATCATAATATGACTTTGGTGGTGGTCTTGCTGGAGCGTCTGTCTTTTCTGCTGACCATACCACAGCTCTTCTGGTGTAGGGAAACCACCAGACTCGCACGAATTCCGTTTGTGTCCAAAGCTCTTTGTCCCAAGAGTTGAACATCTTCAAGTCCGTGTCGACAACCTGTTTCCAGGCCAGAGTGAATGCTGGCACCGCCTGAAATGTGATCTCGACAATTATGCCCAGAGCACCCAGGGAGATGAGAGACGCTCTGAACAGATCTGGGTTCTGTGTCGCAGAGCACGTCTCCGTTTTCCCATTCGCAAGCGTAATCTTCAGCTCCTTGATAGAGCTTGACAAAATCCCATGCCTCAACGTGCTTCCATGTGTTCCCGTCGAGATGGCCCCAGCAATACTTTGGTGGTTGATGCTCCCCAAGTTCGGCATAGCTAATCCGAGCTTATCCAACTCCTCTCCAATCTGCCACAACCGGATACCACTCTGCATAACCACCACGCAGCTCTCCTTGTCCACGCTCAAGATCTTATTGAACTTATCAAGGTTGACAAGCCAAGATGATGTACAGGTCATGTCAGAAGGCGAATGACCGCAGCCGACAGTAGTGACCCGTCTCCTGCATCTTCTTGCCAAGTTGACCAGCTTCTCGACCTCGGCGATGGATTGTGGTTGGATATAGAGCTCAGGAGAGGAGTGAAAGGTCCGCGCCCATGTTGACTGCGTGTGATTCTTCGAGGCACGGAAGGGTATATCGTCCTTGAACTCTGCAAGGGCAGCTGTGATGGTGGGGTCCATGATGGCTCTATTTTGATGCTGGAGAACTTAGTGATGAACCATAGGAGCTGTTGAAAGTTCTTACTTGGAGGTCCCAATGCATAGTTGAGCTTCTCGTCTGTCGATAAAGTTTGGAGGAGAGCAAACGTCTTCCTAGGACGAAAGGAAAGAGGCGTCACATCTTTTTGCTGGTGGTGTTGACACTGGGGTGGGACTAAAGCCGCGAGTTCTGGAGGGTCTTTTCGGGATGATGCAGGGATGTTTGCTGGGGAGGGAACTCTTCACCGCCTTCACTTTTGTACCACGAGCTTTGCAATCAACAAGCATGAATCGTCGCAAAACTATACTTATTGTGCATTACAGGTCATTTTGTGTCCCCTTGAAGTTGCTTTCATCAATTGTCGAGTCGTGATGCAGTCATTGTACCTGTTTCATTGCAAAAAAGAAGTCAGCTGCGGGTCTCTCATGTCGTGATCAGCGTGTACATGTACAGGGGTCCTTCGGCAAAACGTGCCTGGACTCCATGGCGGGGGTCCAGAAAGATCTTCGCAGTTTCTCCAATGCATGATCTTCGACTTCACTTCTTCACATCAAACCAAACACCTCCACCTGCACGAAAAAATACCGTTGGGATAACGAGTTATCAAATTATAACTCACCGATAACGGCTATTCCTGTCCTGGTGGCTTTGTTTCCAGAGCGAATGATTCGTGCAGATGAGTCCACTGAAAGTTTGTTTCAACATCAGCTCATTGTCCACTTTTGCTGTACCTCTTGCAGATATGTGCCCAGAGAGCCCGCATCAAGCTTTCATCGTTTGCCTATAGTCTTTTCGATGGTGGAAGTCTCGAGATCAGATGTCTGATCAGCCATGCACTTCTTGTTATGTGCTACTCTGTCTTCATAGTCGAAGAGAAAGATATCAATCGACATTTTCCCTGACTTCACAGTATTTCTCACTGTTCTTCTTACCTTCCACGGTGCAGCCTGACAACAAATCAAAATTTTGGATCTTGGGACAGAACCCCAGCCCTTTCGTTGATCTCTTTTCGCAGATGATCCAAAATTTACCATTATGCCTTGGCTATGAACACACAATCAAATATGGATCAATCGGAACCGAAATAGACTTCTGCTTTCGTAGTCCTCTTGTCTCGTTCCTTTTGCAGAGCACCGTGCCTGATGGTTTACTCAATCGTAGCTTGATGACATAAGACGGAGATTGACTCTATCATTAAAAGTCCATTCTTTTACCTGATTCGCCGTCAACAGGAACTCACCGGTGATACTTCATGATTCTCGGGCCACAAATATACAGCTGCAATAGACTTGGTCTTTCCTTAAACTGGCAGCATTGAAGAGCTTCTATCTCGAGGTCAGCTCCTTGCTAAGTCAAACAAGAACATAACTCACTGAGGTCGTCTCTGGTCTCGAAAGCAAACGAAAGACTTGTGTACACAGAATCTCAAGACATGGAGGAACAGTCTAGCATGGCGATCACATTGTAGTGCAGCAATGTTTCCTCGGATTCTCGGCGAACAAAAATCACTGATTGCGGAGGGGTAATTAACACAAAGCTCAAAGTCATCATAGCCCATGAAGACTGCCCAGTCAAGCTTTAATACCAAAATAAATCAAATACAGCCATTCAATCAAGGCTCCTGCCCGTCAGTCCCCGATGTTGGAAATAAAGGAAAGAAGGAAGGCTAAGGAGAATACGCAATAGTGAAGTTAATATCACAACTAAGCTATAGATCCTTCAAGTAGATTAAGGGTGCTTGACCAAGCATCTTAAGCTGATGTCAGCGGACGGTTCGTGGAACGCCGCATTCAAGCCTGGAACACTCGTTGCCGCAGGGATCATCGAGGTTGAGTTAAATCCAACCTCACCTCATGAACCAATCCTCCAAGGAAGATACTCGCACTTCCAACTCGGAAATCTCGAATTTGTCCTTGGCGGTTTTCTTTTTGTATGATGCTCGTCATGCATTCGTATCCGCCACGCCGGTCTCTCCTGTCATTCAGCACCGGGAGAATCGAACGGTCGTTCCTCCGAAATGCGATCCCCATAGAATAGACGAATAAGCAATATCCATCCGTGATATGATCGAAATAAAATGTCGACCTCCAACCCTATAGTCTCGCGCTGCTGAGGGAACCAGAAGAAAGGAAGAGAGGACTCAACAATGTCATGTCGTTTTGCGGGCTGCGCAAACCACGCCCTCTCCGTCGCAGAACCCAGGACAAGGGAAAGGGAAAGTCAGTGGAGAGGGCTGACGAGGATCCCGGCCGCCTTGACGTCAGGGACTGGCAGGGCGATTCAGAGTCTGAATCGGATGCAAAGGGACTTCTGCGACAACGACGAAGTGCGAATTTTGACTGGGCGCGAGAAGATCAATTGTCGACGATACTCGAGCAGTTGGATGAAAGCAGGCGCAATACGCCGAATTGGGAGAACGAGCCAAACGCAAAGTGGGATTTTGCACCTGCGCCGCGGGTGTTTGCTCCAAGATTTGCAGCCGTAACCATTAAGAAAACGAGGTTTCGCGAAGACCACATTGCAAGCAGCATAACAGAGGATCGAATACCACTCATGTCGTTCTCAGGTCAGAAAACGCCCGAGACCCCGCGGTCAATTGCTCCTCCGCCTCGAGATGTGAGTTATACTTTTTGCTTTTGATAGTGCAATGTATGGTTCAAGCTAATTTGATGTGTTAAAGCTCGAGTCGATAGCCCGAATCGATAAGTCCCTGATCTTCGAGCACTTCACCACAAATGATGCTTGGGAACTTGGCTCCGCTCTGCGAGCTCGTCTGCTTCCTTTACCAACACCTGTCGTGATCGATATCTCGCTTGCAAATCAGAATCAGACTCTGTTTCGGACCTGTACGCATTCGGGCGTTATGCCAGATAACGATAATTGGGTTTCGCGGAAGAGGAAGACAGTACTGAGATGGGGTTGTAGTACTTGGTAAGACTCGATTTCTATATCATTTATGAGAGCTCTGGAGCTGGAGGTGGTCTGAATAGCAGCAAACGGATGAGGCTTCTGAGACAGCCCCTGGCTCGCAGAACTTCTTATTGTACTCGGGAATTTGAAAAAGCTAATTAGTTCTTAGGTATATGCATTGCAAATTTAACGGCGATGAAATTGCCTTTCGAGAGAAGTATGGTTTGGGAAACAGCGCAGGCGAATATGCAATTCATGGTGGCGGAGTCCCTATTCGGGTAACAGGCGTTGAAGGCGTCGTTGCTGTCGTCGTTGTTAGCGGGCTGAAGCAGGACGAAGACCACGGAGTAATCGTGGAGGTTATAAGAGAGTTGTATTATTGAAGGAGCAGGTGTATGGTGGTACTTTTGTATCAAAGTTCGAAGTGTCGAGCATCTGCAGATCTGCGGCCACAATTCCCCGCGAGTAAGACTTAAGCGTAATGTATCCTAAATATACGATTGAGAAGTTCAGCATGCATCTTAACTCAGCTTGATATATTGTTCCTTTACCATTCTCTGCTAGTAAATTATCCTCCTGAACCTTCGCTTGCAATCGAAGGAGCTTGCCATGGAAGGTACGTTCGAGTTGACCATGCCTTCCTCTTTACCAGTGTAGGATGTCTTTCCTTTCTCACTTTGATTTCCATCTTTCAACTTCAATTGCACGCTCATCACTGCAAAAATACTTTCCACATCAATATTCCGGTCAGAATCGTCAGTACGAAAGCACCATGAAGTTTATCTTGTTCACTCTCTCCGTGCTTCTCTCGCTCGCCTCTGCAAAGAAAAAGCCAACTCCGACCCAGCAGCTTACTGGGAGCCCATCATTCCAACCTGCAATACCACAAATGCGACATTCAATACATGGCCGACTCGCTTTCATCTGCATGCTACATATATCAAGGGCCCCGGAATCTACCTTGATGCCGTTGCCGCTTCTAAAAGCTTGAATGGTCGACTGGTGATCTCACATGCGGAGGAAGACGCAAAGAATACTGGAGAATTCGATCTCACTAATGGTCAATTGACGCTGCATGATCTGAGAGATATCTTGAAGATAGTTATAAAGGTGCCAACAGAACCTGCCGCCTGATGGAGTCTGAACACAGCTACGACTACGATTTCATCCAGTGTATAGAGACCTTGACTGGCATGGAGCGTCAGAATCAAACTTGGCAAGTGAAGCAGACTTGCTTGTCCAACACGCGCATGTATGTTGTAGAGCCTGTGTATCCAGGGAAATCAGTTGATGGTTCGTCCACCTCTCCCATATCAGAGAAGCATGCACGTTTTGAGTTGATGCTGACCCCATCAATTATAGACTTGAACGTCGGTCGAAACTCTAAAGGTCACGAGGACATCATCAATTCTGATCCAGTGTTGAATCACGGCCATGTCATCGGGCGAAGTAGTAAGTCAAGTTGTCATTGATGGATCAGTTACGAGCTCACATCTCACTGCACAGGAGAGATCATACTCGGTATCCAACAGTGGGTGCCTACCACATCCTGGCCTGAAAATTGTTACTGGAAAGACGAGAAGATTCTACGTGAACAAGGACTGTTGAAGTAGACTTTTCCAACAGAAGGAATAACTAAGGTGTATCGACTTGGTACATTGCCATTGAGAGAGTCAAGAATAGTGCGGGGCTCGCGGGTGTGTAAATACAAAATTGGCGAACAATCATTCTTTGCGCGGTCCAGTACAGAAGATAGAGAACAGGAAGGTCATCTTTCATTTTGATTTCTGATTGTCGTGCCAAAAGTGACATGAAATTGAGGTAACGGGGTGACAGCATGAAACTCTCTCAATGCCAATATCTACCACTTATACCTTTGACTCTCTCCCAACCAGCATCCAGTGCTTTGACGACTTCCTCTGGTAATGGATTTGGATCATCTAGAAGCTTCATATTTTCTTCCCTGCAAATTGAAAGTTTCGAGTCAGCCAGGCTTTCCACGCATTGTTGGAAATAAAAAGAATAGCTACATTCCGAATGTCCCGAACCTGCGCACAACGAAGAAGACACAAACGGGACTTACATATGCTTTGTACTACTGGCTCCAATGATGATTCCATCTCCATTCTCCTTCTTCAGCAACGAATGGTGCGTCATCCACCTCAACGCACACTCGGCCTCCGTCAATCCATGCTTCTTCGCTACCGGCCTCAAGATATCCAAAGCATCGAAATAAGCATCATTCCAATATCTCTGCCTATACATTTTGCCTTGCCATCTACTAGGATCAAACCTCGATCCCTCCTCAACACCATCTTTTGTCTCTCTCGTATATCTCGAAGTAAGATATCCTCCAGCGAGAGGATTGTAATTATAAAACGCCATCCCGTATTTCCTCAAACATGGAAAGAGTTCTGGCTCTACAGCACGGTGCAAAGCATTGTAAACTCCTTGGTAGACCGAAGGCATAATATATCCATTCGCTTTGCAGATCTCGCAGATCTGAGCCACTTCCCAAGCCATGTAATTACTGACTGCGAAACGGGTGAAGTATCCTTCTTTGTGGAGATCGTTGACGGCTTTGAGCGTCACCTCGTAGGGCGTTGTTCGGTCTGGGCCGTGGAGGTACCACATGTCGATTTTGTCGGTTTTCAGGGCTTTGAGACTGTCCATGAGGTTTTGGCGGAGATGTTCGGGGTTATGTGTCCAGCCGCCTTCGGGAGCGTTGGACTTTGACATTTCGCGACCTGCTGTGGGGTCTGTGGTGCTTGGGATTAACACATTTAGTTTCTAGATTAGAGGAAGATGAAGCATCGAACACGCACAGTATTTGGTGTCCATAACAAGCCCACGCTTCTTCCAGTCAAGGTCACCAAGGAACTCCTCAGATGAACCTTCACCATAGTAACGAGCAGTATCAATTTCATTATGCCCATGAGCCTGAAAAATGTCGAGGATGGCAGAGCAGTCTTTCTGTGTGAACACCCGCGCTTGCTCTGTGCCTTCACGACCAAAGGTCATGGCACCAAAAATGATATTGACAGCAGATTTCTGTGAAGAAGTCATGATTGCGGTAACCTTTCAAAGACAGAGAAAGTGAACAGGAGAATAGGAATTGCTTTGAGGAGACTGGAATTTTGTAGCACTTGCATCATGGCATTCTTCCTTTTAACACTCTCGATAGAGCCATATCATAAAGTCCGAAAACGTCACTGGGTGATCCAGTGAAATTGACTTCGGCCGACGGAAGCAAGTATGCGATTAGTGAGCGGACAAAATTGCCGATACTTCCTGAGGTTCCTGGAGATGACCAACGCGGTTGAAGACAAAACGAAAGGGAATCAAAGGCGCTTCTTGACACTGCATTCAAATCAGAGGTAGCAGTAAAATACTTCGATACATCTAACCCCGAGTCGAAGCCATCGAAATCCTTCAAGCCACGAAATTGAAATGAAGACTAGAAGAGGAGCACTGCCTCCAAGCCTCCAAGCCGTATCGATCAGCTCATCGCATTCCTCCTATTGAAACCAGCGAGGACAGAGAAGAAGCATCATGAGGTTGAAGTAAGCAGTAACACGTGCATATCCATCGATGGAATTGGTCCGTGCGAGATCCCGCCCACGTTGCCGCACGTTTGTGGTCTCTCCTCCACAAAGCAAAACGTCCCTTGCTGATAATTGTGGCGGAGTCGCGTCAAGTGCACGATGGCTTCATATTTCCTGCTTTCTACTGCAGAGTCGGGCGAATGCAAGACCAGTGTCTGCAAGCCACAGAGCCAAAAGCAGAAACCAAATCCGTGGCTTCTGAAAGATGACCCGACCGTTATTGTGTAACTTTCCAATGCAGTTATATCTATAGTCATTATGCACTGCTTTACGTTCCGTTCTTCTCTTGAGAAAGCAAACGCTTTCGCTTTCCCCGCTTCTTCATCATGGATTCAACCCTTCTCGGGCAAGATAGCAAGTCTTCAGCTCTTGTGTACCACATCTACCACACAGGTTCCAAGAAACACAATTTCTCTGTGCACACGATCAGCGACTCGAGGACTATCCTAACGCTAGATGAACCTGCTCTGTCAAATGTTACTACGGGAAAAGGCCAACATCCCCTTAACGACGACACACTCTTTGAACGACGTAATACTTGGTCAAGCATCCCGACCAAAGTAAAACGTGGGAAGTATCTCGAAACACGCGCCCATGATCCTCGAACCGAGACTTCTCCATACTATGTTCACTTACCAACTCTGTATGGCCACTGTCCTCCGTACACGCTCCGTCACGGAGGCACGAAGAGAGCTCCTCCAGCCGGCTTGATGCATCAATCTCTGTTCTGGCGAAAATGGACAATGCAGTTCGGCGACGTCCTGGCAGAAGATGGGGTTATCGATGGAAGAGGTGTCGTTAACATCAAATATGGAACGAAGAATGGAGAGCATGGGACATTGAAGGGACACTCCGTTCGAGGAAGACGATATATGGGCGAATCGGGAAAAGAATGGCATGCAATGCAGAACACACTCCCAGAGGATAATATGAAACACATGTCGAAACTCAAGCCTGAAGAGGTTGTTCACTTGGCTTGGGCAGCACCACTCTCGACCAGAACCCGAGAGTACCACTTTCGATGGAGAGACTTTGCCTTCAAATGGAAGGGGACGAAGAATGTTGGACGGGCCCAAAATATCTTCCAACCCTTCATGCGCTACGCTCACCTCAAGCTCGTTGTCGTTGTCCCGGGGAGAGATGTCAATGTTAAAGAGGAGGAATTATTGTTGGCCCAGTACACATGTGTGCCTGCGAGTCGCAAAGCAGGTCGCCTTGAGTTGTATCAAGATACCATTGACTCCTTTCTGGTGGAACATATCCATGATACATTTCAATTGAGAGAACTGACAGTGAACGAGAAGAAATCATTGGCTCAGGTGCAACACTCCGACATCAAGTCTGATCAGAGATTGAGAGATGTTCTCGTTGCTTCTGCTATGTGTATGATCATCAGCGAATACCAGAAGCGTCAGGTCATCATCCAACTCATCCTCCTCGCTCTCAACGCGACCGGATAGCCGAGGTTTCCTCGCTTTCCTAGAGGTAGTCCTGTCATGGTGCCAACAGTCCGACAGAAGCCAGCGGTGCCCTCATCAGTCCCTGCCATTCTGCTGGCAACACTCGCTGAATCCCTTGTATCTCTCTTCGAGCAACGTTTCCAATCCACCATAGGTCTTCCATTTTCGAATAGATGGCGAAGTAGTGAGCTAGAATGACTAGCGCTCTCGGACGATATTCTTCAACGAACAGATAGAATTGCTTCGGACCGAGCAATGCGAAAGCCATCATTCTTCTACAAGTTCCCAAAGGATGTTCACCTCTCTCAACAGCTTTTTCAACACCGCCAATGTAATTCAGGGCTCTCTGGTATGCGTATTGGGTATCGTGGTCCCATCTTTCGTTGGACAAGTCTTGTCTCAACAAATGCTCGAGGCCACGGCGGTTGCTTTCCGCAAAGAGGACTGTGGCATCTGTCAGTTGCGGTTCTGCGTCAACAACAGGCATGATCTTGGCTGTGCGAATGTTGTTGATTTGATCAAATGCAGCCCCGAAGACCGAACCTGATCCTCTCGCCATCTGTATCCATTCCATCGGCGGTGTCCAAGGATCAAGAGGTCGATCTTGCAAGCGCGCGAAGGCATCTGTCATTACCAATGTCGACGCATAGCAGACCGCATCAGCTGTATCGGAGCTAAGTCCCGGAATTGCTCGTCGATGTTCTCGCAATGCAAGTCCTTTATATGCCTGTCGAGCAAGACGCAATTCCTGATTCTCAGGCTCGGATTTGAGAAGGTGCAAGGCTGATAGGGCAAGCATCCCATAGAGGACGTTGTCATTGGAGAACGCGAGTTTCGGAACCTCCACTGCCCATACCTCTCTAACCGGAGCATTCTGGCATCCAGAAAGTGTTTGGCTGGTTCTTTCGATGAAGTTTTGTTGTAAACGGAGCTCAAGTCTTCTTCTTGGTTTGCCTTCAGGGATTTCCCATTTCTCATCGTCGCTATCCATACTTGACAGCAAGTACTGCACATTGGGGTCATTTGGCGGAGGTATGAAAAGAGTTGGTCGGTAGTCTGCGAGGAGATCAAGATCCTTGGACTTGGGAGGTGGAAATGAACGCTCGTTTGGGCTTGGCTGTCGAGCAGAAGTCGACGGGGAATTGTTGTACACGCAGGGCACCCCATGTCTTCCACAGTTGCCGCATATGGGACGAGTTTCGTTACACTACAGTATTCATATATCAGCATTCATTGGCCAATGTGTCTTGATCGAGTCTAGTCCTGATTAGACATATGTCCGTTGAGACTGACAGCCATCTTTTCCGACTTTGGCCAAAGTTTAAGCTTAAATCTAGCATGTGCAGGTATCAATGGCGGGGAAAGACATCAAGCCACACAGCCAGCACTATATGTGCGGTAGGGTTCATGACATTCTTCATATACACTTACTTTGACTCTTCTCTCTCTACACCTCCGACATCCATTGCGAGACTTGGTATGATACAATCGTGGTGCCTTTGTTTTCACCTGTGCTTCCGCAGAAGGACTTCTGCTTGCTGAAGACATGACTCTGATAGTGTTGCGTCTAGACTGACTATCCAATGACTTTTCTTCCGGATATTCTGGACCCTTAACGATCCCGAGCAAAATGTGGCCCTCGTCCTACCCTAAATATGCTGCAGTTAGCGAGGCGCAGCGGCATCAGCACTTGCTGATCTTCAACCCGCCTCTTTGGAGCGACCAGGATTGTCGGATTCGTTTAGACAAGGATACTCGTTTACTCGGTTAGCTCGCTGAACCAATGAACTCATATTTTTCTCAGGCCACCCAGATATTGATATCAAAATTCCGTTCAGCTCCTCAAGGATTTTCAAGTCGGAAATGTCTAACGCGCGTTTCTTGGATGTACGTCTTCTCCGCAGAGCCCTATGAGAGCATCTAAGCCTTGGAAGCCTTGCCAGATGTGGGTTTCAAATGCAGGTACACAAGGCGAAGCTGAGCGTTGTGATGTCTTCGTTGCGATTCTTCTATGTCTTGTGTTATCCTTTCCTTACGTAGATCGTCATCGTCGATTTTACAAGAACTGCATACAATCTTCTTTACTTCTAGATATAAGTTAAAGATTTCCTCCGTCTTACTTTCTCAGTCACTTTCTTCTATTACTGCAATTTTCCGGATTCAAACTCGGAACATCCAGCTTCCCGAAATCAAATCCACTGCGTAGCAAGCTATTCCCCTTGAGATTTGCTAGATAATCATCCAACAGCGACACCGAGTTTCTCGAAATTTTCGAACAAGATGGGTGACAGCCAACATGGTCTCAATGCAGCACAACTCGCAATCTACATCATCCTCGCCATTCCAGTCCTCTATATCCTCATCCGCCACCGCCTACCAGGTCTCCTAGGCTGGCTCTACCTCTTCATATTCTGCACTCTCCGTATCTTAGGCGGTGCTCTAGCACTGCACAACGGATCCGCAGACAAGACAGCTGCAATCATCTCCAGCATCGGATTATCACCTCTCCTTCTTGCTGTCTCTGGAATTCTGCATGAGGCGTAAGTGTTCAACTCCTAACCAATTTCCTTTGCCCGTGGCTAACGACTGCTTAGTCGCCATTACAGAAACCCTTCCCTCAACAAGAAAATCGAATTCATCCTCATCCTCCTCTTCCACATCGCAGTAACCACAGGACTCGCACTCCTAGCATCCGGCTCCTCTGCCTTTGGTGCAAACAGCTCGAGCGCGAACAAGAGCGACGAGAACCTGCTGAAAGTAGGCGTTGTCATATTAATGTTTACATGGGTCATACTTTGTGCATGGACGATCTTCACTTTTCTTCCTCATCAAGCGAGGAAAGATGCTCCCGCATACCCCTCTGGAACGAAGGTCAGTCTGCCATCGATTATCTTCTTAGGTTCAACGTACTGATTCTTTCAAAGCTGTTGTACGCAATCGGCTTCTCGCTTCCGTTCGTGGGTATGAGAGTCATGTACAGCTTGGTTTCCATCCTTGCTCCTTCGAAGAGTTTGAGTCCAGTGAGCGCCGCGTTGGGGTTGAAGCTGGCATTAAGCTTTATTCCTGAACTGATCGCGGTGATTACCTTTGTGGTTGTGGGGATACTTACAAGGAATGTGTGGATGGAGTATGCGAGGGGAGATGGTGTAAGTGCAGTTAGGATGGAGAGTGGAAGCAGTTGGACCGGGAATAAAAGAGGTGAGAGGCTGGTTCAAGGCGCTGGTCATGTTTAAAATGGGCCTGGACATAGAGGGAGTTTGGCGCAAGGCAATTATGTCGTGGCATTTACCTGAAATTTGAAAGCAGCAAGCGATGGGAGAGTGACTTCATTTGTGAACCCGAGGGGCTTTGTAGATAGAGCTGTGTACGATGTTACGTTGGAATTCCATAGAAGCATTGGTTCATACATTTGTATATTAGATTAATCAACATCTGGAACGGGCAAATGGTTCAGAAGCTTGATCTTTCGTCCTAAAGCTTTCAGAGCTTTCAAGGCATTTTCATCTCTTAGTCTTTCCGTCTCTTTCTCATCAACAAGCACAAAGTCGTGCTTCAAAAATTTGGTTCCTTCCTTGACTCCATACTTCTTCGCTATTTCAGCATCTGCGCTTGTAAAGTCGACGATCAGGGATTGTTTTACGCCGAAGACTGCGTCTGAGGTTTCGTAGGGATCGTTGCGGATATACAGTGCACTTTAGAAGATAGTTAGAATATTATCACAGATAAAATTCTGCCAGTGTTGAACCCACGTTATAAGATGATCCCATCCAGGCTTCTCAAACATAAAATGCATATGTGCCGGTCTCCAGGGATGTCTCTTCAACAGCTTCAACAATTGTCCCACGGGTCCATCGTGTGGGATTGGATATGGTACTGGAACAATAGCATTGAACCAAAACACTCCATCCTTGTCACTTCTCATCACACATCTGCCATCTGGTCCGTCCCTCTCTGCATGCTGCACATCATAATGTCCTGTACTGTCCGTCTCCCAGATGTCAATCTTCACGCCTTCAATTGGATTTCCCTTCACATCTTTGATCGCGCAGACCACGAGACAGGGTTCACCTTGTGGATCGTGGGACATGCTGTCTCCATGCTTCATATCCTCCGCTTCGTGGGTGTGGAAAGGACCGAGAACCGAACCTTCTGTGCTTGCAGGTGGTTTGGGGTGATCGATCGCATCGACGAGGAGGGAGAGACCTAGGATATCGGAGAGAAGAATGAATTCCTGTAAAGAATATTAGCAGATACCAATGGAGTTGGCAGATTGGGAATGCATACATGTCGAACATCACTGCTGATTTGTCCAACTTTCACAAGGAAGTTCAATGCTGCCATCCATTCATCTGTACTTAGTCTCGTCTCGCGCGCGAAGTCATGGAGATGAGTGACTAGTCGTTCCATCACGTAGGTGAGGCGCTGATCTGAGGATTGGGAGTTTATGACGATGGTGTTCTCGGTGATGTTGTCTATTGTTAGGTCCTTCATTGGAGGAACTTTGACAGAGGCAGAATCCATGTTGGCAGATTATTGTTAATACTAGAGCTGAGTGTCTAGGAGACGCAAAATAATCTGATAATGGAAGAGGAGGGGAATAGAAGTTGGAAGAGAAGAAAGATGAAGAAAGGATGTGGGGCTAAAGAGGGGTCGCTGGACTCTCTTGTATGACTGATCTCTAGCTTTGTGTTCAAGTCCCGAGAGTTGATCAAGATGGCGAAGTAAGCTGATATATCATATGACATCTATAAAGCTGCTTGCGTCTTGAAGAAACAGGAGCTGTGTGAGGGAGGTTTGTAATGATTGCAAATGTTCCGACGTTCAATTGTCGGTTCCTGGACCGGCATCAAATTGCGGGGAAGGTTTGACGACCCCACCAAAGCAGGGTAAGGATACACCCGTACACGTGATGTTGTACCGCACATTCCATTGTCTCCAAGTCTTGGGGATTTCGACATTGCAAAGAAGTATATGAAAAAGCTGTCGGTGACGGTGATGCCTGGTACGGTACACCATGGTACGCCATTCCAAACAAGACGGTCGAAAGAAGTGGCAGTTGTCCCTGCTAACATGCAACCCACAGCGCCTATCTAAGCCCCTTTCTTCCTTCAGCCCATTCATCTCCTTTCAAAATAATTACAACAACCACCTTTGGCCCGCCACTGACAATAACTTTTTTTTGCAACTCGAGTGAGGAGGCTTAGAGAGAGTTGTAATTACCAAATGCTCAGCCTCTGGCCTGGGCAAGCACAAAGTGGACAGTCAATGACGGACAATCAATAGTTTCAGATATTTGGTGGTTCAAGATGAATTGAGAAGACTTGAAAGAATCCATAAAGTGGCATGTAGGAAAGATAGAGTGAGATTGGGCGATTCTCTTGATGAATCTAAGTATTGAATGAGGTTTGTTGATGTCCTACAGTACGCAGAAATTGATAGTACTGATGAAGAAACAGGGGCTTGGGGCTTGAACTCACATGCGTGAACTACAAAGCGCCATTTCAATATCAAATGTTCTTGTGGCTTCGCATAGGATCTTGGATTGGGCGACGTAACACTATGGAGAGGAGATCGAATGCCCTCTCGCACACTACGCCAAAAATGCCCGTTTTACTCACCGGATGAGCGTGCTTTTCCGAGTTCTTTCTATTGGCACCTCTGAGCTTCATTTTTGTTGTGATAAGTATCGCTGTTGTCTTTTGTCTTACCCCTGCATCCAAGAGGCAGAATCTTGGTTTCCGAGGCCCCTTTGATTGGCGAAGTTCTATACATGGCCGCGTCTGGCTGTCCCATTGTCCCAATTCTTCGAGGCTATGCTTTCAAATTCTAGGCTGTGAGACAGTGAGGGAAAATGGTGACTATTATCTCAAGGATTGAGCTCCCACATTTCGAATTAATTTTCTAGCCCTTTGGATTTTCATAGCGCTGGCCATGCTAGAACCCATTTCTATGGCTATGACGGCAGGTGCCGTTATTCATACTGTATATCAACTGACAAAATCAATTTATACTTTTACATCAGGTACAGCCACAGTCGACCAATCTGTACAGTCTATGATCAAGGAGCTTGACAGTCTCAGAGAATCGACCTATACCATCGAGACTTGTTTGAGAAATCCTTTACTGCATAAACAGTTGGAGACAGCAGAGAAAAGTCATCGGGATGACTTGTTTCTGTCCATCGACGGCTCACTCAAAAATACGCAGAATACTTTGGACAACTTCCAACAGACCCTCGACAGCATCAGAGAGCCAACCTCACTCGGTCCACTTCGGCAACCGTTGATACTATTAGGGCTAAATTTTAATGCTAAGGAAATTATGATATATCGAGCACAGATCACTGCGCATGTCCACGCGTTGTCCATGGGCATGCATTCGATCACTGTGTAAGTATGTCCGTCTCGTATTCATTTAAATTTGCTCATACTGTCCCAGATATGCCAGCATACAATCGCCCCATGTTGTCATCAACGAAGTTGTACCCAAACTGAACGTTCTCATCGAACTCGTTGCCGATCTTAGCTCTGAGCAGCTCGATCGTGCCAATCTTTCAATTCCAGAAGCCGAAAGAGCTCGCATCGAAGAGACTACGACCAAGCTCAAGGTGGCATCTCAACAAGTTATCTCGCATGCACGCAGTGTTACGAGTAGAGGGTCAACGACCGGAAGTACGGTCAGTGGGTCGCGACTTTTGAGTGTACGAGGTGGCATTTCCGATTGGAACTCTATAGCAGCCCGCGAGGTGAGAGAATCTACACTACCGGAGGGATTTGATGGAGATCCTGATTCCGAAGAGGAGACTGGGGTTGAATTGTTTGAGTCTATCCTGAAGGAAGGTCATCGTCGTCACCAGGGAGGCCACATTGAGGATGCTACTAGTTGTTATCGAAAAGCTTTAGAAGAAGCCGACAAGACAAGATTGCGAATTCAGCCGAACAAACACTACAACGACGCTTGCTTGAAATTGGCAGAGATTCATCAGCAACGAAAGGAGTTCGATGAAGCTAAAGTTGTTCTTACTGAACTTCTTGCCAAGTATGATTCTGTGCCGCCAGGCTTGGCTGATCAGATCGTCGACGCATGGTATTCTCTGGCACAAGTCCTCACAGAGTTGAAAGAACTTGATCAGGCCGAAGAATACTGCACCAAGGTCATGCATGCGCAGAGACGGCGTGACAAAGCAAGCGATGCTTATCGAAATTCCGTCTTGCTTCTGGCATCGATCAATGACGAGAAGGGTGACACTTTGAAAGCAATTGGGTATCGAGGGTTGGTCAGTCAACCAACGAGTCCTCTCAGCCCTTCTTCGGCAGAGAATGATCATATCTTGTCTCATGATCACAGGATATCCCAAACGGCAACCGTTGTCAGTAACACCTCCGCCTCGGTGCCCCAAGACTATGTTGGACCTGAGTATCAAAGGTCTTCCCAACCTGCAAGCCCGCTTGGAGCATCAGCTCCTCAAGACTACCTCGACGCTCAATCTCATAGGGCAACCATGTCCGTCTCCATAGCTAGCACTTCGACAGCTGTCGAAGGTAAGATATGTGACATAGACGCAAACCCTCTTCAAAGGCTTGAAAGGCCAACGGGTCAAGATCTGAAAAACACATTTGGACATCGAGACAACCCTCTTACTACTCGCTACGGAGAGGGGGGAAAGAGACACGGTGCCTTTGAGTGGACCGTCCCATTCTCTATAGATGGTGCAACACTTCCTCAGATCTTGGAGGCGAACGCAGACCACCTGATATACAAGTCTCTGGAAGCTCTGAATGCGGACCTCTTCACTCGACCATTAACATCTATCAAAAGCAGAAGATTCGACCCTCATATTGCTCTTCGTCATCGTATCCATGAAGGCCACCTCGAGGTTGCATGGTTGCTGCTTTACAAACTGGATCGTGTCAAGACCGAGTGGGAGAAACGCACTCGCCATTTTTGGAGCTCAAGACGCCCGGACTTCCCTCAACGCATCGATGCAAATTATAAGAGCGAACACGGACTTACCTTCCTCGAAGACGCCTGCATAAGCAAGATAAGTGGCCGAGCGAAGCATGATATGATAGACTTGCTCCTTCATTACGGCGTCAATGTCAATCCAAGAGTAGGTTACTTCGTACCACTGGCCCGAGCAACCTTGGATGGCGATCATGACTTAGTTGAGATTCTGCTAGCGCACAAAGCAGATCCTGATGTTCGACTTCGAAACCCAGATGGTACCACTGAGCGTTCCTTCCAGAGAAGAATTTTCACCAATGACACCGTCCTGATCACAGCCACAGAGGCCAAATTGTCCAAGGTTGTCGACGCACTCTTATTCCACAAGGCTAAAGTGGATATACCTTCGAGCAAAGGAACAGCTTTATGCGTAGCAGCAGAGAAAGGATGTCTTGACATTGTCAAGACTTTACTGGATTATGGCGCAAATGTGAATGCAATTCGACCAGTCCAGAATATGACCCCTCTTTGCTTGGCTTCGAAAATTGGCCATACGGCTGTTGTGAGGGCGTTGCTTAACGCTGGAGCGGATGTGAAGCATGAAGTCAAGCCGAATTTCACGGCTATCGTTTATGCGATTGAGCAGAGACATCATGCTATTGCGGATATGCTGAGAGATAAAGGAGCTAAAGAGTAGCGATTTGTGAGTCGAGTAATTTTCGTCTTTATGTTGATTCATGTTGATGGTTTCACGAATTTTCTTCTGTACCAATTCCATTTCGGAGACTTAGACTAGAGCCTGGTCTGTTGAGGAAGGGTCTTCGCAGTTTTCATCTGTACTGTTCTTGATCTGGGACTTTCGAGGTGAATTATACGATCTATTCGTTGAAGAAGTTATGTTACTTCTACTCTTTATTGTATTTAGCGTTTCGTACGATACCCTTCTCTTTTAGATACGATGAATGAATGGACGATCAGAGCAGGTGCTTTAGTCGGTAGCGACTTGAGCCTCGTCTTGAGATTATAGCTAGCTCACTTTAAGTTTCTAATATGCTCTATGAACGAACATGCATGTCGCTTCTCCCAAAGAAGTAATCACTGAGAAGCTAACGAACACCATTCTTTGATGCTGATTGAAAGAAGAAGTCGATAAAGATCGTTGATTATAAACATCACCTAAGGACCGCACCGCCCCCTTTCAGGAAGCGAGACTGGAGCAACTTCAAATGATCATTCTCAAATCTCGCAACGTTCTTTTATCATTTCACCTCGCTGGAGATGAATAGCACCCGAATTCCATTCAAGATCCGAGAAACTTAGAAAACATCAGCTTGTACATAGTCGAAACATCGCAAGTTGATGAAATAAACTTGAGGAGCGTTGTGTAACCACAGAAAAAGATACACTAGAAGCAAAACAGTGGCTCCGCAAATGCAAAGGAACAAGCCCCGAGCGATTATGCTCTTTGTCAAAATCCCGTGAAAGCCCATGTTTTCCATGGAAGGCTGCCCCACGATGGTGGCACTGATATCCTACCTCTTCCCACCTCGATCGTATGCGGGGCTGCCGAAGAAGTTAGTTCAAATTGAATTCACTATCAGATGCTATCAGAAACGACAGTCAAAATTCCCGACAACAGAAATAGTGATAGTCAGTTTGTGAAGGTGAAACAACATGGCGGCAAGAAAGTAGGACCAAGAGCCAAATAATTCATAATTAGATGTAGAGCATTCTAGATCGGGAATATGAAGACGCAGTCACCCATCAAAGCTTAGACCCTCTAGCAAAAAAGACACTTCTCTCTACCTTATCCTGCCCTTCTCCAAACGCAATCTTACCCTTTCCAACCTCCAAATACCTGAAATCACCCCCACAACCCGCCTCCTCAAACATTTTCTTCACCTCCTCTTCAGAGAACCCCATATGGGTAACCGTCTTCGCAGCGTTATGCCCACTACAAAAATCAGCAGAGTCAGCGCACCAATCTCAAGCTAAATACTAACAAAAATCGAGCCCCAAATAGAGCAAATCGAAATACGAACTGGAAATGCTCATGAGGCATAAACTCCACAATCATCAGCACACCCCCCTGCTTCAGTCTCTCTGCGAGCCTCTTCGCTGCTAGAGCTGGCTGATCAAAATGATGGAACCCGAGGCCCACGACCGCGATATCGAAATCGAAGAATTCTTTTCCCGAGAGGGCAGCGGGGGTTGGTTGAGAGGGGTCAATGAGGTTCCCTTGGTAGGCGTGAATTTCGGTCGCTGGGATGCCTTGGTTCTGGGCCGAGGTGTTGTATTCGTTTACCATGCCTTCTGTTAGGTCGATTCCGATGCATTGAGTAACGTAGGGTGCGAGTGCCTAGGTTATTGTTAGATGATGGTTGAGATGTAAAGGAGGAGAGGACGATGAACACGTGATACGAGACCGGTTCCGCATGCGTAGTCTAGTAGTCTTACGGTCTTCTTTGGGACAGAGGAAGAGGTGTTCTCGTCGTCGGAGACATCCTCGGCCCAGTCGACGCCGATCCAGTCTTTGCGGGTTTGGATCTCCTTGATTATTTGGTTGATGGTTTTGCTGTACTTTGTATTGTAGGTCGATGCTGCCTCGCTGAGATGAGTTAGCATCAGTTTTATAAGAGTTTAACAGCAATTAATTGATCCGTGACAAGCAATGTTGACAAGACTTCAGCAAGTAGAGCGCAAAGAGGAGATAACCATGACTTCATGACGGCGGCCCCACAACCACGACTTGCAGTAAGAACAGAAACAGTGGACTTACTCCCAATGGGATCGATTTTTTTCAGTATTGGTAGCCATCTTGAATTATATATACTATGAAGTGATAAGAAAGTGCGTCGAGGACAAGAGAAGATTTATAGAATATCGAAGACTTCAAGTCTGTCCTCGCTTAGCGCGGACACTTTTCGCCCACTTTTCAAAGCCCCTTTTTAGAGCCACCAATGAGAAGCTTGCGAGACGCAATTCCTTGACTTTTTATTTCGAGACTCGGAAAAATTCAGCAGTTGTGCATCATAAGAAAGATCTCACTATAGTCATCTCGGAGACATTTACTTCAGCACAAGGTTTGGCCGGCTTACTTTGAAATTCACAAGGAAAGGGTATGGCAAGAATCAAGGTCTATCATTGCTGTTCAACCATTCTCCAATTCTCCAAGTCATCTATGTCTCATTATGCATCGAACTGCTTTTGGCGCAGCTAACCACCCACCACTAGAAAGCTAAGCGCCCTTATCATGCATCCGTCCCATTCATACATCAACCGCTCGCTCATTCATAGTTGCCTTCAGCATCTGGCACAGGAATAGCCTTGTACAGAAGGATCAATGCAGAATGAGACTCGCCACCTCCTGACAAGGTCAGGATCTTGTCGGCATCAACTTCAGATACCTTGTCATCGTTGAACCACCACCATTTCCCGTCCTCCTCACCGCGCTTGCCGGTCTTTGGATCAAGTGGGCCGAGCTTCTTGACATAGGAGGTGTAATGACCACTGTCTGCACTGGCACCTTGATGAGTGACGATACCTCGGAGCTCGTAAAGACCAGACTTGTTGGCACCTGCATCCTTCAAAAGATCGGGGTTGATGAGAGCATGCAATTCCTTCTTCGCAGCCAGAATTGCGGCAGCTCGCTCAGCCTCGACTTCGGCATCTGTCTTATAGACAACATCCTCCATTGGAGTATCGCCATCTGCAGCTTTGCCATCCTTCTTTGCCTCTTTTTTCTCGTCCGCCTTCTTGGACTCGGAGACAGAATCAACAATACCAGCGGCCTTGTCAGCAACTTCCTTGTCATGAATACGCTTTTGTCGCTTGCGAGCACGCTCAACATCCTCCTCGTCCTTTCGAACTTCTCGGATCTTATCACGAACAGGAATCAACATCTTCTTGAGCTCATCTGTGCAAAACTCAACCACATCCAACTCATCCGGAAAGGTAACCTTGCGCATGATCTTGGCTTTCTTCTGCGCCTCTTTCTTCCAGAAAAATCGAACGAAGTGGACAGTGAGGTATTTCGGTAGACGTGAGATCTTGGATTTCTTGGTGTATACCGCATCTCTGTCGAGAATCTCGGATTTCTTCTCCAACTTCTCCTCTAAGCCAGCCAAGATACCATCTCTGAGATGATTCGTCGAAGCAGTGATATGGCAGTCGAGCTTAAGGAATGGATCTTCGCCCTTGACTGCTTCTTCACCAGCCTCTCGAGCAGATTCTTCGTCACACTCGGTGATAGTAGAAAACGAGCCAGCGAAGTATTTATCAATGAATGAGGTGTCCTTTGCTTCCGAACTACCTTCAGCAGGCTCCTTAATCTTAAGTTTCTGTCGCAATTGCTGTACGATTTGCGTCCAAGCCTCCTCGGCATCTTGTTGTGCATATCCGTGACCAGACTTTGACATTTCGGCGAATTGTGGGACAGCAGTTCGAAGCGCGTTGAGGAAAACGAGCGGAGGGAAGCCTTCTTGAGTCTCACCCATCTGCTTGTAGAGATCTCGCAGGGCCGCAGTAAGATCCGTAGCCGATCCAAGACCACCGAGTCCGAACATGCTGAAATCGTTCGTTTGATCGCCTGCACCACCAGCTGGTGTGGGAGCAGCAGTGTATTTGACCAACTCCTGTTGTAGTTCCGGAACCGCTCGTAGTGTTTGAAGTGTAGAGTTCAGATAGCATGTATTCCCCAGATTCTGCAAACCGGCGGGCGTGGCACCAACTTGTTGAGCTGCCTCTGCTTCGGTCATGTCCTCTACGAACTTGATAGGTTCTGCAGGACGTTGAAACTCATTGCCCTGAGCTGCAGTACCCATCATCATGAATGTCTGGCCGGGTTTTGCCCCGAGCTTGGACAGTTCCGTATCATCTTTCAGTTGGCCACCCTTCACCAGAATCTTTTGTCGTTCTGGCTCGACGCCAGTCAAGGAATATAGCTGGTATTTTAGGACTTCGCCGGTGGAGGCAGGATCGAGTTCGACATCGTACTTCTTGCCCTGATGCTTGACAATTACTGTAATCAAAGTTAGCACGATAACAAAAGGTCTCCTGGAGGCGTTGAGACAAACCTGGTATGCTTGCCATGGTGGCGGGGTCGAAAAGCGGTGGAGAAACGTAGTATGGGTATCTAATCTCGAGGACGAGAAACAAATAGAAGAAAACTTTGTCGGAAATGAGACTCAAAGCTTGCGAACAACGTAGAATGATACACAACCACAAGAGGTTGCAGAAAGAAAAAGGGTGAAAAAGGTGAAGCACAATAGTTTGTAAACACCAGCAAGCGGCTCAAATCCACTAGCGCCGTTACGCAGCGCGGGTTGCCTCAGACCCCACCATCATTGAACGACACACACGACAGCCAGCAGCGGGAGGTCTGCACGACTTGAAAACATAGGCAAGATGGTCAGTATATGATTCTTCTACCTTATTCATGTATTGTCTACAGCTCACTAACTGCTCACCAGTCTCAATCACTACGTCCCTACCTCCAATGCGTCCGCTCAAGCTTAACTTCCGCCCTCTGCCTCTCGAACTTCGCATCCCAGACCTCCGAACGACATAACGTCCCTGAAATCGAAGCGCAAACCTCGCCCGAAGTCCTGCTCAATCCTCTAATCGTCGCGCGGAACGAGAACGAGAGAGTCCTCATCGAGCCGAGCATAAATAGCGTGCGGATCAGCATTAAGATCAAGCAGGCTGATGAGATTGAGAATATCCTTGTTCACAAGTTTACGAGGTTCTTGACGCAGAGAGCGGAAGCCTTCTTTATTTTGAGGAGAAAACCGATCAAGGTAGGTGGTGAGCTTTGGGGGATAGCAGAGGGTTTGGGCTGACAGGAATAGGGATATGATATCTCGTTCTTGATTACGAATTTCCATACGGAGGAGATGTTGAAGCATAAATTGGTGGACTTTATCATACAATTCATGGAGGAGGTCGATAAGGAGATTTCGGAAATGAAGCTTTTCGTAAGTTGGCGACGGAGGGGATGTTAGTATTATGCTAATTGATACTGCAGCTGAACGCTCGAGCGAGATTTGTGGCAGAATCGTTCTTGACTCCTGTGAGTATTGCCTCTTGAATCTGCTATTGCAGAAGCTAACCTTTATTGCGTAGTTTGATTAAGCATGGCATTGCATGGGGAAAAGTACAAGTGAACGCTGGCTGTCAAAATTCTTGGCATCAACGTAAGACAGGCGTTCAAGGCTGAGAAAATGAATATATGACACGAAAGAACAAATTTCGAAGTTACCACATATCATCTCCTTGTGCGACATCGAAGTCTTGCTTCTCGGTTCGAGTGAACATGGGCATCTCGTTCTGGACATCACATGTGGGACATTCATTCATCAAGTAATGGAATTTTGGCACGAATGTGATGATTTCAATACAGAGCACTGTCCCATCAGTGCTATCCCAGTACGAAGTAAACAATAGTCTCAGCTCTCAATGTTCCACAATGAATCTGACAGCTTCGAACCCCACCTGAAAGCAAATATACCCTCATAACGCCTTACAAGGTCTCAATAGTGTTGAGCGATACCATAGACGTCCTCCTATTCATATAGGTACCAGTCGTCATCATCGTAAGCGCCGGAGTAACGTGGATCACAGTAATCCTCACTTCCGTAAGTGTCTTCACCAGAGCTAGAAAAGTTTCTCGTCTCCGAATCATAACGATAGCTGCCTGTCTCAGGCGGTACACAGTTGAAAGTGTTGAGATTCGGGGTCATGGAGGTGGATGTCTACAAAGGTCAGGCTGTTTTGACCTTAGATTTGGAGCTTCACAAACTTACATTATCGCAGCAAGCAGGAATTTGAGGAGTCTTCACTGACATTTCGGGATCAACGTAGCAGACAGAGGCGTAAGGAGAGCTGTCGTCGTCAGGATCAGTTTCGCCAAGCATGGTGTTCATATTCTCGAGAAGGGCCGGTTGGCCTAATCGTGTTAGCTTTCAGGCAAGTGCTGGATAGCAGAAATTGTACAATTGACGCCCGTTCCAGTAGTAGAGAGAATAGCACAGCAGTGAGCCTCTGGCTGGATGCACTTAAACATCTCTGCCGTATAGGCAAGTGCCGGCGTAGTGTAGGCGGCGAAAGCCAGGGCCAAGGGGTAAGTAACACGCATGTTGAGCTGAGTGATATCTTGATGGGACTCGTGGAGTATGCGATGCGATTATTGGATGGTTGTATCTTTTGAAGCGATGTTGTATCGAATGCCTTGTTTCCAATAGATGAAGATGGAGTTGCGGAAGAGAAGGATTCTCAAGCCGAGGAGAAGTCCTATGATGCTGCGTATCGAAAGAGGAAAGTGCGGTTGCATAGAGAGCACGTTGAGCAGGAATAAAGTCGTTCTTTCCCCAGAGCCAAGTAGCTTCATTATTCAAACTCGATTATGGAAACGATCTTCCGCAACCTTATAGCTCATGAAGTTGGAGTAGCCGTGGCAGAAGTCGTCTTATCCCAACACCCAAACCACCCAGGGGTCCTACAAGTGGAAGTAGAAGTAGTCGTCGATATCACAGAAGACGCCGAGGTAATACTCGGCCCCTCTTTCCAACCCACACAATCCACACACTCCGGAACAGCCTCACATTCCGGCACCACATCATACTTCAACAGCACATCATTAATCACAGACGTGATCCCATGACTCAATATCGAGCTATGCCACCCAAGATCCTTCATCACATCGTACACGCACTTCTTTCCCGTGTGGCACATACTCTCAAACGAGTACCCAGCAAAAGTGCAAGTGGCAAGCAACCCTGTACACGTCCCAGTAAATATCGGATCGGAAGTGATTCCGAAATGGAATATCCCAGTATTGTTCCTTGATTGAGGATTCCGCGAACCAGGCGGGGCAGGAAGTCCCAGCCTGCTAACAGGCAACGCATCTCCTGGCGTTTCGAAAGTGATGACAGGTAAGCCATAAGTATGGCCAAGCAGGGAACTCATCGTTCCTCCGAGCGAATGGCCTGTGAGCCAGACCTGAGCATCAGGATAAAGAGCCGTGATGTTGGAGTATACTTGCTGAGCAGCAGCGTAGTATTTCTCTTCTTGCCTCAAGCATTTTCCTACACAGGAAGTATCGCAGGTATTGCCCCTAGCACAGTTGCAATTCCGGTGGTAGAACAATGAGCCTTGTCCACAGCAGCAGCCAAAGAGCATATTGACGTTCTCCCTGTCGGTCCAAGCTGTATCGAAAGGATCCCAGAACCGTGCACTTCCTCCTTTGAATGAGATCACGATAGTTGAGTCGTCTTCGTTTGCATAGACATAGCCTCGAACACCCTCCTTCTCCCATCCAAAGCCGATGGTCTCGTTGAAACCTCCATTTACATCCGTCCATTCGCCCTTATTAGGCGTCGGTTCGTAGGCATTAGCTCCCATGTAAGCAAAAGTCAAGATGGTATCCTTGTCCGTTATATTTGGTCCAGAAACAGTATCCAGCGTCCACCTTATCGACAAAGAGGAGCCCCAGACATCCGATCCTTCTTGCGCGGCAGCAATCAAGGGCTCAACAACAGATGGTCTTCTGTCCTCGAGTCGCTCAATCTCAATAGGTCTACTTTGCGCAACAAGAGGTCTGGTGATCTCGATCTTGGGTCCTAGATCTGGTCCGAGTTCTGAGTCTACCCATAAGGTGGATCTGGAGTCTGAGAGCTTGATGTGCTTGTGCAGAGTGGGGTTTGTGTGTGTCCCGTGGTGGAAGATGTGGCGGAGAGACTGGATCCTTTGTCATTCGTTTGTAGAATGGTTTATTCAAGTACTACTTACGAATAGATGATCTGAACTGTCTGTTACTGATGAAAGTGGCTCATCAGAATTCATCAAAGGTGCCTGAGCTTGCTGCCTAGCCGCTTCACTCAGCGCCAGAGTGAGGAGCGAGAAGATCAAAACGGCTATGGAAGAGAACATTATTCAAAGATCGCAATCCAAAACTTCTTAGAATCCGAATGTAAAGTTCTTCTCGTTCCACCTGCAAGCGTCTCCAAACTCGCACCTAGGTAGTTGCAAGTGTTGAAGTCAAGTGAAGTCAAAGCTGGTTGCCTATTTAGCGCTTACGCCGCAAGCTAACATGTGTGGGTGGACTGGGAATTGCGGCAAGCATACCCAGTTTTACGCAGGACTTTAGAACCACAGATCTCCTTGCATTCTGAGGTATCATGGGATGTATCTCACATCTTCCCTCCGTCTTTCTTCTTCACATTTGAGGTCGCGCCATTCCACGCCTCAGTACATCAACATAACGAAGAGATCGAGTTCTTTCCTTCCCTCTTCAGGACCTTTTCAACTCACAAGTCACATTCAAGCACGAGTAGTAAGCAAATGTATTTCATTCTTCTCTATCTTCGAGCAAATGGGTATCTTTCCTCCCTTTCGTAACTCCCAGTCAATCATACCAGAGCAAAATGTGAGCAAAATATCGTCCCTTTCCAGACCATTACATCCTTTCAATCCCAAAAATATAGCAAAATATGTGCAAGATGTACTGCTCTCCTTCCGTGACACCCTGCCGCAGCTGAACAGAAACAGTAAAAGACTCAGACACTCGAAACTCCAATCCTAATCTCACCCCAAGGCTGAAAGTCCACAACATCCTGCTCAACCCAGACACGTCTCTTAGTCGCCAAACAGAGAATATGATAGAAAGCCTGAGCGGCAACCACACAAGTATTCTTCTCCGGATCGAAAAGTTCCTCAAAGGTGACACTCTTCTCCACACCACGATCACCACCAACACGATCCAAATCATCTTCATCAGCACTCAACTCATCGCCGCTCTTCTCCTCAATCGTATTACGTACATAGTCAAGGAAGTTGTTAGACTCGGCATCGAGCGCAGAACGAACCCATTGAGAATCAGCCGCCGTCTGCGTATCGACCGCTGCTGCCGCACCAAAGAGTTCAAACTCGTCGTCTCCTACGCCGATTTGGCTCGAGCTCTTGATTCCCATGGCTCCGAACCCGAGACCGGGGACATGGCTAGAGGAGCGATCGTTGTCGGAGCGGCCGTACATGACCATTTCGTCGTCTATGCCTATCATGTTGTCGAAATCGTCCAGATCGCCAGGGAGAGCGGAACCTCGACCGATGAGCGGAGATGCGGATGTGAGTCTCCTGCTCGGACCTTGGGAGCCTAGACGTCCTCCTTGGATGGAGGATGATTGGCCGCGTTGGTGGGAGTGGAGGGATGCAGAGACGTTCCATGGCATGGCGGAAGAGGGATAATCTGCTAGTGCACTCTGAGCATCTCTGCCTCGCTCGACCTCGATGCTTGCTTCTGCTTCTGGTCCTTCGTTGTCGAGGGGATTGAGGTCGTCGTCTGGCATGTTAAACATGTCATCGTCGTCTTGACCTTGGATGCCACGACCAACTTCATCGTCTCGGACACGCTTGTTAGAGTGCTCGTCTTCTTCGTCCTCATGAACACGCTTCTTGGATTGTCTACCTCTGACTTTGACAAGTGACTTGCCAGTAAGTTTAGCCATCAATGCTTCACCAGAAAACATGGCTAAAGGATTTGGAAGCTTCTCAGAGCCAATACCTTCACCAACACCATTCAAACCAGAACCATAGAGGTAATGGAAAGCATTGGGTTTTGCCTGTTGAGATGCCTTCTTGTGATTGTTTATCAGAGATTGTGCAGCCATATTGTCGAGGTATTCTCTGTGCCAGGTATTCAAATCAGAGTTGCGGAGTACGACGGTTGAATCAATCTTCAAGGCTCGAGACTTCTTGGCTTTCTGACGCTTCTGGGGAGCTTCGGCAGAGACGGACGACGGCTCTCCTCCGGGGGAAGAGGGAGCGTTGGCTTCAGATGAGAGTCGGGGAGGGTCATCGTTTCGAGCAGGTCCACCAGCCATAACAGGGAATGCTTCAGCGTCAGGAAGACCCAGATCATCATCACCATACTGCATCATATCGAAATCACCATCCCCGTCCAAGACAGGAAGAATATGTCCAGCTTGAGCATCTTCATGTTCCTTACGAACGCGTCCACTGGCTGCTGAATCACTGCCGAGACGATGTTGAGGTACAATGCTACCAGCACGACGAGCTTCCCGTTCACTGTCGGGAATATCGCGAAGTTGTCCATCAGCGTCGAAGTCGAAGAGGTCATCATCTTGGAACACGAGTTCTTCCTCGTCGTATGCCTTTCCTCCGAGATCCTTCTGCACCGACGAGTCGCGGAACATGCCATTTGGTGGAAGCTGATACGAACCAGCGCCGCCATTGCTGGAAGATCCAATATCAAGACCTAGGACGGAAGCAGCGTTGAGAGAAGAGACGGAACCGCTGCGTCCACGAATCGAGAGCATGGATTGCGAGGAGCGTTGAGTATCGGCTTGTGGCGTGAGGGCTCTGTCGAGGTCGAATCCGAGGTCAGGAAGGATCATGTCTGGGGAGAAGGCTGGATCGTCCATCAGGATAAGGTGATTGGGACTGTGACGCGTCAATTTCTAGTCAAGGTCACAGTAGAACAGTACTCACTTGGCCTTTCCAGCATTAGGATCGAGTCCATCGAAACGAGCAGTTCTCAACAAGGCACGAATGTTGTTCTGTGCTGCTTGCACATCGGAAAGGAGGTATTCCCATTGCTGGTTGTAGACCTTGGATACTCCATACCTTGCTCAACGTCAGTGAAAGCTCATGCAACAAGTGAAGTCTGCTTACAGTAAGTTGCTTTGAAGCCTCAATGCCATTGGTGCCTCCGGTTCCATGATGGTCTCGCAGGCCTTGATGATGTCGACACCAATGATCGCCTTCTTCGTCACTTTCTTCGTGGTTGACTTCGCGCCCAGTGTGGCCACCAACCTGTATTAAAAGATGCTGTCAGTCATTGCCATTCCATGGTGTACGAGCAAAGTGACGCGTGGGGAGGAATCAGAGCTTACCAGATGGTTGCAACGCCATACTTGCGGCTTGTCAAGACTGCAAAGTCAGCTTCTTGCCGTTCCTTTCTCATATGCCTAGGGTAACTTACTCTCGTGGCTGTAGAACATCTTGAATCAATCTAGACAGACGCGTCTGACTAGGATTTACTGTCTAGTGAGATGCAGTCCAAGGATATTGGTCTAGGAAACGAATTCGGGTTGGAGGAAATCAGTAACACAAGAAGTATAAGAAACACCACGTCTTGGAAATTTCTCAGCTTGAAGGGGAAGTTGCAGTTGAGAATCAAAATCAGAGTGTTCTCGGGAGAAGTTGAAGACGTGGTGACGCGACCTGAGATTCTCTCACCTTTGGCTTGAGGAAGACGGAATTGGAGGATATCACGTGGTCGTGACTGCCCACCTGGGCAGCTCGATGAACGTCACTACCTAAGGACCAAAGAATAAGACGCAGTAATGGACAAGATGCACTCAAGTCACCAGGAGAAGTAACATGTATGAAGAAATATAAAGAGATCTTTATTGTGAGAGTATCTGCTATCTTCGCAGATACATCGTGTCGCCGTTGTCAGCGCTCTGTGTACTGATGCCCCCATGCCGGAACGCCATTACAAACCAAACCCCCCAATGCCAATGCAGTGCGAAGTCGCTTTGCGCGTGTCTTCTTCTTAGAATGCAAATGCAAGTGCCAGTCTAGCAGTACCATGCTTACAACTATGTACGTGAAGCAGCTGGAATTTGAAAACAATAAACGCCGAGGCTGTGCAGAATTGAATGATCAACGTCCCATGGTGCAATTACACCGTTTCTTTCTCCTCAACTCCATATTTATCCCACCTCCGTTCGTGACTTCGTGATGATAAGGTTCTAACTGGCGTGAGCTACGCGCTGGTTTGCGAACTTCTGCTGTTGTTCCCTTGTAGGGGTAGAAGGTCTGAGGGACGAGTGAGACGCTTGTGGTCTGACCAATGGCGCCCTTGATGCAATCGAGTTACTGCTGATATGTTGACTCATCCCGCTCGCACTCCTCGATGGCGTGCCAAAGGGCGAGTCACCTTTCTGTTCCTCCTGATACTGATTGAAGTCCCGAGAACTCCAGGACGCCCGATGCACTCGAGCACCATATGGTACATTACCATAGCTTGAGTAATGACTACGCATACTACCGGCCATGCTGTTGGCTCTACTACGAGCAGCAGGGCCTGCAAGAGAGGGTTGAGATGCAGCAGGATTGAACTCGGCCAGGTCCGGAACGTCGTCGACGTCTTCGTCCTCGATCTTGGGAGCGCGACGGACAGTCTTGACGGCGAAATAAGGTTCCTTTGGTTCCTCCGGCGGTGGTGGAGGAGGTGGAGGCACATCCTTCTCTTTTTGCTCCAAGTGTCCAAAGTACTTCATGCGAATGTTCTCGAGACTGTGGGGGCTGAAATCTTCTCGGTTGCGAGTGAGTGACATGTAGCTCGAGATGGCGCCGAGAACAATGAGGATCAAGACGCCAATGACAAGGAAACCTTGCTCGATGATGATAATGATGCCAATAACAGTCGTAGGAATTCGGGCCACATTGAACTGGGGTAGGAAAGCGATAGAAAGGCCTGCTGTAGCAACCTTGCTGATACCAAGCATGTAGACAGCAAGTGCAGTATTACGTGCTCCCTCGAACGGGTTAATGCAGATGATTGCAATAAAGGCAATAATCTCCCAGACGAAGATTCCAAAGACCTGAGCTGTTGGACTTTGACTGGCTCCACCGATGAAACAAGCTCGCACGAATTGATAGACTACCCAGAAGCTGAAGAACCACCACCGAGTTCGTCGATAACGTGCTGAAAGCCACCCAAAGCGCTTGGTGAAGTCAACATTTTGGTGTACACTCTGTGATTCCGAGTCCTGGTCGACGAATCTAATTTGGAAGAACGATACCGAGCCAGCGGACTTGGTTCTGTCCTCTTCTTCCAAAGAACTCTCACGGACTGTTCGATACCATGGGATGAATTTGAACACCTTCTTGCGCTGGAAGTGGATACGATCAGGTGAGGACTCGTATTTGCCAAATTTGACTCTGTAGAAGCAGGCATAGATCGCAGTACCGATGGCTCCGACGAAGAATCCGAGGAAAACAATGACAGCAATGGCGATTGGGCCAGCTTTCCCGCCTGATGAGAATTGGAACAAGGCCAGAGTCATCATCATGAAGAAGGCAATGAAGCACGATCGAAGAACAATCAGACCAGTGAATCCCATCCAGTGACTTCTGAAGTAAGCGAATCGATCATGCTTAATCCATTTGATGGCGCTCAACCCTTCCAAAGCGTATTTGAATGCGATAGTTGCTCCAATGAGGATAGCCACGAGGATCAAGAACCACAGAAAGCCTACCATGAATGCATCTGCAGCTGGCACGCTGACCAGAGAAAGCTCGCCTGCGAACCCCGACCAGTTTCCAGGGAGTGGAAGACCAGGAGCCACCGGAACGCCAGACCATGCGAATAGTTGTTCTGACTGTGTTCCATTGGTTGAATTTGTGGCTCTCTTCACAATGTTACCTGCAAGCTGCGCAGTTCTTTTGGCGAGTTCATAGGGACTTGTCTCGATTGCTCGTTCGTAGATGCGGCTCGCAACTTGCTCACTTCGAGCGAACTCGGAAGCGCTGTCAATGGAACGTCCGTAAATCTGTTGTTGGAGGCCTCCGTTGTTGTTTAGAATCGTCGATCCAGCGCCGCCAACCTGACTAGCATTTCCAGATACACCTACGAAGCTGTTGATAGAGTTGATGATTGTTGGAGTATATATCATACCGGCTGACCACGCAAAGTTGCTCCAGAAAGCAGCACAAACACTGGGCCAGTTCAGGGATATTGCACCAGAGAAGAATATGGACTGAAAGACCTCGAAGACGACGAGGACAGATAAAGAGTGTGCATAGTGGGTTCGCATATGCGGTACACTGACTCCGTAGATGGCCGTTGCAAAGGATGCCAAGACAGCTACGAATGTGAAGATTCCAAGGACGGATCCCACCGCAGCTGGATGAGAGAAACTTGCTCCATTTCGCATCACAGCCTGGAAGCAAGCAATTTGTGTCTCCGAGGAGTTGGAGAAGAATCGTAATTGTACTGATGCTTCGAAATCTGGAATTGACAATGCAATATTGGGAATGGCGGAGACATCGGATGTAGAAACTGGAATGACAGCTCCACCAGTTATGGGAACACTGGCGTTCAGGGGACATAGACTGCTCATGTTAGATTTGATGAGGAAAAGGATGCGAGGACAAACCTGGCAAAGTTGGCATTGCACGGATTGAACACAAGGTCAAATCGATCCTCGCCGTCTGTGTATAGTATTAGTGTTTCGTTCAGTTTGATTTCTCGAAGTGTGTTGCTTACAAGCCATGACGGAGATGTATACTGGTTACAAGGTTAGCTTTGTTCCTGAAACCATGGACCAGTTGGATCACATACACATTAAAGACTCGTTCCTGAGATTGGTGGTTCCAGCCAGGTTAAACAGGACGGTCATATTATCTGCGTAGTAGGCCGCATCGTAGGATGTCAGGTTGATCAAGCTCTGTCCTCCCATACAATCACCAAAGTTTCCCGAGTACAATGCCGGAAACCTATCCACCAGCAGTGTTTGTGTTACTCCCGCCCCATTTGTTCCCTGTATTGTATCCGAACTCGAACTCTGTGCTCGTACCGAAGGAATTAATGTACTGAAGAGGGCGAGAGAAGAGACAAACGCCGTGGACCATGACGCCGAGGATAACGAAGGAAATCGTGCCATTGTCGAAATGGAAATTATTAATTTAGGTTGCGGGTCGAGGAGGAATTGACGGGGCAAGGCCCGGTGGTGATAGTAATTGAACTGTCAGATCGAGAGGAGGTTGGAAATTCTTCGAGCTCGAAAAAGTTCAATGTTTAGTGTTGGTGACGTGAGCTATCCAAGCACCTCGTATTATGCGTCCCAGCCTCCAGGCGATCAAGCGACAAACGTATCGAAACGTCTGGCCCTATTTCCCCAGTGTTTCCGACGCAAATCGAAACGACAGGCGTTGTGGCAGATGGATTGATCCGATGAACGCTGACCGTTGTAATTGGGCGCGTAGAGTATTTATTTTCGGTGTAGCTGGGGTATGGTTGGCGGTTGAAGTCGAGGGTATAGAAATTGTAGCCGCAGACGGTGAATGACTACCGGGATATCTCGACTGCACGCATTATCCTCGCAAGAAGTCGTCCGCAAAGTCGAAATAGCGACAGTAAAGTCCTCGACGCAGCTGGAGGACGATATTAGGTTTGAGAGTAAAGCGGACAAACGAATGTCTTTTGGGAGTGAGGGAAGATAAAGAAAGTGGAGCTTGGGAAGAAGATTGTGCAAGGAAACAGGAACTCGGACGGGGATTTCGTGCACGGGTGAGTGGCCAGTGGTGAGTGGTGACGAGGGTTCGGCTGGCTGGCTAGTGGATAATTTGACAAGGCCGGAACGACCAATGGAGGGCGAGTCGAGTTTTGGGTACTGTATGGTGCATTGGCGGACGATCCAGTGTAAGGGCGGCGCAGGGCTAACTGCTTGCGGCTCTCTCTCTCCAAGGCACGCTGCAGACCTCGAATCACAGCCACCGACACAACAGGACTGGAAAAATTGCTGTATGGTGTTTGAATGGGCGAGTTGAATGAAGGTCTTGGAAATATCTCTCGATTCAAGTTTCATGCCGGCGAGTAAAACACATCGCATCATTTCAAAGAAAACTCACTCACTCCCCAGTAAGAGTCAGTTCTGATTATGCACAGAGTCTTAAGTTATGCCATGCCCAAAGTTCTTCTCCTTCCCCCCATAGTGCGTGCCAGCAGATCATCGCAGGGTACACGGATCCTCAGTACGCGGATACGGATTGGCCAGGCCACGATAAAACAAGAGGTTGCACCACACGAGACAAGTGTACGAGCAAAAAGGACGAGGGAGGCGACGTGGTCGTCGTGTTAACATTCCTTTCACCAACCCCAACATCAGCAAAAGCATAGGGAAACCCTTCTGTTATCAAAGAGATGTCAGCCAGGGCCAGGACAAGGAAGCTTCACAGAGTTCCTCGTGTCAGCCCGCATCTCAATCTCATCCCATGGCTGGGCCGGCACTGAATGGGCCGTCGAGCGTTACGACGCCCAAACGCGCACCGCATTCCAGAAACTGAATCTGGCAGCCGCCACGGCTTCTTCGGGATGCAATCTGGAATCCAAAATTGATTCGTCAGCGACAGTCAAATAAATGTCCGTCCTGGGAAAGGAAGGACAATCATGAATCCGGATAGAGGACCGATGTACGAGCAACTCATTTATCACAGACACTTCAACCAGATGATCTGATGAACGTCGCCCCACCCTCTTCTCCCTTCCTGGTGCCCCCCCCCCCAAGTATTTCATCCAAACATCCTCATGATTGCCCAAAAGGGCCCCCTCTCTGCTGGTCCCTGCATTCAGATCCTAGCGACGATAACAGGTTTTTGTTAAGAACATGGCAGAGATCATGGGGTCTGGATCTCGCTCTCGCGGTTCTTGGGACCATGCAGCAATAGCAGTAATAGCAGCAAAGCCTGAAATGCTCCCCGGCTTGGCCGGCTGCTGCTGGTGATGATGATGATGCTAGTCAGGCTGGATGAACGGCGTTCTCGTTGCATGGTGCATGGGGGGCTGGTTCCACGATGCAGGCCATTGCAGTCCGAGCCAGCCGTGCAGCTTTTCGGGCGGGAATGCGAGCTTGAGGCGGCGGGTGAGAAATGCTTGGCGGAGACGACGGATAACGATGAGGCTTTGGAATCTTTACAGAGTACTGCTCTGCTAAGACTTCTCATTATCATGGATGAAAGAATCCTACGTCTCTTCACAATAAGACGAAATGGTTGAGAATACCTTTACCACTTTTCATCAATTTCTTACCGTCTACGCTCTGTTTCTCCTTCTCCCTCACCGCTGCCCTCATTCCAAGCTAGACAACTCACCTCACAAACTACTGGCTTGGTGTCCCAACCTCCACTCCACTTTCTTTCTTTCTCTCTCTCGTTCGTTCTTCTCGGATAGAATCTCCATCAAAAAAGCTCACTTACTCATAACCCTAACCCAAACTCCGTCTCGGCCCTCTTTTTCTAGAATAACCAAACCCGCTCTCTCGCACACATCAAAACCCAATACCCAGACCCCACTCTCAGAAATCTAAAACATAGGTAGCCTTAGCCAGGCGACGAACTCTCTAGTCCCCGTCTCGCTACCTGCAAACTATTGATCTTATCACTCACTCAATCGATCTCACGATCTCTCTAGGTGCACCTAAGGTATCTATCTCAATGACGCAAGGTCCCGCCTCGCCAAAAAAAAAAAAACGAAAAAAGAAACGCCCACTCATCATCACTTACCCATCCGATTTCCTTGAATTCCCTCACCTACTGACATGCATTTCCTCACACACGCATTCCTTTTCATCGGATACCTATCCGCATCTAAGTTTCTCGTTCCTGTAGATCAGAACTAGATGGTTGATTGGTTCCGTTCCTTTCGTATTCCTGCAGAAGCAAGCGAGGAGCTCGAGAGAGCTTGCGTAATCGATGAGTGAGCCGCATGCTGAGGAGTTTCCCCGCATCTCGGCATTGGTTTGCATTCCAGGATTTCTTCCCAAGAGGCCAAGAATCGAGATCCCAAGTTCTTGGGTTTGAGAAGCCAAGGAGTTCGGATACGATGGGATTCTTGTGCGGGAGATGGCGCTGCTTTTGCTGTTTCTGCTGGTAGATGTTCGTTTGGGTGTTAAAATCCAACCAATGCTTGGATGTCTAGTATCCAGTGGCCTGAACATTCAAGTTCTCAGCTATCCGACTTCTATGTTTTTGTTCACCATCTTGGCAGTGTTGTAAGATCATGTATAGGGATTGTAAATGCAATTATACAACGAGAAGAACCACTTATCATCTGAATCTTTGGCATAATCAAGACCAACAGACATCAGTCCATGGCAGAAAAATGTTCTTTCTACAAAAACCTCACTTCTTATAACTTCCTTTTCGTGGTAGTAGTTTGCTATTGTCAAGTCGGAATCCACTTCCAGTTTCCAGAATCCTGCCTCTCCACTTTAATCATTGATCTATTGAATTTTTCAAAATCAGGGTCGGCCAAGACCTTATTTGGATGAACTCTGTGCCAAAGGATAGCAAGACTTGTACAGTGCCAAGTATTTAAACCTCCCCTCCTTTCCTGGTGTTCCTCTTGAGAAAGAGGACAGCGGAGGAAGCTTAAGCGAGGCAGAAATAGGGGCTTGGGAAGCGGCCGTCAAGCTGCGATGTGCAACAAATAAAGTTGTTAGGCACAAAACCAGCTTCTTAGTCCACATTTGTTTTCTTCTTGGTGGCTAGGTCCAACCAAGCAGTTCTTTGTCTAATATTTGATTAAGAAATCGGGACTACAACTTAAAGTCTATATTCAAGGTCTTGGAGAAACAAGGAGGGAGAATGAGAAGTTGGTGTACGCTGTACGATTACGGAAGCTACACCTCTCTTCCGAGGACAATCTTTCAAGGCTACATCTACTGGTTTGAACAATATCCTTGATACTTCTGGAAGCGAGAATATGGGGGAAATATCGCTCTCGTGATCGAAGATATTGATTTCGGAAGACTTCCCGGCAAGATTAGAGTCGGATATAGATACGCAGCAAGAGTGAGCGAGGATGGAGGAGTTGAGGCTATGAAATTCTTGGATTCTATATCAGTATTTCAAAACCCCTCTTTCATCCCACGTACGTCATTAGGATATACTCTCACATGATCGCAGACCCAGGTCGGCAGAAAGATTGAGCGTTACCTAAGCTAGTGTACAATATTTGCAAAGTTTTCTTGCGAACATTTCCTTCCTCGCAGACAATTCAACATAAGTCTCGAGCTCTTCGAACTTACCACACATTTTTCCTGACACCAGCTCCACCGATAAGCATAGAATTACAAGATGACTCCTTTCATGAGCCTTAATGCCATCTATCTCGCCCTCGCCATCCTCCTCTACCTTCTGGGCTACTTCTCCTTCAAGCCTCCAAAGCCCCTGCATCGATCTGTGCAACTGTCGGCGCTCAAGAGATCCTTGCAAACGTACCCACATTTCAACAAGAACAAACAAGACCGCGACCTCTTCTTCAAATATGCTGCGCATTTTCTGGCAGAAGGTTCAGCTCCAGAGATTCCCGAGGCGCAGGACTATATCGAATTTGACCCACCATTCGCCATTTTCTTATCCGTGGTTGTAACCCTTATTCTTCTAGGAATCACCGCTCTCCAGTGCGCGTTCTCCGCCGGCTTGGGTGAAGGGGCTGTGATCTTCAGTCCGAGTATAGATCGATGGTTGGCGCCTACTACGTTGGTGCTTCTCCGCGCGGGGATAGTTATTGTTTTTGCTCTGGCAGGAATGATGAGTTGGGAGTTCGGCTGGGCGACTAGGATGAGAAGAACGTTGGGAGGGATTAGAGAGGTGTGCTTGGATGGGGAGATATGCAAATGTTGTGGACGAGGCGGGGATGAGGTAGTGGGTGAAAAGAGACGAGAAGTTCAGGAGGAGAGGTTGAGCTGGTGGATTCAAGGCTTGTTAGGAAAGGATGAGGATAATGCTGTAGAGGCTAGGAAAAGGATGGAGGAGGTTATTATGCCTGTCATTGAAAAGATTCGTTACTGAATTACAATGGGTGGTTGCATGTCGGCTTTGCCAACTCTGTATGGCTAAAGTATTCTCAATGCGGCAATAACTTACTCTATCCAAAGACGAATTGAAGTCTTTGTATCATCCCGTATCACAAAGGAACTCGCACTGGAAGATTGTCTGCTTATGTTCTATACATTATCATTTTCTCAAAATTATAAATCTAATAACTCAGTATAGACAATTCTATTTCTTTGCCTCCAATTCCTTCTTCTGGTCTGCAGCACTATTCTCCACAACATCAACCATAAATCCACCACCAAGCAGAATTGCTGGCTCTTCCAACCGATGATGTTCGTAGCTCAAGGTTCCTACACCACCAGCTTCAAGCAAGAACGTAGGTCCATCTTGTAATGTCTTTCCTGCCCAACGCATAGCGAAAGCTCGTAGGATATGACCGTGTGCAACCAGTAACACATCGCCCGGGGGTGCTGAACCCTTGGGCTTTCCAATTACTGGACCATGGAACTTTTCTCGTATTTCCTCGATCAGACGGTCGATTCGTTTTGTGACTTGTTCTGGAGATCTAGGATTTGTCAGCTTGTCTCTTACCAACTCCACCAAATCTCCCCAGTCTGTTGTCTTGCTCCCCATAGTAGTTGAGAAACACTTACTCTCCACCAGGACAACCCTCCTTCCAAATATCCCACTCACCATTCGGTCCTCCAATACCTTGCTTCTTCCTCAACTCCCTAATCTGCGGACTCGTAATTCCCTCATAGTCTCCATAATCCCACTCTCTGATATCTTCCGTAATCTGCACATTGGCATCCGTCCTAATATCCTCATCCTTATGTTCCCTCTGCTCCTGCCACGGCAACTTCTCCCGACACCCCAGATAAAGCAGCTCGAGAGTCTTCTGTGCTCGTTTCCGCGGTGAGACATAGCTATTTCAGAGAAACAGTCAGCGGTGCAACATGATTCAATTGAGGTAATTAAGTGTGCAAACGCATACATGTGTGCCAACTTCTTCGGTACAATCAGCCTATCATCTCCCACCAGCGCTCTGCCCGTGGCGAGGATTCTCTTCTCGCCATTCGAGGTTAAGGGGATATCGCTCGTGCCCGTGTGTCTTCCGTTGAGCGACCATTCTGTCTCACCGTGGCGGACAATGAACACCCTTGGAGTTGTCATGGTGGGGTTGTGTCTTCCCTCCCGCAGACGAAACAGGAATTGCGGGGGTTGTAATGCTAGACGGCAATAGTTGCTGTGGGTGAAAAGGTTGCTGGGAGCTGGAAAGTATGATCTCCAAAGTTGAAGCTTGCCAAGAAGTTCTGTCGCGAGTGTTGTGGTGAGAATTGTTTGATTTCCTTGTCTTGAAACTATGGCGTAGCACACTGTAGAGAACTGCCCCGCCGGTCTGAGGTCCGGTGGTACAGGGCAAGATGATAGCGAGTCGACCACTGGAGTGTCACTAGGCCCGACCCGAATGGTGACACAATGAATGAAGGGGAAATACAATAATAAAACCTTCAGCCTCTTTCGTCCCGTTCCTCAAATATATACATTTTCTTTCCTCTATTTTTCCCTTTCTCGTCGAGTTTTAGATCTTGGAGAAATGGCGGATTCTGCATTGCGATTATTCAGTTCCCTCCTCGCCGCAGCATCCGCATCCGATCCGCCAGCGCCAGCTTCCAGTGATCTCATACCGAGCTCGCACCGCCAATCAACCACCCCAGCTCCTCCAATCCGCCGCACATCATCCTGGGGTTCAACGTCCACGACCTCGACTGACTCGGACGATTCACTGGAGCTGCAGGACTGGAGATACGGGTCGAGAGAAGAGCAGGACGAGGTGAAGAGAAAGAGAAAGGAGAATAGGAAACGCAGGGAAAAGGAGGCGGAAAAGGCGTGGAGGGAGTTTTGGGGCTAGGGATAAAGGTTCGGGTGTACCTGAACAAAAAGCAACCACGGAAAGCTGCAGCAAAGATCTGCTCGACTACACTGCAACTTGCCTGCGACGACGAATTGATCTTGAAGGCATGTCTGCTACAGCAGCTCAGCAGCAGAAGATCAGGAGGTTTGTCTGGACTGGAGCAATTGTTGCCGTGACAGCTACAGGAGCTTGGTACGGTGCTGGATTGAAGACCGATCAGGAGATCAAAGAGGTAATGCCTTTCAATCCTTCCTTACACATGGATCGCTTGCTGATCTTCGGAACAGAAGGTTAAGAAGCAACGAGAGGCCACGCCGGCAGAGAAGATTGCTGTGCTCGAAGAACAACGAGGCGCGTTGGTAGCAAAGAGGTTGGGGCTGGAGAAGAAGATACAACAGCTGGAGATGAGAGCTGCTGGGGCTACGAGGGAGGAGAGCATGCAGGGCCAGGAGAGGAGGCGGTGAAGGAATACTGGGCCGAGAATACGATTCATATCAACAAGAGTTGGGTACTACTCTGGACTACAGATTGTGGAGTCAGGGCAGAAGCTGGAGGACCAAGACTGTCCACGATGTCCCATTGTTGGACGCACTTTCAAATGAATTCGCTCACAACAACAGCTACAAGAGGAGAGAGCGGCCGTCAGAGGCTTGGATACAATACTACCGAGTTACTCTAACTCACAATACACCCCCTCATATATTAGTCCTTGCCACTCGATTATTCTACTCTCACGTGAAGAGGAGAGACCTTATGCTCTTGTAAAGTACTCGTTTGCGGACAGACTTTGAATCTCTGTACAAAGTCTGTCAATGCACTCTCTTCAAACTAAAGCAACATGTCTATATATTCTAGCGAGCTTATATATGATCAGAAGCGCCGTACACTTCATTCATATGCAGCTATTTTGACACTATCTACCAGCCATAGCACTCTTCATCCTTTGCTTTCTGGCGTGCTCCTGGAGTTCCTTGTGTGTTTCCCATAGTGCCTCTGACTGGAACCTTTAGGGTGACGATGAGGGATCTCTTGACTGGGAGCTTTAGGATGACGATGAGGGATCTTTGTGGAGCCGATTGTACACTTGTGACTTGGCCGAGGAAATCGGTAAGATAATATGTTGAATACCTTATAGCAATCTCTGCGATTTGATTGTTTTGTGATTTAAAGAGAATGTACCAGCTCACTACGATATATTCGACGGTCTCAAATGTCTCAGCCACAAGTGGTACATGAAGTCTGTGTGGCCTTGTCACTTCCTTCCTTAACAATACACTCTTTCTTTTTAGCAAATTCGTTGAAGTTTTGCACAACATGTTCAGCATTGATTGTCTCTCGGGATCTACAGTGTATCCCTGGTCATATATTAGTTCCGTGCCAGTCGATTATTTTAAAGAGGAGAGGACTTATGCTCCTTCAAAGCACTCAACTGCTGACGGACTTTGAATCATCTGTCTGTGCACTCCTCAAACCAAGCAGCATCTGGTGCATGTCTCTATACTTTTGGCTAGCTAACATATGATCAGGGGATTACACTGTACTGCCATCAAATCCGGACTAATTGTTTTACAAGATCCATCTCAACAAATAAGACAGGCGATCGACTCCGCCAAAAGCAGAACCTTACGCAAAGCTAGTCACCTTTGCGTAGCACGCTATTGTAGTCTACTGCCATGTCGAGCCGCGTCCTCCACTTTTGGGGTGTTGTTATTATCTCTGCTTGTGATCGAGCTCCAAAGGATTTCATTTTCTATTAAGTTGTCGGACAATAAGACTGCTTTGAAGTGCGAGAAAAGAGCCCTTCTCGAGAGAGTGGGGTTTTGATTGTCCTCGAAGTCGCCGGACAATCGAGCGATCGTGGATCTATGTCAAATTCATAGACTTTCTGGTAGTTATCTTATCAAAATTTCCGTATTAATCGGGTGGATATTATCCATCAGTGGGTTTGACAATGAGATCGAAGAGTTGGTTGCCTGATAGCTCTCAAGTAATCAGAGAGTAATCTTACATCTGCTAGGCTAGGATATCTGCATGCTAACAGAAATATCGCTGTCTTTGGACAATGGTTTTGAGATTGTTGTTCAAGATAACCTGTTCAGTTCTTGGAATTGCAAATTCTGAGAGCATAGTATGTGGAATACTGTATCCCGCATCTGGCCCCACTCGTTTCCTTTAGCGAGCCCCTTTCTGCTCAGGACATACAGACAACTCGAGAGTTAGATCTTGCTTGCAATTTGCAAGAATTCGCTGTTGCTGAAGGGGGAAGCTAAAAAGCGCGTCTGATAGAAGTTCTCAGGAATCTGCCCTTCATCACACTATAAAATAGAATTCTCGAACCAAGAAACTGTTATTGCCTGTTCAAAGATTCTCGCTCACAAACGATCAAGTTGCTGCTGGCCGACTTTCATCAAATACCCCACTCTCAAGGGGCAGGTCTCCTGTTCAAGATTCTCACTTTTCCACGCAGCCAATTGCTATAGTCGTCAACAGTCTTCCGTCGACTGATAACGGATAAACTATCGGCAACGATTCCAGGAATCAGACGAATGGACTTACTTAGATCAAACAACACTTTCGGTCTTGACAACAATTAATCTCTTGACAACTGAACCTATCTTCAAGACAAACAGCTGCTCATTTCTAGGAACTTGGAGACGGATTGTTTCTCAGTTGTAAGGACCTATCGAGGACCGGTGTCAGAGCTCGGCATGTTTGGGAATTCCTGGATTTTGCCTCCAGCTTAGCAATTCTGTGAGATAGCCCTGGAAGGTTCTATATATACTGTTGGTCAAGGATAGGATATATGGCAGTTTATTGAGAGGATATTGCGAAGTTGAGGTACGGCAAATGAGATTACCCCGAAAGTGAATATCACTAAATGGGGATATGAGTCAAGCATACAACAATTTGCTGAATGTCAGGGGGTTGGGAGCCGCACTAAGTGTAATGAGGATCAGCAGGAACATCACAAATAGGTGCATTCTGCACTGTAGAATAATGTCTCAATCAATCATTCTACACTACCATTCAGCACAATTCACTAATACGAGAGCCTCAGTAGCAAAGGGCAGAACACCCCAGACATAAAACAAGGGCGTATGGTCTATTGATGAGTCCTCAATGTTGTAATGAGCCTCATGATGCCTCACAACCACTTGTTCTAGTAGCGCAGAGTTGCCACTTAACAGAAGTTGAGACTTGTGTCAATGTCCGGTGCCACCAAAATAATCCAAACTTGAATGACACACACTCAGCATTGAACAATTGCCGGATTCTATCGGCTTAGAAGAAGTAGTATAAAATTGAGGCGAAGAATGTAGGAGGAGCTCATGGAAGCTCGCCGAATAATTCAGGCGGTGAGGCGTAAGAATGAATTTGTAGGGTTACAGCGAGAAGAATGCGTGATAAGAAATCGAGTGAAGAAGGCACAAAAGTTATTTGTGAATTCATTACCAAGGGGAGCTCTGCTTTTAGATCATTCTGTGGTCTAAATTTGATGATCGAAGCAGTGAATGAGACAGGCTAAGACCGAGCAAGTCGCAGCTTATTGCATCCAGCATAGAAAGGTGAAAGAACTTTGATATCAAATCGAAAGTGACTCAAATGTTCAATTTCGAAAGAGGAGATACAGGGTTGGATTATGTAGCGCGAGACTTGCGACTATTCCGGTGTGCTGAACCGTATTGTGCTCTTTTAGTGGTAAGCATTATGCTGCTTTTTCAAGACCTGAAGCAATTTGAAGTAACAAAAGCAACGTTTGGAGGTCAATGGAAGTGAGCTAAGAAATACGACATGCGGTGAGACTTCTCCAAGATCAAAAGCAGAAGCGGTTCGCATGAGCCCAGCCGCATGTCGAGGCAAGTGGATCACAACTTTGGCGCTTTCACTAAGAATGACCTTGCATGACTTGGAGCATGAATACAATACTACAGTAAAAGACGAATATGTGATGATACAAATCGTTTGATATTCGCTATTGATACCCATCCTTCGCATTACAATTGACCCTCCGTAAGTTTTATGACGTTTCATTCATTCACCGATTTGAGTTTTCGCCGCATGACTCCGTACCACGTGATCTTGCACTAGTGGCTTAGCGTACTAATTTCCTTCAAGAAAATCGCACACTCTCCAATTTACCTCTTAATTCTGTGTCCAGCGCATACCCGATTCAAGCAATCACTCTGCGCAGTACGTCTCCTTCAATCTATATCTTCATCAAGGCATCATCACTGACACCTCCTTCAACAGATTCAAACCTTTTTCCCGCAAAAAAAATAACACCCACACACAAAACCGACAACTCTCAATACCGCCAACATGGGGTAAGCCTTCCGTCACCTTCAACCATCCACCCTCGATCAACAACATCAATACGATATCAAGGTCGATCTTAATGGACTCTTTGCTAACGGTTCTTTGCTCTGCAGTAAGGAGAAGATGCACATCAACGTGGTCGTTATCGGCCACGTCGATTCTGGCAAGTCTACCACCACTGGTAAGCCATCCTCAACCCTCGAATATCCCCTTCGCACATCCAGCTCACAATCATAACAGGTCACTTGATCTACAAGTGCGGTGGAATCGACAAGCGTACCATCGAGAAGTTCGAGAAGGTAAGAATTTCTCCTCGTTGTCACCTTGCACACAACTTTTCCTTATCGGCTTTTGCCCCTCGGTGGGGTAAAATCCTCGCTTGCCACCATCAACAAAATTTTTGCGCCCGTGCATCGTCACGACAACATGTCGATTGATGCCCGATGCACAATACCCTTCCACAACACACACTGTCTTCGAGTATCATGCTGACTCTCTCTAATAGGAAGCCGCCGAGTTGGGCAAGGGTTCATTCAAGTACGCCTGGGTTCTTGACAAGCTAAAGGCCGAGCGTGAGCGTGGTATCACCATTGATATCGCTCTTTGGAAGTTCGAGACCCCCAAGTACTATGTCACCGTCATTGGTATGTCTTCGCAGATACAATCACACCTCCTTCATTGCTAATCCAACGCAGACGCCCCTGGTCACCGTGATTTCATCAAGAACATGATCACTGGTACTTCCCAGGCCGATTGCGCTATCCTCATTATCGCTGCCGGTACTGGTGAGTTCGAGGCCGGTATCTCCAAGGATGGCCAGACCCGTGAGCACGCCCTCCTCGCCTACACCCTTGGTGTCAAGCAACTCATCGTCGCCATCAACAAGATGGACACCACCAAGTGGTCCGAGGCCCGTTACCAGGAAATCATCAAGGAGACTTCCAACTTCATCAAGAAGGTCGGATACAACCCAAAGACTGTTGCCTTCGTTCCTATCTCCGGATTCAACGGTGACAACATGATCGACAACTCCCCCAACTGCCCATGGTACAAGGGTTGGGAGAAGGAGACCAAGGCTGGCAAGTCCACCGGAAAGACCCTTCTCGAGGCTATCGATGCTATTGACCCACCTTCCCGCCCAACTGACAAGCCCCTCCGTCTTCCTCTTCAGGATGTCTACAAGATTGGTGGTATTGGCACGGTGCCAGTCGGTCGTGTTGAGACCGGTGTCATCAAGGCCGGTATGGTCGTCACCTTTGCCCCCGCTGGTGTCACCACTGAAGTCAAGTCCGTCGAGATGCACCACGAGCAACTTGTCGAGGGTCTCCCAGGTGACAACGTCGGCTTCAACGTCAAGAACGTCTCTGTCAAGGAAATCCGTCGTGGTAACGTTGCTGGTGACTCCAAGAACGACCCTCCCAAGGCCTCCGAGTCTTTCAACGCTCAGGTCATCGTTCTTAACCACCCTGGTCAAGTCGGTGCTGGTTACGCACCAGTCTTGGATTGCCACACTGCCCACATTGCTTGCAAGTTTGCTGAGCTTTTGGAAAAGATTGATCGTCGTACCGGAAAGTCTATTGAAGCCACCCCCAAGTTCATCAAGTCTGGTGATGCTGCCATCGTTAAGATGATTCCATCCAAGCCTATGTGTGTTGAGGCCTTCACTGATTACCCCCCTCTTGGACGTTTCGCCGTTCGTGAGTAAGTACAAATCCTTCCCCAACAGCAATGAGCTCTCGCTGACTTCATTCTAGCATGAGACAAACCGTCGCTGTCGGTGTCATCAAGTCCGTTGAGAAGTCTGACAAGGCTGGCAAGGTCACCAAGTAAGAACAACTTCCCCATTACATCTCTCCAGCATATGCTAACCACTTTGACTTACAGGGCCGCCGTCAAGGCCACCAAGAAGTAAACTACCCCCTTCGTGTTTCGTTTCCGGTCCTGGCATGGCAAAATAATCATGGATTGGAATGGGGAGGATGCTTGTACGTGAGAGGATGGTGTGGAAGGAAATACTTTGCACACTTTCATAGATAGCTTTGCTTGCGAAAAATGGCAATGGTTTCCTGACATCTTGAGCTCCTTGTAATCATGTTTGGTGATGCATCGTGACGTCGCCATCGTTTCCTTGTTCTCTGTTCTTATTGCACCTTCACCTGCATTTCCATTCCCGATCTCCACCTTCCTTCCACCTCAACACCACCTTCAAGTGGGTTCTCCTCACTTGTGAATTTCGAGTACTGTGTGGTTTATGCATCCGTATTTACGCCTACCAACACCTTGAATGCTGAAAAGAGTGCACTTGGTTTAGGTGCCAGTCTTTGCAAAGTCGCTTGACAACATATCCCTAACTCATCCAACTCACTCAAGCATTTATCTACAATTTGCTGCTGGCCAATCTTCTTCTGTTCACAGACACTGAACTCCCTTCTTCATTTGTGAGAACCAGGACAGATAATGCCCAGACTGGGGAGGCAATCCTTATGCTCAAGTCTCCTGCTTTGGAAAAGCTTCAAGGCAATCAGATGCTCTGCTCTTTTCTTGGGCCGACTTTCCCTCTCTGAGCCAGGCAAGGCCTGTTTCAAGAGCTGGTGTTTATAGTGTTCTCGTTCTTGATTCTCTACGGGAGCAATATGTCCAGGTAAATCCAGGAATTTCCTGGTTTTAACCAGGATTGTTGGACTTTTCCTGGAATGGGTCCTAAAGTCCTTTAAATTTGATTCTTTCTAATTTAATAATATTCTTGAATCTACTAGATTATCTAGGATTTTCTAGGAATACTGGAATTGTGCTGAAAATGAAATGGATATCTAAATAAATCCAGGAAAATCCTTTAAATGCTTTAATACAATCAATTCAAGGCGCATTCCTTCTAGCGTCCCCGCACAAAAAGTCCTCTCTCTTAAAGTAAGTCCTCTCAGAGCAAGTCCTCTCCCCGAGATCTCTTCCCCAGATTATGTCCTCTCTTTTAGAGTAAGCCTCTCTTAGGACAGGCCCCTCTCTTTAGAGTGTGTCTGGCGATGAAGGCTACCAAGGCATCTAAATCAAGGTGCATGCAGCTGGAATGGTAGATTCCTGGACGATTAATAGAGAATTCCTGGGGGGAAAAAACTGGAATTTAATCCTTTGAAATAGTCCTGGATTCTAGATTCAGGAAAAAACCAGGATTTGCTCCCGTAGGGATTGTCCAAAGAATGCTGGACATCCAAGGGCTTCATGAATGACGCTGTTGTCCGCCCTCTTTCTTATGCGCTGATACAAGCATCTGTTTTGGTTGTATCTTCCATATAATTGGAATGTATCTAGAAATCGTAGCTAGAAAGAGCCCTTGTGAGGCTTTTTTTTTTGGGCTTTCAAGGACATCCTCAAGAACACGCCCAAGGGTTCTTTCTAGCCACGATCTTTTGGATACATCCGAATTGTATGGAATATACACCCAAAAAAGATGCTTGCTAACACCGCAGCTCATATCTTTCATGATTATGAAGACTTGGAGGCAGAGATCATGAAGTCTAGGAAGATTGCTGCTGTATCATCTGCATCTCATTCTGCAAGACATCACAGCACGGGACAATGCAGGGCATGGTTGTCGAGGGAGGATCAGTTTTATTGTGACCAGTACTGTACATTTCCTGTACACAAATCCACAGTCATATCTACACCAAAATGCTATGCACCGCCTATGCCCAGTCAACTCCACTATATAATACAAGGAAATGTTGCTACAGTATAATCATCACAAGCCTTATTCGGACTTATCGCTCTCCATCCATCTGTTATGCTGCTTTTGCATGAATTCACCTTGCAATTCATTCTCGACATCCGCAGCCCCATCTAAATCTTCGTTGTCAGAGATCTCGGCGCTATCTTCGTCGCTCGCGCCCTCATCTTCTTCCTCCATCACTTGTTCACTCTTCTCCCAATTGAATGTATCTGCACCTAGGCCCTTGTTGATTTTGAACTTTCCTGAGAAGTAACTGAACAGCAACTTAGGCTTAGCAGGGACTGACCTCATCAATCCACCTTTGGGCTCCGTAGTCGTCACGGTTCTGACGTCTTCCAGATCAACAAGTTCGCCACTACCATCTCCTAACATATCAGCCAATCGATATGCTGCGGCCACGAAGTCCTCTTCCGAAACCACCGCACCTCCTCTTACCGGGCGAAGCTTGAGTTCAGCTCGTCTGCCACCGGCTTTACCAGCCTCGATGGAGGTGTAACATACTCGGAAATCTTTCCAATCAAAGACAAGAGTGCTATGAACCTCAAGACCAGCGAAGAGGTACTGCACTTCTCTATCCTCTAAATGCTTATCTGTTTCTTTCAATCCAAGGAGCTTGAATCCTTCGCCCTGGCACAAATGGGCCGAGATTGGAAGTGTAATCGTAGGTGGTGTGTCCAACTTCCCTTTGGAGGCAAGACTCAGTTGACTCTCTGCTAAAAAGTTCTTGATTGGTTTCAAGAACTTCCTGGTCAATCGACTCGTTATCCTCTGCTGGAAACGGATGTCGACGGCGCTATCAGGTAACATCACATCAGTCTTCTTTTCGTGCATGATGGCGTTAACACCTTCAAGCTTTGTATTTTTATTGCCATCGATGCTGAAAGTCATTTCTAGGCTGGGAAATGCTGAGAGAGCTTCGACACCGATTGGCATGGATTTCTTGAAGCTTGGATACTTTGAATGCCGATCCCGCTTGACTACAAGGAAGAAAGGATTAGGCTGGAAGCGAAGGACGAGTCGATCGATTGTCTTGCTTTTTAGGGGTGCACCGGCCTTGCTGAGGACGCGGGAGAGGTTTGGGACCTTGGTGGAAAAGGCATGTACGAGTCCAGGTGTATTCATCGGAGTTGATTTGGGTCCGATATCAATCTTGTTTGGCTTGCTGTGTAACACAGTGCCCATCAGAGCTGAAGTTTCGGTGAAGTAACGTTTGCTCCAGTGTAGAGGGCTATCCCGCTGTTCACTATCCTGGGCTGGTGTTGGGGTTTCCGTATCCGAAGATCGAGTAGTGGGAAGTGATGATAATGTAGGCTCGGAGATAGTCTGCGCTGTGTAGGCTGGCTCTTTCGACAAGGGGGCAACGAATCGCGTCCAATCTCGCATCCGTTGTCGCCAATTTAGACCTCCTGTAAAAGAATAGTCAATCAGAGCGCCGGAAGCCGATTGTTTCTGCCGGATCGCAAGATCATGCTCCAGTCTGCTAGAGAAGTTGCTGCAAGTCAAAATCAGTCGTCGAACGACATCGACTCTCGAGCTTGTTGCCGTAGGGTTGTTTTCAATGCAAGAAACTTGCAACTATAGCAGAATTAGAAAATGTCTACCCTGTGAAATAGAACACTTACAAGTTTCCCTGAACTTCTGACAATCTTGGTGCTTGTAATCTCACCCAAACAAGTTAATGCTGTGTCGTCTAGATATGTGTCCATGAACTTGTCCACTTGTCGTCCACTGAGCTTCTTAGTTAAGAGAGCTGCTAGATTGATCACTCCCCTACGAATACCCTTGACTGACTCCTGGATAGCTTCGATAATGGCATATTTCTTAGCATTCGTAGTTGTGACACGAATGGCACTTCTTGAACGGAACACGTCAAATCTTTCCTCTTCAAAAAGCAGATGAGTGTTACGTATAGAATCAAGAACAGAATACTGGCCCACTACAAACCATCAGTATGTTAACTTGATACAGTACGAGTCTACTCACTAAGCAGGAGGTCGATGTCGCCACTGCGAAGTTTTATTTCAAACTGGCCAATGCCATCGACAAGGTCAGGGAGTTCAACCATCCAGCACTCGCGCAAAAGGCGAAGAGCAAGCACTTGTTTGGGCGTGTGGGAACTTCGGTAGTATTCTCGAAGAGGATCGCTGTCAAAGTAGTGTTCAATATCCGAAATGCCTGGTAACCAAGGAGTGATTTGAGTAATAGGGGCATGAGTGTCGTTTGCCTTCCAAGGCTCAATTGGCTTTTCCCGTTCCCGTTTGTTTTTAAAACTCTTCATATAATTCTCCAATTGGGATGTCGTGAAGCCTTTATCAAGGATAGAAACAAGTTCATTTAGTTGTGCAAAGTCCCGGATGCCTTCTCCCTCTGGAGGTCTGAAGGCTTCGATGTTCTTGGTCACCTCATCTGCTCCTACCAAGCCTTTCTCTTCTGCCAGTGTACCAAGAATATCGATATGCTTCGGTTTCATGACCTTCATCTTCTGTTGCTGGAGCACATATTTGCGAAATATGGAATCCCGTAAGATGATTACTTTTGCTTTGTCGCCCAGAGCCGTTGCACCTCTGAGCTCTTCCAAATCTTCTCGCTGGAATAGTCCTCGATGACCACGTAATTTTCCCAATAATCGTCGTGTATCGTATTCCCCACCCTCCACCTTATCGACATCTGTATCGTTGTCATCGAGGCCAATTTCGTCGTCGGATTTGGGAGCAGCTTGCTGAGAGTACCGGCATCGTTGTGGGATTGTCTGGGACAGAGCCGAAGGTTGAGGGCGCAAAGAGCGCTTTGCTAAGGTTCGTTGACACCGGAGACATATATGCTGTCTCAAAGGCTTCCGAGTAATCATGTATGCGACTTCTTGACAGGATTCTGCATCTCAGTTCAGAGTGTCTGGAATTTTTTTGAAGAAGTCGGCAGCCGGTGATTTCATCGCCGAAGGATCCCTGTCAACTAAACGCGTGAATCGCGTCTTCCACAGATTGTCCCTCCTCTTCTCGACCGCACCTCACAAAGATTATCTCGGGTTTACAGAAATCTTTTACGTCGGATTTTAAGATATCTACGACTCGATCACAATGCCTTCTGCAGCAAGAAGACGGCGCACAGTAAGTTTTGTGACAAGGCTAAATGATCTCTGCTAATGACCGCAGGTGCAAGAGGAAGAGGAGTCGTCTGAAGAAGAAGAAGACAGAAGACAGAGCACACAGAGAAATCGTAGACACGCTCCACCGTCTGATGATGAAGAGGAAGAGGAGGAGGAAGAGGGAGCTGGCGACGATGAAATGGACGTAGATGCCAGACCAGATGCACAAGATCAAACTGTTAAGAAGATGGTACGATACGCATTGGCATGCGAATACCAGCGGATGCCGATCAGGAGGGCTGGTATATCAGAGAAAGGTATAATCACCTGGCTCTATGTTTGGTCCCAGTGCTGACCTGCCAGTCATTGGGAAGCAGCGAGGTAGCTTCAGACGCGTTTTCGAAGCAGCACAGACACAGCTACGAACCAAGTTTGGAATGGAGATGGTGGAATTACCCACCAAAGAAAAGACTACCCTGAAAGACAAAAGAGGTGGGTTAATGCTATTCTTTAATTCGAGTTCTGCTAACAGGAGCAGCTGCGCAGAAGACGAAAGGAGGCGCGAAGACCACATCCTCTTATGTCCTCACAACAATCCTGCCTCCAGAATACCGCACAGCGGATATCATGCCTCCGTCTATTGTTGGTGACATTGAGGACGAAGCCCAGTATCTAGGAATTTGTTCTCTCATTGTTTCGATAATCGCCCTCAGTCCCAACGCTACTCTGGCAGATGTACAACTAAAGAAGCACCTCGGAAGAATGAATATGGAGCGGAATGCAGGAGGCTTGGGCAGGACCGAGGATGTATTGAAGAAAATGTGCAATCAAGGGTATGTGCAAAAGGTTGTCGAGAAGAATCAAGATGAGGAAACAATCGACTGGAAAGTAGGGCCGAGGGGAAAGGTTGAGATGGCAAGTACGGGCATACGAGGACTAGTGCTCGAGGTATATGGTGAGAATGCTCCTGAAGATCTTGATAAAAGGCTACAGCGAAGTCTCGGTATGGAGATCAAGAAAGCCAGCACAGGCAACGGAGTAAATGGACAAGAAACTGCAGAGGCAGAGGAAGCCGACGAGGAGCGTGATAATGGTGACCCTGGTCCAAGTTCTAGAAGAACTTCTGGACGGAGGCGTGGATGAGGGGGAGGTAATAGCAACTGGGACAACTTGTGCAGTATATTCTATGATTGATTACCTTGGAAGAAATGTAATGCAACTCGATTTGTACCAAATTTTTGTGGCTTCATGGTGATTGAATTGTTGGTATTCTGTGGCACCTTCGCAGCTCGCTTTCTGCTGCCAAATGCTGCTGCAACTAATCGGTATGCTCTACGGAAAGGTCCTTCATGACGGACTCAAGTCTCAGCAAGCATCAGATTTGGTCCTGCTTCCCCACGATCTGAAATAAATGCAGCTACCGACTGTCCCATGTCTTTTCAGTCCTGAACCTCCGGCGGCTTCCCAACAGGTTGTATCATTTTCTACAACCATATTAGAACGGTGTCCTGTCTCTGCCCATGGTGAACTCACCTCAATCATTTGAGCCCGCACCTTCTCCTTGCACTCTCCCATACCAATAGCCATGTAGCTCAATAGAGGTGGATGTCCAACATAACTGGCATAGCTGTCTCGCTGGATGTTACTTGTCCATTCGAATTTAGTCGTATCGGCATGCCCAGTTCCAACGTATCGAGCTTGCAGAGCCTCGAGCTGCTGCTGGGCACGAAGTTTGTCCGCCTAAGAGCAATTAGCATGAGAATCAATAGGCAAAAGAACGAGACTGCACACCATGTTGATTCTATGAACGCCGTACGAAACTGCAGAAGAGTTTCTGGAGGGCTTTGAAGACTTGCGCCGGAACGGTGAAACTCTTTCCCGGCAAACGCTAAAATCATCGAGGACGGCGCGGCTCTGGAACTTATTCAATCATCAATTCAATTCGCGTATCTTTCAACCAACGTCGAGATTGACCACCAGACCTGAAATCTGACTTTCGATATTGATACTTCCCGCGCTTTCTGCGTTTTTTTCTCTCTGACCCTAGCTCCAGCTGTCATGTAAGTCTGTCTCCACGTGATGCACACGTGATACGGCCCAGCTTTCTCTTTCAAGAGGCAGATCCTTTTTCAAGAGAGGAGCCTAAGTCCTGATCAGCAGTGGAATCTATAATACCATCGATTGAAAGCAAAAATGGGCGGACTCACTAACGCTTCTCAGGGACCTCGAAGTACAGATTCGGCCGCATAGCAGCCGTTCAAGACCTCCCGCTCATCGCCCTCTCTCACTGGACCAAAGATTAGCTCAAGGTGATCGTTTCCGCAAAGCCAAGGAGAGACTCGAAGTATCTCTACAAGAAATACAACAGGCCCACTCGTCACCCTCGTCAGCGTTTCCGAGCCATACAGGGCAAGATGACTGCGAACGATGTGCTAGAAGAAAGGGAGATATTGCTCGAGCATACTATGCCTACTATCTCGATTCCGATCCAGAAAGCTGGGTATCGTATGCTACTCCGGAGTACCGACGTGAACTCGAGAGGAGATTTAATGATCCAGGAAGCTCTTTAGACGATCTTCATGCTACTTTCCGGATGGGACTTCGAGAGTATCTCAAGCTGAATCTTTCTTCCGGCACTGTCTTCTCCGAAGACGAGTTATCAAGTCTGTTCATCGACGAGCGAAGCACAACTGAAATCCTCAACACATGCCTCGAACAAGCTCAACAAAAAACTTCAAATTCCGATACAGCAACATTCATTGCCGAACTACAAGGCGCCAAAGGCCCCGAGGACAGAGCCCAGGTCTATGCCAAATACTACTGTAGCCAATCGTGGGCCGATTCCTCCTCTGTGAAGAACTTCAAAGCAAAGTATGCACGCATGTTCGAGCAACTTGTACCGCATGACGAGGTTGTAGCCGCTATGCGTAGGGAAGCTGAAGAATCGCAGTCAAGCAGGCTGGCAGGATTGAGTCGGCAGCTGAGCGAGCTGGAGATGGCACAAAGTGCACACTTGAAGGCCAAGGCGAGAAAGGATCAGAAGATGCGAGACAGAGAACCAAGTCCTGGAGTTGTGCAATGCAGTCTGGTGGGCTGTGCTAATGAGGTTGATCTCGCGACGGATGAGACGATCGAATGCGCTGTATGCGAGTGGCTGGAACGAAAAGGAAGCGAGAAAGGACGAGCATTCTATTGTTGCATGGGGCATGCGGAAGAGGACTTCGTAAGTTACCTTATTGTCTGTGTGAATATTGCTAATGTGAGGCAGGAGGAACATGATCGAAACGATCATCAGTGCTGTATGGGAGGTGGTTGTTTCTATTTCCCCCAAGCAGGTCCACCGGGAGAAACAGGTAATGGAGGCATCTGTCAGGATTGTGCAGACGAAGAATTCACCTCGTATTTCTGCTCTCAAGACTGCTATCATCATAATCTGGTAGGTATGCCTCCTTCATTGTTCACGAAGATGACTGACAATGGGACTAGGAACTCCACAGAGAGGACTTTCACATGGGCAAGGGCATTCACAATGACTCGGACAATCTAGAAATGTTTAGGCCTGCTGATGATATGGAGATCATGTCATAGCTTCTGAATTCATATAGTTTAGGAGCTGAGGTAGAATGTGTCTCATGATGTATTTGATAAATACCTACAAGCTACTTCTGTAAATTACCATGAAATGGACGGACATTCAAATTACAACTATCTGAAGGTGAAGTTCGATGCACAGCTAAGTTCTACAATCTCCTTCAATAGCACTCACATTCTTCTGCATCGAAATGTACCACCTGCCTGCAATGTACCGCCTGCTTACAATTCACCACCTGCCTACGATGTACTACCTGTCTGGAAAGTATCACCTGTCTACAATGTACCGCCTGCCTATAACGTCTTATCCGGCTCTCCGATTATAAACCCCAGACGTACATTTTAGAAGACGTATTGAGCCTCAAACCCTGGGATATTCAGAGATTGCACGAATGGGCTGGTGACCACACTGTAGGCATGACGTGAGTAAACCTTTGAGTCAAATCAGATAACATGCACCGATGGTGTGCCTAGACATTTTTCCAAGCCCCTACCATACCTACCTAGATATGCTATCGGCGCATACCTTGTAATCAATAGCCTCTCAACATTCAACAGAATATTCTCACGCATGCTGGACATTGTGACTAAATTATGGAGATGAAATATCATTCCACCACGCTCTTCGTGACCTCCACAAATTGGCTCCAATTAACACCAGGCAGAAACTTACCACATATACGTGTACAATGTACCTTCCTCTACAACTGTGCCACATGTCATCAATGACTGTCGTTTTCTTCAATACAACGAGGAAATATAGCAAAAGTATCCACCATACCATTGCTGGCACGACTCGAGGGAAGCCAGCAGTGCCACGACAATGATCACATGTTCATTCATTGATCGATATGTCCAGCGGTGAAGAGAAAAGCAGATATTCATTCTTTTATACTATAATAACTATCGAAGTCGAACGCTCGCAATATATGACAAACAAATGCTAAGACTACAATACTTGGATCGATCAAAATTCCAGAAAGCTCGGCCGTCATATCATAGGCACCGAAGCCAACAAATAAAACAAAGGGTATAAAACGCGCGCTGGAAAACACAAGGGAGATGCAATCGCTTCAGTATCATCAATTTTGGTTCGTGCTTTCCTCCTTCCATGATTTCTTATTTCGGTTTCAATGTCCTCCCATTACCTCAAGCTGAATCCTCACCTTCGTGGACTGTATATTTTGTTACAATTTCGACCCCTGAACTTTTGTTTCGTCAAACTTTCTTCGCAATTTTGAGATCCGATACTGATCCGCTAACTTATGCTTCAGACTCGGTATCTGGCTCGACCTACGCCTCCACGACACTCATACTACCGTTTCCATTCTTGACTTCGACGCCCTTGTCATTCTCGCCAACTTCTTCAACATTGCCGTTCATCTTAGCAATGCTGTGCTCGACCATGATCTTGACGGATTGAACAGCGCTCAGGATCTCGTCATCTTTGATAACCTTGGGCGCGATCGGAGTCGGAATACCCTCGACGAGAACCTTGATGGATTTCACCTCGGTCAATATCTCGTCGTCCTTGATGTCGACTTGAGCAGGGATGGCTTCGACGAGCATCTTGATGCCGGAAAGCTCGCTCAGGATCTCCTCGTCCTTGACATCCTTGGACTCGGTTGGAGTAGGAAGGCCTTGGATCAGAGTCTTGACATGACCAAGTTCAGCGAGGATCTCTTCATCCTTCACATCCTTGGCTTCTGTCGGTACAGGAAGACCCTCGATCAAAGCCTTTACGTGACCAAGAGCAGCTAAGATCTCCTCGTCCTTGACTTCCTTCACGGCAGCAGGAACAGGAAGACCCTCAACGAGAGCCTTGACCTCCAAAACATGCTTCTCGATGTGCGAGATATCAACAACTTCAGCAGGCGGTGATGGTTTGGAGAACCAATCCAGGAGATGCTTGCTGTGGTCTTCAGCCTTGGTCTTCACCTCTGTCAAGGCATGATGATGGTCACCCAGAGAGGACGTGACGTTTTGGATTGCATTCTCGAGGCCAGAGAGATCTGTGACTGGAGCGGGTGCCGATACAACTTCTCTGATGGCCGAGAGGTTCTCAGTGTGTGCATCAGCGGTAGACTTGAGCTCTGAGATGTTGGTGTGATGAGTATCGAGAGAAGCTTTGATCTCGGCCACGGAAGATTCGAGAGCAGACAGGTCAGTCACTGGAGCTGGTGTCGCGACCGTGCTCTTAATCTCAGTCAAGTGACCAGCATGCTCGTCAAGAGCGGCCTTGTGGGACTCAAGTGTACTCTTGACGTCCGTAAGGTGGCCCTCGAGACCAGACAGGTCAGTGATGGGAGCTGGGGAGGCAATGTTACTCTTGATATCGGTCAAATGACTGGAGTGCTCATTAAGGGCCGCTTTGTGAGACTCGAGGGTACTCTTGACATCTGTAAGGTGACCCTCAAGGCCGGATAAGTCAACCGGCTCAGCTACGGCTGGAGGCGAAGCTACGATGTCTTTGATGGCACTCAAGTGACCAGTGTGTTCATCAATTGCAGCCTTTTGAACTTCCAGCAAGCTCTTGACATCAGTGAGGTGTCCTTCCAGACCAGAAAGGTCAACGGGCTCTGGTGCGGGTGCGGGAGTGGCAACAATGTCTTTGATCGCGGACAAATGGGCGCTGTGCTCCTCGAGGGTAGCTTTGTGAGCATCAAGAGAAGAAGCGACCCCGTCGATGGAGCCTTGGAGACCAGACAGGTCAGTAGGCTCAGCGACAGGGGTTGGTGCGGCGACCTTGTCCTTGATCTCAGCAAGATGCTCGCTATGAATTCCAAGAGTGGCTGTGAGTGCCACAAACGAAGCCTCCAAGCCAGTGATATCAGTCTTATCAGGTACAGAACCTGAAGTGTTGACGATTTCTTTGATCTCCGACAAGTGTGCGGTGATGGGCGACAAGTCAACCGGCTCCGCAGCAGGAGTAGGTGTGGCGACCTTCTCTTTGATTTCGCTCAGATGTTCACCATGTAATCCAATGGTGGCTGTCAGACCAGCAAGGGATGCTTCCAAGCCAGAAAGATCAGTCTTCTCGGCCACTGGAGCAGGTTGGGCAACGATATCCTTGATGGCATTCAGATGTTCCGAGTGCGTTGCAAGTGTAGAGACGATCGGAGAGAAATCGACGGGCTCGGCCGCTGGGGTGGGAGTAGCCAGGGTAGCCTTGATGTCTGCGAAATGGCCACTGTGAGCCTCAAGAGCAGAAGTAATAGGACTGAAATCAACTGGCTCTAGGACTGCTGGTGGAGCGGAAACAATGTCTTGAATCGTTGTCAAGTGTGCGGTGATGGGAGATAAGTCTACTGTTTCAGCAACAGGTGGAGGAACTGCAAGAGTGCCTTTAATGTCGGTCAGATGAGCACCATGAGCCTCAAGGGTTGCTGCAAGAGGAGATAGATCGACTGGCTCAGGAGGCGAGGGTTGGGACGCAAGTGTGTCCTTGATTGCTGTGAGGTGAGCCGTGTGAGCATCCAGAGTAGATACCAATGGGGTCAGATCAACCGGTTCCGATACAGGAGGTGGAGCAGAGACGATGTCTTTGAGCTCTGTAAGGTGCGCAGTGTGGGAGTCCAAGGTTGAGAGCAGTGGTGCAAGATCCACAGATTGAGAAGGTGGTTGGGTAGCCAAGGTCTCTTTAATGTCTGTCAAATGGGCTGTATGAGCTTCCAATGTTGACACAAACGGTGTCAAATCAACTGGCTCTGTGGCGGATGCTGGAGCGGAGACCGTATCTTTGATAGCTGCGAGTTGTTCGCCATGAGCCTCGAGGTGTGAAACAATTGGCGCGAAATCGACAGGGTCAGCAGTAGGAGCGGGCTTGGAGACAATTTCTTTGAGCTCAGTAAGATGCTGAGTGTGAGTCTCCAGCGTTGAAACTAGAGGAGCCAAGTCAACAGCTTCTGGTACAGTGGCCAGCGCAGAGACGATGTCTTTGATTTCTTGGAGATGTGAGACAATTGGAGCCAAATCTGTGGATTCTACTGCAGCGGGAGGAGCCGAGACGAAAGCCTTGATTGCCTCAAGATGTGTAGAATGCTCTTGGAGAGTGGTATTGATGGGGTCGAGGTCGGCAGTGGGAGCAGGTGCATTCTTGATGGCAGACAGGGTATCTGTGTGCTCTCCCAATGTCTCCATGACTTTCTCAAACGATGACTCGAGGGACGAGAATACCGACGTATCTTGAGCGGGAGCCGAGCTGGCGATGGCAGACTTGATATTCTCTAAATGAGTTGTGTGGCTCTCCAAGTGTGAAACAATGGGAGCGAAGTCGATAGGAGCAGCGACAGCTGGAGCTGGCAATCCGCTAATGAGTCCCTTAAGCTCGGACAAATGAGTAGTGTGGGAGTCGAGCGTGGATACTAGTGGGGATAAATCGATCTCCTTAGGAGCAGGAGTCTCCTTGTCAACTGATGCCTTTACTTCAGCGAGAGATGCCGCAAGAAGACCGATAGAAGCTTCGATGCCTGTGAGGTCTGTCTTCTCTGGGGGAGGTAGAGAGACTGCGGATTTGATATGTTCAAGATGGGTCGTATGAGCATCCAAAATGGACACTAGGGGTGACAAGTCAACTTCCTTGGCCTCAGGGATTGGTGCAGAGACTGCTGATTTAATTGCTTCCAGATGAGCAGAGTGGGCATCAAGAGTGGAAACCAATGGCGATAGGTCCATTTCCTTTGCCTCAGGAACTGGTGCTGATACCGCCGATTTAATTGCTTCTAAGTGAGCAGAATGGGCATCGAGGGTAGAGACAAGAGGTGAGAGATCAACTTCTTTTTGCTCGACCGTAGGTAGTGGAGTATCGATAGTGGCTTTGATTTCAGCAAGAGCAGCTGACAACTTCTCAACAAAAGCCTCCAAAGACGAGAGGTCCACCTTCTCGCTTACTGGGTAAGGAAGAGCAGCAAGAGTTTTGATTTCATCGAGAGTGCCGGTATGAGCGTTTAAGGTTGAGGCGACATTCTCGATGGAGCTCTCCAGACTTGTCAAATCAATCTTCTCCGCCACTGGTGCTGGTGCGGAGACAACTTCTTTCAGGGCATTTAGTGATGCCGTGTGTGTTGCCAATGTCTCGTGTGATGCCTGAACAGCACCCAGAATTTCTGAGGTAGTATCCTTGCTCCTGATCTCGTCCAGAGCAGCAGCATGGGCAGCATGAGACTGGTTTGATGTCTTGAGTTGGTCAAGGATCTCAGGTGTAGCATCTGAAGCCTTCAGCTCCGAGAGCGTAGCTTGGTGAACCTCAATAGCTGAAAGCACTGCTCCAACCTGAGCACTAAGACCAGCAATACCAGCACTTGTGCCGGCTTCAATGTCGAGCTTCAAAGATCCAAGTTCTGCAGACAAGGCCGCAAGCTTGGCATCTTGACTAGTAAAGTCGACCGGAGCTTGCACTTCCCGTGCGTGTAATGTTTGCAGGCCAGATGATATTGTGTCCAGCTTCTCTCCGTGCGAGGTTAGCAAGCTCGTATCTGGGGATCCAATCTGCTGTTGCACAGCCTCGATATTATTCCCAAGCTCCACCAACGAGTCAGTAATCTTGGAGACGGCATCTTCGATGGAACTGATCTTGCCAGTGGTTTGCGTATTGTTGGTGTCAACGAGATATGATAGATCGGACAGCTTCGAAGATGTTTGGGTATTGCTTTGGTTGATTCGTTGCGTGAGTTGTTCGTTCGATGCTTGGATCTTTGATTCGATAGTGGATATGTCAAACGCCGCGGCGAGTGTGGGTTGTAACTGCGTAGCCAGATGTCCAGCAACTGCTTTGGTAAAGTCGTCGGTATTGAGAGCCGCTGATATAGCATCTGCTATTGACTTCTGGAGCTCATCCCGGTCCTGTGCATGGTCTGGCTCGTCATCCGAGGGAAAACTTCCCGGCGGCTCTGCACCTTTGGCATGCTTATCGTGGTTTCGGCCTGAGAGGACGTCTCTGAGACGGTGAATGATCTTGGGTGTAGACATCACAGTGATGCCGGTGAGAGATGATACAACGAAGAGGTACAATAATGTAACAAGAGACGACATCCGCCCGGGACTGTTGAAGAAGAAGAGGGAAAAGTCGGGAAATTCTTACATTACATACTAACCCACCTTTAGCTTACTGCACACAGTTTTTTTGTACGTTGTGAATAATGTGCAAATGTCTAATTGTCAGTCTCAGATTTGGAGTCACCTCATTTCAGGGAGGAAGTCGGTGAGAAGGCGTTTGGGCCAGCTTTGTGGGGGTTTGCGAGGTTGTTTGCTCGGCCCGGGAGTTTGTCCGCTGCCTCTGGCCGACGTCTCCTGCAACAGATGCACAGGAGGGCGTCAAAATCGACCCAGTTAGGGATTTTATACATCCCCAGTGGTTCATGCCGTGAACTCCCCCACCGCTGGCAAGTCCCTGGTCGACCGACTGTGAGCACGTAGTCGTGAATGGGGTTTGGTCCGGATGGCTATCTGAGTCTGTGAACCAGTGACGAGAGATTTTGTCGCCGCGGACCCGCGAAAGGTGGTATCGGGCAGCGGTCATGTGCAGCAACAACGCATATTGAGGTGCTTCAGGCTGGAGAAGTGTATTCCAATTCATTGATGTTGGGAGCCATTATCCTATCAGTGGAGAACAGTTGTCGAGACAGCGCACCGTGGGAGGGTCCGAGACATAACGGCTGCATGTTGGAGAACCAAATCTGCAGACGTAAAAACTCATTCAGGGGGCTGCACGGTTGACTTTCCGAGGCTCGCCCAGATTTATAGATGGCAAAGATTTTCACATCTTTGCGGAAAGGAGGGTGAAGCTTGAAGGTGGAAGTCGGAGTTGCTTCCAGACATCCAGAGTGATGGACGTCGAAGAGAAGAGAAGACGGACATTGAAATCCGGTGGCTGAGAAGTGGCTGTGGAGAAAGGCTAGCAACCTTGGAAGCGGCTGTGGCGTGGAAGCACGTGATGTATTATTATGTGGCGCTTGCTGTGCTGCTGTGCAACCAACAGGTGGAAGCTTCCCAGGTTGTGCTGTGCTGCCTATCCACGAGATTTTGTGCAGAATCTTCCAGGAATTGCTGCTGCTCAAGCTTCATCTTGAATGATTTTCATCAATCAATCATGTGTTGAGCGGTTCTGATTGACAATCTCCACAGGCCCGACTTTCATCCTTCTAGAACTCTTGGTTGAACACTACTGCTGCTGGGTAAATCTCCTCAATGCGTGAGGATAATGGAATCTCTACCTGGTGAACTCCTCTCGACCATCTTCAAATGTTGTGAGATTCCAGAACTCCTGAACCTTCGCCAATCATGTAAAGCGTTCCATGGTCCAGCCACTCGCGAGCTCTTCTCCAGTCTCCACGTGATACGACAATCCGACATCGAGACTTACGACGACTTGTATTCCATCTTATCATCATCACACATCTCACCGGAGGTTACATATATCAAGATCACGACCTCTCCTGATCCCTACAAGGAAAAAGACGACTACGACAACAGTGAAGAAGAATCTGAGTTCACAGAAAACTTTGAAGCAGTTATTCAGTCCATCAGCAAGTTTCCCAATGTCCAAGATGTGGCTATTGAGTTTGCACAAGTCTGCATGCTGGATGATGACCCGGAAAATGTTTGGAGAATGATGGCTGAAGAATCTGTCGAGTTCAGGGAAGACGTATTACGAACCCTATTCGAAACCTTGGACAAGATCTCCAAACTGCGATCACTGTCCATCAAACATCTCCAGAACTATAACGATGAAAGAATACTCTCGCTACCGGCATTTGCTTCTGTCCTGTCCCGTATTTCAGATCTTAAACTCAAGATCGTCACCGAAAGCGACTTCCCTAGTCCTCAATCTGGCTGGAACATCCGTCAACTCTACTCATTCTTCGAAGAGCTTCCAGACACATGGCTCAAGCACACACAGGACAATTTGTCGAGTCTGACACTGGATGTAGATATTGAATGGGGATACATGCCAGTTTGCAATTTCCGATCATTGTTTTTCCCAAGGTTGAAGAAGCTCAAGCTCGCCAACTATGTTTTCACACATGACTGGCAGCTCGACTGGATCTTATCCCACGAAACACTGGAAGAGCTGGTATTGACCGACTGTGCTATCGTCAATTACATGCACGTCTATGAGCCACTTGATGCAGAAAACTGTCCACTGGAACCAACGAACGATTTTGGAGATGTACGTGGTTGGGAATATCCTCGCCGCTGGTCAGAAATGTTTACGAAAATCGAGGGCATGCCCAATTTAAGGGTATTCAAGTTTGGATCCGGCAATAGAGATGAGGGATGCGACTTTGATACTGGAGAATTGACCGAAACGGGACTTCATTATATGAAATACAAAGGCTTTCATCGTAGATATAGGCCATCGCCTTGGATACCTATCGGGGAGACGACTGACGTTATAGAAAACGGAGACATAGCCGATACAAGATCTGAAGGCGAAAATACGGATCGGATGATCGAATCTTTGGATAAAGACACACTCGCTTATGAGAAGTTGATGAAGACTGTCATGGGTAGAGCTTGAAGCTCAAATCGTCAGACGTCTAGATGCTCAAACGCAAGATGACCAACAATCACAATCGATGGCATTCCTACAAGCTTACGATCTCCTCACCTTGATGGCATGAAGGAGTAAGCTATCGCTCAATGCGGAATATCTCAATTGAACTTGCATGTGGAGTTGTGCGAGCGGAAAAGAAAGTGCGCTTATAAATCAAGGTACAATCTGGGGTTCGGCCATGATTTATCAACTTCCCGAAATTTTTCTCTTTTGAACGTAACTGTTGCCGGATTTTTATCCGTCACAAATTTATGATAGTTGGACCGAATCCGAACTTGTGTCTGATAGGGGTCATTGGTTAGCCAATTGCGATGGAGAGAAGTGATGTTGCGGACATCGTTAACGCCTATTGCCGTTTTGTATCCTCAAGAATTGCGTTACCAAGCTGTCATCTCGATGCATAAACGCCGCTCAGTGAGCAATTTGTTATGTTTGATTTTGCTGTGCTGTCGCCTCTCGAGTGAGACCATCTTGTGGGAATTTGTATATATTGAGGAGCCGCTCCTGCTCTTCATCTACTTTATTCTCAGTCAATCAACTTCACAGTACAATCACAACCAACCCCCAGTGTTATTCCATAGTAATTCCACCTGGACCCTACATTCTTCAAACCAGAACACCTCAAATACAAACAATGGCGCAAACATTCGATCCAAATGCGTTCACCATACCATTCATGGCAACAAAGACTCCACGTCGAGATCCATACGAAGCTATTCTTCCCACAAACCCCGCTAACTCTCAGAAAGGGAAGATCATAGTCATCACTGGAGGGAGCTCTGGCATAGGAGCGGCCGCTGCACGTGTGTGGGCTGAAGCAGGAGCTGAGGGAGTAGTAATCACTGCTCGCGGGGCTCCTGCTTTGGAAAAAGTCGCCAGTGAACTCAAAGCCAAATTCCCCGCCACCAAGGTCCTCGCTGTCAAGGGAGACATTGTTTCCAATGAAGATATCAAGCATCTCTTTTCCGCGGTCCAAGAGACTTTCGGTCGACCAGCAGATGTACTCCTCAACAATGCCGGTTTCCTCGACGATGACAGGCTCATCGGTGAAACTCCCGCTGATGTCTGGTGGAAGAACTTCGAGATCAACATCAAAGGTGCCTACAACGTGATCCATCAATTCATCCAGTCGCAGCCAAACCCCAAAGAGCCAATAGGAACAATCATCACCGTATCTTCTGGACGCGCAGGATTCACCGGTGCTGGTGGATCTTCCTACAACATTGCCAAGCTTGCTGAGCACCGTCTCAGCGAGCATTTACAGCTGGAGAATCCCACTCTTCGGGTCTTCACGAGTATGCCCGGTATTGCTTTGACTGGGATGATGAATAACTTTTGGCGTCCATATGCAAAAGATCATGTCGACCTTACTGGCATGCAAGCGCTATATCTGGCTCAGCCAAGGGCAGACTACTTGAAGGGCAGCATGGTCGGTGTCAACTGGGATGTGAAAGAGTTAGAGGAGCATAAGGAAGAGATTCTCGAGAAGAAGGTGCTGCAAACTTCCTGGATGCCAATCCTGCCATTTGGCGGCGGAAAAGGCCTTGGTAGTAAGGTCTGAAGAGATCAAGATCGGAGCCTACTGTACTGTATTCATCTTGAGAAGAACTTTTGAGTTTTGGTGATTTCATTCCAGTGCTTCACGTGATACCCCTTACATACCTAAGTACAGCATTCCCGTATTTCCTGATACTGTGCGCTTGAGATCCTTTGTTTTGTGTAGTTATGAAACAAGCGCAGGGTAATTCAATCTAAAAAGCTCCACTTTTCACGCTCAAAATTACAAGACTCTATTCAGGAGTGCAGAGGCATTGGAAACAGGAGTGGCAAACGACAGTATTCTCAGCGCAAACCTCACACGTAAAGATTCCAGCCCTGTAACTCACAGTTGACTACTCGGCGCGGCAGCTTGGTGGGTGGAACTCATTGAAAGAGACTTTGTCCCTTTCATCTTCCGAGATTGACCAAATTCCAACGCCACCTTCCTTTATCACCACAATGCATTCAACCATCCTTTGTACCCACTCACAACCCCAAAACCTCGCACCTTTCAATCATTCCCATGATAACAATGCTAACACCACAACCCCCATGTGCAACAAGGTCCCCAAAACTTGGCAAAACTGCCCATGCATCGATCTCCGTTATGTCAGAATCGAACACTGCGATCGAGCTCGGGTAACAAACGAATTGTGTCCTTTCCTCGTCTTGGATATGGTTGGCGATGCACCTGTTCAAGGGATGTGTAGAGGGTGTTTTGTTAGATGGGGCAGGAGATGGATGAAAGACTTGACGATTATGAGGAGATGAATGGTGAGAGGCTCGCTTAGGATAGGGGTCAGGAGTTTCGGAAGGGAATCAAGGAAGATGATGGAGATATAAGACAACGAAGGCTTGACGAGAAACTCCGTTGGAATTCATTGGGGACACAATCACAAGCAGTAGAGCCTGGAAATTTTCGAATTGCGCAATGGCAAAGTAGACAGTCCTGGAAATCTAACGCATGAGAATATCGAACCCGAACATCAGGAAGGACGCCTTCGCAGTACTAGGTTGATCTTAAGGTTGACAGAGAAATAAACACAGCATATGTTTCACAAATATCTCAAGGGCATCCAAAACGTTGCGCATCTGCACTGAAAGCCACACTTCTCAAGCGTTGGGCCGAAATTGCGATTGGCATCCCACCGATTGTCGGTTCCAATAATGTCGAGTACTATACAACAAACAAAGCATCCGAATGAACGCAAACCCTACGCAAAATCATACAGTAGCACCCATTCACTCTCAAGTGATAATAATCGGTGTTCCCGGTATCCCACTCGCCATAAACGGCGTACTAGAATAACACCATATAGTCCCATCCACAACATGCTTATCACTAAACCAAATCCCCGTCTCCCCCGTATCCACAGCACCCGGCGTATGTCCAATCCACGTATTGTACATCGTACACCGACATGCACTCTCGGTCGTCGTTTGCCAGCTGTAGGAATAGCAAGTCGCGGTGCGCTGGCAGAGCATCTGGCAGTCCAGGACGCTGTTCAAGTCGGTTGGCTTGGTGGAGAGAGCGCCAGGCGTCATGGCGGACCCGACAGAGCCTTCGATGTTGCAGTCTGAGGCATTGAATTTGATGTAGATTGTCGGAGTCGAGCTGGCACGTTCTTGTAGAACTAAGCTTGGAGATTGTTCGTCTGTCTTGGTTGCCATTTTCGCAGTCGCTTGCTTGACGTTTTCGTTTGAATTGAAGGCGTTGCTATGATCAGATGATAGAGGTGAAAGAACGACAGAACGGGATTCGGTCTCAAGCTTGACGTAGTTGAGTGGGCTCTGGAAGCTGACAACAGTCAAGACTAGAAACAAGCAAGTTCTCGTCATTACCGCCATTCTGAAGATCTTGAAAGCGACCCATTCTGAACTTGCACAATGTGAGCGCAGCGAAACATAAATAAGAACTTGGAGGAAGACAGAATGTTCGAACTTGAATTGGCTGATGTTCGATGAAAAGGTTTGGTGATGGTGGAAGAATCGCCACCGAGATTTTAATATGGAAGATCTAACAATTTATATACCCGCGTACAGGCTGTTTAACACCAAATCAGATCAGCCATAATTTTGGAATCTCATTTATAGTTACCGAGAACCGAGGACAGGAACTGAATTCGGATAGGTACCTTGACCCAAGTAGAGGTGTAGGAACGGAACGCTCCAGTACCTGCTTGACGGAAGGCAGCAAGATTATTCACAGTATCAATTACCACCTCAATCACAGCGGACATCAAAGAGCAACGCATAGTATTATCTGTACTAGTCTAAAAAAGCATCGTGTGGAAGCAGGGTATTCGCTCATATCATACAAATTCGTACAATCATCCTCCTCGACTCATCATTTGCCATGTCCAAATATGGCTAGGCCAACAATCGCCAGTCCGAACAATTGTCAGGCTTATCAATTGCTGCCGCCCTGGTTGGCTGCCGCAGCAGCAGTTGCAATCTCAGCCAGCTTCGAGTGTTCCTCTGAAGTCCCAGAAGCATCCTCCATCTTCGCTTCGCGCGTGACTGACAACATTTGGTGGTTTCGTTGTTCTGCCGGAGATACAAACATTGAGGACTCCTCTGGGCTTTGGTCGTTGGCTGCATAGGTTCCTGTAGTTTGGGGGCGAGGAGTGGTGATTGAAGTCGAAGGAGCATAATCGATTTCGCTTTCTTGGACGTCCTTCCAAGAGCATTTGGCGTGCTTCTTTGTACAGGCTTGACAAGCGGTGAGATGTTTCGTGCAGTCAAATTTTAGCCGTCTGCATCGGTCACACGGCGGATTGATAGGATCTCCTCTTTCGAGCTTCTCGATCTTGGCAGCCATGATTGCGCGATATCGACCTTCAGTATCATTCTCGGATGACGACGCAGTTGTTGGGTTTGCCATACGACGAGTTTCGGGGTCTTGTCCGTTGTAGGTGTGAAAGCCGTCGGTGGAGGGACGACTTGCCTTTGGACGAGATTGTGGTAAGGAAGTTCGTCGCTCATGCTCAAGGAACTGGTCCATGAGTTGCTTCTGTAGCACCGCGGATTCACTGTTTGGTTGTGGGGTGTTGGTTCTAGGATTGACTGGCGCGAAAGTTTGGGGAAGCTCTGTACTTGCACTAGTCGAGTGCTCAGAGGTTTTGCGTGCCGCAATGGTAGTCTTACGGCCCTTGAGATGATATCTCAATTGCCTAGCTTTGCTAGCGACGGCGTCTGCTTTCTTAATCAACATACCCAGGCGGTCTTCCAAGATGCTCAGTGTTCCCAGTTCGGAAGATTCATCGTTGGGGTGGGGGTCGGAGGGAGTGATGATTCTTTGTGGAACTCCAGATACCAGTAAATCGTGGTCATAATCAGAGATTTCAACTTGTCCACCCTTGATCCAGAAGCGCCATCGGGTAACAGAATTTTCCTTTGACACCACGAAATCGGCGAGATTGGTCACTGAGAAAGTTGTAATGTCGAACCAGGTGACAGGCGTTTGCTCTATGGCGAAAGAAGATTGGATGACCTTGATGGGACTCTCAAACATCTTCTCGAGGGACTTCAAGACACGTGGACCTATGAGTCTTGCGCCAAGATTGCCTGCAAAACTCTCGTGACGGTTGAGGACACCTGTGCATCATGTATGTTAGCAATGAAATGCAGACTTCATGTATGAAAGCCAAATAAGTGGAACAAGAGAATGAAACAGAGGAGACATGTGAGAGTATTTATTATCTGACAACATTTCTCGACAATCCTGAGGCGACTGGGCTACAGTGCTGCTTTGCGACTTTAGAAATTGATAATGCCTAAGCTGAGCACAGCGTCTCAACTAAGCACAGCGACTCGGCTAAGGAGAGCTACTCAGCAAAGCATAGCGATTAAGCTAAGGACAATGACTCTCCTAAGAATAACGACTCTTTTGACGATAGCAACTAAGTTAAGGACAGTGACTCTCCTAGCAATAGCGACTCTCCTAACGATAGCGACTCTCTTGAGGAGAGACATTGTGGGTACGACAGCGACTGCGCCAAGGACTGCGACATTCCTGACGATGGCAACTCTCCCGAGGACAGATGTTGTGGACACGACAGCCACTAAGCCGACCGTGACGGCTGAGACATTACCAATGTTGTGCAAAAGACTTGGACTGACATCTCTCGAAGCCACGTGACGCTACGGATGAAAAGTGAACACACCTTCATAGTCATCAATCATTGAGAGGACTTCGGAGAATGTCTCGCTATCTCCCTCGATGAGTCGAAGTCTCTCAGATTTCGCCTTCACCAGATAGTTGATCGGAGTGGGAGCGGGAGCAGCGGGGGCGACTCCGTGGCTGGCTGGTGGAGGGGGCGCGGATTGTCGACCTTCTTCTACACCAGGGCTGCGCTTTCTCTTCGTACCGGCAGCGGATTCGGACCATTCGGATGAGTCCATCTTGCAATCAAGACTGGATTGCGGGAGTGTAATATGTTGTTGTTGAGGTGAGCTGGGTACGGATTAGAGGATATAGAACGGAGCGGGGAACGGGGCGGAGTTGAACCTCTCTTTCCCTGCTCAGTGATAGTGGGGACCCTTGATCCGCGGGATAAACCAGCGAAGATGTCCTGTAGGATCGGTATCGATAGGGAGCTGAATAATGGTTGCGATACGAAAAAGAATTTGCTCCGTTGGGAGGATGTTTTGGGGAAGTTGTGGGAGAGGAGTTTGGCGGGCAATTATTTCCGCCCGTTCCCTCGGTAGAATTCACCAACACGTGAATCGAATTCTTCCGCCGCGCGCTTGCCACTTTTGGTGCTAGCGTCGTGGGGTACGAGTGGAAATTGGACCTTCAGCCTTAGCGACCCCCTCCACACGGCGGGACAGGAAGCAAAAAGCCAAAATCAATGCTGAGCAATGTCAGAACGAGGCCATCAACGCGGAGGCCGTGGAGGCGGTAGAGGTATGTTTTATTTAGGTTTCTTTCGGAGGGAGATGGTCTTTTTATAGCTCTTCTTCCATCTTCCCAGCCTCAGGCTTGTTTGGGCCGCTATCAGTGAATACTAAGAGTCAATACTGACAGAGACCAAGGTGATCACCGAGGCGGACGTGGCGGCGGACGAGGAGGTCATGGATCGGGACCCGGAGGAGAGCGCGAGAAACCAAAGAAGGAAAATATCCTGGACTTGGGCAAATATATGGATAAGAAGATCACCGTGAAATTTACTGGCGGACGAGAAGGTAAGCTATTGCCGTGCTCTACTCCTGCCCATCCTCAAAGACTTTGGATCTCGAGATACACGGCTGACTTATGGTATTGGGCAGTTACGGGAACTCTCAAAGGCTACGATGCGTTGATGAACTTGGTGCTGGACGATGTGGAAGAGGTTATGCGAGGTACATTTTCTTCTTCTGGCATATTTGGCTCTGTAGAACTGACTCAATCCTGCAGACGATGAAGGAAACACCACAACTCGAACTCTAGGTCTTACAGTCGCCAGAGGTACATTACTCGTCCTGGTTAGTCCCGTTGATGGCAGCGAAGAGATCGCAAATCCGTTCGTACAAGCAGAAGAATGAAGAATCTTGGGAAGGGAATCGAGGAGATAAAGCAATACAAGTCACGGAGGACAAAAGCTCTATTGGAGTGCGAAGCCCAGAAAGCGCTCGTCTGATGGCACCATTGTCACGGACCCAATTCAATAATGCATTAAGCAGCCAGACGAAATCTGCTGTCTGTGTTGGCAGCAGCTAGGAAATGACACATCCATGATACCTGGAATGAGAATTGGCTTTGGACCTGGACTTTACTACGTCCCGAAAAGTTTGATAGCTGATAGCATTGTTTTGCTCATCTGTGACACAAATGCCAAAACCCCACCATTTCTCTGTTTTGTTGCGATAAAGCAGGGAACATTACGAAACAAGAGAACTCGACCAAGTTAGGTTTGATACGTCAGCCGATGAAAACCCCGAATCTGAGTATTTTTGATTCTTTTTATTGCGTTTTGCTATCAAGTATTCACTCATGGCCATCGATCTCCACCTCCACTTGCGCAAGTGATAATCTGCCCCTTAAGCCGTCTATTATAGACGGAACCTCCGTATCACCATCTAACTGCTCAACCCAAAGCAATGCAGTATACCCTCGCACATACTCCTTATCTCTAATATCTCTTCGTAGATTCTGGTTTGATCAACTCTTGGAAAGCCGCCTCAACTTGCTTCTTCAACTCCTTATACGAGACGATAAAGCAATCTTGCTCGTCTCTGCTAACTAGCTTGATTTGCTGAGTACTTCCAGCATCAAGCTTATTCATACACTCGAGGATGTGTCCCATATTAACAACTGGTCTGCCCTCTGCGTTCACTTGATGGAAGACATAATCTCGGAATAACTTCAAGATGTAACGGTCGCCAACATCGCTCCACTTTGGATTTCCTTCGTACTCGGGGCGCTCGTTGATCGTACCAAGCTTGGCAATCAAACGGAAGAGTCTACCGTTCTCTAGCTCTCTGGACAAATGTGAGGTCAATGTGTCGTTCGCGTGCAAAGAATTGCTGAAAGACGACATAACATGGCCGGAGATCCCACGAAGGAAGTCGTTGAAGTCCTTTGTGGCAGGTGGTTGTGCTGGAGTCAGCAGCCAAGTGATGGTATCCTTGAACTCAGAGCTGTATGTTCGATTAAGGAGATCAACTGCACCCTTCAGTGGTACGTTGACAGAAGCCAGACTCATGTTGTTGGAAGCAACTGCCAAGATCAGTCTTCCAAAAAGGATAAAGTCATCTTGCTGGTGTTCTGCCATTGTTCTATTGTCCAATTCGAATCGTGTAACATCAAGGATGCCACAAGCACCAAGCCGAACACGATTGGTCTCAGTGACGAGGACTTTGCTAGGATCCATACACCGAACAGCGAGTTGACCTTCATGGACGGCTTTGATAGCAGAGGCAATCTGAACAATGTATCCCCAAAGTACATGTTCTTTGGGGTGCGTACTCGCAGCACGATTGCCGTATCTGGTGGTCGCTGGCGCATGTTGTTCGACCAAGGTCTTTGACATTGGATGGTAATCGTAGACGAATATGAGAGAGCTATCACCAAACGCTCTTGTGGTAAATGCATCGATAACCGACACAACGCCACCATTATCGATTGCCCGCTTCCAGAGTCGGACTTGTTGAATAGCTCGCTCGTTGCTCAAGCGGAACCCTATCGCGTGTCAGGCAAGCTTCTGTGTTGATCTTCGAATTCCTCACCTTCGATTCTCCTCAACACACAGGTGTAGCCATTCTTGCTAGAAACAGCCTTGTAGACCCAGCTGGGATACCCAAAAACGGTGGCATTCTTGTGATGATTCGTATCTAAAGGTACCAAAGTGTGATAATGGTCAACAACGGGTAGTTGGGAGTCTGATAATGTCAGCAGGGACAAACAAAGTCATCAGCAGGACCTACTTGGCATGACCTGACGAGTGGCCTCGGACTTCTTCTGAAGTTCTTCGCGAAGATCATTGGGAATGAAGAAATCGTGAGCAAGTCTTTGGTATGCGAGAAGATCCTCTTTGTGTGGACCAATAGGTGCGTAGTGGTGATATTGGAGCTGAAAGGTCAGGAAGGGAGACTGTGAAGGGTGGCAAGACCAAGACCTACAGGTTGAGCAGGAGCCGCGAAAGCGGTCTGAGCTTGAAAGTAATTTGCAGCATTGGTTGGGATATTGCTGTCTTCTAGATATGGATTATAGGCGCCAGCAGGCATGGTTTGATTCAAGTTCTGCATGGAGAATGGGTCATAGGAAACCTGGTCAGCAGTGTTGCCGTTGGATCCTAGCTGTAGCGTGGTCAGATTGAAGTTAAGATGGTGAAGGCGAAAGCCAACTTACAGCCTGTGAAGCATCGAAGGTCCTTGGAGTGAATTCTTTGATCTCTGCAATGTTGAAAGTATTTGTTTCAGGTTCAGCCTGGGAATTGGGAGTGGCAGTACCTTCGTGGATTAGTATGTAGCAGTTTGGAGGTCGAGGAAGTGCTTACCACTGACGAGTCCACGTGGTGTAAATGGTGCAGCATTAGCTGCGTGTGAAGAGATTTTCCCTGGAACTGACAAAGTTCCTGGTGTAAAGGAAGGGGAATCGACGTTCAACGCTTTTTTTCTGTGGCAAAAGATGGTTAGCTGATGTTTGATGTTGACACATAACGTAAAAGGAGTGAGTAGATATCTCGGGCGTTGCGATGACTTGCTTAGACTCCTCGACTGCTGTTTGAAAAGCTTTCCGACGAGTGATAATCTCGAGCGCTGTGGTAATTTGCTTAGATTCCTTGAGGACTGCTGTTTGAAAAGCTTCCCGACGAGTGATAATCTTGATATTTTCTGCGTCGGATTTTGTAGGGTCCCAGATCCTGGACCGGTTGACGAAAGACATTTCAGATGGATCATTGACGCCAAATAGCGGATCGCGGCCGAGCTCCATCTTATATGGAGCTGCAAGTCAAGAACAAAGCCAAGGTAAGGCAAGGAGGTACGAACTGCTGGTTATGCCCAGTGAATGATTGAAAATATGATCTATTCTCGAGCAAGAAGAAGTGTCTGGCTGCCCCTGGAAAATATTCACACCAAAAACATCGCTAACACAAATTTGGATGAAAAGGAAGAAAAGTGACCTACGCATCTATCTGAGAAGTCGATGTCTTGTTCATATCATGATTGAATATGCAACCTTGGTCTTCATAGCGGCAATGTCCATAAATCACAACATTGCGACACATAGTATCCTTCGCGTTCTCTAAGCAACAACCCGTCAGCAATTGGTCTTCTCACTCGAAATACGTAACAACACACCTCGTCCTTTTGGTTTCGGGGAGCCCGCCGGCTTCCGCAACTCTGGAGCACCAAACCTTGCAGACGCCATCTTGTTGTATATGTCTTCTGATCGTTCTTTGCACCTTATCTACCGCACCCCGAAGAAACGCTACGGAGTCTGCGTAACCAGTCAGCGCGTTCGTCATTGCATTGAACGATCGCAAGAAGAAAATTCCAGCTATTGTAGACGTGGCACTGAAGCTACTACAGAGTAATTGCAGAGACAACCACCGAATCGCGTCCAAGGCTAGGGAAGAGCTTACTCTGATTTGGCGAACATTGCCTACGGATCACTTCTGGCAGAAAGAAGAATTCCCCATCGAGGGACGAAACAAGACTCCCCAACAGATTGTGAAAAGAAAGAGATAAATCACCAGGCCATTGCGCGTGAGTGAAGACGTACCGGCGCAGGGTCTTGATGGAAGTGAAGTCTGAATACGCGGGGCCGTCAGCCTCAAAAGGCTGAACACAGTTTCATCGGGTTAGCACCGGAGCTTGAGGGACAGAATCACCGATAGTGGCTTAAATGCTAGCCTAGCTAAGGACAATCTGTCGATGATGGTCTTGTGCCTTCGAGGCTGGACTATCTTTCGTCCACGAACTCTCGCGCTTTCTTCGCACAATCCCGTCGCAGTCTGTCACTCGTTCCATACGCCCATGGATAGATTCATCATAATTATTGGCGCATAATGGCAACTCCAGAGATAGACATCAGCGAACTCTCCGAATCGGAACAGCTAGCCTTGCAACAATATACTGCGGTGACAGATCAAAACCTCCAAGAAGCCATACCACTCCTTGTGCGATCGCAATGGAATGTGCAGGTACGGGCCAGAATTTAGAATCATGCATTGTTATTACTTGCTAACGTATAACAGATTGCAATTGCTAAATTCTTTGATGGAGAAGGGCCCGATCCAGTGGCAGAAGCACTGGCAGCACAGAATGCCCCTCCGCCGAGAACCAGCATACAAGAGAATCTGCAGCAAAGTCTCCTAAATGGTGCTGCGCGACCCTCGAGACACGAAAGACAACCCGACGCAGCCCCTCGAATTGTCCCCCAGCCTGATCAGGACATTGTACGAAGACCTCCGCTTCTCCTAGCCATCCTCTTCACACCATTCAACCTTCTGTACCGACTCTTGTCATCATCATTGGGTCTATTTTCCTTCCTCTTTCCCTTCTTACCGAGGGCCTTACGTCCAGGTGCACCAAACGGCACTGTATTAAGAGCGAATACTGGTGGGAGGCGACCGTTGAAACCCACCGACTCAGCCGTGAGGCTGAAGAGGGAACTTGAGGAGGAATATGGAAACAACAGTCTGCCATTCTATGAAGGGGGATATGCTCAAGCTTTGGATTTGGCAAAAAGAGACCTGAAATTCCTCCTGATCCTACTCCTATCCCCTGAACACGACGATACCTCCTCCTTCATCCGCGAGACGCTTCTAGCCCCTGAAGTCCAAACCTTTGTTAACGACCCCGCAAAGAATATCATATTGTGGACAGGCGACATCCGAGATTCCGAGGCATATCAGGTCTCTTCTGCTTTGGTATGTAGTAAGTTCCCATTCACGGCAGTCATTGCACACACACCAAGTCAAGGTAGTACTGCTATGTCTGTGATTGCTCGAATTACCGGTCCGATGGATGCATCCACCTATCTAGCGAAGGTTCGAACTGCTATATCAAGCCACGAGGATACCCTAGCTACGGCTCGTGCTGCTCGGTCAGCCCAGAACTTTGAGAGAAATTTGAGACAAGAGCAGGATTCTGCATATGAGAAGTCTCTACAAGCAGATCGAGAACGTGCAAGATTGAAGCGAGAAGCCGAGGCAGCTGCGGTAGAAGAGGAGCGAAGGAAGAAGGAAGAAGCGGAAGCTGCAGCGACACTGGCTGAGAAGAAACTTCAATGGCGAAGATGGCGAGCATCACATATTGAACCGGAGCCAGTATCGGAAACCAAAGACGTTGTTCGAATAGCTCTCAAGATGCCATATGCCGCAAGAATCACACGAACGTTCAAGGCCAGTGATAACATGGAGGAGTTGTATGCTTTTGTCGATTGCTATGATCTCCTAGCAGATGCTTCAAATGCGGCGGATGTTGAAGAACCAACGAATTACAAGCACGAGTTTGATTTTAGACTTGTACAGACTCTACCTAGGGTTGTCTACGAGATTGGCGAAGGCGGTACAATTGGCGAGCGGGTAGGCAGAAGTGGAAACCTCATTGTCGAACCTATAAAGATCGAAGATGAGGAAGATGAGGAATGATGCCCTGGCTCTAGGATGTAATGCACTTTAGATTTTGTTGCCAATCTTGGTCCATCGATTTCTCTGCCTTCGATTGGTGCTTGTGGTGGGTTTCAGGTTTCAATTACTGATTGAGTCAAGTGACCAGCGCGCCTGAGTTATTTTCATGTCAAGAATGAAATTGGTACGGAGAGCATGTCTCAATTGATTGCGAGTGCCCGGATACCCGAAGGTTTTCTGGTCATTTGACATAAGTTACGTCGATTTCCCTATCGAAGAAAAGTTTCGAGGCACCACCTCAGACTTCGAATGTCCCCATTCTGGGACATCAAATTTGTCATCCCAAAGCCCATCTCGGTCGTATTCATTATTACTCAAAGATTAGGGAAAGACTTGTTGTTTCAAGTTCACGTCTCATTTCGGAAAATGTGCATATTTCTCAAGCATTCTTTAATATCGTGAGCCTTCCCAACGCCTCTAAGATGCAATCAAATATCTACCTGCCATAGTCTCAACCACGGCCTCGAATCCCACACCGGAGCTTACGCAAGTACTCCAATGGCGAAGCTGGGCAACATTTCCTCTTCCTGCTCTTCCTACTTGGCTCACATGGTATCTCAATTTGTTCGATGCTCTGTTTCAACCGATCCGACTCGATGTCTATTTCCGTCACACTTTCGTCTTGCGTCTTCATGTCGGACCTTTCTAGATCCAACGACATCGAAGTCCTCGATCTATTGTACGCCTCCAATTTTTTCAGCTCAGTAGCATACTTCTGTGCAGCAAGCATGTCCTTCGTCACCACATCAGGGATTCTGGTATCACGAAGAATGCGTCTGAGGATCTTTCCAGTGGGGTTTCTCGGGATGGTATCAACGAACTCCACTTTCTCGACGTTCTTATACCTCGCTAGTCGCACGGCCAAGAAAGTCCTCACGTCTTTCAATTCGAGCTCACTGTTTTCTTTCTTCTTGATGAAAGCAGCAGGAGATTGGCCGCAGCCATCTGCGGCTGGAACTCCAATCACGCCTGCATCAACGATGTCGGGGTGTTCTAGCAATGCGGCTTCTATCTCGGCTGGTGAGACTTGCCAGCCTCGGACTTTGATGAGGTCTTTTGTTCGGTCGATGATGTACCAGTTGCCGTCCTTCACGTACCCAATGTCGCCAGTGCGGACCCAACCATCCGACGTAAAAGCTTCAGTGGTGGCTGCAGCGTTGTTCAGATATCCTTTCATGGAAGTCGGCGTGTGTATCTGAACTTCGCCAGTGGTGGAATCTTTTTCAATAGCACGTCCATCGGTTGCCATGAGCCTAATTGACAATTAGAACACTCTAGCCACTAAAATGTCTGGTAATACATACCTAATCCGTGCCCCAGGAAGTGCTTGGCCAACACTTCCGGTCTCATCCTTTGCCCCTTTCGTCCAAGCTGTGGCCCATCCAACTTCAGTCATACCATACACCTGCACGATCTTAGCTTCCGGACTCAGCTTTGAGTAAAGCTGTTGTTGCATGCCATATGTGGCGACCGAACCACCGACGAAGATCTTTCGCAGTGAGACAAGCTCTGAAGAGGAACGTTTCGTCAGCGCCATTAAGATTGGAGGAACGACAATTGTCTGTGTGACATTGAATTCTCCGAGTGCACGGACGAATGCGCCTTCGTCGAAGCGCGGCATGATGTATGCAGGAGAGCCTGTGCGGAGAGGCAGTGCATGTTGTACAGGCATGGTGAAAACGTGGAATGGCGGCACGGCTATCAGTGATGAGATCTGTAACTCTTGTGAGTTCAACTTCACTTCAGTCGGTCTGGGAAATGCTTGTCTTACTTTCTCGTCCTTGCGGATCATGGTTTCTTGGAAATTCCCCTGAGAGATGAGATAAGAGTGTGGGAGTATTGCTGCTTTGGGAAGTCCAGAAGTACCACTTGTACTGACGAACGCAGCAGGCGTGCTTGGGTCTTCGATCTTTGCCCAGTCATTCTCGCCATGACTGAGAAGGGAGTTCCATGATTGATGGGGACTTGGCACTGCTTCGTCTTGATAATTTAAGACGAAGACATTCGAATGAGAGATCCCACATTCCTCTGCAGCTTCGAGAGCAACAGGAAGGGTTTTCAGCTCAGTGAGCAAGATCTTAGATCCTGTAATCTTGACATGATGAGCAAGCTCTCGTCCCGTGTAGCCTGGATTTGCTCCTGTAAAGCAAGCTCCAGAGCCAATGATTCCAAGATAGAGAGACGTGTAATGGATCTGTCGTGATTGTTAGCATTGTTTAGAGTCTGAAAGTAGATGGCTTGCATCGTTAAAACTTATTACGCAGATACAGTCTCCTTTCTTGACACCATGATTATGAAAGCCGCTCACAAGCTGTCGAACGAGTGTTCGAACTTGTCTGGTTGATATGCTGCGAGTGGAATCGTTGACGTCTATGTATATCTGCCTTTGTTGGTTGTGTGACTTTTGGTAGGGATTTTGCACTTACTGGGGCTTCTGAGTCAAGCTCTTCATGTTCGAAGGTCCAAGAGACAATGTCCATGGTTACACAACAAGCTTTGATTGGGATTATAAGATGCTTCATCCGAGCAAATGCCGTATGCAATGCTTCTCGAATAGAGGTTGACTAGCTTTGTGCTCTGTTATCTTCTGGATTAAAGAACGCAGAACGATCTGGGAGAAGACTGGTTTGGGCTGACCTTCATACTTTTACGAGCAGGCAAGCGGTGCAATCATGATCTTCTCTCCAACAGTTTCAGGACCATGGAAAGATAGGTATCTGGTCTCCATATTGCCCAGGCTTGGTACTGGGTGCCCAGATGACCTCTGAATCAATCGCTCCCTTTTACGAGCTCCCCATCGAAACCTCGTTCCGGCGCAGACCTGCATCGGTGTAGCCCACCAAATTCATCCTCATGCATGAGTACTCGAAGCTTCTGAAAATACTTGCGTCTTTAGAGATGCTCTACTGCACTTGCCATTAGATAATGCTCACCGCATCTTCATGGGTTCTGAGTTCGAAATAGCGTCCCGACGGCTCAAAATACTACAGATTTAGCTGCATCCTTGGCCCACTTTCAAGTTTTCCGGGAAATCCAGCTCTTTCACTCGAGAGCGAGAGGATGATCTGAGATGAATGAATTGAGACACGACTGTGAAGACTGGAGAAGATGCCCAGCGTCATTTGAGACAACCAATGGTATGACGGCAGTATTTGGAATTAGTATGAAGATGGGAAGCCATAAGGGTCTCACTTGAAAGCCACTTCAACCCCAATATCCAAGACCTGGACTGATAGCAATGTGGAACATCGCACCAAACGGAGACAACCCAGACTGCCGAGATGTGGAATCAGCACTGACAGGACATGTTGGTAGGGAATCAACCAATTCGCACAGATGGTGGCGTAGTGAGTATTCGGGACGGGACGCCCGCCGCCTTTGTGCTGAAGAATATGGCGATTGGCGCCTTCACCAGAACAGCGACTGGTAACCGTCGAGAGAGCTGGAGGTGTCGAAATGACCACACAAGACCTATACAAGGTCCCCAAACAATGCGCGTATGCGGCGTGTCTTCGCAGTCTGCGCCAGTAATTCTGACTACACCCGTTGAAGCCGGGCATCTTTCATCTCTCTCTGGTCAAACGCTTCCAACAACGACAACTACCAAATTCATCGCAAAATTGTGTCATTTGATCGAGGATTACGCAGCCTTTCTCGTTTCAGTGAGCAAATCGCAACTTTGGCCGCTCTCGTTCTCCGTCTGGCAACCAACATGTCTCTCCTCTCCTCCACCTCACCGATCACCACCGCAATGAAGATCACGACAACGTGGGTGCGGGCGAACTGCGGCAAAAGCAATTATTTCTCTCGGTGTGATTGCCCGCATGTTGCAGATGCCGCTATCAGAGAGTTCAGCTCCCGACAATTGTCCAGTTGTCTGAGACAAGAAACTCGCCTCCTCCGACTAAGGAATTTTTCTTGGTGACTTTCTCCGGCATTGCCTTTTGCAGACCGACTTTGTACCCCGCTTCTAGAGGGGTATTGTCTAAGACATTGATACTCGTACATGCAGTATCGACTATCGATTAGATTTTCTGCGGTGCGTTCTCTAGATCGCCCGCGCTACATTAGTCGATCATGCATGTCAAAGACTAGCTCCCGGGACATCGGGCCATGGGTAGGAATGAAGACATCCTGATGGCGCAACGGGTTGCAGTAAATGTTTCTGACTCGAATATTGCGCAAGACGGCTCGTCAAGATGATGAGCTGTTCTTGTTGAATCGTGCGGTTGAATTTCTGTTGGACTTTTATGTCTTCAAACGGCCGTTGCTGATTCCCCTCGGAGAGTGATCCAATTACATGCTCAAGGGAGCTAATTGTGTGGGAGACAAAGATGGAAGACGGATGTGTTTGTCTTAAAAGGGCGCTATGCAGCTGGATACCAAGCTCGAGTGCCCGACGAATAGCGAGCCGTGGCTTTCAGATCAGCACATTGGCCGTCACCGCACCGTCGTCGACCACACCCGTGGGTGACATGGAGTAAGTCGAAGAAAGTTTAGGAGACTTCCGCGCCTCACATCATACCACGAAGCCGAGGTGAGACGGAACGATTGTAGTGGGGACTGGTCAAGATGCTTCGCACATCATGCCTCGGACGACGGTCTCAGGAACTTGATATCGGCATATGTGTGAACGGCTCGGCGGTTCAGTGGGCAGGTGGGTGCTCCCTACGGTGTCGGACCTTCTTAGTTCTTTGAAGAGGGGCTTGTGTTCATTATGTACCCGAGTCTTGTATCCCCAGTGGTTCTTGCCTCCTTCTTCTGTCAGTCTTTTCGACGAGATCCTACTATTTGCGTTCGGTCGAAGATATGTCTTTCAACGCTGTACGACCGTCGATGTGGCGAGAAGCTTCCCGTAAAGATGGAGTTACTGCCTCGACACTTCCCACTACTTTCGATATCGATGTAGAAAAGGGCGTCAAGCATGCTTCCCATGCTTCCTATTCGAGCTGCGAGACTTTGTTCTTAGAGAAAGACCAACCACTTCCGCAGAAGAAGTACAGCAGATCATTAAGACATGCTCGACACACATTCCTCAACGTCTATCGACGTTTGTTCTCTATCGTTTTCGTTTTGAATCTGATAGGTCTTGGTGTCTTGTATGGAAGATACAGAGAGTCTTCACCTCCGGCCTTCATGGCCGACTTAGCCAATGCTGCCTCAGCGAATATCATGGTCGTCCTCTTAGTTCGGCAAGACTATGTTGTGAATGCTCTGTTCAGGTCAGTATTTTTTCCAGATCAGAAATTCCAGATGCAACCTCACCTGTGCTGGGAATTCTTCTTCAACTGCTGACTTGCATCCCAGACTCACCTGGATTATCCCTCTTACAGCACCACTTCGTCTCAGACGGATACTTACAAAAGTCTATGAATATGGAGGTGTTCATAGCGGGGCAGCGATTAGCTCTGTCACGTGGTTCTCCATCTTCACTGGCTATCTCACCAAAGCCTTCATCGCATCAGGTCCTCTCCGAAGTCCAGCGATTTTGACACTCACATACCTCCTCCTCTTGCTTCTGCTAATACTCTGTATCACGGCATATCCTCGTTTCCGCTTCTCTTCACATAACACTTTCGAGAATCTCCATCGCTGGGGAGGTTGGTTTTCCCTCGCGCTTTTCTGGGCTGAACTATGTCTGTTCGCAAATACCCAAGTTGGTCTAGAATCCTTGGGTACCATTCTCATCAAGCTTCCAGCATTCTGGTTCCTGCTCGTTTCTTCCCTCCACGCCATCTACCCCTGGCTTCGGTTCCACAAACTCCACGTGCGCCCAGAGAAGCTCTCAGACCACGCCATCCGATTGCATTTTGACGAGAAGGTGCCTTTGTTCGTCGGCCTTCGGATCTCGGATGCACCCCTTCGCGAGTGGCACTCATTTGCATGCATACCAGCTCGTGAGGGACAAGGTGGCTCAGTGCTTATCTCCAATGCCGGTGATTGGACCAAGAAAACGATTCAGAACCCAAGACCATATTATTGGGTTAAAGGTGTACCTGTCACCGGCGTCCTCTGTATGGCTCGCATCTTCAAGAGAGTGGTGGTTGTCACGACTGGAAGTGGCATTGGACCCGTCCTTGCTGTTGTGCAGGACGTTCGAGATACGAAATGTCGGGTCATTTGGTCGACGCCCGATCCTTTGAAAACATATGGGGCGAGCATCTGTAATGCTGTGCAAAATGTGGATCCAAATGCCGTTATTATTGATACGAGGAAAGAAAGAAGACCGGATTTGGTCACGAAGGCCTGGGATTTGTATGTGAGGGAAAAGGCAGAGGCTGTTTTTGTGATTAGCAATCCGAAATTGACAAGGAAAGTGGTGTACGGATTGGAGAGTAGAGGCGTACCTTGTTTTGGTCCTATTTGGGACTCTTGATGAGAGAGTGAATGGCATATACCCCCACTTTCTTCATAACCTTGTACGAACCCAGTGATTTCTGGTCCAGTAAGAAGTCCCACAAAGAGGCGTGGCAATGGTAAAACTTAATCGTGTCACCAGAGGCTTCTTCCAATCATGTGAAGTCCAGTCTTATGACAATTGATTAGTATCGTCTCGAAGGTCGAGTATTGTATAGACTCTATACAGGGGAAGATGAGAGAAAGGAGGCACGCTTGCCTATTTAGGCTTCACGGGTGCCAATTATGGGTGATGTGGACATCATACGATGCGAAATGCAACAAAACACAGAAATGGAAGTGATCTACCTATTTGTGTAACCAGTTGGTTGTACAAGTACGACCAGAAGATAACGGCAGAGCAGAGGATGAGTTCGAGACGGCGCGGAAGAAGGACCTCTCGGTGAAATGAATAGCATGAACAGAAAATCAATGAATAAAGTGTGACCTAGCACGTGGATGGTGATAGGCAATCAAAGCAGTGGGTATGAGGAAGATAGATAGATGATACAGCCCAGACGAATTTTCCTGTAACTTTCAGTTATATTCGGTCGTTTTGAACGCCATACATTGTACCCCAATAAGAGCCAAATCTATCCTTTCTGCAAAAATTCATCCTACAAGTGACTCCCTATCATACAGTCAATCCACTCCTACTAAGCTTTCTTTGGCATATCCTTACTCGTGCTTCCATCATAATAGTGTGCCATTTCCAATCCCGCTCTCTTGTATCCACACTTGACATAGAATCCCTCGTTGGCTTCACTGCAGTCCAAGATACATTTGTAGCAGCCGACCTTCTCGGCAATGAAATCGAGAGCTTGAATAAGCTTCAATCCAAGCTTCTTGCCTTGTTGATCTTTTGCGACAGCGATATCTTCGATATGGCCAACGAGCCCGAGGTGATGGATGCTGGGAAAAGTCAGAGGTAGAATCTGTGGTGAATATGAATGATACGTACAACTTCCTCTCCACTAGCAGCGCTCCCGTTGCTACAATTCGTCCTTGGTCCTCCACAACAAGCAGGTAATAACCTCCCTTGCCTTGTGTGGTCATCCAGTCATATCGTCCATTCCATTCCTCTTCAGTAATGTCGCCAACCGTGGTCAGGACTCGCAGGACGTCAAGGAAGCCAATTGAGTAATCGGATTTCCGTAGAGCACGAATCGTGTAGGTGGTTGGCAGAGATGCTGCGATTGTGGGGGAGACGAGCTCAGGGCCGAACATTCCTTCTTCACTTGCAGAAATCTGTTCTACTGCAGGCTCCGATTTTGTCTCTGTTGTGCCATTTGTCGTAGGTGCGGGCTCGCCGTTAACGACGGGTTCTGAGTCTGTGGGCGCAGTCATGGTGATTGAGGGTGTAGTCTTGAGGTCGGTCGAAGTGTGTACAGGGACGGCAGTGCCGTTCGGGGTGTTGGTAACTTCTGCCATTGCGATAGTCCTTCAATGTTTGGTCGCAGAATAAATATTTTGAATGGCAGAAGACTTCGTGAAGAGCTGAAGAAAGTGTCAGATTACTTCGTCCTTCCCAGAGGACAGCTTGCTTACCTTTAAAGCTTTCGAGGACAATTGAGCTGGTGGGGCTGTGATGATTTCTTTGGCTGACTTTGAGAAATTCAACTGGATCTCGTAAGCCCTTGTGAAGTTGTTATGATCGAGGTCGAATTGTTGGGACTCGTGTTGTCATGTTTCGGTTCCTGGAAAGTTGGCGCAGGGCTGAGCAGCATTGCGGCTGCAGCCGAAGACGATCCCTATTTTTAGATTCCCCCCTTTTGGAGTGAGAAACCCCTTTGCCGAATTGCATTGATGTGCGACGGCATTTCCTTTGGTCTCTCGCGTTCTGTTCTACCAGATGATAATTTATTATCCGAATTGGATGTTGTGAGGTTCATGCACCTGCAGTCTTGTCTGCAGATGGCCTTCCTTACCCCTGAAAGCTTAGGTGCTGATCGCTTGCGATTGCGCGCGGGGAAAGAGCAGAGAACTCAAGACAGAATAGAAGTACTTTGCCAATTGTCTCAGCTATTTTTTATTTCTATAGTGTCCCCTCAAGTCGAGTATAATCAATCTTTCCTATTATCATATTTTTGTTACTTCTTTTCTACGATTGATCCCGTCACTTCTCTGACCTATATTATTCCCCGCTATGGCGATTATCACATGCTCCCGAGACGAAACAGCACGACACGTCAAGGTCATCCAATCCAGTTATCTACTTCTCACAGCTCAACAAAGCGCGACTCGCAGCCTCTCGCCACGTCGAACTATGTTCTTACCTTATATTCCACCACTTTCTGCTGACCTCAAGATATATAAGAATTTGATGGACCATCAGAGATACAATTTACGCACATGCAAGCTTAATGTCGAAGTTGGATTCAAGTATGGACCAGGATGAGGTTGAAGAAGAGGCAAATTCAGCCCAGGCACCCTCCCCTTCGACGCTCCTACCTACGCCCATCGCCAATGCCGTCAGTTTAGTTACACGATCCGGTTCTCTATACCTACGACTTGGCACGTTCATCGGGGGATTGGCTCTTGACGGAGCGAGAATTACAACTCTTACAAGTCTCGAACTGAGCCGGGCGGTCATAGAAGGCATCCTACATCGAGCAGGAAGGGATGTTGCAACTCGCAGCACTGGAGAGTTAGGCCACGCTGAAGCAGAAGGATTGTTGGAACGAAGTATTGGAACTCTCCATTCCACCATCACAAGCATCTCTTTCGCAGCCTCGACCGGGTTCCACTTCTCCTCGACCATCTTAAGCTCTGCCAACGATCTATCCCAACAACTTCTAGTCACACTTGACAGCATACTTGGAAGTACAGATTCTAGCAGAGCTATTGCGAGCATTATCACACTCATACGTCGAGAGTTCCAAAATCCTGCGACAGGGAAAGAAGGAGAAAAGGTTAGCGTTGCGGACCTTCTCGTTGGGATATGCGGACTGGCACTATTGCAAAGATGGTGCAAGAAGATCATCGATGAAGAGTGTCGAGAGAAGAAGTATGAAGAAGTAGTTTGGGATGTGGTGATTTTGGATGATGGCCGAAGAGCAGATGTTGTTGGCAGCGAAGCAAATCAGAAAGCGCTGACAAGGGCGAACTCCATATCCTTCATGACCACAAATGGAAACGAGTTGGTACAGACGATTCAAAGGGACGGGCGAGTAAGCGATGATTCTGAAGATGATCTGCCAGAAATCAATCTCAAGCAGAAGATCATGAGATCTTTACCTACAGATGCTTCTGTTTCTATCACCACAGAGACAACGACGACAAAGACGATCACTGTCGAGATCACTGGGACACAGCCTCCTGATCTATCTCCGCCTCCAGGTGTTGAGATCGTGGAGGAGACCTCCCAAAGTGCAGGAAATTCCAACGTTAGTGGAAAGGTGCTGTCCAATGAGGAGAAAATTGCCCTTTTGATCCCCCGGTATCGAGTGGTCTATCGTATTATTCGGAATCGACTTCGTGGCACAGATATGGAGTCTCAGACCATCGAGTTCCCAGAAGAAGCCATTGTCAGTGAAGAGGAGAAGGATGCAGCAGCCACAACGCCTGTCAAAAGTCCAGGCTTCATCATTTCTCCCATCTCGTCTCCAGACTCGGAGCATCCTCCTTCACCACCAGAGAAGGACGGCCGGTTCGCTTCAAGCACTAATGTCAATCCATCTGCTCTACCGGACTCTGGTGACGAGAAGCCTTCAGCGATACCACGACCCAAAAGTACCGACGTGACAGCGAATCAAAAACGATCAAGGAAGCCAATGAGTTCTTCGAGTTCCATCAGCGGTGATTTTCCTCCACCGAAGAAAGTGGCTACGAAATCGCCTCCAGTAAAGAAAGCAAAACCAGATAGGCCATTGATCAAACCTTCAGACAAGAAGGGATCATTCCGGAACGCTCTACGGAAAGGATCTGAGAAGACTCTTTCCACTTTATGGAACAAAGATCATCCAGAATCGAAATCCTCCCAGCAGAAACCTCAATGGGGAGTGGGAAACTTACCTCCCTCGGCGCCGAAGTCGAATATCCCAGTACCACAACGAAACTCGAGTATTGTTCCAGCTCGGGATGCCCCACGTCCGCCACAACGAGGAAATCCGAATTACTTCTCCTCTCGCGATTTGGGTCTCATGCAGAGCGACCTTCCGAGAAGCCCATCTAGAGCAAGCTATTACTCTGTACACGAAAGGCGTCGAGACTCGCTGGTATCACAAACTGATACCTATTCCATCCATTCGGCAGAGACTAGGCCTGGTTCGCCAACTGCTTTTAGAACCCATCTCCGAACACAAAGTAACATGCTGCGAGCAAGGTCAGAGAAGAGCATGGCAAAGCAACAACCAGGCTCTCCTGTCAAGCATCACCGACGATCGAAAAGCTTTGTGCCTAGCATCTACACTCTCAAGACCAATAACTCAAATACCTCATTGGTTGTTGCAGATCAACCGCGACGGAGCGCCTTTCAGGACTCAGAGACTCTGGATCATCTCATGCGCACCCGATTCGTCGCTGGTCTGTTTCCTCAGAACCATATAGTTCGAAATATTACCAGATTTGTTCGCTTTGCCTCTGCTTCATACGGTGCAAGCTTCTTACGAATCATGGGCATCACTAGCTCTAAAACATCGACCAGCAAAGAAATTGATACACTGCATCATCACGAACACCACTCATTTTCAACGCATACTCAGCTACCAGCTGATACCATTCTCCTGTCTTCATTCGTCGATCCCCAAGGAGGAACCGATTCCACTGGAAACACAAATACAGGTGTGCCAATGGTACACTTTGTCTCACTGGATCATGATTCTAAAGCCGTTGTGCTCACCTGTCGAGGCACCCTAGGGTTTGAGGACATCCTCACAGATCTTACCTGCGACTACGATGAACTTACATATCGTGGTAAGACTTACAAAGTGCACAAAGGATTTCATGCTTCAGCTCGGCGGCTGTTGGAAGGAGGCGGTGGACGAGTTATGACTACCATCGCTGCCGCATTGGAAGAGTTTCCTGATTATGGCCTCGTGCTATGTGGGCATTCTCTTGGTGGCGCTGTGACTGCTCTCCTGGCAACATTGATATCCGAACCTTCTTCAGATCCAATGAGCAGTGCATTCTTCACGTCGTCCGAACAAGCTTCGCCACAACTCCTGCTCACATCATCAGAGGAGGTCAAAAGTTCAGCACCATCATGGGTCCATCTTCCAGCAGGCAGGCCAATCCACGTTTATGCCTATGGCCCTCCTTCGACGATGTCTCCTTCCCTTCGACTTGCTACTCGGGGGTTAATTACAACCGTTGTCAATGGACAAGACCTTGTTCCATACCTTTCTCTTGGGGTCCTCCACGACCTCCAAGCAGTAGCATTGGCATTCAAGACCGACGACTCTGGTGCAAAGGGCGAAGTTCGAAAGAGAGTATGGGCAGGTATCACAGGCACATTTGCCGATAAATGGTACAGTAACCGTCCGCCCGCTATGCACGATGATGAGGATGATCAATGGGCATACTCGGCTTTAAAGACTCTGAGGGCAAGTATGTTGAGCGCCAAGCTATTACCACCTGGCGAGGTGTTTGTTGTGGAAGCAATGCCTGTACTACAACGGGACGCATTTGTAAGAAGTGAAAATGAAGGAAGGGGGCTTGGCAGACCAGCAACGAGAAGTGTGTTGAAATATGTTCGAGATGTAGAGAAGACTTTCTCTGAAGTAACATTTGGAGGTAGTATGTTGCTTGATCATAGTCCTGGGCGTTATGAGGCGAGTCTCGGGGCTTTGAAAAAGGGGGTCTTGGGATAGAATGGGACATATTTGTAGATGTTTCCTTTCAAATATTGACAAATATATGTTTTCCTCGCCGACCCCGCGCAATGCAGTGAGTCAGTGATCAGTTGGATGCCACGATTCAGGCCAAGCACATCCGTCGACAAAGACTGGGCAAGCACAAAGTCCGAGGAAAGTTGGTCCTTGGAGAACGAATGGATAGTCTGCAATGCTCTGTCCAATTTGCAACTCTTCGTGCTTTCCTGAATTATTCCCTCAAGATCCCTCACCAATGCGAAGGTCCAAACGTTCCATTCGCTGGCAAAGCTTTCCACGGCGTCCCCAATCCATCAGCTGTGGTAGAGCTGACCGTATTGCCCCACCAATTCAGTTCTGCCCCTGGGAATATGACAGTGAAGAATATTACGATCGCAGAGACAGCTACACCGGAGTCGAGACTTGCTGATAGGATGTAATTGTATTTTGCCCCTCGAGAAACGTCAGGAGTTGGGCGGCAGAGCAAAGAAGGGGCATTTGGATACTTACACCAGTGCTTAGCACGTGATTTGATGATTTTGTTGAATATCAAACTGACGACAAATGCTGTTGTGTAGTTTATACCCGTCTGCAGATCATGTCAATATGTGCCTCGAACAGAATCTAGGGTGGACGTACAGCAGGAGGTAGATTTCCTGTTCCAGCGAAGAAGAGAGGCCAATGGATGGACTTCAGGAAAGAGTTCTTTGGAAAGTATTTCTTGAGATAGAAGGTGATGACTGGCAAAAGAGCACCTATCCAGAAGAAATGAAGGAGGCCTGAATACTGTTTGCCGATACTGTAGAGGCGTGCAGGACCAATGGCTGTGAGACGAGGGTCAGCGAAAGATTCGGACACGGGATGGTGGTAATGTCCTTACCTCCCCAGATGATTGAACTTGTGAAGTTGACACGACCTTGAGGGCAGGTATAGCCGTGGGGTTGATCGTCGTCGCAGATGCCTTCGATGTGACCAAGCATCCATATCAAAACACCGTCTACGCCTACGTCAGTAAAGAGATAATTACAGAGCGGGGAAGCGTACTTTGTGTCAAACTACCTAAGATACAGGCAGTTAGTTGGGCTGCGAAGAGAGTTCGTCGTGGGATCTTCATGTACAGCCCAAGTTTCATGTCTGAGGCATAGTTCATGGCTTGACTGAGCCCGGTGTATGCGTAGAACTGACACGAGTTTAGCATGCTGCGGAAAGTCCATGAGAAAATTCATAGTCTTACCTTGAAAACGAGCATAACGATAGGCTTCCCAGGAAGTAGATACCCTGATATGATTTCTCCAAGGACAGTAAGAACATTGCTGTTCAAATTGGCCACAGCGAAGACAGTGCCAACTGGGATAAGATAGACTGCTGCCATAGCGAATGCCATGAAAACCCCCCAGACAGGCATTTCAGTGTGCCACACTTCTTGGGTGATTATAGCCAGTACAATGACCACCGCCTGTACGGAATTTGTCAGCTTGTCAATCACATCAGAAGAACAGCCAACTCACCGTCATTCCAGAATACCACCACCATGGCACATCCCGATATCTCGTGATGAGCCTCGCATGGATATCTTTCTTGCTCGTCCCCATGAAAGCTTGTTTGATATCCTCCCAATGATAGAGGTAGACGTGCACTGGCAAGCAAGACATGACAGCAAATGAGATTCCATACCCTAGAGCAAAAGTCACAGGCATGAAGACCGTGCTGTATGCTTCGTAGGCAGCCGGTTCAAAGTTGCCATGAGCATCAACGATCTTCGAAACGTTGTACACATTGGCGGTATTATCGTAGCTGTTGGATCCGGAAAGGGGAAGATAAGATGTATACCTGATCAATTGTTAGCTCTTGTAACAACGGAGGGTTTGCGATGAAGCTACTAACCAGGTGTCGGTATAGTACAAAATTGGAGTGGCTAGAGCAAAGAAGAAAGCCCATCCTGCAAAGACATTTGCTTGAGCCCAGAAAGGAACGACGAGAGGTGATCCATTGTATGCTATCTGACTCCAGTCAAAAGTGACAGGTAGAAGCCCAAGTCCTGTAGACATTCCAAAGAGATTGTTGACAACAATATTTTCTATGGGATGATCAGCAGATGCGGGGTAAATGGAGGGGCATTTATACTTGGAGCAGCCCAGCAAACGAAAGCAAAAGTCGACAATGCTGTAAATATAAATCCCGGAAACCAATACCAGACAAAACCACCGCAGAAGACGTAGAGGAAGAAGCGGTATCTTGAGATTTTCCAACCGTCAGCTTCAACATTCACTCGACTATGCAGAGTCTCGAAAAGAGCAGCATTGGCAAGTGTGGAAGGCCAGATCTGATGAAGTCAGTGAACGATCATGGTTCGTGGAGGGGCTGGAAATACCATTTGAGGAGGTTCAACGATGTATTTATACCCCAGTCCAGCAAGTCCAAGACCGAAGAGCTGCATTGACAAGGCGAGGAGGATCTGGTACCCCACAGAAGTTTCTAGTCCGTAGAACACCTTCTGAGCTTGAATGATGTCAGTAGCCTAGTTCATTTGTTAGTCTTCTTGTCTTTAAATATCGGTGACATGCATACCCAGGAAGCTCCAAAACTAAGGTTGGACATGATTGTAATGACTGCATGTTCTTTGATGTTGAAATGCGTGTCAGGATTCAAGGTGAAGTCCCAGCGACCAAAAACTTTGAATGTTTTCACGGGCAACGAGTGCGCAAGAAGACATCCAAGAGGAAAACTTAACAATTGGGCGACGAGTGAGGTAATTGTGACGCTCGGGTATCGCATTGAAAAGAATTGATTGATTCCAGCACCTAGCTAGAAATTTTGTTAACCTGGTGACCTTCATCAAGTTCGGGTGAACATACCATAGTGAACACAATCCCCAGAAACCACATGCGAACTGTATTGACGGGAAGATCAACATCGTCCGTGTTGGGTACGTTTGCACGAACTTCAGGGTACGGTGAGTTCTCTGATTCGATGGCAAATTCCTCGTCAATGGTCCCGAGTGCGATTTCCGTCGCTTCGTCAGCTGTCAATTGAGATTTGGTGTTCTTTACCCCTGGATGTAAGCTCTCGTCATTGAGGCTATCACCAGAGATCGACTCAACGACTGGGACATCGACTGGGGATATGTCGGGCTTCATGATGAGCCTGGAGATTGAAATTAGAGCAGGGAAGAACGCTGTTTTTGAACTTCACTCCAGTTCTTCCTCCCATCCGCAATTCTGGAGATACTCCGTCTTTTATCATCTTTCCGAGGGCTTTCGTATATCCCATGCTTGATAACATCGGTTTGAGTTGGCGGGCGGAGAAAACTTCTGGAAAAGCGTGGATCGGAATAAGATCATGGAATACCTTATGATTGGCTACTCCACACGGCGACATAAAATCAAGAGAAGGTGAACCCGCAAGCGAGAACGTTAAAGGAGGTTCGTCGGCATTTAGTGTGTAGAAGCTAAGCCGAAATTGATGCGCCGCGGTCAAGATTTCAAGATCCGACGAATCAGGAGCTCGAGTTTGTACCTTGAAATGTAATGAAATGCTGAAAATCCCATCTTTGATCTTGCGGGGTTCAAGCCACGAGAAAGAGTGGTGAAGGTCAACCCCGATTTCATCAATTTATCAGGCCATTTTTATGACTTTCAGTGAACGTGATAAAATAAATCTGACGCAGCTAGGAGCTGTCTCATTTTGTCGCCCATGATGCGACAATTGATTGAATCAGAAACAAAGCAGTAAGATGAGCAGAATGAGGGAGGAAGAACATCCCCAGACTTCAAGTATGGACAGCAGTACCAATCGCGATAATTCCATCCTCATTATTGGCAGGTAAGCTCAAGTTCATAGGAGGATGTGCTTTTCACCCTTGAAATTCACTGTTGAGAATTTTACAATGTTTCAGTTCTTAAGATCCTTGCTAACTTCTTCTCAGCGGTACATTTGGAATCAGTACTGCCTTTCATCTTGCCAAAAGAGGGTACAGCAATATCAGATGCATCGACAAGCATGGATGTACGTCACGGGATCAACTTATCTTGTCTTGCTTGGCTTTGTACTGAATGGCGGCGCTTTAGATCCGAGTCCAGATAGCGCAGGCTATGATTTAAACAAAATTATCAGGACAGAATACGATGAGCCTCTTTACGCGCAGATGGGTAAATAGAAATTCCCACTTCTTGGCACAGCTACTCACGTGTACAGCTCTTGGAGCTATTCAAGCGTGGCGAGACCCTTTATGGAAATATGTATTTCATGAGACTGGTAAATCAGACGCCTTTACCGACTTTCCTATGCTGAGATCTTGCAGGTTGGTTGGTGACGACTTGCGGAGACAAACATGCAAGCGAGCATCTTAGACAATCGTACGAGAACCTGAAGAATAACAATCAAATATCGGGGATCGATTTCGTTGAGACCCCAGAAGATTTGATCCGTCATGTACCTCAACTGAGGCACGCTCGAGATATCTCGAATTGGAAAGGTCTATGGAACAAGCAAGCGGGCTGGGTACATGCCCACGATGCCCTTAAACTGCTTGCACAAGAGGTACTAAATATTCACTTCAACCAAGACCGAAGCTGACACAGTGATAGGCTGAAAAATTAGGAGTTGAATTCATCTCCGGCCCAGATGGGACCATGACCAGTCTTCAGGTCTCAGATAGGAAGCTGACGGGCATCAAGGTAGCTTCTGGAAAGATTCTCGAAGCAAGTCAGTACATTCTCTGCACCGGCGCTGCATCACCAGCTCTTCTACCCGAACTATCACCGCATCTCTGGTCGAAATGCTGGACACTTGCCCATATTGAGCTCACAGAAGACGAAGCAAAAGAATATCGAAACATGCCTGTCGTTGATAATCATGAACTTGGCTTCTTTTTCGAACCAGATTCGAAGACAAGATGGATCAAGATATGCAATGCGACTCAAGGGTACCAGTCAAGAACGACTACTGGACCAGACGGTAAGCCGTATTCAGTGCCACGTTATGCTAGTGATCATCCAAAGGATGGAATCCCAAAAGAAGCAGAAGATGCGATCAGAAAGTTCATTGAGGCGGTTCTCCCGCAATTCTCAGACCGCCCACTGCTTGGAGCAAGAATTTGCTGGTGTACAGATACGGCAGATCAACACTTCCTCATATCGAGGCATGACAAGTACCCCGAGCTGCTCCTTGGAACGGGAGATAGTGGGCACGGTTTCAAGTTCTTACCTACCATCGGTTCGTATATTGCTGATGCGCTGGAAGGAAATGAGAGAGGAATGCGGAAAGAGTGGCAGCTGAGAGAAAGAGAATGGAAGAAGGATGTTACGAGACCTGGAGATGTGGTTAAGGATTTGAGCGACGTTGGTCTAGGCGACGAATAAGGGTAGAAACAGATTTGCCAGATGCATCAAAAAGTTGTTTTCCCATATGAAGACTGGTACTAACCTTAGTCACTCGTCGGGCAGCTCTCTTCATCCTGATGTCCGGGGGTGACAATTGAAAATATGCAGCATGCTGGAGGTCATGTCAGGCTTTTGAATGCTGGGAATCCAGGCTTGCGTCCACTGAATCCAGGTGCGGATGTCTACTGGACCTCTCATGGCTGGGGAAAGCGGGGTACATTGCTTAGTCATTCCCTGGAGATATCAACTTCGACATCTAAGGTATGAGAAGATAGATACCCAAACCACCAATCTGCACATGAACCGGGCCGCAATCGCAGCATCCCATGTAGCTGAATCGGCGAAAATGTGCAGAGCATGGCTGGAGCATCTGCAAGCCCTGGCGATTCGCAGTCGCCATCACAATCATCTGGACGTCGCGTGAAGCACTCTCGACATGGATGCGTTTCCTGCAAGGAGAGACGACTTCGTTGCTCAGGTAGGTTCAAGAAGTTCTTGCAGTGATTTCAATAGCTAATGTGCGTGAATAGAAGAGCGACCTGTCTGCTCACGGTGCCTCGATGATGGTCGATCTTGCGAATACGTCTTGCGATTGATTTGGGAGGACGAAAGTTCTCGGAGAGGGGTCAAGCATGGGAGAGGAAAGAATGCTGAGATTTCTTTCGTGGATCCAACGCCTTCAAAGGACGTGGCTGAAAAGGCACAATGGCGTCCACGTCGAAATGGTAGGAGCTACTTCTTGAACACGATCCCAGAAGATATGGATGCTGCACAATCTATGGCTGTGATGCGGTTTGATGGTAGATATAAGAGCATGCCGAGACTGCATGTCCCGCAGACGTTGGGACTTTCGAATGTTGATCGAATTCTCTTTCAGTATTGTGAGTGAATTTACCAAGATTGAGGAACAATTGCTTATAATTCGAAAGACCAAGTTCAGGTCTGCAGAAATCTTACCCTTGTCGACGACTCTTCAAATTGCTACCGCCAGATCATATTGCCCTTGTCCATATCCTACGAATGTGTCAAGAGATCTATCCTGGCTATTGGAGCCTTGTACCTGAGCCTCAATCAACCCTCTGTGTTAGTCGATTATTATTCTCTTGCCTTGCATCAGAAGCAGAGGACTTTACATCAGTTGCGCTACGATATTGCATCTTTGAACGGAGCATCTAGCAACCATGTTCTTGTAGCCATGCTTATGCTGTGCCTTTTTGATGTAAGCTCAGCTGGAACAAAATCTTGGATATGGCTGACACGCTTCAGATAACGGACGACTGCCAGACATCTTGGTCGACGCATGTCTCTGCCGCTGCCGACTTGATCGGGACGGAGGACACACAGTCACTAGAGCCTTCTCTAGTCTCATTCGTCTCGAAATTCTTTGCTACTCGAGATGTCATGGGTCGAAGTGCTTGTGGGGCAAGGTCGAAATTCAGAAAGATTGCTTGGAACAATCCTCAAGAGGTGAGATGCTCTCTATTTTCAGAGTGCTTTAGCTGATGACGTCCAGATCGATAAATCTGCTGGATGTTCGTCTGAACTCCTAGGGATCATCTCCTCAATCACGGACATCTCACGGCAGATGGTAAAGCTTTTCTCAGTCCCGAAGACGGACTTGAGCTGACATGATTTAGGCCGAAAATATGGAGAACGATAGCCCCCACTTGGTGAGACAGGTGATTACTATCGAAAGTCAACTTGATGAGCTCATTCAACTTCTCCCAACAGACTCTGCTCTCAACTCCGAGCAAGAAGCTTTTCTCGTCCAGACATCTGCCCTTGTCCATAATGCCGCCAAACTCTATTTCTATACTGCACTTCACTCGGCTTTACCATCGACGCTCATTGTCCGACGTCTGATCGCCGATCAAGTCCTAGTGATAACGGGAATACCCATCCTGCGATCGGCACATCTCTGGAGTGTATTCGTCACAGCTCTGTATGCTTTCAATGACGAAGAGCGGATTTTTTTCCTCGAGCAATTCGACAAGTTGGAAGAGGTGTCGGCCACGAGGAGCTCCACGCAAGCAGCACGATCTATTGTTCAGACGGTGTGGAAGAAGAGAGATTTGGACGTAGATGGTGAACAAGTCACGGAGTCTGGAGTAAGTGATTGGGTGAGATTTGTGAGGCCAATGAGCGAGGGATTGAGTTTAGCATGAAATATAGGACTTTAGTGATCTGGTTGAAAACGGCGATAGCGAGCTTGCTCTCTTCTTACTAGATGTTTCCTTCTCGTACTTTGTGCTGCCACAGAATTTGATTTGGATGCTGATATCACAAAGGGATGGTGTCAATAAAATGTGTAGCAGAACAACCGGTTCCAATGGTATCAAGATGCCGCTATCCAACTCATCTGGAATGAATACAATACTGACACTTGCCTCCTCTCATTGGATCATAACATGTCATAAAACAAACACCCAGCCTCGCAGCCTGAGATCTAGCTGGAAATTCTTCTCCAGCCGGACAATGGAAGTACTGAAGCATCTTCAACATTCCCTCCAGACTCAGTACCGATAAACAGGCGCCTTCACCCCAGGCGAGACCCCATACAAATCCCTAGCCCGTCCTTCATCATCTACATCAGGTGTCTCAGGAACAGCAGCATGCATCGTGACCCCGCCTGTGGAACTCTCTTGTCTCCCAACATAGCTTGGCGTTTCCCTAAAGCCGGGATGGTATGGTTCGATGCCTAGTCGATCGTTGAACTGGCCTGTCGATGTGGGTGGCTGATCTTTGGGGAATGGTATGCTGGGCTTATTGTTGTCCTTGGGATCAGAGAATGGATTCTCCTCGTCGTCTCCGGTAGGTGCATAATCACCTGGTGGAGGTACTGGTGGGCCGCCCTTTGCAGCTTTTCGTGGGACGGGCTTCATAGATAATGTGGGAGGAGGACCAGCTGGTGCAACGAAGCCATTGCCAGTTCTTCCAGGAGGCGGTCCTTGTGGAAGGGCGAAGCCTGAACCAGATGTGCTATACCCTGAATTTCTGTTTGGCGGTGGTCCACCTGGAGGCAGGTAGTCTGTTCTGTTTGGAGCTCCCTGTGAATACCCTCCTGTTGCTGGTGGTGTGGTGCCTGATTCTCCATTTAGGCCTAGAATCTTTCGAGCATTGAGGACTGCTCGTTGATGTTGACTGAGAGCTTTGCTCAATTGCTCGTTGGTTTCAATCAACGTCTCCATTGTATCATTATCTGGGCCTGGATTCTCTGCAATCATATATGCTTGTACGCTTCTGCTAGCACTTTGACAACGATCTGCAAATTCGCGGACGAGTTCGTTTGAAAGGAGTTCCGAAGGAGGTGTGGATTGGACGACTTGGGCGAGGAGACTTGCTGATGTCTTGGCTTCTTCGATTCGTGTGGAAAGTTCGTGGGGTGGTGGTAATCTTCGACTGTGATGATTTCGAGAGAAGTATTCAGGGCTGTTGGGATTGAAAGCAGGAGCATTCAGAACTCGAGGTCCTGCAGGTCCCTAGAAAAGTTAGCAGAGCCTTGTCTTACTCCAGCTTTCACATACATGTATCTTGATCATCCTCTCGTGCTCCTTCTTCCACATTTCGTTCAGCTTAACTAAACCCTCATCATCTGCCTTCTCTCTCTGGAAGGTGTCCAGCGTCTCCATCAATATTTGTTTGACACTTGGATCTCGTCCCACTCGGAGCAGCTCCTTGACCGTCTCTACGAACTTGGTATCAACATTTCTCGTGAAAGTCTTGCCTGGATTGTCCGCCAGAATCCGAATGAGCATAATGCCATTGTACTGAACGTATGGTTTGGAGAAGTTGTCCTTTGACAAGAACTTCCGAATCACGTAGGCGGCTTCCTTTGCAGCGGATGGAGACGATTCGCAGGATTCGACAATAGTTGGCAGATAGAGGACCTCTTCTCCCTGCTGAACAATTAGCTTTGCAGAGGATGACAGAGGCAGAACATACAGATCCGTTTGGTCCTCCAGATTCGCAGAATAAACGCTGGTCAACGTCAGCCTTGTCTAACAACTTGCATTCCCCAACGTACCACATTCCGAGTCGCATTTGCTTCTGGCGTATCCAAACCCGAATCTACCATTCCTCCATCTGTGGAACTCGAATTCGCTATACCACTGCATTAGTTGATGCCCCCAAGACGAGACGGCGTTTGCTTACGTTTGCGCTTCAGAGAACCAAACATGCGGTTTACGTTCATCCCCTTCATTGCCTTCATGTTTGCGACTGTGATGATGCGTTGATGGGTAAGGAGAAGCTCAAGAATTTCCAGAGGCAGAAATTGTGGGAAATTTTGTTGATTTAATTCTGCGGCACAGTTAGAGACATTAATCGTTGCCTCGTGAGATTTGATGTCGCGTCGGCGTCCGAGGTTCAAGGGGTCTCTTGTCGCTTCGCTGTTTCGCTGCTTCGTTTCGTCACAGGCGGCAACCTTTTCCAATAATAACTCCCGTCGCGGTCAATCGGATTTTACCTTTGGCGATACTTTTCGATTGATGGGATGACTGTGAGGATAAAGTATCCTCGTGGCAAGAACCTCGTCGTCGACGGCGTCGTAATCTCTTGGCAACCGCTCGGCATTGAAGAGACATTTTTGAGGGTCATGTTCATCTGTCTTCAAGAGCCAAGACTTTTGAATGGTTGCACAGCCTCAATTCCAGCACATCATTCGTCCTATCGTCGTCGTTGTTTCTCAGTCTTCTGCGACTAGATGAATGCTTGAGACGTATCTTTAGTGGCTGCCTCTCATTCTCGACTCATCATAAGTGGATGAAACGCGTGTCGAGAGAGATGTCAGATGACAGAGTTGTCAATGAATGTTGTGGTGGAAAGCCCCTCAGTGCCGTGAGCACGAGTGCTGACGGTAGTGAGTACCGCAATCTTCAGCTGCTCTTGTTCTGCTATCGCCGAACATTGACTGGACTTAGATTCCTTGCTGGATCCTCTGCCTCTGCTCACCCCATAGTTGAGACCGCAAGAGCGGATATGTTCAGGAGACATTTCGTGCTGGTGACAATAATCACCTGTTTGCACAAGACATTCTCCAAGAACAAGTATATCAAGTCCTTGCTCTGGGAGGTTCGATTTCAACAACGATTCTGGCATCAAATCCCGGAGCTTTGAGCATTTCTGCAAAATGAGAACATACAGCTTACGGGGCGCTCTCTCATTTAAGTTCTATCTCCTTAGCTGCATCCAAGTAGGAGAAAACGAAGCCAGTGCTCGCACGTGGTAAGTAGCCCTTTGAAAGCGCTCTGTTTCCACTCTCTTTTGCTCGCATTGAAAATATCAAACTTCAGTCTTAGACACATATTTCTACTTCATAAACTCATTGCTGAGACACTCCAGATGAATACCTACAAGAATACTATGTCACGTGGAACTACTCTGCGTTTACTTTGGAAGAGATCGGATCCGCTTGCTCCTCCGATAGCCTCAAATGTCCCTAAATACCTTAGCTAACCTTTGTGGTGGCTTATATCTGGTAAGCTATCAAGCCGTCGATGGACCAGAAACAGCTTCACTCATACCGATTATGAGCTCACAGAATTTCTCTGTGCTCTACCTGGACCTTGCAATTATGCCTGAAGCATCTGCAGGACTACACTGCTGTACTAGCCCTTGAAGACCAACGTTGGGAAGTCTTGGGCGTTAGGGTGGATTTGTTGGTGTTTGAGTTGTGTAGACTTGAAAAGAAAAGCTGTTGGAGAGCTACACAGAATTAACTTCCCAAGGACTTGAAATGCTGGAAGCGATCCTTGACGTATGACCGTTCTGTTGGATCTCTTCTGTTGGGTTTAAGCGTTCCATAGCTGCATGGAGGATAAAGTCATGGAAGAACCTAATGGATCCGGCCATCCTTTAACCCAAGCGCCAGGCTCACCTCAAGAAGACCCAACATGAGCCAACATCAAAACACTCAGCAACAATATGAATATCAATTTTACTGAGATGCAACATCCCGTGAAATCAGCCTTATGTAACCTTCTCGAGACCCTCCCGCTTCTCACTCCTTTTCTCCAAATGCATGCAAAATGATAGCGCTTGAGCACCAATCAACAGGCCCAAGACTGAGATGATCTCCGACCACGATAAAATTACGCGGGCGACGACAGGGGAGAAGACCCCTATTCCTGCATCCCGCCCGGGACCTAAAGAAAACCGTCTAGCATCGAACCTTGTTAATATGCACGAAGAATATTATTCATTTAGTTTGAAAGTTTGACGACGGCGAGAGTGTGAATGTCTTCAGTTGTGCAACGGTGGCGAGGCTGGAATCGATAAACACTATTATGGGTCTCAACAGGTGAGGATACTGTATGATCTGTAAGCCTATCTATGCATCTTGGTGGGGTCAAAAATTGGATTGTGGCAGCCGTGATAACCGTACTGTATTCCTCTCCTCCTCTCCAAGCAGCGCCCCTAATTCGCCATCGCCTGTCCCAATTCGTCGGGTCTTGGCAGCTCCCTCGCCGCAATGCCAAGCAGCACACCCCAGCCGACGACCCGCAAGCAACATCTCGTACAGTATCCATTTGGACGTACAGTACTCTTACCCCAAACAGGCAGCATTCAGTGTGCATGTTCAGTGTTCACAGCCCTCCAGCTGGCATGGCGCACGACTGTTGGAGTCAGAATCACTCTCTAAGAAAAGACCAACGGAAGCCATCTGGAAGCCAACTGCAGACCAAGAACCCCCAACCTCGAGGGTTGCGTAATCCTCGATGTAATCTCTGCAAGGCCGTGGTGGTTGGGGGACTCCGAGACCTCACGATGGTTCGTTCGCCGAGTGCAAATTTACCCACAACCCTTGAACCCATCGAGGATTGTCCAGTACAGTATTCCGTAAGTAACCAGCCTTAAACGAGTAACGAGTCAACCCTGCGAAATCCCATCTCGCAGCAGCGTTGGAACTTAATCGGGAATGCCTGTCACCTTCCTTTCTTCCTCTTCCTCCATTACCAGTAGCACTGCTCGACTCTCTCCTTGACGCACTGTTGGTCTGTTGCCGCCAGAAAGCAAAAGTGAGGCGCAATCTCGACATGTCTCATAACCTTCTCGAGCTTCCCCCTTCTCTTCGTCTTTGACTATCTTGGCTCCACACCCTCACTTTCGTTTTGTTCCTGTGTCTCTCCTCTCCCCATCTTCTGTTACTTGAGGGGTACACGTCCTCAAGTCCAAGAGCAATATGCATCGCAAAGATATGACCATGTCGACTATCATGAGCCGATGCTGGCAAGGCAGAAGGAATTGGATTGCAGCTCTGATAATACTGCTTCTGGTCTGGACAATCTGGTTTCTGAATCTACCAGTCATGTTGGTAGGTCTTACCTTGAACCCAGACAGAGATATCGCCGCTAATAAAACAATAGAAGGACTCAGCAGTGGTCGCGGGTGTGACAAAAGCAATCGTACACGGCGAGGCTCCTCTTCAGAACAATGCGCCTACGTCGGCGATACACTTCGATGCCTCCCACTTCCCAACTCCGACTCCTTCAGCTCGTCCCCCTCCTCCGCCGGTACAGAATGCGACGGTAGACCGTCCTTTGATCCTCTACGCCTTCTTCGAAACCCCAGGCGCCCGAATCAACCTCGAGTTCTTCATCAAGCATGCCCTCCACGACGCCGCAGATTTCCTCTTCGTCCTCAATGGCGAGACAACCGCCGCCAACCTGCTACCTAAGAAAGAAAATATCCGGTTTGTGAACAGGAAGAACGATTGCTATGACTTGGGCGCATTCGCAGAGATCCTTACCACCGACGACATGTACAAGAACTACAAGCGTTATATTCTCATGAATGCCAGCATTCGCGGTCCGTTTTTCCCATACTGGAGTAATCAGTGCTGGAGTGATGTATATTTGGACAAGCTCAATGACAAGACAAAGGTATGTCGTCCAGATTTACTTCTTACGATCCTCGTACAATTGTTCCACTAAAGACGTTTTCCGTACAATGTGCCACTCCGCCATTGTCGCACAATGCTGACACCTAATTTCCAGCTCGTCGGTATGACTATGAATTGCGAAGCCCCCGTCCCACATATTCAGTCCATGTTCTGGGCTCTCGATCGCGCTGGCCTCGAAACCCTTCTTTTCCCTTCCGAAGAATTGGTCGAGACCTTCATTGCATCCCTCCCAGCCCACGATAGCAACCAACCCGTACCCGAGATGTGGAGTCCAGGAATCAATTCTTGCCCCCATGAGTATTGGAAGGCTGTTGCGGTCGAGGTTTATTCTACGGCATTGATTGAAGCAGCAGGATACGAGGTCGATGCCATGATGTCTGCATACCGGGGATTCGGAGATGCTCTGGCAAGAGGAGAGACTGTTGATTTAGGAGGTGGACCAGTTGAGATGGGTACATTGAGAACTGGGACCGGATACGAAAGCATCTGCAAAGAGAGTCTAGACCCCTTACTCGAGAAGCAGTATTGGGGAACGACCATCCATCCTTTCGATACCGTCTTTGCGAAAACGAATCGCGGTGCTAATATGGGGACAGTCGAGAGATTGACACAGTGGACAGCAGGCAGAGCATATAGCAGTTACGACGTCTGTCGATGACCAGAACCCAGCACATATCAGGGCGGGTGTTTTGATTCTTTTTGGGGTTTCTTGCCAATCGATATTGATGAGACTGCATATACTCGGCGTTGGAATGATTTAAGAGAGCACCAAGCATAGCATGGCATGAGATACCAGATCTGAGCACCGAGCGAGCGATGTTGGCTTTTTTTGGGTCGTTTTTGGACGGTCTTGGCGTCTAGAGTATTAGAGTACGAGTAGTTAATGCCTATAATGTGTAAATGTCAGAGAAGAGAATTCGAGAGCAGGCGTTTTTTGTAGTTGAACATGTCTGAGCAGCGATCTACATATTGTTTCCTTTACAGCAAGTGCTGGTCGTCGTGTTTTTGGCCTTGATTTGCTTTTGCTTTTCAAAGCTTGACCTTTGTGTTCAATTCTTCTATCTTTCTAGCCTTCGCGCTTACTTAGTTTACTGTTAGCTTTTCCCCTGTCCTTGACTCCATGAAGCTCCTAAACAATCACAGGGTGCAAGAGAACTGGACGAGAAAACGGACCATCACTTCATGATTATCATTCTAGTAATCTATGACATTACATCCTCAAATCGTCAATGTCCCTACCAACGGCAGATCCCGACTACTAGCCCCAACATAAATCGGATAGCTACCACTTTGCAACACCCAACTCTGTTCAGTCACACCCCATTCACTCAAATCCCTTCTCAGGAGATCAAACTCAACAGTCACGTTCGACCCAACTGGGATATCAACCTTGCTGAATCCTCTCAACTGCCTCACAGGTCCTCCCGGTATCCCAACATACAACTGAGCAATCTCAGCAGCGTCAACACTTCCCGTGTTGGTGATAGTCGCGGTAACTTGCGCGACGACATCCCACAACGAGGCGATTCCACCTTCGATAACGTCTGCGGGCGGCGGAAGATATGATGTCGACACACCAGCCAGTTTCTCAATCGTCAACTCCGAGTACTCGAACGTTGTGTACGTCAAACCGAAGCCAAACTCGTATCGAGGAGTCACGTTCTTCTGGTCGAAACCCCGGTAATCAATGTACACACCCTCGGTGAAGTTGTCTTGTGGGAAAAGTTGGAATTCTCCCTCTGGAAGTATAGGCTCGCCAGCATTCACGTAATCGCTCTCGTTCTTGGCAACGGTGTATGGCAGCTTCCCAGAGAAAGATTGGTATCCGTACAAAAGCTGGACGAGCGCTCGGCCAGAGTCTTGACCTGGAAGATGGGCAAAGATGACCGCTGTGATGTTGGGATGGTCGATCCATTGATCAACGAGGCGGACACCGGCGTTGTGAATTGTTACGATTGTGTTGCTGCAGTTTGCTGCTACATTTTGGATCAAGGCGTCGGAATAGTCATCTGTTTTTCGGGTTAGCAAGTGCTTTGTTTGGAGGGGGCGCAACTGACCATGGAGTCCAATTCTATCGCTTCCTTCGGTGGCAAATGCATTGATGAATACGAGGCAAGCGTCTGAGGAAGTATCTATTGCAGGGTCGTTGTCGTAAAAGTCCCAGAAGAGGGAAGTTCCATCCAAGTACGCTTGCTCTTTGATTGCATCAAAGGGTGCAGAGATGTAAGCAGGGGCATTTGCACCACTTCCTCCTCCACTGATGATGGTACCATTAATGGCGATTTGAGGTGGCGCCGTGGTGCTGATGAACGGGACGTAAGTCAACAAGGATTCGAAGCCGAATGTCCACGTAGCGATAACGTCCGAAGGGCTTGGAACATCCATTTTGTTAGGCGCCACAGCATCATAGCCAAAGATAGAGAGGAGCTTTGGTGATTTGAGGGGAAGGGCAGAATTGGTGTTCTTGACAAGGACATGGCCCTCCAGCGCACCATTGAGGAGCACGGTCTGTGATGATGGATCTCTGGCATAGATCGGCGTATGTGGGGTACTGTAGTCGAGTGCCATCCCAATGCCTTTTTCTGGGAAATCGACCTTGCCCAGTCAATATGGGAGATCAAGTATAGAACGACAAACTTACATCTTGTCCCATCTGGTACCAAGCAGAGATGAGACGAGTTGCCATGTCAGTCACACGAGCCTCAGTTAGACTTCCATTGTTCACAGCAATCGTCAGATTTCCTCCATTTACACCCCAATAAGTAGACTCAGGCATCACGACGTCCAGACCGGCAAGTGCTGAATCGAGACCAGTGTCTGGGCTAATCAGCAGCGGTCTTGAGTTACTGGTAGAGATGACTTACGCTGAGCACCCCAATCGCTGACCACAAAGCCCTCGAAGCCCAGCTCTGTCTTTAGGATGCCATTCAGTGTCTTACTGTTCTGACATGCATAGGAATTGTTTATTCGATTGTATGAGCACATGATGCTACCAGTTCCTGCATGGACAGCATCTGTGAAAGGCCAAAGATAGAGCTCGTGCAGGGTCTTGTCGTCAATATTGGATGACACAGCAGCTACGTCTCCATCTGGAACCCTGTTCGTCTCTTGCTCATTACCAATATAGTGCTTTACAGAAGTCATTACGCCTGCAGTCTGGATCCCCGAGACCGACTCAGCCGCAAGTGCTCCACAGAGATATGCTGCAAAATGTTAATTGAGTTCCTTGGACTTCTGGTAGACTCACGGTCATTGCTGATACCTTCCCAATTTCTTCCACCTTCCGCTACCCGCCCAAGAGGTCCAACGACTGGACCAAGGGCAACATTAACGCCCTTTTTCTTGAACTCTCCTCCCATGTGCAGGGCCCTCTGGTATGCCAAGTTGCGATTCCATGCGGCACCAACATGAACTCCACTGGGCCAACCATTCACAAAGTCGGTAGCACGCAAACCATTTCCAGCATCTGACAAGCAGACTCCTGGCCAGTTGAGTCTTGGTACTGAGCCAGTCTCACCGGAGCAACCTGTCATTGGGGTGTAGCCGACTGTGATATTGGCCTTCTCTTCCAAGGTCATCTGCGATACCAAGGCTACGGCTTTGGCATATGCTGTGGCCCATGATGCGCTTCCTGGCTGAGGAGCTATGCTACGTTAGCAGGGCATTGGCGCAACAAGATGTCACATACGTGATGGGTACACAGGTGGAGATTGGCCATAGAAGTAGCTGTCTTCTGTGATGTTTGCAACAGCTGTAGCGGATTGGAACAACGCCGCGGAAATCAGCGTGGCTCGTGCCAATTGCTGTGTATTGAAAGACACCATGATGAGGGCTCGAAGCTTAGACGAGGTTGAAAGTTTGTTTGGTCCTGGTTTTAGTTATATATGGCCTGCGAGAATCAAGCTTGTTAAGCTTGCCATCGGAAATGAGATGCCGCTCCGAGCTGCCATTTTCTGTCGCCTGAATGACGGTGTTCAATGGCTGGTGACGGCAGGAGTTCGATTGGTCAATTCCTTCATGAGGCTACTGAGTCGGCATGGTTGAGGCTAATGATGTTCATGACTGGGAGACCCTGGGCCATCAAAAGGCCCAAATGTTCGCCAATACCTCGCGGAGCTGGATGGAGAAGGGCCGATTGAATTGGCTTCTAAGTGAGGAGTTCGCAGTGCGTGTGCAAGGCAGAGATCTTGGAAAGCGGTGACATGATGGACGTGATGATGGGGAAGCGGGGCAGATCTACTCTTTTGGGGTGCAGAAGAGGAGAGACGAGGAGGGAGATGCATGGGGAGGAGAGGGGGAGAAAGAGGGGTGGAAGAGGGGAGGGGTGGAAAAACAGAGTTCAAGAAATCACGGAATGTGGATGACATGCATGCATGCATGCATGCAAGCAAGCTACCAAGGTAGCAAAGCAGCATCGGGAGAACGTCGGGTTTGCAAATCCTAGTCATCTCGTCTTTCTCCCCACACTGCATACCCGCATTCCACCCGCATGTTGATTTCAAGCTTCTTTCCCCACAATTCGGCTGTTCGCGAGAGATGATTCCGATTGTAAGGTGGACAACATCCATGAACTCATAGCACACTTTTGCTCTCTCTCCACTTGGATACCTCATGATTGGATCGTTGCGTACAACATTTCCATCGCCGTCCACCTCAATCAACCTCGGCCGAAAAAATATCCTGTCGGAAGACTTTCCTCAGTTCATCCCATCTCCGAACATAAATTGCTTTAACCACGAATATAATCGCGAACCTTCACCTCCGCTCGCCGCATGATTTCAAGGTCTAGATCTTGGACCGGCAGCTGCACATAGAGCCCCACGACTTGTTAAAAATTGACCTCTGGAGAAAGTGTGGATATCCCACCATCAAAAAATGGAGTTGAGAAAGGCCCGATAACTTGGGCTTCGTCTGCACTTTTGTTTGACTTGAGGTAGAAGAAAGATTTTGTGATGACCGATCACGGAGAAGTCTTATGACAGCGGCCTCCAGATCCACGCGTTGTCGAAGGGCAGAGAATCTCATGATGTGGAACCATGACTCGTTTTCTGCTTCCTAAACTCCGAACTCTGACTGCAGAATTGCAGACATTTTCATTTTGGACTTGATTTGTGGGGTAACGCTTCTCTTTCTTGCAGCTTTTACTTAGCCATGTCTCTCCTAAAGAGGGCCAAAATAGAAGTATCTATTGTCCCACCCAGTTCGCTGGACTTCAGCTGAGATCCCGAGTCCAATTTGCATATGTCTCTAGATCCTTTTGCTGCCCAAAATAATATTGGCCTCAAGTCAAGCTGCCGTTCGAAGCCGAATCTATTATATTGGATATCTCGATGTGGAGATGAAAAGGAAGAACAATGAATTCTTGAGCGAGAAGGCCCGATGAGCGCTTCTCTTGCTTGACCTGTGGATCTCTTCAGCTCTCTCCTGGACTCCTGATTCCTCAACCAGGAAATCCAGCTCCTCTTTCCTGCGTCAAGCTCTCCAAGAACGCCTTCAGCACCAGCACCTTCAGTGCCGCAGCTTCTGCTAGATACGAGGAAAGCGGATGACTAGTCTGGAAGATATCATGGTGGAGGCATAGGCACAAGACTTGTCAGTTCTTCCATGACCTTGTTGCAGCCAGTGAGCATTATGACAGTCCTCTCTGCTTCTGAATATGGCAAACATGTTTATTTCTTCCTCTTCCAAACATACATGCCTTCATCCTTTCCAGCAAAGCTCGGCATCGCAATTCTGCAAGTCATCTCCCAGCTGGGCATTTCCTTTTGAAAGTACTCCTCAACCGTACAATCTGCAAACCCCGTATATCGGTTGGCATTCTGTGTCCCCACTACGACCACGATATCTCCTCGGTAGGCCTCCAGAACTCTCTTTGTAAAGGATCCAGCTGTGACCATATACACCATTAGTAGAATCCTTGCTTTGCTTCCTTGATTCCTTTTGAGGAACTCAACTCCATCACTCTTCACCGTATCCGAAATCCACATAGTTCGGTACTCGCTCGCCATGTTGTCTACAGCTTGCACATCGACCTTCATCCTTCGCAACATGTATGTCCAATAGCCATTCCCACTCGCCATGTCAATCACGCCTTCAGCCCCATGTTCCTTTGCCAGCTCGGAAATGATATACAAAGCTTCGTAACTTGGCACAACGCATCCAAAGTGGTGGTAGAACATGGGCAGGATAGGATGGGTCATCTTCGCATTCGTGGGATGTGCGTACGATTGATCTGGCAGCGGGCCAAGAAAGGATGCCATTTGGCAGGACAGGGCCCAAAGGTCGTAGTATGGATTGATGTGTGCCTTTGACTTGGGTGTCTTGGCTGCGCAGGTGCGTCTGGATTGCAAGTATTGAGCGACTATCTCTCGCGGAGAAGACTTCTTTGCGTTCGCAGCAAATGCCGTCAGAGCTTTGGAAGTATCGGTAGTGGGAGAGAAGATGGAGGTGTAGGCCGTTATGTCTGTGGGAGGAACCTTGGTCAGTGAATCTTCTGCTATTGCGAAGTGAAACAGGAGTGGGTACCTCAATCTGCTGGCCATGGGATTGGTATTTATATTTCAATCCTCGAGCTTCGAGCTGCGTTTGGATTTGGGGAAGCGTCATCGCGAAGGATTCCGCGCGATAGACATAATTGTCCTCCTCTGGGAGATTGAAAGTCTGCCGAATCGTTTTGATGAAGTCATTGTCGATTATCCCATGCCAATTGTCGAAGATTTCATCTGCAGACGCCATGCTGGAATGTTGATGCTGGGATGAATCTTCGAGGCGGGAGGAAGTCTGAACCCGCTCGACCCAGCAGCGTCATTGACCCCACCAAAGTTCACTACCCTTTTAGCGGGGTTTGGTGTAGCGAGAAGCCCCTGAACGAGCATTGCAGTCAACAACAACATGTTCTTCTTTCAATTGCATACTCTTCAATGCTTTCATCGCAACCAAATCTCTACATTTTTCGGTCTATCAACATCCACTCATGCCTCCGTCTGCTAAGCTATTCCATCTTCATGACCTGCGACACCAGTTCCACAACAGTCTCCTCGAAAGTTCGATACTTGATTCCCAATTCTTGCGCTGCAGTGCTCCCGTCGAGACCATGGCTCTCGTCAATTGCTTGTTCTTCCTTGGAAACTACATCTTTCAACTTCTCAAAATTCCCAGCAATAATCTTTGCAGCAAGGCCATATGAGTATGGTTCTGGTGCCGCTATCACAAGCCTTTTATTCCCAGCCTCTGGCTTCAACAATGCCTCAACATGAGCTTCTGCCAAATCCCTCACATCTACCCAAAAAGGCACCCTAGCAGCTGGAAGGCCACCCCCTTTTGCCACCTGCCAAAGCATTGCATTGGACTCGTTCAGATGTTCAACTTTGTCGACAGGATGTACCACAGGACCGAATGTCATTGGTGGGCAAAGAGTAACAATGTCAAAGTCGGGGCTTTTCTCTTTCATAAAGTTCCAAGCTTCAAGTTCAGCAAACTTCTTGGAACCACGATACGCGACAACAGCGCTTGTGGCTGAATCGCTGGCCCCATCGTAAGTCAATGGGTTCCAGTCTTGAGCTGTGTAAATGAAGTAGGGTGGGGCTTTGCGGTGAAGGTCCATCACCGCGGCGAAGGACGAAGTGATCACGATTCGTTCAACTTTGCTGTTGACTGATGCCGATAGAATAGCTCGTACGCCATTGATTGCAGGAATTATGAGCTCTTTCTCATTGTTGGTGGTGTTGTATCTGAAGGGCTGCTAGCGTGAGCTCGAACTCGTTCTCAACCTGGATGAACCTACACTTGCAACATGGATGACTCCATCTATGTCTTTGATTGCATCTTCAAAGCTGCCGCCACTCTCAAAATCCTGTACTTCTACGAAATCCAACTTTGAGGCTTGCTGTGGCCTAGCTTTGATCATTGCTTCACCTTTCGCTTTCGATCTCGTTGCCCCTCGAACTTTTAGACCACGCTTGAGTAGTGAATCAACAACATGCGCTCCAACGAAGCCAGTCGCTCCAGTGACAAGTACATATCTGGATTGAGTTAGTGCGGGGTATTTGACATTGGACATGCGCATGCTTACGAGGGAGCCATTCTTCTCAATTCTCCTTGTGTGGAGTGGGACTCTGCAGTTGAGCTTTGTCTGGATGGCTTCTGGAAATATATAAAGCTGCTCGGCGTGAACGCTTTGAATAAAGTCGTCATGTGGCAGCAATCTATGTTCGCGTTTAAATCATACGAACTCGGTAGTCTTTGCCCCGAACCTCTTGGACTAGCCTTTGACTACTGTTAGGAGTGTTCAAAGGAGAGCGTAAAGGCAGGAGGAGTAAAATCCGCAAAGACTTTTTGCTGAAATGTTCCATCTTCCGTTGGATTCATAGCATTCCCACTGGTTTACCCAGCTTACAACGAAAAGGGTAAGTTTGTAGTTCAAACTTCTGCTTTGTAGTGGGAGCATATCAATTGTTTATCACTGCTTTGGTGATGGAGAGCTTTGGGTGTACAGATTGTCCTTTTTTGAAGGTCCTTAAAACCGGAGAAGAAGCTGGCACTAAGCAACCATGCCAAAGAAGGTAGCTTCCACGAAGTGATCCTCTCAACCCCACCGTGATTTCAAGCACATCCTTTCAATCTGGTGTGGAACGCTTCCAAATTACAATGCATTGGCTTTTGAAGGTACCACACTTGTTTCATTCAACCCACCAACTAGCATTTACTTGTTGAACATCTTTCAGCTCTCAAAACAACGTCCCAGATCAAAGACAGCTCAGACCTTTGAGATGAAGAACTGCCCCTAGAGAAAGATTTCACAGAAGGAAATGCGATCATATAAGGAAGGTTGCTGTCTTCGTCATGGCAATCAATAGCGAATATCTTCTGTTCCTTCTCTGGCTACAAGTCAGCGGTGCTAAGTACCTCATCTTGATCCGCAACTCCGCCTTCCTAATCCCAATCAGGATGTCTACCCCCTCAGACGAACATTGGCTGAATCGTGGCTACAATCCCTTCTGCTGCAATACATGGAAGCCCACAGTCTTCCCATCACCGACAAAGATGCCAACATCCTTTCCACCAGAGACCGTACTTCCAACCACAAGGCCATCTTGGACGGATCCGTCCCTTACCCGAGTGGGCGCGGAGTACTTGAGATACGCTGAAGCAAATGATCATCCTAGACTCGATCATCTGCTCGCATGCATCAATGAGAAGAAAGTCGTTGGTCCACCGGCCGCGCCAAAAGATCGGGACCTCGTGGTAGTGGCACTGGACTCGGCTCCATGGATGGTATACCTTGGTTATCGTGATGGCCACACACTGCATACATACCTGGTGCCTTCCAACACAAGAGATGGTTACCTGATGGAGATCTGCCGTGGAAATCAGCTTGATGGGTTTAAACGTGCGTTCCCTTCGTATGTGGATCGCTTTTCAGAGCGGAGTAAAGGCACAATTAGGTTGAAATGTGAGGAGCATGGCAACAAATCTCAGTGCTGGTTCTTCGAGCGCAAAGAACTAAATAGCTCTGCTTGAAGGGGACTGGTGGATGAGGGGGCCAAATGAAAGGCCACAACTGAATGATTGGTGTTGGCAAGGCGAATGTATCGCGGGGCTTGTCATGGTAGCTGTGGATAGACCTTGCAATTGAACCATTTGGCCTGTCTCAATCCCAAGCTCTACGAGCATTTTCTCGATTGCGGTCCATGGCCCATAGTGTATTGAGGTCCAATACAAAGGCATCAGCAACAACGTAGGCCCTCCTTGATATCTCCTTGAGCATATGCAAAATCGATAGCTTTTGATCCTCTGACCATGATCTAGCACCAGCTACCCTCAGGGGGAAGAAGAAAAGCACACCGGCGAGATTGGTAGTATCAAGTGCCGTGTGTATTCCAATCAGCAGATGTGTGACATGGGATTGTATGATTTGGAAAGGGAGGCTTGCTGGGAATAAGAGATCAAATTGAGGACGGTAATCAAAAATTCCGGACAAGTATATAGAGGTAGCGTGGTAGTAAATCGAGGAAAGAAACAACCAGGGGTCGTCACGTGGGTCATTGGAGAGTCGTTCGACATGCCTTTCGTGCCAGTCCTCTAGCATTGCTCGCAAGAAATGACCTTGAGATACTAGCTCCATCAGATGAAGTTCATCAACAGACTTCAAACCAGGTTTGACCGCTTCCCAAACACTGTATCGAATTAGCAAAGGCTTGGATTGATTACCGGGAGATGGACATACTTGCAGCTCAATGAAGAACAAGAAAGCATCAAATCGAAAAGCTCTTCTTTTGGATGACACCGAGGATCGCTGCTTCGTAAGCACTCTGTTACAAAGACCCATTCCGGTTGACTGAGGAAGCTGGGCTCGGAGTATATGAGTGAGCGGCAAATCTCGAAGAGGCGCACAGAAAGGAAGAATGATCGACCAGGACCACTAAGACATGCTTCAGGCCCTCAGAATTGAAGAATGCTGGAAGTGCCATATAGGATATGCTTGACCCATCCTTGGCCCGTCACATCGTACATGAGCTAAAGTCAAATGTTAGCAAGTATGATGGATGGAAGAGTCACTGACTTCAAAAAGGCCCAAGAAGAAGGTAGTCCATAATGCTGCATGACTTCTTCGAACATCTGAATGTTGCATATCTGATTTGAAACTCTTGATTGCAGTCTGATATGATAGTAATGCGCTTGCTGTGATTGCTCTTCGATCTTTGAGAGACGAGGACGTGGTTCGTAGATCAAGAGACCCAATTGCCAATGTAGCATGATAAAGACTTGGAGATGCTTGGAACGAAGATATGATTCCACTTGTGTCAAGATGCTCCCCAGCGAAGTCATTCCTTTCCATGAAGACTGTGAAAAATCGAGCAAGAGCAATGTCCTCTTCCGAGCCCGGAGCCGGCGACGGATCAGCTACGAGATCAGATCTCGTATTGACGAAGACGAGGTTAGCGCAATTGTTACTAGCTTGAGGCAGACATTGAATTTTTCTCTTGTTGCAGTAAAAACACGGCCGCGAACCCACGCACTAAAAGAGTTAGAATCGAGCGCTGAAGTGGCAGGGTGACATGCACGAACCTTGATACGGCGTCTGGCACAAGCTTGGCATCTCGTCTTCAGGTTACGACGATCCAATGGTCCAAGCACCATCTTCAAATGAGTCGAGAGATCGGAAGCAAATGATCCTCTTCAAGTCCACATCGAAAGAGGAATCAAAGTGCGCAACCAAGGTGATAGATTGGCAAAGAAGAAAGCGAAGAAAAATGGGTTGTATGCTGTCTCCACATCGAAGAATGCTTTCTAAGATGCTTGTCACTTCGTGTTGAGACGTACTTCAAAGGACGGAGGACTGAAGTTGAAGCCTGGCGCCACAAGACTATGCCCAAAGTGGAAGCATTCGAGCGCACTTTGCACGTGATACACTTTCTGCAACTCCCATTGATGGCAGAGGAGTTGCGGGTTGAGAGTAAGATCAAAAGCCGATCTCTGAAGTGGTGATACGAGTTGTAGTAACTCAGTTGGGTAAGTATCGAGCGCCGCGACTCTCTTCGATGATATAAATTCCAGGATTTCTCGTTCAGCAAGCAGAGGAGAGAAAAAGATCACTTGCCAGGAGGGAAAAGTCACCTTATGTCAACCGATCCTTCGTACCCATACTGTCTCCAGAATCGCTTTCACTGCCCTTCTTCATGATGAACTTCTTTCTCGAGGCTGCAAAATCTTTGCCAAGACTGTTCCCACTTCTCTTCTTGAGGAACGGCCTTTCCTTTCCTGCACCAACAGGACCATACAATACAAGTCTCGTCACTGTAGCCCTCACCGACACTCATCGTTCAGACCCTTTCGCACCAACCCAACAATCGCGAGTATTGATGATCTCAGTCTTCACTCCGGTCCTGCCTTCGGCTTGTATCCCACTACTCTCATCATATATGGAACCCACAACAGCGGCCTTCGAGGATGCAAGACTTGAAGCATACGGGTTGCCATCTGGGGTTTTCGAATCGCTCAATCTGCAAACATGTCAACAAGATCCTATCAACCACAAACAGTTTCCTTTGCTTCTCTTCTCTCCAGCAGCAGGGACGACTCGCTTATTCTACAGTGCCATAGCACAACAAATCGCAAGCACTGGCTATCTTGTGGTCACAATTGACCATCCGTACGATGCGGATATCGTCGTCTTTCCTGATAACACAACTGTTTTTGGTTTGAACTTCACTGACGCGCAGATCCCCTTAGTGGTGGACACTCGAGCCAAAGACATCTCGTTCGTCCTCGACATCTTCTCCAAAACCACGTTGCATCATAGCTTTCATGGTAGAGTTAAAGCTGGAGTTTTTGGCCATTCTCTAGGTGGAGCTGCATCTGCACAAGCCATGTTTACGGACCCTCGATTTCAAGGAGGCCTGAATCTTGATGGAACGTTCTTTGGCGATGTCGTCGAGAAGGGCTTGGATCGACCATTTCTCATCTTCGCACACGATGGAAAGAATCTGACGAATGATCCGAGCTGGGACGCAACTTGGCCGAAATTGACAGGATGGAAGAGGGAAATGATGTTGGCAGATAGTGCGCATTACACCTTTTCCGATCTCCCTGATGTGGTTGATCTTTAGGATTTGGTGGGATGCTGCCAATTGAAGTGGGAGACATACTTGGGAGCATTGATGGAAGACGAGCTTTTGAGATTGTGACAACATATACAGAAAGCTTCTTTGACAAGATTTTGAAAGGAAAGAAAAGCGAGATCTTGGACGGTCCTGACAAGAGGTACCCAGAGGTCACCTTCGGCGGATTTTGACAGAGCAAACAGGAGGACTGAGTAGGAGGACACAAGTAATAAGATGTATAGCTAGAACACTTTGAAAATGTCCGAATCCAACAAATTTGAACAACACAATGACTTTTCATGATGAATCACGTCAAAGAAAAGCAATTCAAAGCCAGATTTCCAAAGCAGTAAAGTTTTCCAAGCCGCTCGGCTCGCACCGACCCCTATTGGCCGCTTAGGCAGCCCCACAGACAATTTCAGGGGTTCAGGGGCTTTCCCTCATGTTTCGCCTCATCCAAACTAACACCTGATCGACGAAGGGCGTGTTTGAAAATATTTGAGTCTTCTTCCAAACTTTCCCCTCAAGACTCAAACCTTCCTCAAAAGTTCCGTTCATTAAGATAGCATAGCATTGCACAGCCCCACTACCCTCAAAATGGTTCATCTATCAACCCCAGCAAGAAGACATAGACTGACACGTGATGGATACAGGCGCGATATTTATCAGAAGAAGAGATTGCAATTTTGAAGCACGAATTCGATCAATATGTAAGACTTCCCTGCTAACACTCGAGTACATACTGACAGGTTGTAGGATGCGGACAAAGGAGGTCAGTAAGGTGAAATTGACTCTGAAAGTCGCTGACACATGCAAAGGAAACATCACAATCGAGGAGTTCGGCCGTGTGATGAAGAAATCAGGGCAAAATCCAACAGACGAAGAGCTCGCACAGATCATCAAAGAAGTTGATTTGGACGGCGATGGAACTATCAACTTTGATGGTGAGCTCAACTGCCCGATCAAGTGTTCTCCTAGTTGACCCGCCAGAATTCATTGCCATGATGACTGGAAGAACGAGAGCTCCGCCTCAAAAAGAAGAAGAATGCGACCCGGAAGCAGATTACAAGTCTGCTTGGAAAGAATTTGACCCGTCACTGCACGGGTCGATCTCTGCTAGTCAATTCCGTCAGATGATGGCTGGTCTGGGAGAGAAGGTGACAGATGTTGAAGTTGATGAGATAATCAATTCCGTTGATGGAGAGGACAAGATAAGCTGTGAGGGCTTCGAGCAAAGATGGAAAGCAGAACTGACCAAGAAACGCAGATCACGAGTTTTCTGAATTCATGAAAAGGAAACAAGTGGACGACATTGTTGGAGGCTATTGAAGAGGGGAGTGAATTAATGGATGCAAGATCATGAGTAACTGAGAAGCTTGACAGCTTGGGAGGTCTGGGAGCATCATGTGACTCTTTAGTTGGCAGCCCTTTCCATTCTCGGTGCGTTCTAAGGAGCTTCGAAACCAGATTTTCTCGGTCCCTGCTCTAGTCTAACTTCGCAGAGATTTGACAACTTCCATCTATTATTCTTTTATCGGTATCAGAGCGACACTCGTCGGAGTTTCAAATCTTTCCTAGCACGCATTTGACTTGTTCCCTATTCTGCTTTGGTGCAATCGATATGGTTAGGTGCCATTTTTTTTTATGTATCGGAACTCCAATATCCTCGTGGAACATTCTCGTTCCAGTTTTCCTCAACATTGCTTTAATTACCTCCTCAATCGCAGATGCCGAAGTTTTGGCCGCACCACCAGATCTTCACATATATCCCACCTTTCGATTTTCCATATATCGCGGATCGACCTCTTGCGTAGCTCGTATCAACATCGTGGTTAAGTTGTCGCTCACCTGATCAAGTCTCCATCAGCGAATCATCGTACCGAGCGTTGAGCGTGGACCAACCAACCGTGCTCAACCGATCTTCAAGTGAACACACAACAGATAACGATAAACATTTGGATCATCTGCCAGAACATAGTATATCGGTGCTCCATCATTATTGATATAGCCAGCCGAGGTGAGTATCACGATGTTTTGCGGGAGCCTGTTTTTCCTATCCGCGATTTGCTTTGTGAAATCTATGCGTTTCACGATTCATACAGGAGGAAAGGAAACAGACAAAGAACGAAGTCATTTTGAAGTTGAGATTGTTTTGAGCGAAAGATTAAGCTTGCCTTCAGCTTGTAGTCAGGCTGGCTGCAAGTTGAGCTTTTCGCGATGACGAAACTCTACGCTCTTGAGAATGCTGTAGTTCTTACATCAATCTTCGTACATGCAGTTTCTATTGAACTCAATCTGTCCTCAGTTGGTACTCTACACCGTTCCCAAAGAATTTCTCGATACGTCAGGCACTTACAAGCACAAAGATTCTATTATGTCGGTTACAAGAACAATCGCAAGCGATTTGATGAGATTTACAACGGAAACAGTACTGGAGGAACACCAGGACAACTGCCCTTTCCTCCTTATTACTGGTGGGAGTCTGGAGGGCTATGGGCTTGCATGATCGACTACTGGTCATACACTAATGACACGACCTACAATGAGGTGATTGAAGAAGGATTGCTGTATCAGGTTGGCCCGAATTGGGACTTCATGACACCGAATCAAACGCTTGGAATGGGAAATGACGACCAAGGCGCGTTGAACTTCTCCTTTCAAAAAGATGCTAAGCTGATGGTCTAGGGTTTTGGGGAATGGCAGCTATGACTGCGGCTGAATTGAACTTTCAGAATCCACCTTCATCAGGAGCTCAGTGGTTAGGTCTTGCACAAGCTGTGTTCAACGAATTTGCAGCAAGAGCGGCTCTCGAGAAAGATTATTGTGGCGGTGGCCTTCGTTGGCAACTGTACTTCTGGGAAGATGGCTGGATGTACAAGAATGCTATCTCGAACGCTTGCTTTTTCAATCTGGGAGCACGTCTCGCCAGATATACCAAGAACGATACCTATGCTCAGATCGCAGAGAATACATGGGAATGGGTCACGGAAATTGGGCTTTTGGAACTGCAGCTGTACAGTAATGTCTCGAGCATTTTTCAAGTCAACGGGAAAGGAGCTGGTGGATATATTGCGTGGGATGGAGCGACCGTGGAAAGCAACTGTACAGGCATCAATGGAATTCCGTACACATACAATGCGGGCATCTTTCTCCTTGGAGCTGCCACAATGTACAATTATGTCAGTACACTGCGAGTTAAAATTACAGGAACTAATGAATTCAGACGAACGAATCGGCTATCTGGGCCAATCGCACTCAATTGTTGTTGAATGCCACATTGAATGTCTTCTTTCCAAATGGCATAGCTGTTGAGGTCAGTTGTGAGGGGATGAATGGCACTAAAGCTTGCGACACAGACATGCTTTCGTTCAAGGCCTATCTTACTCGAAGTTTGGGAGCAACTACCCAGATGGCTGCTTTTACTATCAAGCAGATCATGCCAGTCCTTGCAACTTCAGCTGCTGCTGCAGCTCTTCAGTGTTCAGGGGGAGCGAACGGGAGGATGTGCGGACTTCAATGGACTAAAGGAGCGGATTGGGATGGCAGTTAAGGAGCTGGATAGCAAATGGCTGCGATGGAGATTGTGATGAGCAACATGATCAATCTTGCCAAAGCCCCAGTGGCCAGTGACTCGGGGGGCACAAGTATTGGGGATCCAAGTGCGGGAACAAGGCCACCGATTGTCACCAAAGAGATGGTTCTCACAGAAAGGAAAGCTGACACGGCTGGTGCTGCAATCTTGACAGTTTTGATGATATCAGGGATGATGGCTCTGTTTGTTTGGATGTGTAGGAGGGAGACTGAAAGCGAGAACAACTAGACGATCCAGAATGCTTTCAGTGTTCGACGGTCAACAACGCTGCGCCTCAACATTGGCTCCCACATCAAGCAGAATCTCTGGCGATTATCTTCATAACTCCAACAGTTTCTTTCCCTTTCTTTCCTCTTCGCACAACACTCCTAGAACTGTACTTACAGCCACGTGACAACAAAACCCAGTGCAACTTAGTCAGCTTTGCTCTGAGCTTTCACCTCACAATCTTCTCTCATGAACCAACGTCGCGCACTCGGAATCATTCAACCTGCAGTCTTGGATTTCGAGAGAGCGCAATTAACGACCCCACCGCCATTTGCTATCATTCTGCAATCATGGGCTTCCAAAAGCTGTTCGAAGATGACCCTCCAAGTTTGTTGCTCCTCTTGCTCTTGTGTTTCTCAACGAGACTCGCTGATGCGGCGGCAGAATATCAGGCAACCAATGGCTGACTGTCGGGCTAGTGAGAAGAAGTTTGAACGCTGCCGCGATACGTATGCCCCTATTTGCGATTATGCTACCAAAGCACTCCATCATGAGTTCGAACTCTTCCTTCCAGACATCTCTTTCATGATAAGATATCCCGTCGACTACGCAATATACCGTGATGTGCTTCGGTACGAGCTCAACCAGATTGAAGAACAATTGGCAAATGTCAACGAACGATAGCTGTTCGAAGTGTCCTTGAAAATCCGAGAACCAAATGGGAGCGGACTCCGCTATGCAATCGTTTTGTACCAAACTCAGCACCAAGAAGGCGACCAGACTTCTCATTAGTCCCCGTGGACCAATGAGGTCGTCGTCCGCAGCTACATGTTGTCCACAGAAGAATGCCAGAACCAGATTCTCACCATCCGAGCGACGAAGAGCATGAGTTAGGGTTGCACAGACGTGGCTGAGGGGCGATATCTTGGTGATTTGGGACCGATCTGCACAGCCATTCACGAGAACAACACCAGATTCTGGTATCTGCAGTAATTGCTGCACCTGGGATGTTTGAAACATGGTTGCTGCATGTGCAATGGCGTCGCTGTCGATCGAGTGACCACGCCGGATGATAATTTGCTCGTCGTCAAGTGCTTCCAAGTGGTGGACATTCATCATTCCCAATAATTGCTTTGGGGTCAACGGTGTGCCTGATTCGGACGGTGGCGATGACTCTTTCGTTGAAGACTTGTCTGTCTCACTTTGATCGGGTTCTTGCCAGGTCAGCGGCATACTTTCAAGCGAAAGCGGTGTTCAACTTACTGAGATACTCCATCAGAAAGCTGAGTAGACTATTCTTGCCGGAAACTGCATCTAGGGCAGTTTGGAAAGACTTCTGTTGTTTTAGGATCTCGTCAATCTTTTTCTGTAAATCTCCAACCCCTTCTCCAGTCTGGAGCGCGATTGTGTGGATTTGTGTTGACGTCCTGTGATTTTCATGGATAGTTTCATGCGAGCTGACTATGATGTTGTCCATGATCTCTTCAGCACAGATTCGAACTCGTTCGGAAGCACTGCGAACCGCCCCGAAGAGATCATCGATATCGAAACCCCTCAAAGGGCTCATTGCTTTGGCGACTTGTGGAAACACGTCAGTAGTTAGAGACATAAGTTGAGAGGGGAGACTTACGGAAAGTTCCTGGGGTTAGTCTGTCGATCAATAGTGGAATTGTGCGCAAGAGAGTTTTCTGCAGCTCTCCAATCATTCCATACAGTCTCCCGCATCCTGGTCGATCTCGTGGAATGCTCTCCGCCTTACCATAAGCCATCATGATGACGCTGGGGATGTCTTCAAATGCGCGGAGGATCTTGTCGCGATCCTGGGCTCGATGGCGAGCAAGCTACACAAAGACTCAGTCATATCAAACACATGTCTACACCCCAGCTTACGCTAAATATGACTGCAAGTCCACCTTGCAAGACACAAAGTGGCATATTGTTTGGAATCCCCACCAGTCCAGGAGCAAAAACATCGCCCACTGTCCCCAAAGCTCGCCACGCTTTTCGATGTAATCTTTTCCCACGTTTTTCGTCCTCGAACACAGCAGCATGCGCTCTTTCTAGCTCTTGGAGAACATCATCCCATGAGCATTTTAAAAGATCGAAGTTGAAGTCTGCTTGGTCCGGAACCTGTATTTGAAAGCGCTTTAGGGTTTGCTCGAGGTCACTGGATGAAATTAGTTCTTTCCTCAAGAGGTTTCTGGTATACCTACGAGATGTCTTTCGATTCATATTTTGACATTAACGTGTTAAAGTACGACTCTACTGCAAATGCCTCGTGAAACTTGGCAGCTCGGTAGTCGATGAAGTCTCTCGCAAAATCAGTTGGTGAAGGCGATGCTGCAGCCATCTTGACTCTGATTTTGGCCGAAAGAGGTGTATGTTTGCTGGCTTTGGAACTTGCAGATCACGTTCAATGAAGCCTCGTGGTCAAGCCGGGGATTCGAGAAGTTGTTCTCGCAGGCTAGCAATAGCAGATCTCCGACCTCTGGAAGTGGGAGGACGGTTTCACCTAGTAAAATCAAGCGTGTGTGCCTTGGCTGATTTTTGAAATCGTGGGGGTGATTGAAAGACCCGTGAATCAAGTTACACAAATCTTTTGCTCTCAACCTCAGCCTTACACCACCCACACCTTTGGAGACCCCATGACTTGTGTAGGCAACCAGTCTAAGGGCAGACCTTAGGATTAGATGGTAACCAGTTAGATCTGGTTTCTTTATCCGACTCAGCCCAGAATATTTTCCAACGCCCAGCTGGTGTACAGAACTGCGGGGTAGTCATAGCTCGCTGACACACATGCCTCACTTTTGCGAGCCGTCCCGGACGGAGAAACAAAAGCCTAACAATGCGAACGCCCACAACGCCCGGCTACTATGACAGCACCCGCATAGCTTACCTTTGCTTACATTTGCGAGCTTCACTTCTGTCAACCCTTCGCCAATCAACAGGTGATGGAGGGACATTTTTGAAATCCTTCATGAACTGGTGCGCCTCAAAGAGACAAGGCTGGAGACTGCATGAAAGCGGCGCAAAATCTGTCACAATGTTTATACAGCCTCGAGTCCTCCAGCTCGCCTCGCTTTGGTGCAATCAGAAATGGAAAGTTCTCCACCGAAATCATTTTGACACCAGACGGCAGTTCGCTGAAATTTGTCAAAATGGAGTCTGTCAATAGCAATAATGCGGCGGTTATCTCAGATCTCAGAGAGCAGTTGAGAAGGCTAGAGTCCAGGCTTGTGAACATTGAAAGTCATGGGAAGCCTGATTCCGCGAATGAGGTTCAAGGTTTCATCGAAGTGGACGATTCTAATTCTGGAACGCATGGCGTGGACATCGATCTGACCAACGTCGACTTTCTGCCCAAGGTCAAGAAATGCAACTTTACAGATTTCAAGAATCGCTTCAGCGAAGAAGATGGTCGCAACGCCGTCGATGTTTTAGTGTCAGGGAATCTCTTTGAGCAAGAGTATCGAGAAGTGCAAGCACTGCGTGAGAAACTCTTTGAGCATGGAAAAGCCAGCGCCCGAGCATCAAAAAGGGAAACCAAAGCTCTAGTTAAAGAGACAGATCGAAGCAATGACGCCTTGCGCAACGACCAATCTGATCTTACCTGGATTCGGCGCATCAGGCTTCAGGCACCTGCCCTCCTCCAATTGCTTGCCAGGGTACAAGGAGAGTCCTGGTCCAATAGACCTCGAACTTACGATCGCCCGTTTTGTACTCTCATCCACTTCCATCCTCAAGTCAAGGTAGCTTTGGCGGAGCTGGAGGAGAAATGGGCTACCCAGAGCGATGGCCAACACACTGACAGTGCTGGACTGACGCCAGGGGCTGACGGTCGTGAAGGTGAGGAGGAAGATGGCCTCGACGATAGCCAAGCGGCATTGGAGATCTTGCGGGTTTACGTCAAGTTCATTGATGAAGAGGTCATACCCGAGTCACATCGATACAAGAATCTGGACTACAAGAGCGACGAAAAGATCTTATTCTCCGATCTCTGTTATTTGTTCAAGCCTGGCGAGTACATTTACATGCAGCTCGAAGGTGAGCTGTCAACAGGCCATGATTATCGGATGGGACAGAGAATCTGGAGAGTTTACTTCGTCAACGATGCCATCAGGAACTACAACTTGACACCTTCAGATCATCGCAAGTACTCCGCCACCGAAACGAGTGAAGATGACTGCATCTTCTTCACCGTTCACGCCTATCACATTGATTATACGGGTGACGAGTTCTGTGTGGTCACGAACACCTTCAGGATGTATGTCAAATCCCTATACTAATTTACTGTTTTCTTGTATGAGGGGTCTGGGGGCCGGGAGCCGGGAGCCGGGAGCCGAGCAGAGCCGAGACATATTGCCAACGAGAGCTCTTGAGACAGCTCCCGGCTCCCAGAGCCCCTCACTTTCGTTTCGATGTTTTACTATGCTAATTCGTTGGCAGAAGTCCATTTGAGAAATGGAGGCCTATATATACCCTACCGATCTACCCAATACGATTCAATAATAACCATGAAACGTATATGGATACCGCCCAGAGGATTGGCGACCAAGTTCTTCGTTTCGTGGAGTCAAAGCATGCCTTTTACAACGGCTGGACCATTATGCGCAATCCAATAGGAGACTTTGCGACAGATGCTAACGGGGTCGACATTAAACATCCCGAGTAAGTGATGATGAGCTCTAAAACCTGACCAGAAGCTAACCAGATCATCAGGTATATCAATAGCGAGGTCATGGTGGACTTTGCAGAAGCTTTTCAAGCGTGCCCGTCTTGGAGACCGCAGAGAACAATCCTGAAGACTGAATTTACCAACAAGATTCTCATTTCCGATGAGTTCGCCATCCGCTCATGGTCCGGCAAAGACAGGGCCAATTTGCTGCGAGAAACGACAGAGATCATCCCGTATCGCACAGGAGTGCATCACTTGAAGCGGAACAAATTCGTGCTGGAAGATCCTTTCCTGGCTGCTGTGGCTCAGAATCACCAAAGAGGACAACCCACGACCACACAATTTCTCCGCCATGAAGAAAAGATTCTGATCAATTGTCGGGTATTTGCTTACGTCTTTGGGGAGCGAAAGTTTGCCCAGCTTGACGTATCAAGATTGACTCTATCTGCTCGGAATTTCGAAGCTCTCAAGGCGTTGAAGATTCCGCCCAAGACCAAGCAGCTTATACAAGGCTCTGTTCGAGGCCACTTCCTCCAGAAAGAATCCGAGCGAGGTTATGGAGACCAAGGACTCTCTCTAGATGTTATACAAGGCAAAGGGACAGGATTGTTCATACTCCTACACGGCGTCCCAGGTGTTGGTAAGACGGCGACTGCAGAGGCTGTAGCTCAAGCAAATGGCAAGCCCTTGTTCAAGATCACCTGTGGTGATATAGGTCTTACGCCAGATCAGGTCGAGACTTCCCTGAGAGCAATATTCAGGCTTGCGAGTATATGGGACTGCATTCTCTTGATGGATGAAGCCGATACTTTCTTTTCACAGCGATCAAAGGGGGACTCTGCAATCACCAAGAATGCACTAGTGTCAGGTAAGTCTCTTGAGAGTGGGAGACATGAACAAAATGACTGACATGGCTAGTGTTTTTGAGAGTTCTAGACTACTATACGGGAATTCTCTTCCTGACAACCAACCGATCAGGTGCACTCGATGAGGCCTTCAAGTCACGGATTCATTACAAGATCTACTATGCGCCATTGACAAAAGAGCAAACCATGGACATATGGAGGCTCAACATCGAAAGGCTTCGCTACATCAATGAGCAGAGCGAAGATAAACGACCTTTGGAAATCGTGGACTCTACCGTCATGAATTTCGCGGAGCTCCAATTCGACGAAAGTAATCATCGCAAAGCTGGACAATGGAATGGCCGGCAAATCCGTAACGCTTTCCAGGTGGCAAGGAGTCTGGCATATTACGACGCCTTCAATGAAGCCGAAGTCAAAGATGTTGGTCTGGATGAGCCCGCTCGGCCTGCCGTCTTGGATGTGAAGTACTTCCACATGATGCACGAAATAACAGAATCTTTTGATCACTACATGTTGGAGGTGTTCTCGGGAGCGAATGATGGAAAGTTAGCTCTGGAAATGGAGCATCGAGCAGACCACTTCACAAATTCTCGAGTGCATCGATCGACAGCAGCACGGGAAGAACCCGACGACCAGTACAATGGCTACAACCCAAGATCATCATTTGACCATAGCCAAGTTCAAGAGTTTGGTGGTCGACCAAGAAGTACAAGCCATAAAGGGAGTCGCCCATCTATCTCGATTCCAGGAGCTTCACAACGATATTCACCGAATTCACTTGCACCACCGTTGAGTGCTGCCTACGACGAGGAGGCCAATATGGATGACAAGTCTTCAGGTACTCTATGGTCGACTTCGCCTAGACCTGGGCAACGACATCCATCCTTGGCATCTGAATGGCCTGCGACAGAATTCAGAGGAGGGGTTGACAGCGACTACGCAATTCAAGGGTCGAGCAGTGGCTCTAGATTTGCTGCAGGTGCACCTGCTCAGTCTAGGACTTTCGGAAGGGGTGGCGGGAACTATGGTCTTGGAAGAGACTCTCGCAGCCATAGCAGTTTTGATGCTGAACCAAGCTACAGAATGGACAAGAATGAGCATGGGAAAAGAGAACGATCGTGAGGTTACAGATAGTCTCTGATATAATTCATTCAAATTAGCAATCACAAAACTTGCTCATTCCGCTTTCCATCCTAGCCTTTTCTCAGCAGCAAGCAGATCTGCCGCTGTGTCCACCATGCATTTCTTCAAATCAATGTACTTGATTCCAAGAACTTTCTCTGCCTTTGATCCATCAGGGGTGTAGACGGTGTCCTTGAAGTCCAAGCCAGACCCAGGTGTTCCTTCAGAAACACGGCCTCTCAGCTCTGGAATCGCCTCCCTGATTGCATCCGCAGCAGACTGATAATCAAAGTGCTGGCCAACCAAGAATCTTTCTCCAGCAGCTTCATCTTTTTCGTAAGCTTTTAGATGTGCTTGAGCATTGGTTCTCACATCCGCAAAGCCACCGAAGTCAATCGGAGGTACTGTTTTGCTGCTTCCATTGATGAGCTTCCAGATAGTCTCTGTCGATTCGTTAAGATGTCCAAGGTTGGTGATAGTATTGAGACTGGGCCCAAAAACCCAAGGTGGACAGATGGTCGCGAGAGTGAATCCAACTTCAGGGTTGGCTGACATCCAATTCCATGCTGCATGCTCAGCTAGAGGCTTTGAAGCACAATAAGCAAAGCTGCCATCGGTTGAATTGGCAGCCTCATCATAGGTCGCTGGGTTCCAGTCTTTCTCAGTGTAGACGTAACCAGGTCTATATCCTTTGCTGAGGTCGAAGATCGAGGCGAAGGAGCTGGTGATTACCACTCGCTTCAGTTGTGGGCCAGCATATTCAGCTGCTGCCTTGAGTACATTCGTTGTACCGTTGATCGCTGGCTCAAGAAGGTCTGCTCTGACATCTTTGGGCGTTAAGATGAATGGAGATGCTGTATGAATGACTCCTGAGACTCCTTTGATCGCTTCTGCATATGCAGATGGTGGTGAAGCCAGGTCTGGAACGATGTAGAAGGTGAGATTTGATGAGAGTGGTCCTTGAGCAGCTTTGACTTTCTCGATCGATGAAGAGGACCTAACTGTGCCTCTCACTTTGTAGCCTGCTTCGAGAAAGGCGTGAATGATATGGGATGCCACGAAACCAGAGGCGCCGGTGATGAGAATCGTTTGAGAAGAAGGGGAAGACATGTTTGTGAATTGCTGATTTGAGGCGAGGAGCTGTGAAGACGAAGATATGAATTGTCTGATATTTTCTTCCAGTGAAGAAGAAGAGATATATATCTTTTTCGAAGCGAGTGGATGGAGTGCGTTAACGGCTATAACCTCGACCATCCAACCTCAAATGCTATCGCCGCTTCGCAGTGAGCTACTCCAATCGGCAATAATTGTTGGTGGTTGACGTATCCCCGACAAGATCCCTGCGATAGGATATATGGCCGATGCAAAAGCATGCTTACTCACTGCATGACTGACAAAGCGACAAATCTCATAAACAGATGTAATGACGAAACGTTGGTGGAGTCTTGATAGGGCTGACAGATGATTAGTTTGCATCGAAGGTGCTTGGCACGCTCCGGATTCGATTCGAGATGAACGAGGTTGGTGAAGAGATTGGATCGTAAGACGAAGCTGGACGCCAAGCCGGCGCGAAAAGAGAAGAAACGAGGAGCTTGCTTGAACTTGAAAGTCTCCAGATCGAGGTTTTGCGTTAGATATCGGGGACGAACTACAAAAGTCCACATGCACCTCGACCGATTCTGCCTCAAGTTACGTGTAAACATTACAACTTCATGGTCATCGATGGTGCCACGCCATTGCCTTCTGACCCATTCCCGCTCGACTTTGTCAATTCCCAACCCCTTCCTCGATATCTTGCAGGCCAAATGCCGGATTTTCCAGGTGCCAGAATGCCGTTTGGATCAAGGGCATCTTTCATTCTCTCGTTGAACTTCATCAAAGCATTATCATTCCAATTATACGTCCCCGCAACTTGATCCATGAGAACCAGATGTGTCCGATACTCTCCGTAGCCCTCTTTCGCAGCATCCTCAATCATTTCTCGAAGACAGTCGTTGGCCGCTTTCCTCTTCTTGGAGTCATTCTTATCAAAAACAATTTCCACGATAAGATGCATTTCCCGCAGACCTACACAGAATGCGGGGAAGAAGTCGATGCCATACTTATCATGGAGACGTTTACCCATATTGAAAAGCTTCATGGCGTCTGTTCCACGTATGGGTGAGACCGGGCTGAAAGCAACATGAGATCCGTTTGGAACCCAATTCACCCACAATAGCTCGACAAGATCTGGAATACCGGCAGCTATACGATCACGAGACCAGAAGTATTCGTCTTTAGGTAGTGTGGCGGGGTCGACTTTCCTTGCTCCTGGAATCTTCTTGAACTCTTGGTCGATGATGTCCAACTTGTATTTTCTGATATGTTCAGGACCGTACGACATGCCGTAATACAGCCACGCATGGTCGCCAATGGTGGTGGTTCTCAAGTATTCATGAACAATCTCCGATGGCATTGGACCTTCCCCGCTGAAGTATGCAGTTCGTGGTTTTCCTTTTACAGCAATCGATTGGATTGCATGTCTGACTTGGGCAACGTTTTCCAGGATGTTTCCAATCCGAAGTGGTCGAATGATTTCCATCTGTACTTGTCAGCTGGAAATCTCTTAGGGGGCTTAGGACTTACCAAAGCCGCCAGATTGTCGTCTTTTTCAAATGCATACATCTGTCAAAGTCAGCATCCCAGCCAAAACCTTCCTGCCGACACCTACAAAGCTTTCATAACCACCAGGATTGGGCATCAAGGTCATTCCCATCTTCGTGACAATGCCAAAGTTTGACTGTGAGAATATGCCACTGGTTTTGTTAGTCCAATTCCACATCGAGAAAGGAGAGGAGCTGACTCTGAATACGGTCCAAATCCGTAGGGAAAGGATTGCCAAGTATTGTTGCCAGGCAGAGCTCCCATTCCGGTTCTAATCACTTCTCCAGTAGGCAGTACAACCTCCAAACCAGAATGACAAGCCCAATGATCTCCGTATGGTGTATAACCAACACCTCGATCAAGTGTGTTGCCCACTATGGAGCCACCTCCTAGATCCGGTGTATCAATCCACATATGCTTATAGCCTTTGGCTTGAATCGTCTCATGCAAAGCGTAAAAGCTGACACCAGGCTCCACAAGGCAAGTATAGTCATCAGGGTTGATGTCTAGAATTCGACTCATTCTTTTGCCAAGGTCAATAACAACTGACCCTCGTACTCTCGGAGCTGCTCCTCCGTATCCCACTAAAGGTGTAAGCTTTGTCATATTCGAGAAGGTGACCTACAATTTCGGCCCATTGAGATTGGAAAGATTGGGATCCGATATTTGTTCGCCCAAAGTACAATCTTTTGAACATCTTCCGTGGAACTTGGATACACCACTGCTGATGCCACCAATTCTTCGTCATCTAATATCGGCATCATATCATGAGTGTTGGGATCTGACGAGTTAGTTTTTGACCTCACATAGCAGACCTACTCACGCTCCATGTACCACCCATCAACGAGGGGTTTGTCGTTGATCTCTACATTTTCGTTTCCTAGAACTTGCTGAAGTTCGTCCAATGCCTGGAAGAATTTTCCTCTTTCGATTCCTTGAGGAATGACTGGCAACCTTTGTCTTGTGCTCGACGATTTTGTTCGAGTCTCGTAGATCAACGCTTTTGCATTTTGGGCTTTCTCGAGGAGATTCTCCGGAATGCCAGAGTGCTTTTGCGAAAGGAGAGGAACCGAGTTCTCGGAAGACATAATGATGAGAAGGGGTAGTTGAACTTTGACACAAGAACATGAGGCCTCAACTGATGATTTATGAAGCAGGGGTAAGAAGTTGATAGCGGGGTAGCGTGGCGTGGGGCCGGCCCCACGTTCAAGACTTTGCCACAACCATTGCTTCTTCTTTAACTTGAAGTCAAGGTTTTGCGTGCATGCGAGCGTGGAGACAACTTATATGACTCGCGTCACTCGACTGCGTATGATTCTCGATTGGCATAAGAGAATGAAGAGTATGCTGAGATGAAGTACAGAAAAAGAAGCGGTGGCTTCAAACGGAAGTCGAGGTGCTAAACAAGTATCCAAATCAGAAATCAACTCCACCTGCTGCTCCAATCAAGACAATTTATGCTTCGATGTTCGTCCAATGGCACGTACTCCTCGACATCAATGGCATCCAGCCTGAGAGCGAGAAAATGTCTCTCTAGAAGGCAGAGACAAACTTACTGTAACATCTCTGTCGGATTTCCGGCCATGAGAGATCCCTAGTCTAGGAGCATGAGAGAGCCCATGTCCTCGATCGAGCGACTCCTGCTTCTCCTCGTCAAGGGCGTAGACTCGTATGGTGTGTGTTTCTGTATCAAAATTTCTCAGGACAATGACAGCTCTTGCTTGTAATCTAGACTGAACCACTCCTGTGATTGGTGAACCTCGAGATCCACCAGAAAGTTAGCTCGCAGAAGTGCCACGTGCGTGGAAGTGTAGAATGTCTTCCAGCTGCCTCTACGGCCACCGCCTCGATTGTTCCTACTGGCGAAGCTTGACCTCTGCTGCATCTAGCTGTGGAGGCCTCATTGGCCAAGCAGCTCCCAATCCTTCAGTATTCGTGTTTCGTATCGACAAGTAAGGGACTTGGAAGCGCAGGAGTGCATCCGCTGTGGCGGTTCTCGGTCGCTGATGGCTAGTATCGAAGTCGTAGAAGAGGAAGGCTTCGGGACCAGGCTGTGGAAGACTTTCGAGGGAGCGGATAGCTCGGGGAGAGGAGTTGAGGCATGGAAGTTCATGGATCAAGCTTCCGTGTAGTATGAATCCTGCTGTGGAGATTTCTACTAAACGTACAGCAGGTGCTTTTGTTCCGTGCTGGTATGTTCTCTCCCCAGATATCCGAATGTTCAACTACCAAGTCAAGCTACTGCTTGAATCCAGGCTCCAAGCCCAGCTTCCCCACCAGCGTCCAGCCCACTTGTAGACACGCCGCTACCCGTATGATGTGGACGCAGGTATGAGGATGGGAAATGGGTGTATCGTGGAAAGCTCGAGATGAAAGGAACTATAGTTGGCATTTGTTAGCAACCAACCAATTGACCTAGGAAACAGGAAATTTGCCTCATGACTCTCTGCAGAACTCAGAAGGAGGACGACTCCAAGCATCAGCGTCTGCAGCACCTCCCCGCGATCATCTTCGGAGTTTCGAATTGTGTGACTTCGTGATAATCGGCTGGACCAGCTGCAGAGAGCAGGAGCTCAAGCGAGTATGGCGAAGGAGGATTCGGCTTCAAACATCGAGTTGGAGGAGATTGGGTTTTGTTCTCATGTTGTTCTGCTGCGGCGACAGCAGAGCTCCACCTGCGGAAAGAGATCGCGCTAGTGGATTCCTTACTGTAGCGGCTTCTCCCCCAGAATTTCAACTTGTCTCTTCAGCTTCTCGCGCAGCTTCTTCGGTCCCTATGACTGGCTACCAAAAGATTGATTGGTACTGCTCTCCGATGATAGACTCGCTAGCCGATGTCTCTGCAAACTGTACGAAGTAAGCACGCACAGAAGAGTACATTATTTTGCTCAATTTGTTCCAAGCAGAATATTCGAGTGAATATGTCGCATCCTGAAGTCATCGGGATCTGTACCGACATCCACCTCTCCTAGCTCATTTGCCCTTTCGAAATCTCGCCTTTGGGGAAGCAAAGGGGGACATGAGCGAGGTGGAGCTCCCACTCCACCGGCATGCGCAGAGGATTGAAGATATTGCGACAAGTGGCTAGTCAAATTGAGTTCAGACTCAGGCGGTCAACATCGCTGCAGGGCAAGGGAAACCATACGGAAGACGTTCACACCGACACGGTTCTCGTGAAGGAGGCAAGCTCTGTGCTAGGCATTTTGCGGAATTCTCCGAAGGAAGGAAGCAATACAAGTCCTCGCCATTTTCTCCCCTTGCTCGTTGGAGTGGACGTTTCTTATCTCTGCATGTCTGTCATCCTGAGCATGTTTGACCTAACTCCACGTCGGGAAGAGATCAAGTTGGGCATCTCTTTAATTTTTTTCCAAGATCACTTGCAGATCATGTCTCCCCATACTTTGCTTCAAACTATTGAAGTTGTTTCTCTTTTATGTTTATTATTTTATCAAGTTGTCTCCTTCGAGTTCTGTACTTGGCAAAACACTGAGCACATCGTCATCATTGCTTCCGATTTCACAATTCAGGACAGCTCCCAAGACGGAGATGCAGCTCCTCTGCGTTCAATGAGCCCGATCATTCTTTGTTACTTCTGGATATTGAGCAAGCTCAGGGAGCGGATCGGCCCCGCCATTGGAGTCAGGTACAAGCTACCCCGCCAGGTACACCCGTCGGCTCCACACCCGAAACCCAGGACATCCGATGTTCTTTGAGAGATCAATCATTTATTCATCCGGGGAAGACGCGCGTATGTTGACCCGCTTCCCCAGGCTATCATTTCAACCAATGGAGATCTGTATCTAGTGGTTTTGACTTCCTTCGCCGAAGCAATCACGGCTATCTTTCTCCACAAGATATCCTTCCCTAGCAAGATTCAACAATCTTGGTTGAATGCGGGGAAATGCTTCAATATCAAGGGTATAAAGGAAGTCAGAATGAACGGTGAAGTATGTTTCAACTGATCGTTAACCAATACATCATGCTCTTCTCTAATCTCATCTTCCTTGTTGGTACCTCTCTCGCTGCTGTATCTGTTACAGATCCATCAGACATCATCTCTCCATCTTTGTGGGCTGCCGATAATGCTATAATCCCAGATTATAATGTCTCCTTTATCAGTGTACAACCAAATCCAATCGTTGCAGCATACACGGTCACCAATTCAGCTTCTATCAGTTATGAGACTCTCTCGACCGCCCTCAATCAAACGAGTGTACTTCTCGTCACTGGAGAGTTGAATCTTACGTACTCCACTGTTATCAAATCGGGGTACGCTTCAAATCTTCTGGAGTCGAGCTTCTACGGATTCAATGCAGCAATCAATGTGGTATGTTTTCCCTCTCGGTTCAACGGCGAAGCTAATGATCAGGCCAATGGATCAACAGGGAATTTCGACAACGTGAATGTGACTGTTCATAACGGTGCAGCAAATATCTACGTCTATGGCACTGGAAGCGTGGTACATGTCGACAACGCCTGGCTCTACAGTTCTGGACCGGTTTCACATGGCGTATATGCATCTGGAAATGGGACCGCATACGTTTCGAATGTTCAACACTTCTCTGGAGGGAAGAGATCTTCATCATTTTCAGGAGATAGTCCGGCAGGATACTTGCACATTTCGGACTCCGTGGCTCATGCTGCTGGTATTGGGAGTGCAACGTTCTATGCTCTGGGCGAGATCTATGCTACGAATGTGGTTGCGCTGTCGGAGAATGGGCCTACCGTGTTCATGGACGGAGCCCAGAAAGCATACCTTACGAATTGCGAAACGACTGCTGGACTTTTGGGTGGTGTCGCAATCTTTTCATCTTCGACAAGGGAATCTGGAGCAATATTATCGCTGGACAATTCCAAGATTACAACATTGGGGCCCATTCCTGGATTGTGGTTCGGGAATGTGATCATCGACGTTTCTCTCCACGCTAGTGAACTTGTCACAAGTGGAGTGCTCGTTGTCGCAAATTATTCCCAGATCACTCAGGATTTCGATTATTATGCAGATTACTCCCAACAGCCAAATCTTCAACCTGCCGAGGTGTACGTCAATGTCACCGAGTCGACTTTGGTTGGAGATCTGGTCGCATACAATTCAAGCTTGATTAGTTGGTCTTTGTCGAAGAGTTCATGGATGGGAACGGCGTACTCTGGATTTGGGGAGGCGTACTTTGATGTTCATTTGGATAATTCGACCTGGACTTTGACAAATTCGACGATGGTTCAGAATTTGACGGACACGGATGGAAGCTTGAGTGGGATTGAGAGTCAGGGTTTTGATGTTTACTACAACGCTTCTGCTTTGTTGAATGAGTATTTGGGAGGGAAGACGATTGCATTAAGCGGTGGTGGGAATGCAATTCCGATTTGATTAGTTAAGAAGTTGTAACGGTCTGCTGACTATCGGGTTGGTTAGGGTGACAGAGGACTAAAGAAGCATGAATCGAAGAGCAATGCAACAAATATTACTAATAACTACGGGCGGAAGTTACGACATAAAAGTCGCACTTACTAATTATTTACTTTTTAAAGTATTAATTATCGAAAAATTTGCTTAAATACTTGAATTTTTTATAAATACGCTGTAAAACTTTATATATATTTTTAATAATTTTATATAAAAAATTAAATTTCAATAAATTTAAAACTCTAGAACCTAAGAGGCTTTAGGCAATTTACGCCGTAACGCGAGAATCCCCAGCTCTAATTCGCTCCTGGCTCCGATTATGCCGCGAAACCCTCTTCCGGCCGACGCGTCCTGCTAGGTACCGTTCGTTTTATGGCGAAAACGCGTCTTTGCCGCGTTGCAGCAAGCCCCTAGGCGGCTGATCCTCGCCCTCATCTCGCTTAGCCTGGGAGCCCGATTCTTACTCGTCGCCACAGACGGCTTGTGCTCTTATAACGTTCTTATATCGCCCTAGGTTTCCCAGTAGCTAGCTTGCTATATTAAGAAGATAAAAGAGGTATATAGGGAACTGTGGTAAGTGTGTGTTCTTAGCCTTTACCGCAAAGTCTGCTCTTTCCTTCCTCTTACTACTCTACCTATAATACAAAATAGCCTCTTTTCCGCCTTGCTTAAAGATATACCCTCGAATACAAATCACGCGGCGAGCGTGGTAGTGCCTCGGATGCTAGTGCCTAAAGACAACCCTCTTCTTCTAGCTTAAGAAGAGGAAGAAGACGCCCGCCTTATCTCTACAGTGGAGGAATATAAAGTCGACGGCCGCTTTTGTATTAATAACGACGAGACGACCCTCTGGCTCAAGTACACCCAGTGGCCTGTTCAGCTTGCTAATCGCCTATTAGACATTCTTTCCGCTAGCGCCTTGCAGCCGACCGCCTCAGACGACGACTATGTCCTCGAAGACTAGGCCGGCACAGAATTTGTTAGCCCCGCCGCCGACGAGGCAAAGCTACGCGTTCTAATGCACGTTGTCGTCGATCAGATGTTCGACCGCGCTAAAGAGACCCTGCGTCACACTCATCACCGCCTACGCTACTAGCTCCAGACTTACTATTTACGTCACTTTCGCCCAGCACCTTTCTAGTCCTTACAAACAGCCGCCGCGCGTGCACGCTATATTGCGATTTAGAAGCGCTTTATTTGCTATATCTTCCGGGTGTGGGCGATAAGCGAAACCCTATGTAACGAGATCTATAGGACTACGTTCTGGGAGTAAGAGGCAAGTTAGATGCAATTCTTATAGGACGTATTGCTTAGTAATAACGGTAAAGAGGCGAGTGGTCTTAATAGTAGTGATAATAATAGCTTATATAATGGAGAAGATACAAATAGAAGTGTAAATATAAGCATAAGCCACTAGCTTTAGATCGTAGAGGCTTTGTTTTAACTCTCGATGACTTTCTAGACCTTTCGCAGTACGACTAGTGATCTAGCCCCGTTAGTCCTCGTGCATTTCACTAGTATCCTTAGTATTCACCGGCGAGCGCTTGCGTATAAGTTAGTTTATAGCTACACACCTATACTCTTAGCTCTAATCTAGATTGGCCGATTACTCCTCCTTAAGTACGCGCTACCTTTATATGCCTATTCGACTTTAGTATAGCCCTAGCTAGCACGGGATAGCTACACTAATCAAACGGAGCGGCTTAAGTAGATATAAGTAAAGTATCTGCTCTGTAGTGGGTTTCACCCAATAGGCGAGATGATTAAGCTTCGCGCTTACAAAAAGTCAATTGTGAAGAAAAAAGGTGCGCGAGCTAATTTAGCTAAGGCTACTAATAGATAATCCTACCCGTAGAAATCGCACTTATTGCGGCGCACTATGCGTTTTCCCCATACTAATCTCCCCCTGACTAGGGTGGGGACACGGACCAGTTCACCGCAATATGTGCACCGCAATATGTGTTTCTTCTCCCGGCCTTTTTTTTTTAGCTAATAGAGGACTGTAAAGGCATCCTAGGGGATCTAATTACATCTACTAACCATAAACGAAGGCTTTCTCTATCATCCAGAGTGGCGGGTGCTGCTCTGCACCCAGTGCGGGTTCTGTTTACGGCCAGGGCGCGACGTCTGGCTTCGACACCTCAGGCAGGAGCCGCACTGCCTGCGAGGCGCGCCCTTAAAGGCCCTCGTTGAGCTCTTTGGAAGCTACTGTGCTGAGAGAAGCCATACTAGTCCTCTCGATGGCACTGATCTGCCACGAGTTCGGGGGCAACCGGTACAGCTCCTCGCTGCTCAGCTTTTGTGCTATGCTTAGCGTCAAGCCGTATACCAAGACGTGGAAAGAGCCGGGCAACTACAACAGCTGCTTGTCTGGCGTGATCTGGGTTGTACAGCTGATCATCTTCTACGCTAGTGCCTATCTGGAGAAGGCAGAGCAAGGAGACACGCTCGAGCGTATTGAGCAGTACTGCGGGCAGTTCTTAAAGCAAGACACCGAGACCCCTATGGGCGAGATCCTCGGCTGGCGCTTGCTGCTGTTTACCGTCTCGAAGGAGGTCGTTGGGCCGCACCAGGCCCAGTGGGACGTGGACGAGAAGGTCCTGACTTATCGAGACGTTGATTTACACATAGATCACGTGCCGCGGCTCTTACTCTCCGACTTCCAGCAGGCCCAGTACCTGCTGTACGACGAGCTGATGTTTGGGGCCTAGAGCCTCCCGCGGATGCGTGCGTGGGCTCTGAAGGACAACCTGGACGCCGATGCCTTTGGCTAGTTCTTTGGCTAGCACCGGGAGAACGTTAAGCTTCTGAAGCCGCTGACACAGTCTTTACTAACTGTGATCTAAGACTCGAAGCCGCTGCGGGACTCTTTCCTCGAGATTACTGCTGATGACGCTAGGGCCTGGCGGGGGAAGGCGATTGAACGGTATGAGGCTGTGGCTGACGAGTTCCTGAAAAGGCTCTTAGTCTTGATTCACATGAGCTCTAGCCAGCCGCTGCGCGAGAGTGAGCTCTTTTCCGTCACCTGGCGTAATACCTAGCGGCGGCGGAACGTCTACCTCAAGCATAGGCTGGTTATGCTACACACTACGTACCACAAGGGGCAGTAGCAGACGGGCAAGTTCAAGGATAACATCCGGTTCTTGCCTGCGCCTATTGGGGACCTCTTGCTAGACTACTTAGTAGCTGTCATCCCGCTCCGTTAAGTCTTCCTCCGCCAGTCTGCCCCGCACACTGTTATATCCCCCTACTTGTGGTGGAGAAATGGCAGGGTCTGGGTTGACAACCGGCTCACGCAATACATGGAGCAGGCGTATACTCGGGCTGGCATCCCCCGGTTACACATCGCCAACTGGCGGCAAATAACGGTCAATATCGTTAAGACTAAGTTTGCAGCTAACGTCGGGTGCTTTGAGGTCGACGATGGGGCTAACGACGAGGATGCTAAAGAGATCGAGGCTGACATCCGGGTCATGACCAAGCAGCGGAACCATAGTACGCGGACGGTCAACCGCGCCTATGCCAACTAGCACAATACCAACTTTGGCAACGTGTGGGATAGTCTTATCCGCCGGAACCTGCGTGCGTCGACTCTGTGGAAGGACTTATGGGGGCTTAACCAGCTCCTTGAGCCGGCTAGGAAGAGGAAGCGAGACGGTGAGGATATTGGCGGTCCGCAAATGCTTAAGAAGATCGCTATAGGGGTCTACCGGCCGCGGAAGAAGTAGTCAGCTGCGGCTCTATTAAAGAGTGCCAGAAAGCTCTACCGGGATGACACGTTACAGTGGAAGTCAGCAGCCCAGGAGCGGGCTATGACTACTATCATATTATAGACTAAGCAAGTAATAGTCGTTATGGCTACTAGCGAAGGGAAGAGCCTGCTGTTCATACTGCCTTACATCCTTACTAACGCTAGAGTAACGATCTTAGTCCTACTACTCGTGTCTCTACGAGGGGATCTCCTCCGCCGCGTCCGAGAGCTAGGGTTCGATCACTTGGTATGGGCGCCTAGCGAGCAGCGAGACACCCCCTTAGTGTTTGTAACCGTCGAGGCCGCTTACACGGAGTAGTTCCGGACCTATGCCCACAAGCTCGCGGCTACACAAGACCTCGGCCGCATTGTGTTTAATAAGGCTCACTTGACTATAACGGCGTCCGACTACCGCTAGGCTATGGTCGACCTCGCCCTGATCCGCAACGTCCGTACGCAGTTTGTCTACTTAACAACTACGTTACCACCGATAATACAGGCTACGTTTAAAGAGCAGAATAACTTAGTGAATCCTAAAGTAATCCGAGCATCGACAAACCGGCGCAATCTGTTCTATCTAGTACAGCGGGCTACTAGGCCAGAGAGTCTGCTCGACGAAGGCGCGCGGAGGGCTAGGGATGCTTGGCAAGCGAGTAGGCTACTTGACTAGACTCGAGATAAGATCATCCTCTACGTCCAAACGAGGGACGAGGCTAAGGAGCTGGCTGAACTGCTGAGCTGCCCAGCCTATACTGCCAAAGTCGGTACGGCCGAGGAGAAGGAAGAGCTACTGAGAACGTGGCTTGTCACCCCTGAGCAGCCGTACATAGTAGCAACATCGGCTCTAAGTGCAGGCTTCGACTACGCGCACGTCCGGCTCGTAATACACATCAACGAGCCAGACTCCCTTGTCGACTTTGCACAGGAGTCTGGGCGGGCTGGACGGGATGGGAAGGAAGCTTATTCGGTTGTGCTCTTACCCCCTCGATGGGTATCACAAGTGGCCAGTACTACAGAGGCTAAGAAGGGGGTACTCTACCGCTACTTGCAAGGCCAAGAGTGCCGCCGGACTTGCCTAAGTGCATACCTTGACCTTGAGTCCCAGCTCCAGCAGTGCGTCACCGGCGAAGACGTCGTGTGTGATGTATGCAACAGTGGTCCAGTCGAGACGGCCTTACCAGTGCCTCTTGTTACAATGCCACATACTGGGAGTACGATCATTCAGCAAAAGCGGCGCGCAGCTTACCTCGAGCTTAGCCGGTACCAAGAAGACCTGCTCGCTGTGCAAGGGACGTGCCTGCTCTGTCGAGGGCTTGACGAGCCATAGGACCACGCGTTTGCCACTTGCTACCGACGGTTCGACTTCTTCCAGGCCCGTGACCGGGTGAAGAGGCAGTGCGAGGGAGCTTGGATTACAGCATTCCAGGCGTGCTACTAGTGCTACAACCCGCAGTCCGTCTGTCTGCGGGCAGATCCAGCCAGTGGGTGCCAGAGCTGCGTCTATGCCGATACTGTCCTGCCGCTCTGTTACGGCATCTTCCACGGAGGCGGGGCAGAGCAGTGGCTACTAGGGCAGTTCCAGCAGAGGTGTTACGACTACGTGCACGTGAGCTCGCTGAGTCATCTCGGTGAGCTCTGGGTCACGTGGAGGAGCACTGAGGAGCAGACGGGGCTCCTA